CCGTCAAGACCCTCCCAACGATCACCTTGGGACAGAGCCTGCGACGCCGCTCAGGCCTTCTGCGCTCTACGTCGGCAGTTACGGACGACCAGTATATAGTTGGCGCCCTAGCAGGCGGACCCTTAGAGTTTCTTCTCTTTGGATCCTCCCCTGCTAGGTCGGTCCCTCCGTGTATTTCCCGTAGCTTTTATTCACGCTTTGGATCCTCCCCTGCTAGGCTTTCGTCGGAGTCTCCAGGGTTGCCCTTACAGCGCTGCTGAGCCAGCGCCACCGCCGGGCTTCTGTATGACCAGTATCATCACCTCATTCGTCAATCCCCCTCTCACGGAGTCTCACCCCTCGGTGTGGATAAACACAACGATGAAACCACAAGAGAGAGTCAACGAGCCTCAACCTAAAGTTCCCTGCTTGGTATATTACATATAGTAGACAACTGTACTCTTGCTGTACGCTATCTCTTTTTACTTATGCAAAGTTGTCGCCGACCGCATCACCGGGCAACGACCAAATTCGGCAACATCTGTCATTGTTGATCAATCTTACGTTTTTAGTCTGTTGGCAGCTCTGACGAATCTGCCACCTCTTGCCTGCAAGAACTAGCATTTTTAGCAAGTGTCACATAGTGACATGTCACGATCCCTCTTCAAAAATGGGTTTTTGGGGCCCAAAAAAATAGGTTTTTGAGGCCAAAATCCGGAAATTTTTTGAATCACTCTTTGGTGGAGCTTCCCGGGTCCTAGATATATATTATATCGGGAATCTCATTCGTGCGGAGTTTACCCAGGTAAGCAAGCTATTAGATATGATCATTTGCGTCACATAACGAACCCCTCAAAAGGGAGTACCGTCGCGAATAGTTTTACGGACGGAAAGGATTTGAGTTTATGGAGCCACTTCTCAAAGACATGACCCAAGATGACCCCACCAAACGGCCCAATATTGATCAAGTTCACCTTGCTTTAAGCAAGGTCCCCACCAGGTCACAATTCGCCAACATCATGATGAGTTGATGAGGCTGCAGCCAAACATATGCAAACACTACCCGAACGGACTGGGTCCAAAAACCTCAAATTCTCGATGAAACCTCGGTGAAAATATTTGTCATTTGGATGACTCATCATCAGATGTTGCGATCAAACAGGGAATAACTATGTAATCTACTGCGAGGGTTTAGAGTACAATGGAGAGTTGGCAGGGTTGTTTGTCGGCGCACTCAATACAGATTTGTAGACAACACAGCCACCATCGTTTGACCAGAAACCACAACCAGGACAACTCAGTTCCACCGCCTAATTGTGGAATTCCTCGTGATGTGATGGCAATGTCAAAGTTTTTGATTGATTTGATGATGTCACAATATGTTACTGCAATTGTTCTTATGTGTTTAGCTTGCATTTTGTTCTCAATAATACAATAATAGGTGGAAAAATCCGGAAAAAATTCAAGAATGCTTCTATATTATTATTCTACATTATAGAGCCATCTTCCCCCACAGAGATAATTTACATGACTGATTAATTACATGACATTCCTGTAAAAAATCAACTAATTGGACTTGCCAACATGATTCAGCTAGTGAATCATTAAGTTAGATCAAAACTGTGATATAAGCCAGTGATATTTAATGCTTCTCAATCTGTTGCAGCCTATAATGTGGAAGTATACAGTAGTAAATGAGTTGATTGATTAGCTACAGAACTTACATACTCTCTCCCTAATACAACAAGTGAGGCCAGCATCATATATTATTTATTATACTGTACAATATCTCAGAGTTATGTTAGAGATAGAGCTGTGCATAAGTGATTTCCTGACTTATATTTCCCCTTACTACTAATCATTATTGCACCTATACATGCCATATATAGGCTTTACAGACCTTGAGTCCTGTAACCATCTCTCTCTTCTCTTTGACCTCCAAATACATATATTTCCCTTATTCATCCCTGCCCACCTGTTTTAACAAGTTAAATAAAGAGTGAAATATATATCCTGTTTACTGCTATGGTAAACTGGCAAAGTCACATTGTCAAGTGGTATAAGTATATTCACTACAGCAGCTCAAAACTTTCTAAGACAAATGTTCCAATTACAACTCAACACTCACACCTACACCAACAAGGGACCACCATAACAGGCCCTTTCAGCTGGACCTTGACCCCGCTTGCTTAGCTTGTAGGCCCAATAATTCGTCTGTTCTGTTCCAGGTGCTTGTTTCTTAGGAGAAGCCTTGGATGGCCCGACCCAAAGCCAGACACCTGTCAACAAAATATATAAAAGCAGTACTGTACTAATTTAATTCTAAACACTTTATTATATCCCATAGGGCTAAGCCCAACAATTTTTTTTTATTAGTTATATGAGTCTAGCAAAACTTTATCCTAGACAGAGCCCTCATAGGCAATTTTTCTACTGATAGTGGCAGTCAAGTTCCCTAGTGGGGAAGGCATAACTGTCAGGGGAAACCCTGATGCCGTCACTTGATCCCATCAAGCGCCGCGTCTCCGCTCGCGTCTCCGCGTCTCCGCTCGTGTCTCCGCGTCTCCGCACCCTGACGCTCTCCCTCCACTGCCCGCACCACATCCCACATCCAGTGATCCCCAGTCTTCGACTTCCCTGGCCACCCCTTTCCGGGAGTCTCTCCGCCTGGCGGAGTCACCATCAGGGATCACTAATGCCATCGGAGACCCCTCCGGATGTGGACGCACCACTTCCCTCCGAGACCTTGAGCCTATGGCCTTCTAGCCTCTCTGGGCTGTCACTTATCAAGGTCTCCCTACGATCTCTACCTGCTGGACCTCTTGGGTGTCCCCAACCCATGTCAGCGTTCGGGCTTATGTTCGGATGGCTGAGCCTTGCCATGGCTCCCGCTCTCCACTCCGCCACCACGGCCCCCGTCATCGGGCCTTCCCCTGGGTGAGGCCTACTGCCGTTAAGGCTCGTGCCTACTGCAGCGCCCCAGGCTGCACGCCCTCACACCTCCACCTCTCTGGAGACGTCCGGGGACGTCTCCGAGTGACCCTGTCGCTACCCTCCAGGTGGTCATGGCTGGCCGCCATTCCCATTGGTCCTCTTCGACACTCCCCGGCCCTTGGGCTAGACCAGACTTCTTCCCTTTCCGCTCCACGCCTTCCCTCTCCGTTTCCGGCCGTCACGTCACGGTCACACACCCGGAGTCGATTCCGATTCCGATTCCGATTCCGGTTGTCACGGTCACGGTCACAAGCGGAGACGCCCAGAGGCAGCCTGGACCTCCCGAAGCCCTTCTTAGGCCTTCTAGGGATGCCTGGGCCCCTCCCTTGGCATCACGGTCCCAAACCTGCCTCTCCAGAGCTTCAAGGGCTACTCGACACTCACCTAGGGTCCATTAGCGATGCCTGACTTCTCCCATCCGTCATCCGTCACTATGCAGTCACTCTATCATTACTCCGGTCACTGGTATATAGTAGTGCACCTGGGCAGAGGGCTCCTTGGCTTGTTCTCTAAGGATTCCCCCTCTGCTCAGGACTCTGATTTCGAGCCTCGCAAGGTTGCCCTTACAATAACAAATATATTATGCACTATGAGAGGATGATGAAATAATTAAAATAGTACACTATATAACAAAGGCATTATCTTACTTTTCTCTTTCCTTTTTGGGAGAGTTTTACTTAATTCTTTTGGGAAACCACAAGCACCAATACCAAGCTAGCAAAGGAGAGAGCTAAGTAAGCTTGGAATGGAGATAGGAGGAACAAGATCTAGAGCCAATGAAATCAGGCATGCAAAGGCAAGAGTGCAGAGAGAGGGTAGAAAATAGAATAGAAAGTCACTGGCCGCTGCAAAGGCAGGTGGATTCAGAATTGCAGACCAAATCCCATCTTTGCTTAAAAAACACTTCAAAACACTTGAAGGCACACAAGAGGTATTCAAACAGCTAGTCCAATGTCAGACAGGACATAGGTACTTAGGCAAGTTTTATAATTGCTTCATTCCAGATGAGCATTTGTTGCCCTTAAGCAGAAAACTACTGTACTATTTCGATTAATTGTCTGCGTTATGCGGGACACGTAGTCCCAGTGCGGATACCTGCGGCCGCCGTTACACGTTCAAATCCGATTTGCCATCAAATCCAGGCCTAAAAAGGCAATTTTTCGTTCCGGCTGGTGCTGAACTTGCCTTTATGGTAATCCGGACACCTTGTCCAGTGGACAGTTCGCATTACATGTTACATGCTGCGGACAATTAATCGAAATAGTACAGTAATACAAACATAACACATATCCTACATGAATGCCCCAGATACAACAAGTACCAACACATGCTCCAAAAACAATCATATGACATTGCACTCCCTCAGATTCTGGGAACACAGGGTTTCTAGAGGAATCAGGAGCATATACAAAGATGAGACATAAACAGAAAGCCTGAGAGGTCACCCTCCCCAACTAGGAAGAAGAGCTGGAGCCAGACCTTCCAGACAACAAGGAAGTCATAGGCAATGATAATCATAGATAGGTTGGATCACAGCAGAGAGGAGAAAGACAGCAAGAAACCTCTGCAACTCAGAAAGCTGGCACTCCTAGCAATGGCTAGATTGCAAAACCAATCCAAAGACACCACGTCTAATTACCCCCCAAAACACAAAGGCTTTGCCAGGCAGATTGATATGTATAGCTGCTCTCACAAGCACTATGCCTTTGTAGCTGTAGTGTATTTGCCTGGGGAATAAAAATGTGATTAAAAAAACAAATCAAGTTATTAAAAATACATAATCATACCTTAAAGCAAGGTGTTTAAGATGGCCACTTGGCCAGCAGCTAGTGTAGAACGTTTCAATCAAATCCGAAGGGGTCTCAGTTCATGGAAGCTACGATCGCGAGTTCTTGGTAAACGGGAATTCAAGTATATTCCGCACAGGATAGTAGGGCACTGGCCTCGTCGTCTACGCGCTATCATCCTCTTTGTACCTGCTGTGAACCCTCCCAAAATTTAGATAATCATTGTGACCCGCGTGACTTTCTGACTTCAGTTTCCTTTGGTCAACGCGCTCGATGGCATCCATATCGAAATCGGAGGCGTCCTACATTCACACTGGGCTGCTGTCTGAACCGCCATTACGCGCAGATGGACGCGCTCTCCACGAGTTTCGTTCAGTCAGTCTCGAAACCGGGGTCGCGCCGCTTGCCAATGGCTCCGCTCATGTTAACATCGGAAAAAGCTTACACAACGGTGGTGGAGGAACAGAGGTGCTTGCTGCCGCGAAACTAGAAGTGGAGAATATCGGGTCAGGACAGGAAGGTGTTGAGGGCGGCCGAGTAGTCTGCAGCGTTTCTTGGTGGGTGAAAAGTTATACCCAAGAGCCAGACAGACTAATCACTTAAAACAAGCTAGCTCACCTGCTGCATACCCCCACGTCCTTCCATCCGCCCTCGACGATCTCCAAGCTGATCTAACAACGGTTCTCCACCAGACTCTCGCACATCGCTCACTACACCCATCTAACCTAACAATACTTCCCGGGAAAAAATCGTGGGTGCTGAATCTTGACTGCGTTGTTCTTTCCGATGCGGGAAACATCTATGATGCGCTGTTTATGGCCGCTCGGGCTGCTCTTTGCGACTGCAAAGTACCTCGAACCCGTGGTGTTCAGTATAAGGCGCCGTCTGGCTTGAAAAAGAGCGGCAAACTAGGCGATATGGAGGTAGACTCTGCTCCTGAAAGCGGTTTCGATACGCGATCTATGGCTCGTGATGTGGATTTCGAGCTGGTTGATACATGGGACGAGGGCGAGCAATTGGATGGGCAGAACCGCTGGCCTGTGTCCGTCACCCTCAATGTTCCAACGCCGACCTCTGTCCACTATCTCGATGCCGCACTACAAGAAGAAGCAGCCACCCCCATGCGACTATTACTTGCTTTTTCGTTCCAATCAGCAACCCCACCTAACTTACACGCAATGCGCACTCTTGGAACGGGAGAGCTAGAACTTGAGCAATTACGAGCGTTAATTGCGGTTGGTGACCAGTTTGCACGTGAAGAGCATTATTCAAGTGTTTTTTTAGATTGGGGAAAAACACGCAAAAAAGTTGTGGGACGCATTGAACGGTAAACTGAAGGAAGAAAACATTCGGCGAGGTGAGAAAGCTCGAGCGAATTTTGCTCGTCGGTAAGCGGCCTTGAGTGATATTTCATCTCTACTTATTCTCCTCCAGTTAGTTGTGTTCATGATATTCAAGAACCCGTCTGGCTCTCGATTCCGTACACCTTGACCCCACGTTTCCGCTGCATTGATGACTCCCATTTGCCTTCAACCCGATTGCAGCCCCAGACTTTGAGCTCTTCGAGTGCTTCACAGCCCTCAAGAATGCTTTTAACCACGAAATCATCTACCCCGCGACACCAGCCCAGGTCAAGTTTTTTGACTTTCTCCAGGTGGGCCAAAAGAGGAAGCGCTGGCTCCGTGGGGAGCATTTCCACGTCTTCGGATTTCGTGGACCTCTTTCCAACCACCATTTCCTCCGCCGATACATCCACGTCTTTCCATCCGTTGATATTGAGTTCTTGTATTGTCTTCTTCGAGTGTTGGATGAGTGCTGTCAAGGCCGCCCCTTTGAGCAGATGATTCCGGCTAAGGTCAAGCAGGATGAGGCCAGAAGTCTCGTCGCCATTTTGATTAGACGAATTGAAAAAGTCGGCGGTGCCGATATCCGACAGCAGGGGAACATTAGCCATAGCCAATGATGTCAAGTGGGGAGTATTGGGGATGAGTCCACGAGAAAGAACTTCGTCCGTGAGCTCGATGTGGCCTGAGAGATCAAGATGCGTTAGTCCACTACCGATGCCTTCGAGGAGTTGGACAACATTGTCGTCAGAAAGCGATTCTGAAGGTTCGCCAACGTCGAGGTATGTCAATTTAGAAAGTCCTGCTATGCGCTCAGCGAAGGCTGCCGATAATAATCCCACTTCTCGTAAACGGAGTTGACTTATGGTCGAGCCAGAAGCGTCGATCAATGCTTGGAGACAAGCGAGCGAGAAACGGGGACTCTGAGTGATAAGAAAGGAGACCATGTTCGTATGTGCTTGGAAAAACGAGATCCAAGCCGCTTCTCGGACAAGGAAGGGGCCAAAAAGCTCCAGTGAAACCAGGGATGGCATGGTCCTGTTCCAGGAGAGGATGGCTTCGTCGTTGAGTGGGCCACAGAAATCAAGTCGCAAGCGAGTGAGGTTCGGATTTAGGTTTCCCAGTGCAACAAAGGCATCTGGGGAAAGGTCTAAAATGACTTCTGAGAGAGGACTAAGGCAATCAATGGAACCATTACTCGTAGCGTCATAAAATGCCAAGTTGGTGTTTTCTATATTATAGAATAACGGGGCGTTTTCGGTGGTCCTACATGAATGTAAGGAGCCGAGGATTATGCTTATGCGATGGACACTCACAAACGACGATTTTTTGACAGTGCCCTCGCGATCGCTTCTAGATTCAGCGAGCCAATATCCCCAAAAGCTTCGACATCATCAATATGACGCGCAATTACCTAGAGTCCTGATCAATTCCCAAATTTCAAACAATGAGACTGAGACGACTTGCGTCAATACACAAGGAGACAAGGGTGGGGAAGCTGCGCTGCTGGATATGTACAACAGTACGCTTTTCAGCCGGGGCTTTGCGCTTGCGAGGTGATGCCGGCTTTTTAAATGGATCAGCACCAGAGGCTTTCGCGCAAGGATGACAGAGAAAACCCGGGCCAGGCATCGCCGCCATGGTATATTTGGTCTACCCAAGGAGTGAGGAAGGCATCGGAAAATATGGAAGGCACGCACGACAGTGAATTGCTTTTCGCAAGTCGCACAATTTTCAAAGCTACCAACAGCGGGTTTGTTCGTTGGCGCATAGGCTGTCTTGGACAGCGCGGTATACTCGTCGTCTGAATCGTCGTGTTCTCCTTTCTTCTTCTTCTTTTTTGCGGCGGCTTTTTGCTTTCGCCTCCGCTGCTTTGGACAGCTTTGGCTTCTTCTTCTTCGGAGACTCAGGTTCGTCAAGGTTGTCCGAGTCATATTCCTCCTATGCCACCATGAAGAAGTGAGGAGTATTCGCGGTTGGATTGACTGACCTGGTGGTCCTCTTGCGCGCGACCGCGACGAGGGTTGCTCGGACCTGCTTCAGGTTGTTCTGCATTCTCTGCCGCACGGGTTGCTGCTCGCCGCGCTATGGTGGTTGGGGTAATACCGGTGCTCTATTTCGCGTGAAAACTGGCGTGAAAAATGCTTGCCAATGTACCTGGAGGAAATCTGTGAGCGCAGACATCGGTCCGCGTACATTTCGCGCCATGGTGGTTGCTAATTAAGCGCGTAACGTCACAACGTCACAACAAGATCTGTATTTAGAAAGCAAAACTATAATTCTATCGACCGATGCCTTTCTGTGGATCCCTGCCAGATTGTAAGCAGCAAGTAAAGAAAGCAACAGTTACCGACCTTCTACTGTTCTGTACGCGAATGAAAAGCCAATCAACAGCAGCTTTGACGCCAGTTCTGGAAGTAAATAAGTGAGAACAGTGGACATTTAAAGTAAACCGACACATACCCTTCAATTGCGCTAATGCCCATAACATCCAAGCTAGCGATTCGGTCTCTACGATCATTCTCGCGCTCATACTGTGCGCCTCTTCGCGCGTTTTCGATTTTGCGTTGGTGCCAATCCTCGTAGTCCTGTCGTATCTCTTCTACGGAAAGAGCGTTGGGAGAGTCTTGCTTGTTGGCAATCAGCAGAAGCGGCACGTTGAGGATCTGAGGTGCAGACAGTACAGTTTCTAGCCACGATGTCAGGAATGTAGCCGTAAATAAATCGAGGAAAACACGAACCGAAGACCTCCCAACCTTCGCTGAGCCTTTCTTTGTCCTCCGCGTCAACGACGAACGCGACAGCATGACAATCGTCGTAGTATCGATGCCAGATGTTGCGGATACCTCGCTGGCCACCGAGGTCCCAGAACTGGAGAATAGTTGAAGGAAGTGTTACAGTTCCCGCTGGGGTATTGTCTGAGCTTCATTCGTATGTCGTGATGTCAGCCTACTGTTTTGTCCAACTGTAGGTCCAATCTTGTCTGGCGTGAGTCCAGGAGTCTCATTGTAGAGTGTCTTTATCTTCTCCAAAAGAGTCTAGATGTTGTTATTCAAGTCGCTGCAAAAACTTGAATTCAATCACAAACCGTCTTGCCAGCACCGTCAAGCCCGATAATAATGACAGAGAATTCTTCCTTCCTGCATATATTCAGACATGAAGAGAAGTTCAGACCGAGACTAACCGCGTAAGGTGCTCATGAAGACCTTTCAGAAGATGGTACATGCCATCGACGTTGCACCCAAGTCTGTGACTTGTGTGACAACTAACGTCGGCGCAACCGTCATGGGCTATTTGGCCACATATTACCGCTTCGGCCTCCCGACGTTCCTTGTTATATCCATTGCCCTCTATTTGCTGTTCACTGGTTTGCTTTCCGTATGCACAGCGACACTAGCAGTCTAACTCCGCTTTGCAGGCTCTGGCGAAGCTTTCAATGTTGGCCGCTTCCTTGAGGAGTCGAGCCCTTTCGCGTGGGGTGCAACAGGAATAGGCCTCTGCATTGGTTTGAGTGTTCTTGGGGCTGGATGGTGCCTAAGCCATTGTCTCAAGATTGGTCAAAAACTCAGGTCGCGTTCTGTAGGGGTATCTTCATAACTGGCTCGTCTATCCTAGGTGGTGGAGTACGTGCGCCACGAATTGGCACAAAGAATCTTGTTAGGTGCGTCTAACCCTTTTTGAGCTCTACTTGCCTACTTACCATTGTCCAGCATCATCTTCTGTGAAGTCGTCGCAATCTATGGAGTGGTAGGTCTTGTTTGCTCTCCGCTAGTTCGGGCTCAAAGTTCATAGATCATCGGGATAATATTCTCGTCGAAGATGACTGCGGTACCCGAGACACATCTCTACACACGCGAAAACTACTTCACAGGTAGGATTGTCTGTTTATCCATTTCATCGGTTTTTGACGCGTCCCTTTTGAGGATTCGCCCTCTTCTGGGGTGGTCTTACGGTTGGCGCATGCAACTTGCTCTGTGGTATTTGTGTAGGTATTACTGGCTCCACCGCCGCACTCGCGGACGCTGCCGACCCTAGTTTGTTTGTCAAGATTCTCATTGTCGAGGTCTTTGGCAGTATTATGGGTCTATTTGGTCTCATTGGTATGTCATGGGCTATGCATCCTCTCACTAACAAGATACTCACATGCCTCAGTTGGACTTCTCATGGTCAGCAACGCCAAGGACTTTTCTGTTACCGAGTCCCTTGTTTCTTCCACAGCGAGCGCTATCGTCTCTCCATTTGTACAATAATTGCTGCTCAAAATAATCCACGGACTGCTGTTTTTGCTAGACCAAAATAAATAATACCCAGACATCAGCTCAAGAGAATTGTCTCCAGGCTAGATGCCTCTGACTGGCATAGGTATCTAGCCGACTGGGGCTAGTTACTAGTAGTGTGGGCAGATACCTATCTGAATCGTCACACCTTCCCATTTGGGAAGGAGTCAATGATTGAAATCTCCTCTGGTGCATTTCAGCTTCATTTCTTCATAGTCTGGCCTGAAAATTAGAGGAATAGTTTAGATAGCATACCTGTCCCATAGCATAAAATTTCTAAGAGATTCATTCACTCATTCACATTCAATTTGACAATAGTGGTGTGAATTCTTGTTTTTTCACAAGAATTTAAAATAGGGGGGGAGTTTAAATAGTGCTGAATCTTACACTAGACCTTCAGTTTTGTTAAGTGCTCATGAAGCTATTTCCTGAGGAACATTACAGTGTATTGCAACACAACTTGTCGCAGGTTGTCACGAGGTTGACAGCATGTCACATCATGCTTGGTCGTGTTTGATCCTGCCGGCCGTAGGCCGGCTGCAAAAAAAACCATATGGGGTCAGAGCTATCTGAATCAGCACATGACCCGCGGACCCGGCAGTATCACACCGGAAAAAGCAAAATATCAGCTTGAACAGAAACTGTAATTGATTTTAGACCAATCTGAAGTAGAATTAGGCCAACTTAAATGCAAAGTTTTAATTGAGCAGAAACCTACTCAGAATTTGGACAAAGATGTACAAAAATCAGCTCCAACAAAACCCCTTCTTTCTTCTAACCCGAAATGGCCATAGAAACTACGCCTATCAGTGCTAGTTTCTGCGCTATTGAAAGTGGCAATTTATAGCTCACTGATTCTTGCACAGAAACAAAGGGTTTCTGTGCAAGAATCAGTGAGGCCCACAGCATAGCCCACAGCATAGGTATCTAGCCCTGACTGGGGATCCAATAGTCGAAAACTCGGATCATTCAAGTTTGTCAGCATGGTCACGCGTGACACTCACTGACATGCCTTCGTCGACAACGGCCTCGCAGGAAGAGCTCAAAGCTAACCGAGTGCCGCTACAGTGGCGAGATGGCTGCTCTGCGTGAGCTAAAGCTCTCTATTAATGTGCTCCGCCTTCCCTAACGACGCGCCACCATAGTCTGGTCATACCATTGAACATCTGCCGTAGGAAGACGCTGTATATGCCTTGGGAGTGCGACCACGAGAGGCATGCCTATGAAAAGTGCGCAATTATATTATTCAGTCCAAAGTCTGCCACTAACACAACTGTTTAGGTGCCAATATGACGAGTGAGTTGTGAACTTGGTCGCGTTTGATGTACTCAACGGCCCCAGCTACCTGCGCCGCATGAAAGAGGCCGCCCGCATAAAGGCCGCTGCGGCAGAGGAGGATTCTTAACTCTGCCTTGCTGGTAGTCTTAGATGTTTTCGATTCGGAGCAATACCTAAATGCACCGTTGATTCGGGAAAGTTTCAATTCAGGCAGACTCGGAGGACCCGAAAACAATGTTCGAGGAAGCAGAGCAACAACGCCACCCCACGGTGCACAGATTGCTTAAAAGTCTCGGTCTCTAGTCTTGTCGTACTGCTGTTTACAGTCCACAAACAGCGAAAACACGCCTCATAATTGTGTGTGTTACGTCCTAGCAATACAGAAAACAACAGAGTCTTCGAAGGTGGATGCCGATCATGTCAACGATTTGCCCTCGCAGTCTATGGCGGTATTAGTCTTGGACTCGGATTCAAATCTGCTATGGGAAGAAGTGCTGCGACCAACGTGAACTTTGAAGCACTGTTCTGTCTCTGACCACTGTGTAACAACACTGTAAACCGTCCCCAAGCTTACACCAACATTTGGAAATACGCAAGGCAGCAAATTTCGGCTGTGGAGTTGCCTGACCAAATTTGACGTCCGGCGGCTCCATGCCAGAGATATGCTGAAAAACGCGGAGCGCCTACCCCTGCCTACCCGCCATGTATATGGTTGACGACGATCCTCGAGTTTGTTCCCTCTGCATCCATCAACGGCCAGTGTGACGTTGAAAAATTTGAGGGCCTTTCGATGGATTCTGACGTAGGATGCGTCGTCTAACGATGACCCAGGCTGGATTCCCAGACTGAGAACGATGTCAGAACGATGGAAGCAGTGATGATGATTCTTTGGATGGCGTTATGCACAGATTCTCTCGTTGACGAGCATCACGAGGGACTTGTCTGCGTGGCGATGAATTCTACGAGAACCAAGTTTTTGAGGTAGAAAAAAGATGAGAGATATATTCTCTTCTTTCAATTTAGTGGCACAGTACGAGTGGTTGGATTGAGTCTAAGAGCGTCTTGTGACGCTCTTACATACTGATGGCACTTACAAGTATACTTACATCCAAACTTCAAGTTTGGTTTTCCGCAGACTTTCCTTGTTAGTGGCCAAGCACTCACGCTCCGCAACCGGGCTGCGCAGTCTTCTGGACTGCGCGACTGTCAGTGCGCTGATGATATGTTTTCGGCCTGAACAGGCAGCAACCTGCAGCAACTGATCAATTCATGCCGCAGTTTCGTGCGTTCACAAGTCGTATTGGGGAACAAGAATAGCCGAGCAGTATAAGTTTGTGGACAAACCCATAACTGGACCAATGCCCCCTTCTCTCACTCGTGTCGCCATAGTCGGCGGAGGTATTGGCGGCCTGACTCTTGCTCGCATTCTTCAATTGCGCCAATCGGCCTCCCTTACCTTCTCGCTCTTCGAAGCTGAGGCCAATGCCTCTCTTCGTGCGACCCTCGGCGGCTCTCTTGATCTCAAGCGGGAATCTGGTCAACGCGCCTTGCACGATGCAGCTCTTCACGCCCAGTTTCTCAAGCTTTGCCGTCCGGCTGGCGGGGCGTTGAAAATATTCGACGACACGGCCAGGATCTATTATGAGGACAAAGGCAGCGACAAAGATATGTACAACCCAGAAATAGACAGAGGTCAACTGCGCTCTATGATCCTGGACTCTCTCCGGCCTGGAACGGTTCAATGGGGACACAAAGCAGTCGCGGCCAAACGAGACCATGTAACAGGCAAATACTCGGTTCAATTTACCTCTGGAAAATCAGAAGGTGGCTTCGACATTGTCGTCGGGGCGGATGGTGCCTGGTCTAGCATTCGCCCCCTTGTGTGGCCCGGAGTCCTACCCACATATTCCGGTGTCACGTTCCTCGATACTAAGATTGACATCAAGTCGCATCCCGCACTCTCCCAGCTTGTCGGAGAAGGCTCGATCATTGCTATGGGTGGAGGCAAGTGCATTATGGCACAGATGAGCTCAAACAATGTGTTGACGGTCTATTCTGCCATACGAGTTCCCGAAAACTGGGCTCGCACGTCAGATGTTGCCTTGGCCGAAACTCCAGAGGAGAAGATTCGCCTTATGCTCGCGCACTTTGCAAGCTGGGACGAATCACTGCGCCAATTCATCCGCGTCAGCAAGAATCCCGTAATTCGCCCAATATACGCGCTGCCGCACGACTCCAAACCGCGAGCCCAGACCGACAACGTTGTTCTTTTGGGCGATGCTGCTCATCTAATGAGTCCTTTCGCAGGCGCCGGAGTCAACATGGCCATGGTAGACGCTGCTGACCTTGCTAATGTATTGGTTGAGGGACAGCCGTTAGAGACATATGAAGCCATAATGCGAGAGCGCGGGAATGAGGCCGGACAAGAATCTGCAGATAATTTGGACACGTTTTTCGGGGAGGGGGCAGCCACCAAACTCACGGCGTTGTTCCGCACCTTTGATCCAGCGTGAACAACTCACACTGACCTTCCACAATAGAGATACTCATGTCTATGTTCAGTCAAATGCTGATTCCACGACCATCGAAAAAGTGGCAAAATTTTGAGCATGGAATACTTCCAATGACCTCATAAATTAAGCCAGTACTTAGTTTGTAGCTGCCACTAATTGAATAACGTCAGCTGCAGCCTGAAGTCATGGCCGACAACACATCGACCCAAGGTGTAGCGGGACACTACGATGAACTGATATGTCAAGAATGGTTGTCAACCAAACCTCAACCCTAACCGTATCGATCTGGACGGATTATTATATGTTACTTTTCAGGTCTGCTTATGCTATCTACAGGCTTTGTTGCCGGGCGTGTATCACCAGTTGCAGCTATTAACAAGCAGTTCTGCGATTTTCTCGAGGCCCAACTGAAAGCAATGAATCATCCCACGGCAGAAATGGGGGGGAGAGATGGTACCTTGTCATCGGCATCGAAACCCGCTGGGGCAAGGCAGTCTAAATCTAGAACGCCCAGGACACGCCCAGCTGAGGGCCCGGGAAGGATAAGTGGGCAGACGATTTCGCTGCGGGTTGCGCCATCGCAAGCAATGTGGCCCGGGTATGATTCGACATCGTCGACCAGCACGGTTTGTTGCTGGAGGAAGGCGTCCGCGCACACTCCTCGGGATTTACCCGGGGTCGTATTTATGTATTGACAAGCTGGGCGGCCGTTGAAGGGACCCAAGAGTAGCTGGGAAGATGGTCGACTTTCGGTTCCGCCGCGTTGAGGAGATGGGAATAATGGGGAATCGAGATAAAAGCCTGTGGTGAGAGTTGGATATATGAGAAGTGATATGGGATTGGACACATACCACACCAGTTTACAGCGCGCTCTCCGTCTCCGAAATGGCTATGAAACGCCAGCAACGAGTTGTATATCAAGGAAGCCGCGTTGGACAGATTGGTGACCTTCAGACGCGGCGGTAAGAGTCAATTGGCTGATGACTGAATGTGTAGGCTTTACCCAGTTTCCGTGCTGGCCATCGAGGAGAGCATCCAGCTGAGAATAGACATGCGCCCAGAAGTCAGACTTGGACGTGATACTTTCGGTTGAGGGTCATAGCGCTGCCAGGAGCTTGCAGGCAACATACGATTCCGGTACGAGTGCAGAGTCAGCATGAGGCATGATGGTTGAGTGCAAAGTTGTCGGTTGATCGCCGTCAGTGACAACCGGCGGTTGCTCCTGCCCTCGTGTTCATTCATTCTCTCTCTTTCCTACCACCATGGCCCCTTATCTTGAGACAGTCAAGGTGTGTCGAAGAAAACCCATGCTCAAAGTCTATTCATCCACTACCAGTCATTTGCCGATGTCGACCTGACAGACGGTGTTAATACTCTTGAATTCCTTGAAGCATCCGACGGTCTCGTTGGTCTTTTCGGTGCCTCAGGATGCCACTGTGTCGATGAAAGTTAACTACGTTCCAGATCTCCTTGGATCTGCAGCATTCTCTGTTGTCCAGAGCGATCTCAAGGGTAACATCGCCGTCCGTTCCGCCACCCGTTTCACTATTGCTATCTGAATCATCTTATAGAAACTCAGGGCACGGTATGAGGCTGCCCCCACTCTGTCTGGTACTTTAGAGAAGCTGGTCGAGAACGAGAAGGGCGAGAAGAAGCGGACCGCAACTGAAGGTCTCCTCTGGCTGTTGCGCGGCCTCTCTTTCACCTGCAAAGCCCTTCAGAACGCACAACAGAACAAAACTGAAGAACTTTCCGCGGCGTTCACTAAATCGTACGAGGGTACACTCAAGAAATTCCACAACTTCGTTGTCAAGGGTGTTTTCGCGGTGCGTTCCCTTTCCATTCGTAAATGTCTCTACTGAATCCAATTATCTAACAGGTCGCGATGAAAGCGTGCCCCTACCGTGCCGACTTCTACGCGAAGCTCGCGGCTGATCCTGCAGGTGGCCCGGCGGCATCGCAAGACAAAGTCAATGAGGAGCTCGACAAGTGGCTTGCGGCTCTGGCCAACATCGTCACTAGGATGGAGAGTTTCTACGAAGTAGGGAACTACGCCAAAGGGCTGTAAACGTGCATGCGAGTTTTGTACAATAATTATCAAGATTTAAGCATCGTCCAATGGATTAAACTGTATATGTCCGCGATTTGGTTGTCGTTAAATATTTCCATTTCTGGATGCAGGCGTTGAAGCAAATTGTGCACGTGCCTCAGACACGTAACGCCCGTCACCCTTTCCCATCTTCACCAAGCCGCTAATAAGCAACGCCCACTGCTACGGCGTTAAGCTTCATTACTGAAAGAAAAGAAAATGGGGTCCTCAACAGTCGTCTGGTCACACCTCCCGTCCTTCTTCGGCTTGGCAACTCGTCCTTCATCCCCTAGACCTGATTTTCATCCCCTCTTTCATCACTGGAACCTATAATGCTCCAAAGCCGAAGCGTTATTCGCCAGTAGGCCTTAAACTTGCGACTCTGCGGCATACAGTTTGAATGCTACGCCTTGAACACGCGAAACATAGGAAACTTCCGCACGATTGGTTTGATTTGATGTCGTGTTTTACATTTGGAACGGTGGGCGCCAGCTTGGCAGTGCCCTTGGCCTTGAGAAACCGCGTAAAAGCCTGTAAAAGCCTTGGTTGTATTGGCCAGTGCTCCCGATCTCTGCGAGGATCAATCTTGGCGGGACGTTAACATTGGTGTTTTTTGTGAGTGATGTCATAGTATGTTGAACGGAGGAAGCGGCATCTCACGCAGTCTCGCACTGTGAATACTGCTTTGGAATAGTTCAAAACAACCTATGGCCACATCTGGAGCAACTAAGCCGATCGCAGCATACGACGAGGCGTCGAGGCCTAGGCTACGGTCAAACGACGCTCGTTACAAGTCTCTCATCCGCGAATTAAACCAACAATTGGCTTGGAACGCAAATCGACATCAGTTCTCTTGGCACGTAATTGGCTTGGAGCAACAACATCTGGGTCGTGTGCCGCGCACGGCCGTTGACCCAGCGGTAATTGCAAGCTGGTGGGACGTGCCTGCCTCCTACAACCATCTTTGCCTGGGTAATGCGCTCTTTTCGCCGCTCCGCTCTTTGAGGATCCTTTCTGACATGACCATTCCAGTGCGATGGTGTTTTTCCTTCCGCGGACAAACCGTCGACCATATGGCTATATCCAATCCGGGGAGCAAACCACGACACTACGGGCACGTCTGGGCCACGTCTGCCTATCGCTTCCTATATCACGCCCTGCTTTTCTTATCCTCGCCACTTTCACGCTTTCCCTCACCACCGTTGTGCTCACCTTCCGCAATTACTCGAGCTGGGACACACCTCTACCGCTATATGTCGTTTCAGGGCCCCATGGCACCGTATACGATCCTTTTGTCCGCCCCTCAGCAGCAGACGCGATCGCCAACACCACCGTTCGGCCGATTCAAGCACATTCACGAATACCCGACGTGTGCTTAGAGGAATGGATTGCGTATGGGAGATGGCGAAACTGGTGTGTCCGCGTGCCTCTAGAAGAGTCGCACATAGACCTCGTCTCCATCTGGGTCAATGGCTCGTAAGTCTTTCTACTCAGCGGCACAACTCAGAGCAATTAATAGTTCATCTAGCGACCATTATCACTCACAGTCTCGCGACGACCTCCTTGCAGCACTCGACTACCAGAACCAGACAAAGAGTGCGCGGTTCAGACAGCACGACGAACTGCGCTATTCTTTACGATCTGCCTTCAAGAACACGAAGAGCTGGGCACAAAGTGTTTGGCATGTCATAACTGCGGATGTTCCTGACCCAGCCGCGGAGTCGACAGCACAGAGGTTGGGTTTGGTTCCCCAATGGATGGACCTGGAAACATCTTGGACGGGAGGGCTCAATGGCGAGCCGCCAGTCTATCTTTACCACGGCATGTTGACCTATTCTGAGGATAACCTCATTCTTACCCTGTTCCCTCTGCAGATAGCCAGATATTTAGGATGACAACCGAGCCGGGACGGACACCTAGTCTTGATGAGGTAGATGAATGGCGGAGTAAGGTGCTTCCAACCTTCAATAGGTAATGTCAACAACTCGTTTGTTTTGATCACTCACTTTGGCACAGTATGGCCGTTGAGTCGCAGTTACCCCACATGGATCCAGACATTACGTCGGAAAACATGTAGGCCATTCCCACTCATGGAATCCCTGCATCCCTGACTCCAATCATAGTGTTTACCTCAATGACGACCAGTTTCTGGTGCTTCCGCTCCCGCCCTCGGCATTCCACACGCCTCTTTACGGCCCCGTCTTCCGATTTGTACCCGGCTTCATGATTGATGGCGATCCGCATGCGGGCAAAGTAGATGGAGGCGGAGAATGGCGGTCATTAGGCTTTACAACACTTATTCTAGGTGAGTTTCGCTTAGTTGCTAGCGAGGGTGAATTATATATGCGGTCAGACCAGCGATTTGGCGTCCGGCAACGCGCCTATGTTGAGCACAATGCTCGGGCTTTGTCGCTTCCCTTGATGCACGAAGCCGCGCTGGCGTTTGGCAAGAATTTCGCAGATACAGCGCGCAGTCAGTTCCGCGGGTCACATACCACGCCTGGCGAGTACGAGGTCAACACGGTATATGCAGCGACACACTATGTCGTAGAGAGGCATCGGGAGGCGTTGTTGTGGTCATGGGTAGTTGGAAAGTGGGGCGGGGAGGAGGGCGTTTTGGATGCGCGGTTGAAGGACTTCATGTGGTCAGAACTGGGGGGAAATGAAGAGGATGAGTTGAACAGAAATGCTTCTGTTCGAACGACCAACGGCGATGTCAGGCTTAATATGCGTGCTACTGGGTTGCAGCAGCCGCAATCGGAGCACCCTGAAAAACGAGCCAATACCACTTACATCTTCGGTAGGTTACGATGCCGCGGGTTTATTCTTTGCTGATGAATTATTAGTATCGATGGACGGCTTTGCATCGAATTACGCTTCTCGGCCAGCAGAGTTTGCTATGCAGCGCAGTGACTGCATTGGTCAGATTGAAGAGCGGGCTTGGGATGTTTTCAGAAGACTTGCAGCCGAGAAGACACATTGTGGTGATGCAGGTGAGCATGCTTCCTCAAATTAGCTTTAGAACCTTATTTTATCTTCAGTCATCCAAGCGCTGACCGACCGTTCTCCTCGCGGGCTCGATATCTTCCTACCACCTCGCACGTCCATGGCACCCGTCTCCCTTCCCGCAATTCTGCCGCTTGTTATTCCCCATGATCCACCGCCACTGCCCACAAACCCGCGCATCTTTGCTGTGCGCCTCATCCATCGCTACTCCTATGCCATCGGTACACTTTCGACGCAGTTCTTTGGCGTCGAGTCCGCCGAGCAAGCGCGGCTATATTTCAGCTGGTTGCCCCGTGACCTAGCGCTGCTTTGTGTGAACGACGACCTGGCCGACGACGTCGAGAACATCACACAGGGAGATGCGGCCCTAAGCGAGTTCTTTGAAGGGCGGTGGCCGGTGCCGCTGGATTATGAACGGAAGCTGGAGGAGGAAAAGTAATTAATTATTATATAGATAGATGATATCCTACTGTACACGCGACACACATATACGCGCACTGCTTTGTTTGTATTCCTGTACTTGCGGACAATGTTAGCATGGTTGGTTAGGACCCCATCTGTGCCAAGTTAAATCCAGCTCAATCATTCAAAATGTCTCCTACTCGTGTGGTCTGGAGCGTTGGTTGTGTTCTGGCATGGCTGGAATGGGTTAGCTGAGGAAGGGCAGGTTGCGTGGTGCTAACAGGTTGGCACATAGAAAGTAGGGAGCGGCGCCACAGGCATCTGTAGCGCCGAATCTGCAAAGTTGAAGACAAAATCAAAATCGGCATAGGAGAAGGCGGAAGCCGGAGCTGTTGCGGACTCGGTCCAGTCCATTGTGAAGGGCGGATACTCGGTAAGAGAACTGCCGAGCTGGGCAGTAGAAAGCGGCAGTGAGGTTAAATCAAAAGCGCTCAAATCGAGGTCGAAGTCTGAAATAACTGGGTCTTGTTGCAGCGCTGCTCTGACACGACGCGAACCTGCTTGTACTCGAGGACCCCCAGGCGACGAGTCCTCTGTAGCAGGCTCATTTTCTGTGTCTCTGACTCGTTTGAGGGTCTTTGTGCCTTCGATCGCCCAAGAGTCAGATAGAATGTGATCACTCATCGCCAACACCATATCACTGTCATACCATCAGACAATCAAAAATTCATCTTGAACAAAAGTCACCAAAATCGCCCCGCTTGCTGCCATCTGGGTTGTTTCATGAGACGCGGCAAGGTAGAAAGGGTAGGTGATACGAACCTTTTTTCATGCAACTGAAAGGCGTTCATACATGTTTTCAGATCAGCAATTGCCCGGGCGGGGTCTGCCGTTGCCCAACTTCGTTGCGCCCCCCAGACGTTAACAAGTAACACAAGTGCCGAGTCCATTAGTGACGCCAAGACTTGTGGATGGTCCAGAAGATACCCTCGTTTCAACATATTGTCTATTAAACGGGTACATGCCCGTGCGGCATTCGAGCAAATGGTTAGGGAGGGAAAGTTCTAGGGGGACACTATCGGTGAACACTTCTGCAATGGTATCGGAGCTTACGGATAGCAATGGAGTGTGGTTTGACGGAGAAGAGATAAAATTACGGTGAATTTGAATCTGAACTAAAGTGCCCGTGAGTACGGAGGCAACCCGATAGTAAAGCACACACTGTGATAGTATGTCGCGTACAAACACGCTGATTGCTTTGCAAAGACCTCATTTGTTCGTTGTGGGTCCCAGCGCACTAATCAGATAAGCAATGCAGATCTCTGAATTGAGATATGATTGACACACAATGATCCGGAATGGAATCAAGCCATTCATTCAAGTTGGAACTGACCGCTAAAATTAGTTTCGTTCGCCAAACAGGAACTGGATACGAACTCCAACTCGGCGACGGTTGCTTGACCCCACCCCACGTTCAAGCTTGTACGTTTGAGGGAGTACTAGAAGAATATCGAACAAGAAAAATCGAGAAATGGTGGTACCTACCAACGTCGCTTGCGCTTTGGCTAGGATCCGATGGAGCTTCAAGGTTGATGTGAGATACGCCATAATGGATGGCTTGCCCTCAGGCTGCTTGAACCGAAGCTCTGGGTCTGGATGCTCCCAGTACTCATCGTCACATTCGATAGGATATTCCACATCGTGACTAAAATGACAGGTCAAAGTTATATGTCAAATTAGGGAGGAACGTACTCGTCGTCCCGTGTCGCACGTGGACGGCCCAAGAATGCACTGGTGTAGATGTCACCGACGATGAAAGCCCAGAAAACGCGTTTGTAGAGTTCATCCTCGGCGTTCGGCTCTTGGTTTGGCCGCGGCCGATGCTTCCCCATCTCTTGAAGATTGCGCAGGCCAAGAGAGACGAGCGTCCATGATGAGGATGGGGTTCCGGTGCCTTGCATGTAGAGTATGGTGAGCTGATAGTTCCTTTTTAGCCTGGTAGAGAGACTGGCAATAACCCACTGACCATTACTCGTTGCAGTTCATATAGCGACATTTTGAAATAGAACTCTTTTTGTTCCGGATATCGAATCTGCTCCATCCACTCCCAGCCAGCGCTCAACATCGAATTTGTTCCGGGGAGTATGACGCGCGGATCGTCAGAGTGGCTATCACGTCGAATGAGGAATAGGGTCAAAGTCGTGGGGAAGAGATTACCGAGCAGCCAGTGCGCACACAGCCAGTACGACGGCGCCAAACGCATTATCAGCCAAGTGCTTTCCGTCCGCAACATCTCGTCTGAACGAAGGTTGATGTAATAAAGGGAGGGATATGTAAAACTCGTTGAAGTAGACATTGATCAAGTCGTCCATTAAGTCCTTGGGTGGAAATCTATAAATGCGTGGCGGATCTCGGTCGGGTTTCTCCCACTTGTCTGCAGGTTAAAACCACAATTCATGAATCTAGAATCTAGACACACCGGTGATCCCCAGAATTCTAGCCGACGACCACTTGTGCGGTTGTCTCCTTGATAAGCCGTGGTGGTTCCCTTAGCATAGTGCTCGCGTTTCAAGTCTTCCGCTGTTTGTAAGAGATAGTGTCCACTGGAACGGCCAAAATAATGTGGCCGACCGCCCATTATCTTGAGGTCCTGAAAGTCGGGAATTAAAGCATCAACATCAGTGCGAGGGTCGATATCTCCTGTTGATGATGTAGAGCCACTAGACGGCGATGAAATAGAAACTGAAGGCTCTCGGGAACTTGTTGCTAGCATCTCCCTATAGTTCGAAATTTGCTCCTCCAGACCCCTCGAATACCGCGCAACGTCGATGAGCACGCCACGAAGCTCTTGTGAGCCTATATATGTGGTAGAATGATTGATGATAGCGTCTACGTGTTCGGCCGGTGTCTTCCCATTTGGATCCTGCGAGAAACTGAGTCAGCCGCTACCATTATAGCACTTTATGATTACTGGTCTACAGAATGTTTAGCAAGATACTATACTTAAACTGACTAAGACTTACGTCGGGATATTTTCCGTATTGGAAGCCTGAACTATTGAGTGCACTTGACATCCCGACCAAACACCAATGTTACCTTGGCATCTGTGCAAGGCGCATTGAAAGCGACACAATTCGAGCAGACGTTGTTGGGCCGTTTTGCCCGGTCACCTTGTCATAGATGAGCACACTGGCCTCGAAGAAAACTGGCATGACTCACAACGAACTGCAATCGCCTTCGATTCACCGTGACAGGATTCAGAGTTTACTCACTCTTTCTTTGTCGACATTCCGCACACGCACCACGTAGTCTTCGACGTTTGGAACCAGGCAGAGGGATGTCGGGCTCGTCTCCTGGACCACGTATAGGCAGATAAAGTAAACCCGTTCCGGGGATTGGGACTTTGTTCATCGAAGTTTGGTCGAAGTATTGATCACCAAGTGGCTGTGTTGCTGGATCGACCGCGTGACACGGCTTGGATGTGACGAACACCATCTTTTCTCCCCAATAATGCGCATTGCGAGAGACGTTGACCTCGCGTGGCCTCTCATGGCCACTATCTCTCGAAAACATACTTGAAACTCCCCCAAGCCATTTTGAAAACTAGTGGGTATTTTTTTTCTGATTGACGCCGCGAAGCTGTGTTCTCACTAAAATGTCAAGTGGTGGTAACAACCTATCCGCGGTCTTTGGCCACCACCTTCCACTACCATGGACCCAATTTCCGCAACCACAACGCTTATTACTCTAGCAAGCTTCATGAAGGAGCTTGTGGAGATTGGCCATGCTATTGCGGCCTCAATCGAAAAGGTCAGTGCCGTTTCTGGACCGAGGTGGAAATGAAAGCTGTGGTCTAGGTCAACGAAAATCGGAGGCAAATACGCGATCTCACACACGAAATACTCCATACTCTTTCCGACCTTGCGAACCTCACCCGGGGTAAGCAAGAGTTCCAAACACCGGCTTTATTGAGTGCGCTAGGTAATCTCAAGGCGTAAGTTCATATTGTCCTCAGCTACTCGCTTTTCTTAGCCTATTTGAAGTGATATGCTCCATGTCCTCGAAATCTGTCGATACATTTCACCAGTCGAAAGTAAACCTGGGTTCCGGGGACTGAGGTCGCATGTGAAGGAGTGGGTCAAACGAGATGATATCGAAACAGAAATCCGTAGGCTGAAGGAGCATACCAACAAATGCTTCGTCACCTTTACGGTATGTTTTATAATATTAGGCGGCAGAGAGACCCATGATGTTTCAAGGCATTTTCGTCCGCCCGAGTAGAGCATGCCACAGCTCATCTTGTTGATGCGTTGAGCGAAACGCAAGACACGACCCTGCGGATAGAACAACAACTCATCGTCAACAATGTTGAAGGCCAGGTCAAGCTCCGCAGACTGGAAAGTATGATGGCGAGGATCCTCGTTGAAACACCATTCGGGCAGGGTGTTCTTGAGCGTACCATTCAAGTTATCGCTCTGGTATGATTCCACCTCGATTCTCTGCTATCCTTTTCTCTAATATTCGTGCCTTCAGGATCCCGTCCATGAGAGTCTCGAGGCCCAGTATCTTTCCGCTCAATCATTACGCCTCCTTCCGCTGGTTCAGACCGCCGTCAATCGCGGAAGACCTATCCTCGATGCATCGTTATGGCATTCTGTAATGGGAGCCCATCCCATCCAGGCAACCACCTCCGACCATGTGCTCTACACAATCCTCGGCGTTATTCTCCAACTTCAGAGCGATACCTGGGATATGGGCGTCATGAATGATTGCATTCTTCGTCTAGGCAGCAGACTCCGCCGACTTGGAATGAATTCCGAGTCCGTTGCTTGGGAGCTGTTTGCTTGCCAGAGTTTGCATCGAGTAGAGGACGAACATGTGGCCGTTGTTGCGCCTCGGTTGGCTCATGCCTACTTTCGGCTTTCTCAAGCATATCGAGAGCAACTGCAATTCCCAGAAGCAGCGCGTGCGACGCAACAGTCGGTAGAGTTGTGGCGTCACAACCTGGACACCATCGATCCGTTTAACAACCAGACTTGGTTTTTCGATGCTCTGACACTCCATATGACCAACCTACGCGACACCAACCAGGACGAGCTCATTTTACCTATTGGAGAGGAATTCGTTCGGGCCGCCCGACAACAGCTTGGTCATACTCTGAAACAATTCTCCACCAACGATCGCGCTTGGACCTACGAAGACAAGTCACTTGCCCGACAATGCTGTGACGCGTTTTTTCAATATGCCGATAGCCTCGCTTCCGCCAAGTGTCCATTCGATGCTTGTGAGATTATACTAGAGGGCTTTGAGGTTTTTCTACAGCTGCCTCGTCACATTACACGCGGCGTTCGTACGGGCCCACCCATAGATCGGCTTCTTGATCAGCTCTCTGTGTTGAGTGAGACGAACAAGTTTAGTCCCCACCTGCTGTCCAAAAGCGTCAATACCTTTCGCGCACTTTGCAAACATTCCGCTAGCACATTTTCACTCCAATTTCTCCGCCTCTTGCATGCTCAAGTCTACACAAGTGTGGCCGAACCATCTCCAGACTCTTCGCTGCCGTACCTAAGAGCAATCTTGGAACCCACACGGGAAAATCCCATACCATCCATATTGTTTGACAACAAATCGATCTACTTACCCTTGGGAGAGGTCGTTGAAGATGCAATATTCGCATTTTACACGCGTCCAAACAAGGCCGCGTTTGTCCTCATCCATAATCTCTTCCTCGCTCACCCTCAAGTTGCAATCCCTGCATTCCGCCATATCATACGACAAATCAATTCGCTGTCCAGCCGTGATCCAGATGTTGTTGACTGGGTCCTGTATTCGCTCGACATTTTCATCAATGACCCTATCAATCCGTCTGAGCGGCGGGAGCTGCTTGAACTCATGAAAATGGTGTGGTCGTTCTATACCCCCCAACGCGAAAACATTTCCCTGGGGAATTGCAGTGAATCGTGGCAGCATGGACTTTATATTGATACAGCCGGCATATTCAACCGTTTCATGGATGCACTCCCGACGGTTACTGACTGGGATGAGGCACCTTCTTTTGCCCTCATTGTTAAAGCCGCGACTTTATGGGATGCAGGTCGTATTCAAGAAACTCTTGTGACCCTCACAGAGATCGAACAATGTGTTGCGTTGCCGAGCCAAGTCCTCCTTGAGGAGCAGCGAGCCCATGATTGGTACTCGTTATACTGTCGGATAAGATGCGAGGCACTGGGGCGTACTAAGCAGGTGCACGATGCTCTGTCGTTCCTGAACACCATCCTCTCGGATCAAGTCGCTCAACCGGCGTGGGCCGGTACCGAGTCTCAAAACGATCTCCATTACATCGTGGTTTACTTGGAGCGCCTGGCATTGAAGCGGGGAATGGGAGAGCTCCGTGCAGCTCTCACTGGTGTCGAGTCTGTTGTTCAAGTATGTCGACTCGCCCCGGTTGCGGATGACATCGGCAACGGCTATCGTCTTTGCGCTTTAGTGCATGCCCTTGTCGCGCTCGGGAAATGTCTCGATTGTTTTGGCCGAAACACAGAGGCTTTGACGGCTTGCGAAGAGGCCGTGGAAATCTGTCACGGAACCGACCTCAAAACATGGGATTCCATTATGCGGACGCGATGCAAGAAAGAAGTTAGCCCTCTTGCATACGAAGCGCTATCCTCTCAACTTGCGAAAGCAAATCGCTTCGAGGCTCTATTTTACGCCCAGGATGCGGTCACAGCATACCGAGAACTGGCCGCCCTATCTCCCGGATACCTGCCCATTCTTGCCCAATCTCTCTTGAATTTGGCTCGAATTCTGGCGGAGGATGATGGCATCGTCGACAGCGTTGTCACCTGTGCTGCCGCTGTGGAGATTTTGCGCGAGACTTCCTCCAAAGAAGAGTCTCTCCTTCCTTTCCTGACGAGCGCTATGGATCAACTGGCCCAACATCGCGCACAAGTCCAACAAATAGCGCCTTCAGACAGCGAAACTTTGGCATCGCAGCCTATCGAATCAGACATCTCATGTGGAGAGAGTGACACTTCAACTTTGGTCGGCTGCGAGGGCGTGCTGAAGGCTGATTCACAATTGCCCGACTCTACCACACCGGTGTCACTGGTCTTAATCGACGCTGGAGAGGTTGTTAACGTTGTTGATAAGAGCCAGGTGGACAAACCTAACCTGTCAATTTCCGAACCTCCCTCTTCAAGTCAGTCGGAGCCGACCGACGAACCTATACACGATGATGTCGTCGATCCCAGACCAAAAACATGGGTAGAGCAGACTCAAGCCCTTCAAATGAAGTCATGGCGTGTCGAAGCACTGTGGTGGGCGTTGTTAGGTGGGCTTGGTGGACTGGTTATTGTTTTGAGTCTTTGCCTTGCGGTGATACTACAGCGCACTCACGAAATTCCTTTCCGCTCACTGCATGCATAATACTATACCCATGTGGAATTGCATTGCACGTACATCATATTGTCAGTCATCACACCAACTCATTTGACACGAAATTCTCTACGCGGTGAATCGAGCTCGGTTAACTGGGAATCGAACTCACGAATGCTGGGACGCATTTTCCGAGCAACTTGCTCTCTTGTTATAATTGAAGGGTCATTTTTGACGAGTCGGCTAGCCTCGATAAGCCGTCAGGAAGACCAAGGAGACTAGAGTCGTGGCGGAAGCTGAGAATCAAGGGATTGGTTCTCTGATACAGACTGCAGGCAGCTTAATCACTTTTTCTTGGAAAAGTCAAGAGAGTCAATCGGCGGCGCTCGATGCTTGGTTGTCTTCCGACTTAGACATGTCGCGGCACGGCGTCACCATCATTGACGTCCTCAACAGCAACCCATTGGAAGACGCATACTATCATCTACTCGGTGTACTTGGGACCATTGTTCAACGAAGTCGTAATGCCGTCATCATCTAATTTAGGGGCTTCTATAAAGACTGGTGACTGAAAACGGCTGCTCCTCCGAACACTGGCAGGCGTTCCCAAAATCTCTGGTTGGCGACAGCTGATCCTGGGCCGAGTGTCGCCAATAACTTAACCCACACTTCTCAGTGGGGAATCGTTGCGATCATGATAGCTGCTTCATAGCTCGGTCCTCCGAAGGAAGTGGAATCCAGGCCAGGCATTGAAATCTTGCCAAAACTGTCAGGAGAAAGCCTTGTTCATTGTCAATGATATCGCACGACTCCCGGTCAGAAGACTTCGTTCTCGATGAATATTTAAGCATTGATATTAGCTTCAACCTGAGCGGACAATCTCCATGACCTTTCGCTCGTTTGCCCTTGTTGGCAGCGGCACGATTGGTGCTCCCATCGTCCGAGCACTGGCGTCCAGAAACGTCTCCCTCGTAGTCCTCTCCAGATCAATCTCGACTTTTAGTGTTCTTCAACTCGAAAGCTTGCCTGCAAATGTGCAGATGGAGAAAGTCGATTTTACGGACTCGTTGGCGGTATCGAGGGTCCTCAAGGAGCATAGGGTCGAAGTTGTAGTGTCGACCGTGACGACTGAGGCAGTGAATTCGCAAAGGCCACTCGCAGATGCGGCGAAGGCAGCTGGAGCACGCTTGTTTGTTCCATCGGAGTTCGGGTTCCCGACTGACGACCCAAATGCGAAGGGAATGTGGGGCTACAAAAGAGACCTGATAGGCGAGGACGATATAAATGGGTTAATCCCAGGGTTAACATACATCAACAGGGCATCTTGAGCAAATCGGCCTTCCGTATGTGCGGATATTTGTACGTCGCAAACCGTCCAAAAATACTTGCACTGATGTGGTTCATAGGTTGGTCTCTTCATAGAGTTCCTTCCCTGGGTGGTCAACTATCCCGACACAGTCCAACTCGTCGGAGCTGGCGATGGTTCTGTCTCCGTAACCTCCATCGAAGACACCAGCGGGTTTCTGGCCTACATTTTAACGACTTTGCCTCCCTCTGAGCTTGAAAACCGCACGTTCAGGCTCCAGGGCGATCTTATAAGCCTGAAAGCCTTTGCCGCGACCCTGGACACAAAGATTGAATATGTCGACGAAATCAAGGGAGTCGATGGCGACCACAAGACACTTTTGCATAAGGTATTTGCGATGGGGTTTGGCAGTGTGGGTTGGAATGCAGAAACAATGACAGAGAGGTCAGGGAGTGAGGCTGCTGGGAGCGGGAATGCGTTTTGGCCGGGGCATACGTGGTTGACAGTCAAAGAGGTCTGGAGCAACAACTGACTTGTACAATCGTTTGAGTTTTGATAGCGATGCATTCATTGATATAGAATTAGCCAAATTGGTCGTTAGACGATGAGCGCAGTAGTCAAGCAAGAGCCCGCAGTCACACTTCTTGCTTCCGGCCCACTCGCTCACCTTCATCGTCCACTGATAAATATGGCCACCCCAGAAACTACACCCAAGACTGAAGATGCGGTAGCTGCTAAACCCGACCAGCCAACAGCAGCAACAGATTCGGAGGCACATCCGGTTGATACACCTTCGACCACAACTCCCACTGCGGAACCGACGACAGCCAGCATCGGTGCTACGACCATGACCGAAAGCAATGCGACGCCTTCCCCAGAACCAACAGCATCTCAGCCAGAAGCCGTCACTGAGCCTCCCAGACAACGGGAACTCGTTGTTGATGAAAGACTCGGAGGGTTGCGTGCAATGTTCCCCGATTTTGACGACTCTTTATTGTGCGCTAGTCCTTGATACTATAACGATAAGATACTGAAGCCCTCCACAAAGGCAATCTGTGCTGGACTCGGTCAACGGAAACACAGACCGAGCAATCGACGCGCTGTTGGGGATGAGCGACCCTGATTACCAGTCTGAGCAACCTCAAGCGCCTCCGCCAATGCCGACTCAGGCGAGTGGCTTCTAAGTGATTGCGGTCAAAGTCGTCTTATAAAATTCTAGTCCCATGAAGAGTTGGATGCGCAACTCGCTAGATCTTTGGCCATGGAAGATGAACGAGAGCGTTCTGCTTGGCCACCGCAACACCAACAACAAGGGCGTCCGGAGCCTCCCAGGAGACCTTCTGACGGCCAAGAAAGGGACACGATGCAGGAAATCACGCAGCAGTTCAACAAGATTGCGGAGAGTGAGAAGATTTATTCCCGCTGCATCACCTCAACCAATAACATGGTATCTAGGCGGTCGGCGCACGTTTGGGACCTTTTTCAATAAGGTCAAGGCTAAGATTCAAGAGCTTGACCAACCAGGCGACTCAAATGTCGGCTACGGAAACCCCAACGAGAATCCGTATATGCATCAAGTCCCAGCGCCAGGAGCGGGAGCTGGTCGACACGCGCAGCAGGCGTATTATCAACAACAACGTCAAGCGCAAGAACAGGCGACAATGCCGGCTTATTACGACCCGAATGCAACCTCCACCGACCATGCACCCAATGCTGGTTACGATACTGAGCCAGTCTCAATGCCAGCTCCATCGGGTGCGACTCCCACCCCGCCTTCCACCAACCCTGGAGCCCCGCCCATCGACGCTGGCTAGTTTTTTCTCTATTATTCTATACCATGGATTGATTCCAGCTTTAGGTAAACTCGGAATGTTGCCCAAACGTCCTGTCTCGCTGCTTCGAACAAATCCGCCCCCTCCTGGCACTTCTAGCGGTGCTCCTCCCAGTAGCGACGATGACGAGTTGGAGTACGCAGAGAATCCGTTTGAGGACAAGGGGAGGAAGTAAAGCTGGAGTTTCGGTCTTTATCATGAATGGGACAATAACGATTAACGAACAAAGTATCTGGTTGTAACTTATGTAGAATCTAGGCTACTGTACGGAGTATTACAATTTTTTGCCTTGAGCAGATCAGTCATCCCCAAAAGGCAATTCGGCTTTTGATTTTTTACAGGCACGATGCCCTCAACGCAGCATCACCATCGGGCGACTCTCAAGCAAGTGAGTCGTCTACAGCTGCCTATACTGCGATACAGAACACGAGAGTAGCAAAACAAGTCGTTCAAATCGCGCCACTCCACAAAAGGCGCCTTGAAGGAGGCCGCAAAAGGTTTCACCTCGTGTTTTTTTTCAAGATTCTGGATGAAACTAACAAGTACATCCAGGGAAAGTCCCCCGCAAATCGCCAAAAGCCAGCAATCCGAGCGCGAGTACTGCGCAGACACGGCTCAACCGACGAAACAACGCTAAACAAGCCCAAGCGATCAAACGACAGTCTTTAGTTTCCTCCACGCGTCTTTTCAATGGCGTCGATGGCGCCCCCAGGATAGTAGCCGTTATCCCCTTGACAGAAGACGTCGATGCCCGCGTGGCCGTGGCCGCGCTGGCTGAATCGGTGGATGCCTCGATGGAGGGGTATGATGGGAGATTGTGGAGGTTGAAGTGAGTTATCGTTGGTTTTTCCATTTACATTTGACGAACGGACACAGGGCGGAGCGCTTCAAAACTTCCCTCCAGCTGATTAGTGTCCCATACAGACAAATCTACGCTGCCCTCGATGCCTGCAAAGTAGCAGACTACGTCGTTTTCGTCCTCTCCTCTTCTGTGGAGGTCGATCCGTGGGGGGACACACTACTGCGAACTCTCCAAGCCCAAGGCTTGCCCTCTGTCGTCACAGTTCTTGCCCCAACAGACTCCCTCGACACAAAATCACGCCCTCCCGTACTTAAATCCTTACTTTCCTTCATCCAATACTTCGTGCCGACTCAAACACGGGTATTCGACCTCCATGTGCCTGCAGACCGACTAAACGCCCTTCGCGCGGTCGCAGAAGGCAAACCGGGTGACGTCCGATGGCGCGAAGGACGAGCGTGGTTAGTCGGCGAGGAGGTCGAATGGGAAGACGGAGTTTTGAAGGTCACCGGTGTTTCGCGCGGCGCTGCCTTGTCTTCAAAACGACTGATTCATATACCGAACTACGGAGACTTCCAGATCGCGAAGGTATGTCTGTCCGTTAAGCTTCGTTCTATCTTTGGACCAATTCGATTTAGATACTGAGTGCCCCGATAAATAGACCAGGCAAGATGGAGGTTGAGCCAGCATTTTTGACGGAGGCTGGTGACGACGGGGACTCGTTGGTGTCTACAAACGATCCAGACGACATGGCCAACGAGCAAACGTGGCCAACAGAAGAAGAAATGCAAGGCACACTTGCCACGAACGAACCGGCTATTCCGGACGCCAAGCAGGGAACTACTCCAAAAGCTGTTCGGCGGGTACCGAAAGGCATGAGCGAATACCAAGCGGCATGGATTGTGGATGAAAGTGATGATGAAGAAGGCGGTTCTGGGAGCGAAGCCGACGACCAGGATATGGGTGATGACGTAGTGGAAGAGGAGGAGGAGATGGAGGAGCTGCCTGTGGATGAAGATCACGAGATGGAGACTGACAGCCGCCGAAGTGTGGCTTTTCAAGATCTTGACAATGAAGAAGAAGCCAAGCAGTATGGGTTTTATTTTATATATATTGAAATGACGTCGTTGACTGCTGACAGACTCCAGTCATGGCGCAACCGCAAACGCGAAGAAGAGGACGATCTTATGTTCCCTGATGAACTGGACACGCCAGACGATGTGCCTGCGAGAACGCGCTTTCAACGGTATCGTGGCCTACGTTCTTTTCGAACAAGTCCATGGGACCCTTTTGAAAATCTCCCGCGCGACTATGCACGCATATTCCAATTTGAGGATTATAAACGTACCGAGCGTAACGTGCGTCGACGAGCAGAAGAGGAAGCTAGTGTTGTGGAGGTCAGTGATGATGTCGTTTCGCTTCTAGCGCTCATTAAGTTCTTTTCACAGCCCGGGACCAGAGTCACAGTCTATCTACGGGGAGTGCCACAGGCCGCGGCAAACACGACAGCGAAATCCCCATTACTGCTGTTTGCGCTCCTACAACACGAGCACAAGGTCTCTGTTCTCAACTTCACGCTCCAGCGAAATACGGAATATGACGGGTCGGTTAGATCCAAGGTAAAGATTCTTGTTTCGAGTTGAATGCTTGACTGAAATGAAAGCCGTAAAGGATCCCCTCGTTTTATGTATTGGCCCGAGGCGCTTGCGTGTCAATCCAATATACAGCCAACACACTCGAGGCGGCGGCAAAGGTGCCAACAACGTCCACAAGTTCGAGCGCTACTTGCGCCATGGCCAAACGAGCGTTGCGACCATTTATGGGCCTGTCGTGTTTGGCAAGCAGCCCAGTGTGTGGCTCAGGGAGACCGAGGATCCACAAGGTTTGTTTGATATCACAATCCTTTTTTTCAAGTTTTCACAGTTTGCAGCCCCACATCTCGTGGCGATGGGGACATTCTTGAACCCAGACACGACGCGGGTGATTGCGAAGCGCATCATCTTAACGGGCCATCCATTCAAGGTTCACAAAAAAACTGCGACAGTGCGTTACATGTTCTTCAACGCCGGTAAGCCTCTTGTTTTTCCTTACAGCAGTCTTACTAACCCGAGCTGCAAAGACGACATCGCATACTTCAAGCCAATCCAGCTACACACCAAGCACGGGCGAACAGGACACATTCGCGAATCCCTTGGGACCCATGGCTATCTCAAGGCGCATTTCGACGGGCCCATCAACCAAATGGACACCGTTTGCATGTCGCTCTACAAACGTGTTTTCCCAAAATGGCCCCAGCTGTACAAGCCCGCAAGTCAGAATGCCGACGCTATGGAGGAGTAGCGCCATACTTTTTTTTTACTGCATTCGACTTCTCTTCTGTATCATAGAGAATGCCAAATGGTCGGCGTGTACGGAAGGCTTCAATTGAATGTCATGTCGACCTCCTCCACAATAGCGTCCGAACTCCACTTGTCAGAAAAAGTGGAGCATTTGGCTTTCGGTTATGCTCGTGATCGCATTTGCACCATGGTTCGAGCGTTGATTAACGTTTAGAAAAAGAGGGAGCTACGCTAGGACATTCGGCCATAGATTCCTGAGTGATAATTCAACCATCATGCAGCAAGTCAGGCAGCTACAAGGAAACTAATGGCAACTAAAAGAATGCCTCTGAGGATTTGCCGAAATCATTGTGGAGTCGGTCGGGCGGTCTAGACCTGCGAGAAGCCGAACCCACTCATATTTTAGCATCCGAGAGGCTTATCGCGCATCGCTCGACGCAAAGACTGCCTGCCAGCGCAGGGCAAAGACCTTGTATGGATATCAGAGAAGAGGAGGTATCGAGGCAGAGTATGGCTACAGGGATGGATGTACAAAAAGGGTCGATGACGATGTTTCTACATTGGCCAAAAAAGACAACACAGCCCGGACACAGCGTCCGCAGTTTCGTCTGGTGAGCGCCGCGGCAAAAAAAGCAAACGAAACGCGACAACTGTCGCTGCCCGGGGAGGAGTATGAGCAAGGGTGCATAGGAAAGGATAGGCCAATTACTCACAACGAAGGGCAACAAGACCAGTTATGCCTTTTGCCGTTGCGTTGTTGGAACCGGTTGTTGCTGGCCTAAAGCGGGCCTGTCAGGCGGCGAGCGATAGGGACGTGCTTGAAGGCGAACAGACCTTTCCGGCCAGGTAAAGAGCCATCGCGCGCTGCGTGGAAGGCAGGTAGCTTGGCGGCAGCAGCTTTGTGGCTATCGAGGTTCTTGCGAGCCTGCGAGAACTGGCGCATAGTGTACTCTGCGAGCTCGCGAGAGTAACGTTCACGTTCAGCGGCAGTGAGAGGCATAGAGTATTAGAAGGTCGATGTGTGAGTTGGGGTAAGTGAAGATGGGCAGGGAGGACGAGAGAGGAGAGTATGAAAAGCAAGTTTGTGAGAGAGGAGGCTTGTTGTCTGCGGAGTCGAGTGAGGAATGAGACGCGAATTGGTCGTCTGCATTTATACTTGGGGCAGTGGATCATCTTGATAGGACATCAATTGCGACGTCATGACCGTGACGGACGTGACCTGCTGCTGGAATGAGGCTGCGGCTCCAAAAAGGTCATCTTCGGTGAAGCAGGTTCGCACTCCATGACATAACGGGCTGGACGATCCCGGATGCCCACGACCATATCTCTTCTAACATGCCGTCAAGACCGCCCCGCTCGTCCCAGGATGGTTCTCGCTCTGGTTTTTCAATGGCAATCCACCGTAAAACGTCCTTAACAGTCACAAGGCCAGCGAGCACGCCATGGTCTTCGACGAGAATAACGCGTGGCCTAGAAGCAATTTAGCTCGGGCGGATGAGGGACTACACTAAGGAATCACCCACCCCATCCGTTTGAATAGCTGCATGACAATTTCTAGTGGAAGCTGGGGCGACACTGTCAATGGAGTCTGTGTGTTTTGTTGTGAGAAGGCGTTGCGACGGTTGAGATAAGAACACCAGCCTGATTAACCCATGGCCAGAATTTGATTTGTTGTCCCAGCGTCGTGTTCTCTAGCAGTTCGTGCGCGAAATCTTCTTCAATGCCGGCGGCAAGACCGCCACCGAGATCGAAATCTTCTCCATCTTCTTCCGTAGCTTCCGGCTTGAAAGAACACAATGTGTCAGGCTCAATATCTTGTGTCTTCCGCGTTCGTTCTGGATATGTCCAAGTCAGCATTGTTTCGTTTACACTGTGAAGAAAGCCAACCTAGCACATATTGCAGTTCAGTTCGACCAATATATCCTCCCAACATTCGTGAGCCATCCTCCGCTACGAGAGGGAAGCCTTTGAAATTAGTTGCAGCAAGGGCAGCCTCTAGATTCTGAGGTCAAGACGATGTGCTTAGGCAAGTAGTTTCCACTGACCCACGTCCTTGACTCTCATGCCTGATTCGTTAAGCGTGTACAGATCCTTCCTCATTACGGCCGACACTGAGAGAAAAAAACTTGAGCACCCTTGATATTTTTTTCTTCCTGACCTACCAGACACGTTGTAAGCGTGGTCCTCCTTCTCGAGGAACGGGAAGCCATTGAATCGGATCATTTCGTCCGCGATTCCATTCGTACCCAGGAAATCACCGACAGCTTTGGTAACCAGAAGCACGATCTAAATACAAATTTCCTTGAGTGCTGTGTGGCGAATCGAAACTTGGCAACGCACCATCGTTGGAAGGATGTATGTCAGAGCACCTGTAAGCTCAAACATAATGACCACAACAGTCACCGTTATCCGCATCACACCACTACAACATCAGGTCAGAACCCTGTCACCTTAACTTTGGCGCTCTACCTCAGTGATGCAGCAGCCCCAAGAAACGCATAGGTACCCGGAGTGATGCAGGGTACATCCGGCACACACACCGCAAATATACCAGATGTCGGGTACGCTCTAGAAATTAGTCAGCACCATCGTGGAAAGAAGCTGAAAGAGACTGACTGGTACATCGCCTTGACCATGATTCCGATCATCCGACCAAAAGTTGCGCCAATAGCCATTGAAGGTACGAATATTCCAGCGGGGACCTTGCAGCCATAAGACACGACAACGAGTCCAATTCGGATAAAAGTGGCCAGCAGTAGGGAGTTGGCTATGCGCCACTGAGACGAAGTTCTGGCCGGCGGTCAGTTCCGAAAAAATAAAAATAAATCGTCTTACTGGCAAACATTATTGACATTGCCCCCATTAGTGCACTCATGGAATAGAATGGACATCATTTCCGTCATATCCATGCGGAGAAATTGGTTGGAATAACCAATCATGGCGGTCAATGACGCCAGCAAAACAGCTTCGGCCACACCATGATTAACAAGGTGCTTCCGTCGAAAAGCCGCAACCTGGAGGTTAAACTTGACGACAAATGCACCATAAAGACCCTGATCACAAAGGTTAAGTTGCGCAATATAGGACAACATGGTACTTACACCAAAAATCCCCAGTACAATGAAGAACATGATCTCAAAGAAATGCCAGTCGCGGTCATATGTAACTTGGAACAATACAAGTTTTCCAGTTCTGAACGGATTCATGGCCTAAAAATGTCAGAGAATAAGCCGTTGATAAGATTATAACACACGGAAAGCGTGAAGGTCGCCATAAGTGCACAAAAAAAGCTTCGCCACATCGTCTTGATGCTAAAGGTCGAGCTCATTTCCTTTCATTGTATTGATAAAACAGCAACGACGCGTCAAATGAACGCACCTCTATCGAGAAGAGTACCCCTCCTATGGGCGAACCGAAGGCAACGGCAACTCCAGCCGCGCTGGCGGCGGTAATGACTTCACGCATTTTGCCTAATTCCCGTAAGCATGGTTTTTAGGCTGTCGGAAGTGGCTCACCTTGACTCCGCCTGAATTTCACAAACATTCCAGCAACCAAAGAGCCAATGCAACAGGCAACATGCACCGAAGGTCCCTCCTTGCCCACGGACAACCCGGATGCGATTACAAGTGGCTAATCAGTCAGTTAGAGGTGCTGCTCGATAATGGTACCAAGAACATACCAGAGCTATGCTCTTTACGAAGAACGTCATAAAACCCAAAAACCCCTGCATAACGAATCCAGCCAATATGCATTTGATTTCCGAAATGCCGGAGCCAGCCGCGTATTTGGCGAGTGAGCGCACCAAGTGGGCCGCGACGAATGAGAACATCGCCTGCCAGGGTTGAATAAGAGCAGTAAAAGACAGAAGACAAACGCACCGCAAACAGGACATAAATAGTCCACCGCGCAATGCCAACCGTGCTCCAGGGATGCCATGAGTTGCACCCGTCTATGTTTTCGTCGTCAATTTCCCAGCAGCAAAACTGCTGGTTCAGCCACCACCCGTCGTGGCAGTACCCCATCTTTATGTCCGACAGCCATTCGGTGACAATGGAGATTATCGCTGCGTTGAGCCCGATGCATACGCCTGGACAAAGTGAATACCACCTTCACGAGCCAAAAGGGTGCCCACCAACGAGCGAAACGACAAACCACGACTGGCCCGCATTGAGCAGCCGACGTGTTTGGGTCCAAAGCCACGACACGGTCACTTCGCCTCGAGGACCGCGGCGAGGTGCATATAAATTTCGCGTTTCTCGTATTCTTCGGTTGCGTTCAAGACGCGAGTCCTGTATCCAGTCTATAAGAACCAGCTTTAGAGTCGCGGTTCACCTATTCCAAACGGCAACTGACCTATTGTCCGAAAATCCTCGTATCGGCTGTTCTTTGTAAGGCCCAGGGGATGCAATGAGCAGGTGACGACCCACCGAATCTGTTCGAGCTCGTCATCGTCAAGCGCGTCATTCCGCAAGAGACTGCGCCGCCGCTCGGTCATGGAATGGCAACTTGAAGAGCAATGGGAATAGCCAACAGCGCATCAACATCAAATGTGCCAAAAAAAGAGTGACTATTGATCCAGCTTGGGTCGTAAAACAAACGAACGTAGAGCGCAATAAGAAGTAACTATGGGTATACACATCCACAACCAATTTTACTGATAGTTCCGCAATAGTAGATTTCGTATCCCAGACGTTTAGTAGCTGCCCTCCGTACCAAGGCCTTGGGCAGTGAGACGGCTTTCCAGGTTTCGGAGCGACTCTTCTTTTGCCAGGAGTTCCTGTCTTTTCTCGTTGATTTCGCGCTGGACACGCAGCTCGATTTCGCGCAGCTGATCAAACATAAGCCACCAGTTTCTCCATGTAGAAAAGACACAAACCTTCTCTTCGTCGCGGCGGAGCTGCTCTTCTTTGAGACGGACGCTCTGGTTTGCGAGCTCCTCGGGAAGAATGGTAGAGTCCCTATAGACAATCAGGAACAAGCTCTAGTGAGGAAAAAATAAACTATATCGTACCGAATATCCGAGTGCACACTACGAGAGAGCTTCTCGGTACGATAAGTCTCGTAGAGGACATCCTCGGTGAGCATTTTTAGGTCGTTAAGGTGAGAGCTAAGAATTGCGCCACGAAGACGGTTGAAGTCAGAGTGCTTTGGGTTGTCAACTTCGGCGATACCCCATGGGTAGATGCGGGCGCGGACAGGCTCGCCCTGAACGTCGATTTCCTCTTCAGAACCGATGACAGCAAACGGCAGGAGAGCCCTGAGCTCCATATTCTCGGAGATAGTATCCTCGTCGTCTTCTTCAACGTCGTAGGGGAAGTCATAGATGGTAATCCCGTAGTGTTCAATGTCCTCCATCACGCGCTTTTTGAAGGCACGCAGCTCGCTGGCGGTGAGCGAGTCGGCGCGGCCAATGACAGGGATAACATTGACGCGAGGTGAAAGACGGCGCATCAGCTCAATATCCATTTCCCTCAGTCTGAGAGAAGATTAATCGTTAAGCTTTTGGAAATTACGGGAACGAACGCATGGCCAGTCGGAGAGATGAAGTATAAGCAAGCGTGGACGCGGTTGTCCTTGAAGCGGGGGTTACGCTTGATGCGAGACTGCTCGGCGAGAATGTCATCATATTGGCGCTCCAGGTAGTTAACAATTTCTTGGAAGCTAGCCAAAGCCGTCAACAACAGAAGGAAAGAAAAAGACAGGGTCATACGCAAATTCGTTGTCAATATTGTCGCCAAAGCCAGGAGTGTCGACGATGGTAAGGGCAATGCGGATGCTATCCTCTTCGAGTTCTACGGTACATGAGTAACGAGGGGGTGGTTGAATAGAGGATAGCACTCACCAACGCCAACAGGCTTAATTCTGACATTTTCTTCCGCATGGGCCTCCTCAGGGCTGGGTTGGTCCTTGTGCGCCAGGACTTCCGACTCGCAGAGAGTGTTCACAAAGGTCGTTCGTCCGTTTCCGGATGCACCTGTTGGCCCATGTCATTCGTAGTCGTTGCAACTGGAGAAGGGGACATACCGACCACCATGATGGTGAACTGAACACCCTTAACTTTATTTCCGCGTCGTCTAGGGAGAGGCATATTTCTAAAGAGGTTGAGTGAGTGTTGCGTGGACTCTTCGAGAGGATGAGAGACATACAGCTAGGAGGAGGAGGAGGCTGGCGCAAAAGCGATGGCACGAGAATGTCACGTCCGTCACACATTATTTTCCTCTCTCTTTTCGCGTATGAAATGGCAAATGCTTCGTTCATTCACACTTGAGCTTGGAAAAGAGTATGGACAGGAAGGTGCCCTGGTACTAGTACCACCATGAACCCGCCAACAGGATCGCGTTCTCTTTCCGACACCAACTAAATTCATACATATTCTGCAATCAAGTCTCCTGCGGCTGGGCGACGATCTCATGTCTACTAGTATCTTACTGAGGTTCACAACCCCAAGAGACCCTGGAACAATGCAGTCAACTTTTTCGCTGCATCTTCACTGAAAAATAACTCCAAATTCTCAGCGGTTTCCTTTCCAGCCTCGTTTGCACGAGCACGCATGACTGCCTCGTACGTCTCCAACGACTTTCCGCTTGTCAATGCGTCGGCCAGGTCTGCAGCATCCACCATCGCCATGTTGACTCCAGCTCCTGCGAACGGACTCATAACATGAGCAGCATCACCCAAAAGCACCACGTTATCGGTCTTGGTGCGTGGCTGGGAGTCGTGTGGCAGCGCATAGATTGGGCGGACTATAGGGTTCTCGCCAACACGAATGAGCTGGCGCAGTGATTCATCCCAGCCTTCAAAGTGCTCGAGCATAAGTCGAATCTTCTCCTCCGGTGTCCCCGCCAACGCAACGGGTGAGGTCCGCGACCAGTCCTCCGACACGCGAACAGCGATGTAGACCGTGAGCATATCATTTGAGCTCATCTGCGCAATAATGCCCTTGCCACCGTTCATTGCGATCATCAAATTCTCGCCAACGAAAGACGTTAGCTCCGCATATGTCTTCATATTGACTTTGGTCTCGAGGAAAGTGACGCCAGAGTACGATGGGGAAACTCCGGGCCATGCCAAAGAGCGAACGCAAGACCATGCACCATCAGCCCCCACCACAATGTCGAAGTTACCCTCTCTTTTACCGGAGGAAAATTGGATCGAATATTTGCCTGTTGTGGTGTCTTGCTCAACAGAAGTTGCCTTGCATCCCCATTGGATGGTGTTGGACTCCAGAGAGTCGAGAAACAATGAGCGCAGATGACCTCTGTCGATCTCCGGATTATACATATCATCCGGATTGCCTGGAGTTTCTATCAATATCTTGCCAGAGTCGTCCAGGAGCCGTAACGCCCCGCCCACTGGCCGCGAAAGCTTGAGGAACTCAGCGTGCAGTCCGGCCTCTCGCATTGCTCGCTGGCCGGAGTCGCGTTTAAGATCAAGCGAGCCCCCAAAACTCCCTCTAAGCGACGCATTGGCGTCGGCTTCGTAGAGCGTGAAGACCAGCGAGGGAACTTGGCGCAACTGCAAAATACGGGCAAGAGTCAAGCCACCGATACCACCTCCGATGATTGCGACGCGGGTGGGGGAAGAGGTAGATGCCATAGCTGGGATATAGATACTGGTTGGCGTGCTATATATAAGGCAGACCGCAGCGTTACCGCAGCATTTTGGCCGAATGCAGGCGTCAGCAATATGTTTGGTTTGCCGTCGAAGTTTGTGTGATGAATAGCTTATCATACCTGCCGGCTCAAATCGTCATGTCCTTGCTAGCTGGCAATCAGATTCGATTCCTTGCCGCCGATGCTGCCATACATCAGCCGCCTCGGCGATCATATGATTGCACTTTTTTGGCATTGAAGGGTTTGATGGGCAGAAAAAAATATCATGTAAGCGCACTACTACACTTTACATGTTTTTATGCACGATATGCCTGGAATTGATCCGTCGCCCGTGCGATCTGCCCCGCCGTGAACTGTTTCATGCACGCATCCGTTGAATAATCCATGTAGTTCGCTTTCCTCTCGTAAGAACACTGTCGGTCAAGTAAGGAAAGGCACATACAGATAGGATCAACCCCGGGGAAGTTTGGTCCGGTGCAGGTGTCCCTCCCGGTTGGGCATCCGCTGGCGCCGCTGGCCTCCGCAGGAGTATCAGACACGTAGTCTCCGCCGTTAGTTGAGGAGGAGGCACAACCGCCCTGGAAAGTGTGATAGCTGCCAGTCTTTGAGCATTTACCCAAGGGAACAAAGGCAATAACGCGTACAGTCCAAACCAGTGGCCAGATTCATGGGTCAACGTCTGGAGAATTGTTCAATGGAAATCGGTGGGTAAGATATGAGGCAGCTCACCCTGCCGAGGTTATAACCAGCCGTTGATCCTCCTGGCACACTGGAAAACAGGATGACGATTCCGTCATCCTTTGGTGCACTTGCATAGGAGCTGGGATATGTAGCATATCCCAACAGCCCTGCCCCACTTCCAGAGACGAAACTAACACATAGTGAGTCAAGAAGGATAGCGTTAAGCTAGAAATTCAAGCTTACCCGACACTGTACACATTCAAATCACCCTTCCCGCCCTGCCTGAGGGCGGTTTTCATCACTGTTTGCTGGATGGTTCCCGGCGCCGCGTTGTTGAACCAGTCCGGGTTCACTATCCGTCTCGTCCCCGCAAGAACAAAGTTGATGTTTCCAGCGTAATCCGCATTGAGTACACGGATTTGACCTTGAATTTGCGAGTCGGGGATGTTCCCGCCGGCAGGAGTGCTGTCTTTGGAAATGACATTCCAATAGACCTGTTGAGTAGTCAGTGAATGAGGAATTCAATAAGGAGCAGAAACGTGCATTGATAGCGTTGTTAGCGATTTTGTTCACGAAACCGCCACCAGTGTTGGCTATTCTTGCCTTACGTTGGACAAAGTCCCGCTCAGCAACGGCGATCATAGAGGCGTTCAAATGTGAACCACAGTCTCGACTATCAGCAGAATGAGTCAATGGACCAGAACGATAGAAGACTGACCTTCTCCGGGCGACTGGTTTCGGAGCTCTTGGCAGAAGTGCATCTTCGGAATCTGCCGCGGACACAGAGACAGATGCGCTGGCCATAAGAGCGAGAGTAAGTTTACGAGGGAACAACATGTCGTTAGTCGTGGTAGTCCTGAGTCTTGAGTCTTGAGTTGAAGGGTCGGAAATGTACGGGGTGAACGAAGAAAGCACGATGTGGACTGGCGACTTTTATACTCCAGTCGTGGGCTGGGCTGAGACTGAAACCAAAAGCTGGAGCCTTCCGCGGTCGTCTTACATGCATCCGCTCCGAAACTGGACCGCCTCGAGTCTTAGATCGCAAAACGACAGATTCTGATTCACCCTTTGAACCATGGCAAGTAGATGTTCGACGTCATCTAAACAAAATAAGGTACAGTATTCTAGAACCGGATGAGTGAGCGAGTTGCCAGAAAGATGAGTCAACTCACCATACGTCGTGTCTGCAGTCCCTTGTCCCGCTCATTCTCTTCCGCCGCGCCGTATACAGTGAACTTACTCTCCCCTGTCTCGGTGATCGTCAATATGGCCGCCATATTACCGCATCGGTAGCCTGGGCAAGCTCAGTCTTAGACAATTAGAAAAGGCAGGTGGAGACACACAGTAATTCGGTGCACTCCAAACCGTCACCAATTGTTCATCAAACATATGTTTGTAGCCTTCGTTTACAAGTTGGTGGGCACGCGCGATAAGACGGAGGTCGTTGACGTGGTTAAACTCGCGCGTTACGCTTCCTCCAAAAAGCCAGCCAGCACCTCGAGGAGAAACAGCCCAGTTGTCGACCTCGTCAGGGTCACTCCACATGAGATCGCAAAAGGCGCCTTCGTGTGGTATTTCTTGCGCTCGAGAGAGGACTCGAATTTGGTCCAACGTGCGGATATCGGGAGAAAGACCGCCATGCACACATAACGTCTCCCCATCAATTATCTGGTGGAATGTGAGCAGGATTGAGTGCAGAAAGACGCAGAAAACACACTGCAGCGATGTTGAGAAAGTCGAAAACATTGCAACATGCCTTCCAAACAGTTGCGCTACCGTACTTTTGCTGGCACTCGTCTGCCTAATATATCATTTGCTGCCACATTTGGGAAACGCAAGTCAAGGACACACCATAGAAGCCATAGACCTGAGTAATTTGCCTACTTTCGTGGTTTCCGCGCAGTAATGTTACCCGATCCGGATATCTAAGCTGTCTACAAGAGCCTTGCCTTGGAAGACGAAGAGGGAATCTTACCGAGCCTTCATCGCCAACAACAGCGACACGGTTTCCAAGCTATAATGCCCGCGATCAACAAAATCGCCCTGTTTGTGCGCTCAATATTCAGAGCTGAGAAAGAACTGAGGAGGACGCGCCATGAAGATGTAGCTCGTCTCTGGTACCATACCGCCTCTCCTCAGCAACTCTAACAAGTCCCAAAACTGGCCATGTATATCACCGCAGATGGTGACTGGACTCGACACGGGCTGGATGTTACTCTCCTCCATGAGTAGGGCCCTAACATGTTCACAGAGCAGCTTCATGTCGGCTTCCGGGAGATGTTGGCAGTTCATAAGTTGGTCCATCCATTTTGCGGGATCGTAAGCAGGCATGAGCGGGAAGATATGCGCCTTATGGGGTGGTTTCGAAGGAAAATTCCCGGCGGTGAAAGGCTGAACCGACCGGGAAAGACACCAGCTAGGGTGTTGAGGTCGAGATGAAGGTTGGAACAGAGAAGGTCAACGTAATAGCAAGCGATAAGTCTCGATAAGTGTGCCCATCACAAGTTTTTATTCATGACACAAGGAAACATAGGCTCAATCATGCAATATGAAGAACGGATGTAGCCAAAGGTACAAAGAGTTGAGAGATTTATGGAGGATGCAGTACCAGGAGGGGGACGATAGCATCATACTATCATCTATCAGAATGTGATTGCCGGCAGAGAGCCTTTCGCTCTTTTTCTCCTCCCCCACTGGGCCCCAGAACGCCATGAACAGCTGCCTGGTCACGAAATCCACAATCCTCAACTATGACTCAGCAATACCTCCTACGATCGTGGGCGCGAATCGAGACAATGACGCATGCTCCTAAGCTTACGTCTAACCACAATCTCGCGCGTTATGTCGGTCCCGCTTCGTCGCAGTACTCGTTCACAAGTGCAGAAACCCAGCGACGATGTCCCTCTTCCCACTCTGACACCCAAAAAACGCAAGCGCAAAGATGAAGTCGAAGGGGAAGACGAGGGTGCTTCTCCTCCAAAACGAGCTGCAAGAAAGCAACGCGTCGACCAAGTCTATGTCATTCCCGACGTTATGCGGAAAGAGACGAACTTCAAGGGTAGATTGGGCTATGCGTGTCTGAACACCATCCTGCGGAACCAAAAGCCAGCCAAGACTGCTGTTTTCTGCTCGCGGACGTGTCGGCAAGTTTTTTTACGCTTGTCCTCTCTGCTCAGCTAACCTCATATTCAGGATCGACAGCATCAAAGCAAACGGCATCGACTGGGTCAAAGACCTGGGACGGAAGAACCTGGAAGATCTATTGACGATGATTCAGTGGAATGAAGACAATGTAGGCCACCTAGATTTAGTTTTTTGGTTCCAGACTCAGACAACATAGAACATTCGCTTCATGCGCATGTCCTCTGAGATGTTTCCGTTTGCCTCCCATAACATTTACGGCTACTCCTTGGAATACTGTGCCCCACTTCTTGCGCGCGTCGGGGAGCTCGCCAACAGCTTCGGCCATCGTCTAACCACGCATCCCGGCCAGTTTACGCAGCTAGGCAGCCCCAAACCAGAGGTCGTGCAAGCTTCCGTGCGAGAACTCGTGTACCATTGCGAGATGATGGACAAAATGGGCCTCGGTGTGGACAGTGTCATGATCATACATGGCGGGGGGACGTATGGCGACAAGGCTGCCGCGCTGGAACGTTTGAAGAAGACGGTCACGGAGACGCTTCCTGCCAATGTCAGAGCGCGGCTGGTTCTTGAGAATGACGAGGTAGGCTTTTGCCAAAAATTTGACAAAATATATCATCCCATGTAGCTTTGCTACAATGTCGACGATCTCCTCCCATTGTGCGAGGAACTCGATATCCCACTCGTTTTTGGTAAGTGTCAAACTGGTTTCTGGCTATATCTAACATGCTTTTTCCCCCCCAAGACTACCATCATGACAATCTCTTTCCTTCCACGATTCCTCGTACCGAAATTTTTTCTCGCATCAACGCTCTATTTGTCCGTAGAGGGATCAAACCTAAGCAACATCTGAGCGAGCCACGACCTGGCGCTGTAACCATCCAAGAGCGCCGGGCACATTCTGACCGATGTGAAACTCTTCCGGTAGACTTGCCTGAAGATATGGGTGCGTTTTTCCTCGACCAAGTTGATTGGTAGTAACCTTTGTCCATAGATCTGATGATCGAGGTATTTTCGTGACCCACCAGCGCCATGTTGACCTGAACCAGTGTAGGCAAAGGACAAAGAGCAGGCGGTGTTCCATCTCTACCGCATCTACGGACTGCAGCCTGTCAAGCAAGGTTGGTCTTTAGATCCTGTCTTCCATCATTTGACCAAGCTCGCGGGTAGAAAATCTTCGACCCCCGGTCAAACACCAGACAACGGAGACCAAAGGACGCAAATCAAACAAGAATCCAAGGAAGAAAAAGGGCGTGAATGCTGACAGTGAAGTGGAATCGGGACAGGACGATTAGCGCGTATGGAGAGACAATTCGAACGTTGCGAGCAAGAGCAACTACCATAGTGTATTGTATTCGAATCGTGATATTCCTTGAGCATCTGATTCTCCTTCCTCTTCAAGAGCACAGCTCTATCATGATCAAGAGTCTCAGTTGTTCAAGCGGCTCTTTCCAAACTTTCTTCCTTGACCATTCCTTCCCGGTGGGCCGGGTCTTGTACGAGCAGTAGTCGGGGAGGCGCTGACAGCTGCAGCAAGTAATGCGGGATCTCCCGCAACCGTTGCAGTGCTTTTCGCGAAGTCGGATGCGCGTGTCAGCGTGGCAACTAGCAAAGGACGTGAATTCATGTGTACACATATGCAGTCCAACCTACGAGGGCCCAGTAGCGAGTCGACAACCTCGGTCTGGATTTGGCCAAGGTTGTCCTTATTAACTGTTTTCAGCGAGCCGTCGCGAAGAGCGGCGGCGGCGGCAGCGTTGGCCGCGTTAGTTTGGTCCTGATCAAAGGTCATTAAACAAGTCCAGATTGAGAAACAATAGCTACCAGCGGCTGTGCGTTCTGCGCAACGACCTTCCCGCCAGAGGAAAGAATTTTCAACGACTAGCACTCGTCATTATTATCGGAAAGGGAGGGGAAAGGGAGGACCGACGATTTCGATTGCATTTTTGACGGCCTTCTTCAAGTTTACGGCTTGCTGGAGAGTAAGGACGGCATTGGGGGCGGTTGTCGAGTTTCCTCCAAGGTCAGCGGCATCATTCTGGCCAGCAAGCATATCAATCGGAATGTCGAGAGCCGTCCCAGTTACCGTCTGAATTAATATCTGTGAGATAATTGGAAAGGACTTTGAGCGGCACAAACTTTGATCTCGTTGATGAGGTCAGCTGTCAGTTCTCCCCGCGCAACAAGATCAGTTAAATCGTCGACAACACGAGTGCGTAGGTAGTCTCCGACGACAGCGTCACGTTCTACGACGGAAGGATTGAAGAACCGCGAAAAAACGCGGGAATTGCCTTGAGGGCTAATTTTCTTAGGGCCCTTGACCTTTTGCCCATTGATATCTGCGGCAAATGGAGTCACGCATCATCAATTATATACTTCCGGGATTGGACGCGCATACCTTGCGTCACGGCGATACACCCACCAAAAGGACCGGCACCTTGGGCAAGCGACAGTGTGTTGCCTTTGCCGCCGTTGTTCAAGCGGATAAGACAGGTCGCACCATCTTGACCACCCGTACATTTTGTGTCGGCCGGAATTTGCACAGCGAACGGCGCATTGGCGGGACCTCCACTACGGAACGGATTTGAGGATATGTATACCAGCTAGAAAACAATGACGAACTGAAGAATACCGTTCTTCCCTGGAGCCTGAACGAGGACGGTGGCGGGGGTCCAGGTTTTGCCGGTTGCATCAGCATTAACCATGGCCGTGAATGGCCCTCCGCCGTCCGCGTTAACTTGATGGATTTCGAGACTGATACTGCCGTTGGGAGAAAGCGAAGGAAGCGATCCTCCTCCTTCTGCGATCGCAGCCTTGATTGCGGTCGGAATATTGATGCTTCCGCCAATAAGAGTCGCGCCGCAGGGGTCTATGCAAGTCCGGGTAAGCAAAGTTCAGGTTGCCCAGCTGATCACAGTACCAGCCTTCATATTCTTAAGAGTGGGCGTGTCGATTTGAAAGGGCTGTGCGTCAGTGCCGGTTCGGGGGGTGCCCTTGACTATATCGTTGTGAGCATTCTAAATTCACAGCACGAGCGAGTGTGACTGACCAACACCGAGACCAGATGTAATCACACCGTTCGAACCGAAGACTTGGGTTACCAAAGCATGCCCGGAAGCGGATGTAGCAGCGAGAAGAAGCGAAAGAGTGTTTGATGTCTTCATGGGGGAGAGGTTCTTCGACGGAGAAAAGGTGCAAATTTAACAGGCAACCTGGCCTGAACCTGAACGAAAAGCGAGAAAACAAGCGGACCCGATAGCCAGCGGGGAAGGGAAAGGGTCGAAGAAGAAAGGAAGGAAGGAAAGAGCTGAGAGTACCACGAGAAAAGAAAAGTGAGCTTTATACCATGACGCAGGGTGTCTGATATTCACCGTGCTGTTGACTGGGGGACCAAGAATCAAAACCAGAGCAATCTAGACACCGGATTGAAGATGTTCCACATTCCCGTTCAAGTTCTTGGCAATTGATGAAAATGGGTAAAGTTACGGCGCAAAGAAGACCTCATTGTCAAGGCATTAGAGTCGCTCAAGGAGCCAAGGAGAGCAAAATTCGACCGATTAGCTCCAGTCAAAGACCCACAGCGTCCCTTCCAATACAATTAATATCCAAAACTTGCATTTGTGATTGGTTTGTAAGAATCTTCGGGTGCGTCGTATGACTCCGTCAAGCAAAGGGAAGGAGAGTGTCGTTGTTTTGACGGTGGACCCGGATGTTAGTGTCTCTAAACAACGCAGAAGCGTTCATCGTTGGCAAGGGTCTGAGAGTGCCCAATAGCTGGATTCACTGATTACAATCCGTCGCCTGCGTTGACTACAGCGGGAACGCCCGAGTCCTGAATGTACCAAACTACGAGTCAAAGTTGATTGCAGAGAAGATGTGTCTGAGGTTCAAGCCCAGTTGTTTGGGAACACTTGTATGACAGAATAAGTGTACCGTCAGCACATCGTTACGCCAAGATGCGCTTGCGCATCCCGGGCCATGGTAGTTATCGAGACTTGCTGACAAGTTCAGGTTGAGAAAGCTCTAAATGTGACTTGATGTCTATCTTTGTATTCGACCCGAGGAATACGACGCAGGGAAAGACTCCAGGCTAAGCAAGCGGGAACGCGAGACCATCCGCCGCACCGACTATTGAAGTCCCTTCTAATTTTCCTGGAGCCATCGTATATTTTCGGACCCAGCGTGAAGATCTGCATCCAGACTCCCGCTTGAGATCAAGAGAGCCGCCAAGAGCCACTTCAAAGAGATGCGTTGGCGTCGGCTTCAGAGAAGGCCAAGGCAAGGTAGGCTGGCTTGCGCAGTCGAACTTGAAGAATGCGTGGGCCCATGCAGGCCCATGCCTCCGCCGATGAGTCATGATTGCGAGCAGCTCCAAAGAAGAGGCCGCGGTCTATTCTGCGATTCCTTCACAGGTTTACACTGTTTGGCTAGTTTCACTCGTGATACTTTTTTTCTGGCATGTAAAAAAAGTCAATCTTACTGTGCCAGGGTATGGAGTTGCTGCAGACTGCAGCTGGTTCGGTGCCGAAAAAGATCAACACTCGCACGCTCGGGGGTAACAGCTCTTGCGCATTATGAGACGTAAAAGATGTCCTTTTGACGCGAAGATTCGGTCGAAGCTGGTCGAAGCTGGTCGAAGGTTGAGTACACTAGTGTGCATTGGTGACGGTGACGTGTCACCCATCAAATATTTTTCGTACCTTCGAAGCCATGTTGTTTCTCCTTCGAAGTTCAAATTCTCGGCGCAAATTCAACATGTCAAAGTCGATGCTACTCTTAACTCTGTTACAAGAGAAGAGCTTCCGGGGCGGACTACTATGACCGGTGCCATCTTGCCAATGCCTCATCGATATCTTGCAAAACTAGAAAACTTGAATGTCGTTTCTTAGGCTCCATCATAGCCAACGCCAACATGGACGCACATACTGATAGCTCTAATGTTTTAGCACAAACACCTTTCAGATGGTGCTCTGGGAAGCGTTATCCCTCTCTGTGAAGCATCCATCAAGTTAATGCTCATGTGTCATGACTCATTTACTAGCCGTTCACCTCTGCAAGTGGTCCCAGCACTCCTGCGCCGAACACTACCAGCAAGACTGCGAGTAGCTCAGATAAACAGGGGTGGAGTTGCCAGAAAAAGCGTGTCGAGCAACCATAGTTGGAGAAACCATTCGGACATTGCGCATAAGAACAGCTACTACATTTATATCTATCCGAATGGGGCTTCTCCTTCAACACCCGATCCTCCTCCCGCTTTGAGCAAGAGCACAGCTCTATCAGGGTTGGGAGCCTCAGTTGTTCAAGCGGCTCTTCCCGAACTTTCTTCCTTTGCCCTTCCTCCCCGGTCTGCCAATGGGGCTGGCACTAGCGATAGCGACGGGGGCGCTGGCGACGGCGCCGACCGGGGCAGCGCTGTCCGCACCTGGGGCGAGCAATGCGGGATCTCCCGCGACTGTTGCGGTGCTTTTCGCGAAGTTGGTTGCGCGCGTGAGCGTGGCGACTATAGCGAAGGATGTGAATATAATGCGTATAATGAACGCGTTTCACGTACGGGGACCCAGGAGCGAGTCGACAACCGCGGTTTGCGGTTTGCCCACGCCCGCGTTGCCCTTGTTGACTGCGGTCAGCGTCCCGTCAAGGAGAGCATCGGCAGCGGCAGCATTAGCGGCATTTGTTTGGTCCTGGATGTTTGTCAGTGCTGCACCACACGACAGAGAGAGGAGTGGGCCAACCAAGGGCTGAGCATTCTGCGCAACAACATCCCCTCCGGACGAAAGAATCGTCAACGCCTGCATATCAAGTAGGTTGCGACAAATTGCGGATAAAGAACAATAACTAACCGTCTCGATCGCGTCGGTGACGGCCTTCTTCAAATCGACCGCCTGCTGAACAGTGAGCACCGCGTTCGGCGCGGTCGTCGAGTTTCCTCCGAGATCAGCGGCATCGTTCTGGCCGGCAAGCATATCGATGGGGATGTCGATGGCCGTCCCGGTTGCCGTCTAAGTACACAAATTGATCCGCTGATGAAGAAAATGACAGAAAAAACACACCTTGATCTCGTCAATGAGATCCACTGTCAGCTCTCCGCGCGCGGCAAGGTAGGTTAAATCGTCGACAACGCGCGCACGCAGGTGGTCTTCGACGACTGCGTCACGCGCCACGATGGAGGGATCGAAAAAGCGCGAAAAAACGCGAGGGCCTTTGGGCTTAGCACCGGCTTTCTGTGGGCCCTTAACCTGCGGACCAGCTGGAGCGGCAGCAGTTGTGCCTGCGGCGGGAATTGCTGGCGGCGCCAGTTGCGCTACCAGCAGGGTCTGAGGCCGTCAGTAAAATTCACGAGACTTCTGGAATAGGATGCACATACCTTGGGTAACAGCAATACATCCACCAAAGGGACCCGCGCCCTGCGCAAGCGACAGTGTGTTCCCTTTGCCGCCGTTGTTCAGGCGGATCAGACACGTCGCGCCGTCCTGGCCACCCGTGCATTTCGTGCCCGTGGGAATCTGGATAGCAAAGGGTACGTTTGCGGGACCGCCACTAAGGAAAACGGGGGTTAGCAACTTGGGTTGTAGATTCGCAGGTTGGTAAGAAGACTAACTGGAGGATACCGTTGGTCCCGGGCGCCTGGATGAGAACGGTCGCGGGGACCCAAGTCTTTCCGGTTGCGTCAGCGTTGACCATGGCTGTGAACGGCCCTCCGCCGTCCGCGTTAACTTGATGGATCTCGAGGCTGATGCTGCCGTTGGCGGCAAGCGAGGGAAGCGACCCGCCGCCCTCTGCGATCGCGGCATTAATGGCGGTCGGGATGTTGATGCTTCCGCCACCAAGCGTTGCGCCGCAGGGGTCTGTGCACGGTATCAGCAAAGGTGTTGTGTTTAGCTGATCGCATTACCATCTTTCATATTCTTGAGGACAGGCGTGTCAATCTGGAAGGGTTGTGGGTCCGTGCCGGTCCGGGGCGTGCCCTTGACTGCATCGTCATGAGTATTCTGGAGTCAGACCAAGGCGCGGATGATGCTGACCGACACCAAGACCCGACGTGATCACGCCGTTCGAGCCAAACACCTGCGTGACGACGGCATGGCCGTACGCCGAGGTGGCGGCCAGAAGCAGCGTAACAGTATTCGATGTCTTCATTGTAGAGATATTCTTCGACGGCGGAGAGTTGAAAGTGCAAAAATAAACAGGCTACCTGGCCTCAAAGAAAACTTGCGCGAAAAAAAGCGGACCCGATTGCCAGCGGGGAAGTTGAAGAAAGGGCGGAAGAAGAGGGCAGGAGCTGAGAGGGCTAGCCGCAATGAGGCGAGAATTTATAGCGAGGATGTTTGGTATTGGCAGTTCAAGGTTGCAGTGCCAGGTCTTCGTTGAGGTGTCAAGGCGAACCCGAGGCGTGACGTCCAGAGCGGGAAGCTAGCCAGCAACAGGCAACCGGAGTGAAGATGTACCGCTGGTATAAAGTTCCCGATGGGTGAGTTAGGGAGGAAGGGAGATTCGATGAGGCCGAGGACTCGAAGGAGCGCCAGAACAGTGAAAGCGTGTTCATTGAGGAAAAAAAATGTAGCTGCTGTGAGCAGCAAACCATGGTGTTCACGTCGATACCACTAGCAGCGTATGATGCCAATGACGCAGCTACGCCGGACGTTCCGCTCGGAATACCGAGGAAAAGGCCTCGTCGGTTTCATCTAGTGTGTGTGGTGCAGTCGCTACCCGCGCAGCTGTGGGTGCAAAGAAGCTGTCGTTGGCAGGCCAGCGGGCTCTGCTGCAGTGATTCGAATCCGTTGCCTGCGGTCTGAATAGAGCCACGGCGGGTTTGGCTACCATTTTCGTCAGCGTGAGCAGACGATCATGATTCGACCGCAACGTCGAATGCAAACCTTGGCGTGATCCCATCGCTAGTCCCAGGTCGATGACGCTGGCGGCGCTGGCGCTCTGATTCAGACTTGGAGTTGGGGAAGCTGATGTTACCCTAGGCGGCCCGCATCGACTTAGATTCGATAGCCGTAGCAACCAGCGGGAAGTTGCCAAACAAATATCGAAAAAAAAACAGTTGCCGTTTGCAATTGCTTGCCATGTGTCGTCTTGCTTCCTGCCGTCAGGACTCCGGGAAGGTGGGGTCCGTTTCGATGACGGACGGGCCCTTCGAGCAAGTTGAAGCCATTATACAAGCCATAGAGGTCAGCGCTTTGGAAGTGACTACTGGTGCGGTATCTTGGATCCGGCCCCGAGCCTACCTGCAAATTTCCATGAAGCCTTGCCAGGTTTCGGATGGACCAGAAGGAAGAAGTCCGTGGACGCTACGACTCGGACCCAGATGTTCGGAGCCCGCAGTCCAACGCGTTGTTGTGCCGATGGCGTACAATTCACAAGGTGCTCGGGAGTCACTGAGTGCGCAGTGCTGTCGGACTCGTCTGATTTGCTACAGAAGAAAGCGCACAGCCGGACGCAAGACCTGCATTCGGGAGCCATGGCGAGGGCCTGCACGGCCGGTTGCGGTCGTTGAAGTCGGCATGCAAGTGGCGTTTCCCATCACGTGATGTTGACCCAACTTTGACACTAACCATCTGCATCGTTTTCGCTGTTGCTTGCGGGCACAAGTGCTTACTCAGGCTCCCGACTCCGGGTTGACCAGCAAATCTTTTGAATGCGGAATTGGGCGTAGTTACTTCATCGACATAGCCAGGTAGCCCGCCGGCGCGCTGGCCCGGGTGCCGTCTGCATCCTCTGTGTTGGTTCGTGCCACCAGTGTTGGGAACCGGAAGAAACGTGGGCTCTGTAACTTCTGTTTCTGTTTCGATAGCTATAAGTCTTGCGGACAACAACCAGCTGGAATTCCCTCCACGCCACAGACTCAACTCTTGCCTATACCTCGTTGCACGTTGAGCAGGCTATGACGTCACCTCAAACCTGGGAGGGTCTCTGCCCACTTGCCACCCATTGAACTACAGGCCCTCAACATAAGCAGCCTGGCCGCTTTTCCCCGGTAGACTGGTCCTTGCTCTGGTCAGTGGATCACACGTGGCCGCGAGGCACCGGAAACTACACCGACGAGTTGATGTTCATTGCAAACGACCGAGAGAATATCTGCCGTCTCCCGGGTGCTCCTGGACGCGCAGATGACGCCGAGGCGCACGATCGCGTGGTCGGCACGTCCAACTCGAACCGCTTGAAGGCACGTGACGTGGGCCTGGTCAGGACATCGAGCAACGTATGGGGCGATGAAATTTGTGCCCCGCGGCCTGTTGATAATATCAGCAAGTACTGCAGTTGCAAGTACTAGTATATCTTCTGGCAGAACGACTGAACGATACATCGGCGACTCGGAGTGCTAATGACGAATCCTGTCGCGAGCCTGTCGTTGGAGGGTGCTGTCGCTACCAGCGGGCAACCAGTTGGTAAGTTGAGTACATGCTACTCCGACGGGCCGGCCCGGCCCACGGCCCGCCGGACGCCCAGCCGTGCGCACAATCTGCACAACAGCGCCGTGCGCGATCGCATCCGCGGGCCCAATCCTATCGCAGGATTTTCGCGCCTTTTTGTCTGCGCAAGTGCTCCCGCAGCTGCGGACTCAGTACCACCGGCGACCGGCGACCGGCGGCCGCGGACGTCGCCGGCGGGCCGGGCAGCGTTTCTCCTCCGGGTGGCAGGCCCCACAAGGGAGCGTCTGCGGCTATCTTGGCTTGGCGCAGCTGCGACTGTATAGGCGTACGTGTGCGCAACGTTAACAGAGACGGCGCGGAGTCTGAATTTTCCGCGCCTGACAGATCACAACCGTGACTCGGATGCAGATGCACACCCGGGTGGCGGACAGACTGCATCTTGCTGAGAACTCGCAGCGGGCTGGCTGCGCTGCGCACGATGTGGCGCCTCTAGATTCGGATAGAATCAGAATGAACTTGTGGGAGAACTCGCGGCCGTTATGGAATAGACAAAAACCGTGGCCGGGGCCAACTTCAACTTGGACAACGGACGCCCACACGACGCAGCTTCGCGATCGCTTCACCCAGAGCGGCGCTGCACGTCATTCACTCGGCTGCGCGGTTACCACTAGGGTTATCTCTGGCCCGGCGCTGCAGTTGCCAGCCCGCGAGTTGCACAGTGTTCCCTTCCCCACAACCGCATCGCGGTCCAGAGTGCCAGTACTAGTGGCCGCAGGCTTCCGGTGGCGCAACTCGAATACCCCAGCGGATTCCGAGCAGTCTCCCCAAAAGCAGTGAACCCGAGGAGAGGCGTATCGGTGGAGATACGCACTGGCAGCCGCGCCTGCAGCTCCGTCCCCCCTCCGAATCGCGATCGATGCGATCCCTCGAGAGCGCTTACCCGCTATCCGTATCCGTAGCGTGCAGCCACGGCTGTCGCACACGCATCGCAGCTAAACAAACACCGCGCGGAGTCTGAACATTTTCCTCATCGCCCGCGCCGCAGTCACACATCGATGACGTCACTGCCGGCAGCCGTCTCGGCGTCGCCGGGCGCTCGACGCTGGGGGCACGCACAAGCGGGGGCGGGCGCCGATGCGGATGCGGATGCGGTCCGGCACGCAATGGAGGCGCCTGGCGCACTAATCGAACATACCACAAAGCGCGATATAGGTAGTGCATATCGATTTGAACTCGGCATCGCCCAGCCCATGACGCCAGCCCAGTCCGCATGCGTCCGAGTTGGCGCCTTATCCAGCTGCGTGTGTTTGCGCGTGTACTATAGTTCCACGGTACGTACGAAGAAAAGAAGACAAAAACAACAGCAGTGCCAGAAGGTGTCAGCGTGGACGTGACGGTGGACGTGCATTCGCCGTGCCCCGTGCCCACCCACGGCTGTCGTGTGCCGGCCGCCAGTGCCGCAGTCGCGCGTTGCCAGCGACAGTCGACGGGTAGTGACAGACGGACTGTAGTAGCAAAAAACGAAAACAGAAACAGAAAACAAAAGACGCGCGGAGTCTGAATTCCTGCCACTGCCCCGGGCAGAGCGGCGACGGCGGCGGCGTCGTGCGGCGGCCCGGGGCCGACCACCGCGTCGACCAAGTCCCGTCCAGGGCTCTTCAACTCCCAGGCACCTCCGATGAGGTCACAAGTACCCCCCGGCACATCCATGTCCCAAATCGACAACTTGAAGGAAGTGTAAACAAGTCGTCGAGTCGAGATGAAATTGGGGTTGCAGCGTCCTGGACCCCGATATCCGCGGGCCCTGTCCCCGTCCCCGTCCCCAGGCGCACATACGCCCAGCCCAGCCACGAGTGGAGTGGAGTGGGAGCGCGCACTTGCACTTGCGACCGCGATTGGCAAATGCCACCAAGAGCCCTGCCCGCTGCGATCGCTCACAGCGCACTAGTCCGGCCCGGGCTTCCCATCGATCACCCCTATTCTCCTACACGATCGGACATCGCGTATGGCCCCTAGCCCCTATGCGTACCTGCACCCTGGACGGCGACCTCGGCACCCTGGACTAGTTGCTTCCACGGGGGTGCGCGTGCGCGCGGAAGCAAATTAGCCGCCCCTGACGCGAGCCGAGGTGTAAGTACAGTACAGTACAGGTATTGTGCGGCTCCTTCTGCCTGCTGGTTTATCTTACTTCTGTATGTATGTGTGTAGCCTTATGCAGCCTTGCATGTAAGAGAGAGATCGAGTAGAAACAGTAAAACAGAAAAAGGAGAGAAACCAATAACGATACGCCCGTGCGCCCAGCGACCATGCATATGTACTGTGTCCATTCGTTCGTTCGTCTAGATCAGCCCGACGGCTACGGGGACGCCGACGGGGACGCCGATTGTGACGCCCTCCATCATGCGGAGGGCGCTCTCGTCGTTGGGCTCGCGGCGCGTGGGCTGGATGCGCATGAGCGTCTTGAGCGGCGCGAGCGTCATCGTGGGACCGGGGCCGGGGGTAGGGCCGGGGCCGGGGGTGGGGCCGGGGCCCGGCGGCGCGCCGGGGGCATACGTAGCCGTGTGTTCGGGGGCGGTGGCCGCGCGGGGGCTGGAGAGCGCGCTGCCTGGCGCGGGCGCATAGTCGTAGTCGTACGCGGCGTCGAGGAGGAGCGGCCGGCGGGGCGAGCCGGAGCGGGACCGGCCGGAGACGGACGCGGAGCCGGAGGAGCGCGAGCGCGAGCGCGAGCGGGCGGAGCCCCCGGAGGACGCGGGCGAGTGCGGGTGCCGGGGGGCGTGGGCGTGGGCGTGGGGGAGGGGGAAGACCTCCCAGCGCGGGTCCGGCGCGAGCGCATACGGGTTCGGGTTGCTCGGGTTGCTACTCGGCGCGGGGTGGTACGGGTCGAACATGCGCACCGCGCTCCCGGCGCTGCTGTCGCTGCTGGACGCCGACGCCCGGCCGTGGTGATGGGCATGGCGATGGTGGTGATGGTGATGGTGAATGGGGCCCTGCATCGGGCGGGGGCGCGAGCATGTGGGCGCCGCCGCCGCCGCCGGGGACGGGGACGGGGAAGGGCGCGTAGACGCGGTGGACGGTGCCGGGGTGGGCGTGCGGGCCGGGGTGGGTGATGCCCTCGTCGCCGGGGGCGCGGCGCCGCCCGACGCGGGTGGTCGTGAACATACCGGCGGGCACGTGTTCGGACCCGACGCCGGGGATGTCGTCGACGGTGCCGAGCCGGTCGACCGCCGCCTGCGTAAAGTACGCCGTCAGATGCCACTTGCGCTTTCCCCTGGGCGTGTCGACGAAGACGGAGTAGGTCTGCTTGACGAGCTGCTCCCAGTCAGGCGGGGGTGTCGTAGCGCGAGCAGCAGCGGTGCTGTGGGGGTTAGTAAAAAATTTTTAAAAAAAAGAAAACACACCTCGGCTCTCCCGGTACAACATACTTCTCATAATAAAACAGAAACTCGTCACGGACACGGGACGCGCTCCAGCGCCTGCCCTCTGTGAAGCGCTCGATGCCGACGCCGGTGATGTCCGTCGTCTGCACGCGCTCCTCCCACGCATACACGCACCCGCTCCCCAGCGCGGCCCGCTCGTCCGCGTCCAGCCTCCGCGACACCATCGCCAGCCGCCCCGCCCGCACCGCATAGAATATCTTGTGCGCATCCGCCACAGACCGGATCCGCGTATTGGTCAGCGTCGGCTGCTGTCTTGAAGAGGAAGAAGACGCGGCAGGCGCTGGCGTCGACGGGCTCGTCGGCCACGAGTTCATCTCCTGGTGGTGGTGGTGGTGGTAGTAGAGAGCAAAGGGGGCAGACGGTGGTAAGGTAAGCGCTTAGAGTCATCTAACCTAGTCTAGCACGCCCTGCAAATCGGCCTCCCACACGCCAACCCAAACTCTAACACACTGATGATCGAATCTAGACCCGGTTGCATGCATGTGTTGATGCTCCCCTCCGCGGTCCTCTCCTCTGCAGCGTCCACCACACACCCGGCGCGCCACCCAAACACCGCCGACCGCCAACCGCCGACCGCCCACCCAAGGCACCCTTCCTTCCTCGTCAACCCAAATCTTTGAAATTCGCCAACCAAGACGCTGATCTGATGCGCGCGAATCTCGCCTCAGGTCCCGCGCAATCAGCCCAGCCCCCATCGATCGGGCCAAGGGAGGCAGCCGCAGCTGCTAAATGGGAGCAGTAGCGGGACGCAGGGCCGGAAAAGAAGGCGACGGCGCGGGCGAAAAAAGCTTACTTGCCAGCTACTTTCATTTGGCGTGGCAGCGGCGCTGGCTATCGGACGCGGCGCCGACGCCGACGACTGGGCTCTGTGGGCCACTGGGTCGCGCCTGCCTTTCCGGGCCGCCTCCCCTGCGATAGCCGCGTATATTTGGACTAGCACAGAGCCCTATCCCAAGTACCCGCCCACAATGGAAGCGCTGACACGCGTTATTTGACTCCACGCGAGGGGTTTCTCCGTGCCCGTGCGCCGTCTCCTCCAGCTTGTCTACGCGACATGTCCGCCGCGACTCGACCGGCTCTTGGCCGGCGCCTTCGAGAAGTCGAAGTCGAAGCGAAGCCGCGATCGAGCGAGATAACGAATTGCAAATTTTAGGTTTGACACCTGCCGCCGCGGAAGGGCGTGCGGGCGGCGGGCGTCGGGCTCAGGCTCAGGCTGGCGGGCTCACGGTGAGCTGTAGCTCCTAGGCGGCGCGGTGGCACCGCCGCGTCCAGTCCACAACTCACGGCCTTTTACCAGGCCGTGGGCAAGTGCTTTCCGCGACCCGCCGCCTGATGCGCCGCGCCACCGCATCTGATGCGCATGCGCTGATGCCGCCGCGGGACGTATGTAACCAGCGTCCGCCGGCCGGCCCGCGGTGTGGCGTGTGGCGTGGCACGCTGTCAGATGGATGCCAGTGATAAGCACGCACGGCCGGTGATGATCGGCCGGCGGCGGCCGCGGCGAGTGGCGCGCAGACGTGGTGGACGTGTCGTGGCTTTATCAGGGAGACAGGGACCCGCGGCAACGAATTGCATTCGTTGCGCGGGGACAACGCTAGCGAGTGGACAGGGCAGCGGGCACGATGGGCTTGTTCATTCATTGGTCTACTACAAGGGGAGGCGATCGCCGGCGGAGGAGTGGTGCACTAAGAAGTGATAATATCAGTCGATGCGCGGTGTGCTGGGCCTTGGGCCTTACTGCACGGCGTGCAGATTGGTTACAGACGTCCAGATTGCACACTTGGTATGTGTGCACACTGCACACACATCGGGACAGGATCGGCGCCAGTCCGACAGCCAGCTCCTGATAGCCTCCTTCCGTTCTGCAAGGCACGGCGACGACCTTGCCCAGCGGGAGGCACTGCTACAGCCCTGCCGCAGTTCTGAATGCCTTAATGAATGCTTACCCACCGCTGCAGCCCGGCGCGGACAGTGACGCCGGGGCAGGCATCGACAGCGGACTCGAGGCCAATCTGCCATCAGGACAGCCTTCCGCTGGGAGGTGCCCGGCCCGGATCGGCCCGCCGACGTGTCGTAGACGTGTCGATGCTGCCGCTGATGCCGCGGGTGGATCGGGAAACTGGGACGTGCGATAGGGTTCGTCGCGGGGTTCTCGGGCGGGCGCGTACTGACACGCACGCAGCAGGATCGGGAGCCTGCGCCGCTAGTGCGGAGGGAGCAACTTGAAGCCTGCACAGTTGGAATGCCCGGCATGCGATTGGCCCATGGCCACGGACGTGTAATGTCCATGCACACCGGGGCTATGGGCGTCGCCCCGGATCTGCGCTTGACACACACCCCGTCCCCGATCCCGCTCTCCCAGCGGAAGGCACTGCTACAGCTTTTCTTTGCACCTGCCTACTCTAGGTCGCCGCACTTACCGCCCGGGCGCCCGCGGGAATCGACAGGCCTGTCGTCCTCGCCATCAGAACAGCCTTCCGCTGGGACGGGCGCCAGCCTATGTAAGGCCAGCGCTCGCGATCGGGCGAATCGGCGATTACGGGCGCTCGCATCAATCGACCGGCGCATCTGATGCGCCGGCCGATCAGACGGGTGGCGTCCGTGGCCGCGGCGAGGCGGGCTATTTTCAGCGCGGCTGTTCGCGATCAGACGACGTTCGTTCGGGCGTTGGACGCAGACGACAGACCAGGCACTGGCAGCCGCGGGAGGGTGCGATGACGGTGGCGCAGGCCGCAGCGTGGGTCGATGAGCCGTGGATGACGTCGCCGCCGCCGCCAACTAGTTTGGCAGTGGGGAGAGACCGGCCGTTTGGAGACTGGTGTTTGCCTTCGTGCAGGCGCGAGCTTCTCCCGGGCAGCGACGGCCTCCAGCTGGCCACGGACGCGCCATGGCCAGTCGGCGTGCGCAGAGGGCGGCAAATATAGCGCTGCGATTAGCTACGATCGGGTGGCTGCGTCACCGGGAGATCGTCGGACAATCTTTCTTTGCATACCGTGACGCCGCCCAGCTCGACGCTGGCAGCTGAATGTAATCAGAGATGCAGAATGTTCGATGCCGCCTGTCTGCCCTGAGCAGCCAAGTCCAACACGCCAGCGGTAAGCGTAACACCGCGCGTGGCCATGGCCCCATTCCCGGTCAAGGCACACGCTCGCAGCGGCGATCGGCCTCAGCTTCAAGTTCGAGCCTGATTGATGGCTGGAACGAGTGGTGCCACAATCAGGTGATCGCGAGTTGCCAGTAGAACTTGAAACCACCAGTGTCTGAGTCAACCACAAACTTAAAGAAGGAATCGACTCGGAATTTCCAGATTGCTGCCAACTTAAGCTTGAAAATTAAAGCCATCAAAACTTTTTTTTGGAAATGTCCACAAGCATTTCAACAGTGGATAACCCTTCGTTCCCATCATGATCATGATCCAACTTGGAGTTCAACTACATCAAGAAATCAGTAGTTTTGTGGGTTTTCTTTGTGGAAAGCTAACTTTCTGGAAAAGGAAACTTATAAACCTTCCACATGAAGTACTAGCTACGAGCTGTGTGGAAGCCTGATTGGGAAATGCTGAGAACCGGACAGCCTGTACTGTATTCCCCTTGATCAATGCATTGCAATGAAGCCATCTCAGACGCACAAACAAAACATAGCAGCTCAAGGCAACATGAAGGAACTTGAGGAGCACCAGCACATGCCAGTCCAAAGCAGCTGCTTAGCAGCAAGCATTCCCTAGTATACATATAGCGGCGTACATACGACCGTTTTTTGGTCCTTGAAAGTTTGTGTTCCAATACACTCCAGTGATAAACATAGAAGTACAATCCATCCGTCGAAAGCAAAGGCGATAGCAAGAGGGGAAAGCGAAGCAGCGTCAGTGGAGGCCCGCGGAGAAGGACATGAGCGCCTTCTCGTCGAGCGGGTGGCGGCACGGCGGGGGGATGCTCTCGAGGAACTCGAGCGGGGGCAGGTCGGGCGAGAGGCCCCGACTGGGCGACGCGCGGGCCGAGCGCGCCGGCGAGCCCAGCGTCGAGACGGACGCCGGCCCGAGCGGGTAGCTTGGCGGGGAGGCGGAGGGCGGGGACGGCGAGCGGGAGCTAGACGAGCGTAGTGATGGGTAGAAGGTTGAGGGCGGGGGGCAGGGTCAGGCCAGTGGGCGGCGGCGGGTACGGGTACGGGTTTTGGGTGTAGATGACAGACGCCGGGTAGTAGGGGTTGGACGGGGCGTCATAGGCGGGCGGGGCGTATTGATGCGCATATGGGGGTGGTGGCGGGTGGGGCTGGGAGTGTTGCTGGCCCGGGCGTCGGCGCGCGCTTTTGTACATGCCTGGCGGAACACGGAGGCCGGCTAGTTGGGGGATGTCGTCAATCGTGCGAAGGTAGTCGACCGAGTCTTGTGTGAAGTAGGCGACTATGAGATGGGGTAAGTTTGGCATGAAGGTTATTGGGATAAACGGCGCACTTAAATGCCACTTTCTCCGCCCGTGGGGGGTCTCGACGAAGACAGAGTAGGTCTGCTTGATGAGGTTCTCGCGTAGCAGGGCATGGGTGGGTGGGTAGCCGGGAGGTGAGCTAGGACCGTGATTAGTTCCCGAATAACTTGAAGCAGCAGCAGAGATAGTGCGAATGAATGCGAGATGACTACGAATATGAATACGCACATAGACTCGGACTCGTAGCTGAGATCAATGTCGATTGGATCGGGCTCGCGTTCGTGGTAGAAGAGGAACTCCTAGTAGCGGTTAGCGTCGGAATCAGACACTAGCTATGCAGCAATAGCCACAACACACCTCGCGCACACGACTAGGGCCCCAGCGGATTGAGTCTGTCCAGCGCTCTATACCCAGCTATAGCCCGGGTCAGCCAGTGGAATTCGGGGGGAAAGGAAAGTACTAACGCCCATCGGCTCCGTATTCGGGCCGCCCCGCTCCTCCCACACGAAAACGCAGCCCGCTTGGATCGCACGGCGCTCGTCCGTGTCGAGGCGGCGGGTTATCATGGGAAGGAGACGCAGCGAAACGGCGTGGAAGATGACATGGGCGTCGGTGGGGGTGCGGACGCGTAAGCCAGTGCAGGTCGGGTGTTGCATGGGAGAGGCCTATAAGGCAGGGTAGAGCAACGTGACGTAGCGAGGGCTGAGCAGGCGAAGAGATGGGCAGAAGCAAGCGGGCCTTTTAACTGCCCACCAGCGACGGAAGCGGTCACGGGCAGGAACCTTAACTGGACGAAGCACCGACGCGACGTGATTACTTATATCCACATGTGAAGACCGTATTGCCGTAACTAGATGTCAACTGGTGATCTGTGATGAACAATCGGGCAGAAGGGTTAATCTTCCGTTAGATTTGTGCACCAAAATGAAAATTCGCACTCAAGAATAGATATAGATTGGTGTTCATTAGACGCCTGGTATGGATTTGGATAGGAGTGGATTGGGTTCAGGGTATCCAAGCGGCCCGGGCGGCTGCCAGGCGATGATTAGCTGCGCGCGAGCTGGTGCTCGAGGAAAGACATCTGTCACTCGCGATTTTTTCTTGCTTCGACGCGGAAATTCGGGCTGGATCTTATGTCCGCGATCGTCCATGGGGTTCGGTTTCACACTTTCTTTCGTGTTCGAGATGCCAGCGTCCGACTAGTTGTGACAAGCTCGCGAGGAAAGCGCACACGACGGCAGAAGGCACACACCGCTCGGGTCGGTTCGACAGATTTCAGCTTGTTGTTGCTTCCTTTCAATACAGCTCTGAATGCTGCCTGTCAGTTCAAATGCCCAAATAGTCTTTTCCGAATCTCCTATCGGCCCACAACTAACAGCAGTGGCACAGCAATGCGGTTGGGTTCGTTTCTCGGTTTGAGATCAGCATCGGGGATTCACAGTTCATCTGTTGGCTGGCTATTATCTATATCGTTATCGCACGGGGAAATCATGGCATCTGTCAAAAATGTATGCACCATAAAGGTCGCCGGTGGCTTTGTTGAATGGGACGTACGTGTAGCAAGGGGAGAGACGAGTGCATGAATGAGGAAGAAGGATAATCAAGTCCTCAACGGGGATCCTATGGAGTATTAGCATCTACAACTCATCAGCCTGTTGCGCGGGAAACTGGTGTTAGCGTTAGTGTTGCCTGTTTGCATGCACGCACTCATTCAGCACTAACGTTGATAGGTAGTTTGGCGACCATGCGTGTGGCCAGGAGTTCCGGAGGGGACGGCGAAGGGGTAGACAGTCAAGGCAATAGGTTAGATTGGGTTACAGCAGGTTAGGCCACCGTTTACGAATTCCTAGCATGTATGACTTTGCTAGAAAGCAAGCAAGATAGGTTGATTCCGCGTCCGATGTACACGCGGGGAGAGGGGGGCAGTTTGAGAGTGGCGAAGGTACTGTTAGCTTCCAATTCACGCAAATCACGGAGAGTTGGGAAAACGGAACAAAAGAGGACTTGGCAGGAATGGAGGAGAGCAGGTTCTCCCGATCGGCATCCAGAGTAGAAGCGCTTCTATTTGTTTTCGTTCGGTGAACTGGACATATTGGACTGTGGGTGGTCGGAAGAAGTTGTAGTGGCAACAATGGGAAGCAATGATGTTGACCCAGGTTGATCCACTAGCGGGTGCGAGACTGTGGCAGGTGCGAACAAGGGATAGCATCGTTCGGAGGCGCCGAGTTCTGTTCGTGGATGATGATGCAAACAGTCCAACGGAGAAAAGACCCGCATCCACGTGACCTAAATTTTTGATTTGGATGCTCACGCTGCTGACTCGATCGAATGTAACTCGCCTTCGTCCACCAGCAGCGTACTCAACATCGATACACCGAAGGATGGCTGTACAACAACCTTCATGGACGCTCCCCCAACGCAGCCGGGAGGAGCCTGTCTTGCGAGTGTATAACTCACTCACAAAGTCCAAAGTAGGCTTCAAAGATTGAAACGCCAGTTAATGATAACAAGATGCACTGCAGAATGAGTTTGTGCCCAGCGACGGCAAGCGGGTGAAGTGGTATAACTGCGGGCCGACAGTCTATGACGCATCGCATATGGGGCATGCCAGGTCTTTCCTGCAATAATTTTTCCTTGGATGGACAATCGCCTCAACATCGCAATAGGAACTATGTCAGCCAGGACATCTTGCGGCGGATAATGACCGACTACTTTGGGTACGACGTCCACTTCGTGATGAACATTACCGATATCGACGACAAGGCGCGTTTTCTTCGGTTTTTTTCCACTTCTAGCTGAGCCTTCTCGAAAGATCATTAAACGCGCACGTCAAAACCACCTCCTCGACAAGTTCCGCGAGGAAACCACCGCCGTATCACCAGAGCTAGTCACCCGCGTTCATGCTGCCTGGAGAGTACATGTGCAGACCCAGCTAAAAAAGGGGCTGCCGGCCGATTTGGCGTCAGAGATTGGGAAGGAGGAAGAAACCGACGCGTTCTGGACGCGTTTGGCTGAGCTAGTCAAAGATAAAGAGTGGAAGCAGGAGTGCCTAAGGAGGGATGAAAAGTTTGATATGCATTTCTCCTCTGCGGTATGTGATCCACGCTAGAGTTTTTCTCTAACAGCTGACTGTGTTTGGTTAGAGCCAAACGCTCGCGGCCCTGGAGGCCGCCCGTGGTCAAATAAGCAATGGTAATACCTCTCAGGAGGCAGCACACAAGCTCATCGCCGACTCGAGCGACATTATGTCGCAAGCACTCGATGATCAGGTGGGGCCGAGTTCATAAAACCATATCCACCACTTATTTTGTTTGGCTAGTACAAGTCAGCCGTCACAGATCCTGCTATCTCTCGTAGTCTGGCGGCATATTGGGAGGGAAAATTCTTCGAGGACATGAAGCGGCTCCGGGTTCGCGATCCAGACACGGTAACGAGGGTGACAGAATACGTCCCCGAAATCGTCGCATTCGTGGAGGGAATCGTGAAGAACGGATACGGCTACGAGTCTGAAGGCAGTGTCTATTTCGACACGGAGGCCTTTGATACCAGTCCAAGGCATGATTACGCCAAATTGGAGCCGTGGAGCAAGGGAAACAGAGAGTTACTAGAAGACGGTGAAGGTTTGGCCCTTGTAACCTCGCCCCAAACCAATAAAGTAACGACATGTTTTGTTAGGTGCTTTAACTCAACGAGCCAGCCGTAGACAATCGGATTTCGCGCTATGGAAAGCTTCAAGACCCGGTGAACCGGCTTGGCCGTCTCCGTGGGGACCCGGGCGACCCGGTTGGCATATTGAGTGCTCAGTGATGGCCAGTGCGATTTTGGGCGACAATATGGATATACATTCTGGCGGCGTTGACCTCGCTTTCCCCCATCACGATAATGAAATGGCGCAGTCTGAGGTATTTCATCAATTTGTTGATTTCCCGCTGTTCCTGACTTGGGCGCAAAAGGCCTATCACGAATGCGGCGCTTGGGTCAACTATTTCTTACACACGGGCCATCTCCACATCGAGGGGCTCAAGATGAGCAAATCATTAAAGAACTTCATCACCATTGATGTACGCTACCGTCTCCTTCTCCCGTTCCCGTCGAACGTTGTCTATCTGTCCTAACACAAGACGACCAGGAAATTCTCCAAAAGTACACAGCTCGACAGTTACGCCTCGCGTTCCTGACCCAGCTCTGGAATGTCAAGGTTGACTTCACGCATTCTGTAATGACGGGTGAGATCCGCGGGCTGGAAACGACAATTAATGTAAGATAGTCAAGGTTTTTCTCCTTCTCGTTAATTCTCATGATGATACGCAGAACTTTTTTACAAATGTTACCGCTCTCGTTAGCCAGGCGCGGGCTGATGCCACGACATCTGACGGCTACCACCACTACGAGGCGCCAGAACGGGAACTCCGCACTGTGTCAGTACTCGTTTCCGTTTCCCTCGAAGTCGGATTGTTAACGTTTAGTTTACAGGCTTTACGATAGCCAATACGCATTCCGTGTCGCACTCTGCGACTCGTTTAATACTCCCGCCGCCATCGGTGTACTGAAAGACCTGATATCGCGGACGAATGTGTACATAACAGGCCGCGGTAAGGTTGTGAATGTCCAGTTGCTTGAGAATGTGGCAGCGTGGATAGGGCAGATGCTCCGGATGTTCGGATTGGGCGCTGGTTCTGAAGTTGAGCTTGGTTGGGGTGTAGACGATGCCTCGGTAGCCGGAGCAGGTGTCAACGTATGTCTTGTTATCTCTGACTCCTTTCAAATGGCTAACTTGCTTTCTAGAGAGAAGAAGTGCTGATGCCCTATGCCAGGGCATTGTCGAATTTCCGCGATGGAGTGCGGAGACTCGCGATGGCCAAAGGGGAGGGTAACAGCAGTAGCACTGCTTTGCAAGACATCCTCGCGCTGTGTGATCGCCTCCGCGACGTTGACCTGGTGCCACTTGGTGTGGCGCTGGATGATGGGGACGGTACGTGCTTCGCTGTCCTTCTTCTTCCGTGTTCGTGAGACTAACGTGCTTCAGATGGAAAGGCTCTTGTCAAGCTTGTTCCACCAGCGGAGCTGATACGTGCACGAGATGAGAAGAGGTTGCAGGCTGAAGCCAAGGCTGCGAAAAAAGCCGAGGCACAGGCTGTAGAACGTGCGAGACGGGCGGCAAAGTTGGAGAAGGGCAAAGTTGCACCGCGAGATCTGTTCAAGCCGCCGAACGTGCCGGAGGGAACGTATGGCTCATGGAGCGATGAGGGGGTGCCCTTGACGGACGGGGAGGGCAAGGAACTCAGTAAAAACCAGGTGAAGAAGGTCACGAAAGAGAGGGCGGTTCAGGAGAAGTTACATGACGAATGGCTCGTCTGGCAGAAAGAGCAAGAGAATGCAGGTTAAGTTATTGTTATGTTAGTTACAACAAGTTCGTGGCTTCATACAAGGTTGTGGATCTAAATATTGGGCTTTAAATGAATCTAAGCTTGTATCCTCTCTTTGAAGCAGTACAAAAAAACTGACATGAATTCTTGAGTCAGATGGCTTATAAACCCATCATTTTTGGCGCGAAGTAGCGTTTGGGGATGTACTCATGGCGACAGATATGATGAACCAGGTCCCGTCTTCATGTAGATTTAGTTTTGCGGGTCATCGAGAAATATAATATTTCTATCGTGGCTTGGCAGTGTGATCATGCTAATAGCCATTGCAGTTCTATATCTGCATTCCTTGAACTAGCTCACGTTGTTAAGCTCGCAGTCCATTTGCACTGGCTGCGGAGCGAGTTAAGTATTTGCCAGTGTCATGAAGCTGTTTGTGCTCATCTGTTGGACTATCGGAGAAGAAACGACCGCAGCCGAAATCAACAACTTACCAAATTGAAACAAAGACTTCGACGCACAGAGGTATTTCGGGACATTGCGCTTACTCGATGAGAGTGGTCATAAGATTGGATCTGAGTCGTTTGCGGTGTGACCATGGCTTCAATGCCGCTATGGTTTTATCTGTGCCAGTGCATCCTAGCACGCGGACTCGCACGCGGAGGTCTTCAAGACAAAGTTTCAGTGGCTACTTAGCGAATCAGCATCTGAGTCGGATGTGTCCAACTAAATGGGGGTCGACGGAGTCCGAGCCACGCATGCAACCTGAGCTTTTAATAGGTGACATGAAGCATGAAGAATTTATGCCGAAGGCTAGCGTTATCGACATCGAAGGCAGATGACCCTTGCGTTTGCTAGCTCGCCAAACACCGTCTCATCGCAATCTTTCCGCAAACAGCGCTGGACGGGGATTCCGGATCCATCAGGGTTCGCAGCAAGCACCATTCTCAGTTACACTAGACGATTGCATTCGGCTCCAAAACTGAGGCGCCAGCAATCATTGGACAGGTCTAAAGAACGCAAAATCGTTGCCGCTGCGTCGAATAATGACGTATCTGCGGATGGAAGCTACCTGATTATGCATGGAATCCCCATATCGGAGCGAAATTTGACTTGGAGAAACTAATCCCGGCCCGGCAGACCGACGGCGCTCGCGGCCGGGACGAGGGTGGAGACAATAATGTTGGTATAAATGAATCTAGCACTGGCATATTTTGAGTCACCTCTGCCAGTGGATTGCTCAGGATCTCACCTAAGGGAACTTTTTACATACTTCGTTGAAGGGAAAGGATCCACACCCGCTCTCATCATGATAATCGAGCTCTGAGTCGACGAACGCAAGTCAGCCTGTTGACTCGGACTTCCTCGAGCGGGCTGCGCAAGGGGCGAGATCGATGTCCTGGAGCTTCTCTGACTTCTTCACTTGAAGTTGATTCTGGTGAGATTGTCCATATATTCTTGTCTTGTCTTGTCTTGTCCATGATCGGGAGCGTGTTTATGCAAGTGCGAGGCCGCCGATGTTTGTATTCCAGAAAGCCCTTGGGCATAGCATTGCCCAAGGTAAACGAAAATGGACAGAAACCAATCAAATTTTCTGGTCGGAGCACTAGCAGCGCCTTGTCGTCAATATGAAGTGGGTTCTTGGGTTGCTTGGAAAGGAAATTTTGACACAGCAGTCGAGGGGCGAATGCACAAATCAGAGTATTGTCGTCAGAAAACGTATGTCGCTGATGAAAAGTTGGCATTCGATATAAACACTGACAACTTGCTGCCTAACAAGAGGTTGAGACTCGAGGTAGACAAGTGAGTCCACGAGCAGGATGTTCTGACTCCGGAAACCAGGCTCCTTTCTATTCCTGGACCGTTCATGTCAGTGGCAATTGGAGTTGACGGACATGTAGCTATACCAGTGCATAGCCTAAACCATCCGGACTTTTCAGATAAAGACGGCATCCAAGTTTTCTGTGATAGGATTGTTTTCGGACTCATTCGTTGGGTGTAGTGAGCTCTCTCAAATCGAATGGTATTAGTATTGGTGAGGTGACTAGACACGATGCCCGACAGCTTGAGCACCTGTTAAATCTGAGTTTTAGAATACAAATAAAATAAGAGCCTTATCCTAGAGAAGACTGAAGAATCAAGACCGAGTTGATACTGGACTAGACGCGACCTGACAAAATGTTTGGGAAAAACAACCAGTGGCGTGACCGTGACTTGGCGACTTTTCACACGGAACTCCACCACTCACCAACACTGCGACTCTCGGAAGCAGCCTAATGCACCGCACGGATGGCTACACCCTCCGCAGTACTTGACCGGTACGCAGCAAAAAAATTGCTATTGCCATCAATCTCACACTTAGCTGAAGCGAGGCACGAGGTCTTCATGCCTCGCTCAAAGACGCCTTGTCGCGCGATGTTTGGAGTAACTATCGGGAAGCGGATTTCCAACGGAAAAAGTGAGTGGTCGCTGCCCCCTACTCACCTTACAATACTGAGATGTTTACAGTCTGCGACGTCGTTATCTACACCTTCTCCTCGTTTATCCGAGCTCAAAAGAGGCCAAAGATGCGGGGACCCATTTGTGGATGCAAACATCATATTCATTCATTGCGCTCTACAAAAGCAGACTAACTCGCATCACCAATAACAATCCAGTCGAAGGACGCAAACTGAATCAGCGCTTTCGGCAATTTCTTGCCGAAGAAGAGCGGTTTTGGCAAGCACTTGTTCTACGCGTACAGAGGACACATAACATAGCACTCCCGACCTCGGTTGCCCTTCCACCCGAGCTTTCTGGCGTTGGTATCGACGAAGAAGCTGTGGTTGGAGACTCGCATTCACCAGAGCGAGGGCGGAACAATGACTTCGGCTTTCCCGTGGTCTCTGACCCGTCACCCGTGTCGCAATCGACTGCAGCGAGCATTCTCAGCAAAGCCCTGATATGTCTCGGTGACATTGCCCGTTACCGCGAACAATATCGACCACCACCGAAAATCCCACCCCACGTTCCAGAGCCCAGACGCAAATTATACGAGCATAAACCCAACTATGGAAGGGCGAGGATGATGTATCTCGCCGCGCAAGCCCTTTTGCCCAGCAGAGGGAAATGCTGCCCATCAGCTCGCTATTTTGGCAGGCTACGAAGGAGACACGCTGGCGAGTGTGACGTGGTATCTTCGGGCGCTTTGTGTCCCGGCACCGTTCGATACTGCTGGCGAAAATCTTGCGGGTGTGTTGACGAAGGCATTATCCAATTCGCAAGCAAGGGGCACAATTGAAGGCATCTGTGCTATTTTCGAAGATCGGGGCCGGTTAGCTGAACGCGAACGAGAAGAGGAAGCGGAACCGGTCAGGGTCAGAGTCGAGAAGTTTAAGAGGGACTTGGTGTTGCTCCATGCAGTCTGGAGGGAAGGCGACAGGTCGGTCTTTCTTCTGATCTACTTGGCATAATCAAATCCGTTTATAGTCCTGAGACAACCCAGTTGGCTCTTTCCAAACACGCTGCACGCGTCTTTTCGTCTCTCATTTCCGCGCGAGCACTTCCCGAGGAGATGATTGTCCGTGTTGGAATAGTAGCGCAGGGTACATTATGGGCTAGCAGCCATTTACCACCGGCACCGCCTAAGTCTGAAGGGGAAGAAACCGAAGATCAAAGCAAGGGAAAAGAAAGGGATCGGAAACGCCGCTCGAAACCCAAACCAACAATCATACCACCCGCTCCTGCTTCTGCCGAACAGCAACAACAGCTCCTTGCTCATATTTTGCGCCTTCATACGACCCTTCTTGAGGTCGGAATTCGCCAACTCGATGAAGTCGATGTCTACATCGGGGCTCCTGTTGCTACAGCCGTACCAATCCCGCTTCCCCACGTTGCTGGTGGGCGGAGCCGCAGAACGCGACCAGGTCGGAACCATCCAAATCCGCCACCCCAACGGGTAATCCCAAGAGAGGATGCCCAGTCGAAACAGCCGAAGAAGACTGAGTTGGCGGAGAGGATAACAGCGGTTTTCAGAAGAACATTACCGGCGTTGCGGGTTGGTAGCAAGTGGATTATGGCGAACTGGGACTTGGTCACGGTCGAGGGAGAACGAAATCAGGAACTTGTGGCGTTTTGGGCCATATACGCCAAGTTTATGCGACTGCTAGCAAAAACCTTTCCAGAGGAGGAGCTGCCACCTTTGACCCGTTCGGTTGGCCCAGATGATCAGCCACAAGTTGCTGCGGAGCTGGAGTTGGAGGAGGACTTGGACATGAGAGGGTGGCTGCCGTTGCGTGGGCTAATGGGCGGTCCAATTGTTGAGGGTGGAGAAGAGACCCCACTCGAGCGGGAGAATGCCATCTGGCTCAACGAAGGAGTGCCCAATGTTGAGCAACTAATGCGGATACGGGATTTGCTGACCGACGGCAGAAAAATGGCGGGAAAACAGGTGTGTGGCTTTTTTCCCCTTGTGTGTTCTTTTCGTTGAACATCCACAGGATTCTCCATTGGCGATGTATGGCGATAAATTTGTCCTTAAAGGTGTCGAAGCAGAGAAGCCACTGCCTGCGCGATTGGCACCAAATCTTGCCTCGATTCGGGACTCGAGTTTGGCCCTGCGCGATGCCCGCGAAATGGAAGAAGATGCGATGACGGAGCAAACCTCTCGCACTGCTGATGATCTTATTCACGATGCATTTTCATTCTTGAACACGGACGGGGATGAAAACAACGCACAAGATAGCGATGAAGACGAGATCGTCTGGGATCCCCGGTACGTTCTCCAGGTATACTACGACTGATCTAATTCATGCCCCACAGTGGTACTACAGCTCCAATCTCTCCACCATCACCTCTTCTTGTTCCCCAAACCGCTCAAACAAGCCCGAAAACACCTGTTCGCCCAGCGCCGATGTCGCCTTCAAGTTCAAGAGAAACTGTCCCAGGAATCTCTTCGATTCCACCGTCTGTTGGGGTCATCGGTGCACCCCCCACATCTTCGTTTCTTGCACCCAAACCACCTTCTCCACCAATCACTGCCTCCGCGCCGGTCAGTCCCGGCATGCAAGTTCCAGGAACAACCGCCCTCGATTTGCTCAATAATGTGCTTTCCAAGGCCAAACTTGCGACAAAGCCTCAGATTTCCATTCCGCCAAGTCTTGCTCCTCCAGGCCCAATGAGTGGTGATGCGTTATGGTCCCCTGCTCAGCAACATGTGCAATCGATTTGGTCGGCGGCAAGAGATGAGCCTGGGTTGATGATATTTTCTGGTGGAGGGTCGTCGGTACCTGCAGGATTTTCGGCAACTACACTGCCAACTCAGGCATATCAGCAACATCGACAACAGCAGCATCAGCGATTTGCGTCCCAGGAAACATTTGGAGGATCCCAATCGACTATCTGGTCGTCCCAGGAATCACAACTATATCAACATGTCCCCGTGGGCCCTATCCAGCCCTATTCCCCCGCCCCCCGCCTTTGGACAACTCCCATCCGTTCAAGCCAATGCAAGTCCTTTGGCCCAGCATCAGCGTACCGTTTCGAGCTCGATGACTGCAGCGCAATTGTTTGGTGGTGGTTATGGTTCGCTACCCTTGCCTTTATCGCTGGGTGGGGGTGGATCGCCTCTGCAAACGCACTCTACGATCCGCGCACGCGACCCGTTCACCAATGTCGGTGGCCACGGCCATGGACTATTCTACTCGTCGTCGTCCCAAAATGTGCATCCGGGGTAGCAGTAATTTGCCATCCGGACAGCGCCCTTTTCTGGCTTGCATTCACTGTGTGTTGCCACATCTGCCGAGTCTTTCTCTCGCAATCACCTGCCACAAAAACTAGAAGAAATGGCTGGCGCGTGCTGTTTTCGCCACTCGGCACCGCAGCATTTGTTCTGGGTTTTCCGGATACAGAGCTAGTTAGCCCCTTCTAGCTCGTTCGATATACGGGTGTTAATGACACATCGCTATCAGGAGGACTGTGAATGAACTTCCTGGCCGCAAGCCTTTCTTTCCTTCTTCGTAAATGTATAAAATATCGGGGTGGTCCTTTGTCTTTACTTGTCTGCGTTTGATTCTTTCCCTCGCGATCGTCTAGTCTATAGTCCACAGGATCGGAAGGTGTATGCAGACTTGGAGCTGCCATGTCCAACGGATTTTCTCTTGTTGTCGTTTCTCTGCATACTCAAGGCAAAACAAACGATAAACATATGTAGACAGCCTTTTAGCTATCGGGCCACCATGTCTTTGTGTAGTTAGTAGTAGTGTTGCCGCGGTGCGAGTTGAGCCGATGCGGTGCGTCCCACTCGTTTCACCTCGATCCGACGAGTTGGCACGAGTTACGCACCGGCTCACATCGGTGTCAATCGAGTTGACAGCTGTTTGCACGTGCGCAAACAGAGAGTATTCGATTGGAGTAGTACGATGGTACAAAGGGCCAAAATTTGACTGAAAGTTGCCTTGGCTTTGCCTTCAGACATTAATTGTGCAAAAATCTTGGGCAGCATTCAATAAGAGCTGGTATGTAGAAGACTTTGATCGCTGTGATATGATCACCACCATCATGGACAAATGCCGAATGTTCGGCATTTGACATGTTGTCACAGTGTTGTGTGGTCCTTGCAGACATCAGCGTAACATCAGACGTGCTGGCGTAGACCGCCTTAGACCGGTCACACCGCGGTGCACCACTCGGCTTGACTGAGTCCGAGTTGACCAACTCGTTTGTCGATCCGAGTGGTTTGGCGGTCCAACATCGCACCGACGGCAACACTAGTTAGTAGTTCGTGGATCAATTGATGAGGGAAAAATCAATGCGCTTTTGCATTTTCACAGTGCACTGCTTTGACGGCCTTGACTCTCACCATATCGTGATGGAGCCTATCGCGATGACCACAACCCTTATAACCTTTGCTAGCTTTGTGAAAGAGCTTGTTGAGATTGGACATGATATTGCCACATCAATTGAGCAGGCAAGTATCCTCCTTGGATGTCTCATATCAATATGCAGTATTAATGCTATCATACCTAATAGGTCAAAGAGAATAAAAGGCAAATTCAAGTTGTGGCCAATGACATTCTGTGCACCCTCACCAATCTTGAAGCATTGACTCAAGCAAGGCCTGAGATCCATACACCTGCTTTATTCAATGCACTGGAAAGGCTTAGATTGTATGTAATTGAACTTGAATTGATTCCATACTAGTAATAAAGCTGATAATAACCAGTGATATGCTAGATGTTCTTCATATCTGCCAACAATTGTCTTATGGCACTGAAAAAAAAGTTGGCTTCCAGAAACTCAAGGTCCAAATCAAGCAATGGGTCAAGCGAAAGAGTATTCAGAGTGAAATCCATAGATTGAGTGAACATACTAACAAATGCTTTCTTGCATTCACTGTGACCATCTTCTCTCCTTGCTAAGTCTATGATTTCTAATCAAGCTTAGGCATTGTCAGCAGTCAGGATAGAGCAGGCTACAGCTCATGTCAGTTCCCTGCAAGAGACATCTCTGCATATTGATCAGAAACTACTTGTTCATCATGTAGAGAGTCAGGCTAAGCTTCATAAAATAGAAGACTTGATGTCCCAGGTGCTTCTTGAAACATCCTTTGGACATAATATTCTAGAGCAGACAATCAAGATTATAACCTTGGTCAGATTTTTATCAATGAAAATAGTAGCACATACTAATATAGAGACCTCTCAGGATCTTGGATATAAAAGTATTGAAGCACAATATCTTTCTGCACAATCACTGCGACTTCTGTCAATTACTCGAACTGCTATTATCAACAAAACTTATATGCTAGATACCTCTTGCTGGCATATCAAATTATATGCATCTCCAGTACAGAGTGCTGACACAGAGCATATTCTCTATTCTATTCTGGGGCTCATTCTACAGTTTCAGACCAGAAATAATCTGGATCTAGAGTTGATTGATAATTGCATTTTACAGCTAGGAGACAGACTACATAGAATTGGAATGCCTGCTATAGCAATAGCATGGAAACTGTTTGCTTGTCAAATCTTATCTCAAGTGGAAGATATACATGCTAACACTGTTATCCCCACGACTAGCATACACTTATTTTCGGCTTTCTCAGTCATATAGGGCATGTAAACAGTATCAGACAGCAGTCAATGCAAGTCAGCAGGCAATTGATCTTTGGTATAGACACTTCCAGAATAGTGCTTCATCAGAAAACATGCTCTGGTTTCTTTATACTATAGAAACTCATATAGAGAATCTTCAGCTTATAGAGAAGCATAGTCTTGTCCTGTCTTTTAGCAAAGAAATGTTTGAGCAAGCATATTCAGCACTCCAGCTTCTAGCAGCATTCTTATCTGAAAATGAGTGGACATATGAAAACCAAACTCTTGCCAAACAATGTTGCAAGGCCTACTTTCAATATGCTAATATACTTGCTTATACTGGGGACTCATTCAATGCCTATAGTATACTAGTAGCAGAATTTCAAGCCTTTCAACAGTTACCTCTCTACATTATCAGCTGCATTCACACCAAACCTGTTATCAATCTATTATTTGATCAGATATTATGTCTAACTAAGCAAACTGATTGCTTAAGCCTTGATCTGCTAGACACTATCAAGATCTTCAGCAACCTTGCAACAAATTGTCCAGCCATGTTTTCTTATCCATTTATCCGCTTGGTTTATTTCCAAGCCTATATTAGTAGTTCATCGTTGCCTTCAAATGAGATGAATCTTGAGCCAATTCTTCTGGGATGTGATAATGTCAATTTGTTCTCATTACCTTTTGATGATATATCAGGCTGTCTTCCATTGCAGACAGTTGTCAAGAGTGTGCTATTTGCATTCTATGCACAACCCTTCAGAGTTTATTTTGATCTTATCCACAAGCTCTTCATTGTGCATCCTTATTTGGCAATGTCTGCACTGCAAGAAATCATTCAGAGGACTGGCAGAAATCCAGGACATCACTTTGTTGACTGGATTTTATATTCCCTCAATGCATTTATGAACAGTCCCATAACTTGGTCTCTCAGAGCCAAATTAGTTCAAATCCTTGACACATTCCTGTCTTTGAATAATGGTACTCCAGTTCAACAGCTGATTCTTGCATCTGCATATCTGCCAGAAATCACCCAATCACTTTCTGAGCTTGCCATTCAAGATGCTCTTCTGAACAAAAACCTTGTTGATAGGGTTTTGAACCTACTTGGCCATTCTAGGTTCAACACAGCTGTTGCCATACCAGGTCTGATGTTACAACAACATCTGAAAGCCAACCTTGAACCTGCTGCCATCGAGGAGAAGGATCAGCAGAGTATTACCGTTTCTGAACTGCGTGGCCCTTCTAGTAAGCCAAAGCTTGAGATGGGTGTCCAATTACAAAGTAGTAAGGATGGCAACAAGAACACAAAGCAATTCCTTCTTTTGCTTAATAGACTGTCATGCTGGTGGCCTTTGGTAGGATTGCAAGCAAGTGGGCTGATCATGATTCTTAGTATAATTGTGTATCTGTACTTGTGATAGTTGGCCAGAATGCACTCATTGTCAAACTAAAAATACATCAGTAACAAAAGTAAGCTACCTCGTTGAGCACATTCAACGCACCACCACAAACCTGTCACACAACAACCCCGTCGACACAATCTTCTCGCGATGATGTGCCCGCGCCACCGCCGGCCCGAACAGCTCAAAGAAGTCCTCGTCCTGCCTCGAGTCGGCGCTTACGCTCGCGGCCGGCCTGTGCGCAGCCTCGTCAAGGGCCGTCTGCAGGGCCTCGATCGGAAGGGTGAGGGTCTGCCACGGCCGCCAGACATATACCTCCCGGCCTTCCATAAAGTCTTCTGGGTTTCGGGGCGTGGCGGAGCCGGTCCGGGCCGGCGCGATCGAGGCGAAGGACAGCAGAACGGCGCATACGCTGTCTTTCGAGCGGGGGGGGCGGGGCCTCATGCGGGTCCGCATCAGTTACCGTCGGGGCAGCAATGATGTGGCAGAGCGCGATCCCGGGGATGGACAGATCAGCTTTGGGCTTCTGGTGAAACCCAAGCTGGGGAACGTGTAATATGTGCTTTACCCGCAAACGCATATCGGGGTTCAGAGACAGCAGGGAGGAAACGCGGCGCGTGGCGAGGGACGAAATGAGTCGCATGGTGTCCTTCTCCCATAGCGAGCGAGCAGATTCTCGCGCATCGTAAAACGACCTGGCCCATGCCGCCAACCCCCCACTGTAAATAGTAAGCACCGCAAAGGTACATAAACGAACCAGCGACATACCGAACAAACTTCTCTTTTTCCTTCCCTTTCGCATTGGCCTTCTCCGGACTCACTATCAGGCCCCGCTTCTCTTCAAGCGCGTGCGGCGTTGCCCACTCGTCCACCTCTGCGTGATAGTCTAGCAGCAACGACGCAAGCTCTGACGGCCCGCTCTCCGAGAATATATCCGTTGTCCGCGCCAGCATCGTCGTATTGATCGTCCGCAGTTTCTCTGGGGGGATCGATGTAGCTGGAACCACCGGGACCCGGGGTGGCACGAGGTTCTTCAAAGTGGTAGATGGTTTTGGAGGAGTAATCGGTATCGGGGGCGGGTCCAGTTTCATTTGACGAAGGGCAGAAAACTCGACTGGGGGTGGCGTCGGTACAGGAAGAGGCGGCGGTTGGCGAATACGGGCTCGTGGCGGAGAAGGCGGAGGTGCCGGATTGAATAACGGGACGGGTGGTTTAGGGGCCGACTTCATGGGCCGTGCATGCTGGGCTGCAGGAGGAAGGCCATTCGGCCGCGATGATGGCTTCTTCAGAGCGGAGTCAAACGCGCTGAATGTCGGAAAAGGCTTCTGTTGCGGTTTCTGCGCCTTTGACGCCGACTCCGCAGCCCGTTTGTCCAACCGATCCGTTTCCATGCCGTCAAAAGCAGAGGCAAATTTGGGCGGCGCGGCCAGCTTTGGCGGCCGCGGTTTGGAAAATCCGTCCGGCTGGGCCATAAGCCGCGGCCGTTTGCCGGGAGGCATATCGGACGACTAGAGAAATCAGTTTAAACAGAGCTGTAACAATAGAGCAGCGACGCACAGGCCCTTCGCCGCGTTTCGACATGGTTATAGGACGAATCCAGGTTGCATGGTGGTGGTTGAGGATGAGGATGAAATGATTACGTAAACGACATGTGACCTTAGGGAAACTTTTTGCCTTCCCTCATGCCCTCAAGATCGACACCACACGCGGAAAAGCTTAGCGGGAGGGCTTCTCAATGACTGTCCCCGCTGCTACTTATGCCCCAGATCCTTGCAATGTTGATAGACATGGAATTGACTGAGCAAACCGCGGCCAAACGATTCGATGAAACCCGACGAGAAATTGCTCTGCATATCGAATCGCTTATTCTCCCCTGATCCAAACGTCCAGACCAGGTAACGCATTGCATCCTAGTCTTCATGGTCTTGCAGTTGACGTCGAGCAGGTCGTATACGGTATCCCATCCAAAATGAGGTCACGGTCAAAAACAGCAGTTCAAACATGTACAATGTCACAATGGAAATCAAAGGACGGAGAAGAATACAGTTCCAGTTAACGTTCCTGAGCCCGATAGTAAAAGAGGTATCGCCGCTTAGCCAATGACTGACTATTGGAGTTTGAACCTGTCTCAAGGTCTCAGACTTTACGCGATGTCGCGCCCCGCTGCCACCCACGCGCTCAACAGAATTCCCTTACTCCAGCTCCCGTCCTCCAACTTCACAAGGAGCGCCCGGTTGCTGCACTTGATCGCTCTCGGCCGATCGAAGTGATTCCCAATCTTGACCAATTCGCGAGAGCAGTCCCAACATTTGAATGGCTGCACAGACGATTCGTCAGATGGCCTTTTCGGGTCAACAAATTTCGTCACCTTCAAACCACGAATGGACTGTATGCGCATAAACAGAATGGATAACAAGGTTCTGGAGTTGGTACTACACACCTTTGGGTTTGGCGGCATTGGTGCCGTCAGGTCAATCTCAGTCGATACGCCTCTCTAAAATCTGTCAGACAATGATAACCAGGCCAGCTTTTTTCGCCCCACCTTGCCTCTCCGACGTTTCACCGGAGCCCATTCGTCCCACTCTCCCCTCGGCCTCGGCCTCGGCGGTCTATTTTCTGTTCCATTCACAACAGTGGACGTGTTAGCAATGTCAGTCGGTTCCTTCGACTGGTCGTCGGCTTGTGGAGAGTCGGACAGAACAACCCGGCGTCGCGGGCCTGGGCGGAGTCCTCCTCTCGTTCCTACCGGTCTAGGCATCAACATTGCAGCGTCGGCCGCCCTTGTCACTATAGAGATGGAATGCATATAGCTTTAGGCATCGAAGTCATCAGAGTGGACCGACCTCCAGGAGGAAGGAATGTGAAAGTGAAGGCTGGTGTTGCGCCGACTGTGTCAGGGAACACGGAAGGGAGATGGGACGAAAAGCTTTCGGATGGAAGACGGCTGGGTGTGTCAATAATATGCTGAGCTGGAAACAAAAGCCTGAGCTAGAGAAGACTTGAAGCAATGTGCGACATACGGTGTTCAAATGCCTGCCCAAACCCTTGTTCTCCTTCGTATTCTGGCTCGTAATCGATCAGGTCATCTCCAAACAAGTCGTCGTCTTCAGCAAGAGGCTCGTCGTCTCGAGCCAGAAGTGGCCTGTTTCTTGTTGTTGTGGAGTTAAAGGAAAAGATTTGAAAGGCTGCATCATAATTGAGCAAGGCTAAGCGTTGGCGAGGGACGCTCTAACTATCTGCAGCACAGATGGGTCCGGCCAATGCCATTTATCGACGTGTCGAAGGAAGAGATCGTGAAAGGGGCGTATGACGTCACGCGACCTGTCAAACCTTTCTTTTTTTTGATTCCGTTTAACTTTCAGTAACTTTCAGTAACTTTCAGTCAAGAATGACTTCAAAGTATGGTTGATGTAAACACAATCTACTTCATAAACTTCACAATCCATGTGTCGACAAGTTCGCCTCTCGATTCCTGACCAGGCAAGCTCCGTTTTGTTGCAAACTCCTCATCGCGACAAAATCCCTGCAATCGGCATCGAGTGCCCAGGACATCTACGCGCCGGAGTGGCCCTCCATCTGGCGTTGGAGTATGTCGTCGTTCCCAAGCCCTGAAGATCCGCCCGCGGAGCTCTTCAGAGGCAAAACCCCAGTCTGTGTCCGTCAACGGAGTTTGGAGGGAGTCGTATAGCGCGATGAGGATTTCTTGACAAGTGATTGCGCCAATACTGCATACTTCGATCGCCCATGGAAAGTCTTTACTAATCAAGCGGATGGAATGCGGGCGCTTTATTGGCCGGGATGAAGGACAAAATGGAATGTTGAGGTCGGAGAAACGGTATGCTGGGCCAGCCCGTGTGTTTTGCGTCGATGGTGAGACTCGTATTGTCGAAGGCGGACATCTGACATCGTAGGATATGTGAGAGGTGGGTGGGACGTGTAATGGAAGGGCAATCGGAGGATCAGAGACTGGGTTTCATTCAATCATTGTCTGGAATACAATATCAGCAAATTTACTTACTCGCCAACTCTTCTGTCGGAAGTCGTATTGGCCTGCCAATTCGCGGAGCATTCGGTGGCATGGGGACCGCATCCTTTTTCTTCGGAGAGGGATAAATCGGCCATGTAGGCGAATCCCGAGCGCGACGAATATTGGTAGGCATAGCTGGTTGTTCTGTTACTGTGAGATGGAAGTAGGTTGAGAGAGGGGGGATATCGGTGAGGGACGGAGGGAGAGCAAGATGAAAGAGAGTTGGCCATTGTCCTTCTGCGCATTACTTATATGCACACAGTCGACGGTGCAGCTCAAAGCGTCGTTGATGATATGGCTGATCAGACAAAGTAAGGAAAGACACGCGCCGTTGGGTTTTGTCGCCTCGAGGCCAAGAAAAGAGACCCGAGATAGAGTACAAGTAATTTGATTTCCATTTCGCCATTGTTCTCCCAACGTGTTGCAGCAACAGCAATCCACGACGCGACGGAGAATTGCGGGACAGTAAAATCAAACTAAATCCGTGTGGTTTATGTGCCATTGTCAAGCAGCGATACTTACTCAAGGGGAGCGGTCTTCTAGGTGGCCACAGTAAGTTGCGCATATGTTTATGCAAGCGCAACAAGGCGCAACATTGACGTCGAACTAGTAGTTTGAGGCATTGTTGCCATCGTGTCGGTTCATAAGTGTAGAATCAGGGTCGAGCTTTGCCCAGAGGTAAATTGCACAGGAACAAAGGGCTCTTCTCTTGCTTAAAGCACCCCCTGTGTCGTCTGGACTGTTTCTGGGCGAAAGCTTTCGACAGCTTTCGACTTGTTGAGGTGGGCGGGGAAATAGTGACGAATGCGTGACCGTTCCCCGATTTCTCGACCCTCAACCACCCTGGCGTTTCGATCTAGCATTTGGCTTCAACGGGTCTTGCAATGACCCTGAAGCCTTCTTCTCCAGAGTCCATCTACTTCAACCCTTTTGCTGTCGAACAACACAGTACCACGGCAATTGATGTCAGCCACCGCTCGTCTCCCAGTCGTCAGAGGCCAGTTGTTCGGCGCCGCACATCCAGCTCCGACAGCTTTACGAGCACGAGTAGTGGGCTCAGTATCTTCGGGGCCTCTACTTCTACAAGACATTTACGCATAAGGACCGAGGGTGGTAGCATCGCTAATGGTCATCACCCATTGCGAAGTGCCGACCTGTCGTCTACATTCCAGAACGGGGCGGGAGTAACAAGGCCACAACTCAGTCGTATTTTGAACATCCCGCCACTAGTCGACGCACCAAGTGTCCCGGGTGCTGATATGATGGTTGAGGAGCCAACAGCAGACGAGAAGGTTGTATTGGTTCATGAAGTGTGTCTCGAAGCTTTTATAACTCTCCTTCGTGACTCAGCCTTCTTCAGATCACTTCCAAAGACTCGCTCGCTGGAATTGCACTGAAATACGGGATAAGCTTAGCGGAACTTCGGCGAGCCAACTCCCTGTGGTCATCCGATTCGATCCATTTGCGCAAAGTTTTATATATACCGCTCGATAAGACCTCTCGCGCGCAGCAACTCGCTCCAACACCTCTCCTTATCTCGACCGAAGAAGACGAGGAAAAGCAAACCCCAACATCTCCTACTCCGATTGAGAGCGCCTCTATTCGTCGAGTTCCCGCCTCCCAACTATCTTTCTTTCCTCCCCATTCTCGGCCGCAGCCCGAAAGCCCGCCATTAATACCACTAGAACCACAACCGAAACACTCCCGTCATGTACGCCACGCTACTGCTCCGGGCACCGCATCACCCGCCTCAGGCCCAGTGGGCTCACCCTCTTTAACTTCCATTCTATCTGCATTACCCATACAAGCTTCAACTCGGGACACTATTATCGCGCGTTTCTCTTATGATAGCACAAGTTCGAGCTACTCTGACCGTGAAGAAGGTCACGAGTTAGATGATGTCCGACGGGGTGCCTCCCTAGACTCCATTTTCAATCCCTCTTCCGGTAATGATGCAACCCCCAAAGCGAAATCCGGTGTCACTGCGCCCACCCACTCACACACTCGAACGGCCTCGGCCTCATCAGCCGCCTACAACAATAACAATGTTTCCAGAGCCGAATATCGACGACAAGGTCCACTAAGGACCGTTCAACTTGAGCCATCTCCCGTGATGCAACTACCCTTTGCAACAGTCAGGAAGAAGGCCACGCGTATAAATGGGGATTTTGATCTTCTTGGATTGGGGAATGGTGAGGGTCAAGGCGAGACAGTAGATTGGGACCCGTGAGATCAATCAGACGCTATGCTGGCAAAGCTGTCTACTGACCTCGGGCTTCCGACGTGCTTGCTTCTTTTCGGTAAGCTGTGGAGGGACGGATAGCTTCTCGAAGAGCAGAGAAGAGAATGTAAAAAATTTACGACCTTAGAGGTGAGAGTTCGTTTGTTTGTCCATTTCCCGTCAATGTCTGATGGGTCTTTCTGTCTTGCTACTCCAGCATCTAATGTGTACCATCATCACACCATTCGTGCGTTCATGAAGAGTTGGCTCGACCAGTTGCCTCACCCAGGACAATTCCCTCCAACGTAAGATCGCAACCCGTGTTTTGCAAAAGGCAGCGACTGATAATGGCGTATTTTTATCTTCCAGAACATCGCCATCCATAGCCTCAAGGATGTCTCTTCGCTCGTTTTATCGCCAGCCGACGGTGACCACGGTCGGAGCTTGGATATCAGCCTCGAGTTGGAGTTTTGTTTTCATGTTACTGTACGTCTTCGGTTTAGTGGGTCTACTGCTTACTGAAAGACGCAGAATCACCGCATATTCTCGACGTTGTCCGACGGCTAGGTGTGCTCAAACGTGGAGACTATCTTGCTGTGGTGTGTTTTGCGCAGTTATCTCTGAATAGAAGATGTACGTAGAAGGGAGATTTCCGTGTAAGCAACTGGCTGCATCTCCAAGTCATGATGTTTGGCGCATCAACGGGGTGGCTGCCCTAGTTGAGCGAACGGAGATTAATTTCAGAGAGTCAAGAACGCTTATTGGCTTGTTGAGGTGCATAAAAATACTTGAACAAATTGCGAATTGTTTGGCGATGCTCAAATGGGGTTAGTGATCTCTGACAGACCAACAACTTGCTCCCAACTTTTCGTCAAGAGCAGAGTTGTCCGCTCAACATCCGCCTTGTTCGCCCGCAGATACTTGGTGCATCTGATGTTCAGTCAAACTTCCCAGTCTACCAGCAGCACTCGAGAGCAATCTGCCTGATTGAGCTGGCTTCGACCGTCAAGGGAGCAACATGGCGTTTTTACCGTAACATGGCTTCGTCCCGGCGGGCTTGTTCTCTCGCCCTCGATTCACCCACGCAATACGCAGTAGCTCGTTGATTGTCAACCTCCTGCTCGAAACATGGCGCTCCACCCAACCACAATATACTTCAATATCCCCGTCCAAGTCGGTGCGTGGCCCGAGCCCCGACCGTGACCCTGACTTGCTCAAACTGAATACGAAAAAAGGTCCCACAGGATCCTGGCGCAATTTGGATACCCACTCGGACGACATGATCCTCGCGGTCGCCTTCCCGTTTATCACTGTTAGTGCATTGAGCATTTACGGCGTCATGCAAGGTATGTGGACCCAGCCTGAGATGCACGTTTATGTTAGACGGGCTTCCTCTCGTTCGCCGGCTGATATATGGTTTTTTGATTCTAGTTCCACCACTCGCTACCTCAAGTTTTCCCATTGCGCTTTTGTCCACTGTCGTGCCATTGGGAGCTGCTACCCCACTCTCTATTGTTCTTTTTGTGCTAGGTGCTTTCTTTGGGGCAGGAAGCTGGTTCATCGTTGGTTCATCGAAAAGAAGACAGCGTAGATCGTCATGAGAGAATGATTTTCCTGGCAGTGGGCGGACGTATTATGTAGACTCGTGAGTGTGGTGGCATGTTTCACAAAATCCTCTATTTAGCGCTCATAAACTCAATTAGAGCCTAGTGGATCTTGTTCAATTGCCAGTGAAAAAACGTGGCTTTTCTGTCTCCCACAACTTCTTTCTGCGACTCCTCATGGCAACGGCCCTACAAGCCGGAGCAGAGGAAACTACCACGGTAGATCAACTCTCACAGCTCAATAACCTCCATCAATTGAATATCGGCGCGGACAGGTGGCAGCTTAAGATGAGAGCCCGAAAAAGGCAGTTGCCAACCTATGTTTCGTACATCCCCGTTGCCTTTGTTCTTCAACGGGGTTAATCACGGCTCTATGGTGCTTGCGTTGGGTTCCAGACTTATGGTGCATCGTGGAGTCTCTGAACGTCGTTTGATTCATGGACCGTTTCTGTTGATCGAGGGAACACAGCGGCGGAAGGGCGGAAAGGGAGAGCACGATCCCACAGACAGGTTGCGCCCACTAATTTTCACTGTGCCTTGCGTTCCTCTCGGAAAGCGTCGCTTGGGTGCCGAAGACAAGCTGGCTGTACAGGAGGTAATACCAAACTCTTCGAGAGTTGTGGGTCCCAAAAGCAACGTTCGTATGATTAGCGCCTGGTGCCAATAATCTGGGCGTTTAAGGACTAGACTGCCACAATGCGCCGACTCCGGCATATCCGGACGACCATGTTGTCGTCTATCTACGACAATACTGGTGCGTGCACCTTTTGGATTGTGTGTGAAGCAATGCATTCGATCCAGGCTTTCTTTGTCCCTGGATCGCCTCATTTCTGATGATTCCCACCAGGAAAAGTTATACAGGCTGTGGAGGTATCATAACAGAAGACCCACACAAGCAACGTCTTGTCCGGGTTTCCTAGTCGTCACCATCTCCGTTTCAACGGGAGACTTCGAAGACAGACTTCTATAATCCTGAATCGCGGAAGGCACTATGTCCCGAATCGCTTTCAAGTTGCCGTCACTCGATCTCCGCAACATAATCTCTTTCGGGCTGGCAGCGGAGCGCATGCATGCCCATGATTGAAACGAGGAGTGGTTCACCGCGTGTCACCAGTGACATTGGCTCGTACCGGACTTCGCCGTGAAGGGACTGAAAACAAGATAAATACTGGACGTCAGCGCTACTCTTTTCTCCTCAGGACCCACATTTCTATCTACCCCAAATGGCCTCAGGATACTCTTACAGGCACCCGTACGGCACCGACCTGGGCAGAAAGCCTCCCCCATCTAATGCTCATAGCGGCAACCGATACTCTCATCACAGTTCACAGGCTACCAATGGGCAATATGGCCAAATCTACGCTCCTCTACCACCCAGTGATATGCCGCCCTCAGGCTATCAGTATAATACATACCCGCCTGCTGCACCCAGCCACCACTACCAAAACCGTGACCGACAGACCCCCGACGCTGGGTTGCAGCACGCGCCAGATCCGAACAACTCGACCCGGTCAGAGGCACAAAACACAGACACGTCGTCGCCCGGGCCATCGCAGCGGCGAACCATGGAAGTTTCTGTCAGTCCACATCCATGCCCAGCCTCGTCCTCTTATTTGTCTGATCTGTTCTCTTTTGCACCTTGCAGGTGAAATTCGCTCGTGTGCGTCATGCTACTTTTTATAGTTGCTGTTGGACTGATGTTCTGTGTAGAACCAGCACGTTCAAATCCGCCTCAATGCCGCCTCGGGGTGGATCCCAGCGGTTGTTGTCGCGGTGCTGGAGCTCATTGGCAAGGTTGGTATCTCTGCTAGGCCTGGTTGATTGTCACTGCTAATTTCTCGACGACTAGAAGGTCGGCTTCCAATATCAAGTCAACTACACGGTCGGCGGCGCGGAAGCAACAGAATACATCCCTGGTAACTCGCGCAACATCCGCGCAGCACCTCACATGCACTGACTGCATACTGACATGTTATTGCGCTGCATTTTTTCCTTGTTACTCGGCGCTATTCCGTGCTAGTATGTGATTTGGTTACTATACTGTTTTTCCTTGACCATACTTACACGCAATGTTCTAATCTCACTCTTACAAGCTTAAGCTCAGACTACTGTGATGTCGCTCCTTGATAAACATACGACTGTGGCAATTGGCATTGATAGGTTAGGGTTAGAGTGTGGCACTCGACCCAAAGTCAGCCGTCGAAAGTAGCCAGAGAAGCAACTTAAGTTGCATTCGTTGTTGAGCCACTGGCATCCGATTCGGCCAAGCTGACTTTCTGCCCTAAAAACAATTGTTACCAGTCCTCAGTGTCTAGTAATACTAGATCTCCGAGTCGGAGTCGTTGAGGGTCAATGAAAGATCAGATAATATCCAGCATTATTCTCTCTGAGCACAGGGGAGTAACCATGGCGGAGCGACAAGCAAGCACAATGCTGGAGGCAATCAACTTGAGCAGTACTAATCGCCCGTCGACTGAGACCGTCTATCTCCCGCCTGACAACTTGAACTTGAGTTGAGAGAGTAACTCCCGAAGCAAAAGCCGCACAGGTTTTCAGGGCCGTCGCGATCGTTTCAAAGGTGCTTACGTCGATGCCCGAGAAACTGGCGCTGGCACTAGAGCGCCGGCGCCAATCGACAACTTGAACTTCTAGATCTGTTCAGCCTGAGTGTTGCGCAACAATACCAACTTGACCCTCATGAAGGCGAATGTGGATGAGAAAGCATTAGTTTCTGATCGTAGTTGATGCAAGACCGCACCGTGGAAAGACGAGGGTAATGAAAAATGCAGTCAGGTCGTTGCAGCAGGGAAGGAAAGGCACATGTCCGTTTACCATGTGACCCGTGACGCTGCGTGTTGTCACACACTTTCTTTCCTTCCCCTCATCCGTGCATTTTTTTTCTCATATCACGGCCCCGCAATGCATTGGAATGGATTCTCCGCATGTATGACCATTGAAGGACACGTTGTTCAGGAGCATGCGACGACAGTGTCGGCGGATAAGAAGACCATCACTTGTTGGGTCGCGTCTGAAGTTGGTAAGGTGAGTAAACTTCTGTTGACAGGCGTATAATTCCAGCTGACCAACTCGTTAGCACTTCGTTGTGCATTGGAAAAACGACCTCTATCGGCATTTCGACACGAGCGGCTATATCACGATGGATGGGCACGAATGCGGCGGCGCAGTGTTGTCCAGCCAAATCCTACCCAACTCCACTGCTCGTGCCGGCATCTCGGATGGAATGACTCTTCACCCGTTCAAATTTGGGAGCCTTGAGCTTTCAGGTGCGTGTTTTATTTGCTTCTCGATCCTCTGCTCATAGACCGAAAGACGAGGAGTCATTGCTGAGCCAACCGGAGAACCCTGATTTCGGCCTCATTCGACTGCAAATTGCCCCAATTGCTCACTATGCTGCAGCGCCTTTCACTCCCGCCGGAACTCTTCCAAAGATCAAGATGCACGAAGAATCCAAGTTACATGGAGCTCACCGCGTCGAGTATGTTTTGTTGCACAGTCTTTGTGTCATGACGCTTGTTTCCTACAGACTTGGGGAAGGACAGAAACTTCCAAAGTACACCCCTCGCGTGGTCGTATGGCCTGCGGGACCTGAGCTTGTCACTTTCTGTTTCAAATACCGCTCTCTGGGTATGCGATCCAAAACCCATTTTTTTCAAACAGATGATGACTTGATTGTGCAGCCTTTCTACTGGAATCTGGGATAATCTCTTCGCGCGACCCTAGTACTGCTATCACTGGCCCACACATCCATTCACCAAAACCTCAAATTCCTCATCTAGCCCCTCCTCGACTCCTCGTTCCGAGTATTCCTCCTCATCAGCCATACAAAATCATACCGCCTTTTCCGCTCCACCTTCCAGGCCCTGGCCCATCTCTGTCGCGAAAACGCAAAGCACCTGGCGGCGAAACTTCTGTTTTCCGCATGGCAAAACTTGGTCCCGAAGACGAGGATTTGGCTGATCTTCAGCAAATGAATGTCCTGCGTGTATGTCAACAGCTTCCCCAAAAGCTTTGTTTACGGTTCGCAGGACCAGCTCAATCGCCTGGAAGCAAAGGTTTCCTCAAAGAAGTCTTACAAGAAGCAGAAGATCAGCGGACGGGAGCCAGATAATGACATCTCCGGATTAGCCGCAAACGTGCAGGCCAAACTCGACACTTTCCCTCCCAGAACCAGTACCGCTTTGACCGTCAACACCATCAGCACCACCACCACCCCGAACAGTGACGAACACACCCAATCCTCTGCATGACCTCAAATCGCATCGCTCGCCCGAATCGTGTCTCGCTCGAAGAATTGTGTATCGCAAAGGTTTTCTCTTGTACCGCAACCTCATGTAGAAGTATAGCAACTGTCTCTCAACGCAAGTGTACTGTCGACTACGAATCCAAAGCAATGTTGTTCTCTGTTTCTCCATTTACAACACCCGTCCGAGACTATACCAAGAGTTGGCACCTGCTGTTTTGCTGTATCAAATGATGCTTCGAGCGAACTTTTATGTGGGTGGTCTTGCTTTAAAATACTTCTTTAGACTGTGCTAGATGCAGTTCATTGCGCTACCTTTCCCCGTTTATACCGAACTCCATGCGAGAGCAACAAGTACCTCTTGAAAAAGTCTTCCGCAAAATCGTCAAACGGACGGTACTCCGCACCCAGTCTATACGCCGCCGCAATCCCCGAAACACACGCGAGCTCGTGCATATTCTAGTCACCCACAACAAGTCAGAGACGTAAAAAAGGAAGGAAAAGACACCCACCACCAGTGTCCAGCTCCCTGCGAAATACGTGCTCCGCTGTCCGTTAATGAACTGCATCATTGGCACCACCCGCACGTAGTGCTGCCATCGATGTCCGAGTTGGTGCCACCACTTCACCTTGATGACCTTGTCCTCCCGAATTTGGCCCTTCGTCCACATCGCCTCGTTGCGCTTGTCGAGGAATATCGTTTGATAGACGTGTGGTTTACCCTGGGCTGCGTTCCCACCCTCCCGGAACTGGTGCTGGTAATTGGCAGCTAGCCGGGGCGAGGAACGAGCCACGGTTAGCGAGAAGATAAGCTAGCTGGAGAGCACTCGGCGGCGGCCATCAGCTGATATGTCACACAGGTCACTCCCATTCATCCTTAGCTCGGCACCACCATCTAGCCTCGCCTTCAAGACTTTTGCGTTCTCTGGTTCTCTACCCTCTGTCTAGGTTACATCTCCCTCTCCTGAGTCCTTGTGACTCCTTTCTCTTTCTCTCTGTCCTTGAGACATGTCCTTGTGACATTTTATTTCCTTCTTTACATTGCTTCTGTTCCTTCTTCATTTCTTGGTCCTTGAGACCAGTCCTTGTGACATTTTAACACTTTCCTTCTGCTTTGTCCTTGTGACACTTCCCCTTTCTTGTCCTTGAGACACCTCCCCTTCTTTGTCCTTGAGACACCTCCCTTTCCTTTGTCCTTGTGACACTTCCCCTTTCTTGTCCTTGAGACACCTCCCCTTCTTTGTCCTTGAGACACCTCCCTTTCCTTTGTCCTTGTGACACATCCCCTTCTTTGTCCTTGTGACACCTTCCCCTCCTTGTCCTTGAGACATTTCCTTTTCTTGCTTACTGGTAGCACTATCTGGTCTTGCATCAAGCTCACCAACTCTTGGGTCTCTGTCACCTCAAGCACTGCTGGAGCCTCCTCTTAGGCTGAAGACAGCTGTCCCTGGGTTTTCCTAGGGTTGTGGTGCGCTTCTATCATCCTGTTCTTCCTTTCCTTTCTCTTCTCCCACTTCCCCCTTCCCTTTGTCGCAGCACTCCGGGTGGGGTGCCTGCTGCTGCCTTGCGTTTGCCGGCCGCGCTTCGCTTTGGAGCACTGCTCCTTTGGGGGGGCCGGCTGCTCGCTTCTGGCGTCGGTTCCCACCCAGTCGTGCGTCGTGCTGGCCGCAGGCTGCCTCGAGTTTGGTCTCCCGCCCAGAGCTGCCTTGTTGCACTCTTGTGGCTGGGAGCGCCTCAGGTGAGCGTCGCCCATTCCCTGGAGTCACCTCAGTGCGCTCAGGGCTGGGGGCGCTTCATGTAGCCTGTGGCCGAGCCAGGCACATTTCCATCTATGTATAATGCGCTTATGCATTCATACATGAATTTTTGTCTTCCCCAGTCTCTTCGGAGATATTACTTATCATATTCCTTCTACCTACATCCTATATACTACCTACGTGATGCTAGCCGAGTGTGACCAGCTAGCTTATTGGAGCAGTCAAAGCTCATCTCAATGCACTCCGGGCGGTCTTTGTATGTCTTTGTATAGTACATTGGCCGGAAACCCGATTTGTCACCGTTCTCTCCCTTTGCAAACGCAAGCATCTCCTTCTGCTTATCTGTCTCAGGCTCTGCTGCCAGTTCTGGGACAAATTCCGTCTCGTACATCTTCTTGAAATAGTCTTCGTCCGAATGGGTGACGGTAACATCGTCGAAGAATTGGGCACCACCAAGCACATATTTCTCTCGCCACGATGTTGTATTGCCCAAGAGACGTTTTGCGTCGTCAGCCAACACACACATGACGATCGCGTCAAAATGTTCTGGCTCCGCTGGTTCGCCAACAGCCTCGGGGTTGTCTGAATCGGCGATGCACGTCTGGGTGCGGATAATGACGCCAGTTTTCGAAGAGCGGCAGAGAATAGAATGGAGTTGGGTGGAAGTGCGGATGTCGACGCCTTTGGAGCGGAGATCAGATGCCCAAGCTTTGTAGAACGCGTCAAGACAAGGGAAGGTAAACATGGTGGGGAGATTGGGGAGCAGAGTGGAAGGGTCGTAGTCCCAAAGTTTCATGTTCGGGTCGTCGAAAAGACGCTCCAGGATTGCAGAAGCAACATGAGCTGTTTGATTTCCTGGCCAGACATTAGGTACTAGTCAGGATATTTCGAGAGCAGACCTAGACATACCCGTTCCAAGAAACAACGCCATCAGTGGATATACCATCCTCTCTCCAAACCGCTTGCTGAACCCACAAATACGCAGCATCTTCTTGATAGGAAGTAGCCCTAGCACCGGTATGGTCCACTTCACGAGCTTCAGAACCTTGCCGAACTTCTTGATATCGCTTCGTAGCTCGCCCACAAGCTTGCTGGGGAAGACATTCGTCCAGAATCCCTCCTTGCCCTTGCCAAACGCCACCTGGAGCTTGACCTTCTCCGCTTTAAAACCGTAGCGCTCGAAGAAGTTGAAGGTGTGGCGGAAGATGGGCGAGCCGCCTTGCACACCGTCGTTCAACCAAGACGTGCCGAAAGTCTTGTTGTTGAGCGAGATGGAGGTTGCCTGGCCGCCGGTTACTGGCGCGCGCTCGATAACAGTGACAGAGAAGAGATCGGGATGCTGCGCGAGAGTTGCGGCACAGGACTGCATGGTTGGTCAGGCCGAATATGGAGAAAAAAAGGGCAGAAACTCGCCATGCCTGCTGCGCCGGCGCCAATAATGACGACGCGTTTCTTTTTCGTGTTATTTGCGTTTTCGGACGGCATGGTGAAGGGGAAAGAGAGAGCTCAACGACTGAAGCTCTAGGAGAACTCGACGTCATTGAAAATAAGTACTCGAAATGTCTGATATGAGGCAGACGTCATTTGCGTGTCGGCAGTAGGCTCACCAGGAACGGAGGTCAGCATTTCTCGGAAACTCTCCTGAGATTCGGTGGTCAAAACTGCACCTGTAGTTGTGGTGAAAGGTACAGCTAGCCTCAAGTCACGAGACCGGATTGACCGGGCCGAGACGGCTGTCAATCATGGCCTTAAAAAGTCAACCAGAACTTGTATGGACGCCGTTTTGCTATGGTTCACGCACCATGGCGGAACCATCGACGCGTCTTCCATCGGATTCGTTGACTTCTCTAACGCGGGTCGCGGCGCAGTCGCTCTGCGAGACATCCCGGTGAGAAAAACCCTCCATTCGTCACTTTCTAGTACTGACTTGATTGGCCAGGAAAACCACATTTTGTTCAAGATTCCGCGCAAGCTGCTCCTATCGAACGAAACTTCACCTCTGCCTGCTCTCATCGGTCTCGAACAATGGCGCGCACGCAAGATGCACATTGGATGGGCTGGATTGATCTTGTGTATGTTGTGGGAGGCAGCAAAGGGGCAAGAATCCAAGTGGGCTCCATATTTGGGTCAGCCAGACTTCCTCGATATCGGAGTTTCAGTTGATTTTGTGCATGCTAGACTCCCTGCCAACGACGTTTGACACACCTATGTTTTGGAGTGAAGGCGATCTCGAAGAGCTGCGGGGAACCTCCATCGTAGGCAAGCCATGCAGTTCTTACAACACTTCTAGTCTGATCTGTTTAAACTAGAAAAACTAGGAAAAGCCGACGCCGAGAAGGACTTCCACGAAAAAGTACTCCCGTTAGTCCAAGTAACTTGTCTACTGCATCCTCGACACGAGATTCGACCTGCTTATAGAGTCGCCCGGACATCTTCCTCGCTCCTACAACGTTCTACACGCTTCAAAGATACCACATTATGGGTAGCCGGATCCTTTCGCGCAGCTTCGATGTGGAGAAGAACGAAGAGGACAACGAGAATGAAGCTGCAAACACCAGTGTGGGCAGCGCAATGGATGTGGACTCGGATCACCCACCAACCACTAATGAGCACGAAGAGACTGGGTCGGACGGGGAAGCAGAAGATGATGAAGAAGACGACTCCATCGTCGTGTCGATGGTCCCACTAGCAGACATGTTGAATGCGCGATACGGTTCTGAAAATGTCCGTCGAGAACTTCTGACTCCTCGACATCGGATGCTTATTTGCGCTTTCGACAGGCCAAATTATTCTACGAAAAATATGCGCTGGGCATGATCTCGACTAAACCCATTCTGGCGGGCGAGCAAATCGTGCGTGGGCTGTCTATTGACACGCTCGCCAGCATCTCAGTTAGGATTCGCTAACATCTGTGCTGACAGTGGAATACTTACGGCGACCTTCCAAATGCCGAACTCCTTCGGAGGTATGGTCATGTCGACCTGCTCCCCTTGGACGACCAGCCTGGAGAACTCGGCAACCCAGGAGATGTCGTCGAGATCCGCGCAGACCTCGTCATCTCCGCGCAGAACCTATCACAAGAGGACACAAAGGAGCGGATTGACTGGTGGCTCGAACAAGGCGGGGATGAGTAGGTCCACTTTTTTTCTGGTATCCTCCAGTTGGTGATTCTTGTTTTCTGATATTCCGCTTCCAGTGTGATCGTCTTTGAATGGGACATGGTCATTCCTCCTGCCCTCGTCGCCCTCATCCGCCTGCTCCGCCTACCGCCCGACGAATTCGCACATGCAGTCGAGAAGGACAAGGTTCCTAAACCAAAACTCGATCTGGAGGTGCTGTCTGTTGTCATCACCGTGCTCGAACGGAGGCTAACCGAGTATCCTACAACCTTGCTGGTACACTCGTATAAAACCTTGTGCTCTTTTCACACTAACAAATTGCGTTCAAGGACGATCTCAAACTGATGGAAGATGAAGGCCTCTCTATAAATAAGAAACACGCCCTCGTCGTGCGCATCGGAGAAAAACGCATCCTTCAAGGTGCACTACAAAAAGCCATGGAGGCACGAACGGCAGCGGAGGCAGCGTCACAGGTGACTAGCGAAAGACCCAGGAAACGGAAAGCAGGGGAGGAAACCGGGAGGAACGTCAAAACCCGGAAGCGTTGATAGATTCGAGAAATTTTGTTGCATCATATGTATACAATAAGTCAATTATTTGCGAGCTCTTGCATTGGCGGAGTTCGGACTTCCACGAACGTTCACTGGGATATAGGCTGTTGCTTTTAGTGCTCAACACAAGGAAAGTAAGATATGTACTAAGTGGTTTACTATATGTTCATCGCCCTGCATAACCGATCTCAAGTCAAGTCAATAACTTCGCTCGGCCCATTCTCCCGCTTGATCTTCTTCCTGGGACGAGGGTTCACAGTCTCATTTGGCCCTGTCAAGTCAATGACCCCGCACTCACTCTTGATCCGGGGCTTCTTGTCCACTTGCTTCGCTGCTATCCGCGCTTTCGTAGCCAAGAGTTCTTCCTAAACGGTTGCAACATATAAAACCTATGGGCCAAAAAACAGTAGATGACCGACCTCCAGACGCTTGACTTTCTCAATGTCATCCTTTAGCACCACATATTCAGATGGAGAGACGGCGCGGTTGAGAGGCGGCGCAATTCCGTTGGCACGTAGGATTTCTGAGGTATTTATCAGAATCAGCATACTAGGCAAACAAGTTCTTTATACATACCGATTGGTCGGTACTTGAAGCGAAATTTTACGAGGTCAGGACCGATCGGTCTGGTATTGCGGAAGGTGTTGGAAGAAACTTGTGGAGCACCGAGCCTGCGCAGATATGAACGTCGATGAATTGACTGGCGAGGGTTGGCCTAACTGGACTTGTTGTGTGACAGCTTTCTTCGACCTTTCATGGATATTCAAGGATGGCAGAGACACGATCGTTTTCGTTCCTTTGGCTGGCCCAATTAGGGAGGGAATAACTCTGAGGTCGATGGTACCCAAGTCAGGAAGATTAGGCCCTGTAGCAAGCAAGGTATCGTCATCTATAAGATTCAACTTGAAGTCAGACGTGTTACGAGCAACTGAGAGGGTCTTACCGCTTAGAGTGAGTGATCCAAACATAAAGTGCTCAACCGTCGTCTCCCGCAATGCACCCGCCAAGGTGCGATGCGCAGGGAGGGTATAAGACTTGTCAAGATTGAACAACTTTCCAGCACACCAAGCACCGTCCATATAAACTTTGCCACTGAGAGAATTTTCATCACAGAGGATATCCCATTCTACACTGAAGGTCTATTACTTGGGTTGAAATTCGTCTTTCTGGTTTGGAGGAAATACGCACTTTTCCCACCTCAGACGCAATCCAGCAAGACACGACCCTTTCCGCCTCGTCGACCTCCACACCATACTCCTCTGCGTCGACTCCGTCAATCTTGATCCACGCGCGGAACTGGTCGCGCCACTTGGGCATGTCGAATGTCGTGAAAGAGCAAGCAATTCAATGGTGACATCACGCGTGACGGATCACGCCTTAGATAAGATAAGATAATACTCGTCTTCACAGTTGCTGCTTCCTAGATCATGCGGCGTGCGCACATCGAGGAAGGGATTACAAAGTAGCCAAATACTTAGTCTCGCCAAGTTGGTAACATCGGAAGTATTTTTCGTGCTTGAACACGTTGACAATGGTGTCAGCAGTCAGACTGCCAGTGCACTACTTAATTACTTACTACTGGAGTCTGGCAATAGCGCCGTGACTTGGACCAACCGATGTTAAGTCAAGTCAATAACCTCGCGAGTACCATTCAGATTCTCGCCCTTGAACTTCTTCTTCGGCGGACGGCGAGCAGGTCGCCGGGGGCTTGGTTCTGTCAAGTCGATGACACTAGCCTGACTCGTGCTTGATATGCGGTTTCTTGTCTGCTTGTTTTCCTGCGACCCGGGCTTTCGCAGCCAAGAGTTGTTCCTTCGCCGAGCTCCGTGAGCATGCCAATGGGGTCACCGATGCAACAAGTTACCCACTTCTAAACGCTTGACTATATGCACGTCGGCATCATCGTGGCAAACATCGGGTTTTGGCTCCACGGACGCGGGCCTCGATATGGGCGGAGAAGCGGAAGCCTTGCGCTTGGTCAGAGGCGGCGCAATCCCGTTGGCGCGCAAGACTTCTGAAATTACACATGAGCTCCAGATCTAGCTCGCTCGACGTAAATACTCTTATACCAGTTGGCCGGTACTTGAAGCGGAATGTTACGAGCTCTGGACCGATAGGCGTGCTTCTGCTGAACAGGTTTGATGCTGCCAGCGGAACACCAAGCCTGGGAAGATATTAGTACTGGCCAGTGAGCATAGAGGAAATACCCCTGACTGTACTTGCTGCGTCACAGCTTTCTTGGATCGCTCGTGAATCTTCAGCGCAGGTAGAGTTGCCCCACCTTGCGGTGTTGAAAGCATGCGCTGGACCCGAACAGGGAGAACCTTCAGCTCGATAACACCCAGCTCCGACACATTTGGCCCAGCAGAAAGTAACTCATCGTCATCTGGAACGGATTACTCACTGAGAATGTCCATATTTGCCAGACATACCGCTGAGAGTAAGGGCGCCGAATACGAACGGCTCAATGGTATCTTCTCGCGCGACGCCGACATAAGTATGGTGGACGGGTACCCTGTCGCCAAAATAATACTTCCCGCTACACCGAACGCCGTCCATATACACAGTCCCGCAAAGCTGTGAAGTATTGTGGGGCAAGATGTCCCATTCTACTGTGAACGACTCCAAGCAGTCAAAACTCAACTCCAAGTTTAAACCCGTCAGGCACGTACCCTTTCGACCTCAGACCCAATCCAGCAGGACACAATCCTCTCTCCCTCGTCGACCTCCACGCCATACTCCTCGGCGTCAACCCCTTCAATCTTGATCCAGGCGCGGAACTGGCCGCGCCACTCTAGCATAGGCCGTCGTCCAGCACGTCGAAGAAAGGAAAAAAAACAGCTGCCAGCATTTTCAAGTTGACAGCAACGGATCATTGACAGTAAGTACCGTAATGGCGAGATAAGATAACGCGCGTGCTCTGTATCAGGCAGGCTAGTTATCATACCAACCTTAAGTCAAGTCAATAACCTCGCTCGGCCCACTCTCTCGCTTGACCCTCTTGGCCGCTGGCTGCGTCAAATCTATACTAGTGATCCCAGACTCGCGCTTGATACGCGGCTTCTTGTCCAGTTTCTTGGCTGCTACACGGGCTTTCGCAGCCAAAAGCTGTTCCTATATCGAGAAAACCATGAGTAGCACAACCGGGGCAAAACGTGACCGACTTCTAGACGCTTGACTTCAAGCTGATCCACATCCGAGTCGCCATCGCCAGCTTGCTCTGGTTCAGCATGCGCAGATTCGGACCTGGATGGAGGGGCAGAGGTTTTACGCTTGAGAGCCGGCGCAATTCCACTGGCGCGGAGGATTTCTAGAATACAAATCATCATGAGGATGGCTGCTGGCAGGCGAGTTCGCTCCTACCCATCGGGCGGTACTTGAAGCGGAATGTTACGAGGTCCGGGCCAATGATTGTACATTTCTGGACGCCACGGGGGGCAATTTTTTTGGGAGCACCGAGTCTGGGTAGAAATCAGCTCAGCAAAAGTCAGAGCACAAAGCGAAAAGTGGTCTGACCGTACTTGCTGTGTCACGACTTTTTTTGACCGTTCGTGGATGTTCAGGGACGGCAGGACGACCGGTGCCTCCCTCCTGGCTATTATTTTTCCAAGGAGAACAGGAGTCACTTTCAGCTCGATGACACCCAAGTCAGCGAGATTCGGTTCGGTGGCAAGCAAAGCGTCGTCATCTATAATTCCGAGTCAGGGTCAACCAGGGAACCCATTTACGGCGGGCCGGGGAGACTTACCGCTCAGAGTGAGGGTGCCGAACATGAAAGGCTCGATGGTCGCTTCCCGTTGAACACCCACGAAGTTGCGATGGACAGGGAATACGCGAGACTTAGTTTCATAGTCAAAAGACCGTGCAGCACAAGGGATTCCATCCACAAGTACTTTCCCCCGAAAAGGTGATGCACAATTGTCCGAGAGGATGTCCCATTCTACACTGAAGGTCTTCGAGGGAGTTGCCTATATGATTGGTTTCAAACAACAGACGCACGCACCTTTCCGACCTCTGACCCAATCCAGGAGGACACAACCCTCTCCGCCTCGTCAACCTCTACGCCATACTCTTCAGCGTCTACTCCGTCAATCTGTATCCACGCGCGAAACAGGTCGCGCCATTCCGGCATATCGAATGGACGCGTGAAAAGGTGAAGCAAAAGAACGAGATTCGTGACGTAACACGTGCATCGGTTGGATTATTGAAGATTCAGCATTCATCGCCAGCACACCAGTCCAGAACGATACTTAAGGTACAGTCGTAGAATGTACATATATAACGTACCTTGATTACTACTGGTACGATGCTTCCCCCAGTTGCTGACTTGCGAGGAATTACATTTAAGTTACTGTAACCTAAGTCAAGTCAATCACCTCGCTCGATCCATTCTCCCGTTTCACTTTCTTCTTCGCCGGGGGATGATCAAGCGGGTCTGGTTCTGTCAAGTCTATGAGCTCGCGCTTGATACGCGGCTTCTTGTCCACTTGCTTCGCCGCTACTCGGGCTTTTACAGCCAAAAGCTGTTCCTGCATGCGCATCGAAAAAACACCGTCACTTCAGGGACTACAAGCGGCATGCGCGGAAAGCAGCAGTCGACGAACCTCAAGTCGCTTCATTTCATCCACATCATCGTCGACATCCTGTCCTGGTTCCGCAGACTCAGACCTAGTGGGAGATTCAGACGTTTTGCGCTCAAGAGGCGGTGCAATTCCGTTGGCGCGCAGGATTTCTGAAAGACGCATGAGCTAGAGTCGGGCAACAAAGTTTCTATACCAATCGGCCGGTATTTGAAACGAAAGTTTACAAGGTGCGGGCCGGTAGTTGTACACTGACGGAAGCAATGGGAGGAGGCCCGAGCAGGACCAAGCCTGTGAAGGTATGGGTTATAGGGTGCAGTCGTGCAAACGGTGGCCTGACTGTATTTGCTGTGTGATGGCTTTCTTCGACTGCTCGTGGAGTTTCAGCGATGGCAGAGTCGCCGGTGTTTCCTGCGCTGTTGATTCTCCCAGTTCGACGGGGACAACCCTTAGCTCTATGACACCCAAGTCCGGGAGATTCGGCCCTGTGGCAAGTAATTCATCATCATCTGCAGGCTCGAGTGGGCTTGAGAAGTCAGACGAGGCTGGGCATACCACTAAGAGTAAGGGCGCCAAACAAGAAAGGCTCGATAGTTTTCGCTCTGCTCGCGCCACAAAAGTGTGGTGTGGCTTCGTGCCGGTGAAATACTTTCCAGCACACCGAACACCGTCCGTATACACCCTCCCGCACAGGGTTGACACATAGTCCAGGTGAATATCCCATTCTACAGTGAAGGTCTGTCAAGTTTTGAATCAAAAACTCGCTTTAGAACCACGAAGATCACGCACTTTTCCGACCTCTGACCCAATCCAGCAGGACACAACCCTCTCCGCCTCGTCGACCTCCACGCCATACTCTTCAGCGTCTACTCCGTCAATCTTTATCCACACGCGAAATTGGTCGTGCCATTGGGGCATGTTTGAATGGACGCGTGAAAGAGCTTTGAAGCAAAAGAGCAAGAGAGATTCGTGACGTAACGCGTAAGTAGTATGACACGCTCGAGTTTGTTACTTTTAGTTGGATGAAATTTCATCGCTGGTTCGAGACGACAAGGTATGGTCGTGGAATGGTAAGCTAACCAATTACTTATAACTCGATTACTACTGTAATATTCATACTCCCCCGTTCACTGAAAGGCGATTGTTCAGGTCAAGTCAAGTCAATGACCTCGCTCGACCCCTCCCGCTTGACTTTCTTCTTCGCCGGGGGACGGTCAAGCGGGTCTGGTCCCGTCAAGTCTACAACCCCAAGCTCGCGCTTCACACGCGGCTTCTTGTCCACCTGTTTCGCTGCCCTCCGGGCTTTCGCAGCCAAAAGTTGTTCCTGCACAAAAGCTCCGTGAGCACGACGAGGCAACCCGAGACAGCATGGTGGTACCGACCTCTAGACGCTCTACTTCGTCTGCCTCGTCACCGCCATCCGGTCGTGGCTCTGCAGACTGGGACGGAGAGGGAGATAAGCGACGCTTGAGGAGCGGGGCAATTCCGTTGGCGCGCAAGATTTCTGGGATACACATGAGTTTTCTTCTGTGAGGAGAGGGGGCCCTGGAGTTTGCTCTACCAATTGGCCGGTACTGGAAGCGAAATTTCACGAGTGACGGACCAGTTCGTTCCGCGCGGCTACTTCTGCCAGTCTTTGGCCTCCGAGTTACCGGCTGCGGAGCACCAAGCCTGCGAGGTATAAGCAACATGGCATTGAGAGCAGGAGTGGGATGAGCTCAACTGGACTTGTTGTGTCACGGCTTTCTTTGACTGTTCGTGGATATTCAGCGAGGGCAGCGCTATCGCGCTCTTGTCGTTGTGGGGCGTGGACTTCCTCGCCGTCATAGCTACAGGCGTAATCTTGAGCGCTATAACACCCAGCTCCGCAAGATTCGGCGTGGCGTCAAGCAGCGCATCGTCATCTAGGCCACGGAAGGCTGAGTGTCATTTTTTGGCGTTGAACGTTGAAAGGCAGACACACCGCTGAGAGTGAGCGCGCCAAAGACGAACGGCTGTACAAAATTTCCACTTGAGACACCAGCGAAGGTGTGGTGTCTCGAGAGGAGCCCTGGGCCGTTAAGCTTCCCTGCACACAGAGTCCCGTCCATAAGTACTGTCCCCTTGAGAGGCAAATTGGCTGAGAGGGTGTCCCATTCTACACTGAACGTCTGTCTGGCCTGAGAAACACATTCGCTGTCGGGTCAGAAGTGGCACCCACCTTTCCGACCTCTGACCCAATCCAGCAAGACACGACCCGCTTCGCCTCGTCGACCTCCACACCATACTCCTCGGCGTCAACTCCGTCAATCTTGATCCACACGCGGAACTGGTCGCGCCACTGTGGCATAGATGGTCGTTTGAACGTCGGGCGAAGGTCTGCAGAAAGGGAGGGCGTCCGTGACAGTCACCGTGACATGGTAAGCAGCGGATCATTCGGCGCAATTACTTATCTCGATAAAACCACTACTAGTACTTGCTGGCAACTTGCTGGAAATTTAGCCTTGTACCATAATTAAGGCTGTAGCTTGTATCATTTTGGACATTAGGTGAATTACTACCATACCAAGCTTAAAGCAAACCAGCATGCTTTCGTCTCAAGTCAAGTCAATAACCTCGCTCGGCCCATTCTCCCGCTTGACCTTCTTCTTGGGCCGATCCGGCCCGGTCAAGTCGATAGTCGCGCTTGAGCCTGAGCCCGCGACAGCCTCGCGCTTGATGCGCGGCTTCGTGTCGACGTGCTTAGCCAGCAGCGCCTTGGCCGCGAGAAGCTCTTTCTGTGTCCATTAATTATCACAAATCCAGAGAGAGACAGAGCACGCACTTCGAGCCGATCGACCGTCGCCGCTGCCTGCGCAATATCGGCCTCGGCCGGATCTGCGTCCGGCGACACGGCCCTCGCGGGCGACGGGGTTGCCTTGCGTTTGAGGGGCGGGGCGATGCCGTTTGCCCTCAGAACATCTATAGTATATAGGAGGTGAGTAGGCACACGGCTTCGACCGGAAAGCAGCCCACCCATCGGCCGGTACTTGAACAAAAACTTGACCAGATGCGGGCCGATTTTGTCTACCTGGCGGAATGCCGGGGGTTCCAGCGGCTGCTGTGGGGCACCGAGCCTGGTGTGCTTGTCAGCCAAAGCTAACCCCCGTCCGAGGCGACTCTTACTGGACTTGTTGTGTGACAGCCTTCTTGGCGCGCTCGTGCACGTTTTTAGTGGGGAGGGACAGCGTCCCTGTGATGTTGCCCATGGTGAAGGACTCCCTGGACGACGACACGCGGAATATCCTGAGCTCGATGACGCCGAGGTCTGCGAGACCCGCGGGGTCCGCGGCCAGCAGCGTGTCGTCGTCTGTAGAACAATATAAGGAGATGCAAAAGAAAAAGAAAAAAGTGCGCGCACCGCTGAGATTGAGGCGGGCAAATACAAACGGGTTGAGTCCGCGGGCGTCGATGATGCCCTCCTGGGCCATCTGGGACGGCAGCAGCTTACGGGGCCCGGCCTCGTACATTGTCCCGCCCCCAGCGGCGCCGTCCACATACGCATACGCACCGAGCGCAAAAATGAAGTCGCGGTTCTCCCAGTTGATCGCAAAAGACTGGCGCATGTGTCAAAGCATCCAAGTAATGGGGGGCCACTCACTTTCCCGACCTCTGACCCGACCCAGCAGCTCACCGTCCGCTCCTTCTCGTCCACCTCCACGCCGTACTCCTCCGCGGCGACCCCGTCAATCGATATCCACGCACGCAGCCGGTTGTGCCAGTCGAGCATGGTTGCGGGAGGAGGCAAAAGGGTCGGTCAGCACGTGCTCATTACGGTCATGTGAGCATGAAGATGGATGCATTAGGCCAAGAAAAAACATAATTTTTGCAAACGATTAGGTGAATTACTACCATATCCCAAGACTGCTTTCTCAATGACAAGTCAAATCAAGTCGATGACATCGCCGCAGCCGCTCTCGCGCTTGACGCGGGCCCTCTTCTTCGGCCGGTCCGGGCTCGTCAGGTCGATCGTCCGGGTCGCCTTGCTCGGCGCGGGCGGCGGCGCCGGCGATGGCTTCACGTCGATGTGCTTCGCGAGCAGGGCCTTCGCGGCATGGAGCTCTTTCTGCGTGAAACACCTCAGGCAAGCGAACACAACAGCAAGATGACGGCACACCTCGAGCCGGCTGATCGTCGCTGCCGCCTGCGCGATATCGGCCTCCGCCGAGCCCGTGGGCCGCACGTCGGCGGGCGACACGGGCCGGCTCGCCGGTCGTTCACCAGCCGGCGACGGTGCGATCCCGTTCGCCCGCAGAACGTCTGCATATACTAAGCGAGGGCGGCAGCGTCTGCCGCGAGCAGCGCGTCGTCGTCTGGCACGTCATCAGCACCTCCTACATGATGGCAGGACACACCGCTGAGGCGGAGGGGCGCGAGCACAGCGGGCAGTGGCTGCCCCGCGCCGAACAGCTGCCCGCCGCTCGCGTGCCCGTTGACGGTTAAAAATTGCAAGATGAGAGAGGGAGCTGTACATGTTGCACGAAAGACTTGCACAGTCTGTATCCTTATAAACTGTGCGCAATTATCTGGCTACCCTTTAATACTTCCACACAGACACTGATACGTGGCACCTACGCCCGCCGTCCCGCAATATATGCGGTGGCAGGGCCCCTCACGCGACGCGACGGCCTCACGTGACCGCGAGCTGTTGATGAGTCGGCCTGTCACGCATTACTCATCAACACCACACTTCTCTTCCGACCATGTCGATACCATTCTTCAAAAAGGGCAAGACGCGGCCGAGCACCGCGCGCAAGCGGTCTGCCTCGCCCCCACCTGCGGGCACCACCCCCGCAGCGTCCTCGTCGTCGTCGTCATCGGTGGTGCTGCCGACGCGGAAGGCGGCGGGGAACCTGCTGAGCGCGGGGAGCAAGCGGACGCTGACGCAGCGGGAGCTGGAGGACGCCGCGGTCGATGCAGAGACGCCGGAGCGGGACGGGCCGGACGTGAAGTGGCGGGCGGAGCACTCGCACGTGAACGCGGCGCTGGACATCCTCGCGGGCGACGAGGCGGAGGAGCTGCTTGCCAAGCGGCGGCGGCACGAGGCCGGGCCAGAGGAGGCGGCGCCGGACGACGGGCTGTACCGCGGGCAGAAGGCGTACCACGCGCACCTCCAGAAGAGCAGCGAGGTCCCCAAGGCGCGCCGCGTCGGCCCGCAGCGCAGCACCGGCAGCACGATCAGGACGGTCACGATTATCGACTACCAGCCGGACGTGTGTAAGGACTACAAGGGTGCGTGACTCGATATCTTTTTTTACCAGGACTGAGATGTGGACAGAGACGGGCTACTGCGGGTTCGGGGACACGTGCAAGTTCCTGCACGACCGCGGGACGTACCTCGCGGGCTGGCAGCTGGACAAGCTCGCGGACGAGGCGAAGCGCGCGCCCGGGGACGCCGCGGAGTCCGATTCCGACTCGGACGACGAAGACGTGCCGTTCGCGTGTCTGATCTGCCGGAAGCACTACACGGACCCCGTCGTCACCCGCTGCGGGCACTACTTCTGCGCAGCCTGCGCCATAAAGCGCTTCGCCAAGACGCCGAAATGCGTCGCGTGCGGCGCACCGACGGGCGGCATATTCAACCGCGCGGACAAGATCATCGAGAAGGTGAACAAGAAGCGGGCCGAGAAGGGCGATGGAGAGGAGGAGGAGGATAAAGGCGGCGGGGTGGAGATCGAGGGGCTGCAGGCGAAGAAGGGTGATGATGAGGCTAGCGATGAAGAGCCGAGTGACGAGGATTGAGGGTATTGTTGTTGTGTAGCTCCCGTTTGTTCCTGTTCCTTGCGCTATGACCTGGTCCAAATCCACTCCTGTCAGCGCGCTGCACCGACTTTTAATTGAGGGCCACGTCTGTCAGTCAGTCTGTCCGGATCCGGCCCATGCGGCGCCGGACATGCTGGGAACTTGAACGCCGTTTGTCGTGTCTCGCTGTCGTGGCTGCCGGGGCCAACGCCAATCCGGATCCGGACCTGACACGATCCTCCCGCATTCCAGTTTCTACATATCGCTTCCTCTGGGGACACAGACGGCAGACACGGGGCTCCGGGCCGGGCCGCGTTCGGCACCCCACGGCCGGGCCATTGTCCGTCACTGGTCCTCCAATAATTACGCCCTCTGAGTCGGGAAGACCTCTCGACGCAGAGAGTATAGTGCGTGGTCTGTCCTGCGCGGGAAATCCTGAGCTTAGGACATCGACCCTCGCTACCTGGCATGTAAGTATCCTCAGCCTCCTTCCGCCCCAAACGTCGACTTATGGGTGACAGAGTAGGCACTACTAGTAGTATCGCGGAACGCCAGCTGCGTTGCCATCTATTTGAGTCATCGACAGACCTGCTTGCCAGTGATCCGCTGCGGGATGTCGCCTACCGACTTGCAGCCGACGCCGTCGCAACCGTGACCGCCCAACAGTCAACTTCGAGTTCAACGGCGAAGCAGAATCCGTGCCCGAGGTACCGCCGGAAGAAGCGCCTGCGGTGGCTTCTACAGGGCCTGTCGCCGTCCTGCTGCAGCCTGAGGCCTGAGGCGTCGCTTCTTTGGCTCCTTCAACCTTGACGCCGTGACTTGTATTTGGTCAATTTACTCTAGTGCTAAGTAGTCGGGCACACGTGCACCAGCGACAAGTGCGAAGGATCGATAATTCTGTTCGAGTCTGCGAAACATAGATTACTGATGATACTTGTTGAGAGGGAAACCTTGTCTGGCGACCGAGCACCTGGGCCGGACACGGAGCTTGAAAAGTTGCCCGAATTATCAAGCACAACGCCGGGACCTGACCGGAGCCTGCAACGGTACTTCCCAGCGACGTGGGCCCTACCGCCGGCGGCGTCTTGCGTCTGGCCGTGGCGGGAGCTCTGCACCGACCGGCGGCCGGCCCGACCCGGGCCGCCCGCCGCCCCGGTCCCGAGGTCTGACGCCGGAGCAGCTTTGCATAGACAGGACGCGGGCGGATATGGGAACGAGATCGAGCGTTATTGTAAGCCAACACTGGCACCGTGCGGCGATTGCGATTGCGACTCCGGCCTGCCTCGAGGGCCGCCGTTTGTCACTCCGGCGTCGTATATAGTAGTACCATAGGCCCACGCAACGTCGCCCGGGGACACCCGTGCATGCAGCGCGCTAGTTGCGACGGGGATGTGGGCGGGGCGTGCCGGGGGGTGCAGAGTGGCGGCCACAAGTACTATCGAACTGAATTCTGAGCTTCGCGTCGTGCTCCGCGTCTCGAGGGCACCCGGTGACGAGCTGCGCAGGTGGCGTCCAGTCCAGATGCAGCGCTGCAGGCACACGGGAAGCGCCGTGCCAATGCCATTAAAAACAGACGCGGTCCAGAGTGGGAAGACGGGTGGCGCGCGGAGATCGGGCCGGCGGGCCGCGCCGGGCTGGACGCAGAGGGGCCGCGGACGCTGCTCGGGCGAGACCGGGGGGTACGCATCGCTGCAGCCTGCACTGGCACGACGCGACGCGAGGGGCACGCTGCCAGCCGCCAGCCAGCCAGTCGTCGTTCCCTGTGTCCCATGTCCGCGAGCCTGGGTATCGGGTAGCGTCCACGCAATAGTTATTACTGTGCGACGCCGGTGGCGTTTGCGTTTTGTTTGCTGGGGGCGGCGCACGCCGCACTCGTTAATATCGAATATTCCCGCGCCCCGGGTCGGCGCCACCAGACGCCGTCGGCGCCCTCCACGCCCCTATACCCATCTCACCTTCTTTGTGTCCCACGCTCAATTGCATCTGCATCTGGACACTCCGCAAGCGCGCCTGCCAGACGCCCGTCCGCGACGTGACTGTGAGTGACTGCTGCCCGAGCACCCCGAGCGCGCGAAGCGAGGCGAAGATCGCGCACCACGCACATGCACATGTTTTTCCGCGTCCAGATCCGGCTGCGTCTGCCCACCCAGCCAGCCAGCCAGCGTCCGTCCGCTTCCACGCTCCCGGACGGACAGCCTGCTCGCAGTCACTCACGCATCCAGCCCATCCGGCCATCCGCCATCCGAGCAAACGTTTAGACGCCGGTCCCCGAGCGTGCGTGCGATGCATGCATGCATGACACGACAAACATAGGGGCCTCTTCGCCGGCGCCGACGTCCGTTCCGGCCGTCCGATCATGATGCGCTGCTGCACCGCCTCCGCCACGCGCCGTGCCACACGCCACGCCACGACGCCACCTGGTCCGTCGTCCGTCTGCGTGCTGCACTGCGCGGCCCGGCGGTGTGCTGGCTGGCCTGCCAACGACGAAGTACAGCAACGGCAGCGGCAGCGGGCAACGAATTTACGCGGAATTGCCAGTGGGGAAGATCTGCCAGTGGATTTCTGTGTGCGATTGGGCTTGACGCGGCGAATTGCCTTTCCTGACGAGTCTCGCGAATGACAGCGACGGCACTGGCAGCTGCACGAATAATGCACGCAATGATCTGCGCTGCCGGCGCGCCATCGCCGTCAGCATCGCGCGCGTGTGTGTGCATCAGCCTCATCGCGCATCCGGAAATCGCGCACCTCGAAGACGCCTTCTCTTCCTTCCGCGCGCGATCCGCCCAGCCGCCTGCCTTCCCTCGACACGACACGACACGCCGCCCGGCCATCCCCGACGCCGACGCCGGCCCACACGCCCCAAAGGCAAAAACTCTGTTTTACCTTACCCGCCCGGGGGCTTCTGGCGTCATGGCGACGTGCGCAATGCCCTCGAAAACCGGGCTCCGCGTCGGGCTCGGGCTCGGCGTCGGCCTCGCGGGCCAGGCTCAGGTGCAGCCGTCGGGCGTATGTTTTGCGCGACCCTCCACCTGGTCCTGCGACGGCCGGCCGGGACGGACGCATGCACGAAAACACAAGCAGCTGCCTCGCGTCCATTCCGGGGCTCGGGCGGCGTTTCGGCGGGTCACGCCGTCACGTCACGTCACGCGGCAACAAATTTTTTGTGGGTGGTTGGTGTTTTGCATTATTGCGTTAGGGCTAGTTAACCTCGTTGCAGGCTTTATTGCGTAGTGCGGGCATGCGGGCAATTTATCGACGGTGCATGCTAAATAAATGCCATCCGGAATTTAGCGACGGCATTTGGCCAAACGCGGAGGGGAGGGCAACGACCGAGAAACGCGCAAGGGCCCATAGCGTGCGGAGGAACGAACGAACGAACGGACGGAAGTGTTGGATTAGGCCTGGCTGGAAGAGTCAGGCTGGGTGCCGTATTCGGTTCGACGCAACGCCAGATCTGACGCCAGGAATCTGAGATCCAGATTGGGTAGGGTGGTGCTTCGGACGCGGGCTGAGCCTATAGGCAGAAGGCAGAAGGCAGCGCGGAGCACGCAGGAGAAGAGCTGCTGCAGCTGTGACGCGGGCGAGGTGCCGAGCCGGGGCTTGCCTCTCGTTTTTTCTTTTCTTTCACGCCCACGCACACCCTTCATTTACACTGTCGGTGTAGTGTGACTGGCCCTTGCACTATTTGCGTGCAGCGAATTATTTGGTAAGTGCGATTTGTGCGTCCCAGCACCCGTGCGTGCGATGGCAGGCGGATTTGACTTGACTTGAGACGCCGCGCAGGGTATTAAAGCACGCTGCGGCTCGGATGGCCCTCGAGCACGCTTACGCTTACGCCCCCTCCGCCCCCGCTTCTGTCTACGGCTACGGCTACTACGCCTCCGCCACGCCCACTCCGGATCTACACTGCTACTACATGGCCCACCAGCGCACCTACTCGTACCCGCCCTCGAGCTACTCCGATGGCGGCGATTCCCCGCCCCCCGCCTCGCCCTACGACCGCGCCCCCGCGTACCGTGTGTCTCCCTTATCTTCTCCTTCTATTGGTTGGCTGACCAACGCATGCAGCACGCGGGTACTACGATCGATACCGCGACGACTACCAGCCCTCTGCGCCCGGGTACGCCTCCCCGCCGCCGTACGCGAGCAACAGCAGCGCGTACAGCTACCAGGGCCAGCAGCGGGCGCCGTACGTCCCGACGCCCGCCGAGGCGTACGCCCGGCCCCACCCGCACCCGCATCACAGCCACGCCCATGCCCCGCCGCCGCGCCCCGCCTCCGCCATGCAGCACCCCCACCCCGCCGCCGCCGCCGCGGCCCGGCCCTACCCGCACCCGCGCGCGCCCTCCTCGTCCTCCGCCGGCCGCCGGCCCGCCACCGCCGCGCCCGCGAGCAGCAGCACCCCCAGCAGCGGCGCGAGCACGGAGCGGTTCGCGTGCGAGGTGTGCGGGAAGGACTTCTCGCGGGCACACGACCGGAAGCGGCACTTTGAGACGCAGCACGCGCCGGCGCCGACGCAGCACCGCTGCCGCTGGTGCGAGAAGGACTTCAGCCGCGCGGACTCGCTCAAGCGTCATCTGCAGAACGGCTGCGACGAGGCCCCGCAGGAGGGCGTAAGGGAGAGATATTAGTGGATTCTTGTTGCTTTGAACTGCTATCGCGCGTAGATTATTCCGTTATTGATACACTACCCCCCGTTGTACATATTTTGCCGTATACAGCTATCGTCGATCTGACTCATCTGCGGCCAACACTGGCACGCGCCACATACATACTCTCCCAGGGAGCCCCCTTGGGACGCGCACCCGCGCTTCATTGGGGCACATCCTTCACCCGCAAATGGGCATCAACGCCAGCCACCCGCACTGCTGGACGCCAACCGCGGATCCGGACACTGACTGGACGGCGAAGCACACGGCGACTTCTGTGTCGGGCTATATTGCGCGCAGACGGACGACGTCATTGTTTGGGCTTCGCTTTGTTACGCGTAGATAGATTATCGATAGCAGACGCCGGCGGCTGGTCTGGGACAGAGCCAACATCGTTCGTCAAGTTCCAAGCATTGTCCCTTTGTTCGCCTTCCCATCGCAAGCCGTCCTGAAGAGAGCATCGCATCGGACGGCGATTCCGACGTTCTGGATCTATCGCGCGGGGCAGATCCTTGAACCGCAAAGCCCTTGCCAGTGTCCATGCATATGTCCGGATCCGCGGGTGCGACATTGTATGCGCATCGCATCGCATCGCAGCAACGACGTCATTGTGTGTCCACGCGTACCGGGCGAGCGGGAGCAGTCGGCGCGAACGCGGCAGCGCGGACATTGCTTTGCGTGTAGTTGTCGTGATTATTGCGCCTCCGAACCCGGACGCGTCGATGTGACTCTGTGCCCATCGAGGGCGATGGCGAGCAGAATAACGATACGGCGCCGGCGCATCATGATCGGCGCCGGCATCGGTATCGGCGTCGCGATTTTGTTCGTTTCTGGATCGTGTGCGCGTCAGATCGCTGTGGAGTCCCAGCCCAAGGGCGCCAACGGCCGCATCGACCGCACTACCTCTCCGAGTCCGAGTCCGCGTCGCGGTCGCAGCTACAACGGGGGGCGCCGGCCCGGGTCGTCCGGTAGCTCCGGATCCCCGCGTCCATGTCCATGTCCATCGAAGGGTCTGTCCGCCACCGGATAATCGGCGCATTGCCGCCCGTATAAGGCAACAGCCAGCCCAGCTTGACGGGCGGAACCGTGACGCGGATCGCATACAGCACTCTCTTTTCGAAAATAGCGCGCTGAATTGCGGTGTTCAATGCCAGGGCGAGGGCGGACATGTCGGCTGTCGGCTGTCGCTGTCAGCACCCGCTCGCCGGGGCGGACGCGAGGCGACAGCGAGTCCAAGTTCCCAGCGTGTCCGCGTCCGGGCCCGCCGCCGCCGCCGCATGGGCCGGACAGAGATATCTGCAGCCTGACGGGGAGCGGTGCAGCGCCGACAGCGCGGCCAATCGGCGGCGAGAGTTTCCAGTCGTGGGCGCTGAGGTTGTGGTCTCGGCCCAGGGCCCACACAGGAAATTCAGGAATGAAGCGCGCCGGACGCCGGCCGCGGCTGGTGCAAGGAACAGGAACATGAGGACCACGCTAAGAGTAGCAAGTGGGTCGACAAATCGGGTCGTGGACGGGCGTTGTTGAAAAAGGAAAAAAAAATGATGGTGTGAGTCAGAGTCACGGTGTGCTAAGATTACATAATGCAATTCCTTTCAAGTTCGCAAACGCCGCAGATGGAGTGTATACGTGGGCCTTGCGTAGGCGCCCGTGCGCAAGGAAACCGCGTGTCCAATGGCTCTTATAGCGCGCAACAGCATCGTCCGCTGCCAGTTATCCACCATGTCCCAGCCTGAGTTGACGTTCTTCTCTGCCCTCACCTCGCGCATCTCCACCCGCCTCGAGTACCTGGGCCTCACGGGCGACCGCGGCCTGCCGGGCCCGCCCCCCGCGTACGTGCCCATCGAATACCCCCAGGCCGACCGCCGCAACTTGGAGTACATGGGGCTCATCAGGACCCAGCCTTGCTTAGAGTGGTATCCCGGGCTGTCCACCTGGGCGCAGCGCCTGTACGCGCTGCCCGCGCCGGACCGCTCGCGCGTCGTGGCCCTCACGCTCTACACGGACCTCACCGGGCCCGCCGACGCGCGCCAGTGGCTCGCCGCCACCGTCGCGACCACCCCCGGCACGGGCGGCCCGGCCGCGGCCCCGGACACGTTCTACACGAGCTACAAGATCGCCGCCGCCCCGAAGAACCCGCCGCTGAGCTGCTGCATGGAGCTGCCGGAGGAGGACCACGTGGAGTACGCGCCTGCGACGGACCCCGCCGGGCGGCGCTTCCTCGGCCGCTTCCCCGCGCGCGCCGCGCAGACGACGTACGCCGCCGGGGCCGGGCCGACGATATATGAGCTCTGCGCCGCGGCGCTCGGCGTGCACCTCCGGCCCGCGCCGCCGCCGCCCGCGGGGATGTGCGCGGCGTTCCCCGGCGCGGTGTATGCGCTGCTGACGGCGCTGTTCCCGCCGGCCGGCCCGCGCCCCGATCGCGACGCGGACGCGGATGCGGCGCACGTGCAGACATTCGGCGCGGGGTGGGAGCTGCTGGAGCGCCTCCATGCGGACGGGGAGCGGGAGGCGCGCATGAAGAGGGAGTATGAGGAGATCCTGGCGATGAAGGCGGAGATCGCGGGCTACAAGGCGCGAGTTGCGGCCTGTGAGAGGAAGCAGGCTGAGGCGAATGCGGCGGCCCGGGCGGCGCGGGGCAAGGAGCACAACGTGTTGGAGTCCGCGCCGGTGTAGTAGTCTACCGTGTAGATTGCCTTGTGCTAGTGGATTGCCTGTATTGCATGCATGTGTGTCATACTTCAAGTTAATTGCGTCCGGATACGTAGAATCGTATAATTGCACGAACGCGCCAGCCGGACCGGCGAACCCCGGTGGGTGCACTGACACCGAACTTGACTTTAAGTCCATCCTGGGGACGCCGACCCCTGGAGCGCGCTCCAGGTCTCCTTTTTCCAATTCCATGTGTCGCCGGCCCGGGTCCGCCGCGTCTTCTCGCCCTGCATCGCGTCCGAGTTTGTATGAATATTAACCCCGAGTTCGCGGTGCCTCGGCTCTTTCCGTGCACCTGTATACTTATCCGAATCCGCTGCTCTTGCGCCGGGTGTCCCCGGCCAGAACTTGCACTCTATCCACACTCAGCACCAGAGCGGCGGCTCAAGCTCAGGAAGCCGGCACCGGTCGCTCATCATTGCAGCATTGAACTTGACGTAGCCTTTTGCGAGCTCCGTCGACGCTCATATGCGCGCCGGCCCGGGGCCGACGGTCGTACTTACCGAATAGGGCAACTTTTCAAGCTCCGGCGGTACCGCTCACTGTTCATTTTGTGCACCACCCGCCGGGAGGCTGCATGCCGTGTCGACGTCGTCATCCGAAGCAGCCCTCTTAAACCACCGCCAGGCACCTACCTACTTATTGCCACCCCTGGCAGACGGCGACCTGCCCACCACGGCACTTCCCAGTAGATCGCCGCCATGGCACCGACCCGGGCTCCTGCAGCATTAAGCTTACGCGCCTCCCTACCCTCGCAGCGCCAACTTGAATGCGCCGCTCTGGCTGCCCCCGAATTCGAACCGCGGCAGTTCCCGAGTGTGCATTGCGTGCTCGATGGGAGCGCTGCCTGAGGCTGAACACACAAGACGAGACTGACGTCTCCAATGCCTCAAAACGATCGAGTTTTTGAATCGTGAAGACGTGATCTGTTGACTTGATCACATCCCTTCTCAAGTTTCTCTTTTGAGTAATGCAAAGTACTCTCTTCGTTCAGCAGGATTAATCGAGCTCCATACCGTATCGTGCGCCATAAGTAAATCGACCAACTATGCAATAAAAGCAAGCAAAAAATAGCATCAGGCCCTGCCCAACTTGAGGCGCCCCGCGAAAGCCTGCAGCGACCGTCTCCGCCTTATCGCCAGCACGGCCATGACGAGCGACAAGAAGGCGAGAACATGGTGCTTCCACCGGCGCCAGGCGAGCACGAGCAGGGTCCGCGCGAGATCGCGCTTCCGCCGGCGACCATGGTGCAGCGCTCCCGTCGACGAAACGGGGTAGCCAAAGAACGGGTTCAGAAGCGACGTCGGCTGGAGGACGGTGACAGGCCTAGGAGGAACCAAAGCACGTGCATTTTCTTCTTCTTCCAGCGGGACCTCGGGCACAGATGTTGAATGGCCGTTGGGCGGTTGCGACGGCGTCGGCCCCTTTCCGGGCTGCGAGTCGGAATCGGCGATGTCCCGCAGCGGATCAGGGAGGGCTGTCAGCGGCGCTAGCGTTCCGCCATACTCTGTCGTGTTTATATAAGTCGTCTTCTGGGGCCAAAGAAAAGAATATCGACAGACCCTGAGGCAGCATCGCTGGTGTAAAGTACTCCGTCACCTCCTTCTGCGTCGGGAAAAATATGCGCGCGAGGGCCGGCGCGGGCATGACGCGCTTCGCGATGCTCCATAGCCCGGCATGGGCCCACGAGTAGTTTATCATGAACGCTGCCCCTGGTTAGCACGGAATGACACGGCTAGAGAAAGCGTAAATTACCCGCAGCTAGCATGCCAGGAAAATGGGGGACCGCCTCGCGGAGGGTCCAGGTAACGAGGTCGATGTTCTAAGGTTCCCAACGGCGATCAGGATTTCATGGACGGAGCCTTAGTAAAAAGCGAGCAACGCACTAGACTCTGCGTCGAGAGGTCTTTTAGGTCGAGGAGAATGACGTATTGGAGGACGGGTGTCTGTTTTGGGCTGTCCTCGTTTAGTTGTATGAGATGCAACCGTAGTCTTTCAAGGGCACGAAGCAGCAGCGGCTTGTACGCGTCGGAGGAGTCGTTGAAGGAGACCACTTTGATGATGAGCACCGGCCGGCCGAACGGGTCCGTCGCGGGCGGGGGCAGACACTGCATCAGCGGCATATGTGGTGGCCTCTCCGGCGGCCACAGGTGGCTGAACCGCCACACCAGCGTCTTGCGGACCGATTCCATCGCAAAGGAGCGCGTAAACTTGTTGCGCTACAAAAAGTCAATAGAAGCGAATGAGCTGAACTAGCAGCACGCACACGCATGATTCGGAAGACGGATGCTTCTCGACTGGGTCAGCACCAAACAGGCGTATAGTGCGGCTTAAACACACACACGTATCGCTCAGCCACTCCCGCGCCCACTCCACCGCATCATCCGCTAGTTCCAGCTCGTCCGCGACCGAGGGCAGGATGTCGTCAATAAGCGTCTCCTGCAGCTTGAGGATGTCCTGGAGAGTCTCGGTGTATTGCACATCCAACAGCTCCGACTTCTCGCGGTTGGTCTGCAGCAGACGGTCCATCCCCGCCGTGGTCCGTGCGTGGCCCAGGTTGATGGTGGAAAACAGAAAATAGCAGGGCACGTGATATCGCTGCGACGGCTATCGCTTGGCCGGCTGACCCGCCGGTCTGAACCATTGTAAAAAGCACTAGTACATTTCCATAAGTACTATACATATCATCGTAAATAATCAGTGAACCAACTCCACTGGAGGGCAAACGAATAAATATAAGTAGAGCATAGAATACCAGTAACAAGAGATATGCAATATACTTAGAACTTGCCGATTTTAGGTCAAGTCGATAACTTCGGCGGTCGCTGGAGGCGAGTTCGAGTCCCTCGTTAAATCAATTACCTCGCTGGACTTGCCATTGCGGCCGACGGACAGCGGTTCGCGCTTCAGGCGTTTGGAAAGAGCCATTTCCTCCAGCTTCACGGTACCGGATTTCCGCTTCGCCGGCCGAACGCTTGCTGGCGCGATTCCGTTTGCCTGCAGTATGTCTGGGCTCGTCAATATTGATCCTGCAGGCGTGAGAGGCGACACACCCAGTGAGCGGTATTTGAATGTGAATGTAACGATCGGGAAGGTTTCGAGGTACTCGACGATTGCGGCAGAACGCATATTTCCTTGCACCGGTTCGCCAAACCTGGTTCGAGCTTAGCCACGGGTTAAAACGAGACGCAGTTCACGCACTTTGTTTGGTGTGCAACGCCTTTCTTGGAGCGCTCGTGAACCTTGGACTCGGCGACAGGAGCGTTGTCCGTAAACGGCTTGGTTCCCGTCATGTTTATCGTCCATAATTCCAGTTTGATGAGCCCAATATCGCGACTTGACGTTATGTCAACGAAGTCGTCGTCATCTAGGGAGTCTTAAACCTGCTTCATATTCGCAAATAAACTGACCTGTAAAATTGATAGTCGAAAAAAGAAAGGGCGACAGTGCTGATCCAGTTGTTCTCCGCCCCGACACACGGGTGGACATATTGGGGCCGAGGAGGATCTCCCCGGAGCACTCGATGCCGTCGACCCACACCCGGCCCACGGTCTGGCAGAACACGTCCGTGTTGCGCCAGTGGATGGAGAATTCCTTTGTGCGGTTTCAGAGTCCGCGTCTGAGTCAGAGTGGCCAGAGGATACAGACTTTGCCCAGCTCAGAGGCGATCCAGGAGGTATATCCGCTGGGCTCCTCGAGCAGCTCTGGCGCGTAGAACTCTGCTTCGTCGTCGCCGACCACAATCCAGGCGTCGAAGCCGTTTGCGCTGAGGGGCATAGCCAAGATCAAAAGTAGTGTTCGCGTGACTTTGCTCCGTTAAGCAATCCAAAATGTGACGTGTTCGTGACATGGTTGTTCGCGCACTCTCGTTGCTGAGGTTAGCTGCAGACCATTTGTAGCAAGGTTAGAAACGAGTACGAACGGTATTAATCTCTACTTATATCCAATTCATTTCTACTGACCTCAAAGCCTTCAGATCCTGAATTCGACTGTAAAACCTTTACCTCTCTCGTCCAAAGTTGTCCCCACCGAACTCCGACTTTTGACGCCATAATCCAAAGCAGTCCAAAGCCGTGACGTGTGACGCGACCCTCTTCGCCTTGCTTCTGGCCCTCACCAACAAATGCCCGTCTGGCAAAACCAGTTCCGCGCGTGGGTGACCGTGGACGGCGAAACCGCAAACGAGTTCGAGGTGCAAACGGATGAGCTAGGCAAGACGGTGACGTGCTGGATCCGGTCGGAGGCCGGTAAGGTGCGATTTTCTTCTGTAAATTCCCGCCTCTCCAGCTCATTGGACTGTCCACAGAGCTTCTCCGTCAGCTGGCAGAATCTGTCGTATACCGGAGCCTCTGACGGCAAGGTGTTCGTCGACGGCGTCCTCTGTGGTGGGAAGATCATCCGCTCGGCCGTCAAGCTGCCCACAACGCGCAGAAAATCTGGACTTACCAACGGTACCACCATCAAACACTTTTTGTTCTCTGATATTCAAACCACTGGTCAATCTCTTCACGAGTATCTCTGGAACCTCAAAGTATATCTGATTCACAGACGACGACACGCTGCCAGACGATGCGACCGACTTTACGAGACTGGGCGTCATCAAGCTCGCCATCTACCCCGTTGTTGTGGGAGGAGAAATTCCCGGCGGCTCGGCACTGCTCCCCCAAGTGACATTGCACGAAAGCTTAGTATCGACCGCGGATGTGATGCAACAAGTCCTGTGCGACAGTCCAACTCCCAGCTTGCTCGCTGTTTGTTGATCTTGTTACCTTCCAACCAGGCTTGGAGTCGAAGAACCCCTCAAACGCCCACAACCGATTCTTCGGACCTGCAAGACGGGCCCCGCTCTTGTCACCTTCTGCTTCAAGTATCGCCCCTTGGGTGGGTTTTCCAACTGCCGTTTCTAGCCATGACATATATATCTGTCCCAAGATCATCTTCCAGCGAATAGAATCGCCCCGAAAAAGCGCTTTTTTTCAGAAATGTCGGAACCGACAGCGATATTGCAAGCGTCTCTCTTCCAAAATGCAAACACGAAGATACCACAAGTCGGTTGTTTCCTTTAGTTCAATCTCTTCAAAAGGATTCACGGTGCAATTTTCTTCTAAGAACGATGCTTTCATAGACCTCACATTGGACGACACGCCCGAACCACCAAGAAAGAAAGCGAAATGTGCGGCTGACGCGTACTGCGGGGTGTTATCCGGATGGCAGCGGGGAGAGGTCATCGATTTGACTTGATTGCAAGTAATTTGGAAGACTAAACGCAACGCAACACGCATTCAACTTGTAATTGTAATCTTACTCAGTGATGTTAATTAATAATGGCATCCAGCATCAGTTTTCTAGACGCGTACAGTGCAGTAACGAGCAAGTGACTCTTTAAATTGGCAGCCAGGGGTGACAATTTATGGTCAAGCTAAACTACGATTCAGAAAGGCTGCTTCTTGAGTATCTGGATCGCTCGCCCTACTATTTGAGCACTGAGCGCAGGACGTAGGGACACACTCACCAAAAATAGCCCAGCCGCAGCGAAGAAGAATTGATGAGACGCGATCACGGGACTTGAGCTTGGCTCCACGAGATATTCTTCGGTGACTTCCATCATGCAGGGACTCCACTCCGAGCCCCAAAATTCCATCACTAATTCGGAGATCTTTCGCCGGCTACACCTGCGCAGCAATTACACGTCGGACTCGGCGACTCGGAGGCGTGGAGCCTACGTATGGAAAACCTCATTGTGGAGCACAATAACGGAATAGCCACTTGTAACGCTATATAAGCGCGCGCGCAGCTAGCCGACTCGTCACAAACCTTTCTCTCTCCCTCTCCCCACGACTTCGAGACCGCCGCCTTTTACGAACCATCCAATTCTTTCACGATCATGAAGTCCTTCACGCTCTCCCTTCTTGCTCTCGCTGCTGCCAGTGCTGTTAGTGGGCGGGCCATGCAGGTGAGCGTGCCACACCCAACTCCGCCTCTATGTGGCCACTGACCTTTCTCTTTCATTTAGGCTCGTCAGGAACTCTCCAGTGCGAGTGTCAGTGCCGTCCCGAGCTCGCCTCCGTCCGTCTCCGGCTCGGCGCCGGTCGTAACTGCGACCTCCACACCGGGCGGATTCGCGATGGTGGCGGCATACACCACCTGTCTGGAGTTCACCTTCACGCAGGCGCCGATTCCTGTGAGTGGCCTTTGTTATGCCACCCGCAATCCAACGTGCTAAGTACATTATTGCAACAGCTCACCCCGACACTAATTGGAGTCGATAGTGCAGCCGCAACCCCAACACAAAGTGACCTTCTCCCAAGCGTCGTAAGAATGAGCGTCTCCCTAGCAATTCGCACCTGACCACCTCCCAGAGTGTAAGCATTCCCGCTTCTGGGTCGGCCCCAGCTTCGTCGGCCAGCTCGAGCCCTGCTCTCGCAGTGTTCTCGACATGTTTGTTCTTCCTTCCCACTGCTACCGTAACGTCTACTACGTCAATCCCAACCGCATCGGCCAGTGCATCCGCAAGCGCGAGCAATGCTTTCAGCTCATTGGCTCTTTGAGGATGGGGACGAGAGCTTGCCAAAGGACATTGATTAACATGTAGTAGCAGCATAATACGTACTGATGGACAATGCACAATGTTAGAGAGCATCTACGTCGATGATTTCAACAGGCTCCTTTTCACTTTCTTCCGCTGTTGCGTTTTCCGCCTCTTCTTGTTTGGGAGTTCCGGCGTTGGTTCGGATTTGATTTGACGTGTAGGCTGAAGTTCCGCAAGTCGTCCCTACCACATTGACCTTAGAAACTGGACTTGGAAAATCAAGTGAAGTTGCCCCACCTGGAGAGATGCTAGTTGATACTGATCACAGATAAATTTTTTGCTTGAAACGAGATGATTTCACGTACTTGTAAAGCCGCGACTCTCTCAGGCTTTACATCCACTTTTGCCTCGTTACTGTCGGCCTCATCACTGTCTGACTCAAAAAAGAAGTCCAGCAAAACATCTGAGTTCTTTCTAGATCGCTTTTTCGGCAGTCTCGTTGCAGGCGACTCAGTTGAACGACTGCGCTTGGGTCTGTCGGCTTCATACACCCGATCTGCATATCAGCAGTTAGCAATTTGGAGGAAACGAAGAAAAAACTATACCTGCTGGTCGATAGATAAACCGAAACCTTGCTAGATAAGGTTGGTTCGCAAGTGGGCGAACAGCAATCTGGGTGTCTTGGTCCTCGGACTGCTCCCGCGCTTTTCCTTTGCCCTTCCGTTTGCGCTCAGATTGGCGCGATTTGCGTGTTCGCCGTGGTGCTCCTAGACTAGTACCACCACGAGTCAGCTGCAGGTGGAAATAATTCATGGCGCTCGTTGACCGTCCGACGCCGGTATTGAGGGGTCTCCGGGCCAGACTCGCAGTCGGAGCCAGAGTCAGAGTTGTTGGAAGAGATGGTGACACCATAAATGTCGACCTCAATGACGCCCAAGTTGGAGAGATCCTCGCCCTCTTCAGCCCACTCGTCGTCACGATCTAGGTGGTCTGAGCCCAACGCCACGTCGCTATGGCGACAGCTCACCAGTGAATGAGACTTGCTCGAAGACAAATGGCCGGAGAACCTCGTTTCCCGCATCATCCTCTCCGACAACTCCATCCTTGCAAACGGTCCAGGGCAGCGCTACTCCGTCTGCCGGGTCGAACAGGGTCGGTACACCCTTCTGTCCATCGATAGACACACACCCGCAAATCGGTGTGTCTGGCTCATGGCTGCGGTTTTCCCAGTGTACGGTGAAAGTCTTGTCGTAGATCAGCAATAGAAGACCGCATATACTTATCCACATACCTTCCCAGCTTCAGAAGTGATGAAGCACATGTGCAAGTTTTCCTCATCTGGGATGCGGGGGCCACATAGGGCGGTTTTCAGTGGACGCTCTTTCGCTTCTTCCCCGTCGATCTCAACCCAGGCCATAAAGCCGTTGTACTGCATCGTTGTTGGGAGAGAGATGAATATATTGATCGGTCTCGGATTATTATTCAAGTTGTACTCCTCCAGCCATGCCGCACCATAACGGCTTCGAAGCAACTATAAGAGTCGACGGTCAAACCACGGATGAGTATGCCTGTGAAGTCTCTGCCGATAGGGCCACGGTGACTTGCTGGATTGCGTCCCAACTCGGAAAAGTAAGTTGAAGTTCAGAGCTCTACACCAACGCTGATTTTCGGAACACCAGGAGTTCTCGGTGTACTGGAGGCGTGACCGCTCCCATCGAGAGCATAGTGTCGGCTATGTGCAAGTCGACGGGAATCCTTGTGCTGGGCGGGTGATTTACTCTTATGCGTCCAGCGCACAGCTCAGTGGAGTCACCACAGAAGACAACAGACTGCGACCATTTGTGTTCTCTTCCCTGGAAACCACTGGCTCGTTCATGCTCTCTTTGCCAAAATTTCCTAGTCTGCTAACCTGTGCTTGTTAGACGACGACGCTTTGGAAGACTATGCAGTACATCCTGATTTAGGCGTCATAGCCTTGACAATAACGCCAGTGGTCGTAGGCCAGAGAGGAAATCACGAAGGTGCTGATTCTGTCGCCATGCCTGATCTCACTGTGCACGAACGAGCAAAGAAAGCACTAACAGAACGAGTCGGGTAAGTATACTATATACTAGTAGTGACCTGGATGCTCAACTCATGTGTCCGCAGTTTGGGTGCGGAAGGCCAGGTCCACTATCGAAATACCGCCGCCTCAATCGCTCTGAAGGGCGATCCCATAGTCACGTTCAGGTGGAAGTATCGACCAATAGGTCAGTCATCTCAAATCATCAATGATAGGACTCAAATTGTTCTGATTCTCAGAGGTACTACGTGCAGCAGGCTCTATCTTGAACAAAAAGCGTGCGGCTGACGAAGTGGCTGGACCATCAAAGCGTCCGAAACGCGAGGAAAAGAAGATCATATTGGAACCCAAGCCCGAGGTCACTGACGCTGTACGTTTCCGACATTAGCAGTCAACGGCGAACGCGCTAACTACGCAGATATTGAGCACCTCCACTACCCAAATTGAACTGAAACGAGAGGTTCCCGAATTAAAGCGGGAACGGTCGAGCGTATGCTTGCTTTGTTGTGCTATTCTATCGGGATACTGAGGACAGGAACGTAGTCTCCCATCGTGAAACAAGAACCCGTGGGGCATGTGTTCTTTAAAACAGAAGAGGACATAGAAGGAGCTCATGGGCGGGTCGATCTTGCTGACAGCAAGCCCCAGCGGTTCAAGCAAGAAAAAATCGACCCGCGAATAACACGAGTAGAACCGCTCATTCCAAATAGCGGAGACGAGGAGATCAAACCACTCGTGGTAAGATCTCACTTGCATACTTGTCATAAATTCGGCACTTAACTCTCGAAATCAGCCAAAGGAAGAGTCAGCTACAACTACGCCTGTCTCTTAAAAGCCAAAATTGAGGCCATGTCGTCCACTAGAGTCCCAATTAATCGACTGACTTGGATAGGCAATAGCTGCTTTTAGTTTCGACTCGGATTCGCACTCTCAAATAACATGTCGAGGACTAGTATGTATCCGACCTACACTTGCGACCTTCATCTCTCTTAATCCAAAGCCTCGAAAGTCCAAAGCTGGCCCGGTGCTTGTGTAGGGTCTTCGATCAGAGTCTCCAGTGTGATCTAGGTGGAGGTCAGCGTTGTTTAATCTGCATGGTGCAATTTTGTATTACCGGGGAATCGGCAATACAAGGTTGCGCCTGCCAAGCTGTCAGAGCCAAGTTTCCGGTTGTTCCATCAACCACACTGAAAAGGGTTCTAAGTTCCAATTCGAGATGATACAAACGACCAGCTCACAAACCACTGGAGCTGCCGGTGCAGGAAACGCTGAAGGTCAGCGCAGTGGATGTCGCCCCAATAACCTGGGAGAGCTGGTGGCTGCTTCCCGCCGTGGTGGTCGACCAGGTTACGACGATGGAGTGTCCGACCTGCTGGCTGAGGCCAGAGGCGAGAATGAAGCCACCGTGATTAACCTGCACCAAGGCCCACTATTTGCGACATCATAATGTGTTGGGTCCTCGTAGCTCCAGAAGCGCACTCACATCCTGGTTGAGGGGAGAGGATGGGTTCAGAGGCGTGCTGATCAGTGGGTTGACGTTGTTTGCGAGGGTGAGGGCGTGGCCTTGGAAATCGAGCATGCGGAATCCATTGCTGGGTACACAGGGTGGAAATGACATCTTGCTGCCGGTTCAACATCTGGGTAGACTGCAGTATATAAGCAGGTTGTTGGAAGAGATTTCGAAGCACTGGCAGAAGGGACGTGTTGTTCCTGACACCGAGTAGTTCGCCCTGTCCATAGGTATTATTCGACCCGTTGTTGGCGGTATGGAATGAGTACTTCGATTCGCGTGCCAAATAGATGTAAGAACATCTCAAAATGGGAGAGCCAGAAAATGTTGAGGCACGTGATAGTTGATGGGAATCACTTCGACCCCTACAACGATCCCATTTTCCTCCGTCCTGAGTTCAAGGCCTCCATCGTGCGGCGCAACTCTCAGAAACTGCCGTCACCTCCAATGTCATTATTCGCACGGCAACTACCTTACGGACCAACACTGACTCGAGAGTCGAGGTTCACGCGAACAAACGCTTGAGGCCGAAAACTAGTCGTTGAAGGCTGTATGGGTCTGCTGCTAGCTCAGCCATCTTCCTCATAGCAACATCTCAGCTCCCAAAAGTGATAAGGACCGTTTTTTGCTCAGCCGACCCCCCAGACCAAAAGTTAGTAGTGGCGCCAGACTGCTGGTTCTCTCGATTTCAGGGGCACTATACATTGTACCGTCGGTCATTCTGAATCTTTTCGAGTCCCTGCGCTCATACTAAGCCCACAGATGAGGTCCCTAGGGTGGAGGAACATCGCAGTGTCTCGCTCACAAATTACTACCGATTGTGCGACTACTCGGAGTGCGGCTCTGGGTTGAAATCGGTATCGACCTACGAGCCATACAAGATGATGAGCGTAAAATGTCCTCGCGCTGCCCACAGATGCCGCCCTCTAGCACTTGGTCGGTCGTGAACTCAGCGGACTCTTCCGTAAGGCTACTAGACGAAATACAAAATGTTGCCCTTTTTGGACGCCGGTTTTAGAGCCCGGCCAATCATGCTGACTCCTACGACGTATGTTAACTCGCTCACTCTTTGTTTAGTTCATTTTGCCGTGGTTATATTCCCACCGATCTATTGCGTCGATGCTGAATCAGGCTGTGTTTTATCGCATAGGTAAGTCCTGTCCGATAACCTCTCAGCCTCTTTTTGCTTGATTAGGTGCAAGATGATGGTCGAGCGAGCGTCTACTACCAGTGCAAATTCTAGCTATAAATTCGGGAGATGTGAACTCCTTGTCGGTATCATCGACAGCCCATAAACTCCTCCGAGTCTTTTCTCGTGCCATGAATTTCTACCAGTCGACATCTGGCAGCGGTGGACCACTCGCCTTGGCTCACGCCATGCCTCAGCTCATTGCAACATTGAACGAGATTCAAACGCCCCAGGTGGGCAGAAAGTATGCACATGTTATCTTTGGCTCGAACAGTCACTGACTACGGTAGGTATGGGATCAAGGACCGAAGACCACTGGATCCCCCTCCCGGTATAACTCATTCAAATGCATTGATGACCTCGCTTAAATTTCACTAAGTTGTCCAACTCCGTATTTACCGACCTGTCGGTAATACCACCCAGGAGGTACAGAACTATGAGTGAGACTGTTTCCGTCGTTACTAGGCTATCATACTGAACTTGGACTGGATAGGTTCGTCGATCACGCGGGCTTCATCTGCTATGCGGAGCTTTTCAAATATGAAGACGCCGTCGCGGCCATGCGTTCTAGCGGTCAGATTCAGCCGGCACCCCTTGGTATGGAGGCATCGAGCTCTTCTGTCACAACATGCCTTGATCCAACTCTCAGGTCCCGACATTCTTGTTGGTGCGACCTGTGTCGAAGCCAAGGTCATTCAATACCACGACAAAGCATTGCTCATTTTTGCTTTCCCAGTAAAATTGATTCCACTCTCGCAACGGACCATAAACTCACACCCTTCAGGATATCTCTTCTAAGGAAACGGGCGACTTCGCTCTTCGGTATGCACCCTTGTCGCCCAACATGCGCCTAACACGAGCTGACTTGAAGCCAGATACAAATTTGTGAACATGACCGAAAAGCCAGGACTCCTTACCAACACTGTGCTTGCTCAGTGCTGGGGTCAGCACTTTAGGGTTCATTCCTCCAAGACCGCGCCGACGTTGGAAGCATCGACTGAGTTGACCAAGGTGCGAATAATATATTAGTCAAATTGAGTAAGAGAATTAATTTGGGATGTTCAGGCTCTTGCCAAGGCTGGAATACCTGTCAGCGTGCGCGAGCATAAGCGGACCAGGCAGGTGTATGAGTACGAGTGAAAGTATTCCGCCATTAGCACGCTTCAAGTTGTTCCGCCCATTGAATGAATTTGAAGGAGTCCGTGGGCTCTTCTAAACAGACCATGAGCTTGCATGACCAGGGAGGGGTTATCTGTTGGAATCTTTGGCATTGATTTGGCCGAGTGGACCAGTAGTTGTGCCTTCGAGCTTTCTCTTGGTGCCAGTATACGCGCGATATTGGTGGGAATGGATGTAAAACCTCAACTGGAAGGTGATGAAAATACAGCCATGCGACAACTTAAGAATGTTCAACTGCCTGATTTCAGGTCAGCAGGCCATTATGAACAACAAACCACCCGAGACAAACCACCCGAGTCGAAGAGTAGTCGAAGGGATCCGATTTTCGGGACCGAATATCTACGGATCAACGCATATATCCTATCTTTGATTGTCGGACTGAATTCGAAATACTCAATTTCGTCAAATCCAGCATTAAGCTAAATTCTAACGTTGCAAGGAGGTTTGGAGGTGGACTGGGACGCATAGTACTTAAGTACTGACAACCCTGCTTCGTCATAACGAGTGTAACCCTGAGAAGTTGCTGAGAAGCCCATTAGGTCCGATTAGGAACCTGATCACTAGTAGCCCGGCTTGGCCCGGCTGTTGTCAATATATATTCCCACTGGCATACTACTACTTAGTATTCAACTCCTCCACGACAATACACAAGTGATATCTTGAATAACCATCAACCAGAAAGCGAGTAGCCTACCTCGTCAACAGGAACAGAATCGTACAATTTCAGTAGTCTTCCGAGCATTTCTTTCCCTCTGTCATCCAACGTTTCAGCAAACCTGCGTTCTTTCATCCACCCAAGTCCATGTTGGAGAATGTTGCGTGCGCGGAGAGCACCGCCGGCCGTTGTACCCATTGTGGCATGCAGCGTCGCACGGGTTGACGCGGAGGAATAGGCGGCGCAATGAAGGATGTTGGAATTGTAAAAGACACTTTCCCCGGCTGAGAGATGAAGGAGTTTGAAGTTTGTCATCAGTTCATCTTGACTCACGTTGGAGCGTCAAACGAACTGCGCCAGGCATGTCGAGAGGATTGGTCGGCGCATCCATTACGCATGATAGTCTCCGTTGCTCTGGGGTTCGTGGTATCTTGTGCGAGCCTGGGACGACAAAAAGACAAGAGTCCACGTATAGGGCACTGCAAAATATGTCAAAGTTAACATCTAGTACTCAACGGCCAATTGACGTGTTCCATTGAATCTACGAGAAAAGGCAATGAGGAACATATCATACACTGCTGAAATCGGGCCCGGGCCACGTACTCCATAGGCTTTCCATGCGTCGAGCGCGTACTTCTCCTCTTCAGGTGTAGCATTGTCGGGAATATCATCCCGATGCCAGCGCAGAGCAAAGTCGTGCTCGAGCGGGTTGATCAGAAGGTTGAATAGTTCTACAAATTGGCAATCATGAAGATGCGATTCAATGATTATGCTCACCCATCTGCAGATCCTGCTCTTCGCAACCCAACAACATTTGGACGGCATCGACAACCTCTTGGGAGGTATACCAGCCAGCGAATATTGAGCTTGACTGCCCCAGCTCGGGGTGCATGACGTGCTGAACTCCCCAAGAGTCTGGATTTGCATCGCCATAAGGTGGAAATTGTTTCCCGACTGTCCGTCGATGAGACCAAGATCCTTCTCTTGTGCGCCGGACTACATCTGAACAGGCTGCTTTCAAATGCGAGAAGTTGGATGGCGTGACCAGCCCGGGAACGATAACGAATCCGTCTTCGTTAAGCTTTTCTCTGAGAGCCAGTGTCGTCGTCGAGGTCATGGTGAAGGTTGTCAATGCGGGGATCATAGTACAGACTGCCGATTGAGATTCGGGGATCAAAAGCCGGACAGCTCCGGAGACTGATCGTCGCGTCACATGTGACGTGACTCCACCAATTCTGCACTGCCAACCATTCAAGCTTAAAAGGTGCATCGCCGCTACCGCGCAAAGCATCGAGCCACTCCCAAATCAGTTCCAGGCTGAGTAGTCTATGGGATTTCTCTATAAGGACTGCTGCATCCACAAATCACGACTATGAGCCGCCCCTCAAAAGCAGCCAGCCTCAGTCCACCCCAAGCAGAGTCCAGTAAAGCAGGAGCAACTAGAAAGGTAGGTTGTTGGTTCCGAAGATAACCCATAACGCGTCTCACCGTGTAGAGTTCATGCGCTGAATGTCATCGGTATGAACAACCCTGTGTTGCGACGCGAATCTGATTTGAGCAGATTGAAACTGAGGTGCGACAAGGAAGTTCCTTGTGCATCATGCAGTATGTTTGAACATAATAACACGACACTCTCAGTTAATGAAGACATTAGTGCGTCGAGGTTGTGCCGCAATTTGCCCAACAGGTGGATTGCTTCCTTTTGACTGTGTTGCTTTGGACTGAGTGGATCGTGCAGGTACCTTGCGGTCAACTGGACGGGGGAAACGGTGCTGTTCAACGCATGTTATATTCGAGTTTCTAACCCCCTTGTCAGCTCTGTATTATCCGAAGTCCCAGAACTAACGGCTATAATTTCCGAGATGGGCGAGCGTATAAGGCAATTGGAGAAGGCATTGGCCGAAACGCACGATCCATGCGAGCAGACGCATTTGAAAAACCACCCTCTACTTTCACACACTTCGCGACAGCCAACTCCAACCCCAACAGACCAAGCAGAGGATGGATCATTGAGTGTGAATCAGGCAGGACATGCGGTGTATTTTGGGCCAATTGCCGGCACAGAGGTATGTTCATCGCTTCACTCCATGCCCCAGTTTCTGATCGCTAGTAGGCCTTGTTATCTGTAGGACGCTATTATCCTTTCGTCCCTCCTCCTCATCAAAGAATAGATCGAGGGCAATACACGAAACCGCAGTCCAGACCATGAACGTCTTTCCTTTTCTGCAGTCACCGAATCGTTCCTTTTCAGGGCAGACGGCTCGTCCAGCTGGGACACAGAATCCGCCCTTGAACGACTGTACCACCATCTTCCACCACAACCTCGTGCTTGGGCCCTCCTTGAACGATATTTCCAAAACGGCTGCTGGACCGTCATGCCCTTGATGCAAGACGAGGCCGTCGAAATCCTTGCCAGCGTCTACCAATCACACAGAACAGAGCCGCAACACTCATTGACCACCCAACAAATGGCCGTCGTTTACCTCGTGTTCGCGCTAGGCGCCTTGGTCGATCTTGAGCTACCACCTTATAGCCCAGAAGCGGACCATTACTTCGATTTGGCTTGTGCAGCCATGTCCATAAAACCATTTTACGACGATGTAACGGTGTTGACCGTGCAAATGTTAACCCTACTCGCGTCATATTATGCCCATGGCGGAAGAAGGTTCACGATGGATGGGGCTTGGTCGGTAATTTCGTTGGCTTCGACGATGGCTCAGCGGGTATGTCTTGCTATTATTTGGAAATTATCTTGCTGACAGATTTATTCCAGCTTGGCATGCGTATGTGATGATCGCTCTATTCTTCTTCGCTCACCAGTATCAATAGACAGAGAAAGTTTCGCCGCCAATGTCGGCCCCAAACTTGCATATCGATATCGAGTGAGTTTGGATTTATTTTCATTCGCGTCGACTTGTGCTCAACTCGTAAAGGCCTTGTTTTGGGAGACGTTTACAACAGAAGCTATTTATGTGCGTCTTTTGATTCGTTGTCTTTCGACGTCCAATTTTCACAGGGTTTGTCTGTTGGGCGGCCGGGAACACTGCCATCAAATATAACCTGCCCCTTCCCTATGGACGAAGACAACATTGCACAGCCGTTTTGTCGACTCAACCGAGGTTGTGAGTGCGATACCTTGCGGCCTCAGCCCTTGAGTCATTGACTGATGACTCACCAGACCGCCAGTCTCGCTGGCGTTGGGCCACCGAGGTCTGCGTGCCCATTATGGAGAAATTCCTTACCACGACAAAACCGAGTTACGAGACGGTCTTGAATCTTGATCAGAAGATCCGAAAGCATCTGCATGATGCGCCGTTCGATAACTTCCCTCTGGAAGAGTCCTCCCCTTCGTCATTCATACAAAAGCACCTTGTCCCTTTATTCACTAAAATCAGTCAAGTCACCCTTGTTTCTCCATCAGATTTCAATTGACCGTTCTACAGTGTTAATGTACATTCACAACAGCTCGTTCGTCGAAGCAATGCGAGCTAATCCAGAGGATCCATTACTCAGTCCCTATGCCGCGTCATATCTGGCGGCTTATCGTAGTGCGTCTGAGATAATCAAGGCTGATATTAAAAACTTTACTACGCATCCTGCTCTTTTTACAAGATGGTGGGCAATTTGGAAGAGCCGTAAGTGTCCAAAGAACAATTTTCATTCAAATGTGTCCTGACGTCTTGCTCAGTGTTCAACGCTGCGGTATGTGAATATTGTGGGTGGGTATTACGCTCTTCTGAAAGATGACAGATCATTGTCGGAACTGTGGCTACCCGATACCCCAGTTCAAAGATTGCACCCCATGCTATTGTCGAGTTATTTACCGCCGTCGATCTCATTGAGAAAGGCGCGATGTCCTCGGGTCGGGCGCAAAGTGGTCTGGTAAGCATTGATGTCTGGCGTTAATTCGAGGCTAATTACCAACAGTCAATTCTGCAACGACTGCGCGACAAAGCGATAGCGGTATACTCGCAGTTCTCTGGACACAATCTTTTGCCTCCGCCAACGACAACCGATGTAGAGGCGACAGAGGAACTGGAAATCTTTGCAGGCTACACACGGGTTGTTGCACATAAAGTGCTCGCGCGTCGACAGACGGATAGAAGGGTAAACGCGGACGAGCCGTCCCCCACAACACAATGGAATCGGCTTCAGCTGCAAGGCGACGCGGATCTTTCGAAGCTGTCGAATGCTGGTGGCGAGCTGCCGTGGCCACGGGACTTTGACCCGACCATTGTGCAGTATTTTGACTCCGTGGACCCGTTTGGTAATACGAGTAGCGGTGACGCAGCGATGTTAGACCACGAGGGGTCCTACGAGGATGCTGGGTTTTTCTTTACGCCAGCACCAAACGCAGTGGCCGCTGCCCAGATGGCCTTCGACGATGGAAATGGAAGGGGTTGGCAACACGACAACCAGCAGCGGGCGGATCTCACACCGATACCTTCTGCGACTGTGTTACAGCAGATGCAATGGGCCCAATATTTACACAATTTATGATGGATTCATTATTTTGTTGGTGTGTGGAACAATCAATCAAGGTACGGATCTGCAAACACCTTCTCACAGACAATTAAAAGTGACATTCATCATGAGTTCCTCCTCACGCCCGTTCTGGGCTTGATGGTTTGCGGGTTGCCTGGAAGCAGGTTTGAATTCCCTGTCGACCAGCTCTATAGCATCGGAATTTCATCTGGACCCGGTTATGCGGCTATCTGTTGTTTACATGTAAGAACTCAGTCAAGAGTGACTGGCAACGGGAGAAGAAACTGGACTTGTTCACAACCAGACAGTTACATCTATCCGGGCTGTTCCTTATAAATTATGCTCGCAAGACAGTATGTATTTTGAGCCAGCGACTGAGTCTTGCTGTAAACGAGAACCCAGATCGTGTTGAGTGTAGTGCCGCGCTGTTGACAAGCCGTCGTCCAACTGAGATATTAATATTCTTTCTGCGACTCTGAATGACTCTGACTCACAATTGCATGGCATTGATCGGATCTCGGAGCCGATGCTCCGATGAAGCCTCTGCTTGTCTGCCACTGTCATTCGAGGATGCTCCTTCAACTCATCGACCGACTGCATGCCAACTTCTCGCCTTTCTCTCGGTACCATTCACCACCATCTCCCTGACACTGACCCTCATCCGCGGTGGCAGCTGCGTATGGGAAACGCCATTCCTAGTCCGCGAGCCATCGTTTACGCCACTACCTGACCTCCCCCTCGAGATATGGCTCGAGATCTTTCAGTTTGCGACTCATGTTTATGGCACATCGACAATTGAGCCTTTGGACCCATTCACGGTTAAGACCCCTGGCAATATTCTTGTCACCAACACGCCAAACACCTCGATGCGGACGAAGTGTGTGTTGGTCAGCGTTAATCGAGCGTGGCGGAGGATGGCCCTGCAAATATTGTATCAGCATATTGTCATCCGGAGCCCCCTTCGCGCGACACTTGTCCTCCAAACCCTTCGTGAAGCACCCGAGTATGGTTATTGGACTCGCCATATCGAGATCTACACCCATGCTAGAGGGTCGAATAGTCTCCCCTTCCTCCAAACCGTCCACCGAATTCTTCAATATTGCTCCAGATTACGAATGCTCAGTGCGAGCTGGCGATTTCCTCTTCCGAAGGAATTTCTCGCTGCTGTGTCTGTCTCTTGCAGCTCATCTTTGCAGGGACTGTATTGGGACGAGCAGAAGTATCTTCGTAGCTTGGACCACGCACCGCTGAACTTCCTCGGCTCTTTCAAAGCTCTCCATATCCTCGATCTGCGCAACTTTGTTGGTGATTCCACCTCAGATGATTCTCGACCTGTTCTTCAGAATGTTAAACACCTAATTCTCTCAAATCGTGGTCCCAACATCTTCATCGCAAGCCTCTTCACCCTACCAACGGTTCATACTCTCACCATGTATACTGTCGTCGACGGTCAGGTCCCAGATGCTGTCCAGATCACGAAATTGCTCAAGGCTCATGGGTCCACGTTAACGAATGTCCACCTCCCATCTCCCAGTAATACCTCTGATCCACAAGCACCCGAGCTGACGGTAGAAACGCGCACCACCGGAATTCATGTCCCTCCAGCATTATTTCTCCAATTATGTCCCAACCTCGATACCATTTCGTTCAGTGCTAACTCACCGCTCATGGGCGATTGCTCTCATACAACCCTACGACGGGTGGCCCTTTACTCTGTCCGCTCCGACAAGCTTTATCCGAAGCCATCCAGATCGAAACGAAGAAACGCCAGCGCAACTTCGCCTGGTGGACCATCGTCGTTGCATTTCTCATTGGCAGTCAATCACCTACGCTCACTGACGCGTGAATCATTTCCTGCATTGGAAACAGTCAGAACTGCTGGGTTTCTTGTCTCGGCTGCAGCCGACTCGGATAGCCAGATCAAGGATGTGTTTATCAGCTGGCGAGAGCACTTTGAGAGAGACGGGGTGGACTTTCAGGATGGGGAAGGCGTAGTGTGGGTCTACGAGTAATATGGCCACTCGTTTGCGTTCAGTAATACTTAATTGTACGTTTACCAAATCAGGAATACATCACGTGTCATTTCCTTCTTTTTTTTTTCATCGACTCCGTCTGTTTGGTTGGATGGCCCTCTACGACCGTCCCCGGGCCTGTGCGTATGTAACATCTTCGTCCCATTAACTGTCTGCCCACAAAGCTGAAAGGTTGTGACTTGAGCATCGACCAGCATCGACCTTTTGACCTTGATCCACATCGGTGGTTGAAGCGTCTCGACTGCTTGCTCAAACAAGCTTCTTGCAAAGCAGCAACTCAAGTGTTTGGCTTTCTTCCCAACACAACCCAACAAACTTTGCCGCCGTCCGAGTCAGGGCAACCACCTCAAACTTTCGAAGCATACTCATGTTGCAAGTGCATCAACGCCTCCACTCACCTCACTTGACTGACATGCTCTATCCTTAATGCGACGCGATTCTCGGGCGGAGCGGGCATTATGGGTGTCTCCGTGTTCGTCTCGTCTTAAAGTAGGATTTCTAAAGTTGTACACCTGCAAGAACCGCAAAACCGATAAATCCACCGTTTCTGCCGTCGCTGTGGATGAAATGTAAAAAGGCCGCTGATGGTACTCATTTGAAACTAACGACTCTGGGACTTGTAAAAACTTGCTGTACTGCCAGTGACGACTTGGCGAACTCGCAATTGGACTCGGCTGTCGCCGCATCCGGGCCGCATCCGGAGTCGACTTGGCCAAAGTCAAAGTCAAAGCCGGTGGCGTCAGCTTAGACACTGTCATGCAAAGGCTAACAACTCGTCAAAACGACACAAGACAAGAAGGACAAGAAGGAAGGATTCAATCCCGATTCGTAACGAGGGATGAATCCCGCCTACCGCTCCCGCCGCCCGTTCCCGCCACCCGCCGGCCAATACTAGCAGCTTCGGGATCTAGCACCTGCACCTCCAAGCTGTCTGCAGTCGTTCCGATTACTCTGGGTCGCCAGCCACAACGCTGATCTACTGTTCTCCGCCAGCCTAATATGTTGTCCTCCCGCTACATCACCTCATGGCGAAACCATTAGACGCATGTGCATTAGACCCAAGACCCTACGACCACGTACCTCCACCATTTTGCTCAAGGCCCCGACCCGCGCGATCTGTCAAGCTGTTACTACCAACTGGCTGTCCCCACTTTCAGGCACCGACAGAGGGTACTTAATTAATTATTACGACCCGGCTGTTGGAGTGTTTTCGGCAAATAACGGAATACCGTTCTGTGCAAAGCACCCTGCATTAATTTTCGAGTGCGGAGGCCACATGTACCGTAAACAGCACTTCTTTCTTCGGTGCCTGGTCTAGCTTCGAAAGAAACTGCTTTAGCTGTTGGGTAGTCTATGGTCTGGTCATGTACCTCTTGCACACTCAATATCAGCTGCTTCGACTCTGTCGACCTTTCATCATCATCATACGATTGCATACGAACCTCAGCCCTTGAAATTTATGAAATTTTAGCGAAGGATTGGTCCTTTCATTTCGAGTAGTTTTCTGCGGCTGAATTCCTGCAATCCCCGGGGCGATCCCTCTGCGAAGCGAGGACGTTAACTACTCTAAAGTCTCCACCCTTAGGCCAACTCCGAGTTGGCGTAGTCCGTTGTCTATGAAACCTAATTTTGAGTGACCGGTTCCGCCGGAGGTCGGAGAAATGAGGCAGGCAGGTGGGCGGGCCCTGACAACGACAACAGCTCTGACTGGCCTTCCGAGTTGCTCGCCTAACAGACGGTCGACACTGGCACTGGCAGATCTTTTCTGACGTATCGCCCGATAAGCGTGCTGTAAATCGGCCGGATATGGTGCGGACCGACAAGGGACTCCGTTCTTCGTTTACCCTTCACAAAAAGCATCGAATGTCGAAAGACATTGACAGATGGTCCGTGTCAGAAGACGAGCACAAGACCGTGCAAGTGGGCCGAGGTTACCCAACTATTGATATTCTCGTTCAAGTTAACCAACATCGGAAGTGAGCACGATAAGATTATTATTTTTTCTGCGACAGTGCTGGCCTAAACCGATAGTGGCAGGTGCGTAGGACGCCGCGTGTCAGGCAGCCGAATCGACGCTTATCTGCCTAAATTAAAGGGCTTGCAGGCAGTTCGGGGAGAAACACACAGTAACGTACAAACACAGTTGTAAATCGCCAGCAGATCGGTATATTGGTACCATCTGTCGAGCTCTCCAACGAACGGCTTCGAGTGCCATCACCGGTGCGAGTTCCTGGGCTCTGTCCAGTTTCTCCCGCCCTCCTCTTCCCCGCACTCCCCATTGACGTCGTGGGTGTCATCTGGTTATTGCCTCTGGCGCGCGGTATGCACGGTGAAGAACACATATGAGAGGCGGCTTGGAAACAATCGCAAGCTCGATCGCGTCACAAGTGGCCAAATTCCCAACTACCCCATGGGCTACGTCGTTATGCAGAAACAATCTTTATCACATCCCGAGACCACAAGCTGGCAGATCATGGGCCCGCCTTGAATAATTTCAATGTCGTCTCGTCCATGGGGTGTCTCCTCGGAGGTGTGACGGTTTGCAGATATTCAAGCGGCGCTAGGAAGCCATTTTCGCCAGGAATAGGACTTGCAATACGCGATCCAGGCAAGCTGCGATTGCGTGTGTGGTGTTGAGAAGAAATTCCGATGGCTCTTGGGTGCACTGGTGGAGTCGGACCATCGTTCCATGGCAACGAGCGGGGAGGGGAAGGGGTTGAGCGAGAAGAAGATATAGCGTTGGGTTTATAAACAACGTATTGGATCTGTGTTGTTGACGGGGAGGACAGCTCCTCCGTGCTGTCATCAGGGTTGAAGATGTGGTCGGGTCGGCCCTTGACGGAACGCGCGCTTTTGTACTTGCCGTGTGGTACTCGCAACGCTGGACGACGCGTTGATTTATAATCATGCAAGACTTTGAGAGTGACTCACTGGAAAGTGCAGGATAGTTTTCGATGCAGTTTAGGCGATCAATAGACTCCTCCGTAAAATAAGCAACTAGCGAAGACCCGGTTAACACGCAGAAACCAGATGTAACAAAGAAAACGCACTCAAATGCCATTTTCTTTGCCCTCGAGGCGTATCCACAAAGGCGGTATAGGTTTGTTTGATTAGCAGCTCGTGGTTGGCATGCTGGCGATGAGACGGACTATGGTTTCGACGTCAGTATACACGGCAGATCTGGGAGTTAACGAGGCCCCACGCACTATAGTCCTCCCGGAAAGACATAGTGGGTAGTAGGCTTCTCGTGGTAAAAGAGGAAGCCCTAGGAACGCGTCAGTTGACATGAATGACGAAGGGGCACAACACGATTCAATGTACCTCGCGGACTCTCGAAGGCCCCCAACGAATTCCTGAAGTAGATGATTGAGTATCGCGCGTTCGCATGCGGGACGTCACAACGCACCATCGGTCCAACGCTCAATGCCCACCTACCAGTAGTCGAGGGTCAGAGCTACAACAACGACCGCGAAATATAGACGCACCCCAGTGATATCTGAATTTGAGCCACGCTCTTCCCATACATAGACTGACCCAGGTAGTATGAGTCCCCTCTCCTCGCTATCCAGCCGTCGAGTAACCATGGGTAGAATGTCGAGCAAAACAGCATGGAAGACAACGCGGACGTCTGCAGGAGACCGAATGCGAAGATTTGTGCACGTAGGAGTCTGCATCGCTGCGGGTGTTGGATGGAGGGGCGTAGTGGCGGACGGAGCTCGTCTGAGTCTGCTTTTAAAGTCCTGACATTTTTGTAAACGTCAAGTTCCTTGGACAGCAAAGACAAATGTAGCTGACACACGTACTATGTTAGCTACCGGGTGACCAGCTTGGAACACGGATAGTATTTGGTTCCAAATAAAGTTTTAGGGAAAGCGGGCAGCTTCTTCGACGAAAGGAGTGAGATCCTGATCGTCGATTTCGATAGTGAAAGCAGCGGCGCTTGCGACATGGTGTATATGCGATGTCAGATGCTTGGCTGATAACCAGGCCCTTTCTGCTCAGCTTGTTTGGTATCCGAACGACTCGGAGCCTACTAGAGTTGCCACCTCGACAGAATCAGCCTGAGGCCGATCCTGATGCACCCTAATCGACCAGACGCTAAGTGATTCACTTCACCCACACACCCACACGACTTCCACCTGAATGACGCGTGTAGCTAAATTCTCCCCTGTCAAAAAACAGACACCGCATAAGAGGAACGTCCTGCTCACCAGCACAGAACCTCCGTGGATTTGATTTGCTTGTTTGATTAAGGCGTAGATTGAAGCCTGCTACGTGCACGTGTCAACAACTAATTTTTCGGCGGCCCCGGTTCATTCCAGTAAGCTTTCCCGAGTCTCTAGGAGCCACTCTACAAAAAAGAGGTCCAAAATTCGCGTTGACAATGACACAAAAGCAACCCTGCATTTGCCGTTGGTGCCGAGAGCGCCACCAAGGTAAGAAACGCCACCTACTGACCCGGACAATCGAGAGGGGATGCGGTCAAGTTTCACGATCCGACTTTCCGACGATCCGTGTATTAGGGCTTGTGTGTGACTTTCGGACGATGGCAAGAATCCCGGGGGCAAGGAGGGGTATTATTGAACTGGAAATTGGCTTCCCCGTGGAGAGAGGAACCAATGCACCATTAATCAAGCAACAATCGGCAGCACTTGACAGCTGGTTGTTACCTGAGTAGATTTCAGATGGAAAAATCAGAGCAGAAAAAGACTCGAATCGAGCCGTATTGCGTAAGTTAGGAACTGTTAATCTGAGAGCACACACACACACATTTCACTGACGTTTGTAATGCTCATTGTTTTGCACCCGCTGCCGGATTTTCTTGAGCCGCGGGCAACGCTGGCATCACAAGGCACATTGAGATGTCCGGGTCAAACGCAATGGCGCGTAAATCCCCAAAACTGAGGGGTTTAGACTGGTATTGCATGTCAAGATTGGAAGTGAAGTTCTGCGCGTTACGTCACAGTCACAGTCACAGTCACAGTCACAGTCACAGTGTTTCTGGATTTAGTGCTTACGCAACTAGTTCGCATCAATTGCAACACGCCACAAACTCAAGAGCGGCACTGTTGTTGACTGACTCCCGGACGCCTGTAGAGCAATAGCCGCACGGAGATTCAACAGGAAGGATGGGCCTTGCCAACGACCCGACGCTATACTGTAAAGCTGTCCTGCCGCTGATCTTCTTACGAAGCAAGGTACGACCTTCAAGTTGAGCGACAACAGTTCGGGACCAAGACACTCATTAGCGACTTTTTCTTCGTTCGGCTGGCTCATAACTGTCTTTACTGGGAGACATTGGCCTCATCTGAGGACCTGGGTCATATTCACCATGGACTGCTGTGCTACTAGACCTGGTGCCGGCTCTCTCAAAAGCAACGAAACCTTTAGCAGTAATCTCCGTCCATCCTACTGGTCGCAATAGCTTTATGACTTCATATTTGCACCGGGAAGTCTCACTACAATTCGATATACTCCCCTACCAAAGCTGTTTTGCGATGACTTCTCCAGTTTTAACTACTTGACTGGTTGCAACCCCGTTCACATCGGGACGGCGCAATGTCTAGAGTATTAATACTCGGAGCAGCTGCCACCCGCCCATACTATAGAGGGCTGGGCCACAACGAGGTATTGCAACTGGGAGTCGACAGAAACATGTAAAGGATACGCAGTTACGGTCCCAGCACTTTCATCAACAGCTTGAGCATCTGTGATTGATCAACTTGCGTGAAAAGCTGAGAATCTGGCTTGTCGCTGTTATTCAATGTAATTAACGTGTCGACTTTAGCCCTTTTCAGTGCCACCTCTAGTCCTGCTCTCCGCCGCAAACGACTCCTTCCCGCCGGCGACAACCTTCCCTGGACTGCCGATGACGTAGGTGGTGGTGTTGTTTGTCGTGCCTGGATGGCTCTGCTGTCTTCTGTCGACGTCAAGGTCGCCCAAGTCTTGCCCGACCCCCGACCCCCACTTTCTCTCGCGTAGCGGGGCACTTCTTTGCACAGTGCCGCCTGTCGTGATGATACTAACTCCTGCTGGCGGTGGCGCCGTCGCCGAACGAGCCCTTTCCACTGCACGCACTTCCAGCCCCGCAACGGAGGTTTTTTCTCCGCTCGACGGTAGTAATCTGGGTGAACAAACGTGATTTCATAGTTTCTTCTGCTCATTCCGTTCCGCCTGCTCACGAATCCAGGCTCACACGTTTGTCCCCAAAATACTGCACTGGCACTCGAGCGACTATGTACACTGCCAGATCTCCGCGGCCGACTACTTATCTATGGCTATTGATACGATTTCTTCTTCTTCAAGTTTGAATTCTGTTATGTCAGAACTGGGGCGCCATTCTCCCGCCTCGAATACCGAAGACCTCAGTTGCTCTCTTCACGTCGGAGTCACCGAAGATCCCCGTGCTTCTGGCATCTCCAAAATCAAAAGACTCAACTCAGATCAACAGCATACAATTGGACTCAGCTTTGAGTAGCCTGTCTAATCTGCAAGCGCTGTCTCTCGCTGCGTATCTTGCTCGGAAAGTAAATTCCTCCGCTCATCAACTGAAGCCAGCCCTCAGCTCGATCCTTCACAGGTAGCACATTGGTTTTGCGCCAGTTCGTATCGCATCAGACTCGGGCATAACAGCAGCCGAGTCCCGTTGTCAGCTTCGGAGTTTAAATTTGAACTAGGCCGCTTCGAACCCGAAAGCTCTTTGTTGAGAATTGATGGTGGCTTTCTTCGCCGCCCGATCACAAGAAATTGCATCTTTCGGCGCCTACAATAGGACGGTCTTGATGTTTGGGCCTTCTTGCCAGCCTGAGACTAGTACTACGACGCGCTGGAACCCGATCTGGTAAGTAAAACTTGGGGCTCAGGTTAATCACGGTCATTCCCCTATTTTGATATGAAACTCCCTCCGAGTCCGTTTGCGCTCAGGTCTAAAAACCAAATTATCTCGTCGAGCGCTATCCTATTGGACCACAGGTTATTGCCGCGGAAAGCATGCCAAATTTCCATTCTGCAAGTATCTGACAATCCGGACCGAGTCCCTTGTCCACTTGGAGCCTGTTCACTAATCAGGCGTTTAAACTTGGTCTTGTATACCCAGCTTCGAGCGGCCAAGGGCAATCACCAATACGAATGGTTGAAGCTTACTAGTAGGCCCATCGAAAAATTCGAAATTACCTGTCCTACTCTACGTAGCCCGGGTACTATATCGAAAGAAGCTAGCTAGGGAGTTTCAAGGTCTCCACCTCTGAGAATACAGTTGATGTTTGTGAAAGTAGACGAAAGTAGACAAACCAGTATGGATGTATTTAGAGTGTAATCTGAAATCTATGTGTCGGTCGGTAAATGGAGTGATAAGGAAGAATAAATATATGCCGAGGGGTTGGATGAGTGTTTATGCAGCGTAACGGTTGTTGTTCGTTGTGGGGTCGTCAGATGGTTTCGAAAGCAGATGCGACAGACGGGCTACCCCGTCTAGTGATGATGCTTTTTCCGTTTGCCTCCCCCACCGATAACACCACCAGCCGCACTGATTTGGCGCTGCAGCTTCCCTTCCTCATAAGCTATCCTTATATCATCCATTGAGCCCATTGGTTTGCCTCCAACAAGCAAAAGCGGCAGCTCATTGGTTCCTGCGAGTCGCGCGAGTAAAGGTGTCAGCACCTCTGCATCATCCCGCATGTCGACGTCTATGACGAAGGGTGGTGGCCGAAGGTTGAGATCGTGTAACATAGCCTTGAGCTCACGAGATAGAGGAGAGTAATGCTAAAGAAGGAACAATAAGCTCTCATTTAGGAAAACAAAAGGTAACATACCTTGCAATAGATCATGACAGGGTTCTGTGTCCACACGTATTCCACGACGCGCTCAACCTCCTCTAACGCAGTCGGGCTTCTGGTGTCGAAATCCAACACAAGTTCGGGGTCGAGTGGACGGGCGGGATCGACTGATGACGGGATGACATTTTGCGCCAAACTCGCGAGAAAGCTCGACACGGCCGCGAGCTCTTGGGCAAGGTTGAGCGATATGGGCTGTCGTTTACTTCCAAGGGAAAGCTGCTTGTGTAACTTTTTGGGTTTGGAAGGGCCTCGTTGTTGTTGCTGAGCAAGAACGACTTGTTCTACCGGTGAACGGTCCGAGGCTCGGAGAAGATAGGTTGGGGCGAGGGTGATTGGGAAATAGCTGCAGAAGACAAATGCGGCCAGCGATATGAGGGCGAGAAGGGCGAGAATTGAGGTGCGATTCCTTGTCCGTTTTGGGTGCAGAGCAGCAACGACGGCAAAGGGTAGGGAGAGTGATTGTGTGGGTCGGTGATTACCTCGAAGAGGCGTTCGCGAAGAGACAGACATGTTTGGGAAAAGAGCGAGAGTAAAGAACGTGGTCGTTGCGGATAAAAGCCTCCGTTACTCCTGTCACGATTGGTGCTATGTTTTTCCCGTTGATCATCTTGCCAGACTTGAATTTGACCGGCGCTCGTACTTACAACTGACACAATCCATCATCTACAAATGTTTGGAATATCTACCAGCTTTGAGCCTTTGACTTGCTGGATTGTGAATCTCGAGCTAAGACGGGAAGAAACGAAACACTCAAGAAATATCTTGGCGCGCAACGGATTTGTACCAATTTGCAACTCATACTTAAATCTAGGTGTCCACTAACAATTTCAGCTACCGAATAACTGCAATAAGCCTTCGGGTTCTGCGTTACAGCTGACCAAGTGGAAAATGCAAGAAGTTTATAGTGGTGCTTCCATACTGAAAGCCAGTCCAACGAACTTGCAGGCAGCAACCGAGTACTCACACCTCATCATAGGCCGGCAATCCCCAGTCCTCTGGTACAAACTCCTCCAATGAATGAATCACCCGGTCGGGCTGCAACGCATTGGGCTCTTTTTCCCCATTCGACAATGCAAGAAGGTTTGGGTCTGGGACCCAAATGACTACGCAAGTCAGCACAGAGAAGCACGAAGCCAAGAAACCGACCATTCATGCCTGCCCTTTTGCCCGCTTGAACACCAGGCAACGCGTCTTCGAATACGAGCCCCTGGGCTCGCTCCACGACCTGACTCTCTACTACCGGGTTCTCTCCAAACCCAACATCCCGACCAAGCTTGTCTCGTGCGGCAGTCAGAAAAATATCCGGTGCCGGTTTTCCTGCTATCGGTTCCCCGTTCACGGCCCTGTCGTCACCACAAACCACGTTCATCTTGCGTTCCCCGGTAGCGAAAACACCATCGCGGCCAAATATGTCTGCCAAGTGATTTGTTTTCAGCTCGTAATTCCGTCGCTTCGAGCTTGTTGCAACGGCAATCGGTACATGGTGTTTCGCGAGATGCAGCAGCAAGCGTTTAGCGCCAGGAAGAAATTGGGTTGTGTGCCAAAATGTGTCTTGTAGCCGGTTACGCTCGATGAGATAGGATTCTGCTGTGAACGATTTTGGGAGGTCCGGGAAGCAGGAGAGGAGGTGCTGGGCGGCCGGAAGTTCAGCTGATCATAACCTTGAGTGGGAGCAGGACATGGAATAGTTTTTGACCAACGTTTACCCATACATCCTGCTTTGATATCCCAGGTCATCTCCTTCCCATAAGGTGCTAAAATCGTGTCTGTCTCCTTTCAATGGGGTCGATAGAAGTTGGAAAGCGCGCGATTACTGGTGACTTTCGTGTAGATCGACTCGGTGTCTAGAAGGAGACCTGGAAAGACGTCTATAACGTTGATTTTAATATGGTACGCGAGACTCGCCGTCCATATCAAACAGCACATATTCGATCTTACAGTGCAACATTAAGGATTGTATTCTCGAGGCCTTGAAGCTTCAAGTTGAAGTTCAAGTCTGAAAGAAAGAGTGATCTGCGTCACAAAATCAGTGACATGCCCTGCACTGGGTGAACCTCTTTTGACCTCCACCTCAATTTCGATTCCGTCCCAGTCCAATCCTACGCAATGTACGACGACGGCTTTGGTCACAATCAGTGGGGCGCAAACGAAGAACCTCAATATGCAAAGCCTGAGCGCGAGTCACATGTGAATTTAAACCGAACCTGCTGCTACATTCCTTATTTGGTGCCTCGTCAATGGTCTTGTCAACTTCAGTAGGTAAAAGACATCTACGAAGGACTGGGTCCGCTCGCTACGAACTTCACAAACATATTTAATTCAGTTCAAATGTCTACAAGCATAACGTTCCGTTGGTGAGTCTCTTCTGCCCCGTGTCAGTTGAATATGTTTTCAGAATGGTTACTGGCAGAGGGAATAGCTCCGCCAGGACCCACTAACAAAGAGGAGTTATCATTTGAAGCTTTTACCGAAATAAGAAGCATCCCAAGAACCCAGTTGCGCTGAGTTGCCGCTGACGTTCAATGCTGAGCCAATGGACTCAGAGGAAGCCTCCAATCTTCAAGTAGGTGCTGTATGCTGCGTCGAGGGCTTCTCTGATAAATTATAGTGCCAACTGCAACTATTCTACTCAGCTATTTGAAGATTAAATCGGCTTTCTTTTTCACCTACAAATCGCGGAAGTTCGGCTAGCTTTTTTTCCGCGCGAACGGCGCATTGAAGCCTCATCAAGTCGCATGATTCTCTCAGTGGTACACGAGAAGGAAACCACATAGAAGTGTCGATTAGGGGCCGGACCTGTCGATGTTGATTCTCTGTAAATTGTAGCACTAACAGTGTATATCTTTGACGAGTACTGGACAAGAAAGCTACTCAGAACTTGACACTTTCTCGAGCATTGAAGCCTGTTTGTGGCCAGACTCGAACCCGTGACGAAAACCGTGGAGCAGAAAAACGTGAACTTGGCGCCGTTTTTGTGGTGCTCTCGGGAAGCGTAATTTCGCTTCCTTTCCCCTTATTTCTTCGTTTCAACCACCATGCTCCCACTTCATCTTCTACTCTTTGCTTTCGACTTGGTCGTGCCCGCTAAGGCCGCAATCAGCGCAGCGACATCCAACTTTACTGTTGCTGCTGGCTGGTATCCAGGCTATCACTTTGACCAAGTCCCTCTCTCCTCCGTCCTCTGGAACAAATACACCCACCTCATATACGCTTTCGCGTACGTTCAATGGCTTAAACTCCTTTCAAAATTTGAATAATCACTTCAGCACGCCAACAGAAGACCCGAACTCGATTTCCCTGGTTGATTCCGACGCAGAACTGTTGCCACAGTTTGTTGCTGCAGCGCATAAGAATGTAAGGATGGACTTAACTGGTGAATAGAGCTCCGATTAATGAGCGTTAGGGTGTTGCGGCCGGTTTGTCAATCGGTGGTTGGGGCGGGTCAAGTACACATACTCCCGTTTGCTAAGAGTCTGTTCGCTGATTGCTTTTATCTAGCTTATTTTTCTTCAAACGTCGCAACTCCGGCAAACAGAACTGCATTTGTCAAAAGCGTAGTTGGTCTGATCGAAAAATACCAGTTAGACCTGATCGACTTTGAGTGCGTGAGCTACAGTCATTTGTCTGTATTTTCACCAATGATTCTTGTAGCTGGGAATTCCCTGGAATGCAAGGCATTGGATGCAACCTCGTCTCAGAAAACGACACTGAAAACCTGTTACTTATGCTTCGAGAACTAAAGGCCTCTCCGCAAGGCTCAAAAGTGTCGCTTTCTGCTGCGACCTCGGTCCAACCATTCCCCACTACCAACACAACACTCGTTTCGCAGTTTGCATCTGTGTTGAACTGGATAACTCCTATGGTCTACGATCTTTCGTGGAATTGGACCGCTGGCTCCAGGCGGCTACAGAGAGCACTACCCTCGGCGCCATTAGATGACTCGTGTTTTTCGGCGGCGTCGGGAGAGAATATCACCGGGTTGGGTAGCGCTAAGAGCGCTGTAGAAGCCTGGGTCGGTGCAGGGATTCCTCGAAATCAAATCGCTTTGGGGGTTCCGGCTTATGGCCATTCATTCGATGTCAACAGGACCACTGCGTTCCTAACCACACCAAGCTTGTCTTCTGGCCTGCCTTCGATGTCATCTTCTCCCCTTCAACTTGTACCATATCCAGTCTACGATACGCTGAACCATACGCCTGGCGATGCCTGGGATGGCACAGGTGGAATAAATCAATGCGGGGTTTACACAGGCCCAGGCGGTACTTTCGCCTTCTTTTCGCTCATCTCCGCCAAATACCTTTTGGCGAATGGCTCGATCGCCCCAGGAATTCCTTACCGTTGGGACGAGTGCTCACAAACACCATATCTTTATGCCGCCAACCACGGCAAACAAGGTGTTCTAATCTCTTATGTCGATCCACGTAGCTTCGGGGTGCGCGGTCAGTTCGTCAAGGCCAACAATTTGGCTGGCTTCTCAATGTGGGAGGTCGGTGGCGATCCGCAAGGATTGTTGGTCGATGCTATATGTATGTGTCTCCGACTTGTGGACTGCGATGCTCGCTGATTCATTTATTCCAGTATCGGCCACTACAAATGCAAGCCTGACTGTTTCGCCGTCAGCTTCTGCTGCTCATGGTGCACCCACACCAGGGTCAAGTAGCGCGAGTCGAAGGTCGGCTTCGATGCTCCACCTGGGTTTCCCATTCCTGGCTGGATTGCTCGCATTCGTGTCTTAGATCGAAAAAAGTGGCTTCACTCATACACGACAATGACGAAGACGATCTGTATCATACCGTTTGTATAATAGCTGTACATACTTACCAAGCTAGCGCCGAAAAGTCTATTACGATGTCACGACCTTTGTCAGCAAACTGTCTTCTTCTCTTGCCATCGTCAACGTTTCGTTTATCCACAGCATTTGAATCCATCCTTGTTGATGCTGCTCAATGGCTTTTCTGCGTGGGTGTCCGTCGATGGTACGAGCAAAACAAGAGTACGCGAATATCAGCAGCAAACTTCCGAAGAACAAAGCACCTGCTGGATCGCTTCTCGCCCAAGACATGTTTGTTTTACTGAGTTCGACTTCTCCTCGTTGATTTGCTGGTACTTGTTTGCTTTCATTTCTACAGAATTTCTCGTTATGCGTGAAGAACCACCAATACGACCCGGATACACCCCGCGATCTCGGTGTCTACGTCTACATCGACGACGAGCTTTGTACGCAGGTGAACTTCTCAGGTCATCGAGCAGGCAAAATTGAAGGAATTTATTGCGATGGAGGGAGCAGTATTCGCCGTTTTCGGTTTGCTGGTGAGTGGTTCAAATGGACGTTTGAGCTTGGGGAAGTTTGTGGTAAAAAAGGACAATCTAATGACCCATGTCCCTCTTCGACGCTTAGATATTGATGAAGCTGCAAGTGCTCAAGCATGTCCTGGAGTGATAGAGTTGAGAATACACCCCGTTCGTTGTGCCCCAGTACCACCCCCAGTCGACGCTTGGGAGATTGTGGCGAATCTTCCAACCTCGCGCCGCGATCTGGAGACAAACATGAAGGACGGGCAGAACCCCGACTCGGGATCAACGCAGTCAAAATCCAATCGCACCTCGTGATGACACGTTTCATTTGGTTTGTATCGATATTTCTACTCAACGCCTCTCAGCCTTGCTATTGCAAGAAGCTCTACGGCGGGACTCAAAGAAGTGCGGTACGCAGCTATCACAGGACCTCCCATCGCGGTGTTTAAGTTCTGCCACAAATTACGAGGTGAGTGGAAGACAAATTATTCTTCCACAAAAATAGTTTATCCGTCTTAGACGCACTTCGGGCAGAGGGAATTGCTCCACCAGCCAAGTCTGAACTCGAAACGTCGCCGAAGACCAGCAAATACGGACATATCACAGGCAGCGGTAGGCACCATCAAAGGCCTGGAACTGTTTTCTATAAGAGATCTTTCGTAAATTCGAAAGACTTCAAGTATGTTGGCTTTAATCTAGCTTACAAACTGCGCTGAACGCAAAACTAGAATCATCTCTTGAAGAGCCAAATCAGGAGAGAAATCGTGTGTTGATAGTATCTGGCGAAAAAGGTTGCTTGTTGTCCTACTAGTATTTGCGCTATCAACTCTTGAATCTGCGCGCCATTCTTGAATATTTAATCATGGCAAGTCACGTCCCGTGATACGTGACCCTCGTGTCATTGCTTCTCCTAATCCTCCATGCTCGAATTGAATGGGTTTTCTGCCCAGATCATGATTGGAGATGTGGAGATGAAAGAATATGGAGTCGAGATTGACGAAAAGGCGAAATTGGTAACCTGCTGGATCGCGTCGGAGGTTGGCCAGGTCAGTCGACCATTCCCACTCGATACTCTCTCATTCTCTTCACGCTGATGCGAAACAAGCAATTTTCTGTCAAGTGGCGGAGGACTGGACACCGGAGACGCGGCTCACACAACAAAGATATCTCTGGCAGGGTCTTTGTGGATGGGATGAAGTGCAAAGGGCAGATACTGCGGAAGGACGATTGGGATCCTATACAGAGGAAGGGAATCAAAACGGACAACGGCACGAAACTCCTGCCATTCCGATTCTCGTCGTTGGCTCTCACCGGTAGGTCGCCAGGAAAACCCGCACCACGATAGAGCATTGAAACTATCGTTCGAGACGACGACCACTATTTAGATCAGTCCTTACCAGAGACAATCGGTTCTATCGAGCTCAAAATCTACCCCGTATCTCTCGGGTCAAGAACTGGCTCCTGGTCTACACAACGGGAAGGGGGGAGGGCACCGCTCGTGGTCCACGAACGCACAAAGAAAGGACTCTCTCAACATGTTGGGTCGGTGTTAATCTCGAATTTTCCGTTGCTCACCTCACCAATCATATCTTCGATAGATTTGGGGACGCAGTTGCTTCTCGCCAGCGCCATACGATTAGCACAAAATACCTGGGTCCCCCGATAGTCATTTTTCGTTTCAAATATCGTTCCTTGGGTAGGCTTTTTCGAAATCACAAGTCGATGATAAACTAGCTATCTTGTTCAGACGTCCTTCGGGCAAGCGGAATCGCCCCACAGGCTGCATGCGACACGACTTTGGAGGTCGCCAGTAACTCGAGTTCATCCACACGAGCAAAGCCTAACCAATCGATCCCCTCCACTGCAGTCGCGACAGATAAACAACTCGAGGATGAGCTTGAAGAGCTTAATGTGCGTGTCGTGATTTGGAAAAATCACCCATTTCTCAAACTGTCGATTTTTTTAGGAACGTATGCTGGCTGTCAAATCGCAAATGGCTCTGCGTAAAGTTGGAAAGAGAGAGGACGGGAAGGTCCCGGTCAAGTCTGAAGGGAAAGCGTCGCCTCGAATCGCCAATCCACAGCCCATGGTCATCGATTTGACTTCAGACTAGGTGGGACTCGACCCATCGCCAGCAACGCTACTGTACTCTTTATGCTAATGTATAATTTGTTTTTTATGAGTAATACGGTCCATCGCCTGCTCCCCATCTAAAGGGAATCTCTAATGTTATCTTGACATCTATTTTAAGTTGCCGTTCCACCTAGTGACATGCTGTGCAATTACTACTTGCTTTGAACCACCATTGTCGTCCAATGCTCCAATGGCAAGAATTCTCCGCCTGGATTTCTATCGACGGAAATCCCGTGCCTGAGTACGGACTGCAAACTTTCACTGCCGAAGACGACCAGCCACCCATTGTTAGCTGTTGGATCCCATCTGAAGTTGGCGAGGTTGTTGGACGCGGCAAACCCACACCGCGCCAAGCAGGCGCTCTGACGCGTCCTGACGCGTCGCTATGGACTTGCGCTGCCCCGAGCAGCAACCTCTGTATATATAACGGCGCTCGCAACGCGCCCGTCTCATACTTACATCTCATTGCTCATTATGACTTCCAATCTTGTTTGTATTTAAGTAGTGCTACGACGACAATATACTTAGTTCTTTATCGTCTCCTTTTGTCCCCCGTTCAATAGGTTATGGGCCCCGCCTAAACCGAATCTATATCCAGACTATCGACGAACAAACCCTCTGAAATCCTACTACCAACACCATGTCCAGCATCAACGCCAAAGCCGCCGAGTTCTTTGTGCGACTGCCCAAGTGCGAGAGCGATGGCTCCAACTGGGCCATCTACAAGAACCGCTTCTTGTACGCCGCTGCCGCAGCTGGCTTATCCAAACACTTCGACACTCACCACGTCCCTCCCTTACCGCCAACCCCACTCAGTACTTCATCCACCCAGGCCCAAATCGAGGCCTATAATGAGTTCTTGCGTGTTGAAGCGCTCTTCACGTCAGGTGAAGCTATTATCAAGCAGGCTATAGCTGCTACGATCCCCGACTCGTTGTTCTTGAGGGTGATGAACCATAAGAAGGCTTCGCTTCTTTGGGAGAAGGTGGTGGCAGAATTCGAGACCAAGTCGAAGATGGTGACGGTAGATCTGCGACGCAAGTTACAAGATGAGCGTTGTGCAGAAAATGGAGATGTTAGAGCTCACCTTTCGAAGTTGCAGACACTGCGCATCGACCTGACCAGCATGGGTGCTGACCCAGGTGACGACAACTTCGCTGCGATTGTTCTCGGATCGCTCCCGCCATCCTACGACCCATACCTCGCTGCATTGACAGCGTCATCGTCTGTCCTTGGCAAAACCCTTTCCCCCGACACCCTCATCTCTGCTCTTTCCCAAGAGTATGATCGGCGCGCTCTCAAGTCGAAATCGAAGAAGAGCGACTCCGACGTCGCGTTTGCTGCTGGCGAGCGCCGAAATGGGAAGAAGAAATCGAATGTGGAGTGTTTTAACTGCCACAAGAAGGGCCATATGAAGGCCGATTGCTGGGCGCCAGGTGGAGGGAAGGAGGGTCAAGGACCCAAAGGAAAAGGTCGAGGGAAAGGAAAGGGGAAGGCGAATGAGAACGCCAACGCCGCAAACGACATTGGCGGCGTATGGATGGCACAGGTCAATGATGACCGTGCTTGGACTGCTCGCGCTGAGCAGAACGTGTGGCTGTTCCAGGTTGAACAGCATGTCTTTGGGAATGTCGAATCAAGCATGACTAAGGCGCTGGATTGCGTCGAGAGTCCGTGGCTTGAAGACTACGACGAAGAAGAGTCTGAAACGGAATCAGATGAAGACCTCAAGACACCAGAACCAACGACAACAAGTGACGACGAAAGCAACTGTGGCGAGATGCCAGAGCTTCGATCGGTGTCGAATTCGTCCGTCAGTGAATGGGACGACGAGAGCGACATGGGAGATGGGTTTGAGAGCTCGTCGAATGCGTCTTATAAAGTATCAGAGATGGGAGAAGCGGATGAGTGCTCGTCCGACTCACCTGATATTGCTGACCATGTGGATTTGGACAGCGACAACAAGGCATCGCATGGTGATGAGATTGTTGATTATCTTGAAATCACAATCAACGAGTGGCTCGACAATGTCGAAAGCGACCCACTTACCTCGTCGTACAGCATGGCTATGCTCGCCAACGAAGATGGGCCTGAAGACACGATGACCAAGCTGTATGACTCGGGTGCATCGGCCCATATTACCCCATATCGACATCGCCTCCTCAATGACATCTCCATCCCTCCACGCTCGATCACCGCTGCTGACAACGGCTCGTTCTTGGCAATAGGCCAAGGCGATATGCACGTCTGGCTGCCTAACGGAAAAGGCGTCAAGACCAAAATCCTGCTACGTGGAGTTTTATACGCACCCAAGATCGGACTGACATTAATTTCGGTCAGTAAAATTACCGACGCAGGCTACGCAGTCTTGTTCCGCGAGAACTTCTGCAAGATCTTCAGTAAACATCAAAAACTGGTCGGGATGGTCAACAAAATGAAAGGCACTTACCGTGTTCAGTCCCCATTCAACTGGGAGACTGTTACTGCCGCCGCTGCCACTGTCGAGGAGACAGTATCCATCGAGGAGCTCCACCGTCGTCTTGGCCATGTTGCGCCGGACGCTGCGAAACGGCTCGTGTCGGATGGACATGTCGCGGGCATCAAGATCGACCCGAAGTCGAAGATCGAGTCGTGCGAGTCGTGCACGTACGGGAAAATGTCCCGCAAGCCGATAGGCAAGGAGCGAAAGGAGGAACCAGCCGCATATATGGGCCAGATCATCTACTCGGATGTCTGGGGCCCATCGCCCGTCGAAACTATTAATCGGCGTGAGTATTATTCGAGCTTCACCGATGCACATACTCGCTGGTCACGCGTCTATCTTCAGCGCACCAAGGCCGAGACGTTCGGGTCATACCAAGCTTACGAGGCTTGGCTCTTGACCCAGTTTGGCGTCAAGATTCGGAAACTCCACTCCGATCGCGGAGGAGAGTTCTGGAGCGAAGAATTTGACCGGCACCTTGCAAAACAAGGCACCGAACGCGGATTCACCGTCCACGACACTCCGGAGCACAACGGCATCGCGGAGCGGTTGAATCGGACGCTCTTGGAGCGCGTCCGCGCGATGCTACATGGGAGCGGTTTGCCGAAGTACTTGTGGGGCGAGGCAGTTGCCCACGCGGTCTATTTGAAGAACCGCTTGTCGACTCGAGCGCTGGATGGAAAGACGCCGTTTGAGGCCGTCTACAACAAGAAACCGAATTTGTCGAAGCTCCCCGAGTTCGGAGCGCGTGTCTGGGTGCATGATGACAAGGCGGACAAGCTCGACAGCCATGCGAAGGAGGGGAGATGGGTGGGGTATGACGAGTCCAGCAGTGGCCACAGAGTCTATCCTGAAGGGAAGCGAACAGTTGCTGTGGAAAGAAGTGTTAAATTTCACAGCAACAACGAAAACATACCTTTCCCAGACGATCTGCGGATTGAGGGGGAGGATGAAGACGATTCTGGCAATCAGCCGTCGTCTGGCATTTTAAAAACGACCACGCACCTTAATCGCGCTGCTCAACCCACTCAAACGACGCCGTCCTCTTCGGCACAAACCCCGGTAAAGGTGGAGAGCACGACGCCGCCGCTGACACCACCGCTTTCATCGGCAAAACCCCTCCTGGCGCCATCACCATCCATCCCTCGTCTCCGCCAGCAGCTGGCTCGTACCGACCCTCTTGGACCCAACTTCGAAGGCGAAGGAGGTGCAGAAGAAGGTGGGATAGGTGGGCTGAGGCGTGGAACGCGAGAGCGAAGGCAGGCAGCTAGGGAACCGGTTAGTGGCGCCACATATCTCCAGCAGGGCAGGGCTGACGACGCACCCGATTTCGTGGCACGCGCCGAGCTCTCTGACGACTGGGAGATGGTGGATGTGCTGGAGCACCACCTCGCTGCCGCGATTTCGACTGCTGAGGCCCTTGACCCGTCGTGGGAGGAAGCAAAAGGCCGTCCCGATTGGCCACATTGGCAGGCGGCAATCAACGCGGAGTTAGACGCGCTGAAAGCCGCCGGCACTTGGACTGTCGTCCCACGTCCCGCTAATCATAACGTTGTAGACTCTAAATGGGTCCTCCGCGTCAAGAAGAACGCTGCGGGAGAAATCGAGAAATATAAGGCTCGACTCGTGGCACGTGGTTTCACGCAAGTCCAGGGTGTCGACTACTATGAAACATTCGCGCCAACCGCCAAGATTGCCTCAATCAGGCTTATTCTCGCCATCGCTGCTCGCAACGACTGGAATGTGGACATGTTCGACTTCCACAGCGCATATCTCAATGGAGAACTTGAAGCTGGCGAAGAAATCTACATGGAACAACCACCTGGCCATGACTTTGCCGACCGTCGCACCAATGTGCTCAAATTACTCAAGGCCCTGTATGGATTAAAACAGGGTGGGCGGAGATGGTATGAAACTCTTTCGCGCATGCTGGCAGAGCTAGGCTTCATACAGTGCACATCGGACCATGCTATTTTCTATGCTCGCGACAACGGCGAGCTGACCATTTTGGCCATACACGTCGATGATTGCACAATCACCTCCAGCTCACCTACGCTCCTCACGCAATACAAGGCTCGTATTGGCGAACACTTCAAGATGACGGATCTCGGACCAATTAGCTGGTTGCTCGGAATTGAAATCCGCCGAGACCGTGAAGCGCGCACAATCTCGCTATCACAACAGTCTTATATTGAGTCTATCCTCACGCGTTTCAATTTCGCTGACTCCAAACCTGTCGCCATGCCCATGGACCCGAATGTCCAGCTCTCGAATGCCCAGCGCGCTATCAGCGTGACCGACATAGCGGCCATGAAACGTGTTCCATACCGCGAGGCCGTAGGCTCACTCATGTGGGCAGCTGTCGGTACACGGCCCGACATCGCCTTTGCTGTGGGACTACTGTCAAAGTTTCTCGACAATCCTGGCCCGGCTCATTGGGAAGCCGTCAAACGAGTGTTCCGCTACTTGGTGGGTACTAAGTCTTTGCGTTTGACTTATGGCGCAGGAAAGACAGGCCTCGAAGGCTACTCTGACGCGGACGGCATGTCCCAAGAAGATCGACATGCCATTTCTGGCTACGCGTTCATCATCGATGGTGGCGCGGTTTCCTGGAGCTCAAAGAAACAAGAACTCGTCACGCTCTCGACCACAGAGGCCAAGTATGTCGCCCTGACCCACGCCTCGAAGGAGGCCATTTGGCTGCGCTCGCTCATCAGCGAGCTTTTCCGCCCACTCGAACATCCAATCACTCTCCACGGCGACAATCAGTCTTCAATTGCCCTCGCACATTCCGATATCGGCCAGTTCCACGCGCGAACTAAACACATCGACATTCGGTATCACTTTATTCGATACGTGCTCGAAAACGGCACGATTCGACTTGTCTATTGTCCCACGGCGGACATGGTAGCCAACTGCCTTACCAAGGCACTTCCGAGCACGAAGGCAAAGCACTTCGCTGCTGCAATGGGACTGTGTGGGGTTTGAGGGGGAGTGTTGGACGCGGCAAACCCACACCGCGCCAAGCAGGCGCTCTGACGCGTCCTGACGCGTCGCTATGGACTTGCGCTGCCCCGAGCAGCAACCTCTGTATATATAACGGCGCTCGCAACGCGCCCGTCTCATACTTACATCTCATTGCTCATTATGACTTCCAATCTTGTTTGTATTTAAGTAGTGCTACGACGACAATATACTTAGTTCTTTATCGTCTCCTTTTGTCCCCCGTTCAATAGAGGTCTCTCTTACTACTCCAATCCCGAGCGACATATATTGACCACGTATTGCCTGCCACAAAGAAATTCTCGGTGAAATGGCGAAACACGGCCTATCAGCACGACACCGGTGGGTTTCTGCGCATGGACGGGACAAGTTGTGGGGGCAAGTTCCTATTGCGGCGATATCTACCCGGAACTACAGAAATGGACGGTGTACGGTCAGCAGACGGGACAACAATGAAGCCTTTCGTGTTCGCGTCACTGAAGTCGTCTGGTAAGTAGGCTTCCTTCCTTCCTTCCCGTTGTAGCCTGTCTCCATAGACCCACACACAGCTTGTAGATGACGATGACTTGGTCGAGCTGGCATATGACAATCTCGGTACAATCGAGCTCAAGATTGTCCCAGTCCGCGATTTCTTCCAGAGCGCAATCCATACGCCGTCGCTCGATACGCTTCAAGTGCACGAGCGGTCGAAAAAAGCAGTAACTCAGCAAATAACGTGTGTTCTTCCTCTCTTTCTTGCTCTACATCTAGCTCGACATTCTGTTCAGGCTCGGAGATCCTCTTACGCTTCAAGCCCCAATACCCACATTTAAGGCGCAGAGGAGCGGGCCGGACATCGTTAGATTTGTTTTCAGGTATCGACCATTAGGTGGGTTTGTATCCCTGCCCAAATTAGGGTTTTTACCTCTGTGCTGTAGACGTCCTCAGAGCCAATGGTCTTGTGCCACCGACTAACGCGACCGGACTTGTCGGTGACAACTCCGTTCGCAAGCGGAAGCGTAAAGCAGGGCCGACTGCCACAACTCTTGTGGGCAGCTCGTCCCTGTCAAATCAACTCCCAACGCCCGATACCGAGGGGAGCGATGGCGATCCAAGTTTGTCCGAAAGCGATGGCGGCGCACAAGACGTACTGGAATTGAAGGCGCTGAAGGTAACGGTCAATGGAATTCCAAGTCCTGGTGATGTTAACGCTTGCGTAGGATCGTATGGATGCACTGGAAGCTCGGTTGGCGTCTCGGGATAGACGCAAGAAAGGAAGTAAAAGTAAAAAAGCCAAGCTAAAGAAGGAAGAAGACGTAGATGTGAAGCCAAACCTGAAGAGAGATCCAGAACCAGAGATTATTGACTTGACGCTGGACTAACAATTCACAACACGGTAATAATAAAATCTGACTATGGTAACTTGATGTATCAACCAACGCTCTATTCGACCTTCCGAGCCCATTTGCGACCTCCGGGTGGAGGCGTAGCTGCACGTTGCTGCCACGTCGGTGTGGATTCGTAAGCAGGAACAGCTGAACCTGTTGCTGCCTTGATTTCTGGTGCGGGAGACAATCGGGTTTTTGGTTTCTCTCCGACGGCAACATGGATATTGGATGCATCTTTGCCCCAGAACATCCACAATTGAGCACCCAGAATCAGGTTTAGCACAAGCGCAAGCCCGAAGCCAGCGACAATAATGGGATCGCTGACCTCCGTTGCGGTGGTGAAGAGACGAGCTGCGGTTCCCGCAACTTGTGAGATGACAGCAAAGGCGGAAAGTTGGCCTGTGCTTTGAGCGCTGTAGTTCTGGCGGATCTGGGGGAGTTTGGAGAAAAGGGAGAGTGGGAGGGTGGTGAGCTGGAGAAGCGCCAAAATTGACGGAGGTGCTAGTGCCGTTCCAAGAAAGAATACAGAAAGTGCAAGAAAGGTCATTATTGCGCTGGGTGTTTTGTCGGAGGACGCGCTCCGCGGCGCGTAGAGGATTATAAGGAGGGTGATAGCGATATTTTGCAGAGTCAAGAAGAGATTTTCCCCGTACGTAGAGAACGGAAACCCATTTCGGTGAGAGTAGACGAGGGTGATTGCGTATGATAATGTTTCAAGCAGGTATGCAGGAAGGGAAAGACCGCGAGCAGATTTAGCTTTCACAACTATTGCAGCGTTTAGCTATAATTGCTTGCGGTAAAAACTTCAGGAACGCACTGAGTAGGAGTTGTGGAACCTTCATTATCGAGCCGCCCACGACTATGCCAATCCCAAGACCCTTCGAAATTGAGTATTTTATGCATTGGACGTCCGAAAAGTTGAGATCTTCGATGAGTGACGTGTAACATTCCTAGATATACGATGTAGCTAAGAACGAGAGAGTAGGACTATATTTTACCTTCCCAATGACAGATACGCCGAGGTCGCGAACGAACCATGGTAAGTTGCGTGTAATGGAGGTCATGGTCAAGGTGAGGATTTGGTGAGTGTGACTCCAGCACGTGCTAGCGTCACAATTTCGCGGAAAAAAAGAAAACATGGGCAGCGATAGTCCCTGAAGATTTTCGTGCTTATCGATAATGTCCTTACTGTAAATTGTGTGCGCCGTACCACGAGGGCGTGCGATCCCTGACCAGAGTTGGACATGTGGGCGTTTTATCCCCAGATGCGTGATGGATTCTGCCGTTTCTGGCTTCTCACCACCATCTCCCCGCCTTCTTTCCCTTTCCTTTTATCGCCTTCCGACTAACCAACTGGTCCAACTCACGCGTCAACCCGTCCTCGATCATCTCTATGTCGCATCCATCATCAGGTTACGCCAACTCAGGCTCAGCGCCAGACAACATGGGCTCTCCCGACTCTCCCAGCTCAGAAATGCAATCTGATGCTGAAGACGAGGAGGACTGGGAAGACTACAAGCCGGGGGGCTACCATCCAGTCAAAATTGGCGATTCTTTCTCCGACAAACGATATGTTGTCGTTAGGAAACTCGGATGGGGACATTTCTCTACTGTGTGGCTTTCGTGGGACTCCAAGTGTGTACATATAGCCTTTCTTTCGATCCTAGAGCTTATAATTACAGATTAAACCGACACGTCGCGCTCAAAGTAGTCAAATCTGCTGCCCGATACACGGAAACAGCGCTCGATGAAATCAAATTGCTCCAGCGCCTCATAACATCGAGCAGTCCTACTGGCGCACAGAATCATCCAGGCCGCTCCCATGTCATCTCGTTTCTTGACCATTTTCGACACACTGGCCCCAATGGTACCCACGTTTGTATGGTCTTCGAAGTCCTCGGGGAAAACCTCCTGGGACTCATAAAGAGGCACCAAGTGCGTATTCTACCCCGTAAAGAACAACAAACAGACCGCTTTATAGAACAAGGGCGTCCCGATGCCAATGGTCAAGCAGATTGCAAAGCAAGTGTTGCTGGGCCTGGATTACATGCATCGATATTGTGGAGTTATTCACACTGGTGCGTCGTCGCAGTTGTCTACGCGGATTGGCACTCACGTTTACCGCATAGACATCAAACCTGAAAATGTGCTCATCTACATTGACGATGTCGAATCCATAATTCAATCAGAACTTGCTGCTGCTGCGGCAGTCTCTCCCTCCGACTCCTCCCCTTCCCCTACTCAACCGAAACCCAAGATTATCGGAGTACCGCCTTCACAAGGCCGTGGTGGAAACCAAACACCACGAACACAGTCGGCGATCTTCGTGTCACAACCATTACCATCTCCCAAGAGCAGTACCAGTCTCAATTCTAGCTATGTCGCTGCCTCCGCCGGCAGTCTCGACCGTTGGGGTCTGGGTATGACGCGCATTGACGGCGACAAGCCGACAAGCCCGGGTGGGTCCTCATCTAACGCAAATTCCGAGCTGGACTTGGTTTCCCTGTCAATATCTCCCAAGCAACAAGCACCACCACCTCACAACGGTGGGCCTTCCTTGCTGGGCAGCACTCGACCTACTGCAATACCCGTTCCGCAGTCACCAATGGACGTAGATCCGGAAACGGACGAACGGTATAATAATGGAATACCAGAGCGGATAACGGTCAAGATTGCAGACCTCGGCAATGGTCCGTAAAACAAAAGCAGTCCTCTTTCGCTCCATTCACTCTGTCTATAGCCACCTGGACACATCACCATTTCACGGATGACATCCAGACAAGGCAATACCGCTCACCAGAGGTGATTGTTGGGGCTAAGTGGGGGACTAGTGCGGATATCTGGAGTGTTGCTTGTGTGGTGAGTATTGTCGCATGTCTTACCTAATTTCTCACGAGTTATCAGATTTTTGAGCTGATAACTGGTGGGGATTATCTTTTCGATCCAGCCAAAGGCTCGCGATACACCAAAGACGACGATCACATGGCGCAAATCATGGAGCTTGTCGGTGAGGTACCGAAATCCATCTCGGTCGGCGGCAAGTATTCTTCTGAATTCTTCAATCGCCGTGGAGAGCTGCGACATATTTCTAAACTGCGATTCTGGCCTTTAGACCTGGTGTTGCATGACAAGTACCTGTTTCCAAAGCCCGAGGCCGACGCGCTAGGTGGATTTTTGACGCCAATGCTGAGAATGCACCCAGACAAGCGGGCGAGAGCGGGGGAGCTGGTCCATCACGCGTGGCTAGAGGGAGTCGTGGTTCAGGGAGAGATTGATGTTATACGGCGGGCTGAGCGGGAAGAGGCTTCAGAGGGGACAGGAAAGGGCAAGGTCGCCGAAGAAGAGTTTGCGGTCGAAAGCGCCGTCGCTGCCATGCGCCCGGAAGCACGTGCTCAAGAGACCAAGGAGGAGAAGATGAAGCGGACCCAGAGCGAGGCTGATGCACTCAAACCAGTGGATGACCCTACCACGCGATAGTCGTGTTATTATCACCCTTTTCTTTCTTAGAGTTACATATCCCTCATCTTCTGTTCTGCTGTTACCTACTAGCTGTTGTTTTTTGTTTGCATGTATCTTACTAGTTCCTCATAAGAAGAGGTATGAGCACGGTGGCTGGTCGTAAATGGGCACGTGATTCAAGGAAACTGGGGTCGATGTTCTTATGCACGAACGAACGCAAGCCCACAGTCTGACTGAGCTCATGTGGCTTCTACAGCACGGTCAGCACCCCATTCAATTGAGCAGGCTTCTAGCTATGTTCTGATTGTTAGCCCCCACGCTCAACAGCTTTGCAAGTCCGGTCAAATACTTGAAGATCCAGATAACTCGGCCAGTCGACTACCCCCTAAGAATATGCCAGTTACCTTCAAAGTGGCAAATCATGGGGCAGAAATAGTGGCGGGTGACTATGCCGCTGGATTCACTGCTCGAGAAATGCTAGCAAAAGCGTGCTCGCCACAGTATCGGCTCGCTGGCGATATTCGGGGAACCTCATTCGCAGAACCAGAGACGTGCGTACCTTCTTATAAGTCTCTCCAGCTCGCGGAAACGAAAACGTAGTGCCAACATTCCTACCAAGTCCAAGCTCCGACTAACTCGGTTGAGTGGGATTTTTGGGAAGAAGCAGAAACGCCACTTGTCCCAGGCTTCAACATCACAGAAGACGACAGAGTCAAATAATACGATTTCCCAAGTTATTCCCAAGCCCAACGGCTTCTTCCATACTATCAGCACGGCATATAACAAGCACCATATCCTTGTCCTCCGCCCAGACGATGTCTGGTTGGCCATTCTCGTTCAATTCAATTTCTTCGTCAACGCCAATTCAGAACTCCTTCGTGCCAGCTTTGTCGCCCATGAAGGTAGCAAGACTCTCACAGTGAAGCGATCTGCACTTGCTGATTTTGGCGAGTTTGCGCGGGCCATGGTTGATGAGATGGAGAAAAATGTCGTCGATCCGACGTTACGCAAATGGGCTCTTCCGGACTTCAGCACCACGACAGAGCGCGACACTACCGTCGCCTCCATAACTCTCATGGCGACACTCAAATCATATTTCCAATATGTCTTCTGCAGCATTGATTGTGGCATTCCAAGTGTTACACTTGAAGGGGAAAAATCCGACTGGGAAGACCTGCTGCGGCGGGCGGAGAAGTTAAAGGAGTATACAATCGAGACAATTGCATGGTATCATCTTCTGGTTCCTGTTCTCTCGCGTTTCGTCCAGTCATTTGAGGAGCCCACTGCCGACAGCACCATCGACTTTTGGCAGAAAGTTGCACATTTCCGGCGCGGCGGAAGTGGACCATCTACGTATTCAGGGTGGCTGAGTGCGTTCTGCGTATTCAATGAGAAAGGAAAGTGGATTGGGTCGTCACTAACAAAGGTTTATCTGATCTTCCATCATTCACTGTGCCGACGTTTTACAGAACGATTTCTCCGCTATTAAACCACCAGAGTCGCTCAAGGCGAAAGACTTTTGGGCGACCTATCTTGAATATCCCCAATTCGTCACTGACCACCTTCACCTCGATGATACGCCCTATCATCTCGTCGATGCCGCCAACATACCCCCATGTTACGCTGAGGTCGATGCCCTTCTCGTTGATCTTAGTACAGGCGAGAAAAAACAAGCAGCGATGACCGCAGGTGTCATTGCGACCGAGGTGTGCTCCAGCAGCGACTCGATGGAACCAGCTAGTGGGTTCTCCGGTGAAAACGATGTGGTCAAGCCCTTGGTCGGGTGGTGGCTTTTCAACAAGCTCGATAAACCGGCGGGGCCAGGAACGGGAGAGGGCTTGTATGGTGAGGAGGAGTGGTGAAATGAAAGGTGATAACTCAACCAATCACTCTGAAACTTTCAGATGAAGATGAATATTTTGTGTAAACGTAAACCTATGCAATAGCTTTGTCGCGTGTGAAGGCAAGAGAAAACTCATAGTCAACTTGAACTGGAACAATTTTTCTGAGGTGGGCGAGCGCCGAGTTTGCGCAAGCTCTGGTCGATGGGATGAAGAGAATGTTTCGGGCTCAGCTCTGGTCTCCTCGACTTCAAGTTCAAAGTTCACCACTATAAGTTAACCAAGTGCGACACCGAGCAACACGTCAACCTCTGGGTTATGTTGAATGCTTGGCAGGTGGTGCTTGATAAATGCATCATTAACTTGTGAAATTATACTTTTGGTAAGTACTTCCAGGACGTATCTCTGCTGATGTCATTGCGTACAGTCATTTCGGACTCAGCCGAATGATTGCCGCTGCCAAGGATTGTGTGACTAAGCCACCCTGATGATGTTCACACTGAACTCTTCAGCCTCAGGCTTGCACGCGCTATCTCCCAACCTTGGCTGTTGACATGACGGTCGCCATTGGTATCGAACCGCCGTCCTACGATGGCTTCAACTTTGAAGCTTTTGTCAGGTCCAGCAACGGCGCATCCGATCTCCCAGCCTATACCCGTCGACCAACCCCACCACCAACCACTCGCGAACCCAGAAATTTCACGTTTCAATTGAAGAACCGAAGCGGTGTTTCCTGGGGCTCCATCACCATTCAAGGCGACCCACGACTGACAAAGCTCCTGCCAACAATCCTGGAAGGCTCAGAATTGACAGGCTCGGTGCAGCTGAAGCTCAGGACCACACAAGCGATACAGGCCGTATGCGTTATTGTGAAAGGGGAGATAGTTGGTGGGGCTCCCGGCTCTGTGCCTCAGAAGTTTCTGGACATCAAGCATGTCTTGTGGACCGCCGCGGATGGTGACCCTAATTCTCCTGGGAGTATTTTGGCAGGAAGCAAACTCAACGGCTTGAAACTGAAGGGAGACTATAGTTGGCCGTTTAATATCGCGATTCCTCCAGAAATATCGCACGGAGGCGAGACTTATCGTCTCCCACATTCCTTGCTCGATAAAAGCACGCTTTGCTCAATACGATATACAACTGAGCTGCGAGTCGTTCGAGGGAAACTGCGGCCTGACGACAAGTAAGTCTCGACTACACACGTTGGCAATCATTGAAGCATTGCAGGTTGCAATGTCCGTTTGCTTACTTTTCCATGCGCCAACCTTCAAGTCCTTCGTCGCTCAGAATGGTGCGTTCGTCGTCGTCACTTTGCAATGCCAACTGTCTTTAGTTAGCATATCAAGAGAACAGCCCGCTTCTCGGACCCGATGCTGACCCTGAAGGCTGGCAATCATTTCCATTGACAATCAAAGCGATTTTGTTTGCCTCTCGGGTCGTTGAGATTAAACTATCGGTGCGTCGCATCAAGTTCTCCCTGAAATCACCCTTACTTTGGCCCATCAGTTCTCCTTGGCCAAACCCGTGAGTTTTCGGTGCCAAGGTCTAGCTTAATTCTCAAATTCTCAAGCTTTGCTACACAAGATCAGGTTCAATTCCTTGCGCGATGACGATTGAAACGTCAGATACACAAGCCATGGACTTGCTTGCTGTTCCTTCTGTCCCCCTCGTCTATCTCGAGCGAACGACGAAAGAATTTGACGAAGGTTATCGAACAATGACAGAGCCTTGCGGACAAGCCGTATTCTGGCCTTCAACCTCTGGTAGTTCTGACTCTACCATCCCGAATCAACGTTGCCTAATGGGCGAAATACATTTGCGAAACGATCTCTCGCCGTCATCGGCTGTGCTTGGCTTTGCTGTCGAGGTGATTTTACCTCGCATGCTTTGTGTCTGCCTCTCACGTTGTGTTTTCAGTACGCCGTCGTCGTATTCCCCTTCCAGGCGGTCGGGTTCAAGCCCATGGATGACGGGAAACCGATTTTGAAAGAATCCGTTGAGATCACGACCCGATACGCACCGGGTCCTCGACAGCAAACCTATAGCCCGCCGGCATATGAGGGAAGGAATTGGGCTGTCGACCAATACTACTACCATCTGGTCATTCAACGGGCTGTTTCGGGTAATCGTCCGCGCGGGAGGGGTGGAAGGGGGCCTTGATATTGTGGGCATCCTATTTTTATTGCTCAATTGGTTGTATGTCTGTGTGTGTGTGTAGTTTTATCAGTGTACAAAAGAAGAATCCGCCTCATTTCAAGAGTCTTCATCGTTGGGCAACTGAGGTTGGTCTTTGGTCAAGTACTCTCAAGTTGATATATCGAGATATAGTCAGACCTGAGACTTGTTTTCTGTCATACTTGTGAGAGAAAATTACCACTCGCTAGTAGTGGGGATTCTAGCTGATCTGGTATTTAGGAGGACGAGAACTTGAAGATTCGAAATGTGTGACCGATCGTGGGGTCACTGAATTTAGTGTGATCATGAACCTCTTCCTGAAGGACTTCATCGACGCTCTATTGCTCATATCACAGGCATCAGCTATCTTCTTCATAGTATCTTTGTTTAAACGATTCTTCATCTTATTTCCGCTTCCTCAAGACCTCTTCGACCGTCAGCCACGTATGTCCAGGCCAAAACACATTCCCACTTCCAGCGGCTTCACTCCCAGACTTCTCCGTCTTGGTCTCCGAATTCCACCCCGTACTAGCAAACCCGGTCGCGAAAACCTTTTGCAGCAATGTTTTGTGGCCACTGTCAACACCCGTGATCTCGTCAACATACTCAATCTTTGCTTCCAAGATCTCGGCTAGGTCTTTTAGCATTATACGATCGCCCTGCAATCTGAATGTGCGGTTTTCGAGCTCTGGAATAGGGAGATTTGTCAAGACGTGGGCCAAGAAGCCGCCAATGTCCTGGGTGGATGTTACCGAGACAGCCACGTCCCCAGCTCCAACAAGTTGAATTGTGTCAGGATAGTTTACCACCCATGGTAGAAACTCGATGAAGAGGCCGACCTATCTTCTTATCAGCTCTTGGACTCTGAAGGGCTTGGAACATACGAATATCCGCACATATGGAAGCCCGATTTGCTCAAGGTGTGCTGTCAATACCTATAAGCTCCAATGACACTCAGTAGACCAATATTCACCTATGAGGTCTCTCTTATGTGCCCAAACTCCTTTTGCGTTCGGGTCGTCACTAGGCAACCCGAACTCAGATGGCACAAAAAGCCGGGCTCCGGCCGCCTTCGCCGCCTCCGCAAGTGGTTTTTGTGAACCTACTGCCTCAGTGGGCACAGTTGACAACACAACTTCGGCTTTGTGCTTCTTGAGGACCTCTGAAACTGCTACGGAGTCCATGAAATCGACTTTCTCGATCGTCACATTTGGCGGAAGGTTTCGGAGAGCTGTTGAAGTCGACGTGGGCCTGGAGAGGACGACGACGGTGACATTTTTCGATGCAAGAGCACGCACGATGGGGGCACCAATGGTGCCTCTGCCAATGAGTGCAAACGACTGGAAGGCCATGTTGGTTTGTCAATACGACCTGCCCTTTATATATGCTACTCAAATGCTGTCTCGCGTTTACTAAAAGCTTGCTTGCTCAGATCATTTCGCTGATCAAGACAGTTTGAGGACCGATAAGCAACGAAGTGCGCTATAATTGGGTGTTCTTCAAATCGTAGGTTACGCCTGAGATGCCGGTGGCGGGGATCTCGATGCATTGGTAGCGCCGTGTTATAGAGTTGCAACGTGAACGAACGGCCAAGAAGCAGAAAGCCGCTGCTTCAGAGGGGCGGGCTTCCGACGTCTGCATTGTCGACAACGAAACAACGTCTGACTGACGAATTGGGACTTATTAATAAGTAGTTAGCACCCATGTATTTCCTGAGATTATTCATGCAAAAAACCTGCTGAGCAATGTTTATCCATGACTGATCACTCCCAGTCCCATGCATAGCTGCTGAGAGCGCTAAGTAACTGAGAAGTAGTAATTTAGCAAAATTGCTTAACGATGCACGTGACGCAACGCCGATCCTTCCCTTTCTTCCACTGCGACCACCATGGATGCCAGCATCCCAGGCATGGGCCTGTTATACTTTTCAATGACAGGAAATGAGGATGAAGGAGCAAATCCGACGCCACCACCAGGCTCCAAACGACGGCGACTGCGTGGGGCTTGTGCTGAGTGTCGACAGAGAAAGAGTGTGTCGATCATTCCCGTTTGTTGTACCGTTAACAACACATGTTTTGTTCTGTAGCTCGGTGTACGGCAAATCCAACTTCGAAAAGAATAATTCTCATCGACAATAGGTGATAGAGCAAAACAGCCGGGAAACATCTGCTCTAATTGCATCGCGTTCAACTGCCCATGTACCGATCCTCGCGTGAGTATTTCTCGTCCTCCCATGAGCAACAGGATGGTTGAAGTATGTCTTCAGACCGAAAGTACCCATGAACCGTCGTAAGGTTTCTTTCGGGAACGGAGTGCGGCGACTTATTTTGAGCTTGCAAACAGCGCGAAACCCTTCTCCTCGAAAGCTACAACGGTCAGAACACGCGATCTGAGGAAAGTTGCAGCTTACCAGCCCTAGAATTCCCCTCCCTATGGTGGAAAAACGGCTGCGGAGCATGTCGAAACCATTGTGGTGCAGTCGACGGCCTATATCGATGCGCGAGACCTCCGTATGGTTCTGCTCGATATTGCACAATACTCGCGCACCATTGAAGAGGAGCTCAAGTCATGTCGGGCCAAACTCGCCGCCTGTCGAGCAGGTTTAACCCCCAACACTGATTCTGCATCCCCGCCGAATACGACTGACTTCTCAAGCGACACCACGGCCGTGTCGCCGGAGACCCCAGAACAAGATGCAGAAGAGGACTCTGATGCTCTAGTTGAGGATTTTCACGGGATGAAGCTCGCAGATGGTGGTCGCTCCCGTTATTTTGGAGAATCGAGCGGACAGCATCTATTTCGCACCGCCGAAGTATATAAAATTCAGCATGAGGGCCACACTGGTAGCCCGACTCAAATTCGTCGTCCTGAATACTGGAGTAGCCCGGTTTGGTTTCAGCTTATAGCCCTTTCCGCTTATTCACAGTCCAGCATAGTGGGAGAAAGTTCCGGCTGCCCGTCAACTCGTGTATACATTTCCGCCTCAGGATCTCATGGACAGCCTGGTGTCGATTTACTTTCGACATTGGAATATTTTCATCCCGTTACTCCACCGACCAACCTTTGAACGTGGAATCGCCTCCGGCCTGCACTTGTCTGATCATGGGTTTGGGGCCCTAGTTTTGGGAGTCTGTGCTTTAGGGGCGAGGTTTGGATCTCTCGCGTGCATTTGAGAAGGCCGCTAACACACTCTTTCACAAGGTTGTCTGACGACCCACGAGTCATCTTCCCTGGGACCAACACGTCTCTTAGCGCCGGCTGGGAATGGTTGCAACAGATACGATACGAGGAAGACCCCGACTCTTACTTCGCCATGTCCTTATATGGCCTGCAACGCAATATCGTCTGTATTGGTGCTTTAATCCGGCTTTTCTCACGTGTTTTAGTTGTTGACGCTGTACTTGCAAAGCAGCAACTCTCCTAAACAATGTTGGACGCTCGGAGGAATGTCATTAAAGAACCTCCAAGATCTTGGCCGTCATCGAGAGAAACGCTATTCGGATCCGCCAACCGTGGAAGACGAACTGTACAGACGGGTATTTTGGGCATTCATCTTTGGTGATATGTACATGAGTGCCTTCTTGGGACGGCCTCGTGGAACCTCAGAAGACGAGTACGCAATCAAAATTTCTTATTCGTTGTTCTAAGCTTCTCTCGGTCAGGCATGATGTTGACTACCCAACTGATTGCGATGACGAATATTGGGAGGACCCCGACCCTTCTAAGCGATTCCAGCAGCCCGAGGGAAAACCTTCCCAAGTTGCCTTCTTTGTTTCGTGTCTAAAACTTACAACAATTCTTGGACGCGCACAAAAGACAATCGTCAGTATTTATTTCCCTGCTCGATTGAACTCAATTAACAACTAAATCCTCCAGTACTCCCTGAAACGGAACGAACGCGGTGCGGGATGGAGCCAATCGACCGTAGCCGAATTGGAGTGAGTGTCGTTTCTTCGACTGTGACAGTTTTGCTGAAGATTTAGTTCGGCCCTTAATAAATGGCTGGATTCGATACCGGACCATCGTAGGCTCAACTTACTTACTGCCCATTGTTTGGCTTGACCCCGAACAGTCAAATGGGATCCGCATCGAGAAAACTCCATTTTTTCAGCGCAGTCAGCAGCATTATATGCTTCGTATTATCACGGTACATTCTCAATTCCATATGAGTAGAACTCATCCCCCGTATAGTTCAAATCCAGATTCACCGAAGCTTTATTCCATCCCCGTCCAACGACAAGCCGCTTTTCTCGGTACATTAATTTTGTCTGAGACTCTTAGCTTTCTCTGAGCCATTCTAGTCCTTCCCTTCCTTGGCCATTTGTTCAAACGCTGCGCGTGCGTGTAGCCATGTTATGGAGGTTCAAGCAAAGCTTGGAGTTCTCCTGTTTCTCCCTCAGGCTCTGGTGAGCATATCAGGCACGCTGCTGGCCGTTTTATTTTAATCATCACCAGTCGTCTCTCATGGACTCTGCCCTCGTCCTCCTCGTAAACGTCTGGGGCGCTCGGCAAGCGGGCTCTTCACCTGATCCGCAAAGGGCAGCCGCTGATATTCGAAGATGTATTAACTGCATCGCCATGTATGAATCTCGGTAAGGACATCTTCATGATCCAAATGAAGGGACTTGCCAACTCTTTCTAGTCTCCAACTTGCAGGTCGTTTTTGGTCTGTAACATCTCTCTCTCATACCCTATTCGCAAGTCTGACTCTCGCCGAAGCGACCTTCTGGCGACGATTTCGAGTCAAGTCTTGGTAAATCCGTCACCGCCTGCAACACAGGTTGCACATCCGCGCAAACGGCCTCGGGACCCTGACTTCGAGTGCCAAATACCCGCCTCCCAACCACCGCTTGATTTCCCTCAGGACCAGCAATTGTCCGTCGAAGAGCTTATCTCACAGTACCCTTTCGAGGACTTCTTGCAAGCAGAACCTGGCGCCGGGACGGCACCAAACATGGAATTGACGGATGTGTATCCATACTCGATGCCGATCTCCACCGAAGAACTCGGTCATTTACCACTTTACTCTTCATTTGACCAAGCTTGGACGGCCGACCCTTCGCTTCCTGCTATGGGCGACATCGGGCTGATGTTCAGCTTCGCGGATGCGGAGTCGGCACAGGAAATGGCGGCGGCGGCACGGTACAGTGCGGCCTCAATACCGCCTTCAAATTTCTTGCCTCAGCAACCGTTTCTCGCTCGTCCCCATGATCAATTGGCTGGCATGCCCCGTAATTTTTGGTTCCCTTCTCTCATTGTGGAAACTAATGGCCCGCAGACATTGACCCCGATCCACACAACCCCTCAAGGTACTTGGAATAGCTATAATAATCTCCATAACCTTTTGACGCGTTTCTAGTTGGATGAATTAAGACCCACACCAAAGATTATAGTACACCTTTACCGCTACAGCCTATTAGTTCATGTATCTTAGCCAGCAATATTCAAGTTAGATCAATAATGGCCTTCGCGACGTCGTGACGACTTCAAATGCAGGCGACAGTTGTGTCCTCGTAGGAACCTGGAAGTCTTCACTGTTCAGTACGTACGTGCATGTGACAGACACGCTCATGTGCTTGATATGACACATGTCTGGCTGATCATTGGCGTTCACCTCGTCATTGCGCTTACATGTATATCTACCCACAGCTTCAAGTTTGCTGCGTTATGCTCGAGCATTCGATAACGTAGGTAGGTACTTGTGGGTAGGCCCGAGCCCAAGGCCTTGAAGGCTCCAAGCCAGGCTCGATGAGGCAAGTAAATGCGTCAGTGTTCCAGTTGCGCGACCCATGCATTGAACTTGGATTGCATTCGAACCTATCATGATCATACGTATGATGTGTGCATAGCGGGATCGAGGCAGAAGCACTTGCTTACGATCTTCGTTTTGCTCCACCCCTGGTTCGTACACGTCTCCGTCGACTTTCCGAGCCTTCTGTAGCTCCACGATTAGAAGTACACGCAGTAAGCTCTAGATCGAGATTCGGTGAACTGCCCGCAGTAGTTGAATGACGTCTGGAAACACTCGACAGATAGTACGCTAAGAGGATGCATTCGGTTGTAAGTATGAGTACAGCAAAGTGAACATGTAATAACGATAAACCTAGTTCGGGTAACACAACAACTCATTATGGGGGGTATGCGAATCGAACAAAGATGGACCCAGTCTACCAAAAAGAGCCACGCCAAAGACCGACAATTCCCGCACCCAAACTGCTTCGCTTTGGTGGTCGCCGCGCATTCTCCGCCTCCTCGTCACTGACGCGTGGACCAGGACTGGGAGGCTCTCCAAGCCCCTCGACAGCTGCAAAGCTCACATATCCGTCAAGCTGACGGCACTCTGCCGCTGCTTTACGAGCATTGAACGTGGACCAACCCACACAATGGTCATTGCCCGGTAGCGGTGGTGTGTTAATTCGAGAGTTGTCCCAGTCTTCTTCAGTCTCCGAGGCAGATTCATCCCTTGCGTCTGTGAACAAGGGAGGAGTACTCCCTGGTGTGGAGTAGGCTGAAACCATTGTGATGGCGCTATTCCTTCTGATTCGAGACTTGGCTTCAGATGGGCTGGTGTGGGACTGAGTCCTGGCTCGAACAGACGGACTGCTTTCTGCCGATCTATAGGTACTGCGTCGCGGGGGCTTATTGAAAGAACTTTGGCGTGGGCTCGAGGGAGTCGATACAAACATATGACGGATCGGACTCGCGCAAGGCGAGGTCGTGGTACTTCTTGCCAACTCTTCTGGGCGTCGAGATGGAGGAGTCATTCGGATTGTCTTGGCGTTCTGTGGTCAAGGGTGAACTGCAATCCTGGCCAAGACAGCAAAAAGACGTACCTCGTCAGTAAAATCAGTGGTTCTTCTACGCTTCACCGTGTCTCCCTTATCCTGCTCCTTGAACAAGCTGTTGACACTCTGGCTGCTCGTTCTCCTCGATGACAAAGTGGTTGCCCCTGACGCGGACAACACTCGCTCCAGTCTTGCCTTGAGAATTTCGTGCTCTGGGTCCTGCTCTCGGATAGGCGTTCGACTGGTGCCCTCAAGCTGAGACAGCGCAAGTAAGCGCGACTGCGAACTGGGCGAGGCGGCAGGGGATTTATTGATGGGATGGTGACGGTGGTCTTTGCCGCTGTACGCTTGTTGTGGAGTATTTGGAGCAAAGTACGAGTGTGTTTGTGGTAGAGATTGTCTCGACGACGAGCGAGAAGACGGGCGCGGAGCCTCATCAAGCTCGGTCATCGAGTCGGAATGGAAAAATGTGGCCAACATAGGGGGAAGTGAGGTCCGTTCCGCAAAATGTGGGGTGCTTTTATGGGGACTGGGCAGTTGGCTCGTGCTTGCAGCGTTGTGGTCTGGATCGCGGAGACTCTCCCGGCTCGGGATTGGTGAAAGCAGGCCTAGACTCTGCGTGTGGCGGTGATTCGGTTTTGATCGAGACAGTCGTTTGACGTCGACGGGTGGTGAAGATGGTGGTTGTGGATAGAGTGGGGTCGGGGAGACGGCTAGGACCCTTCGCAGTTAGCCACGAGGAAGAAATGAGGTTTCAAGTAACGACCGGACCTGGGGCTGAGCATTCGATCGCCATTTCAACGCCAACCCTCTCGCTGTGGTGATGGTAAGCAGAGGCAGATGCTGCTGAGACAGAGCGGAGGCAGAGTGTGTTGTGGAGTCATGCTTGGGACGGTTTTAAATTCGTTGTTGAGGGGTCAAGGACAAATTAATTGACAGTCACATTTGTGACGTAGGTCACGTCGTAAGTTTCCTAATTTAGACATTGGCCGTTCTAAAACGAGCAACATGACGCGCCGATGAACGAAGAGGTTCACGCGCAAGAACGTCCGAGATCATTTCTTGTCAACACTCAAGCAAAGTACCCAAACCCCAACTTTCTTTCATACCGTTGACTCCCTCTCGTCGCAGCAGAACATACCTTATCACCTTCTGGGGTCAATTCCTGGCTCTTCGGCTTCTTAGACGCCCCACTGTTACGTCGTTCGAACCCACACTATCTCTGCGCTAGGCTATACGCCAATTGACCTCATCCCCTGTTCACACAACTGGAAGCATGTTTGCCAGTAGAAGAAGTGTCAGCAAATCTCGCGCACACCGCTTTACTCACTAGTCAACACACCGTGGTCAACAGAACCCCTGCGGCCTTTTGGCTCATTGGAGGCCAGTACAGTCAAGCTCCAACGACTCCTTCCGCGCATGTGCTAGCCGCCATTTATTTTGGTGCTTATCTACTGAACAGAGGCCCGTTGTTTATATCTTTTACTCGGTGTGAGGTCAATCCCATTCGTTGACTCAATTCCGGTGCGCTCTCTGGCTTTGATACTCCACTGAACTCGCGATGGGGTTTATTTGTTCTACTAACAAAGTAGGTGCCCTCTAATTATTATAGACCCAAGCCTTGCATATCGATCCCATTCAAGACTGCATTTCCTTCACATCCACCACAACCGTCTCTCCAATCGCACAGACCCCAAACAAGCCCTCAGCGATTCCAGACTTGGCACACTCCTCCGCAAGCTTGACGGGCGGCTGGTTGATAGGCTCGGTTGTGAGTACCCAGGCACTGGGGAAAGGTTAAATCGGACAGAACGCGAGAAAACGGGAAAGTTATCCCACCCCCAATGCATTCCTAAGGCCCTCCTCGCACGAATATCTTTGAATATGCCCACACTATCGCGCGGTGCGCAATGAATCGGTGACATGAACTTGCGGGGGTCATATGCTCTACTTGGCCGTCAATTCTGTGCGGCTCGCGAACGGGAAAGTAACCCATACCCAATAGGAATTAATGCCAAATCAAATCCATCCCATTTCTCACCGATCTCCTTGAATGCAGGGCACACGGGCAAGGTCTCCGGACCCTCGTCGGTGTCAGACGGGACAGAGCGGTAGCCCGTATCGCCGCCAAAGTACACCTTGGCGTTCTCCTTGCCCTCTTCGACGTTTTCCACGACCCAACCGCCCCAAAGCGTTTTGAACCTATCAGTGATGCTTCTTCCAGTGAAGTGCTGGCCAGGAGTAAACGTGACATCAAACGCGACTTTAGTGTTGTCGACATCGACCGTCACACGCCGAGCATCCCACCAGTCAATACAGTGGGTTCTGGAGGTTGGAACACCCAGAGAGCGGAAGTAGGCGGTGTTGCCGTGACCAAGGGGAGCGAATACATGCGGGGGGTGCGTGGTCCGTTTGAGTAAATGTTTCAAAGAGGTGGTGTCCATGCTGTAGTTGTGTCAATTACTTCTAACCAGGAGAGTACGAGGCGCATACTGGTCGTAGTGGTTATGTGAGATCACGATAGCGTCAATGTCAGGAATATCTTCGAGTGAGCATGGCGGGGCTATGAATTTGTTAACTCGTGTTCCACAGAGATGTCAGACAAACGAACGTGTAAACCGTTTGGGGCCCATCCACTGGCTTGGTGAACATCTGTCACTGAAGACTGGGTCGAAAAGAATCCGTCCACCACGAACACCGACGGTTGTTGAGGGCAGTTCAACAAGAAAACACGCATGCCCAAGCCAAGTAGCTTTAATCCTCTTCGCATTCTCCGCAAGCTGTAAAATTTCCCACTCGGGTTTCTTGATTGGAATCTGGGCCACAAGTTCCTTTGCTGGAGGAGTGAAGGCGATTGAAAGTGACGTCGTGAGTAAACCAGCACCCTCCGCAACTCCACCCCAATCCTGGCGCCAACTGGGCCACGGGTTCTTGAAATTATTGGGCTCCGAGCCAACCCAGTGAGCTGGTCGTCCCTTTGTCTCGCGTTCTGTTCTGGCCGCCGCTTGTGAAGGGGTTTCAGCGACTTCGACGGGCGAGGTGGTTTTCTCGGATTTAGACTTGGAGTGCATTGTGGAAAAGCAACAAAGGCTGGAGGCGATCGACGCGCGTTTTATATTGGAGGGCCTGCCGGATATGGACGGAAATGGCAAGCTTGCGCGGCCACGGCTACAGCACGAAAATGACAGCAGTTTGGCTATGCCAAGATAGCCAGCAGAAGGCTATGAAGTGACAGTAGAGTGTAGGAGTATGGTCAGGTCTGAGCGCCGTTGGCTTGAAGCCCAGAAAGTTGCCAGAGAATCGGCGCAGAAAGGAACGATTGTCATCATGCTGACATCCTTGCGGCAATCCTTGATCATCAGTGTCAACTGCGCTCAGAGAGTCGGATTCCGGGATTTGCGCTAGGTTGTTGTTGTTGTTATACTCTTCTGTTCAGATAGCTAGTCTTGCTATCAACTCTCCATGGAGAGTTCTCCATGGAGTCTGCTGCTTTCTGAGTATGACCATAGATACTTTCTAAAGCATCACTAGCTGTTTGAGAACATATCTATAGGCATGTACAGAGGTAAATCTAGTGTCGCATCCTGAAGATAGCCTAGGCTGCTTTGGTAAAACATCTGTTGCTGACTTGATAACTTAACTTGGGCTGCCTTCTGAGACTGAGAGCAGCTGCAGCCACTTTGAAGAGTTCTCTGATCTGTGAGAGGGAAAAAATCTCTTCATGAAAATTTTTCTATGCAAGAAATGAAGAACATTCTATGCAAGAAATGAAGAACATATGAATAACAGAAGGCTGGTATATAAAAGAAATCTTTTTCTTAAAAAAAACCCCCCCGAAAAAGTAAGAAAACAAATCTCAACAGTACTCACATAAGACAAGAGCCTGTACAAAAGAAGAGACACAAGATTGAGAGCATACCATTACACCAAGAAGCAGTGGGATAGGTGGCTGGCAGTATAGATATAGCATGAATTTGAGCGCCAGCCCCCTCCAGCTCCGTAAAGCATCTATAGCAACATTTCAAAACAACCATAGCTGCCCTTCAAGACCACCTATAGCTAGAAAATACAAGCAACCTGTGCTGGCTTGACAATGCAGCTACAGTTGTTTTACCCAGTCCAGCCTTAGACAGTCTGACAAGCTAGCTATAGCTAGCCTTCAAGCTAGCAGTCTCCATGGAGTATGTGGAGAGTTGATAGCAAGACAGTCGATCTCCTTCTGTTTGTTCTACTTACTTATGATTACAGTACATATCGGAGAAATTACATCGTAAACTTCGTTGACCTATGCTTTCTCCACCAACTTATCCCATGTTGGAAGCTCGAATATAACGGGCAAGTGCCCCCAAACCTCCTCTCTACCCGCCTGATGCTGCTTCTGCGCAAAAGTGACACATTCACCGCACACGTTCATTGCATCCCACTTGGTCCAAGCCTTTAATGGATTCGGTGCTCTGGCGGCTTCGAGGATCCGCCATTCCTTGTGTGGACCCCGGGCAAAAGCGCACTGCGGGGTTGTACAGCTTGGAGAGGGTCGAAAGGCAAACAAGAATGAGTGCGATAAGCTCATCTCTGCCCAACGCAGTCGTTCTCGACCGACGAGACAGATAGCTTTGTCTTTCCAGGAAATGTCCACAGAAGGTTGGGAGTCGTTAACAATCCTTGCGAGCCCCATCCTGGCTACACCATAGAAGATGTAGGGTAATATTTCGCGAATAGAGCACTCTTGAGCTAGGCGTGCTGCCCGCATCACGTCGTCCGATTTGTAATGTTTTCTCGTCGGGTTGGCATGCAGCGTATTATATTCGTCGAAGGTGACGGGAAACTTGGCTTTTAAAATCGTGATACAACGCGTGCGGGGGGACGTAATAAGATATTTTGTACTGAGGCGTAGGATGCCGGAGATCCACGGCAGGAGCTCCTCAAGGTTGTCTGGCGGTTGATCAAGATGACTTGGTTGTTTGGAGGGTCATTACATAAAATGATACCATGAAGGGCATAGAACACACACCCTGGACGATATATCGCCTTTAACAAGTCGATAAAATCTTCTTGTGGATCATGTAGTTGAACAACATGACAACCTTCGATCAATTCTTGCCCTTTGGAAGTCACAGCTGGTTGAGGAAGCGAAAACAGGCCTGCGAATACCTCTGAGTGGGCAGCAAGCACCGTCTGGTGGACGCGAAACATGATGGAACCGACAATCAACACGATAGAGCCATCGTGGAACCAGAATTCTTCAGAACGAGAGACATTTCCGTCCACATGTTTGCGGATTATCTGAGAGTTTCGGGAGACTGTTTTGTCAGAGACTTGTGACCGCCTTTGATTAGAATTGGCGCTCATGGAAGGGCAAACGAGAGGACGACGACCATGATATCGAAGTCACCACTGGCTAGTCTACTACTGGCGCACCGCCTTGCATCGGATCAATAGGAGTTGATCGTCACGGTCACTGTGACAAGAAGACTCACTGCCATCCAAAATGCAAGTGCAAAAAGTTGAGATTCTGCTTGCCTCAAGAGAGCCATGACTTCAAACTCCAAACGAGCCTCCGATCCAACGCCATACCTTATTCAGCTCAGGTTTGTCCTCCACAGTTACTTGATCCGTCCCCGGACCGTTTTGCGCTGGCAGTGAACGACTAGCTGTAGGCTCTTCGACACACCGTGGCACCATCGTTCTACACTTGCTCTATCCGCTATCTCTTTCCACTTTAACTGGGCAACTCAGGCTGATCCTCTCCGGTTTATCGGCGTTGAGGAAACTAAAGGAAAAGAGGTTTTTAGTAGCTACGGTTTAAACCAATCCATCCCTTCGAGTAACTTCAACTTCTGTTGCTTGAACAAGGTGATGTTCAAGCTTACACTACTACAAGAAATCAACCTGGCACTGGCATTCTGGAACTTCGTCTAAGATCTCGTAGCCGCATGTCTTTGCTGGCAGACAAGCTACGACGTTCTTCTATGCTTACTACTCCCTGCTCGCTCCAACGCGAACCTCTGCTATCAACGGTGGCCCATAGGCATATCGTTACACACTTTTTTCAGGTTGACTTCAAGTTAGCACGGACGTTTCACCACCCCACCCGCGGGCGATGTATCCAATAAGGTTGCTTGGCATACTGAAGAATGATTCGGAAACTACAAATCATATACCCACCCCGCCGCCGCCACTCAAACACCGGCGCGAAATGTTGAAATAAATCACCCTTCTAGTTTTATTAACCATCCCAGACTTGGAATCCTGTGACCCATCCTTCATCATGTCGCAGCCTCAGGGCAACTATAACCAAGAACATAATGCGAGCAACACTAGGCAACGCTGTTGCTGCCTCGCAGCTTGAGTCGGTTTCTAGGGCAGGGAAAGTCGGAAACCCTCGCTTGCCGCAGTCCGCATTGCAAAACGCATGGTTGTATACAGCCTACTGAGTTAGAAACCATTCGAATTCAATTTTTTGTCCCACTCAAAGCGGAGTGAATGGACTTTACTCCCATCCCCTGCGGACTCGCAGAAAATAAGGTCGCAACACCGATCAATATATGTTCCTTCCATTCAAGCTATTCGCCGGGATTCGAGCGTTACTCACACTTTCTACTTGCTGACTTTACCTCCCTTCTTTTCTTCCGCCTGTTCCCATCCTTTTCTTCGACCGACTTCTCCAAGGACTCTATACCACTACCTTGGTCCAGTGAATCTATAGCTGCATGCGGAGGGGGCGGCAGGCACCCGTTGCTCTTTGTAGCAAAACATGCCGATAACGCGTGTTCCCCCACATTCGCGGATATATCGGTATTGACACTTAGTGGCGGTTTCAGTCAGTGACATAAGCGCCGCAAGCAGGCATGCCTCTGCCGCGTTTTCTTCAGCAGGAGCGTGAGCTGCTGCTGCCCGTTTTCCTTTCCAAGTTCGTTCAGTTTCCCAAATAAGGAAATCTCGGCAGTTTGCAGACGCATCGCCGCCCAGACCGCGAATTCTTCGTTCCCCTACGTGTGGCGTGAGGCATACAGTATATATACCCGTGAAGTCGACCCTTCTCCTCCTCTTACTCTCATTGCACATTTAATCTCCCTACCCGCATCACAACAACCATGTCATCAACCAAACCACTCATCCTTCCCGCCCACCCGCCTGTAAGTCCCACGCCTGGCCCATCCAACCCTCCCTCCGACTCCCAAGGAAATTCACCGCAAGAACAGCAGACCCCGGCCACAATGTCTCCCGCTGACTACATTCGGTGGAAATGGAGTCAGCTAACACCAGAAGAGCAGAGAGTGTGGCAAGAGAAGGGCAGGCTGAATAGGCTTCATTTCACATATCCCGTACGGCCGAGTACGCATGGGCCAGCCAAAGGCTGATGATGGGGGGGAAATCAAGGTACGATTTCCCTTTTCGTCCTGTTGCGGCCAGTTGGAAGTGTTTCTCATCGAAGACCCTTTCCTTCTTCCATTCCTTCCATCCGTTTATTCTATCAGATAGCACGCACTCTTGATGAGTCGCCGCAAACTTCTCGTCGCTCTGGACCCATAATGCGTTCTCTTTCGAGCGGGTGGTTAGAAGACTGGAATTAATATGGTATTATTGGCGGGAAGAACTAAACAAAGGTCAATCAGTGGACGATTGATCGAGACTCGATTAAAAACGTACTGTACATTTTTAATGCAAGACGCCATTAGACGGTTGGCACTGGTGTAGGTTGAACGCCGCTGGTGAGGGAAGGAGCTTCGTCTTCATTTTTGATCAAAGTCGTAGGGTCTGGAGCCGCGGAAGCAGATGCAGAAGTCGGGCCAGAAACCAAACGGCCCGCTCCCGTCCCGTTGACTGCGGCGGTCCCATTCATAGGTGCACTCAACGCTCTCGCAACCTGACCCTGCAGCAATGTGTGCAAACCCAGAACCAGCATGATTGTTTCGCCCAGGGCTCCGATATCGACTTCCTCACGGTCTGCCTCGGTAAGTGGTGGCAGAGGAGGCTCAGTAATGAGAGTTATTGTCGTCTCGACAATCTGAGCCTTTCCGCATTTACTCTCTCCCTCTGCGGCCTCCTTGTGTTGGAGCGCGACATCACGTGTAGGAAACGCCTTTTCACATCCCTCGCATTTGAAGACAGCATGGGTTGTAGCTGCACCCTTTTTGTGGACCCTTCGCTCATGGTCACGAAGACCATTATGTCGAACGAAGATACGGCCCCCTTTGCAGGCATCAACTAGACATGGAAATAATGTCGCATCTAGACTATTTTCGGGTGGTGGCTGATCGAATTGGATGCCGCTCAGAACGCCGATGACCTGGAGAAAGCCACTGACTTCCGTCAGGCCATCACGGGAGTGCTGAGATACCTGACTCGGGGCAACACTTGATGCGAAGCGAAAGACGGCAAGGAGGTGGGTTTTAATTGAGAGCACAATGGAGGGCTCGAGTTTTCGCCCGGCCGGGATAGAGTATGAGATGATACGAACGGCGGTAGCAATTGTTGCGTGGATTGGGTGTGGGGTAAGGTGGGCGCGCTTGGAAGCCGGTTCATCGTCAGCCGAATATTCACGTTTCCGTTTGAGGATTAATGAGGGAGCGTCAGATTGACGAAGTCCACCAAACAGAGTTTCGGAGGTGGCCATTTCGATGACTGCTCGACTGATTGCTAGTGCAGCACCTTTGGGTATGAGGGCCGTAGTGGCTATCTTCTTCAAGACTTCGAGAAGCGTTTCGGGGCACTCGTAGCCAGCAACTTGGGCCGCCCCAAAGGCACCTTTCGCCACAGTGTCATGTTCAAGCATTGCTAGGATGGTACGAACTGTTGCGACAGTAGCTGCTTCTTCCTTGGTCGAAAAGTGGAGTGGCTCCAAAGTTGCGATTGGCGGAGCAGGCGGAGCAGGCGGAGATTGCACAGACACTGGAACTGATGTTGTGCCTTCCGGGTTGGCTGCAATATCAGCCATGAGTTGGGCTTCAATGCGACGCGCTATTTCTGCAGCATGCTCTTCAATATCATCTTCGTCGTCATCGTACTCTCCATCCTCCTCCCCGTCCCATTCCTGTTCTCCTTCGTCGTCGTATTCGAGGTTTTCGGCCGACATTATTTGGTGGGATTGAGAGTGAAACGAAGGCAGCCTGATTTGTCATCACTTCATCCTTGACCAACATTCGCATACGCGGAATGCATACTCTTTATGGCCGAACTTAACCAACTCTACAAAACAGTATATGCTTTGGCGAAATCTCTGCCTAGTATCCGGTGAATCTGACGACAAGACATGCTGCTCGGCAGTTCCAATCGCTGAGACAATTTTTTTTCCGTATGAGGCAAACCCGCCGCGGCCCTGTATGTACCAATTATGCCTCCGAGTCTTATGCAGAGACTTTACAAGTCCTTAACATCATGCTTACTTACGCGCTCGTGCCGCCTTTGACACAGGTGTTGATGCTGGCTATCCACGTCGGTGGTTCGAGGACGCAATATTGGAGCAGCCTGAGGCCGCTTCTTATGAGTGCCATCGCGATTTATTTCTCCGAGCGCCTTAGCTATGGATTATCCTTGCTGAACCCTTTTACGTGTCTTTCCACCTTGCGACTAAAATTATCGCTCAGTGCGATAGATAACACGACATTGACGGTGCCTTCAATTCGGCTATCTACGACAGTATCTTCGACGATGAAGCTGACAAGCCCCTACAAACCCCTACGCACTCCCCATAAGCGAGACTTTTATCTTCCCTAGCGAATCTCTCGACGGTGGCATCCGGGTCACTTTGTCAATGATTGTGTTTCTAGATCTCAAGAGGCCCGAGTGGATGACTAGCCTTTTCGGCTGGCCAATTTACCGGTTTTCAAGTTGCAGCGCGGCGGCGCCGCCCTCTACGCAAGTCCTCTTCGAGTGAAGCGGGACTCTTACATTATTCAATCTGCCTTTGTAAAGCATAGTTATGCATGTGTTGCTTATGCGATTTTGCCCTCAACGATGTGTTTAGCTCCCTTGAAAGTTGAATCGTCATCTCTCATTCTCGAAGTCTCTTCGGCCGATGATCACATCATTTTCCCGAAGTCCTATCGATGCTAAATTCTGTGACGGTCACACCACCAAATTATGCGAAGAACCGCCCGAGTCAAATTTGAGGCTGTCTCTCACCGCCAGCAGGAGCACCCATGTCCAAGACCTTCAAGGACCTGACGGCTGGAACCGCGGGCGGCATTGCTCAAGTTTGTTTGCTCTAACAGCGTGTTAGCTGCTGCTCAACGCGTGTCAAAGGTGCTCGTCGGACAACCATTCGATATCGTCAAAGTTGTGAGTGCTTACGCTGCCTCGTGTCTGTTGAAGCTTGAAACTGGGCTATAGCGAATGCAAACCTCGGCGAAAGGGACGTATAATGGGATGGTTCACTGCGCGACGGGAATTCTCAAGAACGAAGGTCCGTTGGCGTTTTACAAAGTGCGTACCGATCTATGTAGCCTACGCTGTGCTCAACCTCTCTTTTATCAGGGCACACTGACCCCCCTTCTTGGCATCGGTGTTTGCGTCTCAATCCAATTCGGCATGCTCGAATGGACAAAACGTTATTTCGCGGCACGGAACATCTCTAATGGGAAGGGTGGGCCAGACGGGAAGACTCTCAACTCCACGCAACTATTCACGGCGGGTGTCCTTGCTGGTCTTGCCAACGGTTTCGTTTCTGGGCCCGTTGAGCACATCCGTATTCGACTGCAAACTCAATCCTCGGTCAAGCCTGAATATCGCGGCCCTTTCGATGCAATAAAAAAAATTTACTCCGCTCATGGAGTGCCTGGCGTATTCAAGGGACAAGGTGTAACACTCGTCCGTGAAGCAGCTGGCTATGGTGTCTATTTCTTGGCCTACGAAAAGCTCGTCCAGCGCGAGATGGCAACGAAAGGCATCAGACGTGATCAGCTCTCCCCCATGAATGCTGTTCTGTACGGTGCCGCAGCCGGCTATGCTGTAAGCCCTCGTCCTTCGTTTTCGATCCTTCATTGTGCTAACTACGGCCAGCTCTGGGCAATAATATACCCAATAGACATGATCAAGTCGCGAATGCAGACTGACGGCTTCACACCAGCCACTGGGCAAAAATACAAGTCCTCCATCGACTGCGTGCGGAAAGTATGGCGAACAGAGGGACTAGCGGCTTTCACGCGCGGGTTAACGCCAACACTCATTCGGTCATTTGCTTGCAGTCGTTTCTTTTTTGTGTCTCTGACATGGATTCCAGATCGCCGTTTGCCAACGGAGCGACGTTTTTGGGCTTTGAGATGGCCAGCAGGGTGTTGAATTCGTGGTGATAGCATAGATCCAGCTATAGTATACTTATTATTCTCGAAACTCAGTCCCCCATAGATACGGCAGCGCTCATTCTCGTACCAAGGCGTCCTGCCAACACTTCAATCTGGCCTGTACAAACTTGTACACCTAAGTTAAGCTCAACTGATGGAATTGACTTTAAGTTTCCCAGCAAGCATTGGTAATATGTCAATGCGAGTGTTCTCTCCGAATAGCTAATAAGTAACGAGACGTAGAAGGATCCCAGCAAGCATTACTCAGGATAGGTAATATGTCAATGCGAGTGTTCTCTCTGAATAGCTAATAAGTAACGAGACGTAGAAGGATCAAGTCCTGTCGCTCCAGCGATAAAATGAGGCGTTGTCCCCTTGAAGCCATGAATGGCGCTCAAACGTGCTCCCCCACTCGTTCATCGTCAGCTCCTCAATAAACTGACATCCTAGCTAATGGTGAGTGCCGGTAGTGAAGTTGAGAGAATAACTCACCCATAGTGCTGAGGTGGACCTCTTGCCCCTCCTTGTCATACCCGACAACTATGGTACAAAGATCGCTTAGTCTGAGGGTCAGATTGTCGGATGGGTAGTTGCAAAAGTCGTTCTCCGGCAAGCTGACATGTGCGTAGACAGACGTGGTCATGCCGGCCATGCTAGATTTTCGCAACAGGATCAGCTGAGTATAGAATTCACATAGCGAAACGGCGGCGCACCATTTCCAAGCGACGATCCCGCAGGCATACCGATCCTCGTAATACGTCTCTGCTGAGACTTCCGGCTTAGCATACCCTGGACCTTCAGGCTGCGAGGATTGGATTCAGAATGCTTTGTCATATGATATTACGTGGAACTAACTTGAACCTCAAGGGCAGCCGGATGAGCTGCACTCGCGTTTTCGAAACCTGATATCTTGACCGTTTGAGGAGGGAATTTCGAGTCGACAAGGATAGTCTAGGATTAGGGTGAGAACTAGAGAAAGACGGAATGGTCAAGGAGACACACCGTCAGGTCCACGTTGTTGTGTACGATCAATTGTCTATGGACATACGCCACTCCTTGACAGAGTTGGAGCATTAGATGCTTCGTCAGTCGTTCGCCTAGTCTCATTAGAATAAATACGAGGGTCGGGCAAGACATTACTGAGAGATTCCCTCAGTTCAAGAAAGGCGCCCAATGTAGTGCCTTCGAAGGGTTCGAGCACAATATCTAGGGAAAGGAAATGAGTAAATGGCCGCGGCCAAACGCGCATTCCTACCAATGCTGCGATCCACATTAACAAAATAGTCTGCAATCGCCCGAAGGTAGTGGCGCGCGTTATCTTTTCCCGAAGAAAGTTTCTTCATGAACAAAATTTCATTGATGCGCGTGTTCCACCCAGTGCCGTCTCTGTCCGGCTATAAGGGAACATAAGCCAGGGATGCAATGGGACGAGTCGAATTACTGGCCTTCGTCATCGCTCTTATGGCGTAGACATTTCGTTTCTTGCTACCGATTTCCAGGAATTTGCCGCTAGCGGCAAAGGTGGAAAGGTAGTAGCGGACAGGTGCGACGTCGAAAAACTCCAGAACCTTGCGACCACCGATCTTCAGACTGTGGAATTGGAACTCTAGGGAGATGTGTTAGGACGTTGATCACCAGAGCAATATGACATACCTATCGGATATTGCTCCTCGCCGAGAGGTGATATTTGCAGGGAGATTATGGATCTGTCTCTCACGGGGATGCGCTCTACAGTCGCGTTCGTACCGTCACTTCTCTGTTCAAATTCCAAGACTCCACCACTGCCGTCAACCTAAGAAGATAAAATTATGAGTTACGGTAGGCCTAAACCAATCAACATACCAAGATACGAGGTCTACTTGCAGCTCGTTCATACCGAAGTTCGAAAGTACAAGAACCGTCTGCCGCCTGCAGGCGCGCCAGTTCTGCAAACGGGGGAGATCGAGCTGTTTGAGAGTTAACTGAAGCTCATTCTAACTCCAATGCCACTCACAAACTAGATAAGTGTGAACACAGGATCATCCCGGAACAATAATGAGGATGCGCACTATGTGTGTCGTTGATTACGATGGTTCTTAGCCCTGGCTGCCTACTAATGGCATACCGATCGTCGTCCAACAACAGCGAATGCGATGCCAGCTTCACTCCAATCACAAGCCCCCAGTTCCTCTGAGGCGGCTCTGAGGAAGGCTCTTCGGACGGTTGTGTCTGTTCCATGATCTGGTCTTCATATTCGGAGTTGAACATGGCGAGTGTCAGCGACGACTAACGACCAGCGCCTTTTATACAACGAGCAACAAAGACTCAGATATGCATGAACAGTCATGAAAGAAAGTTGTTGCATCGTAGGACAATTGGCCAAGTCACCATGAAAGAGACAAGCATATCCTTTCAAGGATGAAAGACCCTAAGCCGATGTGAGTGCTTTTTCGTGAAAGAAGGCGAACAAACTTGCACAAAAGGAACGCTTGTAAGTTGTGACAACGACCAGCTTACGTTGCTGTCAATGTGTATGCTTGATATTCCATCGGAGACTGCTGGATAACAGTCGCAGGCAGTCAAAAATGAACTTCTTCTGTTCTCTTTTTGGGCTGTTCAAGTCTACTGGCTGCCAGTGGCTGGTGAACCTCAAATAAAACCAGCTTGGAACGTAGCTGCGATGACAAGAACGGAAAAACTCGTGGGATGGATGGAGGCTGCATTAGTCATCACACGATGCGTGATCCGTTCGGTCAAATGACAGAATCTTGTCCTGTGCCTTGGACTGAAATACGCTCATCCGAAACCCGAGGACAGTTCCAGGTGCCAGCAGAGTGTCACGAAACTTACCAAAAGCCCACAAGTCCAGTAAAACCCCTGCAGAGATGTTTTTTGGACGATAGATTGCGAAGTCGGCAAGGCCCGGTTGGTTCAACCGTTCAGCCTCTCTCAAACTTCAGCGCTTTAGCTCCATATCGATTTCCCAATCGACACTCAGCTGACTTGTCAACCGATTCAAAATCGACGCTTCGCGCCGCTTCCAGCGTTTATTCGTGTTTCTAACAAAACAACAACATCCCAGATTCCGGACTCGGGGACAGAATCATGCCGCGCTTATATGTCTGCCGCTGATAATTCAGAAAACTGTACGTTAAAACTCTTCCTGAACGTTGATTGGTTCAGGGCTTTCCCCACAACGTCGACCATCCCCGCAGTTCGTTCATGGAGAAGTCAGAGGCCTACCTCGAAGATGGCAAGCAGGTGTGTGGTTCATGTCCACCTCGTATCCTATTATGCTCAACGGTTGTAGGAACTTGAGACCAAGTCGGTCGTCAGTTCGCCTTCCGTGACATACGACGCGCAGGCGAACGCTGCCTTGGTGCGAAAACAAGATGTCAGAATCGTTCCTCTCGCTGCAGCCATATATCTTCTTTGCTTCTTCGACCGGTCCAACATTGGTCAGTTTCTCCACTTATCAGATTACCGGGACTGAACAGACCTGCAGGAAATGCCCGGGTGCTCAATAGGGAGACTCACAACGACCTCTTGTCAGAAACCCATATGACGGCGTACCAATATACGTGCGCAGCAACACACCTTATGAGATGGCCTCGGTTTTCTGACTTTGTGGATAGGATTGCGCTCATGGTTTTCTTGGTCGCCTATGCCGTTTTCGAAGTTCCATCCAATTACATGCTGAAGAAATTCAGACCAAGTGTGAGCAAAACTTGCGTCTACACTATGGTATATCTAAGACTGTGTTCCCAGCGCTGGATTGCTTTTCTCATGCTTATGTGGGGGGCCATAACCATGGGCATTGGTGGGGCAAAGAATTATGCGACAGTTACAGCCACCCGATTTCTCCTTGGTGTGTTTGAAGCCGGTACGTGCATGTTATGATAGCCACCAGTATTCCTGAATCGTGCGTTAAACAGGCCTTTTCCCTGGTTTGGTATACTACCTGACCTTCTGGTACCGGTGTGTATACTTGCATTTTGTTCTGTCAGGTCAACTCAGTGCATTTCCAGTCCTGAGGAGCGGTCGATGCGGGTTGCCATTATCCTTGCGTCGGCTACTCTGGCTGGGGCATTTGGTGGAGCTATCGCGTTCGCCATAGGACACATGAATCAAACACAAGGTCTCGCTGCTTGGAGATGGCTCTTCATTCTCGGTACGCATTCATACCTTCGCGATCTCGCAAATTTGCTGAACAAAAAAACATAGAGGGCCTCCCGTCCTGCGTATCGTCCGTTTTCGTATTCTATTTCTTCCCCGACTATCCCGAAACCGCCAGCTGGCTCTCGGATGAGGAGAAGAAGCTTTCCGAACTCAGATTGCGTGGCCAAGCCTCGCTCGCAAGCAGCAAATCAATGACGTGGGCAGATGCGAAAGCGACTCTCACTGACTGGCGATTGTATGCGCATTATGCGGTTGGTGTTTTCGCGCTCTACCATGTTAGGCTTGAAGCCCATTCTTTACCTAGATCTACTTTGGCGTTTCGCCGCCCTTCTCCAGCTTGTCGCTGTTTGCTCCCTCGATCACGTCCGGATTGGGCTACACATCTCTTCGCGCCAACTTGATGACGGTCCCGCCGTATGCAGTGGCTTATGTGGTGACCATTCTGGTTTCGTGGTCCGCCGATCATACAAACACGTAGGAATTCGTCTTATCCTTTCACGCAGCTGATCATCGCTTTCAGGCGCGCTCTCCATTCGGGAGTTTCTGCACTGGTGGGTGCTGCAGGCTTCATTGCGTCGGGTGCGCTTCCAGCCCATGCATATCTGGTTAGTTGTCGCTGGTTTTCCCAACGTGCTTTCCGTTAACTCTCCACCAGCACCGTTATGGCTGCCTCATCGTCGCCACGTCCGGCTCATTTGCCAGCATCCCACCGCTTCTCGGCTGGCTCACCTCCAACCTCCACTCGACGGCAGCGGCTGGGCTTGCGATTGCACTCAATATCTCCTTCGGCGCCCCGGGTCAGATTGTCGGCGTCTGGATTTACAAAGCCGATGAGGCAGCCAAAGGCTACCCCACCGGCCACTGGACGAATGCCGGCCTGCTGCTGTTTGCTGCGGCCGGCTGTCTTCTGTTAAGCCTGTATTATCGCGTCTTGAACTCGAGGAGAGGAGAAGACGAGAGGAAGTACGCGTATTAGGGTGCCACATCCAATGTTATCTTACCAATGACTACTATGCATTTTAATGACTTGAAGACGTCCAGTATTAGTTCTGAATCCTTATATACTGAAGCTGGTTAAAGCTACAAGAAAAGCAATCTACAGTTATCGATCAAGCTATCGCTACAAGAGAGAGAAGGGAGTGTTGTGTGCCGCGCAATAAGGCTGGCCAAGAGAGGGAAGGAAAGTGGAACACGAACTAGATGGTAGATACAGTAGAGTTTGAGGTTTGGATACAGTAGGTGTGCGTGTCAAAAAAGGCAAAAAAAACTAACGGGCATGCATACCCAAAAAGGCAGGGATAGGTTTTCGTCGGCGAATAGGTGGTCTCAGACCAGTGATGCTATCCGCGTCATCATCCTCATCACTGCTGTAGTTGGAGTTGGAATGACCCATCTCTGAGCGGGTAGTGATGAACGTCGAGTCGGTGGATATGCGCGGAAGTGATGATGACGTTGAGAAACAGCCCGAGTCGGATTGAGAGTGCTGCAAGACAGGCGCGGGGGGAGAGAGCAAGACGCGAACATCGCCGACGGTGAGCTTGCCTTTGCCTTTGCCTTTAGACTTGGGCGATTTGTTCTCTTTGACTGGACTACTCCGTGGAACTCTCGGAGCACTGAAGTACCGTTTGGCAAAGTTGAACGGACTCGATTCGTTTCTCGGCGGATCGCGAATGGAGGACAGAGTGGATGTCGACCATCTTGAGCGCAGCGGTGGGATGGATGCAAGGTCGCTGGGACGAGTGTGCCATCCTTTGTATGGCGGAAGCGGGAGTGGCTTGTCCAGACTTGCTTGAGCTGGGTCGACATCCAAGTCGAGTGGGTCCGAGTCTGAGTCCAGATCGGGGTTGCGAACAGTCATCATGGGGGAAAGTGATAAAACCTCGTCATCGTCCGTTGCTAGTAGATCGACTAGCGGCGTATGTGACCGACTCTGAATTAACGGCGCATAGGTGGCGTAATGATTGAAGAAATCACCACTGCAAACACTGTCGTGAAGTCGGGCGTCTGCTGGGATGGATGACCGGGGAGGCGGACGCGACATGGGTCGAGAGTAGTTTGGAGGGGAGCAGGAAGACGAGGACGAGAGAGTACGTGAGTGTGTGGGAGTTGAGGGAGTTGCAGGAAGCGGGCAATCCGGCGCTGGCCCTGGACTTGTCCGGATGGAGGGAGACATAGAACGCGGAAAAGATGGTGGTAATGGGGGCGAAAGAGTGACAAAGTTTCGCGCATGAGACGCGTAAAAGTCATCGTCGTCGTCACCATTGATTGGTGTTTGGGGAGACAATGCTCGTTTATTGATGATGAGCGGCTTGATTGTCTTGCACCGTGTAATAGACCGTGGTCTGTTGGGGGTAGTGGGAGAGGTGGCTGGTGTTGTTGCAGGGCTGGAGCTAGCTGAATGACCATCCGAAGAGCTGTCGTTATCATCGCGAGATGGTGGTCTGGGAAAGTCGAAGATTTCTACACCATCTTCGTCAAGCGTCATCGTAAGACGCCATTGATCGTGAAGGGGAGGGACCAGTAGGTCAGAGACACCCTGTCGTCGCCTGGATTTAACTGGACTGTGTTGCATGCTTATTACTTCGAGGGGGTCAGCGCAAGGAATTTTGGAGACAACGTCGCAACGCACAGCTCATCGCGAACCCGTCGTAAGTAATGAAAGAGATGGAAGGAAGGCTGCGAAGCCGGAGCGGGGGGCTGGTTTTATAGCGCACATTGTTCTTGTCCTCGTGGCGAAAAACAATGTCCTTTCTAGATGTCACGCCGTGACAGTATGTCATGTCCTTGTACTCTTCGACGACAACAACAATTCTCTGTGTTCCTTTCCCAGCAACGACAGCGCCGACGGGATTGGTTGTGAACTCCGCGTTTTTGACTGTACTTAATGGCTAGACTTGTCGTTGAACGTCGGTCAATCCTCGATCCAGGCACCCGAGTACTTTACTTCCGGGACCGCCGCTCAAGGGCTCGAAAGGGCGATTGCTTCGATCAAAATCGTCTTCTTGTCTTCGGCGCTCAATAAGCAGTCTATTACCCGCAAAAATCTAGAAGAATGCTCCCATTTCCCTCGTCTGGTTAATGGATATAATGGTGTCTGGCGCAAACTTTGAGTGTCGAGAAGTCGGTTATAATCCAAAAAAAAACACCAACAAGCAAGCGTTGGCGCATCTCTTATACCCTCGTCCCCTGTGAATGTAGCACCGGTACCTTAAACGCGATACTCACAAAGCTTCTGGTTTATCCCCTTTCCTTCATACAGATTTCGACGTGCGGACTAGCGGGTCGGTTCCTGCTCCTCCTCCTGGACGACGATGCAAATATATTCGCTCAAACTCTACAAATACTACAAGGCCGCGGCTGCTCTAGCCCCCGAATTCTTTCGACCCTTGTGATATGGCTCATTCAATGTTCCCCAATACCGGCTTACAGGCATTGAGTGCAGCGATACATCTTATCGGTCAGTTTTTTTCGGATTTTCGTTTCTTAATGACTGACCGTATTGAGCAGGAGTGACGATTTTAACGTTCTTCATCTCTCTACGTCTTGCTCCAGGATCAGGTGAAGACGGAACTAAGAGCATCTTTGTCCGACCAACATGGCCACGTCTTTGCGTTCTCCTCGTCTTGCTGGATTCGTGGTTATTCTTGTTTTCATGTCTGTGCTTTTTGCATCTTATCCTTGCTGATCGCTGATCTTGTCCTACAGCCGGCCTTCTCATCTTTGGCGTTGGTCTACAAATGAACAGGACGGCCTGCGCAGCTGGGATATACCTCTGTGTTGTGTTTTACTGCACTTCCAAAGTTCTGATTTACCTTTTCTTAAGTGCGTCTCCTATCCCTTATCAGTATAACTCACTAACTACGGGCCAGCTGAAAAGGTCTACATCGTTTGGAATACCGGAACTCGTCGCCTACGGTCGCCTATCTTCCTCATCTGCATAGGCAGTGTCACCTTTTATGCTGCCATCCTGCTTATCATGTTTTTCGGTACATTCCTAAAATGTTCTATCTGATCGTGAGACTGACCCATGTAATCAGGTCGCATTCACCAATTCCGGGAGGGCGATTCTGCTTGTGTTCTGGGTCTCAAGCCAACTGCGTCCATCCCGCTGTTATCATACGACCTTTATATCAACCTCCTTCTGACGGTCCTTTTTGTTTATCCGCTCCTTCGGTCAAAACACTCTACTGCGCAAATGCGGCGTGTGGCATTGCGCACGTTAACGTATGTGTGCAGTATCACTTGTTAATATGCCTTTCTAATTTTGCTGTAGTGCTGCTACTGCTGCACTGACGACTTCAACGGCAAGCTGGCCACCTAAGTCTGTTCTCACAGCTTTTTTGATCCTCCTGATAGGTTAACGTTGCGGTACTTGCAATTCTGAAGGGCCGAGAGCTAGGTTGGGTATGCTTGGGAAGCTGTGGTGCCGATGTATGGTCTATTTATCCCCTAAAAGCCCGTCTCACGAGCCAACTAGGTGATTCTCAACGCCGCGGCTCTCTTCTGGGTGACCTCCAATCGCGGTGCTCAGCGACCCACGATCAGTGGAAGTTCTGGTGGTGTTAGTGGTAGACACCCCACTGGCACGGACAGCAACAACGGAGCCGTGCATGGGCTCGTCTCCTTTTCGAAGAGTAATGGGGCCTCAGGGCGTACTACGAGCGGGGTGCCCGCCAACATGTTCCATATGGGTGAAATCGGGCAGGGCCGCACTCGGGAATTCAAGGCTCGTGCTTTTCCCCGCGTGTTCCTCAGAGCACTGATAGCCGTGAGCAGATAAAAGTGACGACCGAGAGAATTGACGATCGCAAGCACGACGAGACAGCGAGCAACCACCATGGGAATGTAACTCAGTCGTCAGATATTGACATGGTCGATGTCCCCAAGGATGCCGCGATTTGAGTTGGATTTCATTCATTGGGCTATCTGGAATTTGCTCCGGGTTTTACTGGGGCTTTTATGGGGTTTATTTTTTGCAACTGTGTATCTCTATAGATGTAAGTTTGGCCTGAGTTTGGCAGGGAAAGGAAATACTGATTCGGTTTATTCTGAGGCACGTGAGGTGACATGACGCGTGCGTGACACTGTCTGTGTCTCTTTTATCCTTCACAAGTATAACGTCCGTGCCTCTGGCATGGACAAAAAATAATTATTTTGCAGCGCCCACACGGCCGCTCGCCTGCGGCTCGCCACCGGCGGGCGGTATCCGAGGGGTGGTCACATGAATTTCACGTGCCATCAATCAAAACGCATGACCAAAACGTGATTTTCTGTCATTACGCGATTTCCAGCTGTTTTCATATTATAGATGCCGCGCCTCAACGACTTCTCTGCCAGCATTATCATCGATGGACAGGAAGCTGCAGAGTACCGAGTCGACACTCTGCAGGACGAAAACACCGTCTCGTGCTACATTGCTTCGGAAATTGGCAAGGCGAGTCGACCAGCTTGACGGCTAATTCTCTAGCACTGAGGGGCGTTAAGGAATTTTCAATCAAGTGCACAAACCATTCCTACACCAAAACAGAGAACATTACGGTGGATGTCTCGCTCGACGGCTCGTATTGTACAGGAATGGTCGACAATACTACGACAACACAGAATCTGCCTCTGAACATAACTGGTGCGGAGTGTGGAGATGGACTCCACCTTCGGCCATTCGTATTCTCCGCACTCAGAATGACGGGTGCGTCGGTCTGGTTGCTATCATCCTGCTATTACTGAACCCCGTTCAGATGACGATGACCTTCTAAGCCCCTCACTCGCTGCTTGCAAAGATTTGGGTGTCATATCCGTGACGGTCTACCCAGTGGAGGCGAAATACAATGATGATTCAGATATATTTGGTTGCGGCAATCCCCTTCCTAGTCTCACAATGCACGAAAAGGCTAAAAAGGGTGTTGGGCAACAAATAACGTTTGTCGATGCTTTGCTCGTCACTTGCAGCTCAGATTTGGCATTTCCAGTCTCGCCGAACCCAAGCCTTTGCCGGAGGATATGTGTAATCTGCAGGCACCGGAAATCACTCGTCTGGGACCTGATTTGGCGATTTTCCGATTCATCTATCGACCCCTCGGTGCGTTTTGACGAGCTCACGCACGAGACGCCTTTTTTATGCTCTACAGAGTTTCTGCAGGCAAGCGGAATCACTCCTCCTACTACGTCTCAAGCTGTGGTATCTTCGTCGAACAAGCGCAAACTTCGCTCTCCTTCTATGGATCCAGATGCGGCCAAGGCAAAACGCATCCGGGTATCTATGTTTCTTCTTACTTCTTCCTCAGTCTAATGATTTTCTTCAGGAGAAGCTCGCGGCCCTCGAAACACCCGAGGCCAGGGAGTTGCGCGTAAGTCAGAACATACGATAGCAATTCTCTTATTGACAGGCTCCTCCAGGCCGAGCTCAACGCCATTGAAAACCGCCTGGGCTCAAATACTCACGTCAAGAGCGAAGGAACAACCATTGATCTGACGCAGCAGACTCGGAAGAAGAAGGTCAAGAGAGAAAACGACCGTCCTGTCGAGATCATCGATCTCACCTGGTCCTGTTTCTCTATCCACATCCTATCGTATCGAAGCACATCTCTAATCTTGGGCATTCATTCTACCAGTACATACTATCAATCCCATACGCTGTAGTTGAAACACTGGATTCGTAAGAGCAGTCAAGAGCTATGAAATGATTCGTATTGAACGACGGCTACAAAATGCACTGTTTACTTGTGGTACAGTAATTTACGCAGCCAATATAAAGGCCAGGATTAACATGGCGAATAAGTAGTGATGTGGAAATACATAGAAGGAAGAAGAATAATGATTAAAGGTCGTTACCAGCTCGCCTTGATGATATCTGCTGCCCGTTCACCGATAACATAAGCGGCTGCTTGTGTATGCGCTGCAGGGACTATCGGCATGACCGACAAGTCGACGATTCTCAGCCCGGTGAGGCCCTTGACCTTCAGATCTGGGTCGACAACACCGTAATCTGCCCCGACCGGGGACATGGCCGCGGTGCCAACAGGGTGGAAGACAGTCCCGCAGTTCTGCCTCACGTAGGCATCGATCTCCTCGTCTGAACTGGTGCTGGTGAGCGTAAACCCGTTCAGAGTTGTCGCCGCAACGACGTAGTCGGCGAATGGCTGGGAGAAGGCGAACCGGAATGCGGCCCGGACTGCGGCCCGCATGAAGACCTTGTCGATCTCCGAGTGGAAGAAGTTGGGGTCGATAACGGGAGGCGCCAGCGGGTCGTTGCTGCTGATGGTGATGGTGCCACGTGAAGTAGGGGAGACAACGGCGACGGCAACTCCCATGTAATGCCCAGATGTGGGCGGTGCCTGCAGACCAACCCAGCCATTCGTGATCAGAAGCTCAAGATGGGGTGTGTTGGATCCAGCAGCTGGATCGGGCACGCTTGCGAAGATCGACGCAGTACTCGGAACACGCAGCCACGCCATATGGCTGATTGGTTCTGCTCCCATCCGTCCGGTACCAGCAGTACCAGCAGAACTCCATTGCGTAAGCGACTGGGTGAAGGTAGTGGGGTTTTGGAAGATGGGATCGAAAGTGCCATTCGAGTTTGAGTTGACCGAGAACGTGAGGGGGAAGGAGGGGGTGATCGCTGAGATTCTGTCCAACGGAAGACAAGTTGCGACGGGGAGTAATACCGAGTGACGTCAGCGTGGCAAAATCTCCGATCCCAGAATGCATCAGAATAGGAGGAGTGCTGACGCTTCCAGCGGACAGAATAACCTCCTTGTTGGCGGTCAAATTGAAGGTGTTCCCTACAAACTTGAGCCTCTTGTTGCGGAGCATCGAATCCACATACCTTGGCGATCTTGGAACTGGACCGTGCGGAAATCATTTGTTGCCGTTGGCAGAACACGAGTAACGCGAGCGTGGAGGAGGATCTTCAAGTTCGGGCGGGCGACAAAAGACGAAGCAAGGTAAGATGTCGCGGCGCTGCTCCGCTGGCCATTCAACACGGTCATTTGTGCCCAGCCAACACCGAGTGGATTGCCCGAGTTCATGTCAAGATTGAAAGGGAATTGCGAATCGACTTGAGTCGTAGCAATGACCTTGCTGTCGATTTCAGTCGGAAACCCGGTCACCGTTATCGAGTTGAGGCCATTCAGCCCATGGACTGACGCGTCCACCTGTTTCGAAGTGTTATGGTTGTCAACGGGCGGGGTAAGCTTCTCGCTCTATGCATCATCATAAGCAATGCAAAATGATCCAAGGAAAGACACAAACCTTCTTCCAATAGGGAACCAGGGAGTTCCAGGACCATCGCTGGTCATTCACCAGGTTGGCAAACCGATCAAAGTCTTCCTTTGACCCTCTTGTATAGGCCATGAAGTCTACGCAAACGCTCAGTTGACAGCGAGATTTGCTAACACCCAATACTTACTGACTGAGCTGGTTCCACCGAGCACGAAGCCCCGAGGATATGGAATCACTCGGTTGTTCAAGGCAGCTTGCGGGACCGTCGTGAAGTTCCAATCTTGCTGAGTAAACGGCGTTGCGAGAATGCAAAGAAGCGGTGCGGAGAGGTTAATGATGTCGGCATCCCTTTGAAGGGTATACGTGAGAGAAGAATGAGTTGTGAGATATTGCACGTACGACCCCCCTGCTTCGAGCAGCAACACTGAAAACGCGCTGTTTTCTGAAAGTCGGTTGGCCAGGACGGCGCCAGAGGTTCCTCCTGTTGCACGAATAAGTACAAGCTGGGGAGAAATAGAGCTTGATGCTCGCCTCCGACAATGATGAAGTCGAAAGAAGACCCGCTTTGTTGGAGGTCCGCGACATTCTCAAAGATAGCGGCAGCGCACAGGCGAATGGAGAGGGCTACCACTGCAGCAAGCGAGAGGCGCATTGCGGGCGAACCTGGCGAGAAAAAAGAAGAGAAAAGAAAGAGGGGAAACGGTGCGGATATTCCAGCGAGGGAGGGCGATCCATTTTATATGTTCGACGAGTGCCTGGAAAAGCGGGTTTGTATGATCGCGTTTTCCCACTTCAATTGGATGATATCGACTGACCTCACGCCACGCGCTCGGCATAATTTCTATACTCGTGTTTTTGTGTTGGTCGGGACTCGAGGTAACCGCGTTTCAACAACGCCGTCATGCATGTGGTCCTGAAATGGAAAGCAATCACGCCCGACTGTTGCAAATCAAGTGTGAAGTAGACCCGCGGGGACAAGGGCCGAAGACATGGTGTTGGCCTGACTCTTTCTTGACTCAACAGATTCAAAGGGACGCTCTGCTTGTACTGCTATGATGATCAGATTTTACCGCTTTGCGGGAGATTGCGGGAAACACACCATTCTTGTTCAACAACTTGTTGCATCTGAATCCCAGAGATGTGCGCCAGCCAAGACCAACAACTTCTCGTCACCACCAGCAACTGAAGGCCGGGACCTTGCCGGGACCACGCCCTATGCCGCCTCGCTCGGATCCGTTTCATTGTTAACTTCCATAAGCAGAAACTGAGAAGAAACATGGTCAATTTACAAGACTCTATTGTTTACCTCAGAGACTCTCGGAGTCACACGCGCGTATCACTGCACAATGGACTTCTTCAATTATCGAGGACACCTCCGCGATAGATGGTACGACGGATGGTTCTTCGGCCAAAACTCGTCGAAAACCGAGGCATGATTGCCTCCGTATTGAGGGTTCAAAGTTGTGAACTGACAGATGTAGCGGGTCGAGGACAAGTTGTTCAAGGCGTGTGAATAGATGCCGTTGGTGATGCGCCTCGGCAAAGCGTGATTCATTCTTCCAGTCCGCGTGCTAAGTGAGGGTTCAACAAAGCCGGCTCCGCTGATCAACAACCAGGCCATGCTGACTGCAATCTGCTGAGCTCGGAAGTAATACGCCACAAAGAAAAGATCGCCGTATGCTGGTTCAACCTGGTTGACTTGAGCTTTGAACAAATTGGGCTCAGTACTTACTTACTACCACGATATTGTCATCAACGACCTTTCCTCAACCTTTCCTCTACTCATCTCTCCTCAAAGTACAAAGCTTGGGACCTCGGAAGTAATACGCCACAGAGGGAAAATCTCACCGCCAGCAAAGTCCAAGACAAAGGGTTTACACGATGCTGCGCAACATTTTCCCGATCATTCTTCTACATTATCAAAAGTACAGTTCTATAGTTCTAGGTCTACCAACTCTCCTTGATCATATCTGCTGCACGCTCCCCGATTATATACGCAGCTGCTTGCGTGTGAGCTGCCGGAATCAAGGGCTACAATGCCCGATCAGCGATAATAAACCGCGAGGTATTGAACGCACCATCACAGAAACGTCCACGATTCGTAGCCCTTTCAGACCCTTGACCTTCAAGTCGGGGTCGACAACGCCATACTCGGCGCCGACGGGCGAGACACTCGCAGTGCTGACCGGATGAAAAACAGTTCCCGATTTATTCTGAATATAAACATCCAACTCATCGTCAGACTCGTTCCCCGTTAACCCCGCAGGCAGAGCGGTAATGTAGTTGGCGAAAGGCTGTGTAGCGGCGAAGCGGAAAGCACTACGGACCGCATAACGCATGAAAAACATGTCGAGTTCGGTGCCAAGAATATTGGGGTTGATCAGCGGAGGTGCGAGTGGGTCAGTGCTGTTGATGGTGACCGAACCTCGAGATGATGGAGAGACAACGGCCATGACAATGCCGAAGTAATTTCCTGGAGCAGGCGGGGCCCCAGTAAAGCCATTAGAGAAGAGGAGCTCATAGTGTGCGGTATTTGGCCCCGCGGAGGGATCGGCGAAGCGTTCAAAGATACTCGAGTTATCAGGGACTCGAAGCCAAGCGATCTGCGACAACACATCGTTCACCAGACGACCGGTTTTGGTGGTTTGCCATTGCGCGATAGCCGCAGCGCGTGCGGTGGCGTTCTGGACGATGGGATCGAATGTCCCGTCAGGTGATTCAGTCTGAACACTCCAACCGAGTGATAGCAGCGCGTGATCTGTGAGGTTCTGTCCTACTGATGGCAAGTTATGTTGTGGCTTGATTCCCAATGCGCTGAGGGTGGTCGAGTTTCCGATGCCTGAATGTAACAAAATGCTTGGGGTGTTGACACTTCCCGCCGAGAGGATCAACTCTTTCCCTGCCGTCAGTAGGTGGGTCTTTCCTGTGATTTGATGAGACCGAGAGCCCAGGTTATAGGATGCATTAATACCTTGGGCATCTTGAAATTCGACGGTTCGGAAATCGTGAATTGCGGAAGGGAGTATTCGCGTTACTCGAGCATGTAACAAAATCTTGAGGTTTGGACGAGCGATGATATTGGTAGCGAGATAAGATGTGGCAGCGCTGCTTCGCGAGCCATTGAACGCCGTCAACTGAGTCCAACCTACGTGACATGGAAGGTCAACATGGAGAATCTAGTGTTTACTCCAAGAATTGACATACCAAGGCCAAGATGAGAACCAGAATTCATGTCGAGGTTAAAGGGGAACTCAGGATCTTGCTGCGTAGTATTGAAGACTCTACCATCGATCTCAGTCGGGAAGTTATTCAGCGTCACGGAGTTGGGTCCGTTGAAGCCATGTACCGCTGGATTGAACCAGCCAGTGGTGTTGTGATGATCGACAGGTTCAGTAAATCGTTCAGTCTAAAAAAAGCTCAAAAAGTGGACAAGGGAGTTAGAAGAGCAGTTAACCTTATGCATGTACGGGGTTAGGCTATCCCATGACCACCTATCGTCGTTGGCTATACGGGCAAACCGGTTGAAATCTTCTTTAGTTCCTCGGGTATAAACCAAATAGTCTTATAAGCAGTTGAGCGCTCAAAGCAGGGAGGAAATATATTGTAACGTACTGACGGCGCTCGTTCCGCCTAATATGAAGCCGCGAGGATAGGGTACCGCACGATTGTTGAGGCCAGGTTGTGGCGTAGTCGTAAAGTTCCAATCCTGAGGCGTGTTGGGGGTCGCAAATAGACTGAAGAAAGGTGCTTCGATGTTTAAAACACCAGTGTCGCTATATTTAACGTGAGACACAGAGATTCCCTGTCAGGAAGAAGAATACGTACATGCCGCCAGCTTCGAGTACCAGTACGGAGTGATTGGAATTCTCAGTAAGCCGATTTGCAACAACACTGCCCGCCGTTCCACCTGAAAGGCGGTTAGTTCACCGTGCACTTCCAAGGCAGAAGACTGACCGCCAACGACAATAAAATCAAAGTTAGGTTTCTTCGAGTTATCGAGATGCAGGTCCGCAACACTTTCCACGATCGCAGCGACGGAAAGTCGGATTGAGAGAATAAAGACGAGTATTCGGAGAGGTAGCGGCATTTTCCCAAATCCTTTGGTGGGAGAGGGTTGGCTGGGAGAACGAATGGCTATCGTTAGGACAGGACAACGTCGACTTATAAAGACATACCGGTGCCGGCATTTGTATCCGGATTCTCTTTAGTAGCGGATATTGCATGCTTCTCACCGTGATGCTCGAACTAAAGTTGAATTGGAATTAGCAATGAAGGAGAAGTTAGGATATCGATGGTTGACCTTGACATCATGATCTCGCCATAGACCCGCGGGCACACAAGACGAGGGTCTCTGCGCTATACGACACGATGAAACTGCACTCGAAGCGAATAGGTAGGGCTCGGCGGATCCCACTCCACCACCTAAAGTTCTAAAAGCTCAATAATAGAACGGCCACGAGCGAAAGTGGGTGCACCTGGCTGCCTAGATAGGACTAAGCGATGTCATGATTAATAGACATGTCGCTGTGCGTGCTCAGCCAGGTCCACCAAAGTGTTCCTTCAACTGACAGAGATGGCTGGCTTCGATTGATTAGCGCTGCATGTTTGAGCGGGATTATTCAGAGTCAGGAGACTCTAGAGCATGTATAATACCCCAAGACGAAAGCCAAAGTGGATGGAAGAGGGTCCTATAATGCTCAAGTAGGTCCACCGGGTTCTGTACTATCAAGTCGTTCAGCAAAACTGGTTATCATAGATAGCGCTGACGTACGGATCTATTTTTGGCCGTCCCAATACATAAGATTTCAAGCCTGGCACCAATCGCAATAGACGGCGCCGTTCGCTGTCCATGTTAAACAATGCAGGTCAACGTCGAAGAGTGAAGTGAGTGTGCTGACTAATGCTTAGATCATGATCTGAAAACACCGGTTTCCGGGGGTGGAATATAATTTTAAAAATATGCACTCCAATCCCCCGGAAACCGGCGTTGGATCCAACGAAACGCAAGCAGTCCCTTAGTTACAAAGATTGAATTGGATTTGTCTGTGGCTGGTGGGCGAGCACAGCTCGCCGCACTCTCGGCCAACAGGGTTTCGGGCTACGACAGGCCATATATGCTACAAATCTGGAACGCATCCTCCTCCGAGTTGTGTCTTCAAAGAGCCAAACCAGCAAGGACAAGCGCGAAAGTCGAAACAGCGGCGACACCAACGCTTCCGTAGTTGGGTGAGGCGGCATTCTGCTTGTTGGACTGGGAGTTGGTTTGGGAGGTGCTGCTGCCACTAGCGCCAGGGGCGGGAGCAGATTGGGTTGCTAAGACATTTGGTCAGAATCTGCTGTTGTCGTGGAAGGTAAAACAGCGCTCACCGGCACCGCAGCCTGAGGCAATCAGCCCGGTGACATCGCTCTTGGATACTTTGCAGGTCGTAGTGGCGCATGAGGTCAGATTCGTGGCATAGACGGGCGAGGCACAAATGCATTTCTGGTCATCAAATCTAGTCAACGCGGTCAGCTTTTTCAGAGATCAAACTGGTAGAACAGTTGCGCACGCGCATCCAGTGGCGCTGGCAGCAGTCGTCGAGCAACCCAAGAGACAGAGAGTTGCATCACTGCTCGAGTCGGCAGCCAGAGCTCCGCTTGCGAGGAGCAGGAAAGCGGCGGGGACAAAGGTGCGGAATGCCAGCATTGTAAAAAGGTTGGTGGGAGAAGAAGAAAAAGGCAAAGCAACGATGGGGAAGAAAAGGGAAATGAAGACAAGAGCAGATGGTCGGAGCGCCGTTTTATACTGTCGGTGAAGCCATGTGGTCTTGGCGGATTCGCGGCATCTTATGCGGTGTTTTTAGCTTGGCGTAGCCTTGGCAGGCGCCTACCCAGTACATACTTAGCTTGCACATGCAGATTGCCCTCTATTGCCCTTGATGTTGCCTCTGAACCTTTACTGAGTGGAAAGTGTCCCTTGTTAGTTCCTATGGTCGGACATAAATCGTTGATCGACGGACTTCCAACAATTGAGAACACCGAGGTCGCCAACTGGCACAATAACATTGTTAGTAGTAGAAAACACAGACACTTTATGTGATCGTACAAGCCTGATAGCGCGACTGTGGATTTAAGTCAGAATTTAGTTCGTACCTAGTAAAGCAACGGCGATCGGAATAAAACAATGCTGCGCTATACTGCACTTTGCAGTCTGGGTTGCCAGATAACATCCCCTTCACCAAGAACATCGATTCCACGCCCCAACAGCTTCTCCGCGGCGCGAACAAGGGTGCTTTGCTGAATTTCGCGCCTAAAACATGGTCAACGCATCGTATTACCAGCGAAAACGAGATCCGCACTCATTGGTAGGCCAACTCAAAGTGGACAAACAGATTTGCTTCAAGGTAGGACAATGCGTAGTGTCGAAGTTGAGCAAATAACGCTCCCAATGACGAACACAGTAATAAGATTTTGTGAACCTACGCAAGGCGAGGTAAGAAAGTTGGATCAAGTTCAAGGAAGAACATCAAAAACCCATATGGTGTCTGAAACAAGAGTTGAGTGACTCCAGCGAATGTGCGGCGCGGATTGATATTGACGGCCGGTAATGCTACCGGTGTTTTTCGAGTGCTGCGTCGTAGGTCTTCAGCGATGACGGGAATAAATGCAGCACGCGGTGGCGGTCCTGCCGAGCCCTGCAAAGCTTCTTAAGAACAAGGGGGTCGAGCAAGAAAAAAAAACTCGCCATGGGCCATATGATGGATAATTCAGTCACACAGGGACAAAGTGCTGGTATTGCTTCGTGTTTTGAGCCGGAAATGAATATCTCATCGATTAATTCTAGCGAGAGGTGCAAGGACCTCAAGGACGAGCCATGAGTAGTGAGAAATGGGACGTAGCCGACATTCTTTGCCATCGCAATCACGAGCTTGTGGAGTGATGGAAGCCTAACGAGAGGTTGAGAGCTGTATCAGACCAATACAGCGAAGGACCCACCGTGTGACAGTCAGACCGTCAATGAATGTTGGATGGGCTGTTTTGATATGCAACTCCGTTAGCTTTGGCAACTCTCCTCCATCTTCGTCATTGTTAGCTTCGAATCGAGCTCCGCAGTTCCATTGGAGGTGTTGAAGGTTTGGCAGCATCGAAAACATTTCTCGTGCATTGTGAACGCCGGCTACGGTGTTTGTAACCGACAGACTGCAGTATTGAAGAGACAGGCCAGATCGCCTCAGAAACTTTTCAAAGATCCCCCAAGGCATGCCTGCCGACGCCTCCCAGCGATACGATGGACTGGATATGCTTTCAATGCGAGTTGCAAGCGGCGACTCCGCGAGAAACTTTTCGAACATGTAGAGTTTTGATGTGGTCATAACGAAAGATAGATTTTTGTAGTATATTGGACGGCCTAATCTCTGCAAGAAGCGCTTAGCGGTGGTATCCATGCAACTGAAACTTTCGTACCAAGAACATCTTGCAAACGAGTAGAAGGCAGCAAGCCCCACCCAAGTATCGCACCGAGGTCTTCGACTGTTTGAGCATGATCGCAAACTTGAGAATGCGTGACCAAATAAGATCCCGTATCTCTCGGGGCGCATTTGCCATGGGAGTATGGAAAGGAACAGGTTTGAGGCCGTCGACATCAATGATAACTGCATGGGAGGGCTGCTGCAAATGCCTATTGTCATGTCAGAGAAGCACTTGAGTAGAAATACAAAAGTCTGACGATCTTCCATAATTCGCTATAAGTTTTCGGAGAGTAGGATTACGCTGAGCCCATTTCTGTGGTCCTTGCTTCAGATACCCGACTTTCTGAAGCGGACACGACTTGATAATGGGATATATCCACTCTAGTGAATTTTCATATCTCGCCACGATGGTGTGTAGCCGTCCGGCTTTGGCAAAGCATTGAAGGAATCTGACCCCCCGTTCTTCGTGGGGCCAAGCGTATGGCGAGGAAAACGTCGTCTGAGGGGTTTGGTCAGGTATCTCTCGAGTCTGAGACAACGCACTAAATTATTCCACGAGTTTTCTATTGCCCATTCCAGAGCCTTAATGACATTAGCGACTTTTTTGTTGTCTCGTTGCCTGTTTGCTTCCTGGATGATAAGGCGCTTCGGATTTATAAGAGAGAAACCATCACAGAGACCAGCCGTAGATGCGTCTGACCAGATTTCGAGAGAAACGAGGAGGTCTGTGAGATTCGCCGCGTTACCGAGAATCGACAGCATGGCATCTCCATAGGCTCCTTCAACTCGTAGCTTTTTGATGAACTTTCCGAACTCGTTATGCACCGACAATATGCGAGCGAGAGCCTCGGCTTGTGCCTTGGAGCGTAGTACGACTGTATTATAGAGCAAAGGTGTGGCTGCATGAAGCCATTTTTTGCACACAACAAGATAGGTTGACGTTGACGTCCGAGAATACCTCGCAAACGGCGAATGAGGATGGATGTCCGCGAAGAGCTCATCAGGCACTGTAAGAAGTGGAGAGAGTATCTCCGAGATGATCTCGTATGGCAACGATTCTGAGGATGGCATGGAAGTGCGAACAAACTGAGGAACGCCAAAGATCACATCTGTCACAAGCACGTGAAGATCATGGAATCAGGATAATATTATTATTATTATAACAAGCGAGACGCGTCGCGCTAGTGTTGTCGCGTATAGCTGCAAATAAACCAGACATAGCTAAATTCAGCATTAAGGATCAATGAGAAAAACAGCAGTAGTCTGATTCTACACTATGGTGCCAGTGACCGGGTCAAACGTTTTACCTTCAAGTCTGAGAGATTGCGATATCGAAGAACGCACTCCAGACCAACTTGCAGCATGACTTGGTGCACGACGACGTTACATCACCCGACCTTCCTTTTTCTATCTTGTCTCTCCCACTCATTCCCGCCGTATCGCATACCGTTCCTGACCGTTGTATCCAGTGGCAAGGACGAATGAGACTCCACAAATCATATCTGCTTTAAGCTATGGCCAAGCGGAAGCCAGTCAGAGGCAGGCAATGAGATCCGACCGATATTTGTTGTGGGTTAATTGACCCGTCCGACACAAGCGGACTCGCCGGACAAACAAACAGTCGTCACTCGCCCTATATATACGGGCGGTTCTTCCGCCTTCCTCCCCTCCTCCCTCTAAACCTCCATGGCGGAAATACAACCCCAGAAAGTCTACGATGTTGTCGTGGTTGGGTGGGTTCTTGTTAACACCGAGTAGCGATTCCTAACTAGTTTTAGTGGGGGTCCGGCCGGATTAATGGCCGCACTGTGTCTCACGACCTATGGCTTCAATATTTTACACATCGACGAGCGTCCCCATCCTACAACTGCTGGGCGAGCCGACGGAATTCAACCGAGAACAATTGAGGTGCGTCATCGCCGTTCACTTGGAGCTCGCCAACTGACAGTTTCTCTCAGGTTTTGCGCAACATCGGTGGCGTTTCCACTGCTCCAATACCCGGCGGGCCTGTTGTCGGGCAGCCTCCAATCGGTGGTGGTGGTCTTGCAAAGAGGATGATCAGCCAAGGCGTTCGCGTTTATGAGGTCGCTTTCTGGGACCCTACACCCACTCAAAAGCTCGCCCGTACTTCCCGAGCTCCGTCCTGCCCCGAGTTTATTGACGTCGTCGATAACTACACACTCCTCCTCCATCAAGGTCTCATTGAGCAAGCTTTCCTCGAGGAAATCGAAGCGGTAGGTCGGCTAGACAATCATTGACGTCGGTTGCTTGACCCTTCCATCAAGCGCCGGACCGTGCTTCCCGACCCACAACCCACGCCGCCGAGCGGCATCTTTCGTCCTTACAACCTTCAAGACTGCCGTACCCTGTCAGAAAGCGAAGACCCACTAAGCAGGAGCCACCCTGTCGAGTGTACAATTGAAAACGGCGACACCAAGACCACTTATACGATTCGTTCGCGGTACTTGCTTGGTTGCGATGGTGCAAAGAGCCACGTTCGGCGATGTATCGCCGGAGGCAGAGTGGGCGACGGAGAATGGCAAGGAAAGATCACAATGCAGGGCGAGGCTACCGACATTATTTGGGGTGTTTTGGACGCCAGAGTCAAGACCAATTTCCGTGAGTGTCTGACCATTCATTATGGTGGGTTCTCAACAGTATTCTTCAGCGGATATCAAGTACAAATGCCTCATCCACTCGAGGTCAGAGGGTAGCATCATGATAATTCCACGAGAGGCCAACCTGGTCCGGTTTTATGTGCAACTTCAGACAACAGACAATGGCAAGATTGTTTCTATTGGTGCGTGTTACGACTCTGCTCTCCTTCTCAATTTTCATGTTTCGAAGCTCGCGACAAAGCTACACAAGACATTTGCATTGCTCGCGCAAAGAAGATCTTCGAGCCCTACGACCTCGAGTTTGGTTATGTCGACTGGTTCTCCGTTTACCAAATTGGTCAACGTATCGCATCTTCATACACACTCGACCACCGGATAATTCTTGGCGGAGATGCGACTCATACCCATTCGCCACAAGCCGGTCAGGGCATGAACATCTCCATGCTTGATATGTATACCCTCTCCTGGAAACTCAACCTCGTCATGAAGGGTCTCGCCCGACCAGAAGTACTTCTGCCCACATACGAGGACGAGCGTCGGGGTGTTGCGCAGGAACTTCTCAAATTCGATGGCGCTTACTCGCGATTGTTCTCTGGTCGTGGACCAGATGCCAAACAGTTACCGAACGGTGTCGATCCTGACGAGTTCATCCGTATGTTCAAGCAAAACGCCTTCTTCACCAGTGGTTGTGGGGCAGTCTACAGCGGAAATGTGTTGAATGCGCTTCCTGGGGAGAGGGTAGCGAAGGAAGGAATATTTAATCCTCAGGGTTGCAAGCTCATCCCCGGCCAACGGTTGACACCGGGCAAGGTTGTTCGTGTGGTTGACGGAAACGACGTGCGACTCCAGCAAGAGTGAGTCCCCTCCTTCCTCGTTCCAATAATGAAACTGAAAATCCAACCAGAGTGAAGATGAATGGCGCATTCCGAATTCATGTGTTTGCTGGAGATCTGGCCAAGACACGTACGGCGTTGGAACGCTTTGCTGCGTTTATTGACTCTCCTGGGTCCTTCTTCAACAAGTATCGTGCAGCGCCTGGAACGCGAGCGAGCATTATCGATGCACCAGCCGGCCTCATAGACAATGTTGGCGACGGCAAGTCAAGACATATCTTTAACCCGTATGTGTCAACCTCCAGACTCATTGTGATCAAACTCACAGTAGATGCAGATTCTTTACCTTCCTCACTATTGTCGGAACACATTGGTATCAATGGGAGATTGACGAGCTTCCATCGCCTCTGCGCCTCTATCGCTCGCAAGTATACGGTGATGCAGTTTTCGACAAACGCGTTCCTGAGTCAGCAGACCAAACTGCTTTGGGCCCTGATTCCGCTCTCAAGCAACGGGCTTGTGCTCCATTGCACATCAAGTATGGTTTGGACGTCAACAAGGGCGCGATCGTGGTTGTGCGTCCTGACTCGTATGTCGGCGCGGTGGTCGAGCTGAGCGAGGCTGGCTGCGAGGGCTTGAACGACTATTTTGCGGGGTTCTTGAGAGAAAGTGGCGGATCGCCAGTGAGGGCGAGTTTTTAGAAGCATCTTAGAGGAAGTGTATTATACTTGTATCTTGTGTTGTACCTGTAGACATATGGACCATCGTAAAGAGACTTTGGGACGCTTGAACTTGAAGAACAACTTGTGGAGAAATTGATCATCAGATCACCTCTGTTTCTTTCCGACTTCGATAACCTTGTGTGGGCCTATGCACATTACAGCAGAACTCACCCAAGCTACCAATTCGCACCGTACGCATGGCCCATGATGCATTATCATTGTTTTGCTTGGACCGGAAATCGATCAAACAACTTTTTTTGTTGCTCAAAGCACAAAATGGTGAAGCGTCCATCTATAAAGGAGTGGCATGGCTGACCCCCTCCAAGCTTAAGCTAGCCACCTCCACCACAAGTTCACCATACAAACGCCATCTGAACACTTCTCCCAAGCAATATGACGAGCACCTCGGAGTCCTCTGAAACCGTCCTCGATCGCGCACCGTCAATGACTTCGCTCGTTCACTGGGGGTATCTCGAGTCTATCAATCCTTCAAACCATGTTCAGCGGATCACTTTGAAGGCCCGGGAAGTGCATTTTGGCCGTGCAGAGCTCGACGATGGTGGCGAGAGCCACTTCAGCTACGTCGTTTTGCCTGGCGACACAGTCAGTGAGTCCTTTTTCTTTTTACTTTGAGCAACAATAACCATCGACAATAGGCACTCACCATGCCACATTTCGGTGGAACGGCGAACGCGATCATATGGCCACTGTGATGGTCTCTGACCAGTCGACCAACGGCACATACGTATGTTGTGCATCGTTTTTGTATTCAAAGCTGACGAAAGTAGGTCGATGGACTCCGTATTGGTCCCGAAAACGTACTGCAAATTTTTGACGGACACGAAATATGCTTCGGGTGTCTGGTGCCTATCCAAGGGCAGCCTGACCATGACTACCGTATGTGGCGTCTTTCGCATATAGGCTTACCTGACTTCTCTCTCTCAGGCTATACTTTTCATTTTGTCTTCAAGTTTGACACTCAACCTGGAGTACCAACTCGCGGACGCCGCAAGACCGAGGCTCTCGCAACGCATTACCATCTCCAAAACTATCTTGGCGGCGGAGCTCATGGTGTGGTGCATAAAGCCATTCACAAAACGACTGGGACTGTTTGGGCCGTCAAATCTTCATTCAAGGTAGGTTGTGGTGTACACAGCAGTGCCTAAATTAACTAGTTCTTAGGACGACATTAAGAACGAAAGCTTCACCTCCTTCGCAGGCCAAGAGGTCCTATCACTTCTCAATCTTCGGCACCAGAACATCTGTCGGCTGAAGGAAGTTTTCTTTCGATTGGATGGTCAGGTTGTCGGTCAGTGTGGGCTTTGTTACCGCGAATGATTTTTTAAAAGTTCCCATAGACTGTGTTTTAGAATACGTTGCTGGGGCGCAGTTGGATTCTTTGGGTTTTCTCAGTATGTGCTTTTCTTTTGTGCTAGTTCCAATCTCAACCCCTTGTAGATGAAGAAGAGGTCCGCGAAATAGCCTATCAATTGTCCGCTGGAATCACCCATATGCATGGTCGTAACATCTACCACGGAGATCTCAAGCCAAATGTGAGCCCAATCACTGACGATTCATTGAAGCTAGAATCCTGTAGAATGTTATGCTTACCTACGAGCACCCCGTTACCGTCAAGATCATCGATTTTGGTATGGCGCGTTTGGGAAGTGGCTTTAATCTCGATGTGAGTGGAGATGTCAACTTGAACAAAAGCATTTCTGACCGACGCATTTCGCAGCTCGCTACGCGTTCCCGATGGAGTGCCCCCGAGTCCTACCTGCAACTGGTACGGCTGACGTTTGCGAATACACCTCTTCATGCCGTTGGTCTGTGGGACAGCTGGTCATTGGGCCTGATCATCTTTTACCTGTTTGTCATTCTGCTTCCCATCTAATACTCCTCCTAACTTACTTCTCAGGCTATCCTCTGTGGAAGCTTTCGAGCAGGCGACGCCTGGGGGAGAGCGGCCTTTTGAGACTGGGGTTGACGTGATTCGGTGGCATCATCTCAAAGATAATAGTCCAGTCGGTATGTTGTTGCAGAGTGCCCTTCTCGCCGCCGCTCATCCTGCGTAGCCCAAGAAGCCGTTCAATCGCTCCTCGTTGTCGACCCAGTAGACAGGTCGACGGTGACTGGGTTTTTCCGCACCCACGAGTGGTTGGCGGATTACCTGCCCAACCAGACCTTGTTGGCGGACGCCGACGGGGACAACAGAGCTCGAGCGAAGCGCTTGAGGCAGAAGCGAGAAGTTGTCAATTCGAAGAGAGAGAAGGCGAGGATAATAGTGGACGCGCCACGAAGAAGGCGGTCTACTAGAACGACACGATTGCAACTGCAAGTTTTTATGTGACGATAGATATGATTCCGCATATGTAGGGTAGCTAATTAGAAGACAACTTTTTATGGGTGTGTTTATATAATCCTCGGCCTCAATCCTCAATTGCCCGGCTCAAATTCCGCATCACTCGTCAACGCAGCCGCCCATTCAGCTTCGTACTCCGATGACCGGCCCAACTGTGGAACTTTTGCACCCCTTTCCTTGAGGAAGGCAATGACCTCACCCGCTTCTCGCCAGCCTTCCAAAACCTCCTTGGTCTGGCCAGTTGCACCTTCTGCCTCGCTGTCGCTCTTGACACTAACTTCGACACCGCCATATATCTTGGCAAGATGCACGCTTGCCTTGAGTCGCACCCCACCGCTGTTCCGGGCCTGTATGCTCTGGAGACGGAGTTGCTCAAACAACTCGGCGACAGCTTTGACCGCTTCTCCGCGCGCTCGGAGGACATGACGCATAATCCGGCGAGAAGAAGGTTTGCGACGTGACTTTGGATTGGGAAGATCAGCTGGCGGCTCGACCGAGCCCAGGTCGGGTTCGGGAACCACAGGGGCCTTGACGGTGATGAACTCGCTCTCCTTAGGGAAAACAGGAGTCATATAGGGTGTCAGCGCAGGAAGGGAAAGGTCCCAGCGTTTAGGTCCCCAGACTCCGATAAGAACACGCCAGGTTGCAAGAAGACGCTTAGCACTAGATTGTACGGTCAGCATGGATAACAGTATTATATGAGCTAAACTGACTGTTCATAGTTAGCTAGAATTAGGCGGTCAGCAAACGAGAAAGTGCAGTGAACAGTAGACACTGACCATTGATCATTGTATCGTGGTAACGCGCAAAGAGCCACAAGGTTGCTGCCGCCATGACAGCACCGACACGAGTATACAGGAAAAACGACCAAAGGAAGAAAAAGGCGGCCGGGTAGGTCAAGAACATCGATATCATGCCGAAAACTAGCTTGTTTTGGGCTTGAGTTTCTTCCTCGTCTTTGACTAGCCTAGCACCGACTCGTCCCATATAGTACACAGGCAAGTACATCACGAGCGGGAAAATAAAGAAGGGAATGCGAAGGAGCATGACGAAACTGTCGCGCAGAAGTATAAGGAGGGTCAGAAGGCGACTGGGAACCGGAGTTGGTCGGTTGGGGTCGAGAGTTCGTGGAAGAGGAAGGTTTGATAAAACGGAGTTGGTCAGTTTGGTCGACTGTAGGAGAGAGTAGTATTCGAGTAGACGCCTGTTGACGGACTTGAAGTTGGGGGTCGGATCCGGGGTCGAAAAGAGATCAACCAAGCTGGCAAAAGGATCAGAGCGGTTGTGGCGAGTAGTTAAGAACCTCACGTTTGCGAAATGGCGACGTATTCGCCGAGATTGATGGATCGTTCGTCGACCCATAAAAGATCACGCGCCATTCGAGCAGCATACAAAGTATTCCAGTCTGGCGCGTTGATTGTGGTTTCTACGAGCTGCTTCTCGATTGCACGTGTAAGCCGTTTGACTGCTGCTCGGGGCGCCCCTTCTGCCTCCGATGAAAACTGCTCAACATAGTCGTCCATGAAGATGGGAGAGCCAAAACTGCGTTATATGAGCAACTATTTTGAAGTAACCAATAGATGATGCGTACTCAACGATAACCTGACAGAGATGAGATTAGAAAAATAGAAATTTGTGTAAAACACTCACGCTGCTGCGATATTTTGTCTTATTGGTATAGACAATAGCGGCAGGCACGACTGCGACAGACTTGGACTTCTTCTTCTCTGGGTCATTTTGGGCCAATTTGTTATATTCCAGCGCAGCCCATGCGGCCCCGTCCTTGACTTGCATGATTCTTGGCTCGGTATAGCTGGTGCCTTCTGGGAAAAGAGCGACAGCATAACCTTTTTGGAGAGCTTCCATAGTTCCTTTCAGGAGCACTTTGCGGTCGCGGGATTTGCGGTCGACCGGGATGTTTCCAGAGGAGTAGAGGATCCAGCTGACGATCGGGTTAATGAATAGGGTAGCTAGGTGCAAAAAGTGAGTTGGGAAGAAGTACAACCACGAGTGAGCGTACCCTTGCTCCAGTAGTTGAGAATCCTAGCATGGGGGAAGGTGTGTGCTGGGGGAAGTATCAGTTGGCAGTTGGGTTGACCACGATGCAACGCCACGGTGGAGTGACGCGTGTTTAGCTGCCTCGTGCGGAAATACGTGGGTAGAGTGAACTGGAGAGAGGCGCTCTCCGCTCCTGACAGCTTGAACGGTAAGATACTTACAGAGAATCACTGGGTCGAGCATCATGTTATGGTGGGTCGCTGTTCTGAAAGTTATGTTAGGGTCGTTTTTAACGCCTCCAATTCGTATCGAGAAACGCACACGATGATAGGAATGTCCTTAGGGCAGTCTTCTCCTCCAATAACATGAATTTCCGTAAAGAATGACGATGCTGCAATTCCGGTGGTCGTTCGGATGAGGCGGTGGAGGAGTTGAAGGTCCATGACTTATGAAGGTGGAAGCACCAGAGTAAGAGGACCCTGGAGGCCACGAAGCGGGTGTGGGGTCCAGAGAATGGAAGAAAAAGACAGGGACTTTGGGGATGCCATCCCGTTATGGACGACGATCAGGTGATCACATGACCAACAGCGGCTGCCCTCTGAAGTATTCCAAGTTTGTAAGTACAAATGCTACTTACGCAAACAATAAACAGCCTGATCTTAACGAACTTTCTCGTCAAACAACCACCACCCTGCCAATGGCTTAACAGTATCGTTTTCGCCCTTGTAGCCCTCTGACTTCATCAATTCTCCGCTGGAGCACACCTCTGTGGCGATAATACCCGCCGTCATTGTGGTACTTCCCTCCTCACCGGCAGAATCAACAAGCAAGACGTTTACTTCAGCATAGCAGGGCGGGATCTGCCCTGCATCCATAACATGATACGGCGTGTCGTCCAGCAAAAGTCCATCACGATGATTCGTGCGTTTGAGGTACTTTGCCCAAAACGCTTTGGCAGTGAGAGATTCCGGCGACATGGTGGAAGAGACATCCTCCAGCTAGAACAATGGAAAAGCCCGGTTAGAGTCATAATAGAGGTATGACAGGTTGTACTGACCTTTTTCAATGGGAAACCAATCCATCTTCCATTCTCATTGAACACGCAAAATGCACTGGCCCACCCAGTATATGTGCGGGGTCCGCTTCCTCCCGCTTGATAGTGTGCGACCGTCTGCCAGAAATCGATGGTGTTTTTGGACTTTGGCTCATCGAATGACTTGATAAAGCGGGTGAGGACAGGGACAAGGAGATGGTACCACGCAATTGTTTGCAGCCCGTATTCCTTCAGCTTGTCTGCCCTTTGCAGCAGTTTCTCCCAATCTGCCTTTTCTCCCTCGAGTCTTACACTAGGCAGACCACACGCCACAGCCCCGAAAGAGTAGCTGAAGTATGTCTTTAATGTGGCCATCAGTGTCACAGAGGCGACGGTGGTATCGCGTTCGGTTGTCGTGGTGAAGTCGGGAAGCACCCAAGCCCGGAGAGTCGGGTCCGAAACATTCTTGTCGATCTCATGAACCATAGCCCGCGCAAACTCGCCAAAGTCGGATAAAGTGGCCTGATTGACCATAAGATTTCTTGTGCCTTCGTGACCGACAAAGCTTGCGCGGAGGAGCTCCGAATTGGCGTTGACAAAGAAGTTGAACTGCACAAGAATGGCAAGCCAGACATCGTCTGGACGGAGAACGAGTATGTGATGCTTGTTGTAAGCCTCGCTCAGAGCAAAGAAGAAGCCATTTGGTTTCGGAATGATATTATAGATCCGCTCAGGCGTTGGCTGATAATGGTCGACTCTGTGTTCCTTCAGCTGCGACCGAAGAGAATGGAAAGGAGCTCACTCATCAGGGTCCTCGAATGATGTTCCTCTGATTGCTCCTGCTTTTCTGTATTGCGAGGAGCAGGCTTCAGCGAGGATTTCTCGTGCCGTAAACCCATTGTCGTAGTTTCCACCAACGATCTTCGCAGGATGCGTTGCGACCTTGAAAGTGACTGGCATTGGGCTAGACTCGCAGTGCCTTCTAATCTCGTACTTATATTTCGGTGCGCTGGGTTGACCGCGAATCTGGTGAAGGGTGAGCGTTGGAAGTGGAGGAAAGAGCTCTCGAATACCTGAAGAAGAATGAGGAGGGAAGTGGTGCTGGATTATATTTATACATGCTATGTTTCAGAGTCATGCATAGCGCTTCCGAGTCAAATCCGTTTGCCGATATAAACTCCGCCTCCTCTACGGTCCCGACGTCTTTGCAAATTTGACCTATTTGCACCACAAAGATTCTGACCCAAGTTAATTGTGCTCAGCATTGCGATTGTCAACTCTCAACTTGGAAAAGAAATGCAAGAGGACAGTGACGAGCACGAGGGTGCGACGCGCGACAGTATTGTCCATACGCTGCATGAGCTTCTCCGTTCGTTTTTCCTGTGTTGGTGGATCTAGCTGTGAGTAGAGCGGAATCAAAGAGAATACTGCACACGTTTACGGCCTCACTGTGAGGCCGTAAACGTTCACAAAGTAAACTTTCCAGATTTCGCCAGCCATTCGGTATTACGGCGAATAAAATTTGGCGAAAACTTCTCGAGGACTGAGTCCAATAACATGGTTTCCTGTCCCCCTCTCTGCTCCATGTTCCAAGTCTTTTTTTTCGTGGCATTTGGGTGGTCTATTGGCCGATATCTATACACATCCTGCCATAGCTTCCCTTTCAGCTCCAAGATAAGTGGAGCGACAGTCAGAATATCACTAGAGGCTTACTTGACTGGACGATCTGCCAGAGGAGCCGCAATGAGCGCGGTTGAGCACTAGACGTAAACTTTGTGGTCGTTTGTGCTGTTGTGGATGAAAAGAGGCAAGCAACGAGGTTCCTCTCATCACGTGCCAGTGCCACGCCACTCACCACAACACTATATCTTGCTCATGCGGCTTCACAGTAAAAACCAGCGATAGGATCCAGCTGTTGACCATGTCTTGATGTGCCATGGCGGCTTCCGAGTCGATGGCTGAAATTAGCACCTGGGGCCTGACTCCTTTCGCGCACATGCAATCTCAACTCGTTCAAGTTTTCGTTCCTCCAACTCGAAGTTGCAACACACACACCGTGAGAGCAACTGCTAACAACGAGTCAACTTTCGACAGGCTTTCCAGCAATTCTTGAATTGGCAGGAGAGTTTACGCCGTACGAGCTACATATAAGTACCTACCAAACTTGCGGCTGGTTGCAGCAAGTGAGTGTCATGCAAACAAACGTGCAGAACTGAACGATTATGAATGCCGCTAGTGTACTTCTTGTGGTATGGGATCGTAACTTTTGACATGGATATCAATGCTCTACAAATCCACCCGCGACTCAGCTAGTTAGGAACGTCCTAGCTATCCAGATCTTTTCTTCCACCTTCGGCCAACCTCAAACCAGAATAGCTAACGATAACTACCCTATCTTTGAAGCTCCAACCGGGTCTCCAGACGACCTCCACTCTGAGACGTCCGCTTTCAGCGTGTTTCTGGTTTATTTGCGCCTTAGCGCGGCAAGTGAACAAGACACCATAAACCAATACGACGGTACTATTCTTCGTCCGTATTTCTTGCCGGGGCGAAGACTCGAGGCAACGCACTGCTCGAGTGCGGTGATTAAACAACGCACCCAGGATGCCCGAAAGCTCGTCAAGCGGAAGTCCGTCCCAGTGCTTGGGAGATGGGTAACCTGAACCGTTATCATAGCGCTTATCCATGACGCCTACTGCGCCTCCTGGAAGTCTGCATATGCGTGTCAAAGAGCTTGTCGGTCTGACCACGAATCGGGGTTCAGTCATGACATCGGTAACCGAAATGAGGGAACGACGGGAGCCCCAACGCCTCGCGATGCATGAGAAGAGCGCAGGCAGCACGAGTAACTGCGTCAGCGTGAGGAGGTTCGGGTCCATCTCTGTCGTCATTTGCCAGTCAACATGAAAAGGCAAACTCCGAACCTCAATCGACTGGCAAGCCATGATATGTGTCTCTACCGCTCAAACCACACCACCCATCGACAGTATCGCGGCTAGCCAAATGAAAAGAAAAATTACTCCGCACCTTGTAATCCGGCCTCACCCGGATGGCGAGAGAGGGTATCCGCCTAAACCCGCCAACATCGAAATCTCAGCAGCCGACTTCTGAGCGATGGAAAGCACCCCGATCTCAATGGTGTGTCTTACCTCGGCCTTCTAGATGTCGCGCCACAGTACAACTCTAAACTCAAAGTCAAAGTCAACCTGAACTCCCGCGCTTCGCGAAGTTCTTGCTAGCTGACCACGCTTCAACCAGCAACAAGTTTCGTTGGTCAGGCCAAGTTACAAACACCGTCCCTAACGATACAGACGCCATGCGCGTACCCCCCTCGATGGATGGCGCGAACAGAATGAACGATCTTGCCGCGAACCACACACGTCGTAAGAATGCAATGTCGGGAGTTGCCGGTGGCAATTTAGAGTCGAGGCTAAATCGGAGGGAAGCTTGCAGGTCCAGTGTAACAGCTGTCGCATCGAGGTGCTGGGATCCCGGCATCGGCGGAATTGCTACTCAACCTGATCAGTTGGAACACTGGTAATATCATTCATGCATACTGTAACCCGTCCTGGCATGTTAGCACGCTGGGTAGGTGTTACTTCTCCAAAGCTGTTTGGCGTTTCGGTTGATGCGATTATAATAATGCCATCATTTTGCGTGGGGATAAAGCACTCGGATGGACCATTGAACACGAGTTGTTGTCACGGTATAGCATCATGCTTCTGGGTTTGTGATGCAGGTGGGATGCCGATGCCCATCCCAAACAGCATCAATGCCGATTCTGCCATCGATCAACGCCGTTCCAGTTCAACAATCAAGGCTAAGCAGTCGGACCCACCGATGGCGGACTTCAAGTTGATCGAGGTTGAAAGGTTCTGACCAACCTCTTGAATTGCTGATCATAAGTCAAGGATAACTTGAAGAAGAGTAAACCGCTTGGGCAACGGTGGTTGATGATTTCTGGCGCGTCTAAGTATATACCGTATTGTGTATTTACCAAGCAGGCGTAATTCGAAGACGGCGTTATCATTGCGGACCCCCGAGCACAGGAGTTGAGTTTACGGCCCCATCTGCGGTGTCGCGGAGTTGGAAAAGGGCGATCATGTCCCACGCTCAGCACAAGGTCGATTTATTTTGGCGGCAAGTGTATTGAGCGTCAGTCGTTGGTCGTTCGGTTACGCTTACGCGAAGAGAAGATGGAGAGAGCCGTAACTTGAAAGCCTTCGCGGGGTCCGGAACACCCTGACCTTGACACAAATGCAAGCAGTTTTGCATCGGAGATCAGCGGTCTCCCGGGCAGCAGTCTAAAACGCCCTTGTTCGATCCAGCGAGGTTCTTATCTGGTTGATTAGATGGATGCGAAAGGAGTGTAGAGTAAGCATTTCGAACCGGGCCTTGATCCACCATCGGGGCTGGTCTAGACTGACACTGGTAGATAAGCATAGGCCTCATTCGTGCACGCTTTCTAGTGAAAGATTTGATTAACGCGTGGTAGGTAGCACACGACCTTGACGAGCAGTTGGAAGCAAGGAAAGTGATGGGCGTGCGAGGGAGAGGCGGCCGCCGAGATGTCGTGAAAAGAGGGTGTTTTCTCGACATGATGCGGGCGCTGACGAGGGATGGAATACCAGACGTATTCGGGAATCGACAGAGAGCCGGAAGTCGCCCAATATGTCGGGTCCGCTTTCATGTCGGGAGGCGGGAAGGCTAGAAGAAGTGCGCTGCGAAAACTTTGCCCATTCGCTTGCCGCGGCAGCCAGCACTGTAAAGAGTTGCGCAGTTAACGCATAATAACCACCGAGCGCGAGCTCGTTCCGGGCTTCGCAAGGTTGCCGTTGCATAGTTTACTTCCCACTTACTGAAAGGGAGCAATGCCCACGTCGCATGGCCCGTCAAGAATTTCGATGTTCGTGGAATGTAAACAAGCGATTTGATGGTAACGTGACCACACGCCTTGTTCATTTTACCACAACAAACACTCCTCGCCCGACTAATGGCCTACTGGACCCGCCGGGGGGCACCGAATCGACGCGCGTACAGCCTTCTACACTTCTCCATCTCGTGGCGTTGCGCTCCTTCGAGTTTGCGTGTCATCCTCGAGCAGTAACTTGGTTGTCTACTGCCCGACCCCTTCCCGGGCGCGATCTGCTGGCCTGAAACCGAAGCACCCCCGTGCCCCGAAAAAGAGGAACGCCAAAACACACCGTGGCTTTGGCGGGACGAGTGAATACCTCCTGGTATTGGACTTGCCAGTTGTGGGTGGCCGAGGCGAACGATGGGTGCTGTTCCGCGGAAAATCCACCGTGACGCCAATTCAGATAGCGCGATACACAACGCCCAAGCCATTCGTATGGACGCCTGTTTGGCCCATCGGTTCTAGCGCTACTTGGAAGAGATTGCCATGGCATTGCTGTCACTTCGGCTCATCGAGAGTGGGCTTCTCTGTTTTCGTCTCCCAGGCCGGGGCGGCCCTCTGATGATGTTTACAGCTGCCTGCGAGTACCACGGCATCCACATTCATCCGTTCATTCGTCCTCCAAGGGGTCGGCTGACCTGGCCGGACCTACCTCGAAACGGCTGTCGTCTCTCCAACTGTGGACTTGTGGCACTTCTCCAAGCTATACAACCACTTCCAAACGCACCGTTAGCTCCGAGCACAGTCCACGCTGGCGTCTAATTTTCGCCACGTCGACGTCTTCGGAACGCGGCGCGAGCGCCGGGTCGGTGCAGAAATAGAAATAGAACCGAGGCTCCCGCAATAGCCACTCGGATTTCTCCGCGGACACACGCAGCTGCCTTTGTTCTCAAAGCGGCTCCAAGTCGTTAATGCATCTTGTTGGACCTAGTGCCCGAACCATTGGGCAAACGCTCGTTGTTTTGATTGGAGTGATATCGTTGCAGTTACTCGATAATTCTCAGCTGGATAGTAGGTATTATTACTCTACACAGTTTCCAATCCTGCCAGTTGCTCCCTGGGTCCAACAACGATGTCGGGATTTCTCCGCCCGGTCTTCGCATGCTTAAGCACCGTGGAGTGCGAGTCTACCGAGTCAGAGCTTCACTTCCTGCATGCTTCTGACCAGCGCCACGAAATAGCCTATCTGACACCCCCCTGGCAGCGCGTCTCTTCTGCGCCCCTACGTCATCCGAGTCCGCTTCGCTAACTTATCCACCGAGGAGGAAACCTGCCTTCGAATGCCAGTGTAGCTTGCTTTAGTCCTCCTCTTGCGCGGCGAAATGGATCTCCAGCCTTCCTCCACGCAAACAGTAATCAAGCGTTCAAGTTCAAATCTGTGACATCAGCATCAGACGCCGCCCCCTCCGCCTTCCTGACTCGAACTTAGCGTCCTATGGCGCATCCCTGCCCATATCCAGCGACGCATCACGCTTGGTCATCACAGACGATTTATCAGCACATATTGAAACGTATATCTGCGACCGGCGGCACCGGCCCGGGTCTCGACCTGGGTAAACGTTCTACACCGCACTGTGACTGCACACAGCGGGAGGCAGGGCACGTCGTGCACTGTCAGTGCCGGTGTCTTGGGCTCACCTTAACGTTGCCTGTCGTAGAAATCGTTGTCGCCATTCAAGTTCCTAACGCGGCTGATGTGCACGTTGGTCAGCGGCTCGGACATCGCGCATCGCGCCCGCATGGGCTCTAATACCTGAAAGTACTGGGCTTGTATTTCTGCTGTAGATCCTCCCGCGGGAGCTGCTGGTCGACAGGTTCGATTCAACGATCGCCCCTTTCTGATCGCACGCGGCTGCTTATCTAATGTTCATTCTTGTCGAAGTTCACTTTCCTCTACCAGGATGCGATTATCTACGTCTGCGGCTGATGGTGCGCCTGCTTCCTTCACCTGGCTAGCTCATGATGCACAATTCTAACTGACTGAACTTAATAGTAAGGTAATCCGTATCATCAAGTGATGAAATTCATGCGAACTTGAACTACTAGTAGTATGCCCACCACTGGGACACTGTCAGTGCATATTCACTGGGGAAATAAAGCCAGTATCGAGTCCTAGCTGCAGTCCCGGGTCAACCGCACATTACTCTGATCCGAGTCCCTCCCCGGCGTCGCGATGCCATCCGTCTCCGAGTCCCCGTTCGACCAATTTACTTATGGGATTGCACGGGCAACGGGGTTGCTGCCGAGCATATAGGCGCCGGTTGCCAGTGCTTCGGGCTGCCCGCCAACTGGCCATGGAGTCGCCGACCACGGGAATATACGAGGCAGGAGGGACCACTTCAATTCAACTGACAACAGGAACCTGCTTCAACTCAAGCACAACACACGCCACCGATATTAATAGCAACGGTCTCGTTTCGGCCATGGCCCGTGCAAGCGCAATGTAGGCTTACTGCTTACGTGGAGTCTGCTGCAGATGTGCATCCTGCGTAAGATTTTCGAGAGCAGATTTGTTACACGGACAGGAGATCACTACTACTGGCACGCGTACGGGTGCGCGTTCAACTCGGAGGTGGACAGGTACTAATTATGATTTGAACCGTGGTCTTGCGTTAAAGCGCAAGTTGTCATGAGGACTTGTCTTTGCCTCCCCGCGTCCCGCACGCGCCCACAACCTCGGAGAAGGAACAACGATTCATCCATCTCGGGTCGGCTTCCCTGCTTCTAGCACCTCACATCAAGTACATGCATTGAACAATCGCATGGGAACTCTCGTTCACGTTTGCCATCTTAGGCATCCCCAGGCTCTATCATGTCGCGGCTTGATGTAGCCATTATAATCATCCAGTTGCTGCCCAATGGGTGTCGCGTTTCCCGCGCTGGGCGAAACAAACGAAAACGGGCGGACGGGATTATCAAACGCGCATGACATGACGTACAGCCCGAGCCGCGGCGCGCTGGGGCTTGGCAGTGGCAGCGTGCGCTGTGCGCCGTGTGGGACGTCAATCGTCCGGCCGGCATAAACTTACAAGTCACATCGCGGGCGCTCGCGCTTCAGAGATAATCAGGAAAGCCGCCGAGTTCAAATTGTCACGACCCACCCATGATGCGAGGCATAATGCCGTGTGTTACTCGCAGAAGCCGACCGACCCCCTGCACTCCCCCCGCGTCTCTCTCACCGGCGTCGGCAGCGGGCGGCTGGAATGAATAACCTCGAAAGCCCCACGGCGGAATTTCAAAATTTCGCTGCCCACATTGCAGAATGGTGGGTGCTGGCAGTGGCCGGCTAAACGGTCAATCTGCACTTGGAATACGCGTCAAGTCGGCGGTCTTGTTGTGATACTTGATGCAGTGCATTTCCGCAGCACATTTGGTCCTGCATCGAGCTGCTGTGCGATCTGCGCGATGTACAGATACTTATGACTCACCATCCCCAACAACTCGAAAACAACCTTGCAACGTGCCAGCGCAGAGTATATATTGCGGCTTATTAACCCGCACCATAGAATGCAGCATCACGATTGCATCCATCACTGGTCGTCACGCGCACGTGATCGCATACGTCACGCATCTGCCAATATTGTTTAGAAACAAGGTATCATATGTACAGGATATAATCTTCTACTACTAGTATACCCTACTGTAACTCTTTAACCTCTCGACCGGCCCGCAGGCCGTGCTTTTTAAAAACGTCTAAATAACGTCTGATATAATGTGTGGTTCAGCCCGAGTCCGAAGATATGAAGATACAGCGAAGAATAAGACCCCTTACTGGAAAGCGAGATAGCAACATGAGAGCGACATACAAAACAAAGTGGGTGGGTTTTATAGCAACGTCAGAGTGGTGAATGCAAATGTGAGTTGAGTCAAGTCCACGAGGCGATCCGATTGGCCAAGCCAGGGTGGGATTAGTGCGCCTGCAAGCTGCTGGTCGACCTCGGTGTCCGCGTCGGGCTGGCAGATGAACATTAGCGCAGTGCGATAAGGTGTAAACACCACGTTGGCAGCCGACGATATGGGAGACGACGTGACCAGGCATCAAGTGTCGCGGGTTGGCCATGGCCATGGATGCGTGGTAATGAGGAGGAGGAGGAGAAATGCAAAGCAAGCTCAAAACAAAGGGAAAACACGAAAGCGGCAGGAAGCGACCATGATCACGCCTTCCTTGCTAGCCTCGGATCTCGTGTGCGTGAGGTAGCAACAGGAATTGGTGGTGGTGGTGGGGTCGGCTCCACGAATAGTTCACCCGGGCCAGGAGCTGTTGGGCCAAGAGCGTTATCCAGGGCAGAAGGAGAATGGGGAGAGAATGGAATAGATGAGGAGGGGGGAGAGCGGGTCCATGATGGACAGCAAATGTGGATGAGAGTCGATTTCGAAGTCAAGCGAGTCCTCCTTCTCCATATCATCGTCCATCCGAAGCACAAGGTCTTCTTCATCTTTGGCCGACAGCTCTCCCTTGTCCTTCTCTGCTGCCTCAGGACTTGCACTGGTCGTTGCCTCAGTAACAGCCTCCGTTTGGGGCCTTTTCCCGCGTCGACTCTCTGAAGGGTATGCACACTTGAGCGATCGGCGTTGGCATTGGCTGACAATTTGGCATTAGTACGGCCAATAGAATTAAGCAGTAAGATGAAGAAGGAATGAAAAGCACAAACGCAAGCGTGAGATTTTTTAGCAGTGGACGTAACGAGGGTAGAAAGATACGGAAGGCAACCGAGCCGAAGCAAGCGACAGCGAATCCGTTAAAGCAGCGCGAAGCAGGATAATGAAAAAGAGAGGCTGGGAAGGCACCCTCGAAAAAGAAGGAGGTAAACTCACTTGCATGCATCCATGCTCATCCCCAACCCCGTTATTGGTGGCCCACAGGCAATTTTGCGCTGCCGACAGAAGTAGCACGCTACCGTCGGTTTTTTGTCCTTGTCCTTGTCTTTGCTCCTTTCGCGTTTTCGGCGATCGTATGGGTCCGTGTTGCGTCGTTTCGCTGTGCCGCGTTTTGACGAACCCTCGTCTCTCCTTGAGGTTGAAGCCGCAGGAAGTGATTTGGATATGGCAGGGCCCTCCTCACCCTCGACCCCGAACACGGTGCCGTGCGCGGGAGGCGATTCGGGAAATGCAGACGCGGGGGAAACTGTCGAGTTTGCACTGCTTGGTGGGGTACTGGGCAAGTCGTTCCAATATGGTGTTACGGGCGTATTAGTTGCCGAGATTGGCGAAAACTCGAGGTCAGGTCGGTGAGTGTATCGTAGAGGCAGATCAAGGCTCAGTGGAGGCTGTTGCTGCCGTGGTTGTTGTTGTGTCGGGGGTGGCTCAGATGAGGATGACGGTCCTACGGGTGGGAGATACCAACTGCTACTCGGATCGGGGTAAGCAAACTCTCCCCGGCTGAAAGCCAAGAGTGGTTGCGCCGCTTCAGGCGGGGCATACGCCCGGATATGGTCTTGCAGTATACGCTCGTCGCTACTCTTGGGTACAGCGTCGGGGAAAGCCTTGTAGAAGAGTTGGTCGAAATGAGAATTCAGGTCCATCGCGAAGTTCGCCAGCCGAACGAGGGAGCAGGGCGCGGTAGCGGGCGTGTAGCTTGGAAAGATGGTGTGGGCTGGGAAGAGGTGTGCTTCGCCTGCTCAAGTAATAAATAAAAAAAGAGGCGCGTGATGAGCGTCACGGTGACGCGTGACATCCCCATATCCGTAATGTGCAATCTCAGATCGCAGATGTCTTCACCTGATTTGGACAGGCCCACCCACTGGCCCAGATCTTGATTCCGGAGGAACGATTAGAATTCCCCATCACGTGGGACTGGCTGCTGCAGTCGGCCGATTCATGGTTCAGTCGTGTTATGAAGGTAAAATCGGCGCTATGAAAAGTTGCTGCAACTGGTATGTACTTATGTATGTATTTTGCTGTAAAGCGCCTGTCAGCAGAATAAAGACTTCTCTCCGATTTCGGGCTCCCACTCCACAAGTCATCCACGCTCACCTAAAAAACTCCAACAGCTTCCGTCATCCAATATCTTGCTTGACGCATTCGCGGCTCGCTAGGCTGGCAGCAAGGCTGGAGTGATTCCTTACAAATCGGGGTCAAATATCCAAATTCCCAACTTTCTTCCAAGTAGAGAGAGAAATCTGCACACATAAGTATGAGGCAGCCACGATTCACATCCAGAAAAAGCGTCGGCGAAGCCCGGAAGTCGCTCTGAACCGAGCCGGGCTCCGGAGAGAGCACACAATCCCAGCGCCAGCGTATATTATCATGCTTGTGCTGATTCTGCGTGTAGTCGGGAGCTGAAGGATCGACCTGACGCTGCCGACGAAAGAATGACGGTTTTATTGATTGGCATGAGGGAGCAATTGAATGAATATGTCGCATATGCATGTGGATTATACAGGTAGAGGAGAGCCCTATTAGCTCAAGGCACATACACTGAACCGTGTTGAACTTTTTGTGCAGCAGAAAGTAGATGACAAATATATATTTATGCTACGGCCCGATGATCCGTGTCACGCAGCAGTGATGTGATGCCGCTGACTAAATCAGTCACGGTTCATTCCTTTCGTCAACCATCGAGCACTGGCACTCAGTTAATCCAAGAAGACCGTCGACGGCTGTTCGGAGGAGCCGTATTGAATGCACACCAGCCAAGTAACTCATGACGCATATCCTTATGGCAGCCTCCACAATAATAAACGCTGTACAAACACCCTCCCCTTGATCCTCTCAAGTCCTCTCAAGTCCTCTCAAATCCTCTGTGGGGTGAAACCGCAAATGCCCGTACTATTAGTTACAGCAGCGCCTTTGGAGATCTCGAAAGATCCCAGAAATAGAACCCAAACAACGAGGTTCAATGTCTTGGCTTGCTACCCGGCGGTATCGCTCGCGCCACCGGAGAGCTCACGCTCGGGCGTAGTGAGATTCCAGCGCCGCTTTGCTTGGATTAGGTGCTCGGGTGCGTTGCGGCTTTATAACTAACGGTTTCATCTAATACTCATATACTCATAAGCAAATCTCCTACACACCAGCAACAGCTTTCAAGATCCAACGTTCGGGAGCAAGCTATCTTTCTACATGATAACATGAGATGCACGTCGTAATCTCGAGACCCGCCTATTCGCCCATCATGAGGTTCGATTCCAAGCATTCCGGTAGAATCCGAAAAGAGTGTCTGGACTTTGAACCCGAGAGCGAGCCTCGAGGGGTCCGACTGGCCGCACGTTCTCCCGTAAGTTCTTCACCAGAATTGCAGCCGCCCGCATTTATCAGTGCTTTCTGGGCTCCAAGTTGAATGACCATTGCTGTCGTTGCAACGCCGCGCGGGCCTTACCACTGGCGCTGCGAGTGTGTTACAAGCCCATTCAATCGTGTTATTTGGGCTCGGCATGCGGTAATGCTAGCATTCCGCGTTGGCGCATTGAAGAATAAATCTGATGATGGTCTACTGCGAAGCGTCCATAACCACTCGGAATACAATTGTAAAGTGCCTCGCTGCTCGTATAATTCAAGTATGAAATCTCCACTGATTCTGTCTGCTAGATGTACTAGTAACTGGCTGTCAACGCCCCGCTCTAAACAGACGGTAGTAATGCAACAAGAGACTTGCGCACGTTGGCGATCCCTCGAGACTGCAACTGGTAACAGGCGCCATATGCACATCCATATCGAAGAAAGACAAGGATCGACGTGACTGTTTCTTCTCCTGTGTACCGTCTGCTGCATTCTTGGTCATCTCAGGCTGTCGTTAAGCCTCCCCCAGTTTTTAGCACCACCCGGCAACGCGTGCGACAGACTAGCCATGACGCCGAACGCCGGTACCTGACTTCTACGCAATTTCACACCCAAGACCTACTGATAGCGAAGAGACATGGACGTGTTACTGGCAGTGGCGCGAATCGCCCTCGACGCTGGTGCCGGCGCCACGACCGACAACGAGCCAAGAATGTGCAGGGCTCTCACGCCCACGCTGAGGTTATCGGTTCTCGGGTCTGCCCGATTGTTCCTGTTTACGTCTGTTTGAACTTATGGCGCCTGTATCGCCACCTGTGACCATTCAAACCTCCAACCGACGTCGCGATGCACCGAGCCTGCACCGAGCCCGAGCCGCGTTATTGCAATCAATCCAGCCCAGTAGCAATCAGTCTTCGCGTTTCAATGCCATGCTGACCTGCGAATTCGGACTCCGCTCAATGCTCATCGCTGGACGAAATTTCAATGTCCGGTAAGTATATCCATCACTGTGTCAACTGCTCCCGGTAAATCTCTTTACTTCTTCCCAAGAGTCAACACTATACAGCTGAGCGCCTGGGCCCTCCGTGGCCAGAGGGCGCAAAAACATTACCCAGAAACGCTCGCCGCGGCAGATTCTTCGTTGCGCTACGGCTACTTGGCGGAATCGAACTGAATTCCCGTTGCGGTCGCAATAATTTCTCTGGGACCAATTCATGGTCGCTTGACGCTGCATACTCGAGATTTTGCCGGCGACTGTCAGGCTGAGCAGTCCGCAATTGAATCCTACCTCCCCAACCGTCGTATCATGCCGACCCCAGCCAATTATTTTGCGCACAACTTTCCATGCATGTACGTTGTGCTTGTGTCTGTAGACCACACTATCATTGACGGTCACCACTACTGAATAGCGCTTTCGACGCACGACTTCGGATAGATAGTCGCCTGTGGTAATTCTATTCATATTGCAGCAAGGATTACCGATTTTCTCAACGACTCCACTTTTATCGCGCGCAAAGGCAAATAGATGCTCGTTATCCATTGGCCGCGGCAGCCGCCTAGGTGTAACCAGCACCTGACGATCTTTGCGCTAGCGCTTCGACTAACGAGGTCGGAACCTTCACATCCTTTGTCTTGATTGGCATTAATTTCAAGTCCTAGTAGGCTTGTCGATGGTCAGCGGTCATGCTCTAGCGCAGGCCAACCAGACTTTCGAGTCTAAACAACAAAGGCGCTCGCGGGCACCGCCCATTTCCGATGTTAATATTCGTAGCATTGGCCGACCGAACCCGACGCAGTCAGTTTTCTCTGGTGGATGTGTGCTTCTTGATCATTCGGCTCATAGACTATTCGCCAGTCCGACTCTAAATCACATCTGAATCATGCTGCGAACACGAAGGGGACGTGAAGGAGGCTTACTGCTTGTTCTCGAGCGCCAGGGAGACTTTCATTTCCAGTTTCGGGAGAATGCGAGATGAACGTGGGCAAAGAATGGAAGTTTTAGTACGAGCATTTCTCGATTTGATTGATCAGGACGCGCCATCGATAGGTTCATCCGGACCGGCGTCTCGCGATGGCAAAACTGGCTGTAGGAATTGGATGTCTGTCTGTTGATTCTCCGTGCAGCAACTGCTCTCTCATCGATCTACAGTGCGATTCTCACTCTTCACCGTCGGCAACGTTCAAGGCTGGCGCGTTTTCCAGGTTTTTCCTCTCGACAGCTTTTACTTGTTCCTAAATGGGCTATGTTTCCTCCGAGAATCGCGAATCCAATCTGTAACTTTTGACTCCGCGGCAGTAAATCTGCTGTTGATCGACCACGCGACAAGCAACTTGAACCCTGGTGGTGGGTTTTCGCTCAGAAGGTTTTCAGGAAGTAAGTTGTGGGAATGACAGATGTAACAGGGACAGGGTGTCCACATGGAAGGCTGAGCTCATCTCAGGCTATCACCATCCGACACACAAATGACGCTGAGATCGACAGCACTGGTTGTCTTGCGTAGTCAACACGCCATGTCCTGCTCTGTACTCGAGGGCTCGCGGGAGGGCCATGATCGTCGAATAGCCTTTGCGTTCGCTCTCACGCGCCTCAGGCTGACCTCGAGTCAGGGTCGTTTGAATTCCGGAACTACGCCGAGATGCCTCGAGGCGATGCTGTTGAGCCTCCCCCCTACAAAGAAGAGATTAAAGATGTTCGACATACTGCAAAAGGAGAAACTGGAAAGACTGTCTGTCCCCAACGAGTTAGTGTAACGCCATGCAAGTGACCCGCGGCGCTTGGCCAGGGCTTAATGGGTGAGCATGTATAGTGGACTCACTGAACCCTCAAGCTCGCCACCGCTGTGGATGCATCATTCTGTTTGGCTCGGTGCCGAATCCCGAATCATCTGCTTTTGGAAGAAATTTAAAAGTCCGCGCCGTTTTCGTTTTCGTTGTTTTCGCACTCCGCGAACCAGAGAGCCTCGAAGCTTGTGAGATGCAGCCAATCATTTGGTTTGAGATGGACCCGACCCTCCGGATGCGAGGAAGCCCACTCGCGGGACGATTTTCGTGCTTTAATTTCGGGAAACGTGTCAACTTGTCGAGGCGGACAACCGAGTTGATTTGCTCGAACTTGGTACTTCAAGCTATTGTGGGGCAGCTGACCAGTCGCATTATCACTCGTCATATGTACAAGTGCATCTGCATCTATTCAATCGAAGCTACTAGTAGCTAGATATTTCATGTCATGGCCAGACTCTAAACATAGGTCTAAACCTAGCGTACGTAGTATGAGTCCTCTTACAACCGGTAATATCGTGGCCCTTGACCATGGCCAAGCGTAAGCCCTGTGGCGTCAGGTCAGTTTCCAGCTGATTCAACTCGAGGACTGGGACAAATGTCATCAGCACGTGCCTGTGATTGATGATCATTGACAAGATTGATTGTGCAAGCAGATCCTAGATTCAAGTCGCAGAGAATCACAATCGCAAGCGTCGCGGAAGCAAATTCGCAAATTCCCTGAGCTGCCACAGGCTGACACCGGGCATCGAAGATCCCGTAGCGGACACCTAGGTGACTCTTGGTGACTCTGAACTCTTATAACGATAGCCTGGTATATATCTGTGGGCGCTTTCTAATAAAACAATTGGCTAATGATTCGAAACCTTGCCTTTTTTGCTTGCGATTTACTCTATTCGCTGCTTTGTCCTGAGTTGGTCTTGGGTATATCTGCGGGGCCCGGGCATCGCCAATCGGCGATTGAGAATTCGCCTGACATATCCATGTCACCTACAGTAAGGAACTTGAAATCGATGAGCTGTAACGATCCGATAAGACATTCTTGATCCTTACAATCGGCATCGGTTCAGCTGATGCATATATTATGCTTGTGCCCCAGAGTTTGCCACTACCACCCGCAGACGAGTGATGCTCGCGGCGAAATCGCAGGTTCCTGACCACCACTGAGTGTGTATATTAATAACTAATGCGCCAAGCAATCAAGAGCGGTGGTCTAGACCTCCGAGAATTTGACTCCGCGAAGATACGTACATGTGAGCTCACGGCATCAACTTGGACCAATCGGCTGCCAAATAATTGTTGGTTGTCGACGCGCACAGATTCTATAGGGTCGAATACCATTAGGCAAGTATCCTCAGGAATGCTCAAACTGGATAGAATCTTGCTCCGCTCTGATTTTTGAGGAGGTGAACTTACCAATTTCATTGGAAGTTGGATGCATCCACTCCACTGCGGCTTAAACCGCCTTGGATCTTTGAAACCGCTCAGCTCACACACACATATCCAAGCTCCTGAAAGAATCACCGACAACTTGCACTTGGCCTGTTACCAACGCCCACAGACAACTCCCGGATCCGGAGCACTTTAGCCTAGTAAGTTTTAGGCAGTTGTAAGAAGCTTACGAGACGACGCACGCGAGAGACGAGAAACCCGCATTCACGTTGCCGAAGTGGAGTGCTCGTCGCTGCGGAAAGTCGGGTCTGGCCATAAGTACTATGCACCGCCCCAACCATACCAATCGTCGCATCTGTCGCGCTTGTGGCATGTCTCGTGCAGCGAGTTGCCAACAGAATACAATTAGCTTCAAAGTCGCCGCATGCTGAAAGTAAGTAGATGCTTCGAACGTTCGACGCTGCTCAATGTAGTGATGTAGAGGAGACAGCCTATCAAATGAGTTGCAGCGTAAGTCGCCCATGGCTGACCACGATGATATAAATAATTTTTTCGTCGCATGTTTGGCGCTGAGAGGTGTAGCAATAGCAGCGGAGCTAGAGTAAGATCCGGATAACAGTCAACTCAGAAGGTGTCTTGTCTTCGATCCCATCGTGTGCAGCACTTGACGTCGCCGGTTGACAACATTGGTCTTCTCCATCGTGGTCGAGGTAGTCCAAGGTCATCAGGCACACAGCGAGGCGAACCAAGGCTCCGGAGGGTTCCAATACCCAGGCGCATATAGATTCGAGATTCGAGGACCTCATTAACAGACAGTGGAAGTAAAGTTGTCACCTCAACAAATTCAGTTAATACTCGAAGCCCTCTCTCTTCACCGTCTCTTCCGAGACACCACCAGCGATCAACGCATCCATCGCAGCTGTCTCGAACTCGGGAGAGCCACACAAATAGACCTCCCGCTCTTCCAAATCCACCATGTCTGAACGGGTGAACCAATCTCTTGGCACTCGACGATGATGAACTCGGACCACAACATTGTCGTGCTCTGAGGAAGCAAAGACATAGTCGGACATCCGAGTGAATATGTCGAGTGAGAGATGGATGTTGGGTTGGGGACTGAAGGCGTCCATAACGAGGGGGACGAGGACGTGTGGTTCGGCCGAAGCCAATATGAAGTTGATGTCCCACTGATAGCTGCTGCTTTGCTCAACGAGGGAGCGTAGCATACTCAGAAAGGGTGTCAGCCCGATCCCACCAGCCATCCAAAGTAGCTTCTTGTGCGGTACGGGTTCTGGTTTTGAAAGGTCGCCGTTATGGTCCTCCACGTTGCTTGGGAGGACAAAATCTCCCGCAATACCAACAATTGCGACACGCAGTTCGAGTCCGGTGGCATCTTGTAGAACCTCAGGTCGCACTTCCTTCAGCTTGCGAGCAATCGTAAACAATGGGCCCGTTACCGCTCCACCCCGCTTTTCCCGTAACGTCAAGCTCAACTCATTCGTGGGGGCTCGATACCTGCCGGCAGCCGAGACTGTCCACGTCCTCACACTATCGTCATTGACAATTGTCGGCTTGCTTGGCGCCATATGCCTGTATGCGGGAATGCCCACGAGAGGGGCCATGTTCATGATTACTGCCTGCCCAGGAAGGATGTGGAGCGCGGTAGAAGATTGCCATGTAAACGTAGCGATTGTGGGCGAGTGCAGTTCGATGCGAGACAAGAGAGCTGTCGGGGACGATGTTTGGGTGGAAAAGAGATGCTGTCTAGATTCTGTGGCGAGGAGTCGGATTGGTGGACTATAAGGGCTGAAACAGGGCTGGTAGTGAGCATTACTGTACAAACATAAAAAGAAAGAAAGGAAACACCTCATTTCTATGCCTTGACGCTGTCTAAATGGCAGTGCATTTCGAACAATCGTGTACCCGGTGACGTATACGGTCGTCAACGACTTTTGGAAAGGCATCAGTTGGAGAGCTCTTTCGCCAACGAGATTCTCCGCATCTCCAGTTAGATACAGGATGTCGCCAGTAACGAAATCGATAAAAGTCAAAGAGGCTAAGGGTGTTGCTTCGATATTACCGAGGGAAGTCATGAGGCGATTGCCTGGATAAGGTAAGCTCTAGTAAAAAACAACGATGAGTACTAACCGGAATAATCTGGTAGAACCACAGTTCGACTATCTTCTGGTGATACTCGGATGAAGCCAGGTCGCCCCCCTCGATGATTCATGCCCATATGGGAGGGAAAATGGAGTGCGTCTTCCGCAGTTGCGTGGTAATAAGTGCCAAGAAAAACTGTGTCGGCGGCGGTGATTATCCGTATGGCGTCGTCGGAAAGACGAGCATTGACCCCAAGATTCAAGTCTTGATGTGCGACAAAGGGCGAAGTTGCATGAGGGATTAGATCACGGACGACTATGTATTTCGGACAATTTCTGCATTCCAAGATCAGTGGAAATTACCAAAAAAAACGTAGGGCAGACTCACCCAATGGCTTGGTTGACAGTAAAATCGAGTAATAGTTCGTCGTCTTTCTTCTCCGATCTCGTGACTCTCCCAGCGAACTTGTTCCTCCTCCTCGTTGTCAGCTCAATCCCGATCCCAGCCACTAGCATTTCTCCACTCTTCGCAAAAATTTCCGCATTCTCTAGTAACGGGTCTCCCTTCCACAGTTTTGCCGCAACCCGCAACACGGAATACTTGGGTGTTTGGACAAAACCCTCCGGGCCGCTTAAAATACTTCCCCATGGACGACCCTCAATATCCAGTGTTGCAACAGGAAGAAAAGAGAGTCTTGTTGAGTGAAACTGAGCGTGATCATCTGGTAAATCGCCATCGATGTTGCGGTATAAGTTTGCAACGGAATAATCGTTGTCTGTCCCGAGTTTACGGTGAATCGCGTGTTCGCCTCTATGCCAGCCGTTCAGCGACATTCTGTGCAGTCAGAGTAGCGGATGAAGGCTGAACATGTTATATGCTGGGAAAAGGGGTCGGTCGGCTGACTGAGCGATGAGCAAGATCGCACCTCCGAAGCACGGGACCAGGGCTACTGCGGCGACGCTGAGAAATGTAGGCTAAAGCTCCCGCCTTACTGGAAGCCGTTGGCGCTTTACGATTACGAAGTGTCCAGGCTGTTCACAAAAAAACTGAGAAAGAGGATGAGATGCATCACAACATGTGACTGCAGGCGTTGAACGTTGAACAACCACTCATTCAACGAGGCGAATTCATGTTATCATCGAGCCGGTTACACTCGCCTCAGCGCAAGGGAACCGCAAACCCTCTTGCCTGTAACCTCATGTTACACCGTGGTTGCTTTAAATGCCTCCCAAACAGCTTTAGGTTCCCCACAGTTCAATGAACCTCTTCCTACGACCCCGCAGACGCAATACTGTCCAAGACAAATTGGTAGACGGTATCTCCGTGCTTCCCTCCGAAATATGGCCCGAAATACTCGGTTATCTCGACGATGCGACCTTACTCTCTGCCGCTCACGTTTGCCGCACCTTCAACCGGACTTGCAGCGAGCTTCATATGTTGCGATATGGAGCCTCGTTATGCCAGCTTGAAGCAGGCACCGCTGTAATTCGTTATCCTACTCCTCAAGCTCTCACTTCACTTCGGACCTCCCTCCACCTCCAGCCGAACCTGAAACTTCTTTCCTGCCGATTGGTAGTCGACGAGACTTTCTTTGCCACTCTGGGAAGCCTGTGCCGTACCGTAGAAAGACTACCAAAGCTGGAGGCGGTTCATTTCGGTGTCAAACAGACCGGTTGGCTGCAAAAATGTCACTTGGACCAATACGCCAATCTCTTCCACGACCTCATGTTTGCGATGACTTCGAAAGGCGATGGTCATGTCGTTCATATCGACCCTGGGACGCGCCACGACCCGAATGGCGTTCCTCGGGGGCGTATATCCGTTTCGTCGACCAGAAATCTCTGCCACGAACAGATGACTCCAATATATCGGCCGCTGCCTCGGCCAAATCCCCTTGCACGACTGGGTGCTTTTCTTGGCCTCAGAAAATTGACCCGAAACCGCACACGTATCGCCGTTCCAACCGTAGAACTTTCCAACAAGGCAAACGAGAAACAAGCCCGAGAATGGCTCCTCCAGATCGAGCGAAAGTCGTGGTGCGATATCGCCGAATTCGAGCACGTGATCGTCGGCATTATCGACATCGGAACAAAAAACCAAACAGAGAGGCTGGCGGTAGCTGCGGTGAATCCACATCGCACTCTATCGCTCCGCATTCGACGGACCCGGTGGTGTGGTCGATATGCTAAATATCAACACCAGCGACTGATCAACGAGGCTCTCCCGTATCTTCACCTGCCTCATCTCAAATCCGTCAGCATTGACGCTATGAACCTCGACTCCACTGTGTTCACGAGATTTTTGACGCGCCATGCCGAGACCCTAGAGCAGCTCTCTTCAGAGGCAATCGGGGTCGAGCCTCATTATCCGCATCTCAATCTTGACACGGCGATTTTTTCTGTAAAACCTCTCCCCAACGTGTCGTATCTCAGAGCGCGGTCATGTGCTGGTCTGCTTCCGCTCCTGAAGTCAATCTCATCCACGGAGCCATGCACATTAGAAGTCACCTTCGAACGCTGGAATCCGCTACTCAAGCAAGCCCGCCTCCCCATACTGCTGGCTGCCGAACGGGCCCTTCTCCATCGAATCGCCACGCGCACCGGCGTCACCACGCTCAAAATTTCGGTCGAACTCGCCGACAAACCGACGCTGGACGAAATCGACATCGCACTTGCCAGATCGCTCCGCTGCGTATCCACCGTCCACTTGAGCTGCATGAACGTGGGGGTGCTAGGCTGGCTATCGTACCTTCCCGCCCTGAAGGTGTTGCTTGTCGACAGAGAGAGCCCCATCCAGCCTACGGATGAAGGGGTATTTCTGGATCGCGCTCAAGCTATGTTTTCTGAGAGGGGTGTTTCCGTTGCTCTCCACTGACATGAAGTAGTATAATTCGTATTATGATTATTATAGTAAAGCAAATCTGAACCACTTTTTTATGAAGCCGATCCCTGTGGAGAGGTTATTTAATAACGTTAATCATACCATAGCTCAGCAAATTCTAGTTCAAAGACGACTGATGCTTAACGTAGCGCCTGGCCGGCTGAGACGGCTCCAACACGATTATTTACATAGACCACTACTACAAGCACAACTACACACTAGTACTTGCAGAGTAACGTAGCATCGAACAGGGTGATATGGAGGTGGGTAGGTAGCGCGACCGGACAGACAAAAAAAAATCAATAGAAATAGCGAGACTTCTACTCCGTGGTCATACTTGGGATTCGTCGAGCATGGTCAAGTCGCCCTCGGCATCACCATCGGCATTCCCGTTCAGCTCGGCCTTGGCGTCAGCGCTGTCTGGCGCGGCGCCCTTGTTTGCATTGAGAATCTGGTGCCAACGCTCGACAAGAGCGTTGGCGCGTTCGCGGAAACGGAATTCCGCGTTGCGCGGGACCTTCTCGTCATCAAGGAGATTGATATGGCGCATGACCTTGCCGATCTTGGAGAACTACAGATATATATAAAGCGTAAGGAAAAAACGAATGGAGGGGAAGCAAAGCAGACGGACAGTCAGATAGTCGATGTTCATGCCATCATACTGCTCAACCGCGGTGAAAAGTTCGTCGATGGCTGGCATTTCCTGCGACATATTACGAGCGGGTCCAACGACACATTATAGACCCACCTCTTCTTTGGGCATGGCTTTGTTGCTCAAGAACATTTTCTGGAGCCTATGGCGCCACTCCCGCACTTTGAGGGCTTCAGGATCGCTCTCCAATTTCGCTACTTGCGGTCAATTACAGCTGGAATGGGACCAAGATCACTCACGGTTGACTACCTCGGCCTTCTCGGACTTTGTTTTCTTGATAGGCCGTTCCTTGGGCTCCGCGTCCTCGTCTGCAGCGTCATCCTCGCTCTCAACTGTCTCCTTGCTTTTCTTGGTCCGACCGCCTTTCTTTTTGGAAATTGATTTCTTCGGCGTGCGTTTGCGTTTCTTTCCCGCAGAAGCATCATCATCATCATCATCTGTGCCAGTAAATCACCATCCAACACACAAAATAAATTTGACTTACCATCGTCTTCTGCGATGGCCTCTTCCCTCCTCTTCCTCTGACTCTGCCCTTCTTTTTCTTACCGCCCTTTTTTGGGGGCGGCGCTGAGTCGTGTTCCTTCTGCCATCCATCGGGGTCGAGGCACTACGGAGCCATCAGCGGTGATCAGAATGGCCAATAGGCATATACGGCTTTGTATCCGTCCAGCAGCTCCTTTTTACCCTTGGTCCCTTCGTTGGAAGTCTCGTTTGCCGCGATGTACTTCTCGCACTCGTCGACCGTCAATCTTTTGAGATCAGGAGCAGAGAGCCAGGCGCTAAAGTAGAGCGCGAGTCAATGAGTAGAAACATATGCGCTATAGCATGACTTACTAGTCGCCTGTAGGAAAGAACCGCACAGCGTATGCGACAGTCTTGCGACTGCTGGGGCGTTCCTTCGCGACTTGTTTTGGCACATTGTCTGGATCAACAACCTGCAAATGGAGTCAATATCGTGGAAGCGAAGCAGGAATACAAGGAGAGAGTTCCGGAGGCTGCGATGGGGGCATAAATACAAAAAATAAGACTGAATTTCGAAATCAAGTCAAGTAAATATTCTGAGGCCTTAAGACAGGCCAGCAGCGGCCCAAGAGCCTTCATGAAGGTAAGACGAAGAGCAAGGAGAGCCATTCAAGTACAGTAGCTTGGTAAACACTGCGAAATAAGACGGAACCTGACAAGTCGCCGGAAAGAATGGGCTCGTGTTGATGAGCAGGGCAAAAATGAGGGAAAGTGCTCGACGGAGATTGTAGAGGGGATGACGCGGATGGATGACAAGTGGTCTGGGGGAAGCTATTGAGGGTGTATGAGGGCCAAAAATTCGTCCTGAGATCCAACGTGACAAGATCGCGTCTAAGTAGTCAGGAAGAAACCGGAAACGGCAAAAACTGAGCCAAATGAGTAGGAGAGGCCTCTGGGAGAGGGAAAAGAAACGTTTCTCGGCCGATTTATCGCCGTATACAGGATAAAAAGTGAAAACTGGGATGAAACCCATAAAAAGTTCTGCAGATATCCCAGGGTAGAAGAAATGAGTTATGTGGTGCCACAAAAAGTTTGGGATGATCTGCGAGAGATATAGAACGGGATTTGGAGGAGGAGAGAGGGCGTGTAGACTTCCTAGATAGCAAGTTCCAAAGAATGTGTCCAGCAAAAGTAGGCCAAGACATATTCCGGAGAGAAGTAGAGGAAAGGAATGTGGTAAGAGAGACAGAGATGGAGAAGAACCAGGGAAAATGGCACCCTTGGTTAATTGAGGGCCAGGCGTTGGTTGGTCTCTGTCATAGACGAGCCACATTAGAATGCCCAATCAAAAAACGAGGGCCAAATAATGGGATTGGGATGATGAATGGTCGTTGCTTTCAGGTGCAAAGCCGGAAGGGGAGTGTTGGAGGCGAGGAAGACTACTCACCCTTGATGGCCAGAACGGAAAACCTCGTAGTTTTCCGAGGACGATATCCCCAGTCTCGTAGGTCTCTTCCGGTTCGTTTTTCTTGGTTGTGCTATTACTTCTTTTGGCGCTCATCGTTGCAGAGTAAGAGGCGCGATGGTGGTTGAAGGCGCGTCGAGAGAAAGGTTATTGAAGAATCAGGTAAGATGCTGGACAAAAGGAGGAGAGCAAGTTTAGCCAGTAACGCGATCGGACGACGTCGAGTACCGCCACGCTAGGACAAGGAACTCAGTGCTGGGGTCGGAAGAGAGGACCGCCGTCACACGGTGACGACCGAAATCCTATCACGTGTAGCAGTCACATACGTGACATCGCCATTTCTGGTGGAGCTCACATCTACTCCCGTTCAGATCGTCGCGTTTCACGCCATTTGTCGTCGTCGAGGCCATTGTCCACGCTCCGCAGCCCTTCATTTACTACCACCATGTCTGAAGCTGCTGCTACCGGTGCGTTATACCACTGCTTCTCTATCTCCACGCTCACACGCAACAGCCAGCTCGACGACCACAACCCGCTCCTCCCCAGCAGTCGCCCCAATCGACCTTCGACACATGACCTCAAACTCAGCCCTCGTCGCAGATGGACGCAGGATCTCACAGCATCTCCAACCTTCTGCACGCAAAGGATCCCGTTCTCCTACATCTATTCCTTCCAGCCCGACGTCTGTGTGAGTCCCTTTTTCTGCCTTTGAGGCCACCTACACTGCTTGCCATGTCGTTTTCCTTCTTTTGTATCGAATAAAATGAGAGGGTCGGAGCTTGGCTTGCTGTTCTTTTACCCGGTGTCTCGCTCCATAATTTCGCAATCAACTAACGAATATACAGACACTCGTCCTCCTCTGCAATATTTGAACGGGACATCGAGCCTATACATCTCTCTCCCTCGTCTATCGTGGCCAAGAAGGACCCACATCGAATCCCACGTTCAAAAAACACAGAGAGCATTGAACAATCAGTTCCCTCCGTTCTCGACAGTGCTGCCTCGATTCTAGCCTCTATGGATACCGACGATGGAGACTCTATCGCAGTTATAGCGCCGGCACCGCTTTCATCTACTGGGTTACTTGATCAGGGCCCAATTCGAAGCAGAAGCAGCGGATTCGCATCTCCCATCGGATTCCGGTCTCGCAGTCCAAGTCCAAGCCCCCGCCCTGGCGGTGCAAAGCGCAACTCCCTTCTCCTCAATCTACCCGCGGCCGGACAACATCCTGCCTTTCCTTCCCCTCCCGGTTCTTCTTCTCCCAGCTCGTCATCTGCTCCATTGACAGCAACTGCCCGTCAGTTCGTCGATCCGTCAACACCCACGTCGAATAAACGGCTTTCGTTCATCTCATATACCGACTTGCTATCGTCCACCCCAACTGCAACCCAACCACTGTCCTCGCTCACGTCACCGGCCAGCTCGCCTGGACACATTCCAGGCGTAGCCTTGGCAGACTCCATGACGACTGCGGGCTCGGCTTATGGCGGCAGCGCCGCTCCTTCCTTACGGAATTTTGCCTTCGGGCTCAGTGGCGACGAAGACAGGACAATGGACGATGTCGGCGGGGAATGGGAGCGTGAAGGCCTTGGAAAAGGCCTCGAGGAACGGCTCGAAGCACTCCAAAGCGTCGGCATGGCCTAAATCAATTTGTGCACCTTTTTATGCGGTTTCTACTATAATGAACGCCTCTATATGGTCTCTTCTCCTACCTACTCACGATATTTTACGGTCTCCTATTCATTGTCTACTATGCGATGCTCAAAAGGAAGAAATGACCATGTACAAGATTAGACTACTGCCTTCTGTATTTCTCTACCTCTCAACTCGAATAAGAACATGTCTCAAATCAAGTTTTGGATTTCTTAGAAGCAGTCAAGTTACCACAAAAAGCGCAAGTAAGTATGTTGTAAACCGTAAATCAGGATGGATACTGGTAAAGCCCTAACCCTGCATCGTCTCAATAATCATCATATACTGAATCATCTGCTTTGGCTCCCACTCGCTCCTTTTTTGGGACCAGAAGTCCACTTCCAGGCGCGAAACGCCCTTCCAAAACTCTAAGGGAGAGAGTGGGGAGTGGTACGACGAGAGGCAGACAAACCGCTCGTCCTTCTTCCCCTCAGATCCGCTTTTTTTAAGATTCTGCCCCAAACGGGCATCCTCAACCTCGCGCAAAAACTGCTCGTTTGCGGAGACAGCGATGAGCATTTCGAGTTGGGGCACCTCGCTTTCGAGGGCCCTGGCAAAGAACTCGAGGATGTTGCACGGCTCTGCGGCGTGTGCGGCGTCGAGGTCGCCAAAAGCTAGGTGTGTTAAAGGGGGGAGTGCGAGAAGAGGGGTCCAGTCGAACCACCACGGCGGATTGACTACTTCGAGATGCGTAAGTTTCGAAAAGAGCGGGTGGTCGATGGCAGGGGGATAGACAGGGTTCCATAGGAAGGAAGCGTCGATTGAAAGACGACGGAGATAGGGAAACGAGCTTAAGAGGGCGGAAAGCTCGTCTATGCTAGTGAGCAGCGATGACCAGCAAGTGAGGGAAGTCAGAGAGGTGCAGGTTTCAAGCAGCTTGCGGGCTTGGCTGTGCGATATGCCGGTGGCGATATGGAGATGTCGAGTCGTTCTAGCAAAGAATGATGGCGGCCGCGCAGAAAATGTGTCTAGGAAACGGTCGTGTTTAAAACTGAGCACTATGGTCTCGTATATGACCGCTTCAACCCTTGTGTGAAATATCAACAGGTAATTCTGCGGGAAGAAGGGAAACACACCAAGCCTGGACGTATTTGCATACCAGAGTTAACTGAGGAGCGAATTCCGGAAATGCACGGGCTGTTAGCTCGAAAATCTCCCGCTCTAACTCGTAGGGTAGGTCACCGAGACCTTTCTTGTGAGGCTGGCTGAGCGACATGAGGGGAACGGAGTTGAAACGGCGTCTCTTTCGATCAACGTCGTGCCTTTATAACCGAACTGAATCAATACACATCTACCCGCCATAGCTCCAAACCCGAGTCTATCGGCCGCGGTATTGGGCGGGAGGTCTGGTATGTATGCCCAATTGACATTGTCGATGAACCAAGTGAAGGGTCTTGCTGACAAGAAACAGCGCAACAGTAGGACTTTGAAGGAGGACTTGAAGAGGCCGAGATGACTGGCGAAGTGGGAATATACGCGTACGGAATGCGTGTCAAAATTGAATTGTAAGCCATGGCCATGGGCGAACATCGCCGTTCTCTATGCTGTTGACGACTTAGATCGCCAATCCTACACTGAGGTCGTTATTATAAGCAGCCTAAAGCAAGCTTCAAGATGAGTTGTGCCAAGGTGGGAGGAAGAAGCAAAAGAGACTGACATCATCACACAGTCCACTTTCGTTCACGCGACCGCAACACGCGTTTGCCTCCGACATACTGTAGACAGCGCCACGAGTTCAAATAATCAGCTTCCAAGACTTGACTATTTGTTCGAAACAAACAAGCAAACAAACCCTGTGGAATTGTTTCGCTGTTCCAATGGACTCGAAACACAGAGACAAGAAATACCTTGACCTCGGACACCGCACTTAGCGGCAAATCAAGCTGGCGTGCTAACCTTTTACCTGTTCCAGGGGCACAATGGATCACACCCGAATCGAGCCAAGTCTGACAACTGGACTTCTTGTTTCGTTTTAACTTGACTTCTCTCTTGTTAACCGCCACCATCTCCTCCCTTCCCTGCACTTTCCCGTCTTCACTGCTGCATCTGCATCCAACTCTTACATCCACATTTCACCTTGATGATGCGCGCCGCGATTTCGCTCTACGAAGATCCGACACCCAAATCCAGGTCAGACATCTGGGGTGCGAACGAAACACGACTGTTCCTCACGCTGGTCGCATCGTTGGCGACCGTATCGACTGTCGGATATCTGGCCATAACCCAGCTTGGCGTTCTTCCTGATCTGAAGGAGAGAGGTCTATTGGAGGGACTGGGTTTGAGCAGGCTTTTGCCACGGTCCCAGTAATAAGGTACACTCTTTTTCGTTCTCCCCTTCTTCCGTCCTCTCGCCAATCTCTCTCTTTCGTTGCCTGCAATCTGTGTCCTGTTCAACGCGGCAGATTGCATTTCACTGCCCTCATTTATCCTCGCTGATCATTGACAACGCTCCGTAGACCACGCACTCTGGACCCGTCGTTTGCAATCCGCCGCGACAGCCACTCCACCGACCGGCTTCTTTCCTATTGGTAGATGTCCGCATCTCCCAATCGATTTATAGCGGCCGTCGCCGCCCGCAACTTTACGACCGTCTATGTTTCTATTCTATTTTCGTTGGATTTATGCGGCACTGTATGTACTAATGTAGGATTTGACTGGAGACGACCTTGGCTTGTACAATAACCCACATTGTTTGCTCGTTACCCCGCACGATGATCAGAGCGAGATCAGAGGAAGCATCAGTCGTATCATTCACATGCTTTCTGCGGTCCGATCATGCCTTAGAGTGATCTAATTGCCAGCTAGCTATGGCGAGGCACGAGCCATAGCTAGCGATAGATAAGGTAGCGAGTGGCGCGTGTAAAGTGGACAGAAAGCTGCTTATTATACTATTAAGACCTCTGAGTTTCTACCATCGTGACTTTCGCGTCACGCCCACTCGCGCTCACGACGCGTCAAATTCGACGCCTCTTGCTCTCCACTCAGCCGCGCTTCGAGCCCACAAACCATGGCCCAGTATTACGCGGATGGCGCCCAGTTACCCAACGCGGGCGTCGTAGCACCATACCAACCAGATTTCGACTTCAGCCAATTCCTGGTGCAACCCATACCGCGCGAGAACTACAACCTCCCGCTCGAGACCCGCAACATGCAAAATGCCAGCATCGAGGCACACAACACGGCATCTTGCAACACTACTCAGGAGGCTGAAGATGACAAGCAAGGGACGCGAGATGTTGGCCCACCACTAAAGCCCTTCTTTGCCTACACGTCCGACGAGATACGCGAATATGCCGAAGACGAAACTCTTTACAAGATCCTCAAAGAACAGGGCCCCGTCCCACTGATCTTCGCGCGACTCGTCGCGAATTTTAAACGACAATTGTCGGACGCAAAAGCCGCGGCACCCTCTCTCGAAGGATCTTTCGTTGGCAAGGCGGATGGGCTTCGAACGAGACGTGGGACAATCATCCCAGAGTCTATCATCGTGGCTGCGTCCCTTGGCTCCCCACCTCCACTCTTCGCATTGACTCAGCGCCACCTCGACGAGTTTAACAAAGCACCTTCTTCCGTCCCAGTCCGTAATGTGCACCACCCAAAACTCGGCAACCGCCTCACCCAAGCTTTTGACTCGGAGACCTTCATGAAGAATATTGGACCGCATACCACCTTCACAACCGTCGAGGCTTTTCCTCTCGGTTTCGGCAACCTATTGGAATGCTTCGAAACACTGAAAATCATCGCGACCTACTTGGCCGGAAAGAACCCCCCACCCACATCCATTGCAACACACGTCTGCAACCACATCGACTGGATTCAAACTGAACTGCCCAACTACGGCGCCCATATCAACGAGTGGCTGCCCTGGTCTTGGTCCAGATTGACGGAGATGTTTTCTGCTAACTACAGACACCAGGAGATAGAATACAACGTATTCCGCGAGCTCTACAAAAACAGGATCGCGAACCAGTGTTCCCCAGCAGTGCCGCAAACCAAACGCCACGCCCCAGACCATGTTTATCCCGAGGAAAGAAGATATTAACTTTCGACTTTGCATCGGAAGTAGCAGAACTGGTGAGTGTAAAGCCATTCCTCCTTCTCCCTTTTCCCTTTCTCTTTTCTTCTCGATGGGTACCCGGACACAAACGTCAGCTTAGCGCTTAGCGCACGAAGACATCAGCCTAGCTCTTGAGCACGAAGTCACCGACCTAGCCTTTGAGCACGAAGTCGCCGACATAGCCTCCGAGCATGAAATATGTTGTTTCGCGTTACACGCACGAAAGTCATCTCACATAGAGCAACGGCACGAAGCAACATAGCGATTATCGCACGAAGATCTCGCCTACAACCCTATATATAAGAACCAAGAAGAAAATTTGCTCACCAGATCATCACAGATCGCAAACCTACCTCGCGGTTCCCGAGCCTGCGCATCTGACATTTTCACCACACCGTCCAGTTCACCAGATGTAGTACAACACCGGTAGCAAGCAACTCATCATATTTCTCTCTTCTTATCCTTTCGTTCCGCATTGCTCCGGTAGGGTGACCGACCTGTGTCGTCGGCCGCGCTACTCGCTTTGGAGCAATGCTCCTCTTGGGTGGTCCGACTCCTACTATGCGGTCACCCAGAGTTGCGTCGAGTGGGGCCACCGCTTGATCCGGCCTTCGGCCCGGGTCCTCCAGTGTGTCTCTTTTGGCTTCGTCAGCCAAGCACCCGGAGCGGTTTTCGGCCTCACCCGGACAAAGTAAATCCGGCGGGTCTCCCGTTCCCATTCGAAGACCTGCTTTTCCCACGGCCACTCTACACGCACGAGCTACCTTATTGCCAGCTAGCTATGGCGAGGCACGAGCCATAGCTAGCGATAGATAAGGTAGCGAGTGGCGCGGTGTAAAGTGGACAGAAAGCTGCTTATTATACTATTAAGACCTCTGAGTTTCTACCATCGTGACTTTCGCGTCACGCCCACTCGCGCTCACGACGCGTCAAATTCGACGCCTCTTGCTCTCCACTCAGCCGCGCTTCGACCCACCCGCCTTCCCCTCACGCGGCTTTGGGTGGTCCGACTCCTACTATGCGGTCACCCAGAGTTGCGTCGAGTGGGGCCACCGCTTGATCCGGCCTTCGGCCCGGGTCCTCCAGTGTGTCTCTTTTGGCTTCGTCAGCCAAGCACCCGGAGCGGTTTTCGGCCTCACCCGGACAAAGTAAATCCGGCGGGTCTCCCGTTCCCATTCGAAGACCTGCTTTTCCCACGGCCACTCTACACGCACGAGCTACCTTATCAATGTCCCACCCCTATCAGTACAGCCAAGCTAATAAGTATCCAGTTAAATCTGATTCCCAACCTAATATATGTAGGGCATGATCCTGTATGAAACTAGCATTTGGTACTTGTCCCAGTTCTTGCCATATACCTGCAATTTGGATGTAAGCATCAGAGAAGCGTAAAAACCCCAACTTGAACAACGTACTAAGACTTACTTGATCTTGCACTTATGGTCGTCGCGGCCGGTGGATAAGCAAGGTCGAGAAGTAAATGACATAGAAGTAAGTTATGGGGTTCACAAAGCCGGTAGGCAGGGACCATGCAAATGCTATGGGGAGGTCGCCGCTATAAGTAATACAGCATTTAGTGTCTTTTTAAGAGAGCCTGAGATCACACAGGTAGTTAGGATGTCTTGAACGGCCCCACCATCCAGATGTCAGAAGCTTGCTGCCTGACTCAGTGGTGAAATATCGCAGGTCTAAGCACTATCAGATATCCTCAAGAACCATAGAAAGGCTGCTTGCTCTGGGGGCTCTTGCCATTCCTGAAATCATTCTTATCTCCGTTCGCCTCTCTGAATATGTAATAGCCCACAAAATTCATGACAAAAATGAGGGCTGCGTAAATGGTGCCAAGTTCGTTCGGAGTGAAGACGAGGTAGCGTGCCTGGAGGCAGTAGATAAAAGGCACCCATGCAAGATCGGAGACAGAATGCATACCAGCCGAAGTAGATTACGAAGGCCGTCTCAAAGGGCCTTCCACCAAGCTGGGTCCTGGAATGCGAGAAGAACACGGTCAGGAACTACGGCTGGTGGACAACCAGCCTGCTCAGAGCAGCCAAGGTAAAGTGCGTAGGTGACGATGGGGGCTCCGATGGTAATTAGAAAGGCACCAAGAGGACCGAGAAATTCGTAAATTGTCGTTCTGGGGTTGAGAACGTCGATCTTTGGCTTGGACATTTGGATGGTTGGAGAAGGAAAGATGCAGATGGACAATAAAATCCAAACCATCAATTGAGTGAGATTTTTTTTCATTCAAGGTTTGGATCATAAGCAAGCTAAGTATCGTAAGCAAGTATATATTCAGTTAAATCCTTCGTCAACGACACCAGAATTTTCCCATGGTCGGATGGGTTAAACCACGCCGAGAAACAGCAATCCTCTGCGTGCCAACTCCACCGCTTCCTCTAAGTCTCGAGCGTCTTGGGCGCTCCACCGTAGCTCCGATTCTGGGCTCTTTTGTTCGGCTTCAGTGCCGACACCAAGCATCACACCTCCCCCAACACCGCCTTTGACACTATTCTCAAATGCCATCCGCCGAGCGTTGAGCAAAGCCATTTTTCGAGGATCAGAATGACCACTGAGAATAATAAGGGCAGTCCTTGGAGGAAGCGAGCTGCGGATAGTCGTAAGCTGTGTGTTGAGCTCTTTGATTGTATTTTCCACAACTGAAGCTGGTGGCGGGGGCGCAACAGTAGCAGTTGGTAAAGGAGGTGGTGCATTAGCAGTTTGGTCGTTTTTTGGTGCTGACCCTGGAGAATATTAAGGTCAGACATATGGATTGAGAAGCAAGGGACACGTACATCCCAGCAGGGAAGCCAGCGCCATGAATCGGCCGAACACAAAGTCATGCGAAGGGATAGCATCGACCATGCCCTTGACAACTTCGCCATCGTCCTTGCACCCTATGGCCGTAGTTGCCTTGCTGCCATGCATAACACTTGGGTTGCCAGTGTCGACGACAGCAGAGCGCGGCTTTCGTGGTCCTCTACCTAGTCGCTCAAATATAGACTCGTAATCGGTCTTGTACTCTCCAAACCCGGGACCAGCGTCGACTTTCTTCTGGACCAGATCCAAACACGCACGAGCGTCTTCTTCAGGATCATGTCCGCCTTCACCGCGCGTTTGAATCTCTCGACCACACCACTTACGCGTCAGCCATGCTAATCCAGGCTTGAGTGGCCGCCCGCGAGGGTGATGGTACAAGAGAGCAGTGTCGATGCAAAGCGGATGGCAAAGTTTCAATGCCTTGAGATCGGATTCGAGTGAATGGCCGATAAGAATGGGGGTTAGATAAGGAGTTGGCGCTGAGGAACCAGTGGAGAAGGGATTGGATGGCGGAGGTGAAAGCAGCTTCAAAACATGCGCCTGAACTTGGGCGAGCGTCGTTGTCACAGGGCTTAACTGCGCTGCCGTGATACCTGACCATCTTGAGATAATCAATGATTCGAACGCTCCAGATGAATCAAGAGCTTACTTGGTGAGATAGTCCAAGACAGGTTTCGACGGCTTGACAAGTTGGTCGTAGACAACAACCCCAGAGTAATATTCGAGTAGACATACTCGAGTAAGCTCCTTGCCATCTTCAGTCATACACTTGCGAACAAAGTCAGTTTTACGATGGACGGACTTGGTTCAGACAAACCATTTCACAATCCACACAGTAAACCTTGCGCTGAGGCTTGACATCTAGTAGAGCTAGTGGAGTTTCTTGCGGGGTCTCGATCCAGGAATCATCCGGCTTTTGGAACACCTCCGCCATATATGATGGGATGGGATACTCGTTTTCGACCATCTGTTCAAGCGTGAGCGTGTATTGTGCTGGGTCTTTGTCGCGCGTACGTTGAGCTATTTGGGTATTAGTCTTGATTTGGGCGAAAAGGAATCAAATCGTACAGTTAGCGGCTGCCCGCTTCTTCAACTCAGCTTGAGTGATGGGCGACTGGAAGAATGCAGTCAATATGCTATGCATTCTATATTGGTCTCCTGGGGCTCGAGTAGGGCATGCGTGACTGTAAGTCGACGCGATGATGGGTAGGGCGGAAGGAGATTCGGCAGTCGGAAGAGGAATTGAGAGAGGAATATTTGGATTTGCGGTTGCGATAGTCGGCAAGGGAGGGAGATTGAGTAGCTCTGGGGTCAAGCCGGGTACCAAAATTGTTACGACTTTTTTTATCAACGTGAAGTCCTGAATCAGAGTCAAAAAAAAATGGGGGGTGGAGCAATTGAAGAATATATACGTTTATCTTCACAAAGTTTGGACACGAGGCATCCCCCATAAGATGCAATACTAGGTCGCGAACATCCTATAGAAAGTGGTCAGCTTGAGCATAGGAAGGGGAAAGAAACATTGAACGTACCTCTATTCCGATAGCATGGTTTCGTTTGACGATCTCAGTATTAGCATACATAAAACGCGCTTGAGTAGCCTGAAGAAGGGTAAGCTGGGTCTTGAACAATTCGAGGCCCGCACCCCGTTTTTCTCCTCTAATTTCTTCTCCTTTTTGTGTCGTCGTTTCTCGACTTTTGTCCATCCTTCCATGTCTGCCGTGCCTTCGACCTTGACTTTTTTGGAGGACCGTTTCTCGGTTGACACAGGAGAATCCTGCTGTGATCGTTTCATGGGTATCGCGAACCTCAGATCAGAGGTGTTCGCGTTGAGGCTCTTGCGAAGAGAAATTTGGATGTGACAAGTCAAAGTCACATTTTCGGTGTAGAGATGATTCAACTTTCTGTCTACTTAGGTAGTCTAAGGGATAGGCGCTTCTGTACAGTGATTAATCGTTACTCCCTCCAAACTCTAATTCCTGCATAGGATAGCGGTCGAAAGATGGGTCCTGACCTTCCCAACACTAGTACCAAAACACCTCGATGTAAAAATCTCTTTGCCTTCTCAAAGCTTTCAAGCAGTGCGAGGAAGCAAGAGTTTATGGTCGCGAGTACTGAGCGAAGGTATCGCCGATAAAGCTCCAAGCAGAAAAATGATTGATTCAGACGTATTGACGGGACAATCCAAGCTTGAGGCTGAAAGTATCGTTGCCCACTGTAGGGGCACCAGGTGGCGACGAGTTCTGTAAGAGGATGCGAAAGTGGCCGTTGTGTCGGTTTCCTGGGAGTAGACTAAGTCTTGACCAGAAGTATTATCGACAACCTGATGCAGGATTGAGATGATCACTGAGACGAATACTTGGGTGAGTTTTGCTGCTCCAAACCGTACTGGTAAGCCGAAATACGGGGGGACTGCGACGAACTGACCCTTCACGAGATTGAAGAGCGTGTGTGTGGAACATGAAGTCGCAAGGAAAAGAAGGGTTTATCATGGATTCGCTCTTTGTTGCAGAAGCAGTTGCAAGAACTGAACAAAAGGGTGAAAGAGTTTTCTTGGACGCCATAACCGCTTCTTCTGTATGGGCGATGAAAAGGGTGCAAGTTTGTACAGTCAATCAAACCTTGCCAGGCAGCTTTTGAAAGCCTCAACATCGTAAAAGAATCCACCTATTTGATGAAGTGAAGACGATGGAACACTGAATCTTGTTTTAACTCTCTGAGGAGCAAAATACGTTGCGTACCTGGAAGAAACTGCCCTTTATGTTGGATCACCAATGACCAGTACCATGGAATTCGTACATGAGGTCCGACTTGGCAGTTGGAAAGTTTTTAGGAATGGTCTTATTGCATTGTGCTGATAGTTCAAGCACAAAGGCCGCACCCTTTGAACACAGTGGAGAGTGACTTGTAGCAGCTCTTGGGCGACATTCAGGGTCGAAAAAATTGCCGACGGAGATCGGCATCTCCGCTTTGGCATCTCGTAAGTTGTTTGAATGCTTGTTATGTAGGGAAGGAACAAGGGAAGAGAAAACTGTTGAGGAAGTCATCAAGCCTCGTGTCCAGTGCTCGGGACTGGCCAAGTGGGAACAAAGAGGCTCTGAAATGCGTTTAAAAAGTCGTTGAGGTTGTGGTCGACTCGAAGAAATCGGTGCATCACGTGTCGCCAATCTCATTATCCACATCAAGTTTAGCCTTGTTAACCTTTCTCTTTGAGACATTATCCTCCTCATCCTCCTTCCGCCATGAGCGACGACCAAGCCCAATTCGAGGACCTGCAGCAAACACAGCCGGACGAGCCTACCCAGCCCTCTGAGGTAGATCCATCAACTGTCGAGCCCACCGACGAACTCTGGGGGTACCTTCACCCTTGCGCAAGCCACCGACTAAAACGAATCGACTTCTTCAAAAGTCAACCGGAAGTCAGCATTGGTCGCAACAATTCCAATATGGTCATTCTCCCCGGTTTTAAAATCAGTGAGTGGCCATGAGAATGAACAACTGGCTCCAAACCGTTTATAGGCAACTTCCATGCTGACCTTAAATGGAATCAACAAGACGCGGGCCTCTCAGAGGTCACCATAATGGACAAGTCTAGCAACGGGACATATGTGTGTACTTTCCATTCACTCTTGACCGCGTCATTGAAGTGAACAGATAAATGGCGAAAAAAATAGGCAAAGGTCAAAAGAGAATATTGAAAGACGGCAACGAGATCGCATTCGGAGTGGCTCATCTCACAACGGAAGAGGAAGGACTATATGACTACCGTGAGCTCATCTAACTGGACGAAACTCGAGCTTAACTTGGTACAGGATACGTCTTCAGAGATTTTGTCTCCGGATCAGCCAAACGCGCACTCTACACCTATTATGACCTTTCGCACCAACTTGGGAAAGGCTCCTTCGCGACAGTCTATCGAGCGCTACATCGCGCGTCGGGTCAGTGGGTCGCAGTAAAGGTGATTCATGAGGTCCGTCAAAAGTTTCGTTTGTCCCAACCGTCGTTCACGAATAACGCGCCACCAGACAAAACGACAAGGCAGTACCGCCGCGGCAAATAGCATCACCATGTTTAGCCGTGAAATTAAAATCATGGAGAATTTACAACATCCAAATATATGCATGTTGCGAGAAGTCTTTTGGAACACAAACGGGAGCATCGGTACAACTGACTAAGCTTTTCTGAGTGTCTTTCTCACCCTCCATAGATCTTGTCCTCGAGCTGGTTGAAGGTGGAGACCTACTTGACTTTATTTTAGGGCACAATGGACTCAGTAAGTCAGACGCCGATATCCATTACCATTAAAGTCTAACGAGTATCCAGCGGAGCCTATGTCGCAACACATCACTTACCAGCTTTGTCAAGCTCTCGCGCATATTCATTCCAAAGGTATTACTCATCGCGATCTCAAGCCAGAGGTTTGTTTCTTGATCATACAGTCTTCACCTTCTGACCCATAGATTTAGAATGTCCTTCTCACAAAGGAAAACCCTCCCGTCGTGAAAGTTGCGGACTTTGGTTTGGCTAAGATTGTCGATAGCATGACTATGCTCCGCGTATGTGTCTGTCCCTTCCACGACCCTATAAGCTCAAAGTACCATAGACAATGTGTGGAACTCCGTCATACCTGGCGCCGGAGGTCGTTACCCAACAGAACCATAGTGGGTACGACTCGTTGGTCGACAGTTGGAGTGTCGGTGTCATAGTGTTCTGCATGCAAGTCCCCTTCGTTTTGTTCCTTATACGTGCTTACCCAGACATAAGGATTACCAATACGACACCTTTCATCGAAAACTCCGTCGGTGATTTGCGCACCAAGATCGCCGAGAGGACTATTGACTGGACACAACTGGACAACCAATGCTGGACAGACCACAACGAGAATACGGTCTATCTCTCTGTGCTAGGTTTGTCCTGTGGCGCTCCTTGCGGCATATCTGATGAGTTCATATAGCAAAAGACTTTATTAGGCAGCTCCTCGAGTTTGACCCACAGGATCGATTACAGCTTAGTGATGCGCTTCGTCATCCATGGTTCCACGGCTTCCGGTTCTACTACGCAGACAAAATTAAATATCCTCCGTCGGACGAACCAGACATGACGAACCAGACTTCCTCTGGAGGACTCTCGCGAGATGTGTCGATGCAAAGTGTCACGACTACTTTCAGTTTCAGTGGGCATAGCGAAACTGATTCGGTCAGCCAAGGTCTACAAGACCTCAGACTATTCACCCAACGCGCTATTAATCGCTCGGAGCCAGAGAAGGAGGCCAATGGTTTCCACGATCATGTTCTGAACAGCAATGGCAACACACCCCCTCCTACCGATACACCTCTACCAACGCTTCATAAAAACGGACTCAATCGACGCAGCGACGTTCTCCGACACGCAAAGGTCGTGGGCTCACAGCTCCTTGAGCCATCATGGGAAATGGTGGAATTTGCAAATTCACAATCATCTCAGAATGGGCACGGTGCACCTTCCAAGACACCTTCATTAACGGCCACGGGGAAAGCCGCCGCCAGCACTTCAAAGACTCCACGGCCTTCGAGCTCGAATGGCAAGGGCCCGAACAAGCGAGTTCACTCAGAGTTGACGCCGTTACCAGAGGAAAGCGGATTAACGAACGGGTATACGGCAAATAGCAGCCCACTGAGTAGCCCTGGTCCTGACTCCGACGATGAAGAAGTAGTGCAGCAGCCAGTCAAAAAGCGTGGACGTGGTAGCTCTGGTGCAACTCCGACTATTGCAAGAACCAAACGAGGCTCTGCAAAGCCCGCGAGTTCCCGCAAAGGAAAGGGTAGCGCAGGTGAAGAGACACCGTTGAGGCGGTCCACTCGCTCGACGGTGGCGAGCAAGCGATGATGCGTGTCGCATTTCTTTTATCTTTCCTTTATTCACCTCTGCATTTCCTACCTCCCTCACACATCTGAATCAACCATCACTCACACATCGGTCCTACATATATCTCATGGCTAGACGCCCACTCCTCTTCCCTGTTGTCCCTGCTGTTTTTGTAACGCCCATCTGCTATCGTCTGTATACCTCCCACAAGGCACTTGCACTTTAATTTAAGGTAATCTACAGCTAGAAAATTAGTATACTCTGTTTTAGAATCAACAGTTGCGTTTGCAGCGTATTTGGGAGTGTGACATCATTGAGTCACGTCGACTTCTACATCGCGATGTCCGTCTCTTCGGCACCCAATGAGTGTTCATAGAATCCTTTCACAGCTCGGACGACCTGAATAACTCCCCAAGCTATGCGCTATCTCACTTATATATAGCATTCGTGGCATAATCACTCGTTGATGTTGCTTCGAACCATACGGTGTCGCGACACTTTTGACTTGGGAAGCACACGGTGTTGTGGCCTATACGTTGCCATCCCACATCTCAAGATGGACGGTTGTGGTTAACGCTATAAACGTAGCACTCGCTCTTGTCGCGCTTTCCCACCCCACTCGACATGGGCTTCCTCTCTGCGGTCTTTGCCCTTTCCCTCCTAACCAGCGGCGTCCCCGCGCATGAACTCGTAGTCAGACATTCAGCAGCTTCCCCGCGCGCTCTCGATGGACGGGCGGCTACTGTAATTCCGCCAGCTGATTTCTCCGTCGCGATTACCGGCAAGACGCCCCGTCGCCGAGCCAAGAAGGTGGCTCTGGAGAGGTTACGTGGGAAACCCACCTTCAAGTCAACCAGACCAGGGCGTGGAGGGAGCAGCACAGTCCCTGTAGACGGCTCTGACTTCGATGACGAGTATTTGACCAACGTTACTGTCGGTGGCCAGCATTTCAGCTTGATCATCGATACCGGGAGGTTTATTCCGTCTACCCCAAGCTTCTTTCAAGAAGACTGAGCACGCGTTTATAGCTCTGATACCTGGGTGGCCCAAAAGAACTTCAATTGCTTCGACCTCACTGGTGCACCTTTGCCGGAAGATCAATGTTTCTTTGGGACCGCAGGCTTTGACCCGAAGGCTTCCAAGACTTTCAAACCGTTCCCCAATGTCAGCTTCAACATAACATATGGCGACGGAGAGTTTCTTTCCGGACCCGTAGGCTTTGACACGATTTCCATCGGTGGCCTGAGTGTAAAGAACCAAGAACTCGGGTTCCCAACTCTGGCTGCTTGGGAAGGCGATGGCGTCAACACTGGTCTTATCGTATGTCCACCTGTCTCAGTCATCAATCTTATTTACGCATACTAAGGGTCTTGCATTCCCCGATTTGACGAGTGTCTATAATACGACTGACCCTACAAAGGCATCTTCCGCCAACCAGATCCCTTATGATCCTCTCTTCGTCTCTGCCGTCAAGCAAAAACGAGTCAAGGCTCCATGTAAGTTTTTTTTTCAATCTCTTGTTTTCCAAGTTCCACTTAACCATCCAACAAGTCTTCTCCGTTGCCCTCAACCGCGGTACTTTTGATCAGCAAGAAAACGATCCTTTTGACCCCAATCTGGGCTTCCTCTCATTTGGCGGTCTTGCCCCAGTCCCTGTGACTTCAACCTCAGTCACCGTTCCCGTGGAGGGTTACTCTGTGACGACGGGCATCCCATCGTCTGCCCCCGGATCGCCATTCTTCTTCTACACCGTCGCAGTCCAGGGCTTTACCTTCCCCGGCTCAAACCACGTCCACACAGCCAACAACAACACGATTCTGGACACGGGCACGACCCTCAATTTTATCCCCACCGATGTCATGGCTGCCTTTGCTAAGGCTTTCCAGCCGCCCGCCACGCTCGATGAAGACTTTGGCTTATACCTCGTCGACTGCAACGCCAAAGTGCCCGAGTTCCTCGTCACGATTGGAGGGGTGCGTTTCAGCGTGGATGGGAGGGACCAGATCCTTCCGGGCGGCACGGACGAGAACGGCAACATCATATGCGTATTGGGCACGCAAGATGGGGGACCCAATGTCCCAGAGAACATCTTCATTCTGTACGCGCTTCCGTCTGTCGCTGTCATGAGACCGCTCATCTGTTTTATAGTGGCGACACGTTCTTGCACAATGTAGTTTCGACGTTTAGTCCTACTCTTGGAGAGGTGACATTGACGCAACGCCAAAAGTATTAGAATACTACTTGCTTGGTGAAACTTGTGTAGATGACCAGTTTTTCATTGAATCAGCAGCGTCACGTGAGCACGACTACTTTTAATATGCCTCCTCATCGAAGAAAATGCCAAATCTGCTCTACTAGCGAATCCAAGTATACCTGCGCCAGCCCAAACTGCGCTGTTGATTAGTTCGTACGTGTCGGCGTAGAATATGGAGGCTGCTGACGCTGAATAGCTGCTCTGTCGCGTGTTATAAGCAGCACAAAGGTAGGCCTACATCGCAGCATCGGATAGGTTTTTAGAACCATAAAAGCAACCTCCTGCCGTTTATCCTATTCGGAAAGCGACCAGAATCCCGTTAGAGGTCTGTCAGTTGCAATTCAAGTTCACCTGGATAAAACTCGCCGCAGCTGGGGCTGAAGTCGACGGGGAGGAAGTTCTGTTGCAACAGGAGCCTGCCCTGCGTCCACTAACTTCTCTCAAATGGCCCTACGTACCCGACCAGTCGTCTTATCCTGACCCATTGAAGCGGGACGACCCTAAGCCGCTCCAAACACACCAATATGAGGCGATAGGTGCAATTTGCCCTAAATATGTTAAAGATTGGGCTGAATATCTTGCAGCGACCTCGTCCGCGATCCGTCAAGTCCTCGCCGCGCATCCCTCCCTGCCGGGGCTGCTCACGCAGCTGGACCGGCTGCGCGGTCACGAACGCGAAGACGCGTTGCAACGCGCTTTGGGTGTCAGTGCGCCGGATATAAGAGCCCAACGCGGGCCAGAGAAGCTTGGCGACGATGTTCTTGCGCTAAGAGCATTGGCGGAAGCGGTAGAAGGGGCTGTACGCGGAGGGAAAGACGGAGAATTGGGGCTTGACTGGGAATAATAACATATTCAAAGGACTAGTCAGGTCCACTTGCTTTCTGGATTATTTAACGATTGACTGAAGAATATCAATAGTAACGTCCCTAAACCCAGGCTAATCAATAACAACAGTTGACTGCCCACTAATAGTTAGCTAGAGTACACAAAGCAGATGACAGCGGTGATACAAGAAAAAGGAAAAATCTAACAGACTACGGAACTGCGTCAGGCATTTCGTCGTCAGTGTCTGAGATAACTTCTTTGCTCTTACTATCGCACAGGTTAGCCCGACATCCACGACGAGCTTCAGACTTACAATTGTTTTTTCCGCGAGTTAGTCGCAGCTGGCGCCGGTTCGTCTTCATCATCGTCCCGCACCACTCGCTTTTTCGCCCGCTGCAAACATGATCAGACGTGAAACCAGAAAATACCGCAACGTCCAACCTTTTTAGGTCGCTCAACATCCTCTTCGTCGCTAAACACCGCCGCATCCTCCCCATTATCCTCAGCCCCACCCTTTCGCAGCTTCCCCCGCCTCTTTTTCTTGGGTTCGCCTTCGTCCCCACTCCCCTCCGCTTTTGGTTTCCTTGGCTTCTTCGGCCGCTTCTCCTTCTCGTCGTCACTATCCATTCTCACCGCTGCTGCCCACTCAAGCGCCTGTTCACGTGCTTTCTTGCGCTCCTCAGCAAGCTTCTCGGCCTCCACTCTGAGTTGGTCCATCTTCTCCCGCTAAACAAACAAGTGTCAGCATCAATTGACAACTGGAAAAGGAAAGAAATTTACTTCTAGAGCACCCTGCCTCTCCCTCTCCTCTTGCCGCCTTTGTCTCGCCGAGTCCATTTTGGTCTGAATTTCGGTCTCGTGTTGCTTCTGCATCGCAAGATGCTCTTCGCCCTTCCGCAACATGTTGTCTCCGTATTTGCGGCGTTGGTCGGCAAGATCACGACTATAGGGCAGCGCAGATGCTTTGTCTGATGCGAGGGTAGCAAACAGCCTGTTGAGCGAATGAGATTCAAGACAATACCGGTCAGGTAAAATTGAGTACTTTTGGGCGTTGGTCGCATGCTCTATTGATCGTTTGAGGTCTTTGAGCGTTCGTTTCGTTGTCGGCAGAGCAAACATCAACTCGACGGACTTTTGCTGGATCATCGCTATGTTATAAACAACAGCTTTGTCGCTCGGAAGGATATGTAGAGCCTATAAAGCGTAAGAACCACGAAGATGGGAGTCATCAGAGTCAGTACTTGTTGGGCATATCGCAATGCAGTCGTCATTGAGGGGAATGATTGGTCCTTGGTCGCCTTCGCATACCATGCGCGACATAAACAGAGCAAGACGGAAACATTATGTCCTGAATAGAACCGGGTCGACGCCGTTTCGTACTATCCGCAAACGTTAATTCGCAAAGCTGGACACTAGAAAAAACACTCACACTCTCGATCGCCCTGTCAAATTCGTCACAAGCATAATAGCAATGTCCCATGTTCAAATAAACGCTCCCGTCGCTGACAGATTCGCGAACTTTGCCGAAAACGTCCAAGGCCTCTCGGGCATTCTTCAGTCGCTTGTAGGCCTCGTCAGATCCCCCTTGTTGTGGCCCTCGACTTAACGAACCCAATGCATCTTCCGCTGTCACGATTGCCAAACCTTGGGCGGCAAAGGCACACATCGGGTCAAGCTGCAGCGCCTTTTCGTAGAACTCGGCACAACGCTGGAACCCCCTCCTGCGTTCGTCTGATGCTTTACCACCCGTCTCGCGATTTTCGCGGGCTTGATAATATTGTATCCACCCTGCCGCACATAGCGAATACACATCGTGTTTGTCGTGGTCTTTGAGCGTAGCGAAGACAAACTCCTTCGCGAGTTTAAGTTGGTTGGCCTGTACGAGGAAGTAGGTGTAGAAAGCGCGGACATTGAGGTTTTGGTTCTGTGATGAAAGAGCTTGCTTTATGAGATCGTGGGCGTCATTATGTCGATTGAGAGTAATGAGCATTTGAGCTTGCCGTAATTTGGCTAACAATTGTGTGAAAAAACAGCCGAGAAAACGAGACATTAGACGCACCATCCACATACTCTGGATGCCTGAATAACAACTTCTCGTAGGCATCGCGCGCTAGGTCTTCTCTTCCTTCATCCTCATAAACCCTCGCAAGATTGTACAATATAGACGTTGACATGGCCTCCTTTTTGCCATCCTCGTCTTCAGGGCTCTGGAAATGACCAACACTGGTCAATGCGCTTTCGTATTGGACTCTCGCTTCCGCCAGATGTCCTTCCAGATGCCTCAACGCGCCAAGGTTATTGAGCAGTCTTGGATCGGCTTGTCCTGTACCCTCGCTGATTTGGAGAGCGGTCCTCAACGCACGACTAACGCGATCGAGACTCTCGCCTTGCCATAACCTAGCCATCTCCGTGTACATGTCGACGTCCGAGCTTATTGTCTTTGCTGCTTGATTAGGACCCATTGGGCGTGATTCTTGCGCACTAAGCTCTTTGGTGACCTTGTCGAATAGGTCGCGAGCCTTAGTCCGCTCTTGCGCGACATCAGCACTCGAGACACCAGGACGGGGGAAGGCTCTCAGTGAAGCAAGTATCACTGTTGCTTCAAGTGACATAGACTGAGCCGCCGGAGGTTGCAAAAGAGTGTCCAGTGTATGGATAGCGGCCGCCATTTCATCTGTGGTTCAATAAGCTCGATGCATAATACCAAAAGAAAACTTACCGTTCTGCATTTGGACCTGAGCGAGGCCAATCGCACCTATGACATGTTTGGGCTGACCCTCAGTCGCGGCTGTGTAATATCTAGTGGCTTCGGAGATCGATGATTGGGCATGGGAAACGCGACCCGCTCGAATGTAGCCCTCTGTCAGCAGTGTCAAAGTGTCCGCGAATTGGATAGTCCGCTCAGCGAGCTTCAATGCCTGCAATGCGTTGAGAGAGACATGAAATTACGACAACAAAGACAAACCCTGGTATTATCACCCTTGGTCAAAAATAGCTCGCACAACGCGTTAGCTGCCGCAGCGCTCTTCTGATTTGCCTTGAAGGCGCGTTCCAGTAGCCGGGTCCCAGTGGTGTAAAGTGCCGCACGCTCCGATTCCAACATAGACTCATTCTTGCTCGCATTTACGGCTTCCAATCCTAGAAGCAACTGGGCCGGCCACTCGTCGGGATTCTGTTTGTTTCAATCAGGTGTCGCTTCATCAACAGCAATTTGCTACGCACAACGTCCTGACTCCGCTGCCATGCAGCTTTCGCTTTCGCTTTATGTCCTAGGACCCAAAAGCAAAGCCCGATGCCAACACGCGGATCAGGGAGACAACGTGGATTGAGTTCTAAGACCCGTCGAAATGCCTTGAGAGCGCCGTGGTAGTTGCGCTGGGCAAAAAGCACGCGGCCCTGACGAGTATAAGAAACGAGGTAAAAAAAGCCAAAGCCAACTTGCTCTGCCGAGTAACGCAACAAGATTCGTTGATTTTTGTTCAAGAATGTCGTTAAATGAGGACAATGCATCGTTCATTGACCGGTCAGCAAGTTGTTGGATGGCTAAGGTGTGTCAAAATGCTGAGATATTGCGACGAATAGACGCATACCTCGCGTCAAGAAAAACAAATGTCCTCCGAATGCTCCTGTGCTCATGACTGAGTTGAGGTGCCCGGCAGCCTCACTATAGAAAGCCGACTTGGTTTTTTCGTCCCTCATGAGGTCCTGCCCTGAATTTCATCAGCTCTAAACAACGAGTCGGAGGTATGATCAACACACGAGCATCCGGAAGAATCATCTTTGGAGCCGTGCTGGCATAGGCAATCTTGATGTTGGCCAGCAGCGTATAAATAGGCCCCAGCTCCTTCTCGTTTGTATTCTCCTTGAACACTACACGCGCGCGTCAACACGGTCTCCACAATTCGCGAAAGGGAACGCACCCTGTATAGCGGTCATAGCAACCTTTTCTGCGGCCTCAAGTGAGCCCCTACGCCAAAACTCCGTCGCTACAACGGTCCAAACCCATGCCCGAGCTTTGCATTGCGGATCGGAAAGCAGGTCAAGCACTTCGTCAACTGGGTCGAGTACATCCAGGTCTATTGTGATGACTTCCTGCCCCCCCAGCTCGATGTCTATTGTCCGACCATTTCCGAGGCCGTCCATGCCAACGGAGACACCGTGGCACAGAGACGAGGTGAAGTGTAAGAAAAGGAAATTCGACGGCACGTGATGTTACATGCTGTGACATATCATCCAGTGTAACCGCCATGATCCAAAAATGGAGATTCAGAGCTTAATTTGGAAGCGTTGGATATTCACACTCAGATCCGTTCGGGAGTCTTGTATTATATACAATACAGGTTTAAGATGAATAATCACTCTACATTAGTCGCTTGTTCGTCATTTCCGGCATATATTATATGGCATAGCGTGATTTTGCCCTCAAACGGGGACCAATTCTATGGAATATAAAACTAGAAACGACCAATTAGTACCAATTATGCCCTATAGTGCAGGATGACATACGGTAAAGGTGCCATCAAGGTCATCAATCCAGCTAAAAGGGCTGTAGCACCAACGGTGCCCAGTTTTTTGTACATGGCCCCTGCAAAGAGAGGGAATGCCGCAGCAAATGAAGAGCGCATTGCACTGTTGGCGGCCATGGCACTTGCTGCAATGGGGCGATAGGCGACTACGAGGTACGTGAATGTAGTTGTGAATGCAAAGAGCATCCCGGTCCCAAAGACAACCGATGCAATTATTGGAGCAATCCAGTGAACATGCGTGTAGGTTGTGAACGCAAAAATGAACATGGCTGATATAGTGATATCAGTTGTTAAGAAACAAGATGAGAGCAGAAATCACAAATCGGTATAAGGACACCCCCGACTTGGCCCATGACAAGTAGGGCCTCAGGGGGAGCTTTCCCTCCATTGGCAGCTGCGACCTTCGCTGTGCGCCTAGACGCGCCATTAGTAATACGCGGAAGAAAAGGTAACACGCACTGATTCCACCAAGGCTGTGTCGCAAGGCCAATAGCCATACCAAGTCCGATCCCGAGAAAGGTCAGCCCTGTCATTTGCACATTAAAATGGTGTCCTTGTTGGAAGATGATTGGGAAGGCCTGGAAGAATAGATATAGAATTCCTAGCAACACCGCCGTCCTGATAGAAAATGGGTTCACTGTGAATTAAAGCGCCCAGACGCACCATGTGTCTAATAAAAGAGCCATCCGATCAAATAGCAAGAGTTCTACCGGGGGGTCAATGGCACAAGCACTGGAGAAGCATGCGCTCACTGAATGGGACAGTACAACTAAGATATAGCATCCGGGACATGGAGGTTTCCCGTCGATCCAAGGGTGCCCAATAGTTGTTGTCACCTGTTTCCTTGCGAAGTCTTCGGAGATCATCAGTCTTTCCAGTCTAAATAACATAGAACTGACCTTGCGGCTTTCTTCTTCAAGAGAACAGGAGCGTAGGATTCAGGCACAAACTACTGATCAGTCAGAACAGTAAGTTGGAGGATGGACCATACAAGAAAGATAGCGATGGTCTCAACAAACATCCAAATGAGAGATATTCGATATGTCCATCGCCAATCGAGATGCTGGTTCATAAACCCCCCAATGGCCGGGCCAAACACTTGTTACAGAGTTAATGTGGTGTTGTAGTGTTGGTAATGCCCCACCTGGTCCGAGAAACTAGAATTGATGGGTGAGTTGCAGTCCTAGTCTAGGAAGAAACACGCTCACGGGTGACGCGGTGTAAACAGCCATAGGCCTGTCGACAGTTTGGCGTAAACTAGGCGACAGAAAAGCGACGTACGTGGAGACGGCAGGGCCAACAAACATATCTGCAACGCTTCCTCCCGCAACGCTGAGAAAGGATGCACCAGCCATGCCTTGTAAGAAGCGAAATACAAGGAAAACCGCTGACAAACAGAGAGGATGAGATTTTGCAAAATACGCAAGATGACTGATACCTAGATTTGGCGCAAACACGATGGGGAACCCCAGAATGACGAGAAGGACGTAGGAGACACGATATATAATTGAGCGACCATAGACCTACGAGAGGGTTGAGCTCAAGCTTGCTGCTGCCAAGAAACAAATACTTCAGAGAATGGACCCGTTATTAATGGCCCAATACCGAGTCCGAGAACAAACAAGCTGATTGAAAGGATAGTCGGTTCGTGTGAGACATGAAAGTCCTTCGCCATGCCAGTTTCCGTGAACGAAGCCTGTAAATTACAGGCAGTAAGCATCGAGGGACTGGAAGAATCCGTAGGCACTAACCATCGAAGACGCAAACGTGACACAGAAGGATCCTGCAGAGATGACACCCACCGCTACCCATTTTTTCAACGTCGGCCAGTCTACTGGATCTTCAGAAGGATCGAGAGTAACTTCGCCCGCCTTCTCCGGAGAATGTTGAATTGAATGCTGGTTTTCGCCAACTTCATGGAGTGTTTCCGTCGTCACCGACATGAGTAGGAGGCAAGGAGCACCGGTGGGCTGACCAATGGGCAATGGGGGTTAAAAATTATCCATATCGTCGCACACGACGTCGACAACAATGATCCGCTCTTACAGACTCGGAACGGATTCCGAACAGGATGATGTCATCACCTGGGATTCGAATGGCCTCAATTTCTTTCTGTCGCCTCTATGCACCTCACCCGAAGAAGAATATGGTCAATAGGGAAGTATATTGTAAGACAATTATCATCAGTATAGATACTTTTACTGAGAAGATGAACGTATTTGCCTAAGTACTTGCGATCGCTGGTTTCAAGACGGTCAAAGCTTGCTGCCACAGCCTCCGACGCGGTTCCGTCACTGTTGTACCGATACATTGCGTGAGATAGTTCTGCCACCCAGAAACAGATTCGTCCTGTAAGCCCTCCACCATACCGGGAATCTCGAGGCACCCTGTTTGTTTAGGTCCACGACGCGTGTAGAACCACATTGCGCTTGCGAAGCTCAAGTCGTCAGCGAGAACGAGTTCCCTGATAGCATTCTTGGTGGCAGAAGGGATTGCGCTAGGATTGTCAATATATGGACCCAGAAGAGCTTGTGCCTCTTTTGCAACTCGTGGAGTATCCAGTGCGTACTCGAGAATGAACGGAAAGTTCATCTGGTTGCGTGTGCCTTGCCCTGGGTTGTTCTCCGAGCTAGAAAAAACACGCGACGCTGAATATGAGGAGCACGACGTATGTGAAGACATACTGGTTGATATCAAAAGCGAAGCCAACCGACTCGAAGATAATCAAGCTCAGCAAAGCAGCTCTTTCTCCCGTGGAGACAATCCGATACTTTCGAAGCGCCGAGTTAACGAAAGGAGCAGCTTGAGTAGCGTTTCGGCATTCATCGGTCGTGGTGCAATCGGAACGGGCACCCATTTGAATCAAGTCGAAAGGTGTGACAATAAATTTGGTTTGGATTTCGAGCGCCGGCGCAGCGTTGACCAACGTCTGGCTTGCGGCCAGGAGAGTGACGGCAAAGAGCGTGAGGAACATTGTGGGTGTTGTTGGTGAACGGAATGTTGTATATCTTGGTCGGGCGGTTACGATGGGGACCGGATACAACCAAGCATTTCATTGACCCTGGCCGCGAGCAGCGTCTAGAACCTTCGCCTTATTTGTTTGTCCTTCAACCCAGGGTCATTTTCTGTCGTTCGTGGTTGGCTGGATAGGATGACGGAGGTCACAGGTGTTAGTGCAACTCTTGAAATGCGACCGCTGGTGGCATGGACTTCGGCTTCAGCTTCAGGTATTGTTATGGTATGCCCACGAGAGCGACCGCAGTATATTTCTTTGGATGCACGATTTGAACCTTGCCGAAACTCAAACGAACCATCGCCTTGGCGTCCTTGCTTCAGGCCCGCTGCTTCATCCTTGTTCCGAAATAATCAAGTTGACGGCAGTCAGCGATGAGGAACTAACAGATACGACGAGGACTCGAAGACAGGCGTTTCTCCTGGTTGCGTCAATAAATCGAGATTCCCTCTCATTGAGTGCGAGTCATTCATGCAGCGTGGGCGGCGCATGATTTGGTTTGGAGCTGTTAGAGCCGTAGGCGCTCTGGTGGCCGTCGGTGGTCGATACCTCATTACGCAAAAAGCGAAGGAAGGGAACGAGGAAAGACTTCACTTGATGGGATCAGTATGTCCAGCGTAAACGTGTAAACAACAACGCCATCTTCAACGGGTGTAAAGGTGCAAGTTCTCTGGTTTCGAATCCTGGCGAAGTGCTTAACCTTCTAATAGGTACTTCAAGTGGTGATTTTTGCGGCCAAGCTTCTAGAGTGCTTGCTTTGAATGCAATGCCTTCTGTCCATATCATGCTGGCTTTGCCGCCACCAGATTATTAATTTCGCAGGTAAGTTCATGACGAGTGTCTGCACCTCAGGCTCACGATAGCTGCATAACAATCTAGCCTCTCTCAGCGACCAGAGATTGTATGCAAGTTTACCAGGACGGCCTCCGCAACCATAGGCAAAGTGCTATCAGCAGCAAGTTACTTACTGAGGAAGCATGAAAAAGCGCTGGTGACGCTAATCCCAGATTATGGCGCTTCCGTGTTCAATTGGAATCGAAAGCAAGATTGCGCGTCTGACGACATCGCGCATGACGAATCTGGAACACGTACACCGCATTCTTAAGCAATGCCGTCGTTTTCGCAAGCTGGTCCTGACCGCAACTGCCCGGTTGTTGAGCCTGAGCTTTGTCTGATTATTAGCTCCGGAGATAAGAGAATTCTTCGCACGAGGCAATATGCACCCTTGTTGACCTAGACACATTGCAAGCGTCTCCACCTTTTCCTGTTATATGCGCAAAAGTTTGGAGGCCGCCAACGCGCCACAGATGGCCCAGTAAACGAGGTGAGCCTGTTGAAAGGCGCCACCGGACTTCCAAGGAGTAAAATGACTTTAACAGTGGAGGTTTCGTCCTGCAAATTCTTGGTTACCTTCCCCCTTCCCCTTCATCCTTCAAGTATGCCTGCCTTAACACGCTATAGGTTGACGGATATGTATGTTGATGATTCCCCTCATATATTGTACCGACTTCACTGAGAACCTTCTAATAGAGTTCACGAATTAGTGGTTCGCCAAATGCCAACAGAAGCCCGTCCCTCTGCAAAGTCCTACAAGGGTGACACTCACACAACAGCTCTCTGGGCCCAGCTAAACTCTGCATTGCAGAACGGCGCGCCCTTAGTCCGACTCCTGCCATTGAACTACAACTCTTTGATGCCTTCTTTTGGTTGCTACGAGCGGTCAGTGATATTTTATCGTTCTTTTTAAACGTTGCTCTAACCTCAAATAGCATTCCTGTGACTGCGCATGGAATCATACCATACGTGTTACACGCAACCCTCGTCGATGCTACCACCCATCGAGAGATTGAGTGTCTAGGAGTGCGTCATATGCTCTTCGTTTCTTTCGTTCGTTCCATCTTATCCAATGTCATCCAAGGATGGGTTTACGCCTTCGATGTGTGGAACCAATCTCTCTTCTGCGATCCTTGTACCCACGGACTGGGACAACTCAGAGTCCGGTAGCGCAGCATTATTTGCGTTTCCTGATCTCGGCGTGCGCGCCGTTGGAGACCGACTGGTCCGACTCCATTTCTTGCTCTTCAAAATCCACACGTGAGTTGGCCTGATATTCGCTATGGTGTAGTTGACTGGTCATGATACTTCCTAGTCAAGGATATGAAATTTGTTCCGAGCAATACTCACCAGAGTTCAAGGTTGTATCGAGTTCTTTCTATCAAGGTGTTGAGGGTAAGGAGTGTTTGCCTATCTCGCTGATACCTTTGGTGACAACACGTCGTTCAGCTGCCACCTCTCTTACTCGTGCGCTCAACAGAGCTGCAGTTCGGGTGCGGCTAAGTAAGACTCCTCATCGGACGCGGCACTCCGCTCGACGGTCTTCTTGGATTGCCTCTCCCGCCAATTCTACAACAAGTCCCTCGGCCTCTGAGTCCCCTCGTTCCGTAATGCCGGCTTGGGTCAAAGAAGAACACGAGTCTACATCCTCAGCTTCCCCTTCTCCTCTCGCCACTCCCAGCCCTCCAGCTACCAACCAGCTATATTTCCAACCAGTTCCACAGCGAGTTCAAACCAGCCGAATCGCTCAGTGGATGCTGTTGCATTCGCAGATGGTGGGGAATAGTAACCGACTATGCGTTCCTGACAACGGCTGTCAAACTGAGTAGCACTAAGACGACTGTGGCGTCAAAGACCCCTCGATCTGGACGAACGGCTGCGAAACTTGGTCGCCGGAAGGTGTGCGCTGACGCTTTCGTGTCTGGTCGACGCCAATTACGTCTCACATTTGTATCCCTATTTGTCGAATTACATGGCATCACATTGTAAAAATTTAAATGGTCTAATCGGAGACCGGCAGCGAAACTACTGTAAACAAACTCAGTCTCCGTGTGTTACGGCGGTTAGTGTTGGTGAATTTGAGGCTAAGCACTCAGGCTGGCAACTCCGGTTTACTCGTAGAATGTAGATTAAAGCTCCTTGAAGCTTTAACCTTCGTCATCGTCACGGCAGAAACTCGGCCCCGTTTATCGTAAAAGCTACGGTGATTGCCGTCCGATTCCGTGCGCAAATCGTGCCAAGCTTCAATTGCAAACGCGATCACATGACTTGGATATATGATCTCATCCTCCGAGTCATTCCAATACTTTGGCATTCCGATTCGTCAAAGAATACAAAGCAAGTCACGATTAACTATTTCGCGGCAAAATTACTTTCAAGCAGCAGTGGCGCCAACTGAGGTAGCAACCTCGTCGGTGAACGTGGTGATAACGTGAGCAGCGTCCCAGAAACTGCAGAAAATCTTGGCCTGGGCTAGATAAATCGCCATTTCAGTCAATGGTACTCAATGCAGCGTATATATAAAACATACTCTGTGTGTTCTGGCCTTGGAAGTTGCCAGGCTGGACCTGGAAAGCCTCGAAGGTGAGCCCGGCGGCGATGGCCGGAGCGTAGGTTGCGCAAGCGTTGCCGAAGCTGTTGTGCCCGACTAAGTCAGCACTATGGGCACAGTGGAGTGAATGGCTTGAACGCACGCAACAGCGAAGCTGACTGGGGTCTCGGAGCTGGGGATGTTGTAGAGGAGACGGTTGTCAGCAGCGCTGGCAAAACCAGCGACCGAGGCGAGGATAGCGAGAGTAGTAGAGAAACGCATTTGAGTTTGGAGTTGGAATCTGGATAGAACTAGGACTTGGATGAGGCGGATAGAGAATGGAGAGCAGCCGTCTGCTTTATATAGCCCCTTCGCAACGGAAATCTTTCACCGTCGTGTGTCGAAGTGTGTCGATTAGCTGCTCGTTCCAGTCATTATTTGAGCCCTCGCCTTGCTTTCTCTCAAGGGATGCGTGATCCGCAACTTGAAGCCGATCTAGCGAGGCCTATAGAAATTGCGAGTCCCAGACGCGGAGGGCCTTATACATCGCTTACATGTCGCCAACGGCAAACAGTAGACAGATGGCTCTGGCTGACAGTCGTCCAACCCGACGAACACCACAACCGTAACTCTGCGGAGCCTGAGAGCGTAGATCCCATACCACATCTAGAATAATGTAGAAGTCATTGTCGAGTCACGCTCGACATGCATGCAAACTAACCCACAGAGACAGCTTCGAGCTGAACTACGACTCGCTCGGACTTGGCCATGATTTCGTTCGGTTCAGCCTGCAATTTTTTCCACACGGTACCGGTCCACTTTGTTAATTGCTCGGCTCGAATTAGGCACTCCCAAGGGTCTAGTAAGATATATGGCAAGCATTTCGAAGCACTGACAAGTCCGATTCCAAGGATCAATTAAATCCTTCATTCATCTCCATCAGCTCGTCGCTTCTTCCCTCGCGTCTGCTCTCGAGCGCTAACCCGAATGCCTGCTTCTGAAAGTGCCTGAGACGGGTCATCAATACGTCAAAGGCTGATGTTAGAATCACAAAGAAAGTTACCTTGGTAAGCGCTGTTGGCACTTCTAAAGTTGGAGCTTCCCGCGATGCATGGACTTGAAAGTGATTTCCCCAGCATCGGGCAAGAATTGTCTGAACCGGGAAGCCGGGCTGTGTTGGGTTTAGATTCAAGAACTTGTACCTGGCGAAAATGTCAGAAGAGCCCACATCACCACAAACGCTCAAACCGAAGCACAAAATCCCCGACCAACTTGGACGAGATGTCGGGAAAGGCGAACACAATGATATTTTGGCCAGCATAGGTGATTCCAGCGGCTCCGACGCACGTGGAGCCTACTAAGATTTCCGGGCCTGAGTCGTGGTCAATCATGATACTGGTGGAATACCCCTCGGAAATTGCTGTCACCTAATGGAAGAGGGTTGATGTTCGAACTGGCTTCTGCGAAGTTGAATAGCTCCGCATAACAGACGAAACCCGAAAAGTCGAGATTCAAGGCTCTGCATCATTGCGATTAATAATCTCTCTGACTCTGTTATTGCCATCGTACTGATAGTTCTGCACCTCGTATTCCGTGTTGCCATGCTTTTGATACAACTTCAGCTGGACAACTAAAGGATAGTGAGTAAGACTTTCAAGGGAAATTGGTTCCGAATTTTTCGGCTCACTGACCGGGAGGAGGATCCAAAGGACGTCGATCTTTGGTACCACACCTAACACCTGTCAGTCGACGCTGCTCTAGAGATATGACAAGTTGCATCACTTTCTTCCAACTCGAGCGGTCTGAATCTCGACCAATGCTGGTCGGAGGAATCCAACAGGAGCGGATGGCATCGAGGACGCTCCGGCGTGAGGTTGTGGATAGTAGTATTGCATGCGTAGTAAAGACCAGTGGTTGGTGGTGGGGTAGATGCATGAAGAACCAAATGCTTTTCTTTTATAATGCCGATTCAGTTGAAGAAAACTGGCAAGGCCAAAGCTGGTGTTGCGTCATAAGCTCGATCCGGATCCCAACGCCCTATTGGGGGTTTTCTATCGAACGACGCGCGTATTCAACCTGGAAAACATTAGTGCTTCAGATGTTTCTGGCGCATTCACAAATGGCAAGTTTGTCGGGCGCGTAGCTACTGTGGGCCAACTGGAGGAGTCGCCGTCGAAGATTAATTTCCCAAGGAGGGTATCGTCGAGAGAAAAATCGAGAGTTGGGCCAACCGAGACGCGTTAGTTTCGTGTCATAATCGTCTCCGACATTGAGATTCACTGCTGAGGTCATAGTCCATATATATATAAGCAGAAACGAGGTAGCCACGTGGGATGCGAGGCTATCTTAGCGCGACTGGATAGGTTTGTTGGTTTTCCAGAAAACTTTAATCTGGGCTTTCTGCGCTTCCCGCCCAGGTATCGGTCGTGAGCTTGACTGGAACACCATAGCGGGCGCGATTTATAGTAGCACTTGTTATATTCCTGGGTGGGGTGATTTCGACGGCGATCAGATACTACCAAAATTCAAAGACTCGTCATGCAAGCAGGATTTTACGCACAGCAACATTGACGGTCCCGGCATCAAAAGAGGGTAAGTCAGCATTTTGTACATGCAGTTCGCCCTCCCAGTTCAATGAAGCTGAGTCCAATTGTCGGTGTTGAGAGTCGAAGGTGGCAGAAGAATGCGGAGGCGGTAATGGGCGTAATGCCGCCTCGTATAACGTAGCATTGACCTTGATCGCGCCTTTCTCGGGAGTAGACAGAGTAGTCTGGCGAAGGAGGTACACGCGAATTGGCTGCCGGACGGTATCAACATGACCATTATCGGCTCTTGGCGAAAGCAAGAGAAAGCTCCTAAGCACTCCTAATGGCCCGGAAAGCTGGATATGGAATGGTATTGCCTCGACCAGAGCAAAGACGCCGATGGACGGAACGAATAACTTCAATCAAATATATTGACTAAGAGAAGAACAGATAGAAATAAGGACTTACATCGCAATGCAGGTCGGATGGCTGCCGCGTATCTCCAGCGCCGACCGTTAGTTCGACTGGGAGCTGGAGCCACTCTTCGGGACAGACTTTGATTGTCGCGAACAACGTGGGGTCTGAGATGCGCGGACGCGATGGACGAGTTCTCTGGCGGTAGTTCAGCTCAATATGCACACTGAGTACTATAATTTGAGCTTGATATGATGAGGGGCAAAGGAGTCCATACCTTCTTTCTTTCATTAGGAACGATACAGACCGATAGACCGCGACTACGGTGAGGGAGTAAACACATTTGAGGAAGCCACCGTCCCGAAAAGAGATGTTACACGAGGGAGGAAGTTGGTAGGAATTCTGGAACGGACCAAACATTGCTGGAAACCTGTAGGAGAAAGGAATGCTAGATGGACAAGGAGCACCAGTCTTAGAGAATAAAGATAAAATGTCGTTGACGACTTTGGTGGCTTGGTAACCAAGCGAGACACTGAGCGCCTCCATCAAGCCTTCAACCTAAGTATGAGTCAAGTCAGCATCATGCCGTCTCGCTCGCGAAAACCAAACCTTGAGGTTGACAGCGACGATTGACTCTGGAGACCCAACAAACACCGTCCCTGTGACTGCGGAACCACGACCAAGTATGGGCCGGTTAATGCTGTCCTCTTTCTGCCCATCCAACATGATAGTCAATCGAGCATTCGGGTCGCTGCGCACAAATGTCCCTCCATTAGATTCGCGAGAAAGTGCCGCTTGTCCCAGAATATGTTCATTTTCACTGGGAGTCGGTGTGTAGGAAGGAGGTGCTGAGCGATTTGTGTATGAAGGAAGGAAGAAGGACATACTGATTGATTTCAGATTCTCCCCGCTGTTTGATATGGTAAGTACCTGGTCTAAGTATAAGCCTTGCGTGGTCTGTTCCACTCCAAATGCATCGGCTTGTCAAGGGTATAATCGCCCTCGTCCTCCGTCGTCATCCATACCCACACTCCCTGGCTCACCTGTTCCATTTACTAGAGGGTGTAATGCATTCGGTATTGCGAGAAGATACCTGAAATGACTCGAGCATATTGTCATATTACTAAGAAACTGTGTGTCGAGAAAGCGAGTCATGCCCTGGCGATAACTGCGGGAGAAGTGAAAGTGCTGATTAAAAGTGCCAGAAATAACAAGAGTGGTTACAATACTGCATGTCCTTGTCTTTCGACCAGCGCTAATCTTTCTTAGGGTGTACCGCTCCGCCCATGAGTACGCTGGGAAGCTCAATGTTGCCGACACCATACAGAAGCCCAACACTCATGGCGACGACAAGAATGAGGACCACTGTTGTACCTGCTAAAAGGACGAATGGTCTGTAGGAGCTTTGAGTAACTCGCCTCAGTTGCTAGCAAATGCAATACTTACCCGCTAACATCCTTTCGCTCGCAACGCTCGCCGACCCAGTTTTCAGTCTTGAGTGTTTTCCCCGCACCCTTCGTTGATTTCCCGCAAGCACAAACGAAACATGTTCTGCCAGCTTTGCTTGCGCTAACGCACTCCCCACGTCCGGAGCAGCTCAAAGTCGAGTTCGAGCACGCGTCAAGCGTTGTATGGCATGTGCCAATGCTGCCTATTGGTTGCTGTGGTGCTGGCTTAGGCGAAGGAAAAGGCGCCTGCGAGGGTTGGGCTTGACGTTTGACAGGAGTCGAGGTAGTTGAGGAGAAAGCCAAAAGTGCTATTTTGGCATCTTGGGAGATCGCCAGTTGAATCATGGAGTGCGTATCGGCCAGTGCAGCCTCATATTCTGGACTGGAGGATCCATATTGAGTGCGGAGTTTCCGAAGGGCCCCAAGTTCTTGTGCTGCAAAAGCAGCCTCTTCCGACTTTGATAGGAAGGTCGAAATAGAGTTGAGTTGCGACGAATAACCTGCCTGAAGGGTATCGGCAAAGTCTGTAGATGGAGCGGGCGAGAAAAGAGAGGTGTAAATGTGGGCGGCATGGTGGAGGTAGGTGGAGATAACGCTGTCCAAAGATGGCGTCGGTGGACTTTCTAGAGAAGCTACATGGCGAAGGGATCCAGGGAGGTTCATTGCTGGACCATAAACCCGTTAAACTTGGTCGCATGCATGAATGAGCAAAGCATAATACCCTTCAAGTCAACTTCATCGACAGTCAGTAAAAGCACATTTCTCTGCCTCTGCTCTCCAATGAGTTCCGTCTCTCCTTGAACCTGGAATAAATCCTCCAAAGTCCGGCTTCCAGCCCTTAGCTCGTTGAACGCCTCTAATCCAAGATGCTGGGATAGGACAGCACTTGCATCGTCAGCAACAAAGTCAATGGGAAGGTTTGGGAGGAGTGGAGGTGGGGAGAGGTATATGTCGATGGCGAATACGTTCGGTACCACACAAAGAGCGAGAGTGGAGAGTCGCAACGACTTCCACATCATTGGGAAGGGTAGAGTATTATGTCACGTGTGACGCCATGATTCGTTTCTCAACATCAGCTTCAAAAAGCAGAAACCGAACCCAGTTCAGCCCACCTCCGAAGTCGACTGTGTGTGCTACAACAAGCTTCTACGTCAAGTCACTTCCGAATTCCTTTCTTCTCGACTCCAAGTTACAACCGAGCGCTTCGCGGAGAACCAATATTGATATATTTCGGCAGTTGGCCAGCTCAGTCTGTCGACCTTGTCCTATTTGGTCGTGTGCAGAAAATGGCTACTTGTCGCCAACAGACTGCTCTGCCGTATGGTGGTGCGCGTTCCAAGCCACAAGTCCTGTAGTCGACATTTACAAAATCGTTCGGAAAACGACAAGTGGAAAGTGCAAGGATTCCATGGCGGCAATATTGCTTGAAGATGTTTGAAGTTGCCCTTGAGCTTTGGCTGGGCAATCTGTCGCAAAGGGAGTAGCTATGGACTAACAAAAAGTTGGACTCGAACGGTGTCATGATTTCGGAACGGATACGCAATATAAAACTCTTGGGATTGTCTGGTACGCACTGGGATTCCAGACAACATTCTTGTCTTCCTGGCAATTCTTTTCTTTTCTCCGACCCACCCACAACGTAGGTATCTAGGCTGTCTTCCACAGTAATTGGGACTGATCTCTTTGTGGACTTGTATTTTCCCACTTCAAGCAGACAGCTATGAAAGGCATTCTCGACTGCGGCTGTCGACTCACCTGCAAACTAACATCATTCTCTGACACGCCTTGGACGACGTCCGGTATATGGTTGCTGGCAGGAGAAACATCACCACTATCCTTGTTTCTCAAGCTTTTCTGTTCACGGTGATTTTATCTGATCCTTTTTTTTCTTCTTTGGTATTTTTATTTATTTTTTGAATCCGCTTTATTTCGTGATTGCCCTCAGGCGTGGTAGCTAGCATCGTACACATTGTAACCACTTGTCCGCAGGACTACTCCCTATCACCTATGCTACATGATGCTCTTAACATATTACAAAAACTCTTCGCGCTGTTTGTTCGTCTCCTTACTGTTGACTTGAGTCTTGTGGAGGAAAAAATACATCAGTGACCATCAGTGACCTGTCACCGCCTCTTCCTCAAAAAACTTCGCCAACGACGACGACGACGCACTCAACTTTCTAGTCGTCTCATACCACCCAATGTGAGTTCAGGATGGTACTATCTATGATCTCTGGCCGCAATAAAGGCGATTTCCCTCAATTTGGAGTGGATGCTGACCCTACGCTGTAGATGGCGTCGAAACTTCCAGCAGTCCTCAGTGCGACCGAGGAGGATATCCAACTCCTCCTGGCCGCCCAAAGCCATATCGGAACGAAAAACTGCGACAAGCAGATGGAGCCTTATGTTTGGAAACGTCGCTCTGACGGTACGTGAAAACAGGGCTGTATCTTCATAGGCCGGTAACTGATACGTGTTTTCCACCTAGGCATTCACATTATCAACATCGGCAAGACCTGGGAGAAGCTTGTTTTTGCTGCCCGCATCATCGCTGCCGTTGAAAACCCCAACGACGTCTGTGTCATTTCCGCTCGTCCTTATGGCCATCGTGCCGTCCTCAAATACGCTGCCAACACTGGAGCTCAGGCCATCGCTGGCCGCTTCACTCCTGGCTCATTCACTAACTACATCACCCGCTCGTTCAAAGAGCCGCGTCTGATTGTGGTTACCGACCCCCGTGTCGACCACCAAGCCATTCGGGAGGCTTCCTACGTCAATATCCCAGTCATTGCTCTTTGCGACACCGATGCGCCCCTCAAGTTTGTCGACGTTGCGATTCCGGCCAACAACAAGACCCGCCATTCGATCGGTCTTCTGTGGTGGCTGCTAGCACGTGAGGTGCTCCGTCTCCGAGGCACTATTCCTCGCTCGAGCGACGGCTGGAACGTCATGGTTGATATGTTCTTCTACCGTGACCCTGAGGAGGTCGAGAAGCAGCAGAAAGAAGAGGCTGAGGCCAAGCTGGCCCTCACTCAAGGTGGCGCCGAGGAAAGTGCACCCGCTGAGTGGGATGTTGGAGGTGCACCTGCCGCAGGTGGCATCAACCCCGGCCTTGTTGGCGATGGCGGTTAGTTGCTTTCCCCTTTCCCCTTCATCCTGGTTGATCATGAATAATAACAGGCGCCCTCGATTGGTCGGCGGACCCAACACCTGGTGCGACCACCGACTGGGCCGCAGAGCCTTCTGCCGCTGGTGGCTGGGGAGCCGATGCTCAGGCTACTGGCTCTGGTGGATGGGAGTAAATACACGCTGTTACCTTGGCATGTCGTTTATAAGCACCAAAAAATTATGATATGCAGCTCTATCTCACTTGAGAATCGCTCTAAACACCGACATGTAAGTTGATTCAACTCCATTTGTAGTTGAATTTGTTGCGTTTGCTCCTTGAATTTCCAAGGGCCCTCTGGCATGTGCACCACGAAGTCCATATATACCCCCCAACCTCCTCGAAAGCAACACGAGTATGGAGTTTTGATATATCCATTTCCATTGTTAGTGGTACAATTACAATTTTCCTAACACTTTTCTTCCAATCAAGAACCTCTTCGGCACATCAACCTCCCTCGCTCGCAAGAATTCAGCAACGTTTTTGCCTAGAAAGTCAACGGTACTGGTACAACTGACCCCACGATCAAGATAGTCATGGAGGAGAAAGTGGATGGCAAGGATGTTGGGCAATTCGAAGCGATCCTGGCATATAAATAAGATGCACTGCAAAAGGGAAAGAATCGCGCACAATATGCTGGCCATTATAGTCATCGCCCAAAAGTTCAATCATCTTCTCGATACTGAGCAATCGCCTCAGCCACTCGTATTGGTCTCGGTCTTCGACAAAGAAGCCGACATTGGCATCGGATCCTTTGTCGCCAGATCGAGCATGTACGATTGAGCCGAGTGGAGCCCGGATGGAGGGGCGGAAATCCACGTCGAGAGCGACCTTCTTGGTACCCCTTGGGGGTGCTGGAGACGAAACACGGTGTGGACGGTTGTTGCCGCGGAAATGTTTGTGTTTGCGCCGGGGCGGGAACATCTACAATACTTCCGTTTGGCAGATGCACTTGTTGCTTGACGTCCCTCTGGTCCATCCTCGTCACGAAGTATTCGTGAATCGGCTTCGGTAAACCCAATCGCCCGTCCATATGCACCGTCCCACCGGGATACGCACCCATAATCAGGTCCATCATAGGGCGAATGAACTTGGAAGGGGCAAGATCTTTGGCCTCCTTGGCCTGCGCAACGACGCGTAACGTGGCCGTTGCTGCAGTCTGAGTGGCAGGATTTCGCGCGGGGACGCCGAGCAATTGGAAGTCCAGGAGGGTGAACTTGTTGAGACTGTTAATTGCTGGGTCGGCAAAAAGACTGCGCGCTTGTTGTTCAAACATTCGTGCTTTCGTCTGAGCATCCAAACCAACGATGTAATAGTTAGACTCGGCCTGGAAACCGCCGCGACCAGTGATCCCAACTTTCGTTGTAGGTGGGGGAGGGGCGGATTGGACTCCAGTGACTGCAACACGGTTCTTGGCCACTTGCGTGAAGGAAATGTTATCAATTATGGCGGTAACCTGGGAAATGCATGGGTTGACGAGCTTGACAGCGCAAAACCACTCACATCTGAGTTGAAATACCATGGCCCTTGGATCTCGTACAGCAATTGCGACGTGCATGTAGCAACGCTGACCAGCCCGCCGGTGCCTTTCCGTTTTGTGATGATGACCTGACCATTTGCCCCAATCTCAGCTATGGGGTAGCCAAGATTGAGCCACCGTCCACCTTTCTCGAGTTTCTTGAAGCCGGTGAAGTTCCCGCCGGTCACGTAAGTGGAACACTCGATAAGATGCCCTGCAATCAAGGAACAAGCAAGTTGCTCAAAATTCGACGGATCCCAATCGTGCCACCATGCTGCAGCTCCAATGACTGGTGACGCATCGGCGACGCGCCCACAAACGACAATGTCGGCCCCATGCTTCAAAGCGGCCGCAATTCCCATTCCACCAAGGTAGCATTGTGCAAAGATTGGTTTGTATGGCCAGGATGCGAAAGCTTCGCCGGTATGATGATTGATGAATGCGTCTGGCTCCTGATGGGAGCGCTCGAGGACAATGGGAAGTACCTCGTCGCCAGAAATCCAAGCAACTTGCAAAGAAAGATTGCGCTGTTTGAGGATTTCCGCAATAACTTTGTAAAGGCCGTGAGTATCTGTCCCGCCAGCGTTCACGACAACCTGGAAGTGAGTTGACGAGACATAGCGCGAAGTGGAGTGCACACCTTTATCCCATTCCTAGCTATGTCATCCAAACCGAGTTTCAAAGCCTCCACGAAAGCCGCTTCGTAGGAAGGGACATCCTGACCCGACATCTTCTTGCCGGCTAAACTGGTCATATTTCCCTCTGACATAAAGTCCCCAATTATAACGTCGACAGGGTCATCGGGGTGCCCAGCAGCGAGCTGAGCAAAGCCGATTCGCCGGTCAATCGCTGAACCTGACGCGCCTAACGTTCGACGCTAAGTTATCGTGGCTTTCTATAGCCCTGTTATTACTTACCACCAATTCGAACCGGCCGCTTCATCTTCTTGGACTCGAAGGTTGTGGAGAGCACTCAAACTTCAAGGCATGTGTTTGGGGAAACACTTGATACGGGTGACGTCATGTGACCTGCGTGGCAGGTCCTCGTCCAATCAAATAGTCCTCCCGCACCTGAAAAATTGTGGTCAAGTACCGAGGCTACTGAACCTAGCGTGTGGGGATGCTTAACATTGGGTCGTCACTGTTCATTCTCAACCGTTTATGCCACGATTATATCATTCTCTGAGTGCCTAACTCCGTTCTCTGCACAACAGCTCGGTCCTCTAAAGCGTGTATCGGAAGTCTGGCGCGCGATCTCCAAGTTCTCTCAACTCCTTCTTCGTATAGACCCGCGCCCCCTCAGTTTGCTTTGCCTGCTCGTCCCTCGCGCGGTTGATCCGCTTGTATGAGAGCACAGCGATAGGCACGCAAATGAGCCCGATACCGACGAACATCAATTCACAGCCGTCTGAAAAGAAGGTTCAGTGGTAACCAGTCAAAATGACAATGACGCACGTCCGACAAGGAACCGGGGAGAATCTTTCGCGCGATAGATGTTGCTTGCAATCGCACCGCTGAAGTTACCGATTCCGATGTGGAGAGCCATACCAACTCCGCGTTTATATTGACCACTCAGATTGTTTCCCAGCCTGGAAGGCAGTTAATAAAGCACACTCACCAATGAATCAACGTACCAAGCAACGACTCCAGGGAAAGCTGCATAACTTCCAGCCACACAGAAAAACACGCCAAAGTATTTTGCGCCTACAACATGTTAATGGTGACCATGCATAGAAAGGCTTCTTGAACCTGGTGGTGCTTGAGAGATGTTGATTGCAAATCCAATGAGCAGCATGATAAGACCAGCGTAGATGAAAGGCCATCGCTTTTTGATACGGTCCGACCACACAGCAAAAACGTAAAGAGTAATCGCTGAGCAATGTTGTATTGGAGGCTTGAAACAGCAGGGCAGCCAAGGACTCACTAGCAAAGACCTAGTAAATGTCAATTAAGAGCTCCATATCACGGGATTGACCTACATATGGTGGGACAGTGAGCAACTGAGAAACTGGGATGCTATGACCAAAACTGAAGGAAGTGGTTCATGAAGTGCGAACAAAGGTAGGCGCCACATACGTGCTGATGATAGTTGGCAAGAACAGTGTGATTCCGTAAACTGTATTTCATGAGGTTTCATGCACGCCGAATCAATGAAAAGACTAACGTGGTCCAATAATGGACATGTAGATGAGGATGTGCAACCAAACCTGTGGTTCGGGATGAGTTTCCGCTAGTCAACGGGGAAGTTCACAGACCTGCCAGTCGGACACTGCCTGCCACAAGTGTCGCCACTCGAAATGCTCTTCCTCGCCAACAGAAGAGTTGTCGTACTCTGTTAAGTTGTTGGCATTAACGCAGATAAACATGGTCAGCTTACTCTTCCGCCAAACGAGGTAAGATCGCTCTTCAGGTGTTAGGAATCCAGCCGTGGCGGGAAAATCAACGAGAACTAATCCAAGCAGAGATCAACTTGATAATTACGAGCAAGCCGAAGGCATACTGAAAAAGGCAACGATCCCAACCGCTACAGTTGCGATACCTTCCTGTAGTTCGGTTGAGACATAAAGCGTGACGGAAAAAGCAAGAATAACCAAGATAAAGATCCAGCTCCAACCTTCAAGACCTTGTATTCCGTTCATGAAGTTGATACCATATGCAAGAAGTCCACTGAACGCGCCAGCCATGGAAGCGGCACCGAAGAAATACCCGATGCGTAATTGAAGCATGTGGCGGGGGTACCAGAGGGAAAGACTGGATTTGTGAGGTGATTCCACTTGACAAGAACAGACGACCAACTAGTAAACGACACCACTAAGCAGCGACTTTTCAACCCCATCATGTTGGAACTGGGAAGTGAGACTCACGGGAAAAGTCCAGCTTCCGCTATACCTAGACAAACCCGGACTCCAACAAGTTGGGGGTACCTGAATTCCGGTAAGTCTGGCATTTTTGACAACGCTGAACAGGGATTGACGTTTTTACGAGACCCATAAGTGTCCTGCATCAAGAATTAGTCAATTACGAATTCGATTCGAAATGGAGGCGACATACATAACGGTCCCCCACAGAAGCTACCAATGATTAGTCGTGGACAGCGAGGCCGAGATAAAGCTCACAGTGATGCCAGGGAGCCACCTTGGGCCGTTTGGTGAGAAAAGAGATTAGCGTGGGTCGCAGAGAGCTTACTTAGAGGGACGGAATTTCTTGAGGACGAGACTGATGCATATAGCCGGTGAGAGAGGTGCTCGTAGCTCCGGGCGGCTACGTACTTTGCCGGGCATTCAAAAATGCAATAAGGCTATGGAGCTAGGATCGTATTTTTGTCCGAAGGCACCAAGACCAAACTCACAATGAAATACATCGTCTATTTGCGGTCATTAGCGCCAGAAATAGATGAGAAGGAAACCTAGCCTCACTAATGCAATGTTGTACTTGTCTCCAGTAAGGTGTAGTTGTGTCACCAATCCGTCCAACTTGGCGTTTCCTAGCGCAATTTGCAGCAAGAATAAAACCATCAACGGCGCACATACCGATATTGCCTGTAAGAAGTTAACAGAGAGCCATGATCAAGTTCAAGTCTCCTCTATGACCACGCACCGCGATCCATAAACGAAAACAAGTACAAGATGCTCAGGATCGGCATAAGACGCAGATCGACCTTGCGCCATATTCTACGCTCCTCCTCTGGTGTAAGCTGCGGAGGTGGTGGTAGTTTTGACTCTCCACCAAAGTCAAACTCGTGGTCAGAGTTAGATTTGACTTGCTCGAGGTGGGAATCGGTTGAGCCTTTCTCGAGCGAAGCTTTGGGCTCGCTGGGCTTTTCGACAGTCGTAGACATGGTTGTGCGAGACAAAAAAGTCGCGCAGTGTCGTCACCGGGTCAGCTGCTCCAGCTTTATAGGCATCGTGGGGGGACATTTGAAGGCAGGCACAAATGATTTCTCGTGAGAGTCCATGTCGACATTCTGAAAAGCGGGGCTGGAACGGGGCGCCGGACCCCTTCGGCAAAAGGGCGGCATTGTGACTGGGAATGAGAGACAATCTTTATCCTGAATCCTGTAGGCTGTGAGCCTCCGGCTCGTCAACGTCAGTACTTAGTATCCAACGCCGCATTCAACTTTTCGTGCCGCAGAGCACGTGCTCTGCGAGTGGCAGATGTCAATCAGGAATTGTAGCATGTGACCGGACCGGTCATCTCCCTCTATGGAGTGTTTCCTCTCCTCTTAAAATCTTCATTTTAAGATTGTAAAGCCCCAGCATCCAACTTCATCAATGCTGCCTTCAGATTCACTTCCCTACGAAATCATTTCAGAAATCCTCTCACCACTTCTCAAGGTCCCAGACGAGCTTTTCGCTGACAACAGCCCCATCTCTCCATTCGCTCAGTATTCCCATCAATCCACTGCTGCGTACTTGGCTGTATGCAAAAAATGGTTGCATGCCGCGACACCGTTGCTTTACCACGTTGTCGTCCTGCGTTCCGTTGGCCAGGCCGAGGCGCTGGCGTTGACTTTAGCGACGCACAACGGCCTTGGGAATCACATTCGGAAACTTAGAGTGGAAGGTGGCTACGGAGACTCGATGCTCACCATTCTTGCGAGTGCGCCAAACATCACAGACCTATATCTGTCATTAGAAATCTGGGGCGCAAATAGCACGACTGGACTCTGCCAAGGATTGCCTCTCATCAATCCGACACGTCTTATCATCAACGAGGGCGGGAGTTTGCGGAGGAGTAAACAAGTAACAAACCTCATTGGTACAATTCGCACGGCGATTGTTGAATCCTGGGATCACTTGGTGTGCCCTCTGAGCAATGTGACTCGGAAGCGCGTCTAATTGTTTATAGACATTTTTTGTCTCGCCTTACATTTATGCGAGGGACTCCGATGGCCGCGCGGCACTTTTCTTCGAGTCATTGGCCCAAGCCGCCAGAGTACAGACAGTGGTGACTCCCCGCGAAGACTGTCTCGATTGGGTTTACCCCTTGGTTAAATCATGCCCCCTACAGCATATGGGATTCAACAGTCGAAAATTCTGGTGGTACCACAGGCACGCAAAACAAGGATCTTTGCGAGATCCCGCGCTAAAGCAACTCATCCGTAACTATGAACTAGTGTCAGTGATTCAAAATGGTTGGCTACACACTCCGGCTAACTGTGTCCCAAGATATCGGCCACGCTCAAGAGAGGCAGAATTCCCTCAGTCGGTTGACGAAGACTCTGCGGCTGATGCTAGCACCAGTACCCCGTTCTCGCCTATGGGCTCCCAGCCTCTACAGCTCCAAGAATCAATCTGGTCTCGCATTCTTCAGCTCACAATGGCTCTACCGGAACGTGATTGGCGGGATGTCGGGCTGCTTTCGCTTCGAACTTCAAGACTGTCGATTTTATGCGTCTCCAAGATGTTCTATGTATGATTGTTTCCCAAGATTACTGCAGTAATGACTTCGGACAGAGACTAGGACGTTCTTCGTATTATTCAAACTTATCTTTCTTTGGCTCTCCCGCTAACTTAGACAGACTCAACAAGCTTCTGTCAGAACCAGACCTACAAATCAAGACCTTTTACTCGGTCCGATTTCGCACCAAGCCGTTACCGTGGGATCTATTCGAACGGCTTTTGAGCCGGAGTGGTACAACATTGCAAGACTGTGGTGCAGAAGTCGACGCTGCATATAATTTTGGAGAAGAGCTTACTCCTCCCACTCGAATTATCGATGCAACAGAGATTTTCTCGAGAGTACCGAGTCTCAGAAGGCTCAGATGGGCATGCAAGGCCGTTTTTCATACGCCCGATGAGACGAACGCTGGAGAAATTCCCAAGCTTGAGGCATTATGGATCCACGTCACGGATCCCACCTTCTTGGACGCTTTAGCTGCCGCACGGTATAATATACCTGACTGCGATTCGAATTACTCTAATGTATCATCAGGCTTCCTTCGCTCACAACGCTCTATGCAACCACAAATACTGTCAACTATGTTCCATTTCTGTCTGCCCATGGAGCGTCATTGACGGTGCTTCACATATCTTGCGCAATTGTGGACGAGATGTGGGCACAAAGCCACAGGGCCAGAGCGCTTGTCCGCTCTGTGTCCTTGTCTCACGGAACTGTCTGTCCTTTGGCCAGATGTAAGCCAGTTGGGTATTACTGTTGTTCGACCAATTAACAATGAGCTAGCAGCAATTTGGTCGACCCTACCCTCCAAGAAATGCCTTCTTACCCTTTGAGTGGCGCGCGGACACGCCCGCCTTATCGCGAAGACGACGCAGCGTGGCCATCTCTCCTCCCCCTGTCACCAGCAAATTCCAATCGCTGACCAAGATCACGCTTCAAATGCGCTGGTTTCCTCATCCTAGCGAAGCGTCGGTAGCATCTCCTTGGATAGCCTGTCCTGACCTCTTGACAGGAGCAAGCTAGGTGCATGGGGTGAGTATCTGCTCAAGTTCGACGCCACAGAGTGCCCTGCGTTGCAAGAGCTCAGCGTTCCAAGACTGATGTGGCCTGTCAAAGAGTGAGTTGTCGAGTTGCCCGTCTTTTATTTGATTCCGAGTCTCCTTCGAAGAAGGGACATAGACCGTAGCTTGTTTGTACAAGCGGCAGAGAGGATGTTAGAATGCGGTATTTATCTGGCTGGGAATAATGGAGTAAGATGGCGGCCGAGGCTGTAATGAGGCTGTAAAATACCGAAATACCCAATTTCTCCTCTTAGGTTATGCACTACTACTGCGCAGATGCAGCGGCGTCGGTTTTTTGAATCTGAGCCAATGATCTAGGCGAGGGGCCAGTCACAAATGTTACATCTCTTCATCAACTTTCATTCGTACCACCACCTCCAGCCACGCTCATTGCACCGACTCTCGTTCACACGACAACATGAAAACATTTGCGGCCATAACCACGCTCTCTTTTGTCAATATTGCCCTTTCCCTTCCCACCAAACGCGGCGTCTCAGGTTCGAGGATTTCCCATCTCGCCAAGCTAATCTCATCTCGCCGGTTCTACAGACACCCACATCCTCAACTTCGCCCTAAATCTCGGTTCGTATCCCTCACTCTCTCGCATCCGTCTCAACGTGGTTTCCAGAATACCTTCAAGTCGACTTCTACAAGCAGGCGGTCGCTCAGTTCCCTCAAACCGCCTTCCGAGATGCTGGCGAGCCTGACTGGGTATACGGAAGACTCCAGCAAATGCACGATCACGATTCAACTCATGCAATGTTTCTCTCTACTGCCCTCAAAACCGCTGGTGTCTCTGCTGTCTCGCCATGCGATTTTATCTTGTGCGTGTTCCATCCATTGTCTTTTGTGTTTGACTGACTCTTGATAGCTCATTCACGGATGCGCGGTCTGTTATCGAGCAAGCGACTACCCTCAAATCCATCACGACTGCCGCGTATAATGGCGCTCTCCGTCTCCTCAATAACAGAGATTATGCAAGTATTGCTGCAAGTATGATGGCGGTGGAGGCTCGCCACGACTGTGTGTATTTATTTGTTCATCATGTGGAGGTCATAGTTGATGATGACCATGATATATAGCTTGGCTAAACGGTGCAGTCTTGCAACGCAGCGCCTGGACTACAGCGTTCGAAGCCTCACTAGGTCCAAGTCAAGCCTTTTCCGCTCTACTCTCATACATCAAATCGTGTCCAGCCTCCAACTCTCCCTTACTTCCTGGCCTCAACCGGTTTCCTGCTCTTTCACTCAGCAATATCTACCCTGGCCAAACGGCAACTGTCTCGTTTTCAGTCCCTAACGCTCCAAACCGGCAACTCTTTGCCGCTTTCATTAGCGGTGCCGGCAAGCCAACGTTTGTTCCGCTCGAAGAGAACAATACCAGAGTCAAGGTTCCCGATAACTTGTTTGGCCGTGTGTTTTGCGTCATTACGAGTGATGGTGGACGGGCGGATGATGAGGTTACTGTGGCTGGGCCTTCACTGGTCGAGTTGCAGTTCAACGCGAATGGACAGCTTGTATAGTGAAGGGGGGGGGGATTGAAGTAAACACAACACATGTACCACTTTGACGACATCTTCTTTATGCGCTCTCAGTAAGTATGGGTGACGAAAATTGTGACCGTTTGACCAGACCTTGTTCTCTCACTTTGTGCCCAGAGAAGCACAAAGCCCGGTTACCATGGCTCTCTCTTATGAAGCAGAGTCCGTTCTCTCGAAGGAAATTCTCTCGCTCTAGATACCAAGAGGAGGTGATGTTTCACGTACGTCTTCGAGGTTGTGGACACCTCCCTAATTATCTTCTACACAGAATATCATTCCGCTCAATGAAATACCTAGCAAGATATGGACAACGGGGCTTTCCTTTGTCAGCCCTCTGCTGAAAAGCTTAACGAACACACCCGTCGACACGCTCCCCGCCAATGTTCTCTCAGAGATTTTCATGTGCACTCTATCTTTCAACGGCTTCGGGTCCATCGCTGAACGTGGTCGCCTTGCATTAGAGCCACTGATCCTCTCACACGTCAGTCGACGTTGGCGAAGCGTTGCGTTGTCTCATCCACAATTGTGGGCAACCATTTGGGTTGACCGACCTCGCCCTCCCCACGTACCGATGGTGGAAATGTGGCTTGAACGGTCGCAGCGAGCCTCTTTGGTTCTTTACCTCCGGCAAACGCAACAAAATGCGAACTTTACGGACCCAGACGAGCATGGACTGACGGAAGAAATCATCAAACGCTTCAGCAGCCAGTTGTACCGCTGGTATCGCATCACCCTTTTCTTCTCTTTGCACACGCAAAAGTCGATGCTCCTTCTTCCCGATAAACCTGATTCGGCTCCACTACTACAGCATATCCATCTCGCCACCAATGACGACTGGGATCGCGAGAGTAAGCTGAAGACGGAGAAGATCTTGCACTCTTACTCCGCCTTGAAGTCTCTCGTCATCCACCCCTCTACGCTGCAGGTTCATATTCACTGGAATCGTCTCACGGAGCTCGATACCACTCAAGTCGGCTCACCAGTTGCCAATTACATCACTGTTTTGAAACTCTGTCGCAACCTAATTACTGCTGAGTTGAGAATCACGCCAGATTCACTTGACGCACCATTTGTCCGTCCGTATCATCGAGTTTCGCTGCCACGACTCAAATCATTCGCCATTCATTTCGACCATACCGATGCTGCACCGCTTCTTGACTGCCTTGTTTTACAGGCGCTTGAGGGTTTTGCGCTACGATACACTCGTTCACATCGTCGTAGCAATGATGCCAATGCTCTCCGTCAACTACTCGCCCGATCGGGACCTAGCTGCGTGCTTAAACGATTTGCTCTTCAAGATAATCCCCGAACACGTGACCATACGGCAGCCCATCACCTTGCTTTCCTCCAATCGCCACAGATGCACGGCCTGATCGAGCTAGCCCTGCAAATTGATCTGTGCGATGATGTATTTCGGTTCCTCACGCTAGGTAGTGTGGAAGATGGGACGCCACGCAATCTACCCAACTTGGAGATTGTGTCTTTGAAAGACGTCTCTGGAGATCACGTGGAGGACCTGGAGCTCTATCGAATGGTTGTCTCTCGATTGGGGCAGAAGACACCACTTTATGGTGCAGTCTTCAATCTATGTCTCAACGGCCACTCTGAATCGCGGATTCTACCATTGCTGTTTGAACGGTGTCGGAATAGTAGGGTGCAATTGAAGGTGTATTTGGCCTCCTGTGAAGACGCAAATTCAACGTCTGGGTGGTACACGAGTGAACCTATTCCCGGAGGCTATCTTACAGACGTAGCTTGATATTTTTTCCGTTATATGTTCAATAATTTAATTTTGGCTTCTTGGTCACACGTTACTACTCCCTTGACGCGACTTTCATGACACTCTAAGCTCACATTCCACTGAGAGAAGCGCGATCCGATAACCAACTCGTGTTCGTGGACATGGGGACGGATGGCGGGCATTGTTCATTTGTGCTTTTGGCCGAGTTTGACATTCTTGCTGGGGCGCAACTCAAATACCAGTTCCCTCAGCCGCTTGGAGTCGATGAAAGGTGTGTGCTTGCGTTTGCGGAATGCATCTCTCACCCAAGAAATAGTGTTCTTGCTATGTCTATGCTCCCGGATGGAGCAGAGACCCAGCTTGACGACTGGACCGTCTTCTTCCTCAACCAAACCCCATTCAACACCATTTCCCCTGTTCTTGCACTCGATACGCCGGAGGTGAAGACGGCTGCGCTGGCTGGAGAGCTGCAGAACGGGGAAGGTGACAAACCCGATCTATTATGTGTGCTTAACCTGGTCCGTACGAAACATGACTCGACATTGGAAAGGTGCAATATAGAAGTCGTCGATTGCCGTATAGAAACGTTAACATCAATATAGAGGTGCTAAAGTCCTGGCGTTGGCGATATGCACTCGACATCCATTCATCCAAATATTCAAGGTGCGCAACCCATATCATCTCAGTCTCCTAATCAACCTCATGTAGCCTGTTTTGCTGATGGCACTCGACGATTACCTGGCGGACCCGTCTCAAGACTGCCTCGCACGTCTTTTTGACGCCGTCAACTCTATGGATCTCTCCGGAGCACCCATCCTAACGCGCAACGAGAAAATGGTCATGCGTTACTCGGACCGAAGAGACATCTTTGCCGAGAAATTTGCCCATTTGAGCCCTCAGCACCAACCTTACGGTAAAAGCTCTCATCAACATCGTTCAACTCAATCGGGCGAGTCGTTCTCGAGTTTCGAGGAGGGGATCTTGATGAAAAGAGATCGTGACGAGACCACAATGGCTGCTGGAGCCGCTGTTTCCCAGTCGTCTCCCTCAGAGGCGTCTTTTTCCCTTGGCGGAAGTTTAGTCTGGGTCGGTGGTGATGAAGGTGGGCATGAAACAACAAGCGCAGAGGGTGAGGAGAACGATAGTGTCCACTCATTCGTCGGAACAACGGTGGCTGGCTCGAGTTATCAGCGGCGAAGGTCAACAGATGCATCGTCCGGCTCCTCTGCTCAACATCATAACGGAACCCTCCGACCTTCCATGTTGACACCATCATTTCAAGACCCTCATTCCCGACCTGGGCTCGGCAAGGATACCCATTTTTATCATACCACCGTTGCCTATATGGACCACCAATTACCAATCAAAATGCCTCTCTCAACATTCCCTGAAGAGGTCGGCGATGTAGGCTTTCCATTCTTGACAATATTATTCCATAATGTGCTTCAGTACTCCTTAATAATGCTCGTCAAGGCTTTCTCGTCAACTGCACAGGTTTCTGGTCCCATGCATCCACATCTCTACACTAATGGCCCTCAAACGCATCCCATAATCATACTCTTCAATGCACTCGTGACTGGCAAGCGCATTATCTTCCTCGGCCACAAGAAACCGGCTGGCGAAGTTTCGACTTTCGTTCTTTCTGCTTGTGCGTTGGGCTCAGGGTGTGGTGCTGTTCTGCGGGGCTTTATTGAACGTGCGTTTCCATACGCCAACCTAAATAACAAGGACGAGTGGGAAGCAGTGTAAGTCAGGATGGCCAATATGGTTTATTGCGAGCTCAATATGATGCGTTAGACCCGCATATATTGCTGGAGTGACTAATCCCATCTTTAAAACGTCGCCTACTTGGGATTTACTGCTGGACATCTCTGTAGGTTCAGTCACCGTAGCAAAGGACATTTTTACCACTTACCCGGTGACTTCCACCGTGCCTCTGGGCCTCCCGGCGATCTCTCGTGCCACAACTTTCAATGCAGATGCCTCCCTCGGCAGCGAGGAGGATCTTGCAAAAAAGGACGGCACAAACGTCAAATCCGCTGACCATAATGCAGACAATATTTTCCTTGAGGATGTATGGCTGCTTTCACTTGGTCATCGCATGACTTACGGTCCTGCAGATTAAAGCCGCTATTGAATACCATTATGGCGAAAATCATGTTCGAATGCGGTTCACTGAATATGTACTTCGGTTCGTGCGGCTGGCGTCGCGTTACGAGGAGGACACAATCGGGTCCACCAAGTTTGGCTACCCCAGTACAGTCTTCGACAATCGCTTACCGAATCCGCGATTGGGGAGCGGCATGTCGTTTGTTGATGACACCGCCGGGCGGAGGGAGATTACCGGTAATGCACAGCGCATTGAAGCGTGGAGGAAAACAAACAGCTATGAATATATTTGTGTGGTGCGTATAAGCGGGCGTTACTTTTCGCCGGTCGATTGACTCGCGCGTTATGAAGGACTTTCGGAATGCACAACTCACAGACACGATTCAAGGGTTCGATGTCGCTCATCAATTGTTCCGGATACGAAACGCCAAATACCTCTCCGACGCGGAGATGATTGCGATTATGCGAGCACTTTCGGACAACGTGAAAAGTTACGAGCAGGTTGTTGAGGTGGGTGATGGCGTCTCTCATGAATCCGTGATCCTATGTTTTTGACAGCTCCTCGCTTACCTTATGCCGAATGGCGGAGGTCTGGCCCACCTTGCGTTTGGCTGCTTCCACCAGAGGGACGCGGTACGAGATGCGACTGTGGACCTGTTCAATCAGATCCGCGCTTTCCCGGTGAGTAGTATCATGCCCGCTATCCTAGAATGCGTGCTGAGCGGCGGGGACAGGTTGGCGCAGTGTTTCTGCAGATGCTGAATCACTTCCAACGTTATGCCTACGTGCGACTGGCCCACGCGAAACAGCTTCAGCTCCAACGCCCCAATGATCCTGGCTTCCGCGCCGGGAATGGTGTTTACTAGACTTTTTTCGTTCACTGTGTGTTGTATTTTTTATATGCTCACTGTTTCGTGTTGCCCTTTTTTATCATACAAAGTACAGACTAACAAATTTGAGTTGCGACTCGGCAAACTGACCTCAAGTCAGCCCAGAAACATCCTGAATCATGGTTTATTATGGCTGCTTTCGCAAAGACAGGCATCAGGTTATCGGCATATTTTACTTTCTGCCCCTTGAAGACTTTTATTGCTGGCTCTATTTCGAGCAAGAACCAAATGTCTAGAGTCAAGATTCAAGTTCCAGGTCCTATCCGAATTCAGAATTGGGCAACATGAAAAGCAAGGCTTCTTTCGTGTGGACCCAATGTGGACGCTGGGCGGTGAAACAGTGATGCTCGTCGCCAATGGACAACGCAACGAGGAAGCGCGGGCGGTGAATGTGGTAAGCAGCATACCGCGGGCCGCCGACGGTCCGTAGTAAAGCCCTTTGATCGACGCGGATCACCCGAAGATCGGCTGAGAGGCCCACAGTTTACTCACGAAAATAAGTTCAAAATTTGCTAGAAAAGTGCTGGAATGCGTATCGCTTGCCTGCGTAGAGGTTGACAGAGGCAGTATAGGGATATTTGGAGAGTGAATCGGGCGGCGGGAACAGGGCTCGTTGCCGCTTTTGACGAAGATTGTCTGGAGGTATGACATGTGAACTGCCATGCTGGTGGGACAGCGTGCGAGTTTGACCGCAGCACCGACAGTATACTTCGTCGTGAGGATGTTCGTGCCAAGCGCTTCTCTGTCGGTATTTTTGGGAGGGTTCCGGCTCAAGAGCAGGGGGGTGATGGTGTGTTTGGACGGTAGTATCGACCACGAGCGATAGCTCTGGACTAACTGGCGCATTTTGAGACTCTGATAGTGCCACAGTAGTCGGCCAACCTCTGGGTCCGTTCAAGGGATTGACGAGGCAGACCTAAGCACAGCATGGATTCGGACCCGGGCGCGGTTCGGAAGAAAGCCGACCCGAGTTGGTCGGCGTCCACACAGACAGACTGCTGATGAGCTGATTGTCGATGCAAGGCGAAGATTGGCCGTGTTCTGAACTTTTCTGGAGGAGAGCTTTATCGTTGGATCGGTTCTTCGGAAGAGGCTTCTCTTTTCTTACTGAGGCAACTTGCAAGAGCCGATGGAAAATGCTCTAGAACTGCGGTGCCGGGGCAACCCCGCGTTCGGCATTTTTGCAGGGAATTAATATCGGACCGAGTGGGTGAGCGGCTTGATATGCCCGTTGTGAGAAGCTCGCTGGATAAAGAGTTGTCAAAATCGCTGTGTATTTCAAGCTGGAGACTATGAAGTAGTAACTGGAGTATTTACGGAGTGGTAGAGCAACTTTAGCAAGGCGATGAGTGGACGGGGGTGGCGAGACAAAGTCGGAGGATGTTCATGTGAACACTGGAAGTTTCAGATCTCGATTTGATTGGCCCTGAGACGCATGCCGTTTTTAGGATGTAGCGCGTCTCGGCTGTGATGATGTTTATAATAACTCTATATGGTGGACGAGGCTCTCTTGTTCCCCCACCTCCTCTTCCGACCGTTCATGCTTGTTTCCGAAATCCTGCTGTCCCACTAATTCGCCCGGCTTCTCTTTGCCACCTCTATACTTCACCTGCTTTCCGTCCAAACCCCTCCCCTGCTCGCGGTCACTTTTCCCCGTTTTCGCACAGTGCCGCCTTCTCGCCGTCTGGCTGTAAATTTTAATTCCGCTTTCGACTTAATGGCCAATAAGACATCACCTGCGGAGGGAGCCCATGGCACTTTGCAAAGAGGCAAAGCTTGTCTGCGATGCAGGTCGGTCAATTCTTCCCGGTCTTTCTTTAGTTGTGGCGCTAAAATGGGACATAATATCCCACAGGAAACGCAAAATGGTGTGTCTCATGCTTCCCACCTCGGGACCGTTGCTCACCGCTCATTTTTAGCGATGCGATGGCGCAAAACCCGCTTGTCAACAATGTGCGCGTGCTAAGAAAGGCGAAGCCTGCGAATACGATGATGGCAAAGGCAAGACGCGAACACAAATTCTTCGCGAGACCATTGTGCGGCTTGAGCAGAGAGTTCGAGAACTGGAGGATCCTGACTATGTTTCACCGGCTGTGACTCTATTCGACCCTCATACCTTCGACCCCCAAGCGTTGAGGAGTCTATCAGAATCCCCACCCTCTTCGTCGTATGATTCAGCAGATGCCTCGTTCTCAGCAGGGCACTCTCCATTTCCCTCAGGTATGTTGTTAGATCCGACTGCTCAATGTTTTACTGATGCAACGTCTTAGACTCTGCTCATTCACCTGAAGGTTCTTGGAGTCAAGCCGTCTCAGCTTCGCCGCCATTGTTTGGGGCCGACATGTTTTTCCAAGAGCCTCAATCGCAAATCAACCCTCCCCTTGATTTAGCCCTCATGCTGTTCGTGTGCCGTCGGATCAATTTTGCCTCACACTCACCCCATCTAGCTTGGAAATCTTCACCCCCCACCGCCACCAATGCGGCCTCCAGGTTCACATGGGTCAGCTCAAGGACAGCCTCAATCGCTCCCTTGCAGAGCAGCGCCATCCAGTGCTTATGAATGCGATCTATCTTTGGGCCTGCTTCATCTCCCGACCGGGGCCGCTGTCCCAACACGAAGATCACTACCTTTCGATGGCACTCGATGCGTTGCAGGAGGCCTTGCGCGACGGGGACAAGACTCTTGACATTGTTCAGGCTGAATGTCTGTTGTCGACCTATTTCCTTTCAAACGGACGGGTATTAGAGGGAAGCTACCATGCCAGTGCAGCCGCAGCGTTGGCAGTTCAGTGTGGGCTTCAGGAACAGTTGCAGGAGGAGAGGAGCGTTGGTGGCTGGTTGTCTGACAATGACGACATGAAGCCGCTCAAGATGGACCTGCGACGTGGGGAAAGGGTGTTGGCGTTTTGGCAGGTTTATAACCTCGACCGTTGTTGGTCGGTTGTCCTGCGCAAGTCGACGATCATCCCAGATGGACCTCAAGCGTGGAATGCTATTCACGCGCCATGGCCGCTCGATATGACGGACTACCAAACAGGTGCTCTTGTTTCTGGCGCCAACTTTCAAACAATCAAGTCGTTTGTGGAAGGTGACGTTGCCTCCAACGGTTACTCAAACCAAGCGATGCGCGCCAAGGCTTCTGCTCTGTTTGAACGAGCCAGCTCGTTGTCTATTAGCTGGGATTCTCGTATGCCAATGCTTTTCATACAAGTCATTGATCCTGACCATGCTCACTTAGGTATCAAACCATCAGACCCCCTCCGTCAAGAAATCCATTCGCTCGAGCTCACCATTGGTGCATTCCTCAGTACTCTACCACCATTACACACACTCGACACTGTTGGGCCAGAGGACAAGCCAGTTTTGATCACCGCTCACACTCTTGTGCATACTGCGCTGATTCACCTCTACCAACGCTTCGTGCCCGACGATCGAGTCTCTTACGACAAGTGCGCGCGAGCCGCCAGGGCTTGTGGCACCATCATCACGCATATCAACGACGCCGACTTCGCGTTTCTGGATCCCATCCTTGCTCCTTGCTGGACTGCTGTCGCCGAGGCCCTTCTTCGGGAACTCGCAACCATCAATTCGGCGTGGCCCATGAACGGCGCTGACGCCGATGTCCGCAATGAACTGGGGACGGTTATGTATGCGCTCACCAGCCTTGCTTCAAAGCTGCCCATCGCAAGCATCTCTGTCGCCAAGCTTCAGAAACGGCTGGCTGAGTTATAACCTGACTTGTAAACCGAAAACGACGACCAAGTCCTCTCAGGAGACGACCACGATAAATTCGATTTTCATCATGGAGTCTGGACTTATTATCACTTCCCTTTTTTGCGAGCGCGAGTCTCGCGACACCCTTCGAATTCTCCCGGACCGGCATATCCTCCTACTCAATTCTTCTTACCACGCCTTGGAGGCATGCCCCATCCTGGCTTGCTACTCTTGGACATTACAGGGTTTGATTTGCTTTGTTACGCTTTTGCTATGGACCTTGCCCTTTACCATTCGTTTACATAGCTTTTCGTTTTTCTCCTCCCTCGGACGCTGTTTCGGACCTTCGCGCTTTTTCGCTTTCACGTTCCTTTACGATTTTTCATGCACATTACGAGTACCGGACTTGGACTCATAACCCTCCATGGACCTTCCCCGCCTTATCGGACGCTTTTACGGACCAACGGACACTAAAACCAAATGCTTTTACACGTACTGTACCACCTAGACGCTCGCGGACTGCGGACCTTTTTGCCTACGGACGGACAACATACAAGTGCCCAGCTACCTCCCGCCCCCAAAATCTCGTGTATTTTTTCCAAGTACTTACTTACTATACTTATTAGTTGTTGTCTATAATGTATTGGATGTTGTGGGTGCGCGGCGCACCAGCCTTGTCATTTTTGCTGAAAACTTTTTTTAAAAAAACACTAGGCTTTTGCGGACTAGGTTAAGTACTCGCACTGATGTCGACCTGAACGCCACCAAGATTATCAGTGTGGGATCGAAACAGAGGCGACGACGGGAGAAGGAGTTCAGGACCGCAAGTTTCCCCCCATAGGGGAAGGAACCCGGAAGGTGGGCTGGATCAGCATGCTGTCGTAGATCGCAGAACGAAGCAGATAGTCGCCATAGCGAGCGCACGACGACACGGGCATCAGAAAGGTACGCATGCGTGAGAGAGTGCTGCGGAGGGCATGAATGGTGTGTTGGCGACTAGAGTGGGGCCTAGGGTTTAACTTCGGTAGCTTCTTAGTCAGGGTATGAATGCGGGAGTTGTGCGGGAAGGTGTGCGCGGGGCGCTGGGCGGGGAGTATCAGCAATTTGAATATCGCGTAAATATAGCGAGAGGGAGGAAGGCACCAGCCAGATCAGGCGTTTCTTCACTTGAAGATTGACTTCTCAAATAAAGGGCGCTAGCGCTGCGCATGAAGAGCTGACATAGTGTCACGTGATCTAAATCTCGACCCGCCGATTCAGTTAACCCGACTCTATCTCATTATGTTCAAATTCGACTTTGAAGTGGACCAAGACCCAGTGGACGAGGGAGTAGGACCTGCCGCGCCGCCACTAATTCAATTAGAATCGTTTTCAGAGCTTTCCATTGCACATCTAGTGCGTGAATTGCGGACAAGAACTCCTGATTTGTAGACTGCTGCAGCTAGAGGCGCTTCCCTCCCAACTCTCATATTCCCCCGTGTCCATTCCGCTCGCTTCAACACGACAACGAGTAACTCTGGCGAGAAGGGATCTATTCGATGCCCGCTTTCAATTGATTTCCGTGGGCACCGGGGCTGACGGCGACAACAAAACGGAGGAGACGAGTTCGGGATCGTCAGCGCTGGCTTTTCTAGATGCACCGTCCGACCTTATTCCGGGCGTCTACGAAGGCGGTCTCAAAACATGGGAATGTAGTCTCGATCTAGTCAACTACCTCGATGGCGTGGCTGGGCCGAGCGCGTATTTCCAGGGGAAAGCGGTACTCGAAGTAAGTGGATCTCAGTGTGCGCTTCAACCGGTTTTGTGACCACTAAACAGGTCGGCTGCGGGACAGCGATACCATCGACTTACATCGTCAGCCGTCTCTTTAGTGAAGAACCACCAATGGTGGAGACAAGGATCCACTTACAAGACTACAACACCGACGTTATTGAGCTGATAACGTTTCCCAACATTATCCTTGCTTGGTGTACGCCCATCACAAGCAATGCATCTCTACTTACTTGTGGGTAGATATGTCCCCCGCGTCGGACGAGTACCGCTCCTCAATAACAGACAACGAGGACGATAGACTTCCGCCGGCAGAGGTAGTGTCTCCCGGAGAGCTCTCGATGACCGCCGACCTCAAGAAGGCTTTCTCCGCGTCACTCGAGCGATATAAAATTCGACTCCAACTCTTTTCAGGCCCATGGCAATCCCTTGCCGCTCACATACCTCCAACGCAAGCATTCGACATCGTGTTGACATCAGAGACGATATATCGGCTCGAGGCACTACCAGCGTTGATACAGCTTCTCGAAGTAGCATCTGGGGAGCAGGCTATCTGTCTTGTCGCCGCCAAGGTCCTGTACTTCGGTGTTGGCGGTGGAGTGGCAGAATTTGTTGCAGCATTGGACCGTGAATCCAAAAGGCCTCGGGTTGTAACTAGGACTGTATGGGAGCACAATACGGGTGTAGGGAGGAAAATCTTGCAAATAGAATGGCTCCATTAGGACAACGCTCGAAAGACACGAGGCTTGAAAGCTCGACGAGGGATTCAATGATCGACATCACGTGGATTATACTCTTGCGCAGCGACGATGTTCAAACCTGGTGACAAAATGAACCCGTATGATCCAGGCAAGTCTTAGATTGAGACTGACAAACCGATCGTGGACAAACAATTCTTGAACTCAGCTGCTTTGGAACTGGGAGGAGACGGGCCTCAACAACGACTCGCAGCTGGCAAGGGGCCGATGAGTCCGGCACAGATGCAAGAAATACTACAAGACCCCGCAAAACTCAGCCTTCTGCTTTCAATGATGCCGCGCGACAACCCTGAGACTGGCGAGACAGCGATAGAGCAGATGATGCGTGAGAAGCGTGAATGGGCTGAAGCGGACGCAAAAAGCGCGAAGCTAAAGGAACAAGGCAACGATGCATTCAGGGCGGGGGACTACAAAAAGGCCTTTGCTGTTTATACGGCCTGCATGCTGCTGTCTGCACATGAACCGCTTTACCCACTAAATCGAGCTGCGGTCGGCCTCAGTAAGGACATGGCCTTCTGAGAGTGAAGTATTCATCATCCTACAGAGTTGCAGCTTTATCAGACCGTCGTCGAGGACGCTTCGGAAGCGGTCGAGAGAGATTTCAATTCGGCCAAAGCACACTTCCGGCGCGGCCAGGCCTTTTACTTCTTGGGCGAATGGAGCAAGGCCGAGGATGATTACGCCAAAGCATTGAAACTACAGCCAAATGACTCCGCTGTTATGCAGCAGAAAGGCGAACTTAAACGTGTGCGGGGATTATCAGCGGCAGAGCAAGCTGCCTGGTTGGCTGGACAAACGCGTCTCACCCTCAGGGATGTTTTTCCAAAGGCCGAGTTCAAAGCGAGGATCGAGGAGGCGTTGGGACGAAAAATGACGACCACGGAGCTGGGTATGAATGGCTGACTACTGAGATCTATAACTTCGATGTTTCTAAAGTGGTCGAGGTCTGCTCTAATATGAACCTCGCCATTAACTCGCTCCACGACTGTTGAGTGGGAATACGGTGTCCTTGTCAACTTTTTTTCAGATACCTGACGGAATCAGGGCAGCATTCATACCTCCTTCGTGAATTTCCACCCGGCTGATCTTCCATAAGGCTGCCAACTCTCTTGAACTCTTCTCTGCCACAATCGAATCATTGCGCGCAATGATATGCAACGTAGGCGTGTCGAATTTCATGTTCTTGGGGAAAACTAGATCGCCGATGGTTCCTGGCACGCGGAATCCGGATACTGCGATACAAAACTTCAAGGGGGGATGTGGCGCTTTGCCGTCTATGGAAAAAGGTGGGTATATGTGTGGTCGTTCGAGCTATTGCGTCATCAGACAAGAAACAGAAAACCACGATGGTCGCAAGTCCTGACCAGCGCACAGAGCAGAGCTGCCATCGCCGCCCCCTGCGAAAAGCCTAGTACGCCATCGAAGTGTCGTTCGCTCAGAGTATCTCGTAGAAGAGCGAGGGTTTCTGGAAACCCATGATGGTTGGGATCGTCCTTGCGCCACTGAATCCAGGCACGTGATTCATTCGCTTCGATTGCGTCAGAGGAGTCGAAAGCGGGGATATTGGTATTGGGTAGCTGCGAGGCCAGGAGGAGGGGGCCTGCAAGGCAGACTGACAATAAGTGCATGAGATGATGTTCAAGGGTTTGTGGGCATGAGCAAACTTACCAAATTCAACCTCCGCGCCACAAGTTTTGCGAAGTGCCGTCAGCTCCATATCGATACTTGATCAGCCGCAATGCGGTGAACGCGAAAGCCTTACCCGTTTTTCGAATGCAATTGCATTTTGTGAATATCTAGGAGGGCAGCAAGCATAAGGATAGTCGAGACCGGCTCGGGAGAAAAAGGTACCCGTGAAGTGCAAGAATTCGCACCACCATCGTGGTTTTGGTCAAACTTTTTGATGAGCTTGCCGCCGAGATCGACCAACGCGGTCACGTGGTGAAGGACTTGACATGATTGATTTTCGGACTCTGTCGAATGGAAGCCACTCAGCCCATTTTGACTAGCACTTGAGCCATTTCTTGAGCAACCCCTTGATGGAATCTATTCACCCCAATTCGGCAAGTGACAGTGTTAACAGAGCAGCCTAAAGAATGCAAGAACATACTTATCTCGAGTTCTGTGGTCCAATGGCTACGACGCCACCATTCCCTTGTCGCATGATGTTGGACGGGTGGTGACCCCAGTGAGACTCGAACACGACGCACGTAACAAGAATGCGAGTTCGAGTCTCGTCAGAGCTAAGCCAGCTTTTTCCTGTCATTGGCGTCTCAGACGTTGACTGGGGATGACTCTACTCGAGTCACAAGTTGATTAGTACTTGTCAAATCATACGAATCTAAAGCTGTGGGTCGGAATGTAGTGGATACGACGCAGAGGAGTTTTCAGTCAACCCAATCCCTTCATGTCATTACCCTCTAATCTGAGGGTCAGGCTAGGCAAGTAACTTGAGCTGGAGTGTATACTTGTGTAGTAGTTGACTTGCAGTCCAAATTCGAATGTGGCCAAAAGCGAGTTGAAGTAGGTCGGAGTTCGTTTATACGTATTACGGGAGTATCTGAGGGGCATGAGTAGAAGTACTCCAGAGTCTAGATTAAGACGACATTCTTGATATTAAAGTCTCTTGAGATATCTGGCCGCTTTCTTAAGCAGGAGATTAAACTAGTAGAGTCCAAGATAGTCCACTTTATCGAAACGTCTGTTGACTACTGGCCATGAACTCGTGTCTTGGACATGGAGCAGCGCTTCAACTTGTGAATCGAGTTGATTCTACAGCCGTTTATCAAAGGTATTACCGCAGCCGTCTTCTACGCGCTGCACCATGTTGGCGTAGAAGTGGAGAGAAGATAAACCGGGATGAACTGTGACTGCAGGTCACGAGCGGGAAGTGGCGTCTCACGATCATGAGCTATGGCAGCGATGACTGCATTCTGACTTGAACCACGAACCATGCCAGTCCACACACCCTCCCATTACCACAAATCCAGAAGAGGGCCATTCGAAAATCCTTGGCCGCCAGTGTTGACGATGATGGCCAGCGCAATGGCGCTGATGAAGCTTCCGTTTGAACGAGCCACTCCATACGAACACGACCTCGAGTATGTCAAGACCGTCAAGACAGTGAAGCCAAACTTCGGGGCTTTGGATGACACGGAGAAACTCTGTGCTATGTGGCTGGGGCATGCTGTACGAACGTTGAACTTACTAACGACCAATCTGCCTCATTGTTTCATACAGGGTTATCTTGTCCAGCTACCCGCTGAAGCAAGTCATCGTCCCATACGCATCTTGTTCGATCCAATGTTCTCTGAACGCGCCTTTCCATCTGCTTGGGTCGGACCCAAGAGGCGGTTGGAAGCGCCATGCCGGGTGGACGAGCTTCCAGAGATAGACTTTGTCGCTGTGAGTCACAACCAGTTGCGTACTAGTTGCGTTTTGCACCTATACAAAAGAAAACGGCTAACAAGAAGTTCGGTTGCAGTTATGATCATTGCGACCTGGACGCGCTCAGGGCATTGTCAAACAAGTCGCACGCAACACTTTTCCTCGTTCCTCTAGGAATGGAAGACAATTTACGTTCTGTTGGCATCCCTAGTCCCCGGATCTTCGAACTCGATTGGTGGGATACGCTTCTCTGCCCGTTGGATGGCAGGATGTGCAACTATCGGTTTACTTGTACCCCAGCTCAACACAACAGTGGTAAGTCCCTGTTCATCTGTCTGTCCGCCAGTTTCAAAGACATTGTGTAGGTCGAGGAATGCTTGATCAAAACTGGACCCTATGGTGTGGATGGTCGATTCAGCAAGAACACAAGAACAAGACGTGGGCATCTACATATTTTGCTGGGTAATACTTGCCCAGATATACTCTAGTCACTGAGACTTACTTTCTTACAGCGACACAGGGTACCAAACACTCAATGGACCGTGTCCAGCTTTCAAAGGTTTGTGTGTTCCGGACTTGGTGCCGTTTTCTCAAGTATCTTTTTCTAGAAATCGGGGAGAAACTCGGACCCTTTACCCTCGCAATCGTTCCTATCTGGTCCGGTGCATCCCTCACATTTCTCGGAAAGATGGGTTACCGCGTATGTTTGGCTCCATGGCTAAAATACAAACCGATGAATGTTGCAGCTCTCCGACGACAGTCACCTCGTCACTCTCCATGCCACTCCTGAAGATGCTGTCAAACTGGTGGCAGACGTTCGCGCAAAGAATGCACTCGCAATGCACTTTGGAACATTTGCTGGGTCTGACGACGAAGCTCTCGAGCCGGCTGTGAGGCTAGCCAAAGCGAGCAGCCCTGATCAAGTTCATGTGCAAGTTATTGATGTTGGAGAGTGCATGGCATTCGAGCCCAATCTTGAGTTAGAAGAAAGCAAATGAAGTTGTACATATAGTCTTCACAAATTGTATCCAGCACATGGATAGGATAGATGGGTTGTACCGTGAAGCACTCGTCACGATTCTTCACGATTACAAAATCATTGTGCCGTCGTGACTACATTCTCTCCTTGACTAATAGTACTCCCTCCAGCCGGCCTTGCTTTCACCAAGTTCATTCCAATTTACATTCTCAACACGCAGCGAGTTCCCCACAATCTATCCTAAAAGATCTTCCTGAGCGTCTAGCATCGCCTCACCATGCTATTTGCCCATCTACCATGGACCCAGTGACGGCCACAACCTCGCTCATCACCCTTGTGAGCTTTATAAAGGAGCTGGTGGAACTGGGGCATGGCATAGCGACTTCAATCGAGAAGGTATGCATTCCGACAAATGGAGATCGACACTGAAAGCTGTTAAGGTCAACGAAAACCGCCGTCAAATACGCAACCTCGTTAATGACATCCTCCACACGCTCACGGAACTTGCGAAGCTGATTAGAGAACGCGAGGAGCACTTTCAAACGCCTGCTTTACTTGCGGCGATTGGCAATCTCAAGGCGTAAGTGGGCGTCTGGTCAGCGACGGTACAGTTTGAAAAATACTTGGCAGAGATATGATACATGCGCTGGAAATTTGTCGTAGAATCTCGCCGGTAGAGCGCAAATCAGGCTTACGGGGAATCAAGACACAGTTGAAGGGGTGGATTAAACGCGACGAGATTGAAGGAGAGATACAAAGACTGAAGGAGCATGTGAACAAGTGCTTTCTCATGTTTGTGGTCAGTCATTCAACTCATTCTACTCTGAATTTACTGTTGATAACGTCTATTAGACCTTTTCGACGACGCGGATTGAGAAAAACACCGCAGAAATCATTCAGACGACCGAAAGAACTCGAAATGTTGCTCTGAGAGGCATGGATGCGACCCTTCGGGTCGAGCAGCGCTTCATTGTCGATACGGTTGAGAGTCAAGTCAAGTTGCGCAAATTAGAGACCATGATGTCTCGTGTCCTTCTCGAGACATCATTTGGACAGAATGTCATGGAACAAACGATCCAAGTTATTTTATCCGTGAGCTCAGCTTGTCATCTATAAACTTGACAACTTGAACCGATGCTAGGATCCTGGCCATCGAACACTAGAAGCTCAGTATTTGTCGACGCAGACGCTCAGACTGATCCCCCTGGTACAACAAATAGCGTCTGGAGGTGTATCTGTCCTTGATGCTTCGCTCTGGATGTCCCAATTAGGGCTCAAGAAAATGGAAGGAGCATCGGCTGAGCACGTCCTCCACTCGATTCTAAGTGCTGTCGTGCAAATTACCAACCCGAATATGGACATGGAGATTATGAACAACTGTATTGTCCGTCTCGGGACGAGACTCCGTAGTCTTGGAATGGCCACGGAATCCATCGCCTGGGAGCTGTTCACTTGCCAGATTCTTCATCGCCTGGCCAATGAACAGAATAGTTTCGTTGTTATGCCACGACTGGCTCGGGCTTTGCGTCGACTCTCTCTGGCTTACCGAGATCAAATGAAGTATCAGGAAGCCCTAAAGGCCAGCGAGCACTCATTAGAGCTTTGGCGCTCTATATTTGAGACCAATCCCAGCTCCGAAAACCAAATTCCGTTCCTCAACTCGATCACTGTTCATATGGAAAACCTCGCGTCCCTGAATAGAAGAGATGAACTGTTACCACTAGCAGAAGAAAGCGTCGCCATAGCTCGTGCAGATCTCATGCGTACGCGTGACTATTATAAGTCAGATGGCAAGGAGTGGTCAGAAGAGGACAAGTATGCTGCACGAAGATCTTTTGCAGCGATTTTTCGCTACGCACACACTCTTGCTTGGGCCCAGCGATCCGGAGAAGCGTGTTCCGTTGCCATCGAAGCCTTTGAATTGCTGACCACCATACCCTTGGACATCTCCCATCTGGTTCAAGTTGGCTCTGCAATCGACATGCTAATGGATCAAATATCTATCGTGGGCGAAAGGGGAGGTTTCACATTCGAATGGCTTGCCCGGCCTCTCATTCTATTTCATCATCTTGCTCAGCAATATGCCGAAGAGTTCTCGACACCTTTCCTCCGCCTTTTACACGCATACACATACATGGGTTCACTGGATGTCAATCCAAACAATACATCACATAATCTACGTGTCTTTCTCGAACCTAGCGGGGACAATCTCCCGCCTCTCCTCCCCGCATTTCAGCATCAGGTGTACCACAAAATTGCCAGTGCTGTAGTCGGAGCCGTGCTGTCTTTTTATATTCGTCCAGCCGACTCAGTTTATTCGCTGGTGCTGAATCTATTTCTTGCACACCCTCAATCCGCCCTTATCGCGTTTTCTCAAGTTGTTGACCGGAGCCTGAGTGTTTTGAGTCCAGACCCTCAAATAGACGATTGGGTCGTTCACACTCTTGCCGAACTCTTAAACTCGAATGGTATCTTCACTCAAGCAGAGCGGATCAAGCTACTTGGATGGTTACAGCGTCTTTGGGCCGTCAAAGGGCAGCAACTTGCAGACTTCTGCTCTGTGTGTATTTTGCGAAGTTGCTCTTGTTTGTGGCTTGGTGGTTTGACAATCGAAACCATGAATGTTCTCGAGGTGTGTGCCAACTCGCGCGACCAACATGTGGTGAATACCGCTGGCGTAATGAAAGCAGCCATATTGGGGGACATGGGGCGGATCGATGATGCCATGGCCGTAATGGTCGATCTCGAGCACCGTCTTACCTTTCACCAACGGGTCCTTCCCGCCGTACTAAAAGCCGATGAAGACCACTTTTATCAATACTGTTTCCTCAGAATTCAATTTCTTCGACGTACAACAAGACGAGAGGAGGCAATCGCATTCATACACGATGTGCTGACCCATCCCGTCGTTCCTCCTTCCTGGTCAGATGATGGACTGAACGACATGCACTACATCCTCATTCTTGTTGAAAGACTCGAGCTCAGATTAGAAATGGGACAGCCGAAAGCAGCTTTCGACGAAGGCGAAAATATTGTCAAGATGTGTCGAGGAGGTGTTAACGACGTGGAGAACGAGTACCGCCTTTTTAGTTTGGCGCGCACTCTTGTTGCGGTTAGCGAATGCCTGACAAGGGTTGGTCGCATTAGTGAAGCAATACTAGCTTGTCGAGAAGCGTTGTCGATCTACAAAGCGTACGAGAGTCAAATGTGGCACTCGTTTTTGTTGCCGTCGCGCAAGGAGAAGTTGGGAGGGATGGCATACCAGACGTTGTCTCGTCAATTGTTGCTGGCTGGGAGCGTTGACGAGGGGCTGGTTCATGCGCATGCGGCGGTCGATATATACCGAAAGTTAGTCGAGCTCGTGCCCCGACATAGACCAGCCCTTGCCGAAGCTCTTCAAAACCTCGCTAGAACCTCACAGATTCACAACCACCCTCAAAAGTGCTTAGAAGCGTGTGAGGAGGCAATAACGATATTACTCGAAGTTGTTAGTAACGAGGCCTATCTCCTTCCGATGTTGGTAGCCGCGCTGGACCAGCTTGAAACGTATCCTGGCCATAATCAGGAGTGGCTCGTTGCAATGCGAAGTGAAGCGACCGCTATAGGTTTCGTTGCCCACAATTCCACAGTACCCCGCACCCTGTTTACGCCCGTTCGTCTTTTACGACTCGATTCCGATGGTGACGATTCCCTCTCCAATTCAATAAACTTGAACTGGCGGACACTGGTCGAAGATGGAGATCTAGATGGCATTCCGAAGCAGCAGAACATCACCCTGACAGCGAATCTGGACTCGTCCCCAACCAAAACTTCCCATCGCGGGCAGAAATTGCAGAGCTTCCTCCCTTTGGACCTTGATAAAGTAGAGCTGGCTCCACTAAAGACAGCTCTTTATACCCCGATGGAAATCCATTTGCGACTAACGCCTATTGACGCTTTTTGGTGGGCAATTGTTGTGATGCTCAGCATGTTGGTCGCCGTGTTGGGTGTAGTTATTCTGGCACAGGATGGTAGAAATGAGTGACCTTCAGTGATACTTGTACGCTTATTATATCACAAATCGCTATTTGAGACAAATTTGAGAGACTGGATGTAAGACTGGACGCGTATCCTATCACGTGAGATCAGTCACCAGTCACATCACACCCTTTCCCTCGTCAACTCAGACCAGTTTCCCCATTCTCCCGACCAACCACAAGCTACCCACCACAGGAGCTGAATCGCCATCCCGCTCATCTCTGTCTACAAACAACGCAACTTCTCAAAGGCTTATTGCGGCCAAAATGCCCGCTCAGACGGTCGAAAGCGCCAAGGCGGCATCGAACGACCTGGAGATTCTTCAGAACCTCAAGGATATGATCAAGGCGGGACAACACGAGCTTTATCGCTCCGTACCACAGCCTCAGGCCCTCACCGCTATATATCTGGGCCCCAACGGCAAGGTAAGCTTATCTTCGTCATTTTTTCTCAACTTTCTTACCTTCATATGAGCCTCAAACTCCACCAACCGCTAGCGAAACGACTCCCACGGCTTCACACGCTTCTTGGGACCGCCCCGCTCAGACAACAAGTTATACCAATGGTCAAACCAGCACTGGGGTAGATCGTCGTCCACCAGATGTGCGGGCCCCGCCTTCTACCAGCAGTCGCAATCCTCAAAACTCTCTTGCTACTCCGAGTTCTGCTCCAGTTGCTGCGAATGCACACGTGCAAGGCCAAGCCTCTGTTGGACAGACAACAAGTCTTCGAGAGCGTATAGGGACCTCCACAAACGAATCTCAAGCCCGCACCCAAGCGCAACCTCAAAATGCATCGGCTCCTCTAATGGCTTCAAGTGCCTTAGCTGCCCCAACTCCAACTTCGTCCGCCCTCAACCCGCGCTCATTGGAAGCACGTTTGTCGACACCTCTTTCGAGCAATGGACGATACGATGACCGCCTACCTTCTTCTGCCTCTCGCGACCGTTACGAGCCACGCGAACGAGAGCCTGCAAGGCTAACTCCGCCACGCGACCGTCCTCTAGACTACGACAGATATGCAAACGATCGATACACTGGTGGAGAACGTTACCCGCCCTTACCATCTTCTGTGGAACGAGACCGTGACCGCTACTTACCTAGTGGTGACCGATACATCCCAGTTTCAGCAAGCGAACGAGAAAGAGAACGCGAAAGGGAGCGGGAGCGAGAAAGATATCCGCCACCTTTACCTCCAAGATCAGCGTCTGTGGTACCTGAAAGACGTTATTATGACGAAAGAGATCGTGAACTAGACCGTCGAGGAGAATACCATCGGCCAGAATATGATGATCGCGACAGAAGGTATGCACCAGCTCCAGCGCTTGTTGAACGCGACCGTCGTGACTGGCCAGCGGACTATGGTGGAGATAGGCGGAGTTGGGAAACCCGCGTCGTTGCCGCAGCACCGGCACCACATCCACTCCATCCAACGAATCATCCTGCCGCCGCACATCCTGTGGGTGTTAGTGCTGTTGCTGCTTCGTCTCCTTATGCTGCATTCGCCCCATTACAAAACCCCCCACCAAGAACATTTAGGGCGCCATCTCCTCCTCGTGACTCGCGTATTCGTCCTCGAAGTCTCAGTCCTGGTCGTGGTGTCATCGCACCACCAACAAAAAGGGCTAGAGGAGAAGAATATGTTGCAAGTGGTGCTGTCGCTGCCCCAGGGGATTATTATCGGCCTGCAGAAAGAGATCACCCACCAGCTACACTAACTCCAAGAGATTCTCTACCGCCTACGTCACGTGAACTCCGGGACATGCCCCCGTTAGGACGGGATCCAATTCCAACTGCAAGAGAACTTCGCGATATGCCGCCGCTCCGAGAAAATCGTGAACTACCCAGAGACATTCGTGAGCCACCAAGAGAACTTCGTGACGCTCCTCCTCTTCGAGACATTTCAAGAGACCCTCGTGATGCTCCGCCTAGTTCTGTAGTTATCCCGTCGCCTACCACATCCCGAGAGCCACGGGATCCCAAACCACTGCCAAGCGCCACCTTGCCACCACAACCTGTTTCTGCCTCCAGGGAAGCTAGACCACCCCCCGCTCTGCAAAATGGTGAATTTTCTCGTGCGCTCTTTCCAACGACCAAGTATCCAGTTGATCCTCGAGACATTGACCTTGTACGTGGGCGTCCCATTGATCCATACGACCCGCGTTACTACGACGAACGACGGATGTATGACGAGCGTGTGGAACGTGATGCGCGCGACGGTCGTCCAGACCCGCGACTCGATCCCCGAGATGTCCGGCCATCGGAGCGCGAAAGAGAGCGCGAGTTGCGGGAAAAGGAGCAACGAGAACGGGAGCGAGAACGAGAACGGGACAGAGAGCGGGAGCGAGAACGTGACAGAGAGAGAGATTTACATCCACCCGCTCCTGCACATCGTGAATCGCACCCACTTCCTGCGCCCCCGCCTCGAGAGTTGAGGGAAGCACCCCCGCTGCGCGACTCACGTGACCCTCGAGATGCTGTTCCGATGCGCGACCCCCGCGACCGAGACATCCCGATGCGGCCCATTGATCCGCGGGAAAGAGAGAGGGAGATCTTGCGGGAGCGGGAGCGAGAGAGAGAACGTCCTTTGGACTATCCGGGACCTCCGGTGTATAGAGACGAGCGGGAGCGGGACAGACGATATGCACGATGAAGTTGGTTTTTTGCTTGTTCTTCGCTTTGATTTGGGCTGATCTGGTTTCGTAGAGAAGATCTTAGAGAAGAATTTAGTTTACATGCTTGACAAACCACACCACTGCCATTGAATAAAAAATCTTGACCATGTTCTCCCTACCATTGACTGGAAACCATCTGCAAATTATTAGTGGAGATAGCAAACTAGAGAGGGCAAGTATGCACTATTACATTATTAACTAATAAGGACTCTCTAGCTGTTTGAGAAGACTTTCAAACTCATTCCAATGCTTCATGATAGGGTTAGCCCCCGCCTGCTCCAACACACCACGCATCTTGTCCTGCTCCTCCGACTCGTAGCTGCCAATGTATCCCACCGTCTTGATACCGGCTCGAACTGCACTCAGAGTGCCGTTCTTGCTGTCCTCCACCGCCACGCACTCGCCTGGCTGTTTCCCTAACACCTCGCACGCATGGAGGTAGATCGCCGGGTCTGGCTTGCTCGTGGGCTTCGCGAGACTGGTCGCAGCGCTGAATATCCGGTTGCTCGGGAAATACCGGTCCATGCCGACCTTATCCACGCTGGCCTGGACGCGCCGGCCCGCGCTCGAACTGACTACGGCCATTTCATACGCGTTAGTGTCAGCAAGCGAGGCGAGGACAGCGTCCACCCCCATGCACGGCTCGAGTGCCGCCCGAATCTTGCCAATCACAGCGTCTTCTTCGCGGGAGACATAGTCGTCGAAGGCGTCCGGTGGGAGCGAGAGACTATATTTCTTTGCCAGGGAGGACATCTGCTCGCGGAATGAGCAAATCCGATTTCATTTCAGATAAGGCCCAGGGGGCTACCATGCCACGGAAGTTTTGTCCCACAAACTCGTTGAATAGCGCGGGCCCAGTATATCGATCGGATATGCCCTGCGACGCGAGAATCTCGTTTGCAAGCTCCGCGCAGGCCTCAAAGGCGAGTGTCTCCGAAAGAACAAGCGTGTTGTCGCAGTCGAACAGCAGAGTAGAGACCTTTGGGTATGTTCTGTTTGTGCTCTTGAACATTAGAGCGCAATAATACCTTGGGCATGGTATGGTGGTCGAAAGCCAAGTGGTAAGTAGTTTGCATGACGTCATCGGAGACAAAATACTGAAGTTATAATTCACATTGAGTAAGTACATGATTAGAGCGACGATTACAATGAGATAACTAAGGTACTAGAATGCAAAACCTGAGTTGGGACTGCCCGTTGCCCGACTAATCGGCCACAAAGTGCGTGGTTCACTCGCAGAGAATGTTGTCACGTGTCCTGACGACCAGAAGGGTGGCAACCGTTGTGACGAGGGCGGAGTGGAGTCTGTTTCTCGAACAGGTCTTGAACTTGTCCAAGAATAGCCCGCATCTGCCGCCCCACTCTCCGTTTCAATCTCAAGGTCAAGGTCTTCTTCGCTCGAGTCGATTGGTGAGCCCGTCGTACTCGTTTGGAAGATGGAGATTGGTAAATCCATCATGGGCGGGGGAGCATACATGGTCATTCCGGCCTGACGATGGGCAGGAGCGGCGCTGCCAGCGCCAGCCGTCTCTGGCGATGGATGCGAAGGCCGTAAAAGATGGTCTGACCATAAAGCGCCCCCAGTGCCCTCCCGTTCGTCGTCCGAGTCCGACTGCCCACCTCGCGCGTTCCCCCCTTGCGGTGGAAATGGAGAGCGGACCGTGAATTCGAATGACTGGGGAAGGTGTTGGTTGGGGAGCGGCGGGCGGACTGTGGTTGGCGTCCATTGCTGTTGGGGAGGAGGTAAATGGCTGCGAGAGCCAAAAGCAGGATTTGGAGGCGACTCGTGAGACAAACGGCGATACTGGTGACTGTAGCTTGCAGATGGCAAGCCCAATCCCAGTCCCAAACCCAGCCCTTCAAACGCTCGCGGGAGTTGCATCCCACCCATTCTCATCTCCGTCGACGGAGAGAACGTAGAGCTCATCCCATCTAGCGTCCTTAGACGTTTAGGCGAGGATTGACTCAACTCTATCTCGTTGTTGTGATATGGAGACGAACTTGACGATTCGTTGTCGCGAAGGTAAGTTCGGGATGGCGAAGAAAAACTTGACATGGCGTTCATCGGTGAGTTCGGGAGCTCTGGGTTCGTCAGAGATATGGACGGCGACGTGTTATTGGCTGTTTTGTCTGAAGCTCTAACTTCTTTCCGTATGCGCAGTTTGACGCCCTGAGCGGCTAGGGCACGCGTCAAGGGAGTAGATACTAACGAAGAAATCTTCAATCACGCGCGTAGTTTGGCTCAGGCTGCATACCTTGAACTCCGGGGTAGAGCTTCCCGGGGTATACAAAGAAGGGCTGAGAAAAGGTGACAGCACATGGTTTGACCACATCCCTAAATGTGAAACTTGAGAGCGGGACGATATATAGAATGAACCACGCACGACTCGATCACAAAAAGGCTCAGTTTAAATCTCCAACTTCCCTCCAGGCGGACGCAGATATCAGGGAAAATAAAAAAGGCCGCATCGTCGTCCGAGTTGGGGTGGTCTTTGAGGACACGAACAGAGGAGACCAGAGCACCAGATGTGCTCGGTTTTCCATTCTCCTGTGATAGAGTAAGAAATGCCCTGGTGGAAAAGGACGAAACCAACACATTTGATGTCTTGATCACCGTTGGTCGTGACAAGGGCCGCATACATAAAGTAGTATGGGTTTGTTAAATGTGGCGTTCGATTTGCGGGCCTACCGCAACATTAACATTAGAAGTGGCGAAGCGTGTAAAAATTCGTCTACCTATCAATAGACCTTGCTGAAATGTCTGCCGGGGAGCCACTGGGATCGGTTACATTGAGTTGAACGATAATGGGTGGGTCAACTGGTCTGCGATCTGCTGAGGCACATCAGCCACTCAGCCGACGGCAAAGGCGCCAAACAGACAACAAAAGACTGACCCGAAACTTTCATTGCCGAAATCCGGGCGTGTAACGGTTGTTGGCGGATAGTGATGTCGTACTTGAGCCTACATGGTCTGAAGTGAGGCGGAGGGAAAGCGGCGCAAGACAGGCTTGACGCGTACGTTTCAGAAATACCGGCCATGACTAGTTAGCCGGGAGTAAGCAAGGGGGTTGCTGCGATTGCCCTTAGTCTTGCGCGTTGTGGGGTAGAAGAGGAGCGGAAAAAATAGGCTCGATGGCGAATTGACGGTGGGCGAAGATGCTGTGGGATAGATTACTGCATCCATACCTCGCGGCGAGCGCGTGTTGTACCATGAGATGAAGTCGCTATCCGCAGACAATCGAACGGGTAAACAAGTGAGATGGTAGTGAGTGGCAGGGTCGGGCCGGACCTAATAGAGGAGAGAACATGCCAGATTAGAGTGAGAACCATTTAACTGGGTCGTGCTTGCCTTGTTGGACCAAATAGGTCGAGTCATTGTCCGCTGTGCTCTGCCTGCGTCTCAAGGATCTGCTTCGCTCGGGTGTTTGCGGTTACAGCTTTGAGAGCCGGCAGGAAGTTTTCGGACTGGTTGACACTGACGACCCGGTTTATCAACATGCAGGAAGACCATTCAGAATCAACGAAGCAAATTTGTGGTCAGTGGAGCTGATTCGGAAAGATTATCGATGTAGTGCGTTCGGCATGGAATAATGCACAGAGAAAGCTGAATCGATTGAAGAGAGACGAAAGTGTCACACACGCAATTTGTCACACCTACAACTGCTAAGACCTAGTCAAATTCTCAGAATATCGGCATTCACTGGACATCTGTGCCTTGCAGCAATGAACTTGAAGGAACAGCATGAAGTCCTTTTACATTGTCTCCGTAGACTCGGACATGAGCACTAGCGCCATCGTCAAACATAGTTTCCTTTCAAATCATTATGCCTTCGGAACTTGAGAGCCTCTCATTCGCTGCAGACTCGGAATCAACAATGAATTCTGCCCCAACAAGGCTGCTCACCGTGCGCGAAGAATAGGATACACAAGAACCCAGTTTTCAGCATGCTACTAAACGTAACGGGATGTTGCCATGAAAGCTTGCTTTGTCGGACGATGCTTGTTTTCCTCCTCGTAACTTAGCTTTTGAGTCATCGATTACTGGCCGGTTCTGTGACCAGGATCCTTGTCGGCGTTTTCCGTACCTCGTGTTCGCTGGCCTCCACAGGCAAAATGGCACCCTTCGTCTTCAGTGCTCGGAGAATGCAACTGCAGATGACTCTTATGTCGTGTGGTCAACGAGCGCTTCATATCCGACATATCGGTCCGAGGTAGCTCCCAGACATCAAGTCTTGAACGAATGTGGCTCAGATGCGATATCGATTGCACGAATTTCAAGCATTATTCCCCACGCCAAAAGGCTTAGTCAATGTGTTTTGGACTTGAAAGGTTTCTGCTTCAACTTATCACACAAAAAAGCAACTGGATTTGAACACCGTTCATGAACAAATCTGGCTTTATATCCTTCAATAAACCACAGGCAGGAATCAAGAATACACCTATGTAATCAACGCCCATGCCCTACTAGTAGAGAACAAGTTCTTCCTGCGAACCGCGCATGTAGCTCCGATTGCCAGATGGTAGAGCAAAGCCTACAAAGGAGAAAAGAATATGCAGATAAAAATCAACAGTGGCGATGTAGGGAGAATGGTATGATGCGTGGGCGCTGTCGCACGGCTATCAGTCTAGATACGAGGAAGGAAGGTATTATGCGTACGACGATCCATAGCCTAGCTGGTCACTACCAACCCTCGCAAAGGGCTGGATCAAGAGGGGCAATAACATTGGCCTTCTTCTTGCCATCATCCGACTTTGACTTCGCCGGTGCGACTGGGGGTGCACCTCTTTTAGGGCGTGGTAGGATGTTATTAGAGCCAAGGGAAGGTGTCTCCATCGACAGCGACGTGGGGGAGACGGGTGTCGGGAGCGGGGTGTAGAAACTGTTGGCACTGCTGCTGCTGGTGGTGGTCGATGCCATGGTGTTTACGCGATGAGGACAAACGATGGGGAGGACAGAAATAACGCGGCCGTGGCGAGTAGATGGTGGACAGAGGGAAGTTGTGGAATGAGGCCCGACCGTTTGACGATCGCTCTTTAGGCGATTGTTAGGGGACCCTAATGCTTTTTTGTTAGGGGCACGGATAGGTCGAATTCATCGGCTGGGACGATTTAAGGCACGTCATCGCCATTCTGAGGGGTAGAAGAGTGGCAAGGCAAATCGGGAGCCTACCGATGTTTGTATCCCACAGAAGATGCGTCCGGGGAGATAATGATGCGCGAGCTTTTTTAGTATGTAAAGTTTGCGTGGACGCCACGACGGGCTGGTACTTGTTAGATTTGAGAGAACTTGAACATGTCACTAGCCCGGGTGTCGAGGTGGTACATGAAGTGGTTGATAGCAGTGCATAGGGCCCAAAGTGTCTAGCTCTTGATATAGGGAGTGGAGAGCGACGCATTTGACAAAGTCCAAGTCATCAACTGTGACATTTACCGTGACAGATCACGCGACCTTAAGTACCTTTCCTCTAATCTCTGATTCTGAGTCCAAGTGTGCTCTCTTCTCGCTCAATGAGAAGGGCCTGTAACGAAACGCATATGCATTCCCACCATGAAGCATTTTTCACGCAGGATAGGATGCTAATTAGGCCCTGCCAATCGAAAGAAGCCCTCCTGACTTCACTTTCGCCCTATCACGGAATTTAAAAGTCCTTGGTCGACCTCTAATCGGAGTTACTTTCATGGAAATCATTCCTCAATCTGTCTCCGCGCCTACCGAACGCGTTGTACCAACTTTCAAACGGCCTTTGGGCCCAAATGAACTGTTGGTCTTGATCTATCTTCCAAAGACTTTCAAGGTCTCATCCATTTAAAGATCGTACTTTCTTCCGAGCCGCGCTTATGGCCTCAACGACATCTTCAGTTCGTTACTCTACTTCATCCCGTAGCAGAAGACACTGATTTATTCAATAGCTCGAATAACATTTTTCGCACCCGCCGAACTCATTTCACCTTTTCGCATCCAGGTCGCCTGGGCCGTCACACTGCTTCGGCATACCCTTCTTGCGTCAACCATTGAAATGAAGCCAGGGGACTACGACGGCGCGGAGTTCGTGTATACCCCACCAATAGATGCGCAAGACGCCTTTCGACAAGCTGGTGCTTTTATCCATTTCCACGATAGCAAATGCCGCCGGGATCTTCTCGATCGCGTTTATAATGGGCCCAGAATGCTGCCTCCCGCCTCCCAAGGCCTGTCGAGACTTGATATCGCCCGTTTCGGCCAGGCGCCAGGAGAACCCGACGGGGTCCATGAATTTCAATTGTTTTTCTGGACCCCGCATTCCATTACACAGTCTCCTGCGGCCCACCGGTGTCTCAACGGTATTTTTGAGATCTTGGCTGGCGGACACAAGAACACAACGAACCCACGGTCGAACGAAGAACTCTTGAAGTTGCTTGACGAGGAATGGAGAACACGTTGGCCAAATCGAACGCAAGAACATCCTATTCCGCCCTCTTCTGAGACGAGGATGGGCCTTCTAGGGTATGAAGAGCCCCTGAAGGATGACACACCTTCCAAGGTTCAGTTGACAAGTTGGTTGGCACCAGTAATAAACTGATGTTATATCATTTGCAGGGCGGTCAAACGTTCCCTCGGGTTGTTCCCTCCAACACTTATGGCAGCATCCGTACCATCCGTGCGCGATTCAACCAGCAACAAACGGCTGCTATATTTACTAAATGTAAAGCACAACAAGTCAGCTTCGGAAACGTCGTCTTCGCTCTCAGTAATCTGGCATGGAATCGTCTCGCTACCAGCCATCCAGAGCTCTCTGCCCCTCGTTCGCCTCCGACAGTAATGTACACAGCTATTGGATTGCGAGGGCTTGCTCCTGGACTCGAACTTTCTCCAACACCGACTTGTGACCCTTGGGACATGTCTCTAACTCTTGGGTACCACACCGTCTCGCTTCCAGTTTCCGCCCAAGAAAGCCTGCCCTTTCTTTGGAAGCAGGCGCGACTTGCTCAGGCCCAAATGCGCGATTACACGCACGATGAGCCAACATCACTTCGTGGGCGCGTACTCACGACTGCTCTGGCGCGTGCGGAAAGGGCCAAAGCCTGGGCTCGCATCGACGACGGCTTTGCCTCGACTCCGGCCGTGTCGAGCAAGAGTCAAGGAGCGCCAGCACTGCTTGGTATAACACACACGGGGGAAACCAAGTCGGTGTACCGCACCTCGTATTACCCATCACTGAAGCTGATCGAAACCGTTGGTGGCTCGCGCAAAGGACCGGGGGGCATCCTTCTGTCGTCGCGCACGTTCTTGGGCCAGCTGAACCTTTGGCTGGCTTGGGACGACGCTGTTCGCCCGCCTGGGCTGCTCGAAGAATATTGGGGTCATTTGGTCGACGGTATGCATCAGTATGTTCTGGGAGATGTTGCCCTGTGCGGAACAGCAGAAGAGGAAGACTTGATACGTGGCGTGACGATTAGTAGATGTACCGCCAAAGCAAAATTATAATAGAATATCTTCCTGCACAGAGGCATTGGTGTTAAAAAGAATTCCAAGGAAGATTTTGGCCTTCCACCAGCTCCAAATATTGACTTGATTTTAGGTTTATCTTAGCCCGTAAATAGAATCAATAACCGTATTGAGATGAGTCCGTGCCCGTGAAAGATTGAATGTTCCGAATGAGTTAGCGATATTATACAGGCAGGATTATGGAGGGTCATCAGTAGACGTTAGTACAGAATATGGCGCATCAGAGAAGGTATGATGTAATGGCGACCCCAGCAGCAAATGATATCGCAAGCACTGAGAGAGAGAGAGAATTTGTCAGCTCGGAGTTGAAAAAGTGAGACCATCGTACTCGATTGGGTAGCATGTCGCGCGTCATTCCTGCTCGCGCCACTGCCCGCTTGTGGCGAGCCTGAGGATCCGGCGAGGTCCGATAGCTGGGCAAAACCGATTTGGTTGGGGTTGACGCGGTAAACAGAGTACACATTTTTCTAAAGAGATTTCCGTCAGTGTCCGGATCAGAAGAGATAGCACACACAAGGAATGTATCGCCGACAACCCACGACGGGTTTCCTGAGCTGGGAGTGATGGCACTGCCTAGCGTAAGGTCGAAGATGCCGCCAATGCACATATTGCTGCTACTCCCCGAGCCAAGGTTCATGTCGGCGGGATTGATAGGCCACACCTTCCCACCAAACGACATACTGACTTGTATGACAGTGGAACAAGCTGCGGTGAAAGATCAGGAGCAGAATTGCGATCATGTAAAGAATGCATACGGAACTCGAAATAGCCTTCCATAGTGGGACTCCTAATAGCGCCAGGAATGGTACTGTAGATGGCAGCGACGTCAGCACTCGGTCCACCGATGAGTGTGGTACCGGTGTCTATAGCAGCGAGAGCGCCTTTGGTGATTGGCACTGAAGTGTTCTGCACTGTAACTTGCGACACACCCAACAGCCAGAAGGTGGGTTGGCCTGGGGTTATAAGATTCAAAAACTCGATTTCGCCTTGGAAAAGCGAGGAGTTGGTGCCACCAAGAGTGAAAGAGCCTCCTGGCTCCTCCTCAGCGAAGCGCCGCGATCCACGAAATCGCGTGAGCCAGAATGCCATCTCTGGCGTCGCAAGCTGGTTGCTCGACACAAGTGCCTGCCAGAAAGGGACAGCTTGTGTAGATGCAATAGCACCAAATGCAAGGCCCATAATACCGGATACGGAGCCGGAGAGAAGGCCGTTCGAAATGGCAGTGACTTTCACTGATATTCCATTAGCTTGCGTAGAGAACGACAATACGAAAGACTCACGAAAGCCTTGCTTTGCAACAGAGAAAGTGCCCATGCTGACGCTTTCAACGCCTAATAAGCCCTGCACCTGACCCGAGCCATAGCTGATGCCTACGGGTTGTGCAGACTGTTGTTGGAACGTACTCGACTGGCCAGAATTGAACACGGGAGTTTCCCTGATGCAATTGCGACATGAAGAGTCTGCGACCCACAAGTCAGAGGATCCGGTGTCGAGGATGACATTAAAGGATTGTGGACTGTGAAGTGGTCAGTCAAAGGCTTGGGAGCACGATAATCATCGAGGGCTTGGAACAGCGTGGTGATTCCTTGGCTCAAGATACGACATGCATGAAATTGAGCGCGAGGACGGGCGCTGAGGAAAACGGAGCCAGTAGGACTTACGGGGTGCCAATGCTAACAGTCCCGAAGTAGCTGGAGTCTCCTTGCTGGACCAGTATTCAACATCGTCGCTATGATGACGTCGAAGCGCATACCTGATTCACGAAAGGTAAGCTTTGGGAACTCGCTCTCCGTTGCATTCGTTTCGTAGTTGAGTTTGAAGGCTTGCCGTAGCCATACCGAGAGCGAGCAAAATCTGCTGCGGCCTGAAAGTCGGATGGAGATGAAGGCCACCGACCGGCTCTTCGTGAGATCTCAATGTGAATGGGTTCGGAGACTACAAATGCGGGGAGAGACAGAAGGATAGCGGCGATGGAAAGAGGAATCATGGAGGAAAACAAGAATGAAAGCAGGCCAAGCCGGTGCCTGCGAAGTTAGCCGTCACCGACGTGCTCGTGGAGATGAAGTCAGGTTGGTGACATGCTGTGGATCAGCCGCCGATGGCCGTTCCTGCCGAAGCTGCCAAGAGCACAGTTGTCGCAGTCATCGACCTTTCTTAGCCTTTCTTACACAAGAGGGTGGACCCACAACAAGGCAAAATGAATCGCAACATCAAAGACTCTCCCCAATACTCACTGAGCAAGGCGACTTGCTCTCAGATGTCTCAGCGTCCTCTCTGAATCATACATAATGCGCCAAGAAAACGAATTTGCTTATGAGTAACAGTTGTACTCCTTGTGTCTGGAAAATCTCCTCATTGGAGATTTCATCGCCAAAGTTACAGTCCTTGCATAACTCTACTTAGGTTCGCTTGGAGTTCCACACTCGTCTGTTGACTTTTTTTCAAAACCTTCAACTTGTCATTGGTGAACGCGTTCAATTGGCTTCCATCCAATGGATAGAGAGTCTAGGCCTAGGCCTGATAGCTATTTAAGTGCCGCTTTGGCGCCGTGGCAAACAAGTTCTGTTCACGAGCAACAAGTAACGACAGTTGATGTCCCTTGAAGCAGGTTCATTCAGATGCAAGTAGATGCCTTCAACTTTGCTTCAACGTTGTTGCCCAGAGACTCTTGTCCTGCTCTTGGATAACGACGGGAGACGTCGTCGGATTCACGGCGCCTAATATAGTCCATTGGCAGTGTAAGCAACAAGTGAGGCCAAGAACGATGGTATCAAAATGAGGCATTTGTTTCGTGTTGTGGTCTTGTAAATTGCAGCCTGAGGGATGGGATCCAACGCCGACGCAAAAGAAAGACGGCGGCGAGCTCACTTTGAGAAACCACTAATGCAATGTAACTGCATGCTATTGGCGGCCAAGGATTGGTTGAAAGGGCGTCGCGGCGGTGCCGGATCGTTGCTGCTAGGGCGGGCAACAACTCGGTTATCACACAAATGATACTCTCATTGAATTCTGTCAGATTGCCTCAACCTCCTTCTTTCTTTCCTTCTCTCTCCGTCTCTTTCTTTCCTCTCTCGGTCTGGACCTTTCCCTCTTTTTTCTACGCTCCAGCGCCGCGCGCCGCACTCATTCATGTCCTCGCTATCGTTTGCTCTCTTCGGCCTACTCGTCTCGCACGCCACACATGCTATCCCTATGTCCCGACGATTCTCTGGGAGAAATTTCCACTCTTATGACAGTATGAGGAGGCAGGGGAATGTAGATGGAACTATCGGATTAGGAGACAACTCGGACTTGTACGTTTGAGTTGTTCTTTCCGGCTACCTACTCTCACGTCTTCCCCCCAGACTTTACACGGTCCCCATTCAACTGGGAGACACCACTACCGTCGTTAACCTTGGTGAGCGATCCATTGCTTGTCTCAGGCAACTTCCTCAACCTCTAAAAAAGACACCGGCTCGTCTGATCTCTGGGTAATAACCACCGACTGCACAACAAATGCCTGCGCCAAGTCACGCACGACCCATCTTCCTGCCAAGTCTCTGTCGAGGACTGGTGCAAATGTAACGATGAGATACGGGGATTCTACGACTGGCACCTACGCAACAGGAAACATTGCCATAGACACTGTCTCCATTGCCGGCGTAGCTATTGAGAACCAGCTTTTTGCCGCTATCGAAGACACGACCAATGCTGGTACGTCCTGAAATCTATTATGATCCACGACTAAAAAAAACATTTCAGTCGTCCAATTTGGTGCTGCGGGTATTTTCGGTCTGGGCTTCCCGACCGAGTCGTGAGTGACGCGTACGCCGCCTGGAATACCGCTAATATCCGTGTAAGACAGATCCAAGGCGCAGCAGTCACCAAGCAGTTTGGCCCACAAGCAACAACTGACCATTTCGTTGCCTCGTCTTATGCAGATGGTCCACTCATCTCCAGAATCGCACAAACTGGAGCCCTAGAGATGGCTATGTTCGCTATCACTCTTCAACGGTCCACCATCGATATTTCTGGTACTGGTGCACTCACTCTCGGCTCACTTCCACCTGGCGTCGATAACAAGACCATCACATGGGTCCCCGTCCGTCTCTACAAGCCTGAGGAGGGTGGAATTACGGCACCGACCTTTGCGCCAAACGAGGTCTACCCACTTCGCTGGGAAATTGATCTGGATGCTGTCTGGCTTGATGGCAGGAAAGTCCCCGCTTCCAAGATCCCAACTAGCGGTGGTGTTGATGCCACGAGGATGTCTGCACTTATGGACACCGGAAACTCGATTCTTCGTGGGCCAAAAGATGTGGTCAACAACATACTTGGCTCAATCTCGCCCGAGTACGACCCCACAATTCCCAACAGCGCCACACTCGCTTGTGCTCAAGCCCACAACTTGACTTTCCAAATCGGCGGGAAAATGTTCCCCATCGACCCCCGCGACCTGATCGGCCCGACGGAAGCCGGTCAAGCACAGGAATGTGTGGTTGACAACCTTGTTTCGACCGATGCTCCTGGTGTTGGTGCGCTTTTCCGCTGGAGCTTAGGCGATCCGTTCTTTCGGTCGAACTTGGTTATCTTCCACTTTGGCAACCTCACCCACCCTTCGCAAGACCCTCCTAGAATCGGCATCGTCTCCCAGGTCCCCGCAAACGCTGCCGACCTGCTGCTCCAAGCCATCGCTGATGCGGAAGACAACGGTGGTAACTTCGACTGTGAGTCATGCCTATCTTTTGTTTCTAGTTTATTGATTGTTGATCGGCAGCTACACTCATCGTTGCGCCAACACAGGAAGCCGATCTGAAGCCTGAAGTAACTGTCAGACCGCTCTCCGCCTCCTCCCAGGCAGCTGGCCTCACCAGCAAGAAGGCTGCCCCGACATCCATTGTTTCCAAGCCACCTACTCGCCCAGCGACAACAACGGCGCCCACGATTCCCCAGCAGACCAATGTCGGAACAGCAAACGACAACAAGACTTCGGGAGCATCAAATTTACGGCCTGCGTTGGCGGCTCTCGTTTTGGCTGTGTTTGGTGCTGCTGTTATTTGGTAGTTGTGAATCTTGGACTTGTAGCACATCGTGGACTTTGACGCATTCTTCCCCTACATTTCTCGCACCGTCGTAATTGTTGTCGTTCATTAACATATCGTCGATAATCGCATTGCATTGAATTGGCTCACGGGACAGGAATTTTTTATCGTTGGAACAACTTGATCCCTCTTGATCCCAACAAGAAGAATTGACCGCTCGCGTAATCAATAAACGTGATCTGCTTCTTCTACCTCCTCCACTCAATGCGAAGTACTCAATAAGCACTGTGCGACCTTTCCATCTTCGCGGACCTGGCTGGATGAAACTTCGGGACCGCTGCTTCACGGTACCGCTATTGACTGAGGGGACGATTTGCAGGTATCTATTAATATTTCTGCTGCCCTGAGTGCAAGTCCAGTATCAGGAGACTTACATGCCCGATGGACCTCGTTCTTCCTTTGGCAGTGACTCAAGGCAAGTCAGACCAAACCTCGCAGCCGTCGTTGTTGACTCGAAATTCTAAATCAGCTACATGTTGACGGCTGATCATCTTTCTCACACCTGAAATCCACCTCTCCTCGGCAGATACAAAAGCAAGGCCGACCGCGTCTAGCTTACAACGACCAACACCTGTTCTCCGATGGCATCCTCAGCGACCTTTACTACAACCCAGCTGCCCAAATTCCGCGCTCTTCTCGAAGAATGGCAGGAAAAACGAGCTCCAGCAACAGGATTTACCTTGCCACTTTCCGAACTCAGACCAACGACCAAGGACGCGTCGAAGGACGTGATTGTCGCGTTTCGTACACGCCCTCCTCTTCCGAACGAAGCTGCCGATAAATTCCACGCTAATCTCGATGCTGAAGACGCGTCTACTGAAACTGTGGAGTTCTGTGCGGGTGTTACTGTCGCCAGCGCAGAACCAGGAATCTTTGTCGCACACGTGCCAGGGATGAAGGTAGCTATTGCTTTCATACCATGAAGCCACTTCTGAGACCGATTTCAGTGGAATGGACCAACACTCGCTCACAAGACTTACGAAGCCGACCTTGCTTTCGGGCCCGATGTCAAGAATGAAGAGGTGTATCAGCGAACAGTAGCGGTTAACGACGTTTGTCGCATCGGATTTACACACTTTTTGTGTCTAAACCAGTAACAGCTTCTGTCACTTTCGCTTTCTGGTGGTGTTGCCTGCATTCTCGCCTATGGTCAAACAGGCAGTGGCAAGACCTATACCATGGAGAGCATAGAACATCATATCGCCAGGGATCTCTTTGATGTTGCGCGCACTGTTGGAAAACGCTTCGTCCAAGCGCAAGGTTCTGAGACCGCATTGACTCCAGAAGTCGAAAGTGGAGAAATCTTCGAGTTCAATGTGACCTTTCTAGAGCTGTTGGGGAAGCACGCTTCGGATTTACTAGAGACCACCGACAAATTTGATGAACAGGGCAACCCCATTCGCACTGAGATTGCCGTCCGTGAAGACAAGGTTGGAAATGTCCGCCCCAATCTCATTTCGACCGGCGTTCGCACTTCAGACGACCTCGAAGAACTCATCAACAAGGCTCTATCCCATAGGCGAACAACAGCAACTCTCCGAAATGCCAAAAGCAGCCGGAGCCACGCTCTACTCACGATTACAATCAAGAACACACTCCTCCCTTACGCAGAGGAAGGCCAGCTAATCCTTGTCGAGTTCGTTTGCCCCGCCTCTGTGCGTTCCGATTCTTACTACAACGCTTAGTCTTGCAGGCAGCGAACGCTACGAGGATTCGAAGGAGCACGACAAACAACGAATGGAGGAAGCGCGGGAGAACAATAAAAGCCTGATGAACCTCAAAGAATGTGTTCGCTCAAAAGCCAAGATGGCAGCAGAAGACGGCTTTGTGCACATTCCGTGGCGCTCAAATAAGCTGACTATGCTACTGAAGCCGATATTCGACATTGAGTCGCGCCAGCCATCCAAGGCCATGATTATTGCTCATGTTTCGCCTCATATCCAAGATACTGTGCATTCGTAAGTTTATCTTGTCCTCATCACTTATAAGGCTCATTTAGATACAGTACCAACACCTTGTCTTACGCAGCGCCTTTCTTAACCATTCCCCCCAAACCTCGTGGGCCTATGTCCTATGATGCAGAAGACCCTCGAACCTGGGATCATGGCAAGACCGTCCAATGGCTCACTACGCAGTTCACCAAGCTCGCAAACAAGAGTCGATTGGCAGAGTGGAAAGTCAAGGCTAAACAGGCTGAGTTGTCTGGGAAAAGACTAAAGCCTCTTGGTGAAGACGAGCAAATTGACATCGGGGTCGACGTACTCGAGATCTGTCCACCTGGTTCGACCGCAAAAAATCTCGGCGTCTTGTATACTCCACAATTTGTTGAGGCCTGTCTGGCGGCACAAACGGACCAGAAGCTGACAAAAGATCAGCTCAAGATGTGGGCAGTGGATGTCATTGGTAACCTCTTCTACCTGATCTTGACCGCGAAGACGCGGAAGCGGACAGAGATTATGAAGAGTCGGAAAAAATTGGTGACAGATGATGTGTATGGGGCAGCTCCTCGAGAGTTGGATGACGATGCCGAGATTCACGAAGCGCAAATGGTGTTGGGACCGGAGTGGTACGAGACCATCGACAATGCGCGGAAGACGGCGAAAGAAATGGGTGGAGACACCCATGCGGCGTTGGTCAACACCAGAGCTGGACTTTTGGCCAAGTTTCGTTCACTCAAGGCTCAACAAGAGGCAAAGGCAAAGGAGGCAGTCGACGGACGCGACGAAGAATAAGTATTGAAGAAGTTGTATCATTACATACAGATATCCTATTTTTCACTCGAGGAACGATGGGATAACAATATGAGAAAGCGTGACATAAAGCGTGACATAAGTCACGGAATCACGTCACACCGCACATTGACAAATTATGTCGTCGTTGCGGAGAAGTTCTCCCACTACTACGATGTGCGCCGCATTTACCTTTCAAGCCTGTCTTGCTGAAGACTTTAGCAACTCTATGTGGTGCTGATGTCGTCTGCCAATGCAGTCAACATACCACCCCCAAACGATTTTCTTGTGGGCTCGACTGAAGATCTGCAACTGAACCAAAGCCAATCTTCCCGCCCAGAAGAGCTCGGTAGTCTTGAATCTCGCTATGGAAGCCTCGGCATACCGTCTCCCCTTCGTCCCGCTCTACGCGGACGAAGTGTTTCGACAACATCTCGCTTGATGCCTTCAACACCCAAACAAGAGCAACAGTGGACGGTTTTTGGCCAGCTCATGGAGAACGAGGGACCGCTTTGGACAAGCGCGTCGGGTGGCAGTCGTCGAAACTACTTTCAGAGTCCGTCTACCACCAGCGTGAACGACTCTTTCAGTGCCCTTCCATCTTCTCCAGCAATTGCCTCTTCATCGCCAATTGTTGAAGAGTCATCCCTTGGAGACGTGTTCATGAACGTATCGAGCAGGGAAGACAACGAGTATGATTCCGAAGACACAGATTCCACGTTCTCACTCCCCTTTGCTGGCGACCACGAGCGGAAATCGTGGTTTCAGCGCCTTCCAACCATTCCCATTGTCTATCAAAATATATTAAAATGCGCCATCGCATACCTCATCGCATCACTTTTCACCTTCAACCCTTACCTTTCGAGTTTCATCAGCGACCTTACCACCTACGGAGATCGAGAGCGCCGTCCCTCACCCAGTGGACACATGGTGGCGACAATGCAAGTCGATTTGTTTCTTGATTTATCCACTCTTTCATGTTCTATAGTGCCGTTTATTTCAATCCTGCAAAGTCCATGGGTGCGATGGTCGAAGCCGACTTGTTCTGCCTGATGGGACTAGTGTTCTCTGCATTACTCTGTCTCTCCTCGATGACTTTGTTCTGGTGGTTGGAGCGTAAACCGGGCTGGGAGTGGCTTGCTGATTTCTTGGTTATTGCGCTAATTGGTGTTGGAATGAGTGCCGTTGCGTGGATGAAAGTTTGGATGGCGAGCCCCTCATTCAATACAGGTGGGTTCTGCTCCCGCTCTTCTTCATGATTTGATCCAGTGACTTTCGGGATAGCTTGCAGTATGACTGCCATCATCATCTTTGTCGTGCTCGTCAAAGAAGGAGGATTACAAACACTTCTTCAAGTGTCCTTCATCGTTCTCTGTGGCTCTCTCACTTCCAATGCCGTCTGCTACGCTATCTGGCCTCAATCTGCAACAGAAGCCCTCCAAGGAAATATGACTAAAACGCTCGACTCGTTTTCTACGTTGTTGGGACTTTTGACTAATGCATTCCTCCTGGAGGAAGGATTGCAGCAGCCGAGTCACGAACGGTTAATGAAGGCGGTTTCAAATCACCAAAGCAGTTTTACTAGTCTCAAGAAGAGTCTGAAAGAGGCACAAAGTGAATGGGTCAATGGCAGCGCGACTCGCACCAGTGCCTACGAGGACGCCGTTGACAGCATGAACCGACTTGCGCAGCATCTAAATGGATTAAGGGGTGGCACGAGGCTACAGTACGACCTAGCAAAAGCGGGGGTCATCGGAAAAATCAAGCAAAGTAATGGTAAACAAAAGGCTCGAATGGAAGATGACGAATCTGTGATGCTCGAAGCTGCGGCCGAGATGTTTGGTGAACTTGTTGAAGATGTCGGACCCCCATTGAAAGCTCTGTCGGTGAGTTCTCACTTACTCATCAGTGCGCTTATTAACTTGTTCTTGGCAGACAACTTGTACTTCTACTCTTAAACGAATGCGGGAGTCTTTCGTGCTGTCGCAACGTCCTAGCCGCCGCAAGATCTTACATCAGAATGAGTTTCTCGAACTTGTTGACGGGATTGAACGTGCGCTTGCTCAGTTCGAGACAACTTCAAATCATGCTGTTTTGAGACTATATCGGCGCAGCGCCGCTTCCGATCTACCACCCGACTTGCGGGAGAGCGTGTATTCTGAAGACACACAAGTCCTCAGTGGGTCGGAGAACGAGCACGTATTTTTGGTCTACTTGTAGGTTGACTCCCTCTGCTCTCCCTCGTTTAACCCTCAAACAGTTTCATCTTCACGCTGCAGGAATTTGCAGGCGAACTAGTTTCTCTTGTGGATGCTATGAAGAGGATATATAGCCTTGAACAAGCTCAGGTCAATCGGGCAAAGTGGTGGGAGAGGCTTCATTGCTGTTTCCGTTCTGGTGCTCCGCGCAGAAAGAGGCATGCCAATGGAAATGTGACCCCACCATCTGGCACAAGTACCCCTCGGCCCCTGCGCAAACCGACCAGATCTCTACAGGGAAATGGGCTCCGTAAAAAGTTTTGTGAGTTGTATTGATGGTCTTTTGGATCATTCTTCACTCGTAATTAGCCCAGTATATCTCTCCTGCGCAACGTCGAACACATCCAATGTTCCCTAAGGTCAAGCCACATGCACCGAATACGATACAAACGCCTGCTTGGGAGCGGCTCTCCTGGCTGGGACGTATCAAGCAACGCGTTTGGGCGATTGGAACACGATTGACGGAAAACGACACCAAGTATGCTATCAAAGCGGGAATGGCAACTGCTATATTGGCTTCCCCCGCTTTTTTCGACGCTACTCGGCATATTTTTGTGGACTTCTGGGGCGATTGGGCACTCATTTCGGTATCTTTTCTCACTAGTCCTGCTCACATTTACTAACTATCATCAGTTCTTTATCGTCATCTCCCCAACAATCGGTGCCACAAACTACCTAAGCTTACATCGAATTCTTGGAACATTGTCAGTCGTTCCTTGTGTTTGTGGTCTCCGCTCACGTTCATTTTCAGTTTTGGGGCCGTTGTCGCCGCCGCTGTATACAGCCAGTTCCCAGATGATGCAGTTCTTCTGACCGTATTCGGGTTCTTTTTCTCGATTCCGTGCTTCTATTATATCGTCGCCAAACCGCAATATGTTTCAGCTGCGCGATTCGTTCTCTTAACCTACAACCTTACTTGTCTCTACTGGTGCGCCGAACAGTCTCATACTTAGAGGGAGATTTGACCATTGCTTAGCTACAATCTTCGACAGAGAGAAGTCTCCCCCTGGGACGTTGCTGTGAACCGTGCTTTATCGGTGACCATCGGAGTTGTAGCAGCAGCGTTTGTCTCGAGATTTTGGTGGCCTGCAGAGGCGCGCAAGGAGTTGACCAAAGCTTTGGGAGAATTTTGCTTGAACATCGGATGGCTTTACACGAGACTTGTGGCAGCCAATTCGTTCGCCCCTATCATTGAGGATGACGACGAAGTTGTGGACACTGAGATGACTGCGTTGTCCCCTGCTCATGATCGGTTGTCGCATTCTATCAAAGATTTCATGGCCATGTCAGTATGTTCCTGTTCATCTCCTTGTCAGTCCTTGAGAACTTCACAGGGAGCTTCACCTACAAATCAAGCTGATTGAGCTGCAGGGACTACTTGCTCAAACGCAGAATGAGCCCCGTTTGAAGGGCCCGTTTCCGGTTCAACTTTACCGAGGTATCCTCACCAGTCTCCAAACAATTCTCGATCGGCTTCATAGCATGCGTTGTGTAACAACTCGAGAAGAGTGGTATACTTCTGTTCGCCAGGACTTCATTGTGCCCGTAAACAAGGAGCGGCGTGAGATGGTGGGCAACATTATTCTTGGATTTTCGACGCTAGCCTCCGCTTTCCGACTCAAAGCCCCACTGCCGCCATATCTGCCGCCAGCAGAAGCTGCGCGACAACGGCTGGTTGCCGCGATTAGGAAGCTGGATGTTGTGCGGAATCGCGAGGTCAAGGGCTCCCGACAGTTGTTGTTTTTCGCGTACGCATTGACGATGAAGGGGGTAACAGTGGAGCTGGAGAACTTGGGGCGGACATTGCAGGGTGCATTTGGTGTGATAGGACAGTCCCCAGAAGAATTCGAGGCATTGTTTTTGGACCCTCATAGCGAAGATAGAGAGCGAGTTGACCACACTGTATAATATTTGAAAGCATATAGACATTTTTTAACTTATCGCATTCTTTCCCTCTCGATGCTCATATCTGTCTCGGACACTCCAAGTCGGTACTTATGCTCGATTCTCGATTCACCGAAACGTGACGATGTGTGTCACGCCGCTTGACTCTTCATCCTGCCTTCATGGACCACAATGCCCGCGAGAAAGAGCGCGAGGTGAAAGGTTTGTCGCGAAACTAAATGCTAGCTTGGATGTAATCCTTGTAGATTTAATCCGACGCTCGTTTTCTGGAAGTGCCGACCGGGCGGGTGCCTTGGTTCGCTTAATCTCTGACTCTGTTGTTGCCCTTGCTCATCTCGTTCTCAGCGTAAAAAGACCCTTAACAAGCTGATAGAGTGCACACGTACCGGACACCCCACTCTGAAGACTCTGGCAGCAGAGAATATCCCTAAACTTCTTATTGAGTTCCCGGAGCTGGAAGAGGACGCCATTAATGCGGTATATGATCTGTGTGAGGACCAGACAGCGAGCGTACGTTGATTAGAATGTTGTTGCCGATATCTGCTCATCGTGTCGCTTCGCAGGTTCGCAAATCGGGATATGGCGCTATAACGGCGGTTTCGAAGGCGGCGGGCAAGTGGGTGAGGCGAAATACAGACGTGCTGTTGCAACTACTTCAGAGCGGTATGTTTCTGAGCATTCACAATTCTTGATTGACCATGTTTGCCAGACGAGAAAGATGAGGTAGTGGTTGTCAAGAAGGCACTGCTGGAACACCTCGACCTCGATGCGCGCGTCACTCTCAGTGTTCTTTGCGATCAAGTCATGCCTCCTACACCGGAAATGATAGATGCCGATGAACTGGCTATGAGGGCCCGCTTACGGTTGCTGGTACTCGCATTCCTTGAAGGGGATGTAATGAAAGCCATTGTCGAGAGGCGTTGTACCGCGGAGGACGCTCTTGTCGAGACACTGTTTGCGGTGCGTTATCTTATTCTTAGTGTCCAATCTTCTCTAATAGTAACCAGGTAATCCCGAAGTTGCCTGCTGAAGAAGTGAAAACTGTCCTTGAACAACTTCTGCTGCGGCTACCCTCCTTTAAGCGTCAGTCAAGCTACGCCAATACCCTCCTGCAAATTCTGGTAGAAGCAACAAGCTCGACATTCAAGCACGAGTTGAAGCAACGTAGCTCGCTTGTCGCAGCACGCATTTATATGGATCTTGTGGCCCATATCGTTGTTCAGAAAGCTCTGGTTTCTCCAATAGAGCTTCTTCGCTTTTACCTGGGAAATACTGTGGCCAAGATGACACTGCATCAACTCTCACCCTCCGACCAGGTGTTTGTCATCTGCAACATGGCTGAAACACTGGCTGTGTGCGAAAAGGATGCTAAAATCAGCCGTTCATCCCAGTATACGCCTCTCCGCAATCAGTCTGTGGACGCTTCCCCCAACTTATTTGAGGTAATGTCGTTATTGGATTATTCTCTAAGTCTCTGGCTCATTTGGACCTAGTGCTTAGCAAAAAGTGATCTCACAAATACTCGAACATTCAACGGATCCAAGGCTTTGCTTGAAGCATGTCAACGCGTGCGTTGCCAGTCATAGTGCCATACAGCAAACTCACACTGCCAATTCAGCGTAAAATCACCGGGTGGACAGTTCCCTCACATTTCCGCACATCATTGGACCTTCTGCGAGCTAAAGCTGAGCAAGACAAGAAGAATGAAGTGCAAGTGCTTATCAGGGTTCGCCATGGACTGCTTTCTGTCTATTGCATTCATCTCCAACGAGCTTTTGTTTCTGCAGTCAATAACCGCGCCGCCTTCAAGCTCTCCTCAACCAATACCTAGCACCAATTCTCAAGTACAGGCAGGCCCCAGTCGACCGAAAGGAGCACCACCACCTCCCGTTTCTTTAATGCGATCGCGACCACTTGGAACAAATTCCATTTCTTCTGAGCTTCGTCGTAACAGCTCCGGTAGTTTGATGCTAAACGAGAACAAACACAGCATCGCAGCCGACAGCTCGCCTCGCCCGCCAAAACGGATGAGAACGGAGAGCGATGCCCCACCGTCTCTATTGATTCGACTTGGTCAGGCGAACACGAATGGGAGAGCGACTGCGGATTCCACAACCACATCCGTAACGTCGGAGGTTACTGGTGGATTTAGTATCAAAGGCGCTGCAAGGGCATCATTCACAGGGGTGCCTGTTCGTCAGCCGAAAAACCCAGCACCATCGTCGTTGTTGGATCGTATTACAATGCAAGATGGAGGAGGCGAGGGTGGGAAAGTGGCGAAGAATTTCAGACGGTGGTGAGTTGGTAGTGATACGTAGTAGTTGTAAGTTTATCATGGTGCCTTCTGAAGTTGTCTGTTACCAGTCAAATATGTCAGCTTTCTGAGCGGTCCATCATCGATGTCGAAAGTCTGAATTATTGATAGTTTCCGACCGTGGGAAACAGACGGAGGTCATCTCTTTCTCTCTCTCGTTATTTGCGATCTTGCCGGTCAGCTCCGCCCTCAGCCGGTAACGAGTTGACCATACTGAGCGGTGCAAAGCTTCCGTTTTTCCATGCCCAATTCGTTCGCGGATCATCGACAGTCAAATCGAGCCCGAAACGCGTCAAACCGAATGGAGATTTCGATGGCATGCAACACGCAATATAAACTTCTGTCGTCCCTATCTTTCTTGGCCCTCCACCACCATGGTTCACTTACTTCCCGTCGCCACTTTCTCGATTTTATTTGCACTATCCACTGCTTCTCACCTGGTCGTATGGTGTTTTTCCGCTTGCTACCAGTCGCTGAAACAAGTTTGTAGGATATCTATCCCCGCGACGCGACCGGAGACTCCAAATGCTCAACGGTGTGTTGTCTGGGTTGGAAGTTGGTGGTGGGGGCTTATAACGACGCAGTATATGTGTGTTTCGGCCATTTTGAACGGCTCTACCGTGCAATGTACGTTCGCCCGACTGTCTAAGCTTTTTGGCTCATTAAGTTACTGCCGCAGATACATTAGCGGGGACTGGAAGGGCAACTCCTGGGTGGATGGGCGTGTATGTTGTCAACCGGCACTGCTCTATTACACGAGGACTGACTGCTCGTATCTAGTGGCTTTGGCACCCAAATGTCCAACACGCCCATGGTCATCATGTGGAGTAATTCAGACGGTTCGATCACCATCTCACAGCGCAAGGCGCCGTCGGAAGTCATGCCAACTGTGGACTCTAATCCCCCTCGTCTTGCAACGCTATCGACATCACTTAGCACGGTGAGTTTTCCATTCCTCTTCAATCTCCACAGAATGTGAAACATGACCAGACCTCGGGCAACTCTGCATTTGTGTTCACTGTCGATGTACGTCTTCCGTGTTACCTTCCGCGACTGAATTACCAAACTTCACTAGTCCAACGGGGCAAACACGCAATCTCTCATTTTTGGCTTTGGCGACAAGAACCCGGGCGATAAATCGGCATCCGCCACGCTCCAGCAACACAAAGACTACGGCATCACACAACTGAACCTCCAGAAAGCGTTGTCAGGGACAGGGACAACGACTGGCGGTGGGGCTTCGCAGACTGGTACCCCGGGTTCGTCCGGCAACACCGGCAATGAAGACACGGGAGGCGTTACGAGCGACATCCCGTTAACGCCTTACCAGCGCATGATCATCGCTCATGCTATCTTCTGTGTCCTTGGTTTTGCTCTTTTCCTGCCGCTTGGCGCACTCGTTGCGCGATACTTGCGCACTTTCTCCTCGACGTGGTATACTGCCCACTGGATCGCCCAATTTGTGTTAGGTAAGGATTTCATTCTTGGTCAAATTACCTGTCTGACGTTGCCACAGCCGGGTTATCCATTATCATTGGTGTCGTTTTAGGCTTCAAGGCCGCCAGCCACGACGGCAGTATTAGCTACAAGATCCTCGACGACCACAAGGCGAGTGATGCCTCTCGCCCCCCCCTTTCCGCTCACATCAGAACAGAAAACCGGAATCGTGCTATTCGTTCTGTACTTTGCGCAATGCGCGCTTGGCGCGTTCATCCACTGGGTCAAGCCCAAGCGCGTTCTTCGCCGGCCCCCGCAAAACTATGTCCATGCCCTTCTTGGCCTCGCCATTATCGGCCTGGCGCTTTACCAAATCCGAACGGGAATCAAGAAGGAGTGGCTGTTCACTGGGCTCGACGCGCTCCCGTCCGGTGTCTACACGCTGTGGATCGTGTGGTGTGTTGTGCTTCCCGTCCTCTACGCGGTCGGCCTCGTTTTCCTGCGGAAGCAATACGGGCAGGAGGCTGACGCGCGGAGTCGGTGGAACAACGAGTATGGCATGAACAAAGGACCCCTTGCGAGCGAATATCACGATAACTGATGCCCAATTGCTCTATGAATACCCCACCTGGCACCATCTCTTGGACAATGTTCCCCCTAGACGGGAATCTATGTGTACCACCGCCTTTATTGTAAATTAGAATTGCTAACTTAGTACGACAGTCCAATGCTTGGAAGTTCCTGAACGGACACAATTAAATCGGCGGACTAAACTGGCTGCGCTGATAACAGTGTCCTCGGCAACCCCATATAGATGCTGTGTGGTTTGCTAACCATTAAACCGAGGTCCCCGAGATGCTACAAGGTCTTCCCGAACTACGGCAGGACGGAACGACATTAGATGGTGTGCTAATCCTCTACTTTCCTGCGAGAAGCTATCAATTCTAAGTGGCTCTCTTGAACAAGTAGTGCCCGACACCCCATCTGACGACCACGACTGAGAGAAATGTCGAAGAAACAACAATCCACGCACTGCTGACCGCCATCCATATTGAACAGTTCCGAGCACGCCATGTAGAATACGCGGAACCTTGGAAATTGGACCTTGTCAGCCGAGGCAAGTCGAGCCACGATAAAAATACTTACCGATGAAACGTGGCGACGGCATCCGCCTCGCTGCGGCCGTTCGCCTTCGCGTCTTCCTGGAGTTCTTTCATGCCGACTGGTCAAGTTTGATTGAGGTCAGCATTCATTTAGTAATGATGTTGACCGACCTTTGGTATTGCGATCTTGTAGTTTTAGCCAGTCCTCCAGTGTACGCGAGTAGTTCGTCCCGGAGATGTACCAGCTTTGTAGAAGTGTAAGGTCATTTTGGAAATAAGCCTTGTGGTCATCAGGTGCGAGTGTCTTGTATGATACGAAGACCTTACAAAGAGGTCGTGCGACATCATTGTCCCGCCTGGAGAAACTCAAAGGAGGAACATCAAGAGACGCCTACATACCAGAGAAAAAATTCTGTGCCATCCAGCCATCGTCTTGTTCGAAATGATACGGTGTTGTGCAGTGGCAAAATATGTGGACGAAGAGCAGCGAATCGGCATCCTGCGGGTTGGTTTTGGGACGCAGCCAGGTGGAGACTTTGGAGAAGAGTGTCTGGAAGTTCTTCATGTGCTCGAACATCTGCAAGATATTGGAGGCGTCGACAGCAAGTTGCTGGGAAACGCACCTCGATGGAAATGATTCGGTCGAACCTGAGGGCATTTTAGCGGGAGTCCTGGTTAGGTACAAATCCACTTACTGTCTGGAGCCAGAAAAGTCGAAATGGTTCACGTCTGCAGTGATTATCTGGTCTGGGCATTGGAGCAGGAATCAACAAATAACAGAGTGCATACCTCCAAGTTAGTATGACCACGCTCCTTGGCCGTTGCATCTATATAGGCCTTCTGCGTTGAAGAGTTCGAAAGGCCGACAATGCGTGAATTCGGGTACTTTTTAGCGAGAAAGAGCGAAACGCTGCCCCAACCACAGCCGAGATCAAGCACGTCCTGCCCATCCTGAAGTTGAGCCTTTTGACAGTAGCTTTCGAGCATGAGAATCTCGGCTTCTGCTAGGGTTTCTTTGCCAGTCGGGTACAGGCAAGAAGAGTATTTTGCGCATGGACCCAATGTGGAGAGGATGAATTTTGTGGGGACCTGGAGACAATGAGACAGACGTGAATGGACCAAGGAGCAAAGCTCACCTCGTAGTGCTGCTCGTTGGCCTTCTCGGTGAGCTCTGCAATGGCTTCCCTCGAACGAACATCCTCGATCCACTTCATTTTGGCGGCAAAGTTGGCCTCAAACGAGCCATGGTCGATTTCGCGCCTTTTGTTATATGGGTTAGACGTGGTCCAGCCAACGAGGAAGAAAGGCCATACAAACGCTGGCGCAAGAGGGCGCGAATTACACGTCGAATGATGAAGTCGGGAACCAACCCCTAGAAAAACACGCTTGAACGAAGAGTTGAAGGAGCGGAGGGTCATACGCGGTCCAGCCAGCGGTACCCGATTTGTAGCAGAGCTTCAGAGACCATGGTGGGTGGTGGGAACAAGGAGGCAATTGAGTCGAGGTCGCCAGCGACGATGATATTGTAGGCAGGATCATAGTGACAACGATGACGGCTGAAATCAACGAATCCCTGCTCCCGGATACCACCTTCGCAATTCTAGATGGCGGCTTGGTGAGTCCTATTATTCTTCGCAGAGACCTCTTACCGTCCTGAACCTAGGGAACAACCCTCGAAACTACCTTTGGCCTCGATATCTCGCATACTCCCTTGTGGTCGGCTAAAGCTGCGATTGAACACCCAGAGGTGGTCATCGCCGCTCATGAAGCGTTTCTCCAAGCTGGGTCCGATATTATCTTGACTTCAACGTGCGTTATAGAAAGGCAAATCAAGCGTTGACTGATCAGTGGACCTCCAGATATCAATGCTCGTCGGAGAGCTTTCGCAGCGCGGGCTACAACGATAACGAAACAATTCAACTCATGTTGAAATGTGTAGGACTAGCTATAGATGCGCGCATTCGGTTCAGTTCTAGCCTAATAACTAGCCAATCACCCAAAATCGCGCTCTCACTGGGACCGTATGGTGCTAGCCTCAGTCCAGCGCAGGAGTTTAACGGCTTTTACCCTCCACCATTTGGCCCGCGAGGATACTCTCCAGAAGGACTCAACGTAAACGCGTTTGCTCCCGAGGCTATTCGGGACGAGCGATTGGCTACACAGTCTCTCGCAGATTATCACTCTTCTCGACTCCAGATATTCAAGAGCGATACTTCGATCTGGGAAAGCATCGACCTCATCGCCTTCGAATCAGTTCCATTGCTGCGTGAAGTCAGTACAATCCGGTTGGCGATGGGTCTACGCTCCAGTCAGCCCAAGCCTTGGTGGATCAGCCTGATTTTTCCGGAAGGCCAGTTCCCCAACACCGTCCATGCCGATACAGACAAGCGTGTTTCTGTCAAAGACATTGTGTCCGCGAATTTTTCAAACCCTTCCCTCTCCCTCAGCCATCGGAATCAACTGCACTCCCGTCGAAAAGCTCTCCACCATAATCGAGGAAATGGAGACCGTATTGCGAGAGGTGGGCCGCAAACCATGGCTGGTGCTTTACCCGAATGCAGGGGATGTCTACGACCCGGCTACACAAACCTGGAAACTCAAAGCGGGTACGCAACATGATTGGATCGTTCAACTGCAAGCTGTAGTCGCACGGTTGGATGTCGCACATGTCTGGGCAGGTGTTGTAGTCGGAGGGTGCTGTCGAACAGGGCCAGAGGATATACAGCTGATCAAGAGATGTTTCGGTGCGGTAGTCGTTCGATTGCGGCACTAACATCTCTTATAATTTACAGCTGACCACATCACGACTGCTTGACGCGATCGATCCCTGGCGTTTCTGCAGCATGACTTTGGAATCACGCTTATATATGGATATTGTAATGCTCTACTAGATGCTGGCCAAGCAGGACCTTGCTTTGTTTTAGTCCACAAAAAGGTTCATTATAAGCAGCGTCGATAATGGTGACGCGTCATGTAATCAGCTTTTCTTTTCGAACAATGGATATGACTAGATCGTGAATCACACGTATGACGCCTGTGCAGGTTTGTTTTTGCCCGAGACCGCGTCACATTTGTCACAGATTTGTTTTTACTTCTTTGCACCGTCAACAAGTGCAATGGCGACTCCAGGACTTTCAATGACAGAACCTTTTCCCATCTCCTCTTCACGACTAGAAACCAGAACCCCCGAGCTTGAAGACAATCGTTAGTGGGGGTAGAAAATAATTGGGAGAAACAACTGATACACGCCCAGCTAAACAGTGTGTACACTGATTGAACAACTACATTACCGTATTAATGAAGATAAGCGCGATACCAATGACTATTCCCATTCGACGAGCCCGGGATGGTGAAAGGCCTGCAACTGGCGCGCAGGCTCACCCTTGGCGATGTCGATGGTTTGAACTTGACTATAATTTAGGGAATTTGACTGGCGGACAATGGATTCTCTTCGAAGACAGTGAATTTTTCATCGCCGAAGAACTTGGAATGACACTGCAGCGATTTAGATGTTCTCCCTCCTGTCCAATCGAAGACTGCATAACCGACACTTGGAAAGAACCACCACAAAGTGTGCTCAGAGGATGGGAATTACTTGACAACGGCTTATTAGGCGACACCTTCACACACTGCATCGGCATGGCCTTTTCAACAGGCACTCAGGTGGTCGCAGACATAGTGCCCGCTGGTACTTCTAAAGGAGGATACCTTGTGAATTACGATGAAACCTACGCTCAAATACGAGTGTCTGTAGAGGGAAGAAGTATACCAAGACAAGAAAAGCGTCTGGTGCAGATGCTCATGACCCCTGCAAGAGCGGGTGACATCGTAAATGCCCCGAGGACTAGTATTCGACGACACGTTCTTGCTCATGACTGTCGACCTAATATTGGGGATGTGGTTGAGATGGAGGCAGGAGAAGTAGGCGATGTGGAGAAAGTGGAAGACAATAATCGAAATCCTCTGGTTTCCGTGCGACAAACAACGAACAAGGAGCTTTTGGTCGTTGGAATATCCAAAGTGCGAAGATATTTTTGCGTTGGCAACCTAGTTCGTGTCGTCGGCGGGGCATATTGCAATAAAAGCGGTATCGTCAGGCAAAAGATTCATTTTAACGAGGCCAAAAAAGACGGCGGCGCCTTGGAGTTACAATTGGTGAGCAAGAACGGTATATTTAATGGCGTGGCTGACAGGTGAACCACAGATAGACGAAGATGCAAGGCAAGAATTAGTACGACATCAACACCCATTTTTTTGCGTCTTACACGGCTAGGTTTTGGTACTCTGCACAGATGTGGTGATGCTGCCAATGGAAGCAACAAAAAAACGAAACGATTCATCGGGAGATGGCAAAGAAGAGAGGGCGATAGTAATTGGACCAGATATACGAGGGGGCTTTAGCAGTGTTGGCCAGCCCGGTTTAATATTACCAAGGAATAGCAAAGGTAACATTGTTGCATTGTTTTTAGACCACCAAAGCGGATGTCAGCTTTCACATCTACGCTACTTCCCAGAATCAAGCTTATGTCGCCTGCACCAGACTCTGTAACAGCTAATTTTTACATTACATACGACGAATTACATCATCATTTCACCGAGGTTTCAACAAAGGTTTGGGCTTTTTCGATGATGCAGCCGGTTTGACCTGGTTTGTGGTTCAATCACATGATCATGCCAGGTAATGACTGGACAGGGACCTTATAAAGCAAGGTGATTTCGCTGTACTTGCCATGATTGCACAGGCCTAGGATTTTGCCAACAGCTGCAAACGGCAACACACCTGCCTAATTTAGACTCCAGAGCTGATGTTGATCATGACGTGACATCACCATCACGTGAGAGGTTGACCTTGTTCCTCACTTGTTTCGCGACGTGTTGCCGGCCTTGTACTTTGTGTCGGCAGCTGGCGTTAGAGGCACGAACGTCTTGGGCTCAAGGTCGCCATGATACCTTCTTTTTACCTTGTACCCTTTGCGCTGACATGTTTCAGGCTCTGACTTCAAGTTGGTAAGCTATAAAGTACTGCCCAGAACAAGACGAATCCAGTCTGCTCCTTGAATCTGGAATTCAGGATCTTTGCTCTCAAAGTGTGTTTACTTCATGCTTCTGCCCCACATAGACTCATTCTATATCAGTTGCTCTGAATTTTTCTCTTGTATCGATAGCACTCTTCTTGTACGAACACGGTGCGCAATCAAAGTACCCTCATACTCTTACTGACCACTGCCATAGACTTTATAATGCCCCATGAACTCTGGAAGCGCAGCTGCGGTCTTTCCCGCTGGCTTTCATCTCGAAGTTTTACTTCCGATGCCAAACCCACGAATAGCCCTATTTCCAAGCTCCCCGTAGAGCTCCTTGGAGAGATATTTCTATCTACGCTACGCGAATGGGAGCAAATGACAGAAGAACTGTCGAAACTTCCCCTCTCCCCATTAACGCTTTCCCATGTCTGCGCCGACTGGCGCGAAATTACACTGTCCCTACCGATGCTTTGGTCTTCTATTTGGATTGACCGCCCTCGCGCTGCGCATGTGCCTATGGTAGCGCTCTGGCTCGACCGCTCACATTCATTCCCACTTTCCATCCACCTTCGCCAGACAGACCATAAAATTTGTCTCGCCTATCCTTCTTCCGAAGAACACCAGTTCACCGAGGAGATACTCGCTCAACTCGTGCCACATTTTGCGCGTTGGCAAGTGGTCGAACTGTTGTTCAAATCCAGTGCTCAACAGGAGTTGGGTTGCCTTCCTCAGTCTGGCACCCCAATTCTCGAACATGTCTCGCTAGATCTCGACTCGTGGGACGCGTGTAGTGCGGACCAGCTCCAAACGACACTGTTTTCTCAGTCTTCGTTGCGAAGCATTATTTTCCATCCCGGCTCTCAGCCAAACGACATCTGTTGGCCCAACCTCACCACTGTTGTTACTAACGGCCCAGAATGTACGGCAGATACGGTTCTGGGAATTCTTTGGGGCCAGCACTTCACTTACTACCGCTCAGTTTACGCTCTCCGATCAACCAGACTGGGCCCCGCCATTCCTACCACCAAATGATATACCCGTCGTTCTCCCCACCCTAAAATTACTGGCGCTGAAAGCCCACCGAGCTCCTCTCGCGTCATTGCTAAGCCGCCTGGTTCTTCCCGCTTTGGAAGCTCTTACTTTAGACTACGCCTATGTCGTGCCCAAAGACGACACCGAAGATCAAGATGCGTTCGCCTTGCGCTCTCTTCTCGTCCGTTCAGCATGCAGCCTAAAATCCTTCACCCTCCGCGAGATCAATCGCTCTCTCCAAATCAGTGAACATCGGCAACTTTCCATTTTGCGCGTTTTAGCCGCACAGGCGACTGAGCTCGAGGAGCTGGCAATAGAAGCGCACTTGACAGATCGCATTGTCGAATATCTTGCTGTCGGGCCAGAAAACCAGGAAGGAACGTTGCCCCTCAAAAACCTCCAGCACATATCGATGACAGATGTTCGTGGCGAGCATTTAGCCCATGGCTTGCTTGCTGTGATGGTTCTAGCTCGCCCTGGGCTGAAGACGGTTGACCTTCATGTCCGCGTACAGAGTCACGAGGACTGGATTATCCCGGGTGAGGTCGATGCTGAGGTCACGTTCGAAAGACTGTCCTGTACTTGCGTCAATCCATGAGGTTGACATGCCATCGTTAGGGTAGCAAAATGTATATATCTATGATACTTACTTGAATAGATTGCAGTCTTGTCGAGACCAGATTTTCACTGCCATCAAAATCGCTAGTCACATGGCCTTTTTCCATCCTTTCCACTGTCGCCATGGCTTTGGCTAACGACTGCCGCTGCTTCTGTAATGCCTTCCTCTCCCTATCTCGCAAAACTTGGGACCAACTATGTGCCCAAGGATGACGAGCTCGAGCACCTAGCCGTGGTCATTTCCAAGCTTGGATCGGATTTGCAATCGCTAGCTGTCGATGGTGGAGATTTGGATACACAAGAAAGCTATCAGCAACAATTTGAAGCCAACAGGGCGCTTATGTCGCCTCTTCGTCGAATGCCCCTCGACATAATACAAGAAATATTCGCTTGGTGCCTACCCATGGACGAAAACTACCGTATGAACGTGGATGCCGCGCCCCTCTTGCTGGGACGCATATGCAGCTCTTGGCGCGAAATCGCCTACAGCACGCCCCTTTTGTGGTCAAAGCTTCACGTCGAAGAGCCTGAGACGTATTCTTATGGCGGGAGAAAAATTCAACCCACCAAGCCACTTCTGGCCAAGCTGCGTGGCCGCCGGGAGGCAACTACAGAGTGGCTTATGCGGTCCGGTTCATGCCCTTTGTCGATTTCTTTTGCGTGCAGGGAGCAGTTCGCAGACTTCGAACGGTCCATCCTCCCAGCCCTTGTTCCATTTACATCGCGTTGGGAGCATATCTCGATTACAGCCACCACAGAGATCCTTCCTCACATCGCTCATATCACTGCGGAAGAGGTACCTCTATTGAAGTCTTTGCATCTTGTTGAAATATTCGCAAACAACCGCCTTGGCCTCGTTGAACGACCCTGGGAGCTCTTGGCAGCACCGAACTTAACGACCCTTCGCATGTTGATGCACTTCTTCGATGAATCGCTCTTCACTGTCCAGTGGGCGAACCTGGTCAATCTTGAAATCAGCCTGGTTCCCACAAGTCAATTTGACACCCCAAGCAGCCAACGAGCCTTTGACGTCGCTGCTCGCTGTCCCAATCTCCGCGTTTACACGATCACGCTACAAAATTTCGATGATTTTACTCCGCCAGACTCGGTGCTCGAACTTGCGTACCTCCATACTTTCCATGTCTTGAGTGTCGGCGGGCTCCATTCATGCGTAAAAGACCTGCTCGCTGGCCGTCTGCTCCTTCCGAAACTGCGCGACCTCCGCTGGCATGGAAAAGCTCCCTGGCAAATGCCACTCGACCTGTCGTACAAGCCATTTTGCTCCGCTGCTCGATATATCGAGGTCATCGACATAAGCTTCGATCTCTTCACCAAAGACACGTTAGCCGAGTTCTTCGGACTCATTTCACGCACCTTGCGCAAAGTAAAAATGTGGCCCGCCCATAATATGGGCCCTGAGGGCTCTGAGGTCGTCTTTGATGACGACATTTTGCATATGCTCAGCTCGGTCGTCGATTACCCATCTCTGGAAGACCTTGATATCTCTTTTGGTGCTTTCTCTGAACAGGCACTACTCGATTTCGTTGCCGTTCGAATGAAAGCGCAGAAGCTCAAGCATGTTGCTGTGACGTTCCGCGACCCGAAGACGTTGGATGTTTATCCCATGCTGCGGCCGTTCCTCGACGTGGGCTTGCATGCAACGGTCGGATACCGTCCGGCTGACGATGATGACGACGATGACCTCTAGGTTTCAGTGGGCTTTTGAAAGTTGCAATTGGTGAAGGTCTACTTTGTCGCCTTGTTGCTTTCGGCGACTGTCGTCAGTTCTTGGGTAAGAGCCACTGTGTGGGTCCGTACTTCTAAGGATAGAGAAATGTACAATACCGGCCTATTGTGAAGAATCTGAGTATCACCTTGCTTTGAAAATGCAAGGTCCCCCACCGTCTAAAATACCCCATCAAATTTGCCAAAAACACACAAGTACAAATATTAGCACTGCCACCGTTTAAATCAGTGTACTGCTCGAATTTCTACTACTAACTCAATTACTTGGCTGGGTCCTCTCCCACCAATGTTTCATCTCCTGTGTAAGACAATCCAGCTTTTTGTTCTCCCTCTTCAGCATGGGCAATGGGTGTGTTGTGAATACTGTAGTGCTGTGTCACACCCTCATTGAATGGGTTTATTGGCCTGTACAGGGAGCATGTCATCTCTCCCTCTGCTTCTAGAAAGGGCGACGTAGGCACTGAAGGACATCAGTTCCCTACTATGCATCATAATAATAATATCTGCACGGTTGCAACGAACTAAAAAGGGAGCAAAGCAAGGTGTGTGGCGACGCGAAGCAGGCGACCCCTAGTTAAGTAACAGCGCTGAAATATCGCATGATGTGTGCACCGCGATTGATGATGAATCACGTGTTACGTCACGCTCTTAAGTACTTGGCCATATGGCATCGGAAGTTCGGAACTTTGCGCTAATTGGAATGGCTGAATAGTTCCTACAAGTACGACATATTTCTCTGCCTTCTACACATACTGATAACTAAATCCAAACAAGTCATCCCAAGTGAGTCTCTCAGACCACTTCCTGTGGAGTGGGTGCTGTGTGTCCAGTGCTCTTGACACGGAACTCAATAGTCTCGTCATCTCGCATTCCTCCCATTTCCAAATTGGCCTCCGCTGGTTCCCCGTCGTTCTTTGACTGGAGGCGCAATTCTTCTAATATCGTCGTAGAACCACCATGCGGAAAAGTTGGACGAGAACCAGACTTTTCAGCGAAACGAACCGAGGTGAGCTGATTTGTCGTGTCTCCAGACCAGGCTTTTCCTCGTGCGACACGAAGAATAATGAGCAATGGCGCAATCGACTATTTGGTTTGCTTAGTACTTTGACGTGCTCGTACCTTCGTGCTTACCTGTGTCTGTCCTAGGAGTGGCAATGCAAGGTTTTGAACGGGACTATTGACACCGTAACTGATGAGGAATACCAAGGCGTTTGCTGAATAAATCATTGCTGATTCAACAAGCATGGCCGAAACAGTCATATAGGTCGTTCGAGTGGCGCGACCTATCAGGTGCCGCAACCGATATCGCATATAAAGCAAACGGCCAGCAATGAGTGCGGTGAGGATGACAGTCATGGAGATTGATATTGACCAATATGGAATCGCCAAGTTGACACTGATTTTCGTCCAGATTGTCTTGCCTGGTTGGCTCAACTCGGCAATAAGGATGGAAGACAAAACTACAGCGGTGGCGTTAGTCCTCCCTTTAGTCCATTGCCATCTGCTTACCCATTGAGGAGAGGAATGCTACGATTGGAAGCGCGATAATGTAATAATTGCGGTTATAAATCATCCAGAATCGATACACCTTCAAAATTCAGTAAGAAGATGCCCATATCCAGAATGTGTTTGTACCAATAACGCGTCTTGGAACCAACTATTGACAATGTAAACAGAGTTGCAAACGACGGCCGACCAGTTGGTGCTCTGCTCGACGAAGAATGCGTTTGGTCCTCCAGGATAATTGCGATTGTCAATAAATGTCTTCTGGGCGAAAATGATGTTGGTAGCATTCCCGATGTTTCCCAGCGTGAATAGGAGGCAAACAAAGACGAGTAGTTCGCGGTTGCGCTGGCTTTCTCGACGGCTGCACAAAGCTTGGACGCATTCGAAAAAAAGTGTCAAATGTATGCCTTCCAAATAGTGAGCTTGTCGCATTCCGGCCTATTTCTCAATCAAGTACTAACCAAAGCCAATAGTGCCGAGGAACAACCCTGCGAGGATAGAGCGCTCGTTCCAAAGTGCGGCAGCAGACTCATTCGGTGCAAAGGACATTTTGATGGCGAGTGGAGACAAGGTCAAAATGGGTGCCTACATGAGTTAAATAAACAAACGCCGCGCCGTTGTGGGCACACTACACACTAACGTTACGGTAACGGGTAATCTCTTATCCAGATGGTCACTGCGGTAAGCTTCTCCATTGGTAGCCAAATTAAAAAATTCTCAACGGTTGTTCACCCACTAAGTATACTAATCGTCTCCCACAGGAATCGCCACAGAGGTATCTGCAATCAGCTCAATCTAACAGACGCGGCTTTCCATCGCTCGTTGTTCATCATTGCCGTGACACGACACTGCCCACTGTCTGATATAAGCCTGTGCGTACCCAAGGTTGTGGCCAGCTTCCTAACAATGTCCAACCCAGCTCCTTTGAAAACGACGGAAGGGGAGGTCGCATTCAACGTTCCCGGTGCTGACAAGCCCTGCAAAACGTGGTACAAAATTATTGGGGATCTCCATGGCTCGCCTTCTCGTCGCCCGCTCGTAGCTCTCCATGGAGGTCCTGGAGTCAACCATGCATACCTCCTCGTCCTTTCCGATCTCACTGAACGTCATGGAATTCCGCTCGTCGTCTATGACCAAATTGGGAACGGCAACTCAACCCATCTCCCGGAAAAGATGGGCGACACAACATTTTGGACGGAACAGCTATTTCTTGATGAGCTCGATAACCTCCTCACACACCTCGCGATCAAGGATGCATACGATATCATCGGACACTCGTGAGCAGCTCTTTATGCGTATGACTTAGTCTAACAGTTTCCACCGCAGATGGGGTGGAATGTTGGGCTCCCGTCATGCATCAATGAATCCTGTCGGTCTTAAGCGCCTTATTCTTGCGAGTACACCTGCCGATATGCAACTGTGGGTAAAAAGCCAGAACGAGCTTCGTGCGCAACTTCCCGAAGATGTTCAAGCCGTTCTCGATCAACACGAAAAAGATGGCACGACGGAGAGCGCTGAATATCAGGCCGCCGTTGGTGTATTTTACTCTAAGTTCCTGTGCCGAATCGATCCATTACCGGAGCCTGTTGCTGAAGGTTTTGGGTGGATTCAGAAGGATCCGACTGTCTATCTTACGATGTGAGCTATTTTTGTTAAGACTCGTCTACCTCAGTCTGACGAGCGCTTTTCTAGGAATGGGCCATCTGAATTCTACATCACTGGTCCACTCAAAGATTGGTCGATACTAGACGACGCCGGTAAAATCCAGACCCCGACCCTTATTTTGAACGGTCGGTACGACGAGGCGCAGGACATTGTGGTCGCTCCATTCTTCGAAAGTATCCCCCGTGTCAAGTGGGTGACGTTCGCTGAGTCGAGCCATATGATCCACTTCGAAGAGCGCGAGAGATACATGCAAGTCGTTGGCGACTTTCTTATGTCTGAATTCAAGTTGTAGAAATTTGCACTGTTTTTGAGTTTGATACAGTTCATGCATGCCTGAGGCTCGCTACTCACATTGGCTTCACTAGTCTGGCAGTGTCAATTGTCATCTTGTTATGTTACTTATGTAGCACTGCTGCTAATTGGGACTCGGCAGTCTTGCAAGTCAACGGAAGCAGCTTTTTCAGCCGCTTTTCGTACTTTTAGCGCTTTTTGGAGGTTGGAGCGGAATCCGGACAAAAAGTTGGTATTTTGGCTGTGATGTCCAAAAAATCCGGACAAATCTCAGAATCATTTTCAGAATCCTACCTTGGTAGGGACTTCAAGTTTCACTGTTTCACGGGTCCTAAGTATACTATACTCCTGGCAGTGGTCTGAATTAGGGTCTCATGCAACTTGGAAACAAGGATTTCGATAACAATTTCACCGTAGCCAAAGACTCGACATGAAGCATCAGCAACTTGAAGAATTTCTAAGCTACTAGGACTGTTGGACCACTAGCAGTTTTTACTCCTGATGATCTCCTCCTAAAGCAGTATCATCCAACTTGAAGCGAAATGTACTACTAGAATACTACACACCTGGAATAATAATGAAGGGCACTGCGTCGCCTCCATTTGGGTCGGGCTCTTCCGAGTCGGCCGTATCGCGGCCATCAAGATCCCGGGTCCCTTTGACTAAAACCGTTCGTATAAGCCAACTCAAAGCCATGATTCCTATTCCGAAGAATGGAGTACAAACCTGGAATAATGACGAATGGTGCATCCGGTTCAGGTTCATCAGGTGCGTCGCGAGTTTCACGGCCTCCTGGTTGCACTGGCATACGCGCGCGCAATGGGTCAGAGTCCAATACGAATGGGTTCACTGTGACCGTCGTGATTTGGCGCACAACACCAGCGGCTGAGGGCTACATTAGTTTGGCTTTTATCGTGGCTGTCGACGAACCGATGTTCACCGGCGTTGCTTTGACTGCACAGTCTGCACCGATACACGCGAGTAAAACCGCCGCGAGAAGATTAGACTTGTTGATGAAGTTCATGTACTTCAAGTTCAAGTTGCTGGCAAGCGTGAGGGAGATGGGAGGTTTGAACCACGAAGAGAGCATACAACACGGGAGGCTTTTATCTCACTGCTCAGCTTACTTGAGCTCCAACAATGGCAGTGTGGAAGGATGATTCTGGAAATGCTATTAGTGCCAGTGCCTGGGCAACTCGAACTAGAATAACCAAAGTTTAACATGACTGAGTCATCCCGGGCCGAGTCTCCCTCGAAGTTAGCGCGGACTTGTTCAACAACCGGAGCGGGAGAAGGACATTCGGACGAGATCCATCATATCTGAGCCCACAATAGCGTGAGCTACGACAGCGGCGGCCTATTTTGGATATCCTGCTCCACCCCGACTCGTGCCAGAATAATAGCATCATGTGTGAATTATATCGCAGGGAAGAACTGCGACTACCAACGGGATCCCAACTCTGACTCGGGGAAAGGGAATCGGTGAGTTCAAGTTCGAAGTCGAACAAACTTGAATGATTTTGAATTAGACCTGAGCAATTTAGGGTGAATACTCGCACAGGCTGCTATTGGAACTGCTAGTTAGAGCCATCGCACAGTCTAGCCAGCTGTGCCTGTGCAGTCATGTTCTGTGATGTAATATCTCAACCCCAATGCACTGGCAACAGATACCAAACGAACCATGGACTTCAGCAACCACTAAAAATTGAATGAATATCGACGTTGGTCGAGCAGGGCGACGTGTGGTTTGTTGAAGATAGAGCTCTCGCAACGGTAGCTTGAATTCACGCTAGACTTTTTGGATACAGGATTTTACGCCCTAGTCCCTCTCGCGACGGGCAATCTTGAATAGCGCGCCAATTACGGTAGCAGGATCTTTTCGAATGGCACTGTGCATGTGCTGGTTACTGATGTACTGCTCGAGGTTGCCAATGGCTCGAGCTGTCTCTTGAGCTCGGTTGAAGTCGACATACCTACTAGGTGTTAGGTTGTCATATCAGTGAAAGTTCACAGGCACGCACATATCGTCGAAATAACTGTGAAGCATATTATTGAGTATCAGCCCAAACCAAAGCTTCACGTTGAAGATCCACGTACGTCGCAGAAGTCACTTTGACGGTATTCTTTGCCAACTGCGTTTTGTCATAGAGTGCCGGCCATTCGGAATACTCGGCGAGCATGTTCGCTACTGTTTTCAATGAACGCAAGTTCGCGTATTCCTCCAACATCTCGGGGAAAACCTAGCAAAAACTCGAATCAACGCTGCTTTGTCGTGGGAAAACACAGACCATTTCGCCCGTGAAGTATACAGGCACGTCGGGTTGCGCTTTGGCCTTGTCCCAGAGAAACTGAGGATACTGACTGAGTACTTGACCACATGCCCAGTTGGCCGCCCGTCTTATGATCTGGGTTAGATATGGGTACCATGGGTATCGAAAGGACGGCTACCCTTGGCAATATATCACCTCGTGCAAAATCGCGTAGAATGGGTTGCTGTCGCATTCTTGCTTTGTTTCGATTTTATGCAGGAGGCGATATGAGAGTTTGCTAAAGAGTTCCAGATCGTTTGCGGCACGCAAGACAAGTTCTACGACAGGTAAGCACTGCTGAGTGAGGTGGGCATGCCTTACGATGAACACGATCGATGCCACCTGGCGAATATTAGGAATGGGAAATGCCTTTCACAAAACTTTACCGTGCATTCCGAAATCAATGCCCAGCTGGAGCCAACGACCAGTACTCAAACGACCTCCGTTGGGAAGCCGGACATCATGGGAATCCAAATAATTCAAAATACGATGAACCTGCCAAACAAATTAGACCAGGCAAAGCTGACAATGTATCGCTTGCTCTCTCTACGTCCCGAGGATACTTCTCATAGTAAATCTTGTTCCGCTCGATCACACGCTCTGTTATAACTGGTAAGTGACTGGCAAGATAGTGGGACCGTCGGTACCCATCAGAGTGGCGAAGACTGAGGCAGGAGCGTCGACCAAGGGTGTAAGCCCCGCAGTCAGAAAGACTTCCTTCAAACCCTCTGGATAGAAGGATAGGTAGGTCAGCGCAACGAAACCACCAAAACTCTGGCCCAGGATTGTCCATTTTCGGTCTTCTGGATCCTCTTTGTGACCTAGAAGTTGTGTTCGGATGGCCTCACAGTCGCGGACTACGTCGTAGATGAAAGCACGCCCTCTATTGGAAAACCACCGACCGATATTATCCGCGCGGAAATGCTTCAGATAGTCAAAGAGTTGCGTGTCAGTCTTTCCCTCGACGAGCTCTGCTGAGAACGGCGTGCTGAGGCCGGTCCCCCTGGAGTCTAGCCAAAGAGTCTACACAATGAATTAGGCCAGGACCGCCATAAGTATTGCTGCGTGCCTGATACCCTTGCTCATGCATCTAATGGTTTATAATCAGCACATGACCGCCTAGTTAGCCATGCATACCGGTCCGCCCATTTGGACACTGGTTTCCAGATCACACTCGAAACCAGGCCCACCTTGAAGGTTGATGATTATGAGGGAGTGGCGCCAACTTTCGGGAAACATACCTTGCAGATATAGAACTATGGCAAAAGCAGCTCAGTACTACGCCGATGACATTTGGTTCAGACTCACTGAACGGCAACTGGGTTTGTTCATCATTTTGCGACTTTTTCGTCGGCACAAGGTTCCGCGCAAAGATTCTGAGTTTTGGGCCGTCTGGGTTGGCGTAGTCGAGTGGCAGTTCAAAAAATCGTTCAATGACTTTGACAGAGCCTCCATCGATCGTGTGAGTCTCTGCGCGAGAACGGAATGCGGCATTCGACCTACCTAGAAGGGTGTACGTCTCTGCAGCCATAGTGGCAGGGTAAGACAGAGAGGGCTGTGAGTACACACTTCGCGAAAGTTGATGCAAGAAGACTGCATGTGTGTGACGGCACCCAGGCTAATGACTGGTGCGGGTGGGAATCTTGTTCAGAATTCTGGTCCGTGACTTCGAGAAATCGATGGGATGAGCGCTCATGATGGTCAAATATAGTTGTCCATTTTCGATTCTTATGTCCGAAATCAGCCTCTTTAGGCTTTTGGTTGCACAACCCGTTCTTCCTCGTTTCCCTCATGAAGCCCGCCCAGATGATGCTCTCAAGCGCATTGGTCTTTTTGACGCTATTGAATGCGTGGAACACGATATTGACCTTTTCGAAGTTTCACTGTGAGTACACATGAAGACAGCAAACGCACGATTTGAAAGAAATCAGCTCAACCTGCAGTAATACACCGCCAAGAGAGTCCCTCGATGGTTCCAGTCCAGCTGCGACGAGTGGCCTTGAGAGTGGTAGCCAACAAACGTTACGGCCTTGACGCGGAAGCTGATTGGAAGTCCCTTATGCCATCGAACAGCGCATTTGGATTCGTCCGTCTTGGACAGGAAGGGCGTCCCTTCGAACCATCGATTTACCACCAACTCCATTGCTTGAATAGCCTCCGTCGTCAATTCACCTATGGCGGCACAGGCTCATCGATCGCATGGCATACTCACCACTGCCTCAACTATCTTCGTCAGGCCGTTTTGTGCAACGGGGACACGACTCTGGAGCCTTCGCATGCATATCACCTCCATGGCCATAACGGTACCGTCCCTGCAGCCTCGGGGAATGATGTCGTGCATGAGTGCCGAGATTGGTCACAGTTGCGATCTTTTGTTGAAGAAAATCAAGCGCAATTCAAGGAAGTGCCATTTAGTTTATGAGAAAGTGGTGTGTTTATGTATTCCCTGAAATATAATTAGTTGTATATAAAAACCAGTTATGAACAATCGCACACCCAGCACTCATGTTTGGCCCCACTAACGATCGCGGCTATTTGCCATTGAAAAGCGAGGACGACAACCCGAAGCTCAGCCAACCGAGCACCATTTCGCGCATCTCAGCTAGTCTCGTCCTCATCGTTCTCTTGTTCAACATCGTTATGGTCGCAACGTCCATATATCTCGAGGTGCAAAACCAGGAGTGGAAGAGGGATCCTTCCCAGTTGCCCTTCCCTGATGCCTTTGTTGGATTGCCGGACGCGTGAGGTATGTTAAGCCTTTCCAAGAGAACATGGCTGACACGCTCAAGTGAGAAGAGGAAGAGTGGCTGTGTCAGTGACTGTGTGATGTTCATGTAATCAAAACTTGTTTTGCTATCTATTCCCGGTTCGGTTCTAAATTTCGTTTGCTCAGAGGCACATGCATGCCTCGTCGTTCCCAGACTCCCGGACTCTGCTGTGTGCTATCTTTTGGCAAGGTAAACGGCGTTGATCTGGAATGCAACTTGACATGCCGAATCTTGCGTTTTTCCAATCGCGACAGAATTCGACGGAACAATCGAGCTCCTCATGGCGCGTTGTCTTCTCCCGCATACTATCCAGGACACTGGAACCATAGGTATCGCAGCACACGGGTAGACCAAACTTCCGGCGCAGAAACAGCAGCTAACATAGCCTGTGCATCAGGCTCGAAATTGCAAATGCGGGGTTTATCGACTGTTTTTACATTTCTGACGGTGTTCCTCGTCTCTGATTTCTCAGCGGACCTCAAGTTAGTCGGTGCGTCATCAGTAAGTATTCTCTCAACAGTTTTTTTTTCTTTGGATGTATCGATATCGGACATCGAGATAACACAGCCCAACACATTGGTGCATACCACTTCCCCCCCAGCCCACAAGCTTGAAGTTGCGAATCACGAGGATGTTTTATCACAACGACGATGCCTCTCGGGGACGTTCATTGTTGCTCGAGTACATGGCTCTGCTGATCTTGTCAATCCTCGGAATGGTTCAAGTCATGGTAAAAACGCATTTTGCCGAGTCAAATCTTGCGCTGGGTAATGGTGTGTATTGTTTCGAGGCTCTTGACCCCTAGGCTAATTCAAATTCTGCTCTTAGTCCAAAGTGACGGCTCGGACAACGGCACCTACTATCCCAGCTCTCTGCCCCTCAGCGTTTCCCAAGCAGCGATGGAATTTTCCCCGACAGAAAAATATGCACTGAATGCTAGTGCGGACTGGGCTTCACTAATCCCTCATGGTCAAGGCTGGGTGCAGCTGGGGAAAGAGCGACAACCGTTCGCCGTGTCCATGTACCACCAACTACACTGTTTGAACGGTCTGCGTGTGGCACTGCGCACGCCAAAGACGAGCCGCTCGCCCCAGTTCAACAGTCATACCAACCATTGTTTCAATTATCTGCGCCAGCTTCTACTATGCAAGGCCGATACGACACTAGAGCCGACTAAGATAACTCAGACAGGCGATGGCAAGGTGCGGGCGGCGGCGTCAGGCGACAATGTGGTCCATGTGTGCAGGAACTGGGTCCAAATTCGTCGCTTTGTAGAGGAAAACATGCGAGATTATTGGAGGGAAACTTGAGCCTGAGGGGTAAATCCAAAGGTTGTAATGTAAATAAATGAAAAAAGAAAAGAAACCGCCAGTTTCGAAACAAATGCATGGTAGCCCGAGCACAGAATTGCCGGCCAGATCACCCGAGTCGCTCACTGCGCGGCCGGCGGCAGGCCGGCGGCCTCCCGCCGTGATGCAATTAACCAATTAACTCTGCAAGATACGCGTAAACATATTGGTGCTATTTGATTGTGCTTTGTCTTCGACGCGCGCGCCATCGGAACAAATGCCCAGGTGTACATGTAAGATGGTCCTAGTTGCAAGATCAAAAAGATCACGTGCAGCTGAGTCACATCAACTCCGAGTTATGTATCGCCATGATGAACTTCTGAGTCTTCAGCCTGGCGACTGCCGCTACTTCTTTATCGCCTTCGAAGAGATCGACACGACTACCCTCCATGCTCTCTTCCCCGTTCTCCTCGAAACTCGGCACAAATTATGCCCCCAATGATGAGGAACTCGAACGTCTATCAGTCCTGGTTTCCAAGTTGGAGACGCAGTTGCAACTGCTCGCATCTCCAACCATCGATAATCGAGATGAAACTACACCAGAAAGCTTTCGACATGAACATAGCGTCCTTGCCCAACAAATTGACGCCCACAAAGCACTCATGTCGCCGCTCCGAAGAGTGCCTCTCGATATACTGCAGGAGATATTCGTCAAATGCTTACCGGAGGACGAAAACTGCCAGATGAGCGCGAATACTGCCCCGCTACTTCTCGGCCGCGTTTGTAGTCTTTGGCGCGAAACTGCCTTTAGCACACCGACGCTGTGGTCGAAGCTCCACGTTCAAGAGCCAGACACGTACTCTCTTGTGGAGCGAAAACACAAGAAGTCTCTCGTAATACAACTGCTTTCTCGGAGGGATGCCACAAAAGAGTGGCTTCAGCGATCCGGCTCATGCCCGCTCTCGATTTCATTTAAGGGCGATCACCAAGTCACAGTCTTTCAACGGTCTATTCTTCCGGTTCTTGTCCCATTTTCACGGCGTTGGGAACATATCTCAATCAAGGCTACGACAAACCTCCTTCCACACATAGCTTGTATCACTGCCAAAGAGCTGCCGCTGTTGAAATCGCTCGAGATCATGGAACGCTTCGGAGGCCAGGATAGCGACCGTGACATCGACCGTGACATCATCCAGCAACCTTGGGGGCTTTTTACGGCTCCGAATGTTAACAGCCTTGGAATATTTGCCGCTTTTTTCCAGGAATCTATCCTCACCATCCATTGGAACCAACTCGTCAAGCTTGATATCAGCCTAGTTCCCATTGATTACAGTCTACCCCAGTCCATCGACTCCCTCAGTAGTCAACGAGCGTTTCAAATTGCTGCTATTTGCCCCAATCTTCGCATTTATAGCATTCTGTTGCATAACTTTGGGGACTTCACACCACCAAACTCGGTCGCAGAACTTCCACATCTTCACACATTCCATGTCAAAAGTGTAGGCGGGCTTAATTCATGCGTCAACGACCTCCTCGCTGGTCGTCTTGTCCTTCCCAAGCTGCGTGACTTGCGCTGGCATGGAAAAGCCCACCCCCAAATTCCACTCACCCTCTCATATAAACCATTCTGCACCGCTGCTCGTTATATCGAGGTCATCGATCTGAGCTTCGACCTTTTCAACAAGGACACGTTGGCCGAATTTTTAGGCCTCGTCGCACATACTCTTCGCAAAGTGAAAATGTGCCCCAGCCACGACGTGGGGCCCGAGGGCTCCGAATTCGTCTTTGACGATGACATTTTGGACACGCTGGGCTCACTCGTCAATTACCCGGCTCTGGAGGTGCTCGACATTTCCTTCGCTGCATTTTCTGAGCAGGCGTTGGTCAATTTTGTCACTGCCCGGATGAAAGGGCAACAGCTCAAACGCGTGGCTGTGAGATTCCGCAACCCGAAAGTGTTGGATGTCGAGGCCAAGCTAAGCTCATTTGTCGCTGCAGGGCTTGAGGCAAACATTGGATATCCTAGGCGTCGCTCTTGAAACTCGTGGTTGGGGCGTTATAAGCCTGTAGGTATCCGCATACATACATTGGCTTCAAGCTTTATCCTGTAAAGCACCACTGTACTTACTCTCCGTGTACGATTCCGAGTCTTACTTTTGTAAACATTGTCTTTGATTTGCTAATAGCTTTCATAATTCAGACAGTTACGAGTTGTATATCTGAACTTTTTTTATGTGTATACAATGTGACAGTCGAGTCTTAACGCTTGATCACAACCCTCACGTTCTCAGTCTGAACCGTTCTCTCAGCCTCTCTGCATTTCGTAAGGTCTCGAAAACTTCTCTTTTGGGTTTTGCACTTTTGTTTATGAGCCTTCCAGTTGTCTCAACCATGAATTTCTCAAGTAGCAAGAAATACTTGTTCTGACCGTGACATCGATGTCGACGCGGCAAATAGCTAAAACCAGTGCGAATGACGATCCTCCTACGCCTATTCACGGATAATAGTCTCGAATGAATTCCATCCAAATGCTAGTCTAATGATTGCAATCTTCGTCTTCACTGGCAATTGTCTCTGAATCCGCAGCGCTCGTGAGAATCAGGCTTGCTGCATGAGGCTTTGGAACGTCTTATGAATGGCTGCGATCTGTCAACACATAGAACCTTATAACGAGATACGAGCATCATAACCTCTTCACCTTTTCTCTTTGCTACAACAAACGATGGACAAAGTCGACGCCGAAGTAACTCAACCCCTTCTTTCAGTAGGCGACCACGACGTCGAGAATCAGAATGCCAACCATGGACCCGTTCACGTTTGCGCTCGCTGTGCCACAGAAATGCGAGGCGGGACGACTGTTGAAGACCCAAACGGCCCTGGTGTCAAGATTCACGCTCGTGGTGCATTGCTTTTCGGTAGGTTACTGCGCTTCATTATGGAAAGGTGTGACGCTGAGCTATGGCTCTTAGTGGCTAGTGCCCTCAGCTTGGCCCTTTTCATCCTTTCAATTGTGATCATGTCGATGTCTTATCGCAAGTGTTATCCCTCTCTCCACATTGCTACCCGTAACGCAAGTAGATTTCTTCGTTGGAGAGCTCTTCGTCTGCCTCTGGTCTTTCACGACTCAGGTTGTTCTTTGTGCTTTGTATGTCGTGTCCTGCTAGTGGGAGATTCCAGTTGCCTTCTCACTCTCATATCCTGTTACCTAGAATCTACGCTGGCTGGCCTCATCGCCGCAAGCGCATGCCCAAGCTGAGCAAGACCACTGCACAAATCAAGGTCCTCTGTCTTCTTGCTCTCTCTTGGATTCGTTAGTCAAGACTTGTACCAGCTCCGTATTGGATCACTAATACAGCTATACTGTAGCTCTGGCCACCGGTGCCATTATTGAAACTGACGATAACGCTTGCCCATGGGACTCGATTTGCGCCCCGTTCGTCTTGGTTAACATTCTTATCTGGTTCCTTATGATCGCTCGTGCGTTTCCTTTTTGTTGTACCCAATAATGCTCAATCTCTATGCAGTTTATGGCGCCGCGTTTGCGACTTATCGTCGTGCAGTCAAGATCCACGGGAAAGAGCTTGTACAGAATCCGCAGAAGATACCTGCTTGGCGTCTCTCGGAAGTCAATGGGGCTGAGGGAATGCTGAAGCTTTGAAATCATCGCGCTTGCTTGCAACCTAGGTCTATCATGTTTGTCATAGTCGTATTCGTCTTGCGGAATGAGCTTTGGCTTATAATGTTCGTGATACGAGAGTAGTACTTAGGCTTCTGATGCCTGCTTAGAAAGTGCTTACTGTTACTTCCTAGTATGCAGTGTGCACTCGGTGGCTAAAATGGCCCGGTTATCATGCTGTAGCATCTATGGTTGTGACCTTCGGAGCTTCGATAGGGATTCAGTGAGGCGCTCGATTTCGACGTGTTAGATCTGCACGGTGACGCAATCTCACCCAGATTAGGATGCTTAGGTCAGCCTCCAAAAAGGGCCTTGTCGACTTCGACCAACTATTCGTCCTCTTCCAACATGTCGAAACGGCGAGTGGCTTATTATTATGACCGTGGGGTATTCATAGACTCGCGACCATGACTCACCGGCAATTAGCTGATGTTGGAGGTTACACTTATGGTCCCGGACACCCCATGAAGCCTCATCGAGTGAGAATCACTCACGACCTCGTTAGCGCATATGGAATGCTGGATAAAATGCATGTTCTGGTGCGTCGCTGCTTTCAAAGGATGAATGGGGGGCACTGAACAATCGACAGAGACCCAAACGCGCAACACCTGAAGCCATGTCCGCCTTTCACACCGACGAATACGTGAATTTTCTCAAACGTGTAACGCCAGAGACGTCCCAGGAGCTTACCCATGGAGGGCTGCTGTGTGCGTCCCCCACAACTCTTTCTTTTCGTGTCGTTGACTTGTTTGACTAGTTCTCGTCGGCGAGTTACCCGACAATCCCGCATTTGAAGGTCTTTTCGAATACTGCTCTATATCTGCTGGAGGATCTATCGCTGCTGCCCAAAGAATCACTTCCGGAGCCGCAGATATAGCGATTAACTGGGCTGGAGGACTCCATCACGCAAAAAAGGGCGAGGCGTCAGGTTTTTGCTTCGTGAATGACATTGTACTCTGCATTCTGGAGCTCTTGCGAACCCATCAACGTGTCTTATATATAGACATCGATATTCACCACGGAGACGGTGTGGAGGAAGCATTTTACACCACCGACCGCGTTATGTGTGCAAGCTTTCACAAATTTGGCGAATTCTTTCCGGGAACGGGGACGCAAAACGACTGTGGAAGAGGAAAGGGGAAGGGATACTCATTAAACGTGCCTTTAGACGATGGGATAACGGATGAAGCGTATCGAAGCGTCTTTGAACCCGTATGTGGTCCTACATCGTCCTATCTATTGGTATTGACAGGAACAACAGGTAATGGCAAAGATAATGGATGTATTCCGACCAACCGCAATTGTTCTACAATGCGGCGCCGACTCTCTTTCAGGCGACAAGCTCGGCGGATTCAACCTTTCTCTCCATGGACACGCCGCTTGTGTCCAATTCATGCGCCGCTACAATATACCGCTTGTCTTACTTGGCGGTGGTGGCTATACAGTAAAAAACGTCGCTCGCGCTTGGACATACGAAACTGCTTGTGCGCTTCGTCTAGAACACGAAGTTAGCGAGGATCTCCCTTGGTGTGAATATTTTGAATGGTTCGGGCCGAGATACCGGTTGGAGGTCGTACAGAGCAACATGGAGGATTTAAATTTGCGGGATGGGTCGTTAGATCGTATAAGGTGAGTCTTGGAAACGGAGGACGATAGCCAACTGATTTTTTAGGGAACGGGCATTGGAACAACTGCAAGAGCTTGCGTCAAGATGTGCGCCAAGTGTAGGCATGCATGATGTTCCGACACAGACACTGGGCTCGCATCTGGGCTTCAGCTTTACCTCTTCACGACGCGATGATGGGCTGGCGAGAGATGAATTGGACGAGAAACTGGCCCGTGGGTTGCATCTACTTTTTTGGTGTCTTGTTCTGATTTGTGTAGAACATACTCGTTATGCATATGATCTCCAAAATCAAGCTGCAAATGGTTCAGACGACTCGGAAGAATCGGAGCAGGAGTCTAATCACTCTTCAGACGAGGCTGGGTCTGGTATAAGCGGCAGGCGGCGAAAGCGGATGAGCATCATGACCAATCAGTATGTGGATGTGCCAAAGCTAAATGAACACCTACCCGCCAGCAAGAGCACCAGAAGACAATTTTTCCAAGTCTTCCCAACTCCATGGGATATAGTACGACCGGCACCGGTCAGTGTGTTGGTCAGGGAGGAGGTCGTTCCTCTGGTTGCCGAAGTTGCCGCCGTGATGACCAACGGTGGGCAAAAAACGGGGAGGGGAGCAACTCGGGCTGTGCGTGAAGCGAGAGAGCGGGCTCGAGAAAAGGAACTAGAAAGGGAGGAGGAGGAGGAGGAAATGGAGGTGGACTCTGATATCGAGCCGGATCGCCAGCCGCCAAGACGGCGAGGCTGGCGAGGGAGAGGTCGCGGGAGGGGTAGTAGAGCAAGGGGAAGGGCCAAGCCAGCAGCCCAAAGGCAACGAGAGGATAGTGTGAACGGACGGGAGATTGATGTTGATGGGGACCCTGACGATATGGAAGAATACCCAGAGGGCGATGGGTCAACACCGACACCTAATTATGACTCCTCCACTGGTATATAGCGCTGGTATCCTGTGTATACATAGACTTGTTTTCGTATTGCTTTTTATTTGCGTCACGCCATACGTGACAATCACATGACACGTCTCCAAACGCGTTTTGCTCCTTTTCCAAAATTCCAGGAGATTTTCCAGCTTGAGGATGGGCCGGCGACGTCGCTCAGCTACCTCCAAAGAAACGAATCTTCTCCATCTCCCCCCTGAAATATGTGCACTCATATGCCATTCCGAGACGACGGAGCCGAAAACCCTCCTCCAACTCAGTCGCCTTTCGCATAGTTTTCGCTACGAAGCGCAACGTCTGATCTATCGCGTTGTCGACCTGCGGACAAGCAGCAAACCACTCGCGTGGGCCCGCGCTGTGACGCATAACCCCCGTCTTGGGACCTACGTTCAGAGATTCACCCTCTCCCCTTCTCCCGACTTGGCTGTGGCTGCAAAGATTGCGAGAGCGCTGCGCAACTGCCCTAATATCAAGCGGCTTGCCGCTCAAACGGCCTACTGGAGCCCCGACTATAACTGCGCGGACGACGTTACTCACACATGGATCATTGATAATGCACCGTTCCAGCTTACTCATTTCTCGAATTCGTCTCTCCGGAATTCCTTCCTACATCCGTTTTGGAATAAACAGACAGAGATACAAGTCCTCTCGTTGCCGCTCATAATCAACTCCGAGGGCAAGAGGGGTTTTCCGTGTCGTGAAGACCAGCTGCCGAAACTCATTGCGCTGGATGTGGCATCAACGAATTTCCTTCCAGCCACGCCACGGCCACTCCAACGCATTCAAATCGGTGTAACGAATCCAATGCCAAACGCGCACCAAAATCTACGCGCTCTCAGGCGATTCGCGGCTACTCTGACGGTTTTTAACTTCTCAGCCGTGGCGATTGAGCTGATGGAGACGATCTCCGTTGTCTCACAAGCGGCGCCCAACCTCCAACACCTGGGTCTTTCCGAAAAGCTCTCTCGGTGAGTGCGCTCAGTTGCGATAACCGAGCCTTCCTTACTCGTGTCAGGACTGGCTTCGACCATTCTGTGATATCAGACTTCGTGCCATGTCCACTGTTGCAGGACATGAAACATTTAAGAAGCTTCGTCTTATATACCTATACCCGCCGCCGCCTCGTCCTTCCTGCTAATACCTCCATTGGTACGCCGGAGGGCGACCATTTCGTCCACGCAAACCTCAATGCTGAAGCACTGCTTCGCGTATGCCCGGCCTTGGATCAAGTCGTAGTTGGCACCTATGTCAAGAAAACCGTTGACGATACCGTGTCCTACACAGAAAAGACCTGCAAGGTTACAAGGGTCTCTGGCGACCCGAATAGATACTTGACGCAAACGGGCAAGGGTTTTGACCTAGCAGCGATGGGACGGTTTTGGGATATCTGACTTGTTCGTGATTACACTGAGGAATCTATGCTAGTACTAGACCATACGTATCTTTAATGCCTCAGACCCAATAAGGGTTCTACTTGCAGTCTTACACTAAACTTGTCTAAAGTAGATAATCTGTCTTCAATGCATCACCACGAGTCACGACGTGTCACGGCGTGACTTCGAATATCTCACTTTCTCTCTCATCATTGTCATGGCCAGGAGACAACGACGGACAATTGACTCTGAGGTGGCAACACTGCTCCATCTTCCGCCGGAAATATGTGCACTAATATGCTCAATGGTCGAGTTCGAAACTCTGCTCAAGCTCTGTCGAGTGTCACACTCGTTTCGCAACCAGACCCAACGAATCGTATACCGTTCTGTCAATCTTCAAAGATGCAGCCGGGCGAAGCGGATGACGTGGTTTCGTTCCATGAGCAGAAACCCACAATTGGGGGCATATCTGCACACGCTGAGGATTCCTCCCATCGACCTGGAAGAGGGTCAACGGCTGGCCTTCGTGTTGAAGAAATGCCCCCATCTCAACGTCCTTGACTTCCAAGGATTGAATGTGAACAATGGCTACAGCTGTGATGCCATACACACCTGGGTCATCGACAACATGCCCTTTAGACTCACCCACTTCACCAACTCTTATTTTCGGAGCACCTTCTTGACATCTTTCTGGAAGAAACAGACAGGAATCAAGGTCCTGTCACTCCCTCTTGTGTCGTCCGCCGATAGGCTTGTGTTTCCCTGTCATGACGGCCAGTTGCCTAATCTTATTGGTCTTGAAGTGCCGAATACACTCATGCTCCCCACAAATTCGCGCCCCCTGCAGCGCATACAACTTCAAGGTCACTTGAATGCGCGGCAGACAATGTTTGATCTTACCGTCCTGGCACGCTTCTCTTCAACACTCACGACACTTAATCTTTGCCTGGTGGCTATGCCACCTTTTCCATCGACATTGCACACTATTGCTCAAGCAGTACCCAACCTCACCTACCTCGGGTTGGCCGACAAGGTCTTTCCATGGTCCGTGGTCAACACACTATATTAACCCATGCTGAACATCTTCAAGGAGCCACCAGCAATTTCCCCGAAGCGAGTTGCTAGCCCTAAAACGACTGAAAAATCTAGTTATCCTCTCACATCATACTATGGTCATCAACGACGCCTCGAACGCTCAGAACTATACCTTCAGGGACCTCCGATCCATGACACAACTCTTTATGGACACCTGCCCCAGCCTTGAGCAAACTATCATTGGGCGACATGGCAGAGTTCGGGACCTGGCACATGGCCAACTTCTGGATCGAACATGCAGGATGCAGAGAGTAAAGGAGACCAAGGAGTTGGTTGTCGAGATGCAGGGCGATGTCGACTTCGACGTTGTAGCGAAGTTTTGGGACGCTTGACTTCATGACTGTTTATTGTTTTGGTTTTATTCACTGGGTACAAGAAGTCTACGCTAACCAGATCGAATCGAAAACAATGTTGGGGGATCTATTGGTGACCATCAGAAAAACAATTTCGGGAAGTAAAAATGCCCATACAGGAAGCTATCTCCCCCCGAGCCTGAAGCAACACTGATGACAAAGTTGTTTGTGCCAGCGACAAGTGCGCCGGAGGGAATAGAATAGGTATAGAGGATATTCTAGAATTTGGTCAGCCTGTGTTCCAGAGTATGAGGACTGACGGACATTTCCGCGCCAGGTTCCTCGAGTAACGCCTCGCGAGTCGGGTTGGGTTGGGACGGCGGGAGTAGAACTCGTGAAGCTTCCAACGGTGACAACGGGGCGGCCTCCAGCAAACGCAAGGGTGGTGGCGATATAAAGAGTGCGTGCTCCGACTATCGCAAATCAGCTGTGAGTACAGAACAGGTCAAATAAACGCACTTTGAGAAGAGCTTAGCGTCGATCGAATTGTAACAGAACCAATGGTCTTGAAGATTGCCATGGGGAAACCATTGACGCCATTCCCGACCGTAAAGGTTATTGGGCCCCAGGAAGACATCCGGTTGTCACTTGGGTGCATGGTTTCGATTTTGCTAAACGTCAAGTCGGTTTTTGACGATTGCGGATAGGAGGAAAGGGCTTACTCGGCATTGAGGAAGCCACGAGGAGTACCATCGTAGTCACCAATGCTCCAAATGGTGGTGGGGAGCTGAATAAAATTAGCCATAGCATCCAACTACATAGTCGTTCACTTGCCTTGAGTGAAGAAGCGATATTGGTTGTTACAGTCCCTCCAGCAGAGACTGTGACAGAGGTCGTGCCAACAGCAAGCTCGACCTCATACACTAGCCAGACATCAAATAAGGCAGCAGCATAATAACGAAAGCGCACGAGTCATGGTGTAAGTTCCAGGTTTCATATATGGACTGACGAAGTTGCCAGAGCTATCCGTGCGGACCCAGTACTGTGCAGCGCTGTTGCTCCATCCAATGCTAAGGAGAGAGCTGAATTGAGAGCGGAAGTTGCTGGCTTTGCCGCTGACACGGCCACGGCCAGCTTGTTTGACATAGCCTGAGATGTTGAATTGTTCCCAGAAGGAGTAGTCGTAGGTCGTAGGTGTTCCACCAGTCGTGAACCACAAGGCATATGGACCATGGAAGCCTTGTCGGAAAGCATCGGGATTGGTATGGCCGGAGTTCATGTAGAAGTAGACCTCCTGGTCACCACCGTTCTGGTTGTCGATATCACGGAAAAAAGGTCCGCCTGACGAGCCTTCGAAGCCCGTGCCGGGCACAATCATGAATGCAGCTATCCCGCTTCCAGAGACACCAGCGTGGACGGAATCGTCGATGAACTGACGAGAAGAGTAGAATTTGGAGCGCGTTTGCCCGTTGACTAAATAGACGTCAGACCCCTCGATAGCACTTCCGCCGATGGTATTGGAAACGGTTGGGCCATTGGGAAGTGCAGAATTCGCCATGCGGAAGATGTAACGCAATTCTCCGACGCTGGGCTCCGCCGATGTACTGGTTGAAGAATTAATAATAGATGTTGTTATAAGATGGGACACGCACTAGGTGCCCATATGAATGGCAGGGTCGTTCCGGCGAGCAATGTAGTAACTAAAACAGAGTTTAGCGAAGTATAAAAGTAGCCAGGTTGTGGCATACTGAGTGAGCGTAGATGTCGTGCAAGTTATGACGATATAGTTGTTGGAGTTTCCACCTTGGAGCCAACTGCAGCTCGCGCCGATGCCTGAAGAAATTTGAGAGTTTTTGCCATTTTTGGATTGAGTCTGTGGTCGAATGGGTCATGAATACGGTGCATCAACAGTTGGGCGCACCTCGACTCCATTGTAAACCATTGAAGTAATATCGCCAGTGTTGGATGCCACTGCAGCCCCATGAGCAAACTTCGTTTGCTTGAATAAACCAACGAACCGGTGAATGTGAGACCTGAATAGCGTTTAGATCGTTCATAGTCGAAGCCCAAGGTAGAATGACGAACCTCCATCCGTTGTCACGACGTAGTTGCTGCCGCTAACTACCAGTCCAAATCCAGCCACCGAAAATACCCAACACGATAAAGTCGCAACGACAGCGAGCAAAAGGCGAAGCATCGTTTTGTTTTGAGTTGTCTCTTAGAATGAGGATTCCATGGGTTTATATGTGCGGAGCCGACTTCTTGATACAGATGACCATGACAAGGCGTTTTACGAGGATGAATCTCGGGGTCTATGTCGCCGAATATTTTCAGTGTTCAGTGGCAGCCAAGACCCCGAAATCACGACGGCTGCGGTTGAAAAAGAACATGACCAGGCCTGCTGACAGAGATTGTCGTTGAGGATTGACTGACGGGCCGTGGACCAGCCGCCACGGCACGGACGGTGAGGAGGACTTGACTTTGCAGACAGTCACGCGGACAATTGATCCCGCCAGTTTCGCCCTCGATTTATTGGAAATCAATGTGTTTGGAGTAAAATAATGCCAAAAGGACAATAAATATTAAATACACAAATACAGAGACTAGATGCGCCAAAACCTCGAAGATGCACGAAAGTCGAAACCCCTTCCGTTGATGCTTTTTACCGAAAGCTTGCCAGGAATCGTGCTGTTGAGCGCAGCGGGACGAGGCGTCGGCGCGAAGATGGGAAGGAAAGGCGCAGGGTGAACGAGGGGAGCGGAAGCTCAAGGTGGACAGGCCGTGAGGGGAAGAAGCAAGAAAAGGATGGTGATTAGGTAGACTACGTAACATGAATGACGCTCTGGCTATAGATATCAACACTCCCACCTAGCCAGAGCTACCTCCGAAATAATGGGGATATGGTGTTAGCTCCCACCGAAACTAGCACACCCATGAAGCACTATCATGGCTTGGGCAAGTACCAAAGGGCCCAACACTAAATCCAAGCGAAATAAAAAGCTCCCACCGGATCCAACACGCCCACGAAGCAGTAACGTGGCCCGTGATCAATATGGTGAAAGGGGAAGGAGTCGAAAAACATCGGTCGCATCTTGTCGCTGCCAAGGTTCTCTCAAATAACGACACGTGCGGCTGAAGACCGAACCGCGGCCTGGGTACTATCCATGCGGCGGTAGTACTCTTGCATCGCACCCTCCAGGACGTCTCTGAGGATCTCATCCTCGTCCTCATCAGCATCAACGTCGACACCGGTGGCAGCGGCAGCTCGTTCGGATCTTGGCCCATAGAGTTTCGGGCGGTACTGGGCGATGGATCGTAGAACCCAGTCCACGTACAGCTTGCGGCATGTCAGAAAGGCAGAACTGCGCTCGATGGCCTTCACGACCGCAGCGGAAGCAGTCCTTGTCAGACCGCGGCGAGCACCAGTTGTAGCCATTGGCATGTGCTTCGACTGGGGCTTGGGTAGAAGGCGGGGAGGGGACTTGGACCGCAAAGGCACCGGGAATGACAGGCTCGCTCCTCTCGCTCTTGATGGCAGCCATGAAGTCGGGCTCTTCCAGTTTTATGGCATCGTGGGCGTCGGATCTGAGTTGAGCAGCGGCGCTGGCAAAAGTGGGTGGGGTGGCAAGCTTTGCGAGCTCCTTCTTTGTCGGGAGCATCAACGCGTCGAGGCGTACGAGAAGAATGGCGGTTTTGACATCGTCGGAGATGGCCATGCCCATGCCCTCCAAGCGTTTGCACAATTTGTCGATTTGCGCCGAGTACTGGCTGACGGGCTGACTGGTGTCGTGCACAATGCTGATGAGCTGGTCGAAGGTGACAAGGCGGTCGGAGAAGGTGAGGGAGATGAATGCTTGTCGAAGGGCATGCCAACGTTCGCGAGTGCCGCTCAGCTCCGAGATGTGGTGGCGGTAGTCGGGGTGTGTCTTCGTCAGCAGTAGGAAGCTGATTTCGTGGTCCAGACGCTGGTCAGCGGCGCCGAGGGCACCTTGGGTCCCAGCTTCATCTGTAACCCAGGTAGCTCCCGCAGCGCGCGTGAACTCCTCAAAAATGGTGGCATGGGTGGCGAAGTTGTCGGGCTGAAGGTCTTTGATGTTCTCGATGGACGCGACGAGGTAGTATGGGAGGACCATGGTGCTGAAGACCTGCAATGAGTCTCGCAAGTCGATGGTGATGTTGGTCGAGGGTGAAAAAAGGTGACGTGGTACGACTGCGGGTCATAGCCGACGGAAAAGGCCGGGGCCCATAACCTGTTGAGCGCAGCGGGACGAGGCGTCGGCGCGAAGATGGGAAGGAAAGGCGCAGGGTGAACGAGGGGAGCGGAAGCTCAAGGTGGACAGGCCGTGAGGGGAAGAAGCAAGAAAAGGATGGTGATTAGGTAGACTACGTAACATGAATGACGCTCTGGCTATAGATATCAACACGTGCTGCGCTCCACAATGCACGTCGCCTCAAATTTTGTTTTTTCCCACTTCGCGATCCAGTCCAAGTCGAGGATCTTTGGGCACTGTGAAAGATCGAATGCCCCCACTTCGACGCTGAGAAGGCTTGGATGTCGCAATATAAGCGACGTTGTGAAGGCCTCAACAGAGGGTGAATTTTGCATTGAGTATCCGGCGGTTCCGCAAGTGGCAGTGGCGGAGTCGGTGAACGCGTTGATCTTATATGTGTGGAACACGAGCGTTTCAAGCTTCTTAAAAGATTCTAGACACTGCCGAGGAGAGACAGTGGGATATTGCTTGAATCCTTCGAGAGATCGACTGGAGAATATCGGTTAGGCAGAATCACTGGTAAGCAAGAATGTAGAAGACAACTCACAGAGCCCAGAAACTTTGGGCAAGTCCGAGATTAACCAGAGAAGGTGCAGCTGCCGCAAGGGCGCGAAGGAAATCTCCAAGATCCCCGCCGTGGAAATCAAGAAGGTTGAGCATAGTTAAGCTGCGGCCAAACGGCCGTATATGCACTATTAGGTCGAGAGGAAACATGCTGGCCAGCTGAATGCGCTGGAGAGGACGCGATGTTGGCAACAGCTTCGCGTAGGGAACCTCCAGTCCTATCAGATGGGGCAGCAACTCTTCCTCCAACAAAAATTTCTGCTGTTCGCGGCTGGCAAGCGATAAGATTCGAATTCCGCTGTGTACCTTCCAGAACGACAATAGCATGTTGTCGCGGAAGTATCCATTGCGAAATTTTGTAAGCCCTGGGAAGCCTAAACGTGACTGCGAGAGTAAGTAGGTTTGGATAGCCCCTGAGTGCCATCCCGCCGAGCTATCGATGGACAGCTCTTCGAGATTTAGGCATTTCCCAAGGGCCTTTGCCAGCCGTGGGGCAGTGGAAGACAGAGAGAACTCGTCCGGATGGGGCAGTTCGACGAAGAGGGACTGAACCTGCAGTGCAAGTGTGGTCTTGCGGGTGATGGTGACACACCAGTCCTTCAGATAGCCAGAGTGAGGGCCAGTGAGGTCAACCTCGCGGAATAAGCAACGTTGGGACTCTAAAGAGAAGGCACGGGAAAGCGTGGAGAGTCGGATATGATCCTCGCGAGGAAGAAGCTCGCATATTGCTCCATAAATTTCAGGTGGCACGTCGGCGAATGAGGTTGGATGTGGTTCAGTTAGGGTCGGAGATGGAGGGGGCCGGCATTTCTTGGGCCTTGAACTTTTTTTGCGAGGAGCCATGAGAAAACGGAGAGAGACAGGGACTAGTCACGGTCACGTTACGACGTGACACAACGTGTTGCCTGAGCATAGTCTCAGACAAATCCGCGGCAAATGCTAGGGAATGTCTCTGGCTTCCGAGTTAAAAAGAAACGCCCGTGACTATTGTCTTCCACCTGCTTCCGTCTCATCCCACAACAATCGTCGTCAAACATCAAACATAATGCTTTCCACAATGTTATTTTCCCCAACCACGTTCACTGCCTGCTGGCCGGGAAGTCCCTCACTTTCACCAGCCTCATTTGGCTCCATGCCGATTGATTTGCTGCCCCCCGCTCGACCCACCAATGTCGCAAACCTTGTACACAAACAAGGTCTTCTATCCAGTCCATGCCGTCGACCGATACGGCAACTACCGTTCCCCCAAGACGGCTTTCCAAAAACAAGTGGTGAGTGATGTCCATGTTGGGGAAACGGCGTCAATGCTGACGGGTTGTCTTAGACCCTGAACAAGATGGACCCCCGCTGGAAAAGCGCGGGTCAAGGTCTTGGTTTGGGTCTAACCGGCGTCGAAACTCGCTGGGGCGTCCTGCAATCACAATACGTCCTCAGCCAAAAGCCGGTATTTCGTGCTCCAAAACAACGAGCAGCTCCACCCACAGCACCAGAGCATCAGGTCACACCAGCGGCACAGGCGGAAACTGTCGATGGTGAACATGTCTCACAACCCTGTTCCATCTGGCATTCCCTCGTCGAATTCGTTGCAACTGCATACCCACTCTTGGACTCGCCTCTTCTGGAAGGGGAATCTCTTCCGACTAAGACACCTCTCCAGCTAGAGCCCGTTGCTCCCTTCTGGCCTTCCCTGCTCAACTTCATCGACACAGCGCACTCACTCTTGGAATCGCCTCATCCTGAAGAGGCTCCTTCAGCCGTTACGCCACCTCAACCAGAGCCGCTCGTACTCCTCCCGGTCGTTGTAACTCCGGCGTCACAAACAGCCGCCATAATACCAACCCCAAAGCCTGAGAAAGTTATTGTCTCGCTCTCTTTGGTCCAGCCACGGTCATCAGTAACATCACCGTCTCTCGAATCGTCACCCAAACGTTCATTTGCAGACATTGACAAGACCATTCGTCTCCCCCATCGGCTCCGGTCGCCTTGTATTCCGCAGGCTACTACCCACTCCGGTCCGGAATACAGTCAACGACTTGCTGTTCGTTTCTGCCCTAGCGCAGACAGGCCCCCCCGTCTCTCGGACCCAACCCAAAGACCATCGTTTTTTCGCCATGAAGAAGAACTAGCCGCCGACAAGTCGAGAAGACATGGTAACAACAAAGTCCAATCAGCCTGGGATCGCCGACGAATCAATTGCTTGCACCAAGAATCTATAGCCCACATCACATCCGCACCGATGACTAGCTGCGAGGAACTTGGGCGTTACCAAAACGCCATGGAAGTCGAAGAAGAACTGCGACAGGAAGAACTCATCGCCAAACGCCGAGAAGAACTGGGGACGCGAAAGCCGCGATTCTCCCTTCGCGGCATACCGTACGACATGGTTTTGCGCCAGCAGAGGAGGAGATGTGCAGGAGAGGTGGCGCGCGCTACTCGTCGGAGGGCTTGGTTGCAAAAGGAGATGGACATAGACGTCAATCTTGAATAATGTGTACATTATAATCTGTAACAAACGGACTTGAGCAAAAATGTCGGTATCGTGGCCAGAAAACTATACCTGCGAATGAATCCCTTGATATAAATCCGCCTGAGTGGCTGGGGGTTGAGTTGAGGTGCAGTTTCGACCATCTCGACCTAACTCTAAGCCATAGCGATCTGGTTGGTAGTTTTGCCCATTAGCTTAAGTTTCTTTTCAAATGCACATCCAAAATGGCTGATGTACTTACTTGTGAGTGGCGGTCAGAACCGTGACGAACACACCATGTTGCCAGTCGTCGTTGTCCACATTAGCCCGATATTCCCCTCCTCAGCCCCAAAATCGAGCGTCATGGGCGTCATTTTTAGATGGTGGTCAGTTAGCGGGGAGCAAGTCTTGAGCAAGTCCGGAGCGGTCACGTGTGACAGTCACTGTGACTTCAGGCCTTCTTCTGTAAGCTTCTGTATTCTTGCGCAAAACATCTACCATGATTGAAGGTAGGGCCGACGAGCGGCGTAGCACAAACTGATTGAAAGTAAATAAAAAGTGTTCTTTCTTTCATCATTGTAGTAGCAATTGAGTCCAAGATAGCAAATGTGGGTGTTTCCAGATTCTACATTATCCTCACAAGAGCTTAAGCTTGATTTTTAACTCAGAGTAATATTTCTTCAAAGTATTGAATCACACCAGGGCTTCTGCTAAAGATTGTTCCCAAAGCAGAACATAATTCTAATGTTTAACAGCTCTAATTGATCATCAAGAAAAGAACACTTAATCTGGTCAAGGAGAAATCAAGTTCTGAAAAAAAGAAAGAAAGTGTATTTACTGCTTTGGTCCCTACAAGGAAACATGTGGTTTCTGTACCTATGTACATGCCCCCCCCCAACCATATACACTACAGATAAGTGCAGATGGCAATTGTTGCAAATACTGATGTGCATGACACCAGCATCTCCTGGAGCAACCTATACCCAGGACTGAGGAAATTTCTTGAAGTTATTTGGACTCCAGCGGAGTCCGGCCCAGGAGGATTTGGAACACCATGGTCTATTTAAAACATCAGAGAGGATCTGATACATTACACCCTCTGCTTGCCTTGCGCACCGTCAAGGGTTGCGCACCGTCAAGGGTTGCATGAGCAGCATCTAGTTTATAGCTGTCTTCTGTATCAGGACATAAAATCCAGAATATTTGTTAATAATAGATGCATCTCACTTAAGCCTCAATATTTTTCAAAAGAAATATTATTACCTGGATTTTTCTCTTAATATATATATATAATAGCCATTTTTTCACTTATCTCTGATATATTAGGTACATTTTTGCTGCTGGACCTTGCAGATTTGGTCTTATATTTTGTGGCACATTTGCCGTATTTATTTGCTACAGATTATGGTTATAAAATGGTCTGTTGATATTAGCTTTGACTTATATCCTATCTGAGAACTTGAAATATGATCCCATTACTTGCAAATCAAGTCTACTTTCTTTAAGTTTTATTTTCCATCTGTTCAAGTTATTAAACATGTAAATTGTTATTGTCCCTGGTATGAACTGTATGAGTTGTGCCAAGTACTACACCGCAACGGGATCTCCACCCGGTCAGCGGCTGATTCTGACATCCATGACATCTGCCGTCGTCGGATGGCATAGAGGGGGTGAGCGGCTGGAAGTTGGGGTTGGTCGCAAATGACACCAGCTGGTGGCCAGGTCCAGCTGGTGGCAACCTGGAGAAGGGGGTGAATCAGCGCTGTTGTAGTACCTCGTGGCAAGGCTTCAACGGACATGCAAATCAGGCTTTCACATATAAACACAATGTATTTGTCCGTAAGTCTATAGCTAATGTGGAGATACAAACATGCTATCCTTACAGCTAGCCAGTGGTGTCCATACTGTTGGTGTTAGCGGAGGAGGCAGCATTCACGAGCGTCGCATCAATGACGCTCGAAACCTGCTGCTGAACAGCGTCACCAACGGTCGCGTTGATAGTGTAATTGTTGACACCATGATTTGCACGGTCGTGCTCGAGAATGTTGCGGAAAGCACTGAGGAGGGTTGAAATTGTGGAGGATAGATAGAGAACTCTGGCTTACCGCGTAATCATGCGTGTATCGCCTTTCGCTTGCGTGCGAATCGCCGTAAGGTACTCGTCGACCTTGTTCCAGAATTTGGGGTGGGGAGCGGTGCTGCATGTAAACATCGCGCTGCCATCTAATCAGACCACAAACAGGGATAGGAAACTAGACCAGCTTACAATGAGCGCGACACGCGCGCAGAGCTCAATAGTGACGACACAATTGGTGCCTTCGACAAGCTCCTCAGCAAGAGCATAAACATTAACATGTTGATTGGCCGGACCAAAGCTGTCGTCAGTGCGGTTGTACTGGACCGAAAGGGCGACCTACGTGGAATGTATCAGACACAGAAGCATCCGAGCAGGACACATACCTGCTTCTTGATCTTCGAGCGAAGCTGGGTGAGTATTTCTTGGATTTCCTTCTTCACAGTCTCGTAATCGGCTGGTTTGTTCTCGATACCGGGAGGGAGGTCGAAGCGATGATGTTTGAGAATATTCTAGACACTGTTAGCCAAGGTATCACAGAAAGGAACTCGTACCAAGATGATATTGACTGGCGTCTTGCCTTTATAAGCGCTAAGTTGCGACGATAAAAGGGCCGCAAGACCGAACTTGGTGAGGCCGCGCTGAAAAAGTGTTGAGGCAAGCCACTAAGATGTGGGGACAGTACATACGCGAGTAGCATCCGACATGGCGTAGGGTGGTGTGGCGACGATGATGTTCCCGACAAAGTTCTTGAGGGCCATGACTTCGGCCAAGATTTTGGCGAGAACCACGGTCTCCGCTTCCTACAGCACAATTAGCTTAAGTATATCATATAGAAATAACGAAGAAAACATACCACGAGGGTTCCGACACATTCGGCTGTCTGGTCTTGATGAAGCTGACGCGACGCAGCGAATCGTTCCACGGCTTCTCTTGCGTTCTGGTGCGGAATAAGGTTGAGACTGGGGAGGGGTTGAGCTCGTCTATGCCGGTAGTATCAAGGCTGCTGGGGTTGAACGCAAAGTCAGGCGTGAGCTGCTGCATGGCGCCGAAGATGTTGTTGAGACGACTGGCAGTGGGGGTACTGGGTTCAGACATTGAGTGTGAGTGGAACGAACACGTCGATGAGGATTGGCGTTGTGGTCGCGCTTTTTTAAGTCGTTTTGCGCCATATGATGATCTTGTGGTCGGATTTGGGACAAACAAGTCTTCAATGTGATTCAGGGTGGTGGACATGTGGTGGACAGGTGATAGGGATGATTCGGATGGCTGGACAATAGCTGGAGGGGGGGGTGGAGGGGTGAAAGTTGCCGAGAGGGGAGTCTCACTTTTCGCCTTGTGGACGACCAATGCCAGCCCGAGGAAGTGGTGCGGGGCTAAATGACGATGGTGCGAATCAGTATTAGCGGCAATGGGAACACACAGGACACTCACAAGTTGCAGTTTGGATAACACGCAGTGAAGACGACCGAGTATTGTGTCGTGCTTGCTCTGCCGGAAACCCCCCAGAACGGCATGTGTGGATAGCGCGGAGGAGCACGAGCAAGCACGAGGACTCGGCAGACCACCGGAAAGCGTTGGCAATTGTCAGCGCCGGGCAGCAGCGACTGAGGGACCTGGAGTTGGAGCGCCAACTGGCTGCTCGCACCCGACTGGCGCCACGACAACCAGCGCAGCCTATCCTCGCCCCAGTCCCGATGCAGCGTGTCGCGGGTGTGCCGAGTATGGCGGAGGCTGAGATGTGGCGCGCGTATGAGGAGGACGGGGCAGCCTTCAGTGCGGGGCTGGACACGGCAGAGGATGGTCGAGTGGCTCACAGCCTCTTGGATCAACAGGCGGAGCTTTTTGGTCTGTGGGACCCCGAGGGAGTGGCGCAACGGTTGGGGTTCGGGAATGGAATGGTGGAGGACGCGCTGAATGAACGCGACGAGGAGGAGGATTTCCTCGCTGAGTTACTGGCCAACGCAGGTAAGGGTTGTCGTCAACGTGGGATGACAGCAGACATGTGACACGCGGACTTGATTCTGCTGTCGATGTCTGTTTCGCTCACCGCTTCTTGCTTCATCTAATTCGCCTTACAGGTGTCGCTGGGCCCACCGAGGAGGAGATTCAGACTGCTGGCACCCAGAGAACCCCACTAACGGCTGGATACTTTCCATATCCGAATAAAACGGTGTGTTTTCTGCACTTTTCGAGTTGCCCGCATTTTTCTGAATTGAAGATGGTGCAGATGTTCCTCCTTGACATTCTCGACAACCTTCCGCGACTTCGGGTCTCGAAATCTCTCATGCGAGTCATACTGTGGATCATGCGCGAAACTGGTGCCCAAGACATTCCTTCTCTCGAAGGCCTCAACCGAGTTCAGAAGGAAATTCGAGCCGAATCGGGTATTCCCACTCTCCCTTGCCTGTCGCCACTGGGAAACGTCTTTTTTATGAATGATCCTTGCGCAATTGTCGCACATGTGAGTACATCTGCCTTCCTCGTCCTGTCGAAGATATTCAAGTTTGTGACTAGGATTGGGCCAATCCTGCAATCCGGAAACATATTCGTGTGTACCCAGAAATTCCTAGCAACGGCATCGTTTGCGAGATCTGGCATGCACAAAAATGGAGGAAGAATATGGATCTTGACGCGCTCAGTCCGATGTACGACGCGGGAAATGCACATTTCTATGTCAACGAACTCTGCCGCCTTCAGGACGGCAAGTTCGTTGTTCCTATACGCTGGGTTACTGTCAACTCTGCCGTTTGGGCAGATTGTTACAGTGTCGAAATTGACACAGTGCGAAATTGTCATCGTTTCCCGCAACTCAGGCTGACTTTCAGCAGGTTGGCGAAGCAGCAATTGATGATTCAAAGACGTACCTCGTTGCAGCTGCAGATATGAAGGAAAATTATCTGGACCTCCTTGATCTCGGAGCGGTGCCGCCATGGAATTGTGAGTGCTGTCTGCAATCAATCTTCCAGTTCTCATGCCAGCAGCGGCGACATTTTCGAAGGGACACCCCGCAAGGATGCCCAATCGTAAACGTGCCATTGCGGGTGGCTGTCCAATGTACACCAGCCTTGTCGACTACTTTGGTGACGACGTATCCGGAAATCGCTCTAAATCATGGAACAAGCATTGGAACGCGTATATGACGCATCGAAATCTTCCCCGAAAACTGCTGCAGCAAGAATATCATATCCATTTCGTCTCGACCTCCCCCAATGCGTCCATTTCCGAACAATATCGCGAATTCAAGACCGCCATTGAGTGCGCGCCTCCATATATAGTTTCGGTATTCTTTCTAATAATTTCAGAGCCACACACACCAAGCCGATTGCTGTCCAAGACGACGCAGGCAATACGACAAAGATCTGCGTCTACTGTAACGCCGGCCCTTCCGACAACCCGATGCAGAGTGAGGTATCATCTCATATGGGTGGCCAGGCCAACTACTTCTGTCGAAAATGCAAGGTCGGCGGCCCAAAAGCGCACAAGCACTCGAATGTTGGGTATGAAGAGCTCTTCAAGGTTTGCTCTCCCTTCTATTGGCCAATATATAAGCTAATAACTACAGCCTGGTGTTCCGCGAACCAAAGAATATGTGCTCGACGAGTTGCGGCTTCAAGTCCGGCATGTGTGTGGTGGGACAACAATGGACAAGCTCCAGAAGATCCAGCGCAACACGGGCGTGAAAGACGCATATACGCAGCAATGGATCACAGGTCTCGAAGCCCGTTTTGCGCAACTGAGCGTTGCCGACCCCGAACGACCAGCAGCAAACATCAAAGCGGAGCTCATGAAGTGGGTAGATGAGAACGACGAAAAGATCTATAGTGCTTTCTTGCGAACAACAGGTACAGTTTGACCAATTGTGTCATAAGCATGAGTATTGATGCAAACCCATAGCGTTCGATCCTACACGCGATACACCGATCGAACTCTTACATACGATTCTCCTTGGTGCAGTCAAGTACGTGTGGCACATCTCGCACACCGGCTGGTCCGACAAGGAGAAGACAACATATTCGCAGCGTTTACAAGCGACCGAGACGAGCGGGCTTTCGATTCATGCCATTCGCGCCAAGTACATTATGCAATACGCCAATTCACTCATCGGGAAACAACTTAAGACTGTCGTTCAGACAGGCATATTCCATGTGCATGATTTGGTCTCGGACGACCATCTCGCCGCATGGCAAGCATTAGGCGAGCTCTCTGCCTTGCTCTGGGTCCCCGAAATTCACGACATAACTCAGTATCATGTATGTCCGTCCCGTCATACCTCCCACATTCTCACTTCTACTCCAGACCGACCTCGAAACAGCGGTCGCAAACCTGCTTGATGCTGTCGCCGTTATCGATCCTTCCAAAATCATAACGAAAATCAAATACCACCTGCTTGCACATGCTGCTGATGACGCAATGGAATTTGGACCACTCATTGGCCTTGCGACGGAGCTATTTGAGAGTTTCAACGCCATTTTCCGCTATTGCTCAGTACTATCGAACCATCTGGCACCAAGCCGCGACATCGCTCTTCAGCTGGGAGACCAGGAAGGGCTCAAACATCGACTAACTGGTGGACTTTGGGCGGCAGAAGGCAAACAGAAATGGGTCCGAGCGGGCTCTGATGTTCGCCATTACTTAGAAAAGCACCCCATCCTACAGAAACTCTTGGGCTGGACGCCACAAAAGAGTGTGGATATTGGTACGAGCTTCACGTTCTCTTATCGCCCGGTCTCATGATCATTTTTCAGGCAATGTAAAGTTGACCCCACTCACACGGGGTGAAGATAAGCGATTATTGCGTGAATTAAGCGCGACAACGGCAGCAAAAGCAACAAACTATCATGACTACGCGTCAAACTCAGGATGGGACAACGGAAAATCCTTTATCTGCCAATCGCAGGATGAATGTCGCGTTGGGTCTTGGGTTTTTGCACCGTGGCTATCAACTCATGTGAGTATTTCTTCGGTGTCATTCAGCATCCTAACGCCAAGTAGACCGTAATTCCTGCCCGCGTTGTAGAAATCCTCAAGGGTACCGAGGCCAACCTTGCCGTTTTGGAACGCTTCCAGACATCGGCGAACCGCGATCCAGTATATGGGATGCCGGCATTGATTCGACCCGATGGCGAAACACTCCTTCTCATTGTTCCAACGAAGGTATGGACTCTTAAACCGCTATTGCACTTATATATTCATGAGTGCAGGATGTCAGCTTTAGTTTCAATGCACAACACGACTGTCGTGCAGCCCAATGTGCGGCCACCGGTTCCCGCGCCATTATTCAAGAACGTGTCGCATCTGAAAAGACAGAGCACTTTGTCATACACAAGGACCTTGACCGCTACATCATCAACCTCCATTCTTTCCATAATGCCCACCTCCTGCGTGCAACGCTTCCCCCGCCATCTCTGGGCACCTGTTCCACTCTTCGACGACCGTCCAGCAAAGCACATCGAGTTTGCGACGCAGCTTTTCGCAATCGGAATACTGCGAAGGGAGCCAAAGGAGCAAGTGATGGAGTGGCTAATCCCGCGTCAGACACAGTGGGAACCACCATGCAGCGGGCCAAGCGCCGTCGAGCCAAGGACAACGACTCCGATGCTGAGTCAGCACCAGCACGCAAGCGCGCTCGCAAGGCTGCTCCCAAGAAGAAAAAGCCAAAGGCACAGGCTAATGCCATCCCCATCGCAGTCTCTGTGGCGATTTCGGGAAGCACAAGTTTGGCAGCAGGACGAACCAAGCGAACGATAACAAAAACGGTGAAGGCGCTGGCAGCGGAGGAAGCTTCGAGTGATTCTGAGGAAGTGTCGGACAGTGATCAGATGTCGGAAAAAGATTATGAGACAAGCGATGAAGAGTACCAATAGTTGAGATTAGGAGTAGCTGTCATAAATACATGTTGTTGCTATCCTATCTAGCTGGTGTCAGGCTGGTTGGTGAGCTAGCCTCCAGCTGACGCCCCCAGATAGCAGGCATCTGTGGGCCAGCAGACCCCAGCTACGCGTTCCGCTGGACCCATCTGACAGCGACAGCCTGTCACTGGATGACGGCCCTTTGGCGGTATAGGATTATTTACATTTCAAGTTGTTACCAATAAAATAATATGTCTTGAACATGCATATATGACTTTTGGTTTACCATACTCTGGGAATACTGTCCAAAATATTTTCTAGGCAAGCTGTTTTCTTTTGTAAGTATTTTGGGATTTTAAAGCAAGAGTCTCTTTGACGTGAGAGCGTGACAGCGGCATGAGTGATGCGGTGGTCGTCACAAATCAGGGCACTTTCGGTTTGGTCACTCCCGGTCGGTATAAGCAAAACTGATAAATCAGTTTGTGAATGAATGCTTCAAGTTTGGACTCTGCATCTACATTAACCGCCCCGTCTAGAAAGCGTCCTCGTTATGACTCGGAAGACGCTCGCTCCGACCGTGACTCCGACTCCGAGAGACATAGAAAGGTGGCGCGAGTCCATCCGAGTCTTCCCTACATGGAGCCTCTCGACCTTGTCGAGTTCAAAGTCGAGGACACACCTGGTGCAGACGTCTACTATGTGCCGAATGTGCGCCGCAATCCGACTTGGCTCCTAATTGCTTGCTCACAACTGGCAATCCCCTTTTGTAGTTCATTAATGCTGGCCTTGCTGATGCCTGGTATGAACAACTTGAAGAACTTCAATGCACGGTTTCCAGCCATAGTTATCCTTCTCGCATTTCTCGCGTAGCTCATGGTCCCTGCAGTTTACCATCCAACATTGAAAGTCTACGGCAAATCCGTGAGACAAAACCGGTCCATCGCTGGTACGTGGCAATAGATATGCATACTATCAGTGCTTAAGCCCCGCACCATAGCCTATTCGTCCTCGGACTCTCTGGAGTTCAAGTATTCCGGCCACCAAGTTGACATGAAACGCGCGACAGACATCCCACCCATACTTTCCACAATCTGGCAGCACGTCTCTGCCCGTCTTGGCCTCCAGTTCAACTGCATCCTCATAAATCGGTACGCCAACGGAGACGAAAATATAGGGAAGCACCGTGACGGCAAAGAGAATGGGGTGAGTTACTTGTGCTTGGACTCATATCGAGCTGCCATTTCTTCTTCGCATCCACAGGTGATCGCGAGTCTCTCTCTCGGCGCCGTCCGCAAGTTCCACCTGATACCAAATCGCACTGACACTGGTGCAACGACGAAGAAATGGCCGCTCGCAAACGGGAGCCTGCTCGTTATGCGTGGCGCAACCCAAGATAACTGGAAAGTGAGTAGTGTACTTCTCCACTTGCAGGCCGCTAACGCTTCTTTCCAGCACGAAATACCCAAAGAGCCTGAGGTCAAGCATGGCCGAATATCGTTGACATTTAGACAGCTGCCGGAGGCCGTGGCGAAAGGGCAAAGGTCCGCAACGGCGTCCAAGGCGAAATTCGGATCTTAATTCAAGTTGGTCCTCAAGACCCACATGTCTATCTCCTTTCCGATCATATCTCTACCTGCTTCACTGACAGATCAGACTGGGTTAGCCAAAATCGTTAGGCATGTAGCGTATTACAAACAATAAAACAAGCTCTAAATCCAGTGGAGGGTCCATGCAAATAACGAAATATAAAAAATAATTCTGCTGCTCTGTCTATCTATTGGGCAACTCGCTCATACCTTCAGACCTTGACCACGTCGTTTTACACCCAACCACAACTCCAGCGGCCGGTGCATGAACCCCTCCACACTGCGGAGTTCTGTTCCTGGCGGCATCGTGAATTCGTAACGCAGCAATACCGTTGCCAGGGCAAGTTGCATCTGGATGTATGCGAGACTAGCTCCAAAATCAGCCTGAGAGAGTAAAAACGGAGATAACTCACTTCTTCCCGATACACGCGCGGGGTCCGCTCCCAAACGTGAGCATATGCTTCTTCAGCATCCCGCCACCATCCTCGATCCACCGCTCGGGCCTATACATTTCCGCATCCTCTCCCCAAATGCGTGGGTCGCGCTGGATAGTATACGCCGGGGCGCTGACTTCATAACCCTTGGGAACAGCAACCCCGTCGAGCTCAAACGCCTCACCGACGATACGCGGCAGCCCAAACGCATTTGTCGCAAATAGTCGGAGGCCCTCTTCGATAGTGGCGTTAAGGTAAGGCAGCGACTTGATTTGTTCATGGGTTGGCAGACTATCAGTCGCGGTTTCGAGCTCAATAGCACTGTTAAGTCGAGCCGCTTGCGGCCGCGAAGCGGTCGAATCCAGCTCAGCAAGACCAGCGTTGATGCTGTCCAGCTCAGCCACAACTTTCGCGTAGATACTTGGGTTCGTCAAGATGTAGAACAGAATCGCAGTCAACGAGTTCGCTGTGGTATCTGCGCCAGCCGTCCTGGAAACATTTAGTTCAAGATGCAGAGCTGAAGAAGAAGAAGGAATACAGACAATAAAAGCATGGCTTCCGTGACGACTTCGTCTTGACTAACAGTTCCGCCTTCCTTTTCCCTAACGCCCTCAATTAAACGTTCCAACATGTCATCTCGAGTAACGCCGCTCTCGACGCGGTGTTTGACACACCGAGTTGCAATACGCGACAACGATTCTGTGGAAATGCGTCAATGAAAATTTTGCTCCACAAGTCGCGCATACCGGTCGACTTGTAGCCAGCAGTGATGAACGGTATTGGTAACATCTTGGTATATTCTTCGACGCTGGGGACCAAGCCGACGACAGCCGCTGTTCGTCCGCGCTAGCAAACATAAGATTGAGTCCAACGAAAAAAAGGACAGAATGATACCTGGTCGATCAAAGCGGCAGCATGCTCTTCAAATATGGTCCCGTCCTTTCGTTCTGCAGGAAGGATATCGGAGCCCTAAATAAGTCAGCGAAAACCTTGATGGTCCGGACTTTCTCACCTTGTCGACCATGCCCAGCGGTTCACCGAAAGCAAGATCCGAAATTATGTCGAACGCAAGATAGTTAAACCAGAGCAGGACATCCATAACGGAGTTTGGCCGTACGGCGTCGCCAAACTGGTCGCCAGCACAGATGCGGTCAACCCGGAGAACAAATCGGCCCAATGATTCGCGCATAAATGACTCGAATCCCCGGATGCTCTGGTAAGAGAATGGCTGCGAGAGAAGACGGCGTTTGGAGGAGTGGAGAGCGCGATTTTGTGTGCTAAACAGCGATTCGGTGCCTTGTACATAGAAGGCACGGTAGAAAGGTGATTTATCGAGCGCTGCACTTCCTTGGGCGTAAACCTTGGATGGGGCTTCAGGCGAGGCAAATGAGACATGCCACGGCGCTATTCTAACAACGGGGCCGTATTTCTAACGAGGAATATTAGTATTGAACGGCAAGGGAGTAGCAATAGTAGCAGGACACATACCAGATGCAGTTCATGGACGGCGAGGTAACGCTCTCCTTTCCGGGCATGATACATCAGCCAAAACGGCGTCCACCTCGCTAGAAACGGGCCAGGAACTCGGCGCAGCGGGTCCGTCGCCCAACGCCACAGCGAGAGGACCACTCCAACTCCACAGAGGTAGAATGCAAGCATATCAAGCGATGGGAGAGTAGATGTCACGGTCATGTTGCGGCTTGGCTATAGAGTAGATAGGTTGATTAGGGTTGAATGGTGGGCGGAAGAAGAATGGGTCGCACCTCTGAAGCAACGACGCTCCTAAAAAGACAGAAAAACACCGGACGGATCCAAAATCATTGCGTCAGGAGCCGCGACAAATCGACAGTGGTGACGATGGTGAGAAATGCCTCCACGAATAAGGACAATCAATGGATGCGGAAGCACGACTGCCAGCATCGAGAAAACTATCCAATAGGTGTTGTTGTCGACGTGTCTGCGAAAGAGGTGCAGAATCACGGTAACACCCAAAACAGCAAAGTTCCTTTTCAAGTCGATTTTCGCTGCAAATCACTGTGACGTCACGAATACAGTCCAAAACAGGCCGAGAATCTAGCTAATCAAGCCCCCACCTTCTTCGTAGATTGTGATCCTCACCAGCGCAAGATCCGGCTTGGACAAGGAACATCGCACTTCGAGAAAGATAGATGGGTCCTACACCTACAAAGAAGCTATATACACGAAAACGAATAGACAAAACCACGTATGAACGAAGAACACAAGGAAATAATAGTAGTCGGGGCAAGGTAATAAGCAGAGCAGATGGACGAAAAAGTAGGGTAACGCGTTATCATATCAGTATCGTAGATGGTGGTTCCTGAGGGTCTTGCCCTAACGACAAGCCGCAAATCGTATATGTGTTCCGTGAATCCGTAAATGTAAGCAGGAAGAAAAAGAGATGTCGCGCGGAATGGAGGGAAGCCGAAATCTAGGTTGGTGTGGTCTAATCCCACTCGATGGACATGCCGCCAGGGCCGGTGACGACGCCGATGCCACGGTTAACCTCGCGTGTGAGGTACTTCATCGCCCGTTTGTCGTCTTTGAGATATGGTGAAAGCAGTTGGAAGCATCGTTGGTTGTGGTCCTGCAAACCCACTGTCAGACACATACATGCGTAGCCAGACAACAAGACAAACCTTGAGCCACGCCTTCTCCTCCTTCGTTAACATGCTCTCAACAATCATCTTAGTTTGGATCGGCACGACCGTCAGTCGCTCGAAACCGAGCCACACTGCTCCATTGGTTTGACCACGAGTCTGCGCAACGTTTGCTTGACAACAACTGACAAAAAAAAACTGGACACACCTTGACACGACGGACGACCAACGCCGATTCTATACGGATGCCCCAATGTCCCTCTCGGTCTAATCAAATTTTAGTGGATGCTTAGCGATGGAAAAGTACTCACAGAAGCCAGGCTCATTTGTCGTGACCATCCCCGGAATCAAAGGGACATCACTCGAAAACCCGTGTGTTCCTTCATGGACGGTCAAGAATGACCCAAAGCCATGTCCGGTACCATGGCCATAGTTGAAGCCTTCCCGCCAAAGGGCCTTGCGTGCTAGAACATCCAGTTGCCGGCCAGAGGTACCCTCCGGGAATACCGCGCTATCGATCGCGATCTGCACCCCAGATTCAGTCAAAATAACAGTGGAGACAAAGAACATACATGACCCTGCAGCACTCGTGTATATGCGTCACAGACTTCTGGCGACGGGTGGCCAAAATGGACCGTCCGTGTCGTATCACAAGTACCATCGCGGTACTGACCTCCTGAATCACTGTAAACTGGTCAGAAAAGACAGACACAAACAACACAAAAAACGGACTTGACATAAGGCAATTCCCTGTCTATCATCATCGCAGTCCCACGTCGTGGAGAGTAATGAGGCAAAGCAGCATTCGGTCCACTAGCACTGATATTCTCGTAGGCAAGACCCATGAAATGGCGAGTTTTGCGACGGAATTCGGTTAATCTCTGGGCGGCTTCGTACTCGGTGATGTCGTAGCCCTCCTTGAGCTTGGCCTCCAGCCAAGCCAGGAACCGCACCTAAAGAAAATAAGGCGAGAGTCGGGAACAAGTGAGAAGAATACGCACATAAGATGCGCCATCGCGAAGATAAGCTTCCTTGAGCCCTCTTATCTCCGTTTCATTTTTCACCGACATCATCTCGTCCACATATGACGGAGCCACAGTGTATCGGAAATGAGTAAGCATGAGGGAAATGGCGAAGGAAGTTTGAGGTGTGATGAGGACCTTGCCAGTTCCCCATTCTCTGCGACGCAGATATTGCCACAGGTCGACATAATCCCTTCGCTCGACGCCTAACGAAGTAAGATATTCGCCAACTTCAGTGTTAACCTTGACGGCATCCACAAATAGGAATGCTTCCTCCAACGAGACGAACAGATAACCTTGGAACAATGGGTTGAACGGAATGTCGGAGCCCCGGAGGTTAAGCAGGTAGGCTAGAACCTCGGTTGAGTGAAAGTATGATGTTTGGGAAAGAGTTGCTCACCGATGGCGGGAAGAGACGTGATCAACGTCGCGACATGTCTTTGCGAATCCGTGGGCTCTGCTTTGGAGTAGGCGGGGACGGAGGCAGGCTGTCGTCGGATCCATTCCCGTAGACTGGCTAGTTTAGAGCCGGCTTCCTCTCCAGCAAAGTTAACTGGCTGTGTGAACAGAGGCTCTTGCGATTTCGGCGCCTTGTTCTTCCATGCGAGATCGACCAAGTTCTGTGGCGGATAAACCAACTTCGAATCAAGAGCTGTCAGCTTTGAGTTCAGCAATGTCGCCTTTTCATGTGAGATCATTCGAGCGTCAACACCAATGCGAGCGTTTCTGGCATGTACCTACAGATTGTTCAACAACGAGACAGTTGATTGGCAAATATTTTCGCTTACCACAATGAACTCAATCCAGTCCCTTGGTTGGCGCGCATCACCAGCTTTGATCAGGGTCCAGTTGGAGTCGAGTTGGGTCTTGGCTTGTATCCAATATCTCGAATCGGTGATCAGGTAGGCAGCATCCTGGGTAACGATTGCCTGGCCTGCGGAGCCAGAGAAGCTGTAAGGATTTCGTTAATCAACCGGAAACTCCACATTCGGCTAATAAACGAACCCAGAAATGTACTCTCGCCGCCGGTCACTTGCAGCAACGTATTCTGATTGATGTGCATCTTCGCTGGGGACGATACTAGTGGACGAATGAGTAAAGGTCATTGTAATGAGAACACAAACGCACTAAAAGTCCAGATTCTCCTTGGCCATCAGGTCGCGAAGGCTATTGAGCTGCTCTGAAGTCTCCATCCGCTTGAGAGGAATGTCGACATCGTTGATCTTGCGCTCGTAAGCAGACCCCACAAGTGTGCTGTTGGAGTCATTTCGGACAAGTTGGGTTTGTGGAGTTTGGGTTCGCCGAGAGCCAGAACCGAGAGAAGCCCTGACACCGCTGCTCTGTGGCGTTGTCCTGCCAGGCGAAGGGGAAGTTTTGGAATCGTATGACCCTCTTGAGTCATAGCTTCCCTTGGATTCCTTTGACCGACGAGAGCCTCGACTTTCATGAGTCCCTCGACTATCTTTCGTGCCTCGACTCTCTTTTGTGGCCCGACTAGCGTTGGTTGACTGCGTGTTCGTTCGGATTGGGCCAACAGGTGGGTCGTAGAGCGGGAAACCGCCTCGTGAGCCGCCATTGGATGTTTGCTTCTCCGTCATCTCCGGCTGGTCCTCGATCCCGCGAGTAGCACCCTTCTCTCCACCCAGCTCCTTCTTCTTCCCAATGCCCCACCCATATCCCCAAGCTCCCTTCGACGCAGGCGGCGCAGCAGGCGGTGTCTTGACTTTGGTCCCGGCCATGGTGTTCGTGCGAACCATCCTGGGTCCTTTCTTGCCCATCTCCCATTCCGGAGTATCCGCATTCAATTTAGCGCTCGCCCAGTCATCAGTGTCTTCGCTCTTGAACGTGAGGTTGTCTACAGACGCAAGCGTCGAGCCAGACGACCGTGACGAGGCTGACGCATAGCGCACAAGCTTCTCTCCCTTCGCACCACCTTTTTCTGGGATTGGGGGTAGCCGCGAGTCAATCGATCCGCGAGGACCTCTTGAATCGTACGACGAAGGGCCAGAGTAATCGGAGTCTGAATAAGACAGGCGTCGTCGTGGCTTATTCGAGCTCCAGGGTAAGCATAACGGTGGTGGCGGGGGCGGGGGTGGAGGAGGGGGAGGGGGAGACATGGTGGTCGGAAGTAGAGAGTTGGTTGGCGCGAGCCGAATCGGAGTCGACGAGAAGGCTCAGCAGGAAACACGTTTTCCTCGGTAAAAATGATCAGTCACGCGTCAAGCCTAATGGAGATACCTGGGTCACACTGCCGTCTTTTGCCTCAACAGAACCACGACGGCTGGGTGCCTCGTCCGCCTTGCGATAAACAAGCTCCGGACCTATGCTGCGCCTCCCTCGTCGCCCAGCTTCACCATGAAAGCACGACCCCAGCAGCGATCTCCTCGGGACAGCCATCACAAGACCTGCACAGTCGGAAACGGCGAGATTGACCGAAGACCAAAATAAAGTTCGTTCCGGGGTGGAATTCAGCACAGAAAACGTACGAAAGAGGCACCGTATTCACATTGCCTTCCGCCGTTCGTCCGATGGCGCAAGTCGTTCCCACCCCGCTTTTGCATGTATCCGGCCACGAAATGCATTCCAGAATTATTCGAGAGCGTCCTCGGAGAGACCTTCAGAAGCTCGACACGGGGGCCAGGACCCCGTAGGGCAACTTTGTTTTTGACGTTGTGTGGGCAAAAACATCATATTTCGGGAGACTTGCCGTTGGATCCGCGCACTCCTCCACTTCTTCAGGGGGCTGGGCTGGTAATCTGAGACCATCCTCATCCACAGACTCCGCAAGATTACCAGTGATAACACAGGACGCCGAAGTAACGGCGCTGCGGACTTTGAGTAGGCCCCACTGCGAAAACCTCTCCGCAAAACTAGTGCTCACATTCGTCAACAGTTGGCTGCGCATTCTCCCAAAACCCATGTCAAATGGCCGGAAATTAATGAAAGGCGGACCGAAAGATCCTGTCGTCAGCGTAATTGCTCTTCAAGCTACCGTCTGGGAAATGGCCACGCGGAGAGGGTGCGTCGATAAGCCAAACACCTGCTCATCTCTTATCAATTGCAGAAGCGCCATAATTTTCGACTCAACGCTGGAAGCTAGTGCAATTGATTCAAATCGTGGCTTTAGCGGAGGTCGAATGTATTCCATATCGACTTGGAAGAGATGGTCCGAGCCTACTTATCGGTCAGCGGCGAGACTCTGCAACGATTTCGATCAGTTGGAAAGACGAGAATCGAGTGCGATCGGACCCAGACTTGAGAATGCTTTAGCCATTGCCACTGGCCAACTCGAAAACAGGGAGCACAGAGGGGTATACATTATGAGCGCCTTGTCACTCTTTCCGCACTGATATTAGCCCTAATTTACATAGTCTTCATTGACATGTATCGGAAACTTGGTCACAATATTCTCTCGTCGGCAGCGCTGGACGTATCATATGTATGGTAAACTGGAAGAAGGTCGTAAAATGAACCAACACGTGTTTGCAAGGAGGATAAACTGCCTTTCATGTGCCTCGAGTTTAATTTGTTGGTCCATACCATGCCTCTAATGACGGCAGAGGCTTAGGACCAACCGACATACTCAAAATTCCCCACCTCCAAGTCATATTACCCCGCACTCAGACTGAAGTGTGGGAAAATAGCCTTTTTCAGACAACCGGCGTTTGCGCAGTGATCGTCGATCCCCCAGTGGTGGGCGTGCTTCTTCCGATGCCTCCATGATATCATTATAATAAACCCACGACTGTGACAAATAAACTCGTATGCACCAAGGGTATATACGGATTGGCCAACGCCATATCCTAGCAAAACCCCACCGATTTTTCCCGGTCTACATAAGCTTGCTGCGCACGACGTGTTTCCGAATTATCGTATCTTGTACTGTTGACGATCAATCTTTTTGCTTATAAAACTACTACACTGGCAGACATACCACTTGCGATGACGGACTGTGTCCCCGCTACGTCCTGCAAATCGTTGTGCATCACTTTTTGGTATCTTCTTACTTGTGTAATATCAACTCACGACGAGTGAAGTCAAGTGCTAAACCAAGCGTTGGCTGATGAAAATTGTGAATAAAAGTCGCTCACGACGAACAGGGTTCTCTTGAAAGTCTCCCTCTTCTTGTGTGCAGATAGAAAATGACTGCGAAAATACTCTGTTGCTGTGTAAAAATTATTCGTGCGACTGCCATAGCTGATGATACTACCGACGCGCAACATTCAGTCTAGAGAATCGACAGAGCCGAATGAAAACGCACTAATCGCGAATCTGAATTCCCGCCTCGAGTTTTCGGCGAAGAATGTCAGTCTGTGTTGCCAGTCAGCTGGGGGGATGTCTCTAGCGGGGAAGGCTACCTACTTTGTTGAGCAATAAAACCAGTTGCGCATTCTTCAATAATGGATTCGCACATATAATCGCCAATAACTGCAGCGAGTCCGAAATACGGTTGGTGAGTGGGTCTTCCTCGAGGTATTGATCAAAAGCTGAGATTGCGGCAACGAATATCAGGGCATTCACTGCCATAAATTGTCGACTGGGCAGCAACTAACGTTGACACCTACCGTCGTCGAAATATGACGCCCATGCTGCACGCTAGAGTGGGACGGTCAGCCCTATACGACAAGGGCGCAGTGGGACTAACTTGGCTAAGCTATTGAATCAAGTGTCAGACGTTCTTCTAGCCCACACACGAGAGCTTACAACACCACCCACGTCGTAAATCTTCCACAGATGGGTCCCACCTGCCGTCTTCACCGGAATGGAGTGTTCTACAACGCCAATTGTCTGCAGTCGCACGCGCAACACATCGTCTGGCGCGAGAAGCGGGTTAGCAGTGACAAGAATAGAAACGAGTGGAGTAGCGCTAACCCGTGGTGGGCACGTAGTCGGGCTGGGCAATACGATGGACCTCGCCAAGGAAGCTAACGGTGCGGTCAGCTCCGGAGAGGATTCGAGCAGGTCAGCTGGACTCACAAGCTGCCCGACTCCTCCAACCGCAATTTTCGCGTCCGAAGTAAGCCCTGTACCATGCGATGGCCCCAGAGGGCTTCTATAGCCCCAACCGACATTCCGAGGACTTGACCGGCTCTGTTTGTCGCCACAACCGCAGCCGGTGCATCGAGAAGTACTCCCAGAGGACGCGTGCCGGTGAGTCGTGTCAGGCCTTGCTTCGTAGTGAATAGACTTGCAGACCGTTTTCCAACGAAGGAAATTCCATCGCTGAGCTGGGCGGTCAAAGAACTCTCAAGTGAGATCAGCGGAAGAAGGTCCCTTCGAAGCGTGTGAAACTCGTTCTCGGCCCCAGCGTCTATCGGTCCCGGCCAGGGGTATTCTTCGTAAGCTTGGCTAAAGTCGTATTCCAACTCTTCGACGATCGTCCGCACAGCTTTGATAAGGTTGGCATAGACGACAATACGCCATGAAGGTCGGTCTGCATCAAGCGTCTGGGAAGCATAGTAGAGTTGGAATTGCTTCTGGAGAGTAGATTTTCCTAGTAGACAGGTCAGAACGCGCGTAAACGAATTCGAAGACAGACCTGACTCGGCCTGGCCAAGGATAATGACTGCAAATCGAAGTGAGAGGGAGATGGCGACTCGGGCACACGTACTTTTGACTTGCCTGCGTCGCTCCCCCCTGCTGCGCTGCAGCCGCCTTCTATTGCCCCAACAAATTAGTACTTGACCTTGAAGTCGTCACGGTTAACGCACTCTAATATCCTCGTCGATCGAATCGCTGACCCTCTGAGCGGCTGTTGCAGTGGGGTCGGCCGGGTGCGATCCACTAGCAGGACCACTATTACAAGAGGACGAGGCTTGCTTGCCGCCTCCAGCAAATCGCCGGGGTGCTCGAGCGAAGTAGGAGGACATAAAGAGAGAGCGAGAAAGCAACGACGGAGCGGTGATATGAAATAGTTACCGTGCATCTCTAAAGACCTTGAAATAGGCAGCGGAGTTGCCGTAAACAGGAAAGAAGCGCGACCTGATCTGACCGCCTTTCACGTCGGAGAGGTTACAAGGCAGAACCCGAGGCGGCAGGTCGCATGGAGTAATGGGATGCAGGTAGTATCGTTTCGCTTGCGCTGCTGCTACTGCCGGTAGAGCGGGGCGATTCTGAAACGGTGGGAAGAAAATCCTCGAAATGACGGACATGAACGTGGAGGACATGATATCATCCGACCTCAAGGAAGAGATGCATTATTGTTGTTGTTAACGCGCCTTTTCTCACCCCACGTTGGCTGGGCGAACTATAAGTCATGATTGACCGCAAGGGATAACACACCCGAACCCTCCTCAATGCGACATGTCTGCCGTTTGGTTCCATATAATGCTTGTGGTCAACCTTTGGCGGCTTGCACGCGGAAAGGTACTGGCTTTTCTATAGTTATCCGACCATTACCGCCAGCCATCTTCCAGAGACACTCTCTAGTGTTAGATGGCGGAAGAGCATGACGATGGAGACCATGCGGTCAGAATTGAAAGACACCGCCGGTGCAGACAAGGGCGAGACTGAGATGGACCGCCCCCAGTTTTGGTGTTGACCGGGACTCCGCAAGGGCATAATAAGATTGTGGAAGAAACAGAAAGATGATCGCCGTTTTGATGTCACGCAAGAAAATACCTTTAGTTCCAACTTGTTCCAGGCGATTGTCATTTTGTAGATACTAGTACAAAGTTACTGTAGGAGGGCGTTGCAGCACAGCTAATACAAGTTGTCGATATAAGGCTAATAAGCTACACGTCGAATCGGAAGTCTTCCTGATATTCACTGCTGCCCAAGTTCAAAAACTCTATACTCGAGAAGTTCTTTGGAGCTGTTGCATTCGAAATTTTGCGCTTCGTTGTCTTTCCATGGGATCCGATAGTGGTTGCGGGTCGTTTGGCGGTCTGGGACCTTGCCGCTTCCTTATTGTTTCCTCCGTGTACCTTTCTTTTAGCTTGAGCCAAAGACGTGGTGGGTCGAGTTTGCACCGCATGCCCCGCATCGCTAGGAAAAAGATCTTCCTCATCTATGAAGCTGATTAGTTCAGCAGGAAAGAAAAAGGAGACGAAACACACCCAGCGCAGGTAACGAAAGCAGATGACCCCATGGGGTGACCTCCACCTTTGGAAGAATCTCTAATGCAAACGGCGCATCATCATGCCTCGAAGAGAACGCAGATTCCCGTATAGATTTCCCAGCTAATCTATAATCTGGAAGGGCAAAATCAAATGGCGGAGTATACGTTTCTGTGAACAAAGTATTAGCTCTGGAGTGAAAAAAGCCTACTCCTAGGTTAGAGATGCTCACCAACAATTTTGGGTGGCATGTACTCTGTTTCTCCATCGTCCAACGCGGCATTTATGCTGCTCGCTGGTGCCACGCTCGAACGGGGGACACGAGAGGAATTCCGTCGCGCGAATACGGAAAGGGACTCCTTGTCCAGCTCTGAAACCTCTCTAAACAACCCATTCGTTTGGTTAGCTTGACGAAGAAGCGCAGACAGTTTCTGGTCTTCCGGCAGTGGCGTCCTTGGATTGAGCGCAATCTTTTCTTTCGACGCGATAACTTGGATTGGGGGCTCTTGATTTGGGAGTGGTGTCTTGTCGCTCAGAACATGCCCAATCGGACGCGCCACTTCGTGAATGAGTGTTTTCACTGCATGATGGGCTTCAGCCGAGAAGCCACAACAATCAAGAGGTTGTAGACTAACATGCCACTTCATTTATTCGCTTCGAGGTTCCACTCCGATGGTAGGTCGGATTCTCGCGTCCGGGAGTCTTGGGCCTTGAGCGAGCATCAGTAGCTCGACTTGTGGATCGAGTAGTGGAAAGCATATTAATATCAGAAACGCGCTTGTCACGCTTATGTAAGTCCATCAAATTCAAACAGGCCGCACTGTTTGAATTTGATGGACCTAGCCCAGGTACTTAGTAGCTCTTTCTATGTTGTATAGTGGCTCCCTCGCGGATTTCTTAATGTACTGTATGAAGGCATTTATCGCTGTTTAATCGAATGTTGGGATCAAAGTTGAAAGTTGGAAGTCGGAAGTCTGAACTTTTGTGTGACATGCAGGGCAGGTGTAGTTGGTACTCAGAAGTTGAAGGCCATACAAATAGAAGTCTAACTATGATTCATTTTTGTGCTTAGATCCAGTTTTGACCATATTTGGACTGATGTCTGGAATTTTGATTATTTTAATTATGTTGGCCAGTGTTATTTGACTCTGAGCTGTATAAGTATCAGTTTAATCAAATGGTTCACATTATACTTGCACCTTAAAAGCCTACTTAACATTGAGTAAAGATCAAAAATAGTCTTGCTGAAAATAACATTGAATAAAGATCACTAAGACTATTTTCAGCAAGAAAATAGTCTTCTCAGCTGTAAAAAAATTCCAACAGTCAATATTTAATGCAAAATATGACTTTTGTTAATTTATAGTCCTGTACTATTTTGTTCAATTTGGCCAGATCACTGGTTTTGATAAACTCAAAAATTGCCAAGAATGTGAGAAATCAAGTAAAAAATATTATCAGTCACACAGTAAATTCAAATCTTTCTTTTCCCTCAGAAACATGAACACAAATATCACCTTTTAATATATATTTCCTTCTGAAAGAAATAAGATATTTTATCTGAATAAAAATAGACACCAAAATGATTTCTTTTTATCCATCTTTAAGTACCAGAGAAAGACTGTCAAACCCTGGGTTCAAAAACCCCTTTTTCTTCGCCTTTTAAACCTTTTATTTTGGCCCTGGTTGATAAGATAAGACAAGGAGGAGATAAGATGGATGATAAGATGGTGATTGGATCATCAGATGTCGATGCTGATGTTGATTGACAGCGTGGAGGTGGACATGAGGCAAGCAGCACGTAAAGGCATGGCTAAAGTATGACGTCATTGCCTCTCGTATTAGGCATGGTAAACACATGGTAGTAGTGTATATAAGTAGAGTAGATTTCGTCTTGTACCCCAGTCTTCGAATTCCATCATCTTTACGATATCCTTTCACGGTGCTTCTTGCTTGCCTTCACTGGCCAACTGGCATCCTCTGAATTGGTATTGTTTGTGACAAAGACTCTCTTTTCATCACAATGAAAGAGCAATTAAAAGACTGCCATTTTGTCCAACTTTCTGTCTACAACAAATTGTGATCTTTGTGTTTTTGCAAAAAGGCCAATTGAAAATCAGGGCTTTTGATGTGCCTTTTTGTGTTGCACAAAGAACAACTTTCATTGACACACAAAGACGTTCAGAAAGATCGTCTTTCTGTGCCTCTTTTGGACTATCACAAAGAACATCTTTGTGATTGCCCAAAAGGGGAAAGGAAAGGGTATCTTTCTGTACACCTTTCAGGTTGACTAAAACATTAGCTTTCTGTCAGGACTAATAGGCATGAAGAAATATAATATTTCTGTGCTACCCTAGGGTATACCTTGGGGTATACCCTAGGGTACACCTTGCAGCTCAGGTAGGGTTACCTTGGATGATATTGTGACAGAATGCTTATGTGATTGCCTACAATGCCCACCAATCATGTCATCATGAGAGCTCCGCTTTGAAACAAAATCCTTGAAGCCACGCTGCGTCCAAAATTCAAGTCAAACTGTCAAAGTGATTGCTTATTATGAACAATATATACATGAACAGTGTATCAAACTACTCTACACTACATTATACGGAGCACTTCAGCCTCAGACTTGATAAAAAGGATCAGTTGTTCAATACCTCGGATGATTCCGCTGCGCCCACCACAGAGAAGTGGATCATGGAGTTCAATGTGGTTGTGACCACATACGGAACAGGGCACCCTCCCGAGCCAGGCGGGCCTGAACCATTCGTGGCAGACCTTTTCTGCGCCACGTTAGTACGACAACGCGGGCATGAAAAGAAGTGCTACCCATTCGCTTGCGATCCCGGACATGCCACATTGCAGCCCAGTAGCGAGTGGTGCACTTGTTGAGCTGTCGGAGGCGATTCTTGGGTAAAGACGTGTGTCCGATCTTGAAAACGCGCTGCCCATTTCGCAATTTGAGGTCCAAGGCGTAGATTACGCCAGGACCGTCTTTGGGCGGAGAGTGGTGATGGTTGGAGATCAGTAGCGCTCGCTTGAATGGCGAGACGGAATTGTTGAGGGGATGGGAATTTGAGAGCGAGGGTTAACGCGGGTGCGAGCATCCATGGTGCGCGTGACGACGCACGTCATGGGGAAAGAGGGAGAGAGGCATCGAGGGCGAGAGCGGGCAAGCAGGGGAGGGTGGCGGGACCAAGCGTCAGGCAGGCGAGCGCGACAGAGGGCGCGGTCGGGCGCAGGCGGACCGGAGAAGGGCTGGCAGGCGGCAGGGGAGCGGGCAGGCGCGAAAACCGCGAGGTTTACCCAAGAATCGCCTCCGACAGCTCAACAAGTGCACCACTCGCTACTGGGCTGCAATGTGGCATGTCCGGGATCGCAAGCGAATGGGTAGCACTTCTTTTCATGCCCGCGTTGTCGTACTAACGTGGCGCAGAAAAGGTCTGCCACGAATGGTTCAGGCCCGCCTGGCTCGGGAGGGTGCCCTGTTCCGTATGTGGTCACAACCACATTGAACTCCATGATCCACTTCTCTGTGGTGGGCGCATGTAAACCCGTTACACACTCTTTACCTCTCTATGTCACAGTAGTTACTTCTTCCTCCTGTACCCTCAGCATCTCCAGAATATAGCATAGTCTCATTGACTTGGCTGCTGGTCCCCTCAGTGTTTCCCAATTGGCCATTGGGTTTCCAGCGCAGCGGAATCATCCGAGGTATTGAACAACTGATCCTTTTTATCAAGTCTGAGGCTGAAGTGCTCCGTATAATGTAGTGTAGAGTAGTTTGATACACTGTTCATGTATATATTGTTCATAATAAGCAATCACTTTGACAGTTTGACTTGAATTTTGGACGCAGCGTGGCTTCAAGGATTTTGTTTCAAAGCGGAGCTCTCATGATGACATGATTGGTGGGCATTGTAGGCAATCACATAAGCATTCTGTCACAATATCATCCAAGGTAACCCTACCTGAGCTGCAAGGTGTACCCTAGGGTATACCCCAAGGTATACCCTAGGGTAGCACAGAAATATTATATTTCTTCATGCCTATTAGTCCTGACAGAAAGCTAATGTTTTAGTCAACCTGAAAGGTGTACAGAAAGATACCCTTTCCTTTCCCCTTTTGGGCAATCACAAAGATGTTCTTTGTGATAGTCCAAAAGAGGCACAGAAAGACGATCTTTTTGAACGTCTTTTTGTGTGTCAATGAAAGTTGTTCTTTGTGCAACACAAAAAGGCACATCAAAAGCCCTGATTTTCAATTGGCCTTTTTGCAAAAACACAAAGATCACAATTTGTTGTAGACAGAAAGTTGGACAAAATGGCAGTCTTTTAATTGCTCTTTTATTGTGATGAAAAGAGAGTCTTTCTCTGTGTCAGGGAAACCCTGATGCCGTCACTTGATCCCATCAAGCGCCGCGTCTCCGCTCGCGTCTCCACGTCTCCGCTCGTGTTTCCGTGTCTCCACACCCTGACGCTCTCCCTCCACTGCCCGCACCACATCCCACATCCAGTAATCCCTAGTCTTCGACTTCCTGGCCACCCCTTTCCGGGAGCCTCTCCGGAGTCACCATCAGGGATCACTAATGCCATCGGAGACCTCTCCGGATGTGGATGCACCACTTCCCTCTAGACCTTGACCCTATGGCCTGCCAGCCTCTCTGGGCTGTCACTTATCAAGGTCTCCCTACGATCTCTACCTGCTGGACCTCTTAGGTGTCTCCAACCTATGTCAGCGTTCGGGCTTACGTTCGGATGGCTGAGCCTCGCCATGGCTCCGCTTCCCACTCCGCCACCACGGCCCCCGTCATCGGGTCTCCCTTTGGGTGAGGCCTACTGCCGTTAAGGCTCGTGCCTACCGCAGCGCCCCAGGCTGCACGCCCTCACACCCACCTCTCTGGAGACGCCCGGGGACGTCTCCGAGTGACCCTCCTGTCGCTACCCTCCAGTGGTCATGGCTGGCCGCCATTCCCATTGGTCCTCTCCGACACTCCCCGGCCCTTGGGCTAGACCAGACTCCTTCCCTTTCCGCTCCACGCCTTCCCTCTCCGTTTCCGGCCGTCACGTCACGGTCACACACCCGGAGTCGATTCCGATTCCGGTTCCGATTCCGGTTGTCACGGTCACGGTCACAAGCGGAGACGCTCAGAGGCAGCCTGGACCTCCCGAAGCCCCTTCTTAGGCCTTCTAAGGATGCCTGGGCTCCTCCCTTGGCATCACGGTCCCAAACCTGCCTCTCCGGAGCTTCGAGGGCTACTCGACACTCACCTAGGGCCCATTAGCGACACCTGACTTCTCCCATGCGTCGTTCGTCGCTATGCAGTCACTCTATCATTACTCCGGTCACTAGTATATAGTAGTGCACCTGAGCAGAGGGCTCCTTGGCTTGTTCTCTAAGGATTCCCCCTCTGCTCAGGTGAGTCTGTAGCATCCCTTCCTGTTGTAGTAGTTCACTAAGGATTCCCCCTCTGCTCAGGACTCTGATTTCGAGCCTCGCGAGGTTGCCCTTACACTCTGGTACTTAAAGATGGATAAAAAGAAATCATTTTGGTGTCTATTTTTATTCAGATAAAATATCTTATTTCTTTCAGAAGGAAATATATATTAAAAGGTGATATTTGTGTTCATGTTTCTGAGGGAAAAGAAAGATTTGAATTTACCGTGTGAGTGTTTCCAAAAATTTATCATAACTGTGACATGTCAAATTGATCAAAATAGTACACTATTGCCAAATTAGGAAGCTATTAGAGTCTAAGA